AAAAAATAACAGATTATTGATTTTGTAGGATTTAAGCTGACTAACCTTTGGCTCCTTTTTCGCCAGCTGGTCCAGCTATTCCTTGATCTCCCACATCTCCTTTAAGACCCTGTGGTCCTGAATCTCCTTGGACACCTGCCTGTCCGGGGTTTCCTTGATCACCTTTAGGTCCTTTTAGACCTGGGGCACCGATACTTCCCTGTGGGCCAAGTCTACCAATGATACCATCAGGTCCAGTATCACCCCTTGGTCCTACTGACCCTTGTGGTCCTGGTAAACCTTGAGCACCAGGGGGGCCAGGCGGCCCATCTAAACCAGTTAACCCTTCTGGTCCAGATGCTCCTGTGTTTCCAATAACACCTTGAGCTCCTTGAGCACCTTGATTACCAGGTTGACCCTGGGCACCTTGACCACCTTTGGCACCCTTGGAACCTTTCGGACCAAGGACTCCTGGCACTCCTCTAATACCCTGATCACCAACTAAACCTTTCTGTCCCACAATTCCCTTTATTCCAACGACCCCCTTGTCTCCTTGAGGTCCCAAAGGCCCAGCAGCTCCAAGTTCTCCCTTCTTTCCTTGTTGACCAACACCGCCTTGAGTACCTTGTTTTCCCTTAGGGCCTTGATCTCCAACACCACCTTTGGCACCTTTCGGACCGACTTGTCCATCTGGTCCCATTGGACCAGCATTTCCAACATCTCCTTTAGGTCCTTCTTGTCCTGGAGGTCCTGCTACTCCCTTGTCTCCCAATGGGCCAATAGGACCAATTCCTCCTCTAGCACCTTGTGCTCCTATATCACCATTTGGTCCAGCAATACCCTTAATTCCATTTGGTCCCTGTACCCCATTATCTCCTCTAGGGCCCTGAGAACCTTTTGGGCCTTTATTTCCATTTGGACCTACTGGTCCAATATCGCCAGGTTGCCCAATTGAACCGGGAGGCCCTTGTGGTCCTCTTGGACCTTGAACTCCAGCAGCACCAACAGCACCTGGACTGCCTATATAGGAATGTTAAACTATTAACATTTGCCTTAAAAACAACCAGTAACTACTAACCTGGAACGCCAGGATTACCAATACCTCCTGGTGGTCCAATATTTCCCGAAAGTCCTTGAAGACCAGGTGGTCCTACAACGCCCTGGTTTCCTGGAGGACCATTAGGTCCAGCTTCTCCTTCAGGACCCGCAACTCCAGGAGGACCAGCATTACCCTTAGAACCTAGAATAAATTATTAGTATGTCATCTTATCATACCTCAGATAAATACCTTTTATTCCATCAGCTCCCGCAGCACCATCGTTTCCTGCAGCTCCCGGAGGTCCTTTGTTTCCAGTTGCACCGACATCTCCTTTTGAACCCTGAGGACCAACGGGTCCAGCGGCACCAATTGAACCTTTACTTCCCTTTTCTCCCGGAGGACCATCACTACCAGCAATTCCTGGAAGACCTTCTTTACCTGCTGGGCCACCAGGTCCTTTCGGCCCTTGTGCCCCTTGCAGGCCTTGAGGACCAATGTCACCCTTTAATCCTTTAGGGCCTGGTTTTCCAGCCTGTCCAGGACCACCTGGTGATCCCAGGGATCCCTTTATTCCTTTCGTTCCCTTATCTCCTGCAGGTCCAGCATCTCCTGGGGCTCCAGGCGAACCAGGAGGACCAACAGCACCAGCATCCCCTTTAGAACCCTTATTTCCAACAGAGCCAGCGTCACCAGCGACACCTATGAATTTTATATGTAAAAGTTACGGGATCGATATTTTTAAAATATTGGTACCTTGAGCGCCGATAGGACCAGCATCTCCGGCATCACCGGCTGCTCCAGGATCACCGACAGCTCCAGGGTTTCCACGACCACCCTGAGGTCCAATTCCGCCTTTAGCACCGGCTAGTCCTTTGTCTCCTACAGGTCCAAGAGGACCTGGAGGACCAAGAGGACCGGGCTTGCCTACTAAGCCTTTTACACCTTTATCTCCAGCTAATCCTTGAATTCCAGGACCTCCAGTGTTTCCTCTTTCACCTGCAGGTCCAAGGTCACCCTTTTCACCCTTTACCCCTTGACCTCCTGCAGCTCCTTGATCTCCATCGAGGCCTTGTGCACCTACATCACCCATATCTCCTTGGTCACCAATGGGACCATTATCACCTTTATCTCCTTGTGGGCCTCTATTTCCATCTGCACCCTTTGTTCCCTGATCTCCTGGTGCTCCTTTGTCACCTAAGAAGAATTTTGTTTGTCAGTATTGTTAGAGTATAAATATATAATTATGCTTGCCTTTTGGTCCAGCTGGTCCAACATCACCAGCACTTCCAGAACGACCATCTCGTCCAGGTGAACCACGAGCTCCAGGTTGTCCTTTATCTCCTTGTGGCCCTACTTGTCCAGAAAGCCCCTGTGGTCCACCTGGGCCTGATAGGCCATTAGGACCAGTGGATCCAATATCACCTTTTTCTCCTTTAACACCAGGTGAACCTTGGGCTCCTGGAGGACCTGCATCTCCTTTAACTCCTTGAACACCTTGAGTTCCTTTCTTTCCCTGTTCTCCTTGAAGACCAGCAGCTCCTTGTAAGCCTTTAGGTCCATCCTCTCCTTTAGATCCAGGCCTCCCTTGCGCACCATCATTTCCTGGTGGCCCTCCTGGTCCCGTGTTTCCAATAATACCTTTTGCTCCGGCCAAACCTGGAGAACCGCCAAGGCCTGCTTGGCCTTCAGGGCCAGTCGCTCCCTGATCACCAATTGGACCTTGAGGCCCTGCATTTCCACGACTACCTTGGAGACCAGGTGTGCCTTGGTCGCCTTTGGGGCCTGCATCTCCCTTTCCTCCTCTAAGTCCTTTTTCACCTTTTGGACCTTCATTTCCAATTTTTCCTTTCGCACCAACATCTCCTTTTGAGCCAATATTACCAATTTCTCCCTTGGGACCTAATATTCCGGCATCACCCTTAATTCCTTTTTGACCTGTAAAACCAGTATCTCCTCTATCTCCTGATAGTCCTTGTGAGCCAGGAGGACCTTGGTCACCAATTGGTCCGGCATCTCCCCTTGAGCCTTCAGGACCTTGACGTCCTGGAGGGCCCTGTCGACCAGAAGAACCCTTAGAACCTTTATTTCCTTGATCTCCTCTTTGACCAATTCCTCCATCTGGCCCAATTTGCCCTCTAAATCCTTTTTCTCCTTTTTCTCCTTGATCACCAAGAGGGCCACGTTGGCCTGGCGGTCCAGGTAAACCATCAGGTCCGTCAATTCCAGGAGGACCAGTCTGACCGGCAGGTCCTTGAGGGCCAGCAGGTCCATCAGGGCCAGATAAACCTGAAAATTGATATTTTTAAATTAAAACTTTAATTTACAAAACATAACAACATATACCTCTTGGTCCTTGGGAGCCTGTGGAACCTTCTGGACCATTAGGTCCTGGAGGACCTCGTTGACCTTGAGGCCCAGCATATCCCGCAGGACCCTTATCTCCAATATCTCCAGTAGGTCCTTGAGGTCCTGGATCTCCAGGCCTACCAACTGGTCCAGTATCCCCGAGTGGTCCCTGAGGACCTCTTCCTCCTAGTGACCCTGTAGGTCCTGGTGGACCGGCAGCTGGAGGGCTTCCTGGTGGACCTACATAGCAAATAAACATTGGCTAATTTAATCCCTAATATTCATATCGCTAAAAAGAGGTTGAACTTGTAATAGCAAAAGTATTGATCATCTTACCTGGTGTACTATAGCAAATAGCACCATCCTTGTAACAGGTCGAATATATCAAATCATAACCCCTTCCTGCAGACTGTCCATAAGCTATTTTGAAAAAATATTTTGTTAGAAGAATAAAGAATAAAGCAAGTAGATTAAAGAAAACATACCTCCACATATCATAGAAATAGTAACTATAAACCAAACTGGTGCACACTCCTGTAAAAATTAATATGATTAGAGAATTTATTACTTTTCAAATATTCAAAGAATTCACTTTTTATAGACAAAAACTGCAAAATTAGCATTTAAAACTTTTGGAAAATGAACTTACCATTACGTCTCTACTAGCCTTTGCTACTGGAGAACCCTCGTAAGTTCTGCCAATCCCAGGCTATTAAAAACGCAAATCGTCTTCTACTGAACTAACGAGAGATAGTTAGTGTTCAGCCCAGAATGCGGTTCCACACCGTTGATTTGACCATATCGATCAGAGGATACACCTAGATATCTCGGGAGGGAGAGATCCCGGCTCCCGTTTAATTTCAATAACCGAATAGGGCTTAAACAGGGGTAGCTATTCAAAGGACCTAGAGTATACAATCTGTATTATAATGCTATTATATTGAGCCTAAGAATAGGAAAATGTCTATGTGTGGAACTATAGCATATCAATAAAAGGCAAGAATCCATTCCAATTCATGTAAAAAGAAGTATTCTACAAACACCCTTTTTAAGAGGTTTACGCCCCCGAGAGACTATTTATGGTTCTATTTTCTGTTTCATGGGCCTACATGCTATCTGTCTATTTTCTTCCTTTGAAATGTTTTAATAGAGTTTGATCTATAGCAATTCATTCACATATTTTTAGTCTATTCAATAATGAGAATTTGACCTTTGTCGCCTATAATCAAATCTTAGTCCTAACTAGCCTGTTCGTCTGGCTCAAGTGGAATTTGAGATATTTGGGTGGTCTTAATTTTTGCAGAATTTATCGATGCATTGACTAGATATTTGCATTAAATTTATTTTAATTAACTATTGTGATGAGTTCCATTCACTAAAATGTTTTTCAATCGAAAGATCAAATAACAATTTAATTATACTGTACGATATGTTTATTGTATGAGTTTATATTATATTTATTTAATAAAAAGTGACTAGGTGGCGTCAAAGTTGCAAAAATTTTATACCTGCAGATGGCGTACGTTATTAAAAATTTAAATAATTCTTAGTAAATAAATGCAGATAAAGTGCTCGTTATCTCAACACTCAGGCAAATTGATTATTTACACAAAAAATAAGCTTGTCCATATCCAAACTAAGAATTAAGCATTCGCTTCAAACTGTCTTTCATTGTATAAGTTCGGCGCTGTTGATTAGTTAAGGTTTCGTTTGTGGTCTTTTCTTTCAACAATTCGTCACCAAATCTTTTCTTTTGCTGTTGGAAGACAGATGGTCGAGGTAATAAAGGGCGGTCGAGGGGTCCGCGAGAAACAGCTCTTCTATGTAAGTTGTTTGTGAATTTTTGTTGCTTTGATTTTGAAGACGATAGGAACTTTAGATACTGTTCCAACTCTGATTCGAGAGGCAACGAACGTAGGGCATGTGAAGCTCTATCATTTGTTTTTAATTTATTCGATCGTATCTCAGGCAAAATACTTGACGATGACTTTCGAGAAACTGCCATTTTGGACTTGAACGAGTAAACAGACGGTGACCTGTCGATGCCCTCGCAGTCCTCACCTAATTCGACTAGAGTTTGTAAGTCATCTTCGTCATAATGACTACCACGAGTATCAGATCGACGGCTCGTAGACTCTAGATTATAAAACCAACTAGGAACGTTACGATTGTTGAACATTTGTTGGTAAGAAGAAACTCGATAGACGGAGGCACGTGGCGTTGTACTAATTGATTGTAATGTAGCTTATAAAAGACTGCAAGAAAATCGCAAACAATGAGCTGTATCGAACGCAGGCCAAGTTAGTAAAAGAACCGGCGTTTCCATAATTCACCGATTTCTCTTTGGTAATAACTAATTATTGATAGCCAATTGGCAACTAATGTGTCCCTACGTCAGTTTTTCAATAAACTTGACAGCTCGATGGCAAAAAAGCGTTAAGGAGGCAATGAGGGGATGGGTCTTTCCTTAACAGTGTCGCCATCTTCTTTCGTTAAGAACGACATCTACAAGAGAATAAAATTAGACTCAAGGTTTTGTAGACAAATCCATATGAATTCAGGTCGTATCACTTACTAGAAAGCCGTTCGCAGTTCTCGAGTAGGCCGGTAAACGCCTACAATTTTCGTTCAATAACTCAAACAACAGCAGAAAAGTTGCAAAAGGTATATTGAGATTTTGAACATGAAGATCTCGACTCCACAGCTTACTCAATCTGCCCAAAGAAGAAAAAACAAGCTATAGCAAAAGGGCGTTGAACATTGTGGATATAAAAAGAAAATCCTGCTCATACCACAATACCAGACTAGAATACACAGTCTACTGCAAACACATAGTTGAAAGCGATAGAACAACACGTGCATTCGCCGTTTGCAGGTCGGCGCTGCAAACATCTGCGGAAAACGTACCGCGTGTTCGAATGGTGAGTATATATATATATATATATATATATATATATATTCTCCTTATCTCTCTCTCTCTCTCTCTCTCTCTCTAAATATATACGTAAATAGGTAAGTGTAGATATGTATAAACATATACATTTCTTGTCTAATTACCCAAGGTAAATTACGTAGTCTGATGAAGTGCAATAATATTAAGATAAATCAAAAAGCTCCTGTGAATAACTTAAACAAAAATAAAAGATGCATATCAAGTACAATATGTGATATTCTATATCTATATATAGTGTATATATATATATTGTTCACAACTTCGCCACAGTTTGGGGCTATTATACCTTAATCACGCTTTATAGGTATTTAAAGACATTTTATAATTATCTTTCGAACGATATGCGCTCTACACTATTAGATTGATATGTATTCTGCTTATACACGTAAGATATATTGTTCTTTTCAAAAAACATGTATTTTTCAGAAACGTTTTACGACGCAGTCACTCGTAAACTACAATCTGCCTATGAAATTAATATCGAGAAGGGCAAACTAGACGAATATTTCGGCTTGGGGAAAAGGTCTAACGTCTGTCTGTCTAAACATTTCGTTTAAAGTTCATAGGTAAAAAATGTATGCAAAAATTTTAGCCTATATACAGACAGGCGCAAACAGCTGTCGGCCAAAAGACAATAGAAAGCAGAGGGGAGAGCTATAAGAGAAGAGGCCGATTAGTCTGGCCTGTACTTGCATAGCATAGCGATGAGTTAAAACAAAACTATAGCAAATAAAAAATGAACAAGTTGAATCAGGATCAAGACCGATAAGCGCGGCAACGACTGGCGGCGTTGCTCTGATTAAAGAAATCGTCATTGGCAACGCGCACGTGGCCGCCTTTTATAACAAGCAAAGGCAAGTTTGAGTTTTGCTAGCGCACGTTATGGCGGACACAACATGAATCGAACGGTCGCTATGTTTCACTCGTCGTCGAGGAGCCGAAGACGAACAAGGTTAGTTACAACCCTTCCCTTTTTTCAAACAAGCTTGAATTATTTAGAATTCTGAATAAGTATAAAAGGACGGCGACCGATAATTCAATACGAGTTTTCTGTTGCTAAGTAACTAACTGAAATATGTAATTTAGATATATATGTATATATGTGCATTTATAGATATATTTTGTTTTTTTAAGTTAAATTCTTTGCTATGTAAACTATCATTGTCTCACTTGGCATAAAAAGGATATATATATATATATATAAAATATATATTCACTATATATGAATATATTAATATATATATATAGATAGATAATGTCTACGACTATAGATATGTTTTGGCTATAATTGTTATGTAGCAATAAACAAGTTCAATGAATTTTTACAGGTAAAGTATTCAGGTATAGTATTCACTGTACATAATATATATATATGTATCACAGTTGATAGGGCGTACAGAGCTGTACTAGTAAACTAAGAATTTATTCAATATACTACTCTATAAAAAGAATAAATAAAGAGAAAATATGCTTTGCTTCAATAATCTTATGTAACAAGACTGAACAAAAACATATAGCAGTCTCCACCGCCTACATGTAGCGACAAATCGCAGTTTTACAACGCCTATATAATCTTATCCTTATCTCAGATACGCCAACAATTTCTACGTTGCTGCATGCCTGAACAAATAGGTGTGTTTATATTTCGCGGGGCTAATTACGACAAACCTTGTGCACCAGCACGAGGTATATAAAAACTTTACGCAATCAGACTAAAATTATGCTTGTTTTTCCTTCTCTCCTTACAGACGAATGAGGAAATGAAAAAACTAGGCTGCTATGAATTTCTTAGAGGTAAAAGAATTCCCAGCACATGCTTCAATTCTGTTGCCTATTTCCCTCTTTATTGAGGATTTGAGAACGGGATGCTCAGCAGTGGTCACTCAAAAATTTAGACAGTGAACACAGCTGGTGGTATCTCTTTCTCATTTTCTCCCTCTCAACATTAAATTGCATCATAACTTTTACGCACGAGATTCGCTAAACTGCTTCACTAAGACCGTACTAGACGATGCATCGAACAGGAGCATCTAGTTAAATGCATTTTCTGGTATGCAACTTAGTCAGGAGCGCTGGCCAGCTGCCATGGCAGTGTGTTTAGCTGGTTGTAAAAATTGTTTGTCAACAACCAGTGACGCCACTGGCCTGGAACCCGAGCCTTCTCGCGACCTAGCAAAAATGTACCCTAATTTTTTTTGCTTATTGTGCACTCTTTCGATATTAGACTTTCAAAGAAATAGGTACTCACAAGCGCCCTTTATCCCGAAAAGTATCTAAATACAATACTTTCACGCATCGGTGAAGGGGTAAACGTGTGCTCTCCGTTTCTACTTTTCCATCATAAAATGGACAATCTTCGTTTAAAATCCAGAGCTAAAAGACTTTTTAATTCAAAAACAACATTTCTCTTGGAATTGAAAAACAAAACTTACCAATAGCTTGGCCTGAATTTTTCCATTTGGAAGGGGACATTCTATCACAATCCTATGTGATTCAGACTCTTCAACTAAACGACAAATAATATCGGCTATTGTATACGCATCAAATCGTCGTTGTCTGGGGGAAAAATTAATCCGTCAATTGGTATTTAAAAGAGATTGTCTTTGAGAAAAACTAACCTTGAATTTTGGGTATCATTTACCACAACGGCACTTCTGTAGAATTTTACGGCTTCTTTGATAATACTATCAACTGGAATTTAGGTCAAGAATATTAATGATAATTGAAACGTTAAAACCAGGCTTAGGAGAAACGAGAAGCAGTACCATTATTTTTGCAACCTATGGTTGATCTGCATCGGCAACAAGATACGTCATTTTCATTTGTTTTTCCTTCTTCTAACGTCTCATTATAAGAATAAACTTGTTTAGAAACACAAAAGTAGAATTGAGATATCAACACATTATCTCCAGGGGTTAATTGAGTGTTCTAATAAAAATAGCCTTTGAATTAGTAGAGTTTCTGGCAATATCAGACAGTTATTATTTAACTTTGATGTTACCTTGAAATCATCGCCTTCGTCGTGGCAAAACCACATATCAGTACTTTCTCCCCAATTATTTTCAGGTAAGGGGAAAACGTTTCGAAAACTATAAATAAAATATGTACAGAAGAATAAAATATCTTTATTTTGTATGGGAAATAGGATCAACTATGCTTACCGAGTAAGAGGTATAATAATATTTCTACAATTAGCACAAATAGTCTCGAAATAGTCATTTAGCCACAATAGAGTTGATTGTTTTCTGCTTTTTATTACTTTTAGATCAATAGTAAACTCGAATGAACAGGTTATTTCAAGTAGTAGAGGATTGCTTCCTGTTTTAGATATTTGCACTTTTTTCTTTAGTTGAAAATTCAAATTATTGAAAACTATTTCTTGTCTCTTAGAATTATCATCTTTGTCGTAATATTCTATAAGAAATCGGTCTTTATGAATAAAGAGGGATTCGACAATTCTGTAAAGAGCGATATTATATTCTTATAATCTAAATATTTGAAGTAAAGTTAAAAAGCTAGACCAACCTATAATTAGAAAAAGTGACATATATATAAGCCACTTTTAAATTTGGATTAAGATCTCCATACACGCTTAATTTTGCCATTTTAGATAATTTTCAAAATAATATTCTTATAAACCGGTCTATTATGGACTATGCTAGTAGACTGTTAGTACGAAATATTTTAGTTTATTAGAAATAGTAAACTGGTAAAGTATGTTTTACTGCTGACGCTGTCGCTGAAGCAATCGAACTTTGCATCGAAACCATGATAATTTTAAAAAGAAATCATGCTGTTTAAAACCGGCGACCTACATTTCATGGGTAAGGTCAAAAAAAATGTAATTATACTTTATATGTGAATGTCATTTTGTTTTTTAATTATTTTGTTTATTTAAATATAAAATTGTTGCATTTCTTATATATTTCAGAATTCCATAGCAGGAAGGAAAACTTATTTACAATCCCAATGATGTCTTATTGAGGATCAATTATGCCTTCTGAAAATCCCAAGAATTCATCTCCTAACAAGGAGAGCGTAAAAATCACCCATAGTCCTATTAGAGATGATCTCAGAGCAATATTATTATTGATGTTGCTTTATCTTCTACAAGGGATACCATTAGGAGTAGCATCTTCTGTTCAATATATGCTAAGAACCAGACATATTGGTTATAAACAGCAAGCCATATTTAGTTTATCAGATTGGCCATATAGTTTAAAACTATTTTGGGCTCCTTTTGTGGATTCTGTATTTTTTAAAAGAATTGGTCGCCGAAAGTCGTGGTTAGGTCCAGTTCAGGTTTTAATAGCTATTGCTCTTTGGTTATTATCGTTAGAAGTTGGGGATCTTTTGGGTCCAGAAAATGGTGATAAAGAAATAAATGTGATTCTTCTCGCACTTATATTCTTCACATTGACTTTTCTTGCTGCCACTCAGGATATCGTTGTAGATGGATGGGCCTTGAACATGCTCTCAAAGTATGTTTAATATTTTTTTCTCTTTTGTGTATATCACTTATAATTAAGTTATTTGCCATTTAACTTAATATTATTATACAAATTACTTTCCTACGAAGAATTTCACTATACCAAATTAATCAATAAATAAAGCTGTCATATATATAATTCTCTACCAATATCACTAAAATGATCGCCAGTTTGTTAAAGAAACAAAAGCGTACTGCCACTCAGCTTTATTTAAAAAAAAAAGGTTAGAAAAGGTGGTCGAATAGTACGTGCTAAGAAATTTTACCACATTTCGCAAGGGATAGCTAAGAATTTTAAACATATTTAAGACATATGTCAGTCGTAATACTCATTTCTGGTAAACCGCCGTAATGTTAGAATTATAAATTATATACCTATAACACCTTCTTTCTTTTTTATATTTTAGGCGTAATGTCGGTTGGGCTTCAACATGCAATACTGTTGGTCAATCAACTGGATATTTTATATCCAATGCTTTATTTTTAGCTTTAGAATCCTCTTCATTTTGTAACGCTCACTTGAGGAGTGTTCCAAACTCAAATGGCATTTGGAATTTAAAAGGTTGAAAAGCACATAGATTTCTTTAGTATTTCGTAAATGTATTTTATTGATTTATGAATTGAAACTATAGTCTTTTTTCTATAGGTTTTTTACAAACATGGGCAATTATCTACGTAATCGTTACGATTCTGGTTCTCATTCTAAAGCGAGAGAAGAAGCCGCAAGTTGCTGTTTCTAGTGTCAACAAGTCCTATTCACAATTGTGTAAAATTCTAACTCATCCTCCTGTAAAGCAAATTGTCTTCCTTCATTTAACGTCAAAAGTTGGTTATGCCGCAACAGAAATCTTAACCAATTTAAGACTCATAGACGCTGGTGTGCCCAGGCACAATTTGGCATTGATGAGTATGCCAATGGTTCCAATAAATATTATTCTACCATTGGCCTTAAGTAAATTAGTAGCTGGTCCAAGACCATTTACAGTTTTCTTAAAGAGTCTACCACCCAGGTTATTGCTATACATTGACATTTTCAATCAATACAATTCTTTTGTTAAACAGGTTATTGATGTGTCTAGGACTTGCAGGAGTCGTTTATTGGGCAAAAGTATTGAACGTAACGGACGGGGTGTTTCCTTCAAAGTTTTACTTTGCTCTCTTTATCGTACAAGCTCTATATCAGACTACAGCATATGCGTGCACAGTTGGCACCATTGGCTTTCATTGTAAGGTTGCAGATCCCGGTATAGGTGGAACTTATATGACATTACTTAATACTGCAACTAACTTAGGTAAGAAAACACTAACCTAACACTTAATAAATACTTCACTCATAAAGCCCTTCTGCAAAATAATTGTAAAAATATTAAGATTTTCTTTTACCGTCGTAGGTTTTATTTGGCCATCAACTTTGGGAATCTATATAGTTGACTTATTGTCTGATAAGCAATGTAAAAATACTGAAGGAGGTTATTGTTATAATCAACAACAAATACAGGCTAGTAAAAGAATAGTCCATAACTCTAACAAAATTTAGACAAGTGGGCAAAGTAATCAACTTTCGCTTATTTTTTTTTGTTTTCATATAGAAATGTGTTGAAAGAGGAGGCGAATGTCGAACTCTAATTGATGGATTTTATATTGAGGTTATTATGGGAATACTTTTGGGTTGCGTATGGCTAAAACTGTTTTATAGGAAAGCTGAAAAATTGCAGGATCTAGCCAGTGAAGATTGGCAAGTCGGTGCTTAAAATTTTTGCTGATTATAATTTCTTTTCGAAAAATCCTGTTATTTTCATAAGTATCTAGTCGGCGCCGTTTCTATTATGTGATAACTGCATAAATTAAATCACATTCCGCTGTTTCAATATTTTATGTTGCCATTCTTTATTCTAAGTCCAATTATGTTCGTGCAATACATTGGACTAAATACAGTGATATAAGTTCTGAACAGAATTGCACTCATCGTTTGGCTATATAACCAAATGACAATTTTAGAATGATATAAAACAAAATAAACACCGAAATACTATACTACGTAAATGTAACAACTATTTGAGAATAAACTTGTTCAGAAAGAAGAAAGTTAGGCCGACGAAAGCTAAAATTGTCAAATATGCAATTTAATGTCAATAGTCTAATTAAAATTCATAGAATCAATCACGCTCAATTTTGATATGAAAAATTTAACTCATTTCATATGACTTTTAGAAGTTTGTTTCATTTTTATTAATTCTAATATGAACAGAACATATATATATCTATAAACTATATATACTGTACAAGTGTCTGTAGATTGTCAGAGAATAACGGCCTACTGATGACAACGGCCAGTCCTTTTTAAGTAAAAACAAGTTTGGTAACCTGATTTCTAAATGTCTCATTAGTTCAACAAAAACGTATTTTGAGATAAAAGGAAAAAAGGATGTTTGAGGTATATTTACAAAACTTTTTGGATTTTATAGTTTCATTTATCAATCAATGTTCCTCTAGGTTTCAATTTTTTAGAATCACTTTCGCCCTGTAGATAATTTATAGTTTAAATATAATGTGATATTGTCTTATTATAGATAGATATTAATACCTCTTGCTGCATCATTTTTGATAAGCCTTTCCTCTTTAGCTGTTTTTCAATAACCTTTGCATTCATCATATAGGAATCAGCAACTTCTTTCTGCAAGTGGATAATGGAAATATTAATATATCATTTAAAATGCTTCGATGAAAACTCTTCACTCACAGCCTCCAATTCTTCCTCTTCTTCATCAATAGTAGATACTGTAACAGAGCTGAATTTTCCCATATTTTTAGTATGCCTCGTAACCATGACTTTTTTAGGTTCAGCAAATTTAGCACTTTTAAAATTTCCAGGGCCTTCACTTTTCAATGCACCATCAACGATAAATGTCACTTGATCATTATCTTGATGTCTATAATATAAGAGCAAACCACAGGAAGTACATTTTCTTCTATATTGCCTTTCAACACCTGGAAAAGAGATATTTGCTATCTTTGAAAGCTTTCTGATAAAAAGTAAAACCTTCTTCTCCTCTCCTGATGTAAGCCGTTTCATCTGCATCACTAAATATCTTATGAGCATGTTTATTTGAAGAAATCACTCTGGCGTTATCTCTCTTCCTCATCGGCAATTTTTCTATTATACAATCTAATAAAATAAATAGATTCAAATAATTAAATGGATAAATGGGACATAGAATAGACTATTAAATAATCAAACGTCTTTTGAACGTTGCTCGAAATTAAAGACTCACCTAAAATTAGAGACATTTTCCCGCACAAACAATAATATACATTTAAGGGCTCTTCGCCTTTATACTCTTCTTTATTTGACGAATCTTGACTTATTAAATTCATTTGAGTTTGATCATACTTTGAAATTGTGTGTTTCTTGCGCGAATCCATGATTTAAAAATAAGTGAGAAGACTAAGAGTATTGCTAAATAGCAACTGGTGAACACAACAACGGACTTTTGACGCAGTTTTCTTTAATAAATAAGAACATTATTTAAAATATTTAAAGATATTAATTTATTTATTAGTTATTCAACTAACATAATATTAACTATTACATTATAATATTAAAGATATTTATTAATTATTTTATTGTTAATTTTTTCGAGAAACATTTGAAATGTTAACACCAAAAAGTGGGACAAGGTTATGAATCATTTTCACTGATTGAATAAAATCATTCAAAACAAATGGTTCATAAATTCTTTCAACACAAAAATGTACTTTTTCCTTAAGAAAAAGTAAAAGTATTATCTCTTTTGAAACGACAAAATCAGAATTTCTGTAACACTCACTTTGGAGAATTAAACAAACTTTGCAAAAATGGACATAAAAAGCTTTAGACCCTGTTTTCAGGGAAATGATGGACGGTTAAGAATAGACAGACGGTGTTTTACTTTCACAACAATTAAATTAACAATCCATTAATGAAGAAAAGATATATGATTTGTTAAAAATAAATAATAACTCATTTTCATTTTCTTTGCCTAGGATTACCATTTTGGGATATCTCTTTTGATGATAGATTAAGACAGTTCTTGTCAATTTTGATTTTGTAATAAATGTTTTCTTTCCACAAGGTAACTTGTTAATTTTGATGGAAAATCAGTCATAACACCGTCTATAGGTAATCGAAATGCCTTTTCAAATTGTTCCTCTTCATTTAAAACCCATAGATAAATTTGTATGCCTCTTCTTTGTAAATGTCGTAGAAAATAGCGATTTAAGAGGAGACAATCAAGAATCTTAATCATTACTCTTTGATATCCAACAAATCTATCTTGAAGTATTGATGGCATAATAACTTCAAAGAAAGATTCTTTAATTGGTAGAAACGGTAGCAAACCTATATAAAAACTTAGAGTCAGAAGGGCTACCTTTGGAGCTGAGAATAACAAGCCGATGTTAGGATTGGCTTTGTAGCATTTATTTGTAACATTTCTTCCAAAATTTCCCCATACTGTAAGGTTTTCCCTTTTGTATGACACTATCAAACTGTTAACTTTTTCAATTAAAAGGTCATTATCTGTCTTAATATCAATGTTAATTGGAATATTTGGATACTTTTCAAAAACCTCCTCCAAAGTAATGATTGTCCTCTCCTGTGTAGCATCCTCAGAACAGGTTGTAATATGAGATCTATCGAAATCTAGAGGCAATCTTGTTTTGATGAGAGGAAGCTCTTCAAATTTAAAATCTGAGACATAAGCATTTACACCAGTTTTTCTCTCCAAATTAGAATCATGGCTGACTACAACTACCCCATCGCTAGTGAGCTGAACATCTAACTCAATCATATCTGTTTTGTTATTAATTGCATTTTCAAAAGCTGGCATAGTATTTTCTAATCGCTCTCCAGCTCCTCCTCTATGACTTATATGTCTGGCCTTAAAGTAGTGTTTCTTCCGCTTATGTAAAATCCATGGAAATCGAAGTAACAATAAAGATGATGAAACATAAACAAAGGCTATCGAGAATGCTATCATTCCAGCTATAAACTCTTTGGATGAGAAATCTATTTTCTCAGTCATGCAGCAGATGCAATTTATTAAGAAAACTGGTTTTTACAATATTAATTTCCGTTTCCGTCAGATTTAACGTAGGAGAGTGATTTTCAGATCGATGCAAAATCATTGAATATGGTCTTGAGCCAATTATGAAAAAAATGCTATGATCGCATCGCATGTTTAAAAAATTTGTCTAACTTATCTTCACTTATAACGTTTAGAAAAGATGTCAAATGTAAACTCTTGGTGCCTCTTATCACGTTTTAGTTCGAAGGAAAAATATACCTTTTGCAGACGATATTGTAAAACATACTTTTCTCTCTTGTTTGCAGACGACAAAGTTCAAAAAGCAACTCTTCGCAGAAACGAAAAATTATGAGGCAGTCATCAGTGGCAGTGTCAGATGCAGCTTTAGCATCTGTTTTATTTCACAGCTCAATGAGAGTTTATAATCAGAGTATATTTGCTAGTTGCGGCATAATGATTGCAGCAATTGCTGCTAGCTTAGGTACATTAAAGTTTTCAGCCTACTCCCCGAATCCTTCTTTGATAAAACTTCATCAATACATGTCCTATGGAGCAAGAGTTTATGGAATGATGCTGATAGGTATTGGATTTTTGAGGCTTCATTATTATTATTTGCTTTCAACCTTGTATTTAATGTTGATGCTAATATGCATAATTATCCGAGTGCTAAGCAGGTCTATTGGCCATGCAGCATTAGAAGCAATGAGTATTTCATCGGTTGTTGTTATTGCCTGTTTGTCATTTTTTAGTTGGAATACTTATGCACTTTTCGGTTGTTTTATGTTTGGGATGGCGGCGTTGGCTGGAGATGAAGGAACATTTGTTCGCGTTCTTCGAGTTAATATTTTCCACTACGCTGTTCTAGTTGCTCATTTATCAATAATGCTAAGTTTCGAGCATTATCGGACGAAAAATATGGATACAGTATTCTAATACGACTCTCTCAAAAGGAACTTAAACCAAATCTGTCCCATCTATAAAGTGATATTCATTCACATCCTAGAACATTCAATAAAATATTTGTTAAATATTCCCTCTAAGTTATTTCAAATTTTGTTTTGTACTTAGAATTTTCTTAGACTTTAGAGCACAGAAATCTTTTCTAAATTTTCATTTTTCAAAACCAAAAACGAATAAATCGTAACTTTTTTCAATTGTCTCTTTAAAATTTACATTGATTAATAAATACATAACTATAATAATCATTTAATTTGAATATTATCTATAGAAGCCTTTTAATTCTTTTAACATTTAAATATGAATATTTTACGAAATAATCCTAACCGACTCCAACGCCAAGCCAGATTTAGTAAGAACAAAATGGCTGATTGGTTTTTGTAAAGGAGCATTTCGGTTTATTTCATTTATTGCTATTATATTCAAGATGGATCACTTCTTTCTAAATCACGAAACAGTATTAAATGTAAGAGATATAGACCAAATAATTAAACTGTTTATTGAAAATTAGTTTCCTTTTTTTAAACATATTATATCTTATCCAGAATCAGCGCGACAGAGATCAATTAATAGAACCTATTAACGATACACAGTCATTTGATAATTTTTCGGATATTGATGAATTTAATGATGAAACTTTTGGAACACAGATCGACAGTAATTTTTTTAATTTTGTCCCGATTTTTTTTACTAATAAAGCATGTAATTAAACAGACACGGAGTTCGATTTTGAAGGACAGACGCAAGTTTTTGATAGGATGAAATTTGCTGGACAAACAAGAGAACCATCTCCACCGGTAAAGTAACAATTAATTTTCTATCTAATAATGAGTTGATGAAAATTTGAAAACATTAGGATATGCGTTCTGAAATTGAGAGGACGATGTCGGATATTCTAGTAGATGATGACATAGACGATCCAGCAATTATGAATATGTCAAAATCTACTCCAATTTACAAAGTAAATATTTCAGAAATTTCGATGATAAATGTAATTTATAGATCAATTTTTTTGCAGAGAAATAGAATAGCTGAGATTACTTCTAGTACACCTCCTGATCCCAGCATATTAAACTCTGTTGAATTACAAAAAATTTGGAATAGACCTGATATTATGTCTGATGGAGATAGAAATAGACAAAGTTTAAATCATAATATTTTATCCCAAATTGCTCAGGTACTAAAATCCTAAAAATTTTAAACTAGATAGTTTCATCAATTTTATCTATAATTATTAAATTTATTATATATCTTAATAATGAGTAAATGTCAGCAATACTCAATGTTAATTCTTTTGTTAGACCAGTCGACCAGCTCTGTCAAGAGACCTCCCAAACGCACTAACCCTTGACGAAATAGAAAATGGAAAATCTAGCCTCCCATCTAAGAATATCCATGCTGCAGTTCCAACAAATATTCCTATGTTTAATGATTCACCTAGGCCAAATATTAATGTTCCTCCGCCTCCGAATCTGAGAATGCCTCCAGTTCGTCTGAATGTTCGTCCTCCAACAAGAGTACTGTACACATATTTATCGACAATTATCTTTGTTCATGAGTTTTTACATACTTTCTAGAAGCCTACTGGACAACCTATTTTACCACCTGTTCCACCTGGTATCCCATTTGGCGGTTCCAGAGTGTCGGGATCTCCACTACAAGGTTTTAGACCACCCATGCCTATGCATAATCGCTTAATTTTCAATAGAATGGTGCGCCCACTTCCTCCACCAGGTCATCATGACATGTAAGTTATTCAGAAAAACCTTAGTTGTTTACTCTAAGACTATTTATCATCAGGACTATGAATCGACATATAAGACCAATGGCCCCTCCGCAACTCTATAATCATCGCATGCATCATGATGATACGAATTTCGAAGATGAGCCAGTTAGCTTAATGACTCAAAGGGAAAAAGATTGGATTGTTAAAGTACAGCTTATGCAATTGCACACGGATAATCCTTACACTGATGATTACTATTATACACACTGGAGAATGAAACAAGAAAACTCTCAAGATACCCCTCAATTAGTTGTTCCTAATCTAAGTAGACCGGATGAAGACAAGTACGAACCAAAGCAATTCGATAATGCTCTGGGTAGATTAACTTCTTCATCTGTTCATAATCCTCGACAAGTTCTTGATGTTGGTGATGCATCTAACAAACAAAATAGTAGTTCGAGCGTTCGACGATTTAAGCAGTTGTTGCTTATTGTTGAAAATTCTTATACTGCTATGCTAGACGTTATGGAATTAGAGATGCAGGCTCTTTGTGTTCCGCCAAACGCTAGAGAAAAATTAAATGAGGCCAGAGAGAAGACGCTAAAAGCTATCGTTAATAAACTTGGGGTTTTCAATAATAGCTGTGATGTCTTGAAATTGGTGTTGGGTGTTCGAAAAGGTCGATCTTTAATACGACGTTTGATACCGCTTATAAGTAAAGAAGACAGAATTTTGCTTATAAACACAACTTTAACCTGTTTAAGTACCATTCCCGATGACAAATTTCTGTTAGACGATCTAAAAAAAGCCATTCTAAAGGAAAGCTCCGCAGCTGCCTTGGAAATGTTTGTAAAGACTTTGGAAGTAGCATCTTTTCAACTTGTGGTCAAAACTAAGCGCTTAGCTGACATTTTATGGTCAATAATATTTAGAATAGAAGAATTGATATGTGACGGACAAATTACGAGTGATACTTGGTAAATACCATTTTATTGCTGTTTTTTTTGTACATTTCTCATTAATTCTTCTTTAACTTTAGGCAAAAACAAATGGTACATATATCTACAGCTATAAGCAATTCAAAAGAAGTTGAAGTTGATAAAAATATGGCCCCTAAAATTTTAATACACTTTAAAAGATTCGGTTTAGATAAAATTGAACCATAGAGATGAGTAGAAAGTATGATAGAAAATAAAGTTATCAATAGAAGTTTGTTTAATGGAAGCAGGTATATTTCAGAGTTTATACATGTGTGATTTATTTTGTTTCTCTTTATGCCAGTAAATATACTTTAAAGTCCAAAATTTTGAAGGGCTTATAATTAATTATATGTTGTGAAAGATTATTGTCTAAACAGTACATTACACATGTGTTTTTCGAAGTACTGTTTATATTTATGTGGCTAATTTTTTTTTAAATATTAAAATGTATTTATTTTTTTTTTCATGTTTTTTTGACTCTTAAATACGCTGAAAGCACAAAAAAAGTATGTAAAATATTATTATGACTACTTATTTGTAATTATATATATTATTATATTAAGAGATCTATTGAAGCAATTGTTATAGTTATCAAAGTATACTAATAAAGAAAAAAGAGTCACATTTGTTTTCATCTTGTCAAAGAGTAAATTGTTGAGTTTGTTTTATTGGAAGCATTTTGATTAAAAAAAATTCCTAAATATTAATTGCTTAATTTGTTTTAATAGCTAAATATAGCATTTATATTAATGTAATTTTTTTTACCTAATATCTCTTAAGTACATATCTCGTTATTAATGAATTGTATTCTGTTTTCTCTAACATTCAACATCTTCAGATATATAAATATATATATATATATATATAGTAAATATCAAAAACTGATTTTCTCATTGTAAACCCACGACAGCCCTTTAAGTAAACTAATAAACTAAATATTTAACATTCGTCATCATCATTTATCAAATTCCAAGGTCTATCGGTAAACAAAGGATCAACTGGAGGATCCCTATTAGTTCTTTTCCCACTTTTCGGTCTTGCTTTAGGTTGGCGTTGGACTGGAGCTGGTCTTGAAGTATTTAAGTCGAGAGCATATGTACCATTGCCATTAGTAACTGCCCATGAAGGTCTTTCTCCTGTATATTTATTTATATCCCCTGTCGTTACAGATTTCGATCGCTAAATTGTTCAAGAATAAAATAAAACCATTATTCAAATACAAAATCATATAAAACGGCATAAATAGTCAACTTACGGGAATTTGGACATGTTTTCCGGTATTTACTCTTTTCGAAATACTTTCTTGGTTGAAATATTTCCCAGTTTCTCGTCTATTAATAGGTTTAAGCATGTTTTTTTTTAACAACATATATAGTTTCATTAAATTTGAAATACAAACAATTTTTTAACTATGCCAACTTCATCCTTATTATCAAGATAATTGTTTCTCCAAATATCCTTGGGAACGGGATCACTTCCCTTCCATGGTGGTCTACTGGCGGAAGACGATCGCGCTTCTCTCGCTGTATTCGGTTTCGATTGGCTTATTGGAGTTCTCGGGGTTCTTGAGCTCTTAGGCTTTATTGGTGTCATACATTTCAAAGTTATTATATTCTCTATATATTGACGTTTCCATACACCTTAATGATTAAACACAAAAAATTCAGTTGCAAAATAATAAGTAGTAACAAATATTACCTATTTCATATGGATCCGGCGTAAAAGGCAGCATCCAACCAAGCTTTATACATTTCGGCATCCATATCTGATCTAATTCTGTAATATTCTTCCAATGCCATGATACCTATAAGTCAAATATTGATTAAAAATATCGCTTTATTTTTCGAATTGGGTTTGAAACCTGAGAACATCTGCATAAACTTCGAGGATCAAGAAAAGAAAATATATAAATGGATAAAACTCTTGGCAGTGCTGCCGTAAAATCCATTTTTTTCACTGGTTTTGACTTTCCTACAATTTCATCTAGATATTCCAATTGTTTCGGCTTGCATTTTAGTACCAATTCGTCAAGTATAATTTTTCGTTGAACATCTGACCATTTATCAAACTGTATTTAACAAAATTTACACCAATTGGTTGAAATCATATTAGAATTTTAAGTGATATATTACCCAAATGTTAACCAAGTGTCTTCTTTCGTCGAATAGCTAAAAATATAAATTACTTTCAATGTAATATTTTTATCAAAATTATAAAGCAATTAGTTGAAAATGTGGCGGTAAGTGTTAAAAAAGCCTATGAAAATCCAGTTTAGTCTCACTTTATTGTTAGTTTCAGTATTGTTCAAAGGTGTCCAAGAACTTTTAAGACGATTCTTCGCCATAGCAGTCATTTTCCCGGGATTTCCAGATGGAATATCGTTCAGACTTGCATCGGCTTGTTTATGTCGCCATCTTTGTTATGGAAACATATTTTGCGATAGTTGGCGCTTGAAACCAGTTTTCGCTACTTACCAGTTTTCAAGGCAGATTTCTACATTATGACAAACATATTTTTTACCTTATTATTTTTCGAAGTTTTTACTCCGTTGTAGTCATGAATATTACATCGTCAAATCCAGATTTTGAAAGGAGAGATTCAAAGGACTCTATGTGTGGGTCCTTGAAAGACAACGCGGCTCCAATGCTTTTATATTCTCCAATTGGTTACGAGAGCGATCAAAGTCTATCAGGTGATATCCCCTCTATAGTAGTCAGTTCTCATACCAATCAAAGAATGGTTGAAAATTTTTCACAAATATCGAAACCGTCCGATCTTAATCCAGATCCAAATTCCGTGAAAGATTTCCGAACAGCCTGCTCGTATTTGGTTAATGTTACAGCAATGGTTAATACAGCATACATTACATTAGGTAGATTGGTTAAACAAATTGGAACTGGTCGAGATAATATTACTGTTCGAGACAAAATACACCAAACTAGTTCTACAACGAATACCTTAATTGGTTCGACGAAGTTACTTTTTGAAAAAGTCAGAGGATTTAATTTGGTAGATGGAACTGAAAGGGACAGCTGGATTAAACTCAAGGATGACTTTAAAGGAACTGTACAAAGCTATCATGACATGCAGGAACTAGTCGCTCGTAAAATGAAACAAGCCCCTCCACTAGCCAGTCAAAAAGCAGCTATGGAAGATCTTCTCCGTTGGAATGACTCTTCAGATGAAGAAGAACAATTAGAGGTACGTGAAAAAGTAAATCAGATTGGAGGTCTACACGGAGAAAACTCATTCGTAAATGAGCATAATAATAGAATTCTTCAAATGGAAGCCGATATTGTTGATGTTAACGAGGTTTTTAACGAGACGCCTAATGTTCAACCGTCGAAGGTGTCATGTGTTCCGGCGAGTGAAAGCACTCCACTTCTTCAGAGCAACTCCTCAGAAATACGTGTATCAGGGAGTAGCAGAATAAGCCGAAAAGTAAAAATCGGTTTGGTTATTACTTGCCTATTCTTAATTATTATATTTGTTGCTGTGCTGTTACTTGTTTTAGTCTTTCACTTTTAGGATTGCGATTCAAGCACTTGAGATTTTACATAATGATATTAAATATCTATATCTTTTTTCTTGTAGTTATATCCTGCCAATACCTCCATTCAATTCTGCTTTATTTTTATATAATTCACCTATTAGAATCTCAGATATGCGTGTACAGATATATAAATATTCCAATTTAATCTTTTTTGTTCCTTTCTCACTCTCTCTCTCTCTTTCTCTCATACTATAAGCTATCTTAATAGTATGTTTTCATTTATTATCATATATTTAGTGTAAAATTTATCTCCTCATTAAGAATTTTACTAAGGTTATCCGACTATACAGTAGTTTTAGAAGAGAAAAACCAGCAATTTTTAAATTCCTAGCTAGACTTAAAAGAAAATGTTAAAAAATATGTATACTCTTTGGTGGAATAAGCTTATCTTTATGGTTACTCTTGTATAAAAGACCTATTAGTTATTAAAGCAAGTTAATGTCTTTGCACTTGTTAAGTATATTATGGAAAGATTGAAAAATGGGGAAAGAAGATGATTTGTAAATTATTGCTATTTATAAAATTCAGTATTTAAGAATTTAAGATCACGTTTAACTTTATGAAATTATCTTTCAAGATGTGAAAAAATGTGAAAATTTGTCTCAATGAAGTTTTTATTTATTTGTTGAATTATAACTTTTGTTGTAAGGAAATCTTTAGGAAAATTTAAAAGATGGGAATTCAATGTATGTTTTATTAGTATATTGCATTTTTATTCTAATGTTCATGTACAGAATATTTAGTAGTTTCTTTAATAATCTTTATAATAATATTGTATTCATAATGTTATCACTAATGTTTGTTAATGTAAGGCTTAATGTTATAGATTCAATTGGGTTATGGGTGCTTCATCTTATTCAGATTAGGATTACTGTCAAAATATGGTTTTTAAAAATATCTACTATCTGCTTAAATACTAAAATTTATTCAATTTTCTTGTTTGTTTCTTTGTTATCATTTAGGAATATTATGTACCAATTACACACCATGTTTACTTTACAACTACTAACGTATTTATATAAATAATGATTTTATTAATTATTAAACAATAAATCTTTTTGGATCACTATCAATAATTTAAATGATTTCTTATTGAATTTATCATTCTATTGATTTTCTATCCTAAATTGTTATGTTATTCTGAAACTACTAAAGTAAAAATTAACTCAGTAGTTTCCGCACAATCGGAAGCGGAAATTGAAATATCCACTAGATGGCGAAATGTAATGGCGCTTAGTGAATGATGTGGACAGATGAAGATATAAACGATGTTACGAATGGCTTGACAGCCGATACAACTGTAGATCAAGGACCGCAAATTAAGAGAACTAGTTTTAACTTTATTTATATACAATGCTGTAAGTAATTAGCTTTTGTTAATTAAGAATGAATGTTCTCTTCATATTTGATTTGTATACGATTAGATTTTGTGACTATCGCAACGATATTAGGAACTGGAATATTGGGTAACTATTATAAAAACTATAATTAGTTTATAAAAGTATCACTAAACGTTTTAAAATATTTATACAGGTCTACCAGTAACTTTAACCCAATCTGGAATCTATCCCTTTCTAATTCTCTTCATATTAGGTTGCGTTGTCCAGGTAATTGGATCATTTTAAATATCTTATCTATATTACGTAACAATGATTATGTAATTAAAAAAACCTAGTACTTTGCCTTGTTTTTCGTTTACATATTTATAGAACAACATTGGAGTTTCAAACTATTGTTTTGGCTTATTTTCAGGCTATCCTCATAGTTATCTTTACAGAAATCCTACAAAAAGCGCAAATTGCCTTAATATCCACTCATAAATCTAGCCGAGCAGAGTCTGCTCCTCTCTATACCGTAGACGAGGATGAAAGTCCTGCAGAGGATGAAGTTGATGATCTCACGCCAAGTCATGTGCAAGCGCCAAATCTGCATGCATTAGGCAATCTCTTTTTGCCGTGTGTAGTTCGCCAATGTTTTGATGGTGCAGTCTATATCCAATTTATTGCTTTATTGACAAGCTATGCTTTAGCAGGCTCTGAAGCTTTCGCACAATTGATTGGCATTCGGTTAGTATCAGTTCTGTAAACTCTTAGAACTACTTAATACTTATCTTAAAACTGTAGCTTCTTCTATGTCATTCCTTTATTTGTCTGGGTTTTGACATTCGCAATAATTTTTGGGCTGAACTTTATCCAACCAGTTGTTTCGCTTCTAACTTTAGCTAAGGGTATACTGCTGTTGGCTACTGTTGCTGTTACATTTTTTGTGGGTACATCAGTTCCCCATGACATTAGAAATGATTATACAGCTGTCGGAGAACCGTTTCTTATGGGCACTGTTGCTTTAGGAGGAGTTATCAATGTAATGCCGTTTCTTTATAATAAAATTGAAAGAAACAGACGACAAGTGTCTCGTTTTAGATTTGCAATTGTTGCTGGTTTAGTTACGTGCACAATATTGAATATATTATGGTGTTGGGCTGTTCTGGATATTGTTCCTCAAAAAGAGGCATGTTATGCTTATCAAATGGTCAATAATTCGTTTTGCAGACACAATAGTAGTCTGGAAGAGTCTGCTAGAAATGGAGAAATATCAACTATTCCTTTAACTTCTGTGATTAAACAACTCTATCCAAGTTATGGATGGGTTGCTATACTAATCAGATTATTTATTGTTATCTCAATAACAGTTTCTTACTTAACTATGGGAGCTGCGATGTTTCATACTATAAGGGGATTTGTAGCTACCCTCTCTTTGGATAGACTAAAAAACAGATGCATTTCAGACAGCAAAGTTGAAATGATAATTACATCATCTATTGGATTTTTTGGATTTTCAATTGTTTTTGTGTTTGCAATGCTCAATCCCAAAGTTAGAAATTTTCTTTTATTTTCTCTTATCTCTTTTCAACAATCTCAAACAATTTAAACTTTAATTTCAGGGATTTGAAAATATCCTAGAAAAACTTGCATCTCTTTTCATTAACTTAGAATCGGGTCTGTTTGTTACATGGATAGCCCTTGTTACCAGAACTTCCCGCTTTTCTTCTCAAAAGATCCCTAATCCGTTGGGAAGTTGTTCCTTCAAATTAGTATATACATTACCAGTGTATTTTGGTTCAGCTATTTTTTATGATATTTATAAAAGTGTGGCTGATATTTACACTCCATCGCATGCAGAGAAACTTGCTAACATGACTTCAAACTAGACCAATTGTAAGAAAGTAGTATTTATTGACAAATCAAACTTGAAAGTTCACAGTCGAATGAATAACCCCAAGTTCCATGTTTAAAGACAATATTCATATATGGAAACACGGTCAACAACATATACGTTTTATATCAAAAACTATTAAAGTATACATTGAAAACTCGAATCATTCCTCTCTTGCATTTAATAAATGCTCTGTTTCATGTTAAAACTATGATTGTTGAACATTCTCATGAAATGTATTATACATCGTGATTATTATAGACGCTAGCTATTAACTGAAAGTTTGGCAAACTTTAACGACTAAATTAGATATTGATTTTTTTAAATAATTGTCATCCTTTTAGATTTTTATTATGGGAATATGAAATTATATATTAAATTAGCTTTTTTTCCTTCCTTACTGTTTCATTAGGAGAAATAGATAAAATTCCGGGACACTTTTAGAATGTTATACGGTACAATTGCAGTCAAGTTTAACAAAAGGAAAAGCTCTCACCACGAAAAAGCTATAAACGAATTAAAAGAGTTAAGGATTCCATTTAAGTTCAGTAATAAGGGCCATAACATCTGGTCTTACTAAGGGCTGGTTTGAAGCCTGTAAATCCTTTAATAAATCCGTTTCAACTTTCATGGTTAGTAAGGCAGCTGGTGCTAATCCTAATTCTGCAAGAGTTGAATTTCCCTCCAAGTCCAAACTACTATTTTTAGGCGGGACTAAAAGTTGGAATGGCAGCCAAGAACAAGCCATGTTTAATTTCAAAAAATCAACTATATCTGACATCTTTTCGATAGCTCTAAATGTTCCTTGAAGAATTATTCCGTCCGGAAGACGAATGCGAATGCAAATGTATCTGAAATTAAATTTCGGTAAATAGTAAAGAATCGAATATACGAAAGGTAGAATAAGCAATAAAATACCTATAACGTCTGAGTTCTCTTATTCTATCTCTTTCTCTCATTTCTTTAGTTCTTAAAACTCCCAGCTTTTCGGCATTTTCTGTCAATCTCTGTTGCTCCCTTTTTATCTCCTCAGGAGAAATTGCATAAAAGTCAGGGGGTATAGACATTTGGTGAGCATGAGGACTTGAATGGAATATTTTCATGCTTCTATCTAATTCGGGCTTGATAGGTTCTGCGCCAAGGAGAACGTCTTTCGTAGAACGCATATGATCCCGGTCTTCGGCTATAAAAAGTTTGCCATAATAGTAAAATACACTTATAAACAAGTTAAAATATATTTACCTAACTCGGCAGGTATTACATAAAATTCCTCTTCAGATCCTGAAGGCCCCGGTAAATATCTAGTTTCAAATCCAACTGACTGTAGGAAAGTGTCCGCCCCTTCAATACAGATGACTCTTTCCTGGAATGCCTTATTACCAAGTCTTATTTTGCGATATTTTTCCTCAGTTGGATTATCAATAATATTATCAATATATTTACAAATAGTTTCAACACACAATTTAACTTTTTCCGAATTTTTATTCAAGGTGTATATCATCATTGCCGAAGTTATTTGCGGTTCGTCTCCCAGCTGCTGATAAAGAAATTCTTTTATCTTTTCCAATATTTCTTCTCGAGGAAGAATTTCAGGCCCAATAATTGGACAAGTAAAAAGGGCTTGTTCTATAACCGTCGGTTTATCTAATTTAATTTCCTTTCTCTCTTCAACTTTAGATCTAGCTTCTAGTGATCTTCTTTCAGCCTCCATTTCTCGTCTCACCTGAGGGATATATTTGAAATGGTACGATTCTTAAAGTAACAAACAACAGCTAGTCACCTGTAACTCTATAGATTTATGACTAGTACCAAGACTGCTCCCAGGTTTAGGATGACTATGCCTGGATAAAGCAGCTTGAGCGGCCATTCTAGATGCAGGTTCTGACTTAGCAGGTTTTTTATCAGAAACGTTTGCCTTTTTCACTTCTTCCGCTAATTTAGCATCTTCAGCTGTAAGTTTGTTTCCTTCTCCAAGCTTTTTAAATTTTATATCTATCTTTCGTTTCTCGAAAAAGCGCTTTATTGCTGCCATATTATTTTTACCTTCTAAATCCTTAATTCCCTATTCAAATGAAAAAGATAATCATTTAGCTGTATTGTGATTGTGAATAACACCTTTTTACACTTGTAACAAATAATTCATTTTCAAAGCGCCATAAAATCTTCAAAACGTACAATATACTAATAATATTTTAGATATCTTTAATATTATAAAACATCTTAATTTTAGTTATTTAATGAATAAAATGATTTACCGTTCAAAGTTCTCGACTGATGATTTTGCAATGATGTTTTAATATTTCAAAATGACGTTTTTCGGTAGTTAATAAGAATTAAGCTCCTTTTAGAACCGATATTTTGGAAATGATCGTTAAATTTACAAAAAATATTCCTAAATACAACAGATAATATTCTTCTAGTTTATGTTATATTGGGAAAAAATATCAACTTCCGGTTTATCTTGGTTGAGTTAGAACGCCATCTATTAAAATTGTTTAAATGAAAATAAAACTGTCTAAAAAGTCAAAAAATTGAATGATAACAAAATGTTGTTAAGCTTTTTGTTTCTTAAGAAAATTTCCTATCTAGATTAATTAAACAAAGGCTATTTTATTAAGCGATTTAGTCAAAAAGAAAAACTTTGCTCATCTCTTCAATCCCAAATTTAGTAACACCCATTTTGTTTGGATAATTTAGAAGAAAAAACCTTATATTTTGTTGTAAATAGAGAAAAGTTGAATCAAGAAAAAGACTGTAATATTCAATATGGTAGTTGAAATTTTTCTATTAAAAATAAAGATTATAAGTTTATTCTAAATGCCAGATTTATAGCAATTAGTTAAATTATAACCTCCCACCAGGTCTTGGATGTTGTAGAAACAATACTATTTCCCTCTGGAGTAACCCCGAAATCCATTAAAAAAAGTATTAGTCTTCTAAAATCTCTTTCTGAGGATGATTTGTCTAAACTGTTACAAAGTTTGTTATTTATTACTTATTATTAACAGAAATTGATTAATCCCAATTAAATGTTTACATCTTACTTCAGTTGTTCAGAGTCGAATATTAGGGAATCAAACACCAGACTTGACGAATCTTTCATTACCATATAACACAATAACAGAAATATACGAAGGAATAGATGACTTGTTTTCGGCTATATGTAAAATCCCAAAATCTAAATTTACTGAGCAGGTAACTTTGTAGTATTTAACAAATTTAATTAAATAACCTTAAACCTTTCAATGTAGACATTAAGGAACGAATTAAAAGCTATTAATATAGAAGAACGTTTCATAATTATAATTATCGACTACTTCCTGACAAAAGAGTATATATGATTATTTGAAACTGCATCGTTAGACAATAAATTTAAATCTTCTTAACAGCAATATTTCAATTATGAGAAAGTCAACTCATCCGAATTTTAACACATTGTCGAATTGTAAATGGAGGATAGATGTAGCTATATCTACAAGGTATCTATCTCTCTTGCTATTGTTACTAAAATATATCAAACATGTGTGACTTAAAACTATAAAATATTTTATAGTTCTTTACAAAGATCTCTACAACCTTCAATTTTAATGGAGTTAACTCTATCGAATAATGAAAAACATGTGTTCGAGGTATTGAAATCTAACAAACGATCGTTAAATAACTGATTAGAATATTTTCAGATGACATTAGAAAAATTTAACGATCTACGATTTAACGTTGCTGATATGTTAAAAAATATACTTGAGACTGAGAGCAAATTAGCTACTAGAATTTAAAGGGCATTCAATAATTTTTGACGACCAATTTCTACTATTATTTAATATTTCATTAAATAATTCCTTTTGAATAAATAAATTTGTATTGTATATTTAAATCGTTATATATACCTTTTATACTGTATTACATTCTTTGGTAATTGGCAGGTGGACTTTCGAATTGTGAAAATGTAATGGATGTGTAAATTAAAAAAACCAATACTTAAATCACATTTCTTATACGAATTTTTAATTGTGCATGAGTTGCCTTTAGGTAAAAAAAAAAACAGCCAGTAACTACGAATTTTCAAAAATAGTCTCAATACTAAGCAGCTTAAAAAAAAATGTCTATAATCCTAGTCTTTAAAAATTTAATTTCCTTTTCCATGATCAGTTTACAACTTCTTCGGACTTCTGCAGGCAATCGTTATCACCAGCTAGCTGGAGGGAATCTTGATGCGGCAAATTCCCATTGATATTCGAAACATCTGGTTTCTTTACTAAGGTTTCTTCCTCATCTACCTTCGCCTTCGCCTCCTCTTCCTCCTCCTCTCCCTGCTGCCTTCTTACAGCTGTGTCATTATCCTCTGAAATTTCAACAGTTTCGTCAGCTCCTTCAGCTTCATCTTCATCGCTGCATAAAGTTACAGGCTTTCTTTCAGCATATGACAGCTCAACTTCCTTTTTCTGCTCACTCTTGTCATCATCCCCATCGTTAGAACTTGAGTCAGCTCCCATTAACTCAGCCATTTCATCATCCCTTTTGCGCTCTAAAGCTTCTGCTTCGCTGTCTTGTTTTTCTTGGTCAACAGTGCTTTCTCTTGCAATACTCTCTTCATCATCTTCGATTCCATCCACTGATGTGGCTTGACGACTTTTGGATTCATCAATACCATGCAAGAGCCTAGCAAATGCCAACTCATTGAACAATAGTTCACTGATGTCAACCAGTAACTCTTCCTTACATTCTTGAACAGGTTTATTATTATAGCTTTCTAGGGAGTCTCGAAGAACTCTCCCAAGTTGCTTTTCAAGAGTTCTTGAGTAGGCTTCCGACGGACTGTACTTTCTTGCCGAATGTAAAATGACTTGAACCAAATAATAAAGCATTTCTGACGAGCATATATCGTATGCATGAGCTCGGATAGCACCCATTACTTCTTGCATTATATTTTTTACCTGTGTATCTAATGCAGTTGTATCAAATCCGGCAGTTTTAACAATTCTATAATCGTTAGCTCGTCGAATCGAATCATCTCTCATGGCATTATTATTAACAGTAAATTCGTGACCGAATAGTGGTGTTGGATTTCGATCACTCTCTGTTCCATCTGGTTTAGTTGTCAAGTTAACGTAGTCTTTAATTACATCTCTTAAGGAGTATAAAGCTCTCTGACGAAGGAAATCCGTATTTAATTTTTGTAACAAGCGTATAGCATCAAGTAAAAAGTGAGGACGATTTTCATTAAATGAGATTAAAGTTGCTACTTCAGAATATATTGTGTCGTGAAGAGCATTGTCACCTCCACCGTTAAGAACTCTACTTTGAGAGATGTGCTTTTCCGTTTGTGGTTCTTTCGTCATCAGTTTTGTTAATTGTCGTTGGGATTTTGTAACGTCACGCTGCTGCTGAGATAATTGAGCTAAACAATGTTGCATTGCTAACAGTACGTGTTGTTGTTGTAGGGTAGCGGTAGCATTTTCATTAGATGTTCTACCACTATTTTTTTGAAGAAGCTTTACATTTTCTGTCAGTGTATCAACTCTTTTCTTTAGCTCTTCTATATCCTTGTTAGATTGTCTGTTTATCGGTGGTGGGGGACGTGGTGGAGCTGAAGCTGCTGCTGGAATATAAAAGAGTTTATCTAAAAAATACCATAAATTTTTCTTACCGTCAATCACAAATGTATCATCGGAATGTGTTGATCCTGTACTGGCGGCAGTTCTTCTGGCTGAGTTCTCAGACCCACCCCATGTGGCAACAGTTGCACTCTGAACAGAATTTGCAGCTGCACTGGCAACTTCAGGGTCGTTTGCTACTGGAGCAACTCTTGTGTTTCTCGAATCAGTCATTCGTTTTGGTTTACTAACCATTACTTCAAAAACTTTCTTTTGGTCGCGTAATTGTTCCCTAAGGATTCTTTGCTGTCTCATTCGACCATAAACTTCATCGTTACTTGCTGTTGGTAATGGCTCCAAGAAAGTGACGCTAGTTGGAGCAGGAGGGGGAGGTTCGTTGGTGTCTTGATCTTCTCTCTCATTTTGACCCAAATAATCATTAAGAGCTAGTAATTGTCCTTCTAGTGCCATTAATCGATGCTGTTTTTGCAAAAGATCCTGCAGTTTTTCCGCAGTACCTTCGTCACCTTCATTACCCTCGGCTGTCTCTTCCTCACCCTCACTTTCATCTTCATCATTTGAAAATGTCTGAGGCGCTGCTACTGCTCCATCCTCTTCCACCTTTTCAACAGCCATTCTTAATTGTTGCAATTTCGCTTCAGCCTCTCTGAGACGTTCCAATTGAGCTCCGTTAGAGGCTGTTTCGCTTGTGCTAGTTGCCAAACTCTCGTCTCCTTCTGCTTGGTAATGATGTACCAATTCTTTAAGTTCTGACAATTTCATTTTAACCTCCTCTAATTTTTTCATTTTACTTCGAATTTCATGTTGATTATTACTCTGCTCCTGATTAGATGCTTGCGGAGATTGAGCTTGAGTTTGTCTTGAATGATTTCTGTCCGAATTCTTAATTCTTTCGGAAGATTCCATTTCTGCCGATGCTTTCAAAGCTTGAAGTTCAGATAAAAGCATATCCATATGATCCTTTTTGTTCTGCAATTCATGTAATCTTTTCTCGAGATCACTTTTACTTTCACCAACATTTCTAACATAATTTAAGCGAGCAGCAGTACCAGTAGAACTATTAGGCGTCGCAGCATTATTAGCAGGAGAAACATTCTCATTATCTGATAATGATGTGCCATCGGAAGATTGCGCATCAATATTCATACTATCTTCTGCACCAAGTTCTCTACGAAGTGCCAAAAGAGCAGCCTGACGTCCTTGAAGAGCTCTTAATTGTTCTCTTCTATGAAGAACTTGTCTCAAAAGATCGTTTTGTTCTCTAAGAGCTGTTACCTCATCAACGTCATTTCCATTCTCTACACCATTTTCATGAGCGTCCGAATCATTTTGTCTTCCTAGCAGACCTGAAAATCCTTCGACATCGGCTTCAGACCGTTGCTCACTTGGAGTGTCGGAAACAAGAAGTATTTGAGTGTATCTCTTTTCTTGCTCTTTTAATCTTTGTAGCATTTCTTCTAACTGCTGAACCCTATCGTCATCCTCGTTAACGCTCGCTGACTTCATTGTATCAAGCATGGCTGAAGTTTGCCTTATATATTGCCGAACTTGACGTAATCTATCATTTAAATGGTTTTCTTCACTTGTTTCTGAATCATTCACATTTGTTTTACGATTGATAGCGGCTGGAGAACCCTTAGTTTTTGGAATAGTTTGCTGACGCTGTTGTTGTTTAACAGGATTAGCTTTAGGCATTCGTAAACCATCAAAAGTGGAAACAGAACTATCCTCTATACCACTGCCACTCGATCGTTGACGACGTCTTCCAGAGGAGGCCATCTGGAAAATATTTTATTTTTTATAAAACGCAAAAAAGAACATTTCGTAAGCGCCATTTCAAGCAACTTGCAAGCTTCAACATGTAAAAGCAAGAATTTATATTAATCACGAGAATTGAAAATTTAAAGTCAAAGTTAGACTAGGCTAGAATTAAAAACTGATTAATTCGCACTGATTATTCATTTAAAAATACTAGCAAGAACTTAAAAGATCTCAAAAATTAATCTGAGTAAAATCTTTCGACAATAAGTCTTAAATGATTCAGAGAGATATATGTAGTTTCGAAAGGAACTAAACTGCAAACAAACCGTTTAAAACTTGAACTTAAAATTGAGTTTGAAATCGACAAAATTGCTGTTGAATTTAGTATGTAAATATCAAATTATAAAAAGCGGTCTCTAAGACAAATGAGATACGCGGTATGGCTGAAAACCGCACGGGACGATGCATTGCATAGAAAAGATTTTATTTTTCCTCACCACTTTTAGTTTTACTATCAACCATCCGCTAAATCTGCCATTGCAAAACTTCTTACCACATGATTCAAGCATGGGGAAGTTACCTGACAGGTAGAGCTTTAATAAATTGCCTCCAAGCTAGTTTTTTTAATTCAAGTATTTACTTAGATGGGAAGATTATATGCCCTGTGGCCAGAGAATTAATAATACACGATTCATAGCATTTAAAGCACCGCTTAAACGAGTAAGAATAAGACTTCCCTTATTTGTATCTTAACGAAATAGCCACATTCTTTTCATCAGAGTCTTACCAGCCAGCTACCATTAGAGCAACAGTTTAATACATCAGACCTTCTGGAGAGGCTACATAATGAAAATTTAACTATCGGTTTGGTAATTGACCTTACTAACACCACACGTTATTATTGCCCAAGTGTATGTATCTTGAAAGTACTCAGACGTATCGAATGATAATATTTCTTTTTAGGAATTTAAATCAGAGGGAATTGAGTATGTTAAAATCTTTACCGAAGGCCACGTTGTTCCCAGTAAGGATGTTACTACAAAATTCTTTAAGTGCGTGTATGATTTTGAGAAGGCAAATGAGGATAATGGTACTGTGCAAATGGTTACAAATATAAATTTCTGTAATGCTTTATTATTCATTTAACAGAAAAGCTAATAGGAGTTCATTGTACTCATGGACTCAATAGGACGGGTTACTTAATTTGCAGGTATGTTCTGCAGAATTCTCCAGACGCTAGCATTTAAATGTTATTTCTTCTCAGATATATGGTTGATAGAATGGACTTTCAGCCAAATGATGCCATCCTCGGTAGATTTAATAGATTTATGTTATTTAATTAATAATCTTCATTTTCATATTTTATTCAATAGCATTCAATACAGCAAGAGGTCACGATATCGAGAGGTTAAATTATCTACAAAGTTTAGAAACTGGCAAAAGGTTTCTCTTCTTTTATTCAATTTAATTTAATTATACTTTTTATGTATGCTATTCAGAATATGATAAAAACTATTAATTATTTTTCTTAGCTCTATTGCTGGTATAGATCTTGATAAGGTTGCCACTCCAAAATCTGATGAAGTGAGTACATATTCTAAAGGATCAAGAAGGGGCTATCGAAGAAAATCGCAAAATAATCAATACAATTCGAATAACCATCGCAATAACTCCCAATATAACGACTATGGAGCCAGCAATTATGGAGCTAGTAATTTTTATGCATACAGTTGTGGTCCAGAAAACTATGAAGGTTATTATTACGACGATAGTGGCTATGAGAACTACAGCAGTAGTCAAGGCAGGAGATATAATCATCGTCAAAACTATTACAAAAACTATGACAATAGAGATAATTATTATGCTAGTAACTACAGCAATCAATACCGACAAGGGTTTGCTAATGACTATGAAGCGACAGACAGTGGCTATTACTATAATTCTCAGCAAAATTACGACCTTCCTCGAAATCATTCATCTTACTCTCGTTATGATAATGAAGATTATAAAGGAGCTGAACAAAGAAACAATCGGTCCAAGTATGAATATGACAATGTACAAGATTACGAGTACTGCAGACAAAAATATCGGTCAACACAGGGAGATTATGACTCAAGACAGGGAAATTATCATTCAAGGAGTGGACATTATAGCACTAATCAAGAATTTGGAAAATCAGGAAATGAATATAGTGATATATCAGAACGTGGCGATTTAGATGAATTTCAGAATTCAAGATTTGAAAGGCAGCATGTACATAATAGTAACAATAATCGCAATCAATCATATTCCAAAGGTCGTAGACCCAGTCGAAAACACGCTCCAAACGCCGATTAGATTTCCAGAGTCTCATTGAGTTTAATTTGCTTCCCTATTTTTAAAGTTTACTTAAAGATTTCATTTTGCATATCAACTTGCAAAAGATCCGAATAGAAAACTTATTTAACAAATTGCTTGAAAAACTTTTTTGTTTCCTCATGAAGGGAAATTCGGCTAATTTCGTTTGTTTATATTTTTCATCTTGTCTTTCATTATGTTTTTTTTTCGAGCCCAGGTTACTTAAGGCACTAATAAAAGGCCAGTGTTAAGGGAGAAACTATTGCCAACCGTGTAATTTAATATTGAAACAAATTGCGTTTAAGTAAAAGCTTATGTATGCAGATTACTTTCACACGCGTGAATATTACACAATAGAAATAAAAATTTGGCCCTCTATTTATTTGGATATATAGTGTGTACATATATGTAATCTAAGCTTTGATATCTTTCTTTGCTGGGAAGCTTTAAAATAATATGAGTAAAATAAAATACTGCAATTAAAACAACATAGATACTAAGCATATAACAACAGCTAACTGTTAATTAAGGCTTTCATATTATGGGTATCTTTTGAGCGAGCTGTTCCATTTCTTCTTGTACTTCTCCTTTTGAAATGGGTGTATATTTCTTCAATTGTTCTTTGTTTTGTTTCAGGTAATTGTTTGAATATAAACAGCCCAAAGATTATTATGCATGCGATAAAGATAATAAAACTGTATTCTCCGATAACACCCTGCAATAGATATGTTTTCAGAATATTGTTTACTTATTTAGTATTAACATTAATGTCTACTTACGGCAAGGGGTGGAAAACCAATTCCAACTAAAAAATTGCACAACCAATTAAAGAAACCGGCAATCGACATGGCAATGGGTCGTGGACCAGGTCTAAATAATTCCGCTCCAATAAACTGTGGTATTGATCCAAGTCCAATTGCGAATCCAACGACAAAAAATAAGACAGATATTATAGCAATATAACTTAGCCATGTTACTTTCTCTTGGAGATTAATTGATATCATTAAGGTTAGGGCAGAAACTACCATTGCACCCATTCCTCCTAACAAGAGTACTCTTCGTCCTGCTTTCTCTACTAAACCCACCTAAAAGTATCCAATTCTTAAGGTTAAGGTTATTCAATATTTTAAACTTACTGAAATTATAGTTATAACAACGTTTATAAACCCAGTAATCAAATTTGCGTACTGAATATTTTGTTTGGCGATTCCTGCAGATTCGTAAATAGCAGAAGAATAGTAGAAGACAGCATTTATGCCTGATAATTGTTGACAAGATCCCAAAACTATGATGAGAACCAAAGGTAATCTCAGTCTATCTGCCGCCAGAATACTCTTAAGAGTCCATTCTGGTTCTTGTTCGTCGTCTTCATCTTCCTCAATAATTTCTTCCTCGATTTCATCCAAATCTAAATCGACATTAGAACAGTTTCTCAATCTTTTGAGTGCTTTTTCAGCTGCATCTCTGTCTTTTTTGTTTAAGAGTAAATGCCTAAAACATAGAGGATTTGTTATAAATAATGTTTCATTGACAAAATGAAAGTTTTAAGCGAGTAAAAAGATACCTTGGACTATCGGGCATGAAGTACAAAACACAACCAGATAAAAGGCAAGGAAGTCCAATGGCAGCTAACAAGATGGGCCATCTATCCGCTGATCCTAAAATTTGCCTCAGGCCAATGGCTTGTGAAACAAAAATACCTGAGGTCAAGGCCAATTGATGCAAAACACCCATTGCACCTCTTATTCTGACTGGAGCTATCTCAGTCAAATACATTGGGACAATTCCAGCTCCAGCCCCACAGCTAAAACCAATTAATAATCTTCCAATAATAAGCATTTCATACGAATTGGCTTTTTTACAAAATCCAAAAAATATAGCAGCAATTAAACTAAATACGTTGAGAAGAATAAGGGATTTCTTCCGACCAAGGCGGTCAACAATTAGTCCCGGAGTGAATGCCCCAATAGTACCGCCAACTAGATAAATAGATACGGTCACGGACCATAAAATTGTTAAATTCATTTTAGAAGGAAAGTATCCATGCCTCTCATAGAAGCTATTATTTAGAAAAGTTGTAATATGCTAAAACGTAAAAAAAAAAACAGATTTTTAAAAGATAAAAACCTTGGAGAATCAAAGACGTTTTTATTCTTTTTTTATCTCTCACTGACACTTCAGATGTTTTCAAAGATTTGAATTAAAAATGTCTACTTACATGCACCGGAGAATTTAACACTCCTGTATTCCAACCATGAGGAAAAGAGTTTCCCAGAGCAGCAATAGCTGCAGTTATTGTTAGTACTAAAGTTAATTTATCCTGCGAAAAGAAGTTTTAAATGTATAGCCTATTACACAGATCGTATAAATAATAACTGAAAAAAGAACCAACGTTACTAGTTTTAGCTGTAAAGTCAACAGATGCTTCGCGACTTCTTGCCAAAGCCAAATCTGATTTGTTTAAATCCTTTTTAGATAAATGAGCTTGACTTCCACTCCAATTCAAACTGGATAGAGATCCAAGAGGATATTTCCCTACACGACTCGTCATCTTGAAAGTTTCCTTTAAAGTATTTCTTATGTTAGATATCCGTCAAATTACAAAATATATAATCACCAAAAGATAAAAATCATGAACAAATATTAAGGGAAATTGTTGCTAATGCAGAGGAAATAAGCAATTTATACATGCGATAATATATATATATATACGAATAAAATATATACATAGGTAGTAGCAGCCAGTAGATTACTTCCAGGTTTTAGTACCTAAAATAGATGAGGTAATATCTTAAGAGGAGAACTAAAACGTATTTAACTCCTAGCAGAACAAAAGCATTATAACCTTGACTGTAAATGTCGATATCTAATCTACGAATCAAGAATCAAAGGTTAACTCCCATTTTTATATCATTTATTACCGAAGTTGATTCCTCCGAGTGCCTTTGTGTTTATGATGTTTGTTTGAATTGTTTTTACAGCATCGGCCTATTATAATTAAAGAGTGCACCGACAGAGTGGGAGACCATTACATTTGGTTTTCATTTTTTCTAATTTAAATTCAGACTTCTTAAAGAAGAAACTTAAAGATAAAAAGTAAACAAATTCATCAATAAGTTATTAATCTCTAATGAAAACATTAAAAAACAGTTTTTTATAGTTTACATTGCTATTAGAATCGGTTAAATAGTTCGTTTAACCTATTCACCCTTATTATAAAATTACGAGTTTATAGCTTCTTTGCTTTCTTTGTATTTACGCCTGAAAAAAATATATTGATAGGACTTGAATTAATTTAATGTCATAAATGGTCATTAAAAATGTAACCTTCAACATAATGTGATCACATTTAAAGTATTTATAGGAAAATTGTAACAAATGACGGAGATCTATCTCTTCTCTCATCAACTAAATTTATTTTGGTAAACAAAAGTGTATAGTATATATATATATGTATATTTCTAAAAATAACCATTAATTTCTTGATAAGTTTATTATGATAAATACTGTATAGAGATACTACGAATAATGTAACAATTAATGCGTACAACAGATAGATTTACTATCCATAGGAAAATTAACAAGCGCACCATTAAAGAATGTGAGCAATTTTTAAATATACAATTTCTTCAAATTTTCCTTTAATAAAATAAGTAAACAGAAAGCGGTGGACGGAGGATATTTTATGACTTAGATAGTAAACCATCACAGATACAAGTATGATAATATTTAAACAGCTAAGAAATTACAAACAACCAATTTTTATGGCATAAAAAAACAACAAATTTATAATTTGAACATGGACAATATAAAATAAACAGATCTAAAAAAAATTACTTTTCCCTTAATGTTTCATATTATTCTTTTATATATATATTAAAAAATTACATTTAAACAGCATCACTATCATCGTAAGCGTCATCGTAAGCTATTAAATTAAAAAAAAGAGAATAATTAATATTGTTTTTCAATACCTTCATCTATAAAATAAATATATTAAAATTAGAGTAAAGATATTTGTTAATAAAAAAAAAATGGCAAAATGTTAAAATAAGTATGAAAATATAGATAGTAATAAATTCTAAATGCAAACCATTTGTTTATTTAGTGCGAAGTTTGATATGTGCATTTAAAAAGTTCACCCCATGTAAGAGACGGAAGACACAGAAGATTGTGTTGCTGTTAAAATAAAAATGGTAATGGCACTGCACAAAAGGAAGGAGAATAAAACGTTTTACGAAAAAAAAGAGAAATTTATTAGTGGTTATCTAGTTGCAGTAAACGAATTTAGACAGTGATCAACAATTACCTTTTGATGAGCCGCCCCATTGACTCGTTTGTAAAGTGTTATTAGAGTTATCTGTATGAGTACTTGTTCTTGTTGTAGGTCTTTTCCTGTTGATAAAAAGATATATATATATATGTATTCAACTATAAAAAATTGACAATTAAATGTGATCTAACGGTTGTCTAGGTGTATCAAAATCATAATCAGAACTCGCTGGGGTGATATTATCGAGGTCAGACCCTGAATCTTCGCTTAAATTAGGCTTCTTTCCTTTTGTCGATGCTGGAATTTTCTCTTGTAATTCGCTTATACCACTGTATCACGATAATAGATTGTACTATTAAAAAGATAATATATATTTATACACACTCATCATCCCAATCGTCATAATCTTCTTCTTTAGGCTTTTGTGCTTTGGGTTGATTTTGGGGTTGGCGTTGGGGTTGTCGTACGGCTTGATTTTGAGGTTGACGCTGAGGTTGAGGTTGGGGTTGACGTTGAGGTTGGGATTGACGTTGAGGCTGACGACTGACATTCCTCACTGCAACAGAATCTGGATCTGGTACTTGGTGACCGAACGCTTTGCCATCGTCATCATCGTCTGTATAATCTGATTCCTCATCCTCTGATTCGTCAGAATCGCCAGTGTAAGAATACGAATCGAAGTTAGAACTCGTTCTGGTATAGCTATAACTCTCACTAAAAGTTTGAGTTGTACCTAGAGAGTCTTGAGAAATTCTAGTTGAAGGCTAAGAGAGGAAAAGAGGTTAAATAATCTCAAACGAGAAAATACAGACAACCTTTTGAGGACTTGGTGTACGATGTGGAGGGCTGGAGGCCCTTGGTGCAGGTCTAGGTTTACTAAATTCAGTTCTACCAGCATCAGCAGGTAGTGTCGAACTTGGGCTTGCTATGAAAACAATTAACACCGTTATAAAATACTTTTTATGAAAGTCAGATATAGTTTATATTAAATGAAAAAAGTAAAGAAAAACAATGCTTGTATTCTATTAGCATACCATTGGCATTTCTTGATCTATTTTTCTAAAAGTTTACCAAAAAACAAAATACTAATAAAAACAATAGTTCAAAGAGTTTTAACGCATAAAATAATATCTTAAATTATATTACTTTATCTAATTTATAATGCCAAGGAGCTTTCTTTATACCGGATCGAATACCATCGAATAGAGGTAACGGTTTAGGATTAAGAAAACCAAATGACTCTTTCAAAGTGGTTAATAAACAATTCTTTCTCTTTTTACAATCAACTAAAATACTTGAATCCAAATTCTCATATCGAAATAAGTCGATAAATGGTAATTGTAATAATTTTAATCGATTTATTTTATTTATCGATTTAAAGACTAAATGAAAAATGATTTTAATTGAAGATGTTTGCTTCTAATGGAATAAATAATAAGAAAAAGGAATTATATACTAACCAGGTGGGAGTGTTGTTTGTTGTGGAGTTCTATCCTCTGTTAATGATTCTAACAGATTACTAATCTCTTGTCGAATTTGTAATAAATTAGGTCGATCTTTCTGTAAGTTAATAAACGTATTTAATAAAGTATTTATCATCCAGTGGTATTCAAATAATGAAATTTACCTGTAATTTTCTACGAGAATAATTTAAAAAGCTTTGTTTCTCTTTCAATTCTTCGTCAGTTATTCCAGTTTTTTCCCTCTTTTAAAAGCATATATTATTAACAATATTAGTATGTAAAAAATATTAGATTCTTACCTCATTAATACCCATTTGTCTTAATTTGTCAGAAAGAACTCCAATTATAACATCCTTCGTTCTCTTTAACAATTGAGTATCAGTTTTAAGTTTTTCTTCTACTCTTTGGCTCATTGTTGATGTAAGAGAGCCGGTACTAATAAATTAAGAACAATGAAAAGGTTTTATATAGTTTTTTCATTCATGAAATATCTTACCCAAACCCAGTTATTCCAGAAGCCGATGTTGCATTAAGAGTATTCTTATAATCAGCAGCTGTTATAAAGAAATACAAAAAAAAATCTCAGATCATGTTTAATAACAGAATAAAACGCAAATAGGAACCTGTAGTCTCATTTTCATCGGCATTTTCATCGTCATCATCGTCTTCATCTTCGTCGTCCTCGCTATCATTATCATAGTAATCAGAGTTTCTATTGCCCTGAACATTTTTCTTCTCCCTTGGTGAAGGCTTAAAGAAAAGTGGTACATGAGTAAATTAGAAAAAAATATAATAAACCATCTTATATTAAACATACTGTTGGTTTATCAAATGTTTGTATTTCATCATTTCTATAAGCAGCATTAGGTTTTAATTGAGTTTCCCTCTTTTCAATTCGTTTCTCAATTACTTGAGGTGTCGCTTCTCTCGCTCTTTCTAACCCACTTATCTGTTTTTAACAGTTCAATTGCATTATATAAAGAATTTAAAATATCTATTATGAATAGTATATTTATGTAACCTTTCTCTCATACTCTTTTTTTGTTTCGTCAAATTTATTAGCCCATTTTTCGTTGAGTTCCTCAATCTTCTTTTCCAGATCTGCTCTCTACGATAATAAATTTCAATTTAAATTTTATTAATTAAATACTTTATATAAAAAACAAACCATAGCATTATTCATAGCAACTTGTTTCTTCAATTGACGATTTTCATCATCATCATCATCATCGTCATCTTCCAACTTGTTTCCTAGCGAAGATTTTTCTATAAAATTGAGAAAAAAGAAGAATATATATAAATAAGTTTATAATAAAACAATTAGTTAATTTTTTAACAAGATTATCAACTCACTTCTAACTTTATCCAAATTTTTTTCTGCATTTTCATACTTCGAAGTCATTTCTCTCAATTGTCCGCCATAATATTCTTTAATCTTGTCAAGCTCTTTCTATAGTGCATTTTTTAAATAGTTAAGGGATTTATTAAATAATTCATTTATACTGTATATTGTACTTTTCTATCATCAATCTGTTCTCTCTTCCAAGATTCCATTTCTCTCTTTTTATCTCTTTCTTTCTGTTCAGCTTCCTCTTGGAATTGCTGAATAGTTAATCGTTATAAATCTATATAAGCATTAAATTAATAATAAATGTATTACTCTATTTCGTCTTTTCATTTCTTCAAGTTGGTTTTCTGTTTTAGAAAATTGTTTTTTCAATAGTACCAACTCATTTTCTAATTCCGTATTGACTTTTTGAATCTGTATGTTATTTAAAATTAATATATCTATATTTATAATTATAAAGTATTTTCAACCTGGCCTTGCGAGGCACCAAAATTAGTAGGTTCTGCTTGTTTCGCTGGTTGAGCGCTATCTTCATGCCTACGAACAATATGAGACTGCAGGAATGATTCTGATATAAAAGCCTTAGGACAGTATGGACACTGCAACAGATTAAATTCAATTAAAAATGTATTTTATTTAATTAAATAAGAATTTAAAATAAACCTTATGATAGCTATTTGCACCAGCATGCATTATTTGCTGTTGGGCAATTAGCATTTTCTTTCTTTTATGACTCTCTCTTTTGACATCGTGGAGTTCGCTTTGTAACTTTTCAGCTTTACCTTCGCGTTCACTTAATTCCTGGGAGAAGTACCAAAGAGTATTTAAAACATAGTTTGTAAGCTTTTTTATATTCAAAATACAAACTTGATTGGTTTTTTCAATTTTCTCCTCTAATGCTGTCACAACTCCTGAAAGATAATCCTGCGAATGCTGTTATATATAAAGAATATTTTATGAAATATTGTATCATTCGATTATCGAACAGTCTTACCAGTAAGTACTCTATCGTCAATTGAGATAATTTAAATAGTTTAAGAAAATTTGGATCAACATTTCTTGTATCCTGTAAATTCAATAAGAAACATTTTCTTTAAATGACAACAAAAAGGTAACCAAGGAAAATAACTTACAATCTCAGACTCAATATTACAGAACGTTACATTCATAATATTTTCTTGTAAAGTTTGAAAGTCTAAATTTCTAGCCACAGAGTCAACATCAATAGCAGCTTTGGGAAATAAACATGTTTCGAATATAATAATTTTTCTTTTAAAACAATTTACCTAATCTTCTCCAATCAATTCTTTCCTGGCGTTGCCTAAAATGGAAACCACTAAACGATGTATGCTGCATTGCAGATGATACCATTACTTTACTTTGAGAAAATTTGAAAGAATTTAGGGTCCGTCAAGCTGTGAAAAATTCATTTGTGCGGCTTGAACGTGCTTTAACTTGTTATATTATGGCGATTAAAAGCAATAACTTGTAAAATTTTAAATAAAGTTTAGAAATTCTTTTAAGGATTCCAATAATTTGATTGCCTAAATTCAGTTTAATTTTTTTCCTATTTCATAAAAATTTGCTCCTCAGTAACGCAGATTCTTTTAGAGTTGGCGTCGATAGGAACTCAACCGGAAGTTTTTACGGAATACTTCATTTTCGTATTTAAAAATATTTTTATAATCAACCCCGTTTTGTTTATTTAAATTCAATTTATACTATTTGTTATTAATTATTTGTAATTTTCAAATAAAATATACGAAAAAGCGCAAATTATTGAAAAACTATTATAGAATACTATTGGTATAAATCTCCTTCTTACACGCTTTTAAACAAATGAAATAGCTTATATTAAGAGAATAATTTACTTAAGTCTATTAATTATTATGTAATAAGACTTAATATTATTCAAAGAACTACACTTTTAAGATACTCTTAATTTCTCAATCATTCCAATATCCACATGTGGTTTTCACAAAGAAAGGATAGGGTGAAGGAATAGCGCAATATACTATTCTTTAACAGCTATATTGGTAATAAGAGTTAATCAATATGAGGAATAACATATTGAACATTGAAGAAACTGACTAACGGGGTTTTTTTAAATTCTTTTAGCGAAACCTATTGTATACCTATTAATGGCCAAGAAAAGGTCGTATTTAGCGCGAATTTGACGGATAATAGTGAGTGAATCATTTATCTACACATTTTTTGACCATATTATGGCTTATAATAAACATTTTCCGACATAAAATAAAATACAAAGTTCAAGTAGACTATTTAGTAAACCAAACAAACAAGGTTTCCATTATATTTACTAACAGTTAGATAGACTTTCAAATTTATAAACTACCCATTCTTATTCTTAAAACTAGAGCTATCACGAGCATTAACTCGCTATAAATAGAAACTGACGTCAACGCAGTTTTCTGATGCAATCGCGGAGTAGTCTTGTGTTGTTCGGCTAAAGAAAATAGTTTCATAAAATTGTGTGATATATTTGAAGATTAAGAATTGTATTAATTTTTGCTATTATGTGCTAAATAAAATATGCAATTTTTTTGCCTCTGGTTTACAATAGGCACAATTTCGTAAAAAATTATTGCTCTATACACAGCACGTGTTCGATAAATAGTTCCGTAAAAATACCTTGAGTATTCATTCTCCCCCATGACAGCAAGAAGGAAAAGGTTATCATATAAGAAATTGAAAAGATTTATTGTCTAGCGATGATTCGCTTCTAACTACCCCGCGATCTCTTGCACAAACGTGCACCGCACGTTCAAAATGTTGTAAGTTCAACTGTTCTTATTTTTAGGTGTTTTTTAATAACATTAACCATGTAAAAGTTAGAGCAAGTTGAGTCTTGAAACAATATGGCAGAATAAAACTTGAAAATGTTTTTAAGCCAAATGTTACTTCTTTACAGATTAAAAATGGAAACCCCTATTTTATCAACTCCTGTATCTCTAAGTGAAATCATCATTAGAATAAACAAACATGAGTTTGCCAGAATTAATCGACGACTGGACCCTTTTCGGGGAGTTCTCGAGTCTATCAAACCCAGTAGACATTGAACCGGACCAGTTCACCAACGCTACAACAACCACCTTGCAATGCCTCCTAAAATGCCAAGATGGTCATATTCTAAATGGCTCTTACAACAGTGATGAGGTTGTTCAGGCTGTAAGCCCTGTGGAGGGCTTGAGCCCACTTGGAACTCCGCCTACGAGTCCTTCCCAGGCTTTTCCGCTAAATGACGGAAATGAATTAAGCGATCTTCTCAGCGGTACAGATTTTGACATTGATGTGGATGTTACAGAAAGAGCAGGATGCTCCACTGATGACTATATCGACACGATGCTGGATTTCGAACTTGAGATGGAATCAACGCTGCAGATCACAAAGGAAGATGCTTCTATAATTCAAGATGCATTTGAACTAAGAAAAGTTTGCGAAGCTTTGGATGAAGCACCAGAATCACCCAAATCAGTAAGATCTCATCCATACAAAGTCCCATCATATGAAAAGCATCTTGATAAAAAACTGAGGAAGAAGCAGCAGAACAAAGATGCTGCTATCAGATATCGCTTAAAGAAAAAAGCGCAAAAACAAGTTCAGGGAGGCGAGTTGGAAGAATTAATGGACATAAACAAGAACCTCAAAAGCGAATGTAAGGAAAAAATGAGAGAAATCGAATATTTGAAGGAGCTACTGCAAGATGTTTGTAAAGCAAAAGGAATAGAACCCCCGAATCAATGCATCACTTTATAAAATCATATAAATAGTAAACATTTGTAAAAAACTCATTTTTGCCGTGTGTTATTGTCAATAAAAATATTATTCACAAAAGATCAAGACTTATTATTTAGTTGAAAACCGCGAATCTAGATAAAAAATAACTGAATAATTTGAAATGCATTTCTGAATTGTTTTATTAAAAAAAAATATTGTGACACTCTTTAAAAAAATATTTTGCGGTAGATAAAATATACCAATATTATATATATATATATATATATAATACAATATATATTTCAACATTCTCCTATTTACAATGATACCAAATGGAATGCTCAAGAAAATTAAGAGACTTCTGTTTCAAGTGTTATCCGAGAAATTTATTTAATTCGGTTGCATCAAGATCAAAATCTATCACGTTGTCAAAAGGAAAAACGCCGTCGTTTTCATTAGGTGACCTAAAATCGGACAAGTCGATTGTGTTCGGTGGAATCTTCGTTTGAGACGATAGATTTTGATCTGTATTTGCCATTTGAGTCTCATTCCATTCCATCAGCGGTGTTGAGTCTGACTTTATAACATCTAACAACTCGGATAATTGCTTATTGTTCATTTGTTGATTAAAATAATCCTGATGAGATAAAGGCAGAGGCTCAGTAGAAGATCGATGTAAATTACATACATTTTCAACAGTCTTAATTCCATGGTTTGAAACAGGAGAAGAAGCATCAGGAGAAGTTTCAGACGCTGGTAGTAAACTGTCAAAGAATTTAAAAGTTAGATAATGTTATCAATTCCTTATATTTGCTTGTCTATAGATAACTTACTTGATTCCACTATTGGATTGGCTGAGTCCAGTAAATGATCTTTCTCCAGATGTGATGTCAGCATTATCAATAGTCCTATTGGAAGTATCTTTGATTAAATTCGATCCAACAGCCTGCTGTAGAGCTTGACTTATCAATTGTAAATTAGAACTGGGATCATTAGTTCCATTAACGGCAGACATTATTTTTATCTGTGCTATAACTGGCTGGGGTGTTGTCTTCGGTCTGATACTCTGTTTCTTCCTCTCTTCAAGCATTTGAGCCTCAGTTCTTTCCCATTTCGTTTTATATTCTATTACCGACTTGCGAAGTTCGATAATTTCTTGCTGCAATTGAGCGATCATTTCATCTTTATTTATTTCAGTTGAATTTTCTACGTCCATGCCAAAAGACGGTCTAGTTTGTTGATTACAGTTTTCCTGCATAATTTCGTCTGAGAATAGGCGCAATTTTTCTAACAGTTCTTTTTTTGTTCTACCCACAGGTATATTTCTTTTTCTACATTCAGCTTTTAATTCTCCTACGTTTAAATTTTCCAAACTTTTTATCATTAAGGAGTTGGGACTGCAGGGAGATACTTGCTCAAAATCTAAATACATTTGCTGCTGTTGCAGCCTTTGGCTGTGACTTGTTTTCATAGAATTTGAGTCAAAAGAGGGTCTTCTTCGTCTAACGGGACTTTTTTTAGTAGGACCTTTATACTCATGAAATTTTATCACTCTGGCCCTGGGAGTTGATTTTTGTTGTCTATTTTTATCTCTATTCTTTCGAACAGTGGACATTTTGCCCCCTCCATCATTGCTTGAAACATTTCCCAAGTTATATTGGGTAACATCTTTTTTTGCACCTATAAATTCATCTGGCTGTAACTTCATAAGAGAAGCAAAACTATTATCGTCTTTATACTCTTCTTCTGGACTAGCCGTATATTCTGCTGTATATTCTGTTGAATATTCTTCTGTGTACTCTTCATTTCTAGCGAGAGCGTCCTGCAGTTCTTTTTCTGCTGGAAGTATTCGATCCCTAACAAGGTCCAAGGGTCCTGGTCGAGTGACAAGATGCTGCGAAAGGTTATCCTGCAGTCTAGCTTTAATAAATTGTCTCTGTTTTCCATGAAGGGAGGGGTCGACATTAAAATCTGTATAAAAAGTAGGCTTGAATAATGTTTCAAAAAAATACGTGTATGATTATATTACCTTCCAAGATATGTTGTTGGACTAGAGATTGACGATCCGGTCTTTGTTGTATCTTATGTTTGAGTATATCACTCGTCTATTGAGAAAGCAATGAAAAGAACAATAAGAACTATTAAAAGTACAAAGAGAATAAATCTTATTTTAGCCATTAGATTGTCTTCAAAATAAATCGATATGTTAATAATTCTATGATTTTTAAAGCTCTATATATGAGCTTTTTGTGTTAGCTATATTCTATATATAAATATATATATATATATATATATATACTTTTCTTAACGGATTAAAAAAAGTATATCCATTAGGGAAACATCTGCTTTTTAATAATCAATATAGACGATTGATACTTAAAACGAATAAAAATGTTCAATCTCGTTCATAAAGCGAAACAATAGAGAATAATGGCCTTTCTTTATCCTTTCGATATACATTTAAAGAAACAATATTTAAAGTTAATTTAAAATTGGAGAGCAGCCTATTGCATTATTGAGTATCTGTTTGCTTTTAAATAACGTTTTTGTCTAGATTTTATAAATCCAATATCTATTCGCAATGACAATTTTCAAGGCTACGATTCCTGTTAAATTTCACATTGTACAATTTCTAAGATACTAATATAAATGTTCTATCATTCCAAATAGTTTATCAACTTTAGTTTGAGTAATCTATAAATTCTATTTAAAAATATATACAGTATCTATCTATATATACATATATATGTATATATATACCTTGGCCAGCTGTAACTGCTTTTGTTGAGCAGCATAGTGGGGGGGAATACGTAAAGCTGTAAATAAATGAATATAATAATTAATAATTACAAAATATGCTAAAGGATAGATACATACAAGGATAAATGCCTTGGTCAACTAATTCATTTACTGATCTTCTGCATTGGAGCCTTCGTTCAAGAGCTAAAATAAAAATTAATCTTCACATTTTGTATAAGAAATTAAAAAAAAGATACTAACTGTCCTTGTTTTTTCCCATGTCTGGTAGGAGTGACGTCTCTTCAACACAGGGAGATGTAGGTGATGGTAATCTAGGTGAATCAGGCGGATTTTGCATATTCAATAGTGCAGAGCGATGCAAACTGTAATAATAAAAAATTATAAATAATTTAATAATATGTACAATAAATTTATTTACATTCTTAAAAGATCGTCTAGAAGCGTGATAAAGAATCTTTCAAAAGCATTCGCTCGATCTAAACATACGAAATTGTTGGCTATGAATGAGCAATAGAACTTTTCTAGAGATGTTTCAAAGAATAGATTTTATGTTCTCTTTTATCAATTATCCGTTTTGAAGCAGTAGCTCAACTTCAATGGTTAAGGTGACAATGAAAAGCGTAATATTCATATATATGCAGAAAAAATCGATAAAATTCACCTGTGCTTGATATTCTCGGGTACACCACATAATAACTATCTTAGACTTCTTTATCTATAATACAATTCCTACGATAAATTCAATTTACAACAAGTAATAAAGAATATATATAAACTGTATACACATAAAAGTCTAGTGCGTAACACATGCTTTAATTGTTTATCAAGAGTTTTTCTTAATTAGTGTGCCTAGTTAGGTCAATAAGATAAGGCCAATTAAATACATATTCTAAACTATTCATTCATTGCACTTAAAATAAAAGTTTGCGTGCAGTTAAATAAACTTTGTTTTTAACATTGTGAAATTATTGTTCTATAATAAAACAATTAATAACGGCAATAATGGTATAGATTCGGTTACAGGACCTTGGTTTTTATGTATAAATAGATCAAAACCTAAGGAAACTTGATTTTATATATCATTAGAAAGTTGAAGGGCGTCAAGTTTTTTTTACACTAGTTTCAGTAGTGCTTTTTTTGTAATTTGATGGCTGATTAAATCTATTTTGAATATACACTTATGTATAAATGTATATATAGTAGTGTATAGTAAGCGAAAGAGAGAATATTTAGAATTATTTATAAACACCTATGCTGACTCATCAATGATAGTGTTACAAGTGTTACCGTTTTGCAGTAGCCTTCTCAGCCAGCTCATTTCTATGCGTTAAACAATCTATAAAACAAACTACTAACTTCTTATATATTTTATTAAGATGATTGATCTGTAATAAGTGATTGCGATGACTGTTCGATATTTATAAATATACTAATCAGCAATCGACCGGTTTAAATGCGAACACAGCTTAAAATTTAGTTATTTTGTCGACTGAGAGGAAACAAATTGATACTAACTATTTATTTAATCTGCAAAAGGCAGAGGTGGTTGGAACTTGACAGATCCGCTGGTATATAAGCGTAAAATCTTTCTAGCATAAACAAAAAACTTCTAAGTCCTTTTTCGGTTATGGGGTTCCCTTGCTTCACCGGGATTCCGGAAGTTCAGGTCGCCATCTCTAGAAACAAGTTCCAGGAGGATTGAATAACCTCAGGAATTATTTTATATTAATAAATTTGTCTTTTTATTATAATTTTATTATTTTATGAAACTAAATACATGCTGAATTGAAGTACGAAAAATATTTTCGTAACACGCCATCTTCCGGCAATCCGCGACCATTTGCAAGTCATTGTCGGCAATTTTCCATATTATTAGTTTTCTAACAACTTAAATAAATATGCGGCTCAACATTACGTCTGCAGGTAATTTTTCTATCAGATCACTTGATTTTTGTATAAAGATTTATCTTAAAACACTTGTTTTATGATCGTCAAAATATTAGAGAGCGATAATATAACTATTAAATTGCTTTCAGCCGGAATAATAGCTCTACTAGATGAGCCAGAGCATCAAGTTAAGGTTTGTTCAAGTAGTACATATCTAAATATTGGTTTTTATGTAATCATTTGATTGATCCAGGATTTTGCTCTGAAAAAACTTGATCAAGTTGTAGATCATTTCTGGCCCGAAATATCTGAGTCTGTGAGCAAATTGTAAGTATCAAATATGAATTAATAAAGAATTGTGACAGTTCACAAGTATTCATCTGTGTGTATCTTTCTCAGAGAAATGCTATATGAAGATGAAACGTTTGTCCATCGTAAACAAGCTGCCTTATTGACGTCGAAAGTGTATTATCATTTGGGGGCTTTTGAAGATGCTGTTGCCTTTGCATTGGGAGCAGATAATCTATTCGATGTTAATTCCACTTCCGAATATGTAGAAACAATGATAACTAAGTGTATAGATCAGTATACAAAACTGCGCCGTCATAATTATGAGTCAAATGAGAAGAAAGATATTGATCCGAAACTTGAGGGTATTGTTAACAGAATGTTTGAAAGATGTCTTAAACATAGCCAATTCAAACAAGCAATTGGTATTGCCTTTGAAACTTACCGAACAGATGTATTCGAACAGGCTGTCTCTAAAAGTGACGACATGAAAGATATTCTTACGTTTTCCCTTAAAGTGTGTATGTCATTAATCCAAAATAGACAGTTTCGTAATACAGTCCTGAGAAAATTAGTGGATTTATATATGGCTTTGAACATCCCAGCTTTTATCAACGTCTGTCAGGTAAGTTGATTTTAGTAATTTTCTGACAATATGTACTTCTAGAGTTATTGAATATATTTCATTTTTTCAGTGTTTAATTTTCTTGGGTGATTCTCAAGCTGTAGCTGATATATTGGAAAAACTGCTAGGAGGAAGTGAGGAAGACCTTTTAATGGCTTATCAGATCTGTTTTGATCTTTATGAGAGTGCTACGCAGCAATTTGTTCAGCAAGTTCAATCAGCTTTAAAACCAACTCCATCCGGTGAAGAGACAGAAGAAAGTGTTACAGTTACAAAAGAAAACACTGAGAAGCGTGATAAACTTTTAAATATTCTAAGTGGAGAAAAAACTATCGAATTGCACCTTCAATTCCTTATCAGAAATAATCACGGGGATATGCTTATCCTGAAGAACACAAAGGAGTCTATTAGAAATTCTATTTGCCACAATGCAACAGTTATGGCTAATTCTTTTATGCATTATGGAACCACATCTGATCAATTTTTGAGAGAAAATTTGGACTGGTTATCTAGAGCAACAAATTGGGCTAAATTTGCTGCAACAGCAAGTTTAGGCGTTATACACCGAGGCCACGAAAAGAACGCCATGCAATTCATGTCAACATATTTGCCAAAAGAAAGCGACTCATCTTCGTCCTATTCGGAGGGAGGAGGTTTATACGCCTTGGGATTAATTCATGCAAACCATGGTGCGGCAGTAATTGATTACCTACTGCAACAACTAAATAACTCTACATCAGAAGTTGTGAAACATGGAGCTTGTTTAGGATTGGGTCTTGCTGCCATGGGAACAGCTAGGCAAGACTTGTATGAACAGTTAAAGTCAGCTTTGTACCAAGATGATGCTGTAACTGGTGAGGCTGCAGCTTTAGCCATGGGTTTAGTTATGTTGGCAACGAATAACAGTTCAGTGATTGAAGATATGAAAGGATATGCAAGTGAAACACAGCATGAGAAAATAGTTAGAGGGCTAGCTGTTGGAATGTCTCTGACAGTTTACGGTCGCTTAGAAGAGGCTGATGTTATCATAGCCGATTTGAGTATGGATAAGGATCCTATTTTAAGATGGTCAGCTATGTACATGATCGGTTTGGCCTATGCTGGTACTGGAAGTAATGAAGCTATAAGACGACTGTTGCATGTAGCTGTTAGCGATGTGAACGATGATGTCAGAAGAATAGCTGTTACTTCAATCGGATTTATCCTTTTCAGATCAGCTGATCAATGTCCTAGCGTCGTGTCTCTATTATCAGAAAGCTATAATCCACATGTCAGATTCGGAGCTGCTCAAGCTCTTGGTATTGCTTGTGCTGGAACTGGTCTGAAAGAAGCTCTTGCACTCTTAGAGCCATTAACTAATGATCCTACAAACTATGTTCGCCAAGGAGCTTTAATAGCATCAGCATTAGTTCTAATTCAACAAAACGAAACTACATGTCCGAAGTCAGCAACTTTTAGGCAAATGTATTCCAAGGTAATAGGAGATAAACATGAAGATGTAATGGCGAAATTTGGTGCCATTTTAGCTCAAGGAATTATTGATGCTGGTGGTCGAAATGTTACGGTATCTTTACAGTCGAGAACAGGTCATATGTCTGCTCCTGCCGTAGTTGGCTTATTAATTTTCCAGCAATATTGGTATTGGTATCCCCTTGTTCACTTTTTAAGCTTAGCATTCCACTCAACAGCACTTATTGGATTGAATGCTAAATTAGATATGCCTAAATTGCAATTTAAATCTAACGCAAAAAGTTCGACCTTTGCTTATCCGCCTATGCTTGAGGAGAAAAAAGATAAGAAGGGCGAGAAGGTTGAAACTGCTATTCTCTCAATCACGGCTAAGCAAAAGAAAAAGGAGGAAAAGAAAAAGACAGAAGAAAAAATGGAAGTAGATGAACCCGAGGTTAAAGAAGAAAAAGAAAAGGAAAAAGAGAAGGAAAAGGAGAAAGAGAAAGAGAAAGAGAAGGAAAAAGAAAAAGAGAAGGAGAAGGAGAAGGATCGAGAAGTAAAGAAAGAAGCGAACCACGAAATGTTGGACAATCCAGCACGAGTTATGAGAAGCCAATTAGCCGTCATGACTTTGCCTCAAAATTCAAAATATTCGCCTTTGAAAAATATCTCTATAGGGGGCATAATAATGTTGAAGAACAAACGGGCGGATGAACCAGAAGAGATCGTAGAAATGATGGCCACAGGAGGTCCCAAGAAAGATGACGAAGAGGAAGAACCTGCACCACCAGAACCTTTTGCTTGGGACGAAGATTAAAAAAAACTCAGTTGTACTATTAAGGAAAAATTAAAATTTATTTTCTAAATAAAATAAATAGCAAAATTGTTTTGACATGTGTAAGATAAAACATACCAAACTTAGACTGACTGAGGAGCCGAAATTTGAAATTTCAATTTATTTTATTACCAGTTGCCTAGAAAATTGATCGTAAACTGCTGCCTGGCTTAGTGCAAATTCCAAACATATTCGGATGTTGCACGTTGTAATACTGTAATTTTTTACCCAACAGGCATCACTACGTAAGGCACAGTTAGGCGATTTATGTGTTATTTTGAGAATAAATGAGATTAATAAGGCACTTCTAAAAATGTTGTATAAACAAAGATGAGTAGGCATTGATATAATCAATAAACAAGAAGACGTAAGAAGTACTACTGCAAAAAGCACTTCAAATTTTTTTTACCACAATTCATTTTTCTTTTAATGTGATAAGAAGTTCTCAATAGGCCTTAGAGCTCAGGATTGCTGTCCCACATGTTAACGATGGTAATAAAAAGTATTCTTATTCGGTTCAACGAAAAATACAACTTTAGGATTCCTTTATCGAGATTTGTTTTAAGCTAATGAGAAAAATATTAGGCTCAAGATTTTCATAGCAGTGCAAGGAACAAATCAGCTTTCCGTTCCGCATTAAACTAGGCTAACATCAATCACATTGCCAAAAACATCTTTGCAGTTCGCCTCCGGATTATCTAAAGGTAAGGCATACGATACCTACCGTTAAATTTTTCACACGTAATTTTTTCCAGTTTTCTAATATTAATTCGTTTATTTTCCAACGTCAAAAAGAACACGACAAGACGCTAATGATTTAATATATTTTTTAAATATTTAAAAGGCAAAACAAAAAGAAGATGGCGGATAGTTATACTGGTGTAGCTACCATGTATTTGGCAATGCCTATGTCGGCGCAGAATATTCCAGTTTTGGGATCGTGCGTTGTAGAAGATCGAAAAGTACAATTGAAATTTCCTATTAGCGGCGTTAGGTAGGCAGTTTTTATATATGTTCTCTTATTTTGTTCTTTATTCTTCCATTATTAAAAAAAAGAAGAAGCTAGTTTAAAAAAGAACATTTTAGAATTGAAACTGTAATTTATTTCTTTACTTAAAAATCTAATAAAAGAAGAAAGAATAGAAAAGTTTTTTTATATAAAAATATTCAAGTCTTTTACTGTGAAAATGTTTAAAATGATTGGAATTCGAATAAAAGGCAATGGGCAAAAGTGCTTCGTAATTAAGTTTTAAAAAGGGAAACAGTATAAATTCTTTCATTTTATTTAGTCCTATAGAATATTCAGTATATTAAAATTATTAATATTTGTATATATTTGTAAGAGATGTATGATATTGTTATTATTTTTTGCTTTGTTGGCATATTTTGTGTATGTGAATATATCTTTTACGTAAGCGAGAAAAGTTAATGGGCGGGGCTTCTTCGTACTCACTTGCTCATATTATTGTGTCACGTGATATATAAAAATTTTTTTTCGCTATAGTTTATATAAATGCTTAAGTAAAAGCTGATTGTTCTTTTAATTATTGCAGTTTCGATTTACCGGAAACACCTAAAGAGGGTACAGGAGAGTTGGAGTTTAAAATGGCCGGTTCTCAACAGAGTGAAATGCTGTTGAAAATTAAATGGAATGCTGGATTGAAAGCGTTCCTGGGAAGTTGTTCTCAGAACGGAAAGCCACAATTCAATTTCATATTCTCGAGACCTGATAGTTCTATCCAGTTGATAAAGGATCACCTGTAATAATAGAACATAGGCCTACGAACGACTTCTTTTCTTGACGTGAATGTAGACAGGAAAAATGCTTATAGAATATATATATATATATATATATAATATAGTTATATAAAACTTTTCTTGAAGTGTATTGCATGCCGTTAAAATCGCCTCCCTCTATGAATGGGAAGGGGTAGCCAGTCGCTTTTCTATATATACTATTGCCCTCCTTTAAGAATCTGTTCAATAGATCGCCGCACGGCAGCGAAGAAGAATGTTACGAAATTAAATGGAGTAAAGGCTTACCTTCTCGATTATGTTCGTCACGTAGATACATCTGTTTTCTTCTGCAATCCTCTCAATTTCTTTAGTAAGATATAGAAAATTTCCAAATGGCTTGGACAAGTTCTTATTCCGACGTAAGAATAATTAAATTATTCCCTATTGGCAAGTGCTTTCAATGCACAAAACGCGGCTGTATTATTCTCTCTTTTCACTTCTCTCTACCTAGGCCTATGTCAAACTAATTAATCTTTCGACGACAGTACAGAATAGTAATTACTTTTCTTATCAAGTCTACCATTTTGTACAATTTTATTCAAGTTAAATTATAATTAAAAATTAGCTTGTAAAAATTTCAAATATGCTAAGTTTTATAAGAATATATACACTATTGTTAAGTGTTCGATTTTTATATTTATGTTTTTGTTATTCGAAATATTTTCTTAGGCCTAGTATGAGGATATTGATATGATTGATATGCATAACTATACTGTATATATATATATATATATATTGTATTTATAGACAACATACTATATTATATCGGTATACATTACATAAATACTTTCTGATACACGATAGACGTAGAAGATAGTTTGCGAAATGGTCCATACTGTTCACGTAGGATAAGTAAGAAAATAACGAAAAATAGGTCGTTCATTGAATTAGCGTTTATGTCATATCTTATTCTCTATTCTCTTTTGTACTTAATAGTCGTTTCAACGTAATGTTAAAAATATTTTCAATATTTATCCTTCTGTTAGGCCCTTAGAAAATTTTCATACAATCTTTCATTCAATTTGATTATATTGAGCCTTTCCTTCGTATCACGTGTCCAGTGGAGCTTCTAAGGCTTTAAATGACAAAGTAACCTGACGCCATGCATTTAATAACTTTCTTTTTTAACTTGTTTTTATGACTGTTTGTAAATTACAAAAAAAAGCTTAAGAGACAATTGCTTTTAGATATTATAGGCCAAAGTTAAGTAAACTCGGTTAGTGCAAAAAATAAACAAAGGGGTATCAGTTGTGAATATTATCCAATCCTCCCTCCGAGCATTGTTATTCCCAACAGTGGCCGTCAAAATTATATCTAGATGCGAAGCATATTAACGTCTCGCCTTCCTCACCACCCGTAAATCGACGACAACATTCGGATCCAAGGCAGTATTCCCGCGACGATCCGTATCGAAACGATTCGTTGAAACAAACAAAAGACGTTAATCAAAATTATTCAATGCCGCCCACTCACGATGGTGGATTATCTAGAAGTGGCGTAACAACATACTTTAAACCTACGTTGGACGGCAATTCAAATGCTATACCTAGGCCTAGGAAATTAGATGCTTATGCAAAAAGAAAGTTAATATTTGAAAGGCGACCTAAATTGGAGCCAATTGCCGAAACGAGTTACTATGCTGAAGACCATCAATATTACATGGGCAACGGCGATATACGAAATAATGACGATGGCTCCGAATACAATGATACCAAGTCGGAAATTAGCACTCAGACGGGGGATAGTCTAAGACTGCCTAACGGACTAAAAGATCCAAGGTTAGCTTCATATAATAACGCAGCTTTTGAAAGTCCTGAAGATCTGAAACATTCGGAAGCAGCTCTGGAGTCGAATATAGAGAAGAAAAAGTACAAGAAGAACTGGAGAACTATGGTTCTAGCCGTGGTAATAATCGCTCTTGTTGCGGCTGGTGCTTGTGCAGCTGCTGTTATATTCGCCCGTAAGTTCCTCTACTTTCAAACAGTTTACCTGTCTCTCTAAAAATTTAAACGCACAAGTGACTTAGAAGGGTCAATGGCTTTCCGACCTCCATTGATTAACTGTCCGCCGAGTGTATGCTTTATATAAAAAAAGAAATCACGTGAAATATAAGTTCATATAGGGGCTTAGTACAATTTGAAATATGCAAAGTCTTCCCATTGTAACCACCATATAGTATCCGTAGAATATCAGTAAGAAGTTATAAATAGATCTATTTTAGTTTATTTATACAAGTTTATTAGTTTTAGTAATCATTAATTTTTTAACAGTAAAAGCTGCAAACAAAAATGATTCAAGCACTAAAACAACCATATTACCTACAAAGACGCCTACCACGTTTCCTTACGAAGTCTCTTTTAAATATGACAAAACTTTTGATAGCAAATTATCTGATAAGAAGAGTGATAGCTTTAAATACCTATCGAAGAAAACTTGCGAACTGGTACATTATAAAAATTAAATATCAGCCTATCCTTTTCTTTTATTATTTCTCAAAAGGAGAAAGTATAAGAAAAGAAGTGACATATATTATAATACATAGAGTTATATAAAAAATTTTATCCCGAAAACAGGTGAAAGCTGGCATACAGGAAACAGACTTTAACAATTGCTCAGTGATCAAATTCGAGTAAGCTTTAAAGGAATTTACTTTTTTCTATCTTCAAAGAATATTTTTCTATTATTTCCCCTCTTTTCTTTCATTCATTCATTCATTCGTTCGTTCGTTCATTCATTCTTTCAGTCTTTCGGAGCTTCTCTCTTTTTCTCTATCTTTTTTTTTCGTATTATTATTATTATTTTAATTTTAATGTAAAAGTTTCAGTTCTTTAGTATTTTTATTACTTTTTCTTTTTTATTTGATTTATTTATTTATCTTTGTTTTTTTTTTAATATTAAATCATTTTTAGACAAGGAAGCATTGTAGCTGTAGTAAGATTATCATTAATTAAAGACATAAGCGTTCTGGAGTTGGAGAATAACATTAAATCAGTGTTCAAAACTAAGTCGGATGAATTCGTTCAGACATATAAACCATTGGAAGATAGCGTTAAAGCCTCAACATTTCGGGAACAAACAACTATTTTTCATACATCACGTTCAATGAATAAAGCAACTACATCATCATTAACTACCACAATTCAAACAACTAAGAAAATAGTTGAATTATCTACCTCACCAGCTGCTCAGCTAACGACAGCAGCTAGGGATTTTGTAACAACTGACCATTTGACTACAGAAGATGGCGCTAGTAGTCGTACCACAACTTATCAAACAAAAGAAGAAACACAATTTACCACTAAAAAATCGGATGATTCAACAACGTCTCCAACAATAGAGATAGCAACCGATACAAATTTAACAACTAACTACGAAGTAAAAGCGGTGGGAAATGTGACTGAACAAATACAAACCACCGTATCTAATATCACGTAAAAGTAAATATTATTTTTGAATTTTTACTGTCTGAATAAGTGAAGGAAGAAAAGGAAAAAGCAAAGAGAAATAACTATATTTTCATTTTTTTTTCACTATTAAAAGATGCGTAAAAAAAAAGAGAAAGAAAATTCAAAGAAAGAAAATGTAACAGTTTTTTCTTTTTTTTGATATTTTTGGTGCTTCAAACAATTTTTTTTCTATCGAAAAATTTAACAAAGTTATTATGTTTTTTTTTAAATTAAGTTATTTATATGAAATTTGTTCACTTGAACGTCTCTCTCTCTCTCTCTCTCTATCTATCTATCGTTCTCTCTCCTCAACTGTTTAAAAAGAAAACAAACATACAAACAAACAATCAGAAATATATATATACAAACAAATATTCATATGTGTAATAATATATTTGTGTATCGTTTTTTCTCTCTCTTTCTTTTTTGAAATATTCAAATTTTAAAACCGTTTAAGATGATTTATTCATCTAAGATAATATATTTTGTTATTGTACCATTTTGTTTTTTTTATATCTCTGTGCAATAAAATGATTTTTTTTTGATTTATGATTATTTTTTTTTTTTAAAAAAAATATAAAAAAAAAGAAAAGAAAATCTTCTACATTTTTGTTATATAGTTTAATATATAGGCCTAGTTTATTTCTTGAAGTCTCTCACGACTTAAGCTTAACTTGTATAAATAATAATTTCAATTTCAAACAAAAGCTTGAGTTTTATATTTAAATTATTAGAAGAGGCTTTCTCAATTTATCCTATATACTGTATATATTTCCAAAAAAAAATATAGGTCTGCCCTTTAAAAAAGGAATTTGTACCTTTTTGGAATTTCTTTAGTAAATGTTATTATTCTATATTCAAAAGAGTCAAAAGTTAAGTTTACGCTTAGTTGCTTTTAAAGATATGAGCATTGATATTGAAATAGAAAAACTAAGTTCTTCGAGCTATTAATAGTTTAATTCTTTTATTCACGAATAACCTTTAAATAAATGAATTGCAGACCAAAAGAATGCTTAATACATTCGTGGAAGTAAAGAAAAAAAATGCACCACATTTATCTGAATCATAGCTTTCTAACCAAATAAATTAATCAATTAATAAAGAAGTATAAATAGATACTTATAGCTGACAAACTAGGCGAAATTTTGCAATATAAAAACTTAACTATATCCATAAATATTATTTTACTTCAATGTTTATATATAGATTGTAAATGATCAAATAATAATTTTAATATTAAAAGATACTATGTGTTTTTTAACGTTTACAACATTGACCGAAAAAATTATTAGCAGCTTGACGGAATGGTCGATTTCTTAATGTGAAAACGAATGGATTAAGCATGATTGTCAATAGTTGAACGGGACCGCAGAACGAATCTGCAATAGCTAAATTTTGTCTATTACAACCAACACAAAGCATTCTGAGACCGCTTGTTACGACGGCTGGAGATCTTAAAATCACTTGAAAGATGAGAACCATCGAAAGGAATTTAATAGCTTTTGGTGACCAATTCTTAGTAGAATTTTTCGGTAGTTTGCTTGTTGAACACCTATCCAAAGATAAAGATTGTTTTCTTGAAGAAATTGTAGAAGTTGTATCTTTTTCACTTTTTGCGTTATTCATTCCATTGAGTTTTGTTAAAATATCATTTGACCATTCTTTATCAATTGTATCTAAGGACTCAAAAGAGATACTCCTACGTTGCTTTTGAAGGCTAAATGTTGCATCTTCAATAGCAATCATACTGATTGAAAATGTCATTGAACGAAAAATTCTAGTGCAATGTTTCTTCTCGTATCCTTCGCAATTGTCTTCTTTCTTTCCCATATCTCTCCTTTCTCTATGGCCACAATTAGCAGATCTAAATTTGCCTTGAATATAGGCCAAATTTTGACGTTTCGCCTCCATTTTTCTCGAATGATTGTTGGCAATTAAAACTGCCCAATAGGATGTCGAAACAACGAGAATGGTTGGTAAACCTAAACCAATCATTACGGTGATTATCCAACGTTTGTGACTAGCTGCTATAATTCCTGAACAGAATACCTTGGGTCGTCTGTCCACAGGAATTGAACTTCCGGGATTGATTGGGAATATAGACATGAGAGTTAGAATAATTGACGGTATATAAATAACCAATAGGAGGCATATAACCGTCCTTTTTGTAAAGATGAGTACATGCTTAAAAGGAAATCTAACAGCGATTAGACGTTCTAATGAGACACAAAACAAAGTCCAAATTGACAAATGAAGGAAAGCAAATGGCGCTAAGCGAAAAAAGGCACAAAGGAAATTATCTTTATATAAAATATATTGAAGGGCCGGATGATGGAAATTTTGCTGGAAAGCAAGTCGCAAAACGGCTAAAAAAGTACTAATTATAGCCAAAATTAGGTCGATAATGGTAAGAGCCACAACAAATGCGTATCTGCATTTACGTAAAGATTTATCTTGAACAACCATAGCCAAAATAGCTGCATTACCAACAGTACCAAATGTTCCAATAAGTATAGTGCACGTTTTCATTGAAAGATAAAAACTTTTAGCGGCAGAACTCGTATTATTATTTGAAAGAAGCTCCGAAGCCATTTTTCTATTCTTTTTGAGAAGCTACTAGCTTACTGTTAATCACGAATAGCAGAAAGAATCATTTATCGCTTGACAACGTCTTATTAACTGTGTTTATTTCCCGATAACAGCCATCCAATATTTACAACCTGACACTTAAGCAACTGCTAAAAGTTTCTATCATAGAAAAACACGTGTCTATTGTTGAAATCACTTTTCTTATCAGATAAATAAAGAAAAAAAAACGAGGGTTGATTAATTAATATTCCTATTAATTATAGAATCTTAATATTTAGCTATTTTTTGTATATTTTATTAAGTTCTGCAACATCTACAAAATAATGAGAGACCTTGTCTAAATTGACGATTCATTAGAGTAAATATAAATGGATTTACCATAACAGTTAATATTTGAGAAATTGTACTAAAAGTATCTGCTATTACAGTCTTTGAACGATCACAATTTGAACAACTAACCATACGGAGGGTTCTCGTTACAAGGAAAGGAATTCGTAGAATCACTTGAAATATAAGAACCAGGCAAAGGAATTTTATCGATTTAGCTGGTAAATTTCTCCTAGTTGCATTTTCATCACTAAAAATACTATTTCCATTTGACTTGACTTTAATTTGATTTCCAAAACAGTAAAGTAAATTTAAAGGAGACTTCTGAAAGAAAAGTAGACCAACTGGAAATGACGTTTTTATACTTGATAATTTTGCAGTTGTGAGACTATCTTGATAGGATTTCATCCATTCATTCCCATACTTAGCCATACTATTATTGTTCATTGTGTATTTCGATTGTATCGTTGCTATTCTTTTGGTTGTTTCCATCTTTCTCCTCCAATGATTCGTGGCAATTGAAACCATTAAGTATGATAAAACAACAACGATAGTTGTAGGCAATAAGGCTCCAACAATACTAACAACAATCCATGACGTTTTATCTTTTGAAATAATACCTTAATAAAAATAGAATTTTAATTTACTATCGGCTGAAAGCGGAATATACAAATACCGTTGCATAAAATTTTTCTATTCTTTCCTGGTCGTTTGGACAACTTTTTCCAAGAGATTAGGAGAAGAGAGAAAAAGGAGCAAAATATAACTAGAATGAGCATCCCTCCAAAAACAATATACTTTTTAAAGTAAACTTTATGCTTTAACGGATAACGAAGACTCAAATATCTTTCTAAAGTAACAAAAACCAACAGCCAATATGATACGTTCATTAGTACCATAGGGACGAAATGTAGAGATATACAAATAAAGTTCGTTTTATAATATACATAATGAATAATTGGATTATTATCATCATTAAGGAAACGTAAACGTAAAATTCCAAATGCTGTAACTATAGTCGCCAAAATGAAATCAATAAGTGAAAGAGCAAAAACTAAACCAAAGCGACTCTTATGTAAACTTTTAACAAACAATATCAGGAGTAGTATTAACAAATTACCTATTACACCCAATATTCCAATAAGCGTACATAAGATTCCTAAAGTCCCGAAAAAATTGCGCAATCGTTGATCACTTGAATTAAGCATAATTTCAACAACCTAAGACAAAGATCTGCATTCGGTGAATATAAGAGTTTTATCAGTTAAGTAATCTATGTTATAATAAAAGGATGTAATTAACTCTGATAAAATGTCAGATTAATTATAGACTTCTTATTTAATTCTGGAACGAGAAAATTGATTAGTGATATCGTTCTTTTATGTATAAATTAAGTTTCCCCGTATATACACAACTCCTAAAAACGAAAGATGGCGTTGGCTTTCAGATTACTTGAAATAGTAGAAGGTAATATCTATTTTCAATTCAACTTAAGGTCGTCAATATGGACTAGTCAAGAATGAAAGGCCTATTAAGATTCGAATTTTGCCCTGAATCATATTACATACGCCCATTTTTCACGTAATTCAAATTTAATACTAATATCGACCTGTGAATGACACAGTCGTGACTATGCCGAAGACCCTGAAGTTAAGTAAAAGGGAAAAAGAATGGGATGAAAAGACTTGGGAAACGTCAACAAGTTATGGATTATCTGCCAATCATAATTTTGAAGAAGAGTTGAACATAGATATTCAATCATTGAAGCAAACTAATAGTGTTAAATCAATACCGATATTTAGTCATCCAGTGACACTTGAACCTCAGGCATCTGCGTTGAAGAAAGTAAAAAAGAAGACAAGGACATATTTACATTTTTCTGTAGTTATGACAATTCTTAATATTTTTATTGGTAATTAAATTTATATCTTACAATAATGACTTGTTTTTAGTTTTAATACATATATATTAAATATAACAGGAATTTTTGCGCTACGGTATTCTCTGCGATCGAGAACTTGCTACAATAAAGGACTTCCCAAAGAAGCTAACATTTTGGCACAACGAGCCTTAATAATCAACCTTATTGCTTTCCTAATACTTCTAATTGCTGGAGGTTCAATAACAATATTTTTATTGAGACCATAATTATCAACTCTATCAAATTCAATCATAACACTAAATGTACATACTAGGGACGGCAAAAAATTTCTTCGGTTCCTTTTTAGAAGGTTCATCTTCTACAACCGCTCCCTTATTATCAAAACCCATAGGCTCTTCTTCGTGAACTTTATTCTTTGGAGGAGCTTCCGATGGTCTTGAAGACGGCACCCAATATGGTATATCCAACCAGATGGTATCGTCACCTCTATTCTTTCTACTCTTGCGAGAACAATTTGCTCCTAGAGGAAAGCAACAAAACCTTCTTCGAAATAGTGCTAAGAACTGTTGGTTTGTAAACAAGCAAATAAATAACGTTCCTGCTGATCTAGATAATTTTATTAAATTCACTGATAGACGGTCATCATTAAAACGTGATAGGAATTTCGGTTTTTCGTTTCCCATATTCTGTATGATTTCCAGTACCATTAACGGAAAATTTGTTATTAACCATAAAAGGGCCAAACTCATTACATTTCTCATTGGTTCATTAACTTGTTTCCATTTATCCTTCGATCGTACAAATAGTCCAATTTTAATCAATAAAGACCCAATTATAAGTGTAGGACATAGGTGCCCTAGGGCGGTCGCAAGCCAACAGTAGATATTACGGTAAGTTGTATTAAACATTATAGATGTATACTCAACAAACCATAATTCTTTTAATTCTAGGCAATTATGAATTCGGACTCTGGTTATTTCAAATAATCTTGGAGTATTACTGACAATAGCAGCGGCAACACCAATCATTATTAGTATAAATATGGAACTTTTCCTCATATTACCATTTCTTTTTATTTGAAAAACCGCTTCTACTAAAGCACCCGCGAGCAACCATCCACTTAACCATTCTAGACTCCTTCCCACTCCGTATTCTACGTGTCGAAAAAAGGCACTTGGTCTTGAATAGGTCCAGACAAAAGAGGCAACTTCTGATTCCAGTGTTATTCCAATTGATTTGAAAGTGATGAAAAGAAGGTCAATAACTGCTATAGCCGAAACATACAAATATGTAGACTTGTGGCATTCCAAAGATTTTGATCTTGCAATGATTAGAAGCAGAAAGTTACAAACTAAACTTGCAACTCCTATTAACGGCGTGAGGATGATATTTGTTACTAAATAAGTTCCACTTTCAGTTAACCGTAATGGAAACGAAGAACAGTTCATTTTCAGTTAGCTCAGCTAATTGAATGTGAAAACAAGTCAACAATTCTCGTTATCTGTTGAATTTAATTAAGCTATTAATTTCGAAATGCCCGAGGAAAAATAAATGGTAGGCTACATTTCGTAAAAAATATAAAATTAAAGAGAATTTTTATTGCCTTTTAAAAAAATAAAAATAAATTTTAGTGATTTTTTAATAAAAATTGGTTTTTACGAAAATAACTCTCTGAATGTTTTACCAAGTCTTCAAATTATCGCCCTCACGTGTAACAGCATTTTTCCAAAGTCCTTCCTGTTAGTTTATGTTATTTATATATTAAGAGGTAAATATCTTTGATCTGTAAAATTTCATGTTAAAGGTTGTTGCTTATTAGCTTGTATATTAAAATTATAAATGTTAGGAGTGATCCAACATTCTTCCTAGTTATGCGACCACTGACTGAAGAAGAGACAACTATTTTTTTCGGAAAATTATCGAAATATATTGGTGAAAATGTCAAGTTATTAATCGATCGGCCAGATGGAATTTATTGTTTTCGATTACATAAAGATCGAATCTACTACACGAATGAAATGCTAATGAAAAAAGCTGCTCACGTTGCTAGAGAGAATCTATTGTCATTCGGAACTTGCTTTGGAAAATTTACTAAAAGCAGAAAGTTTCATTTGCACGTAACTGCTTTGGACTTTTTAGCTCCATACGCCAAATTTAAAGTTTGGCTGAAGCCGAGTGCCGAACAACAATATTTATACGGCAATCACGTGTTGAAGAACGGTTTAGGTAGGATAACTGAGAATACAGAAAAATATCAAGGAGTTATTGTATATTCTATGGCGGATTTACCTCTTGGATTTGGAGTAGCAGCTAAATCGACAGCCGAATGTCGACATGCCGATCCCACAGCGATCGTTTGTTTTCATCAGGCTGACATAGGAGAATACGTTAGAAGCGAAGATACGCTTTTTTAGACTTAATTACTCTTCATATTGTACATATTGTGTATGCTACCAATACAGTCCTCTTTAGAATTTATTTCTGTCCTATATTGTTCATTTTTACAATCATTTTATCTGACGGCTTCCTTTCAGAATGACAACGCCGTCAGATTTTGAAAAAATTGCATCCGCCTGTATTCAACATTATGAAAGCGCGTTAAAGAAAAAAGGGAAGCCTCATGAAAAAGAATGGACTTTGTTAAGCGCAATCATTCTTTGGCATAATGGTATATATCTACAAAAGTTTGCTTAATTTTAGAATTTATTAATATACTGATCTAACTGATTTAATTAGAAGAAAATTTTACAATTGCCTCAATGGCTACTGGAACGAAATGCCTAGGAGAAGTTGAATTGAATGACAAAGGGAATTTAATTCATGATAGCCATGCTGAAGTACTAAGTAGAAGGGCGTTCCTAAGGTAGACAATAATATATTCTCTTCTATTATAAAAATAAATACAAACTGAGAAATTGATAAATTCAATATTTATATAGATATTTGTACGACGAAATTGAAAGAATCAATGATGGTGGCATAAGTAAATATATTGATTTTAAATCGGGAAAGTTTCGATTGAAAGATAATACGAAAGTTATAATGTTTTGCAGTCGAACACCTTGTAAATATTGGCTAAAAAAGCATACTTTATCACAATTTTCCTTTCGATTTTAACATTTATTGCCTATAAAATTAGGTGGAGATGCTTCCATTATTCCAAAACAGGAAGAAGAGCCGGAAGCTAAACGCCCTAAGCTAGATATTCATAGAACAGGCGCCAAATGTGTTCCAGGAGAACCTATGGACGAGAGAGCATCTGGTATGGGATATCACGTGACGTGTTCTCTTAGGACAAAACCTGGAAGAGGACACCCTACCCGCAGTTTAAGCTGTAGCGATAAAATCGCTAAATGGTGCTTGATCGGCCTCCAAGGAGCAATAATGATGCATTTTTTCGATTTGCCATTATACATTCACGCCATTGTTCTGGGGAATTGCCCTTTCAACCAAGAATGTGCAGAAAGGGCTTTATTTAAAAGATTCGATGGTAAAATTCCAAACTTGGGAAAAGTTTATAACAAAATCGAACCGATCATTTACAAAACTAATACACAATTTAATCACCAACAAATGAATAACAGAACAGTAGCCTGTGGAGCCGGTATGACTAAAAAGTGTTTAATTCAATCAGTGAAAATTTGTTGATTATTTTTTATTTTAAGCAATTATCTGGTGGAAAAGTTGCAAAGATCAACAAGTTTGCGTAAACGGCTTAAAACAGGGTGTATCAAAGAAAGCGAAAGATAGCCCTAAATCAAGGTAATATCAAATTACACAATGTTTTTAATTGAACTAGAAATTGAGTTAATAGATTTATCCAACTCTAATTCTCTTTAATACAACCTGTTCAGGTGTAGCGTTTGTAAATTGGAGTTATTTTCAACCGCTCAACGACTGATAAGCAAATTAAAATTGAAAATCGAATCGAACGAAATACTTAAAACATATGAAAGTTATAAACAAGCCAGCGTAGAATATCAAAGAGTTTGGACGCTTTTAAGGGAAGATGCTCTAAAAAATTGGCCAAGAACTGATAGAAAATTAAATTCCTTTTCATGAATGAAATAAACAAATATGTTTTTCTACTAGTAAATATACTTTTCAAAATTAAATTCTTCCAGTTTTCTCTACACTTTGGAACAGTATATTTTACCGATGAGAATGAAAAAGATACAAAACAAGGGCTTTTGTAGAAAACAAACATAAATATTAGATAAGAACAATAAAAAGTTATAAAGGGTATTGAAATGTAAATATAAATTGAAACTTATTTGGTATACTTATTTTACGTAGAACTGTTTTTTTCTAACGATGAGTAAGCCTAACCCTGATCATGAATTTCAGAGGCAAAAGTAAGTGTTGTAACAACAGCTTGCCGGAAATTTCAATACGGAGCAACCCAAAATCTCCTCGAACTACCCCGCCCTTACGACGTATATATAAGAACATCCCAAAATTATTTTTAGATCAGAACTATAAGTTTATAAGTGAAGGATTGAAAATAAAATTTCATAAATCACGAAAATGTCGAAGTACGACGAGTACAGTTGGTCAGAATATAACGATTCTTCCCCTTATTCCGATTTTTCTAAGGTTTGTTGAGTATTTCTGATAAAATATTTAAGTTTAGCAACTATGTATTGTGCTGTATGACACAATATTTAAAATATTTTCATCAAGTTTTGACACGTATGACTATCCAACTTTTCTATTGAAGTTTTTGTATCTCTTCGAAGTCGTATAGACAAAATAAGCTAACTTAATTCAAGACACATGTACTCAATGTAATTTAAAACCTAATAAACTTCAAACTGCCCCCCTTGTTAAAATATATTATTTACAGGTTCGCATTCCAAGACCTCAATATACAAACCCGTCCTACCCAACAGCAGGTTTTGATAGGAAGCCCCCCACGTATGATCCGGGTAATGGTAGTTATGGAGTGCCATATAAATTACCAGCTAAAGGAAATTTCAAGGATGAATATTATGATGACGGTTCGGAGGAGACACTAGCCTCTCTTGAGACGAGGTAACCGTCTATTAATCAATTATAAGATACGACGACTATAAATATTTCAAAAATTTATATTTGCTTTAACAGATACCCAAAGAAAACCTTAAAAACTTTAATAGTCGTTGTAGTGTTCTTGATCCTGATCTGTACTGCTCTAGTAGGAATTTCAGTTTGGTTAGGACTTAGAGGTAAATTTCTAAAATTATAGAAAATAAATTAAGATTAAAAATTCCCTCCTCCTCTTAGATAATTCAAATGATGAAGAAACCGTTAAAAGAAGTCTGAGAATGAAAATGAAAGGCGATTTCAAGTCAGCTTATCAAAATCCAGAAACAACTGAATATAAAGATTACGAGAAAACTTATTGTGAAAATGTAAGTCATTTTTTCAATCGCTTTATGCTTTTTATATGTCGTGACATATGATTTATAACATGATAAAAAAATAGTCAAAAGATGGCGCCATTTATAAAATATCTTTATCAATTTTATTACGATAGTTAACATTCAAATATTTTCAGGTGAACAAAATCTTTGCCACAGCTCAAAAAGAATGCAATGTTAAGGGTCTCACGAGGTAGTGCTAATATATAAACTAATATTGAAAAGGTAAATAACACAAATTCTCTTTACAGAGGGAGTATTGTCATCGATTCCGACCTTGTCTTTTATGAAGAAAAGCTCAAAGCTATGACGAAAAATACTGATAAGAGTTTTAATGAAATTATTCGCGAAATATTTGAAAATAATAAAGAAAAAGTGACCTATTTTAACGATCTAATAGAGTTTTATGCTATTGAAACTGTTAAAGAAGCTTCTGAAACTAGTAAGTTGACGTACTTGAAATAATATCACATTCTAAACATAAATTAATTAAATAGCTGTTCTTGAAATATCTACAAAGTTGAATCGGAGCTTCAGCTCTTCTTACGACAATCCTCAAAGTAATGAATTTAAAACTTTGGAAAAGGAATTTTGCAATGGAATTGAAGACAGTTTACAGAAAAATTTGTCATTTTCTCAGCCAAAATGTTCTGTAAACAATTTCAAGTATGTTCCATAACTCTATTAAATTTACTTTTAATTCTTATGGATTTTAATTATTTTAGAAAAGGTAGCGTTATCGTTAACTACATTGTCTCCTTCTTGAAGATTCAGCTGGAACAAAGCATTCCTAACATTGACGTCGTTAAAAATATTGTTGAAGTTGCTATTGAAAAAGGAATTGAAGATTATTTATCAAGTGAAATCACAAACGTATTTACTGGACAGCCCAGAAAAGTTATACCTCAAACAACTATGGCTCCGAAACAAACTCCTGAGCCCACGACAACTGAAAAAGTCACGACTGTTGAATCTATAGCAACTAATAAGGCAACGACTGCTGGATCTGCACCAACTGAGAAGGCAACCACTTCTGGATCTGTAACAACTCAAGAAACAACTGCTGGATCTGTAGCAACTAAGAAGGCAACGACTGCTGGATCTGTAGGAACGGAAGAAACGACTGCTGGATCTGTAGCAACTAAGAAAGCCACCACTGGGGGATCTGTAGGAACGGAAGAAACGACTGCTGGATCTGTAGCAACTAAGAAAGCCACCACTGGGGGATCTTTAGGAACTCAAGAAACGCATACTGGATCCGTAGCAACCGACGGAGTAACGACTGCTGGATCTTTAGGAACTCAAAAAACGCATACTGGATCCGTAGCAACTGACGGAGTAACGAATACTGGATCTGCAGCAACTCAAAAAACGCATACTGGATCCGTAGCAACCGACGGAGTAACGACTGCTGGATCTGCAGCAACTCAAAAAACGCATACTGGATCCGTAGCAACTGACGGAGTAACGAATACTGGATCTGCAGCAACTCAAAAAACGCATACTGGATCCGTAGCAACCGACGGAGTAACGACTGCTGGATCTGCAGCAACTCAAAAAACGCATACTGGATCCGTAGCAACTGACGGAGTAACGACTGCTGGATCTGCAGCAACTCAAAAAACGCATACTGGATCCGTAGCAACTGACGGAGTAACGAATACTGGATCTGCAGCAACTCAAGAAACAACAACTAATGGACCTACTGAAATCACAAGTGATGGAAATGTTCAAACCTCAACGATCGCTGCTACAGAAACAACTAGTTCTATAGTCTCAACGACATAAATACGGCCAGGAAAATACTTAAAAGTCATAAAAAAACTCTCTTCATAAACTATATTTCTACTAATTCTTACAGACATTTAATGTGATATTGAAATCAAAAGGATTTTAAAATATTAATCTATTTATTACGTTAGCAATTGTTTACACGTTCCAAACAACATAAACGTTATTGTTTTGAAATATATAATATAACCTATTTCTTAGTAAATGAAAAAAAAGACATCAAGTCATTTGATAATATTAACATATTTTGTCAATAATCATTCAATTTGACTTCTCATTTGGAACGGAAGGATGTAGAATTATTCGATTCTAGAGAAAACTATTGAACGCTAAGGTGATAATAAAGAGTCTATAGGAGTTTTATTCCAATCTAAAAGGAAATTAGAAGAGAAGACAATTCCCCAATCAACATATATTAAATTCAATTAACTATAAAGAATTATTTAGTACAACCAACTATTAATAAACAGATAAAACAGAAAGTGTAAAACATCAAAGTCTCTTCTAAGGTGAAGAAATCATACCTAATATAGTAATATCTATAATTATTGATAAGAAAAAGGCGGATATTTATTTACTCGAGAGATATCAATTACCTCTTATCATTTTCACGATATTAATATAGCTTGAAAAACATGTAACAGCATTTAGACCTTATAGTATATCATATATTTTTTATTACAAAATAGAAATGTGTGCAACGTCATCAAGGCTTCATTTTGGTAATTATTTTTATTTCGGTGTGAGGCACCATGTGTTTTATCTTTATATAAACTAAATACGTATTCGCTTTTTGGTTAGTTGTTTATAAGAAAATAGGACTTTGTAAATAGAAGGATATAAAAAGTGAAGGGCATGGAAAGGCAATTACCGCTAATAGTTGCCTTCTTTTCTCTCCTTCTAACTACTTGCAGTGCAATTCCAGATGAACTGGAAAAATGGCTAGAGTTAGCTAGTTTCTATATTGTATAATCGAGTATTTTTTTTACTCATTAATTTCATTTATTCAATACATAAACCACTTTAGAATCAATCATTATTACAGTCCTTTATAAATTATTCCTATTTTTTTTCAGTAAGCAGAACATTGAGGACCATGACTTCTCCAAGTATCTTAATTATAGAGACGTATTAGAATTTTATCCTTTTTACTCTTATTTTATATTGAAAATAAAAACGTTTCTACTATTATTTTAATGTTTATTAGACTATGGAATTCCTGCAAACTAGACTTGAAAGGTGCCATCAAGTTTCAGAAACGCTTTGCAGGATACAAACGATAGGAAAGTCATACGAAGGTCGGGACTTAAAAGTGTTTAACGTAAGCCGAAAATAGGTGATTAAGTTAAGCGTAGGCCTATGTATAAAGCGACGCTTTTCTTCTCTATAGATCGGCAACGAGCCTGGTAAAATAAAGCGTTCAATTTGGATAGATGCCGGAATCCACGCAAGGGAATGGATTTCGCACGCTACCGCTTTGTTTATTATAGATAGAGTCAGTTATTTAGCTTTTAATAAAAATACACTGTAGATGATTCTTCTCTGGTATTTAGCTAGTAGATGAATTTGGCAATGACCCAGAAATTGATGACATGATCAGAACTTATGATTGGTATATTCTTCCAATCGTTAATCCTGATGGATACGAATTTACTTGGACAAATGTTAGTTTAAAGTTATTTTAATGAATAATTCTTAATTTATTTAATACAAAATATACAAAATTTGCTCAATGTCTATACTGACCACTTGATAAGAGTGATGCACTATTTGTTTGTTTACAGGACAGGCTATGGAGGAAAACTCGTAAGCCAAATCCAGGGTCTCCTTGCGTTGGAGTAGATGCTAATAGAAATTTTGGATTCAATTGGAATTGTTTGTATTCGATAAATTAATTTACACAAAAAAATATTAGATTTTATCCTATAATTAAAGCTGTTGGAAGTAGCAATGATCCTTGCTCTCCAATCTATGCTGGCCCTAGTCCTTGGTCGGAGCCGGAAGCCAAAGCTATAAAAGATTTCATGGAACAATCGACTTTTAATTGGATTTTATTTATAACCTTGCATTCTAAAGGTCAACTTTGGATGGCACCCTGGGGTTATACAACAGAAAGGCCAGATAATTACGATAAATTGGTAAACAAACAACGCCATCTTCTAATAAGCTCTTGAGGTTGGGTTCCTAATAATTTTGTAAATAACACAGATGGAAGTCGGACAGTTGGCTATAAAAGCAATCAAGGAAACTCATGGAAAGGATTACCGGTTAGGATCAGCCAGCGAAATCCTATGTAATTAAAGAAAAATATTTATTAATAATGAGAAAAGTTAATTCCCGGAAACTTCTAATTTTATTTCCTTCATGAATCAGATCTCTCTTCGGGAACCTCCAGAGATTGGGCAGCTGGATCGGCTAATATTCCTTATGTCTACACCATTGAGTTACGCGATAAGGGTGAATTCGGATGGGAACTTCCACCGGAACAAATTCGCCCTACTGGTGAAGAGATTTGGAACGCTGTTAAAGCCGTCTACAAGAAGATTAAGTCCGATAATCCTTCCCTTATATAATCGTAATAAATACCATAAAGGAGCGATCCATCGATAAATTTTCTTTCAGGCCCAACGCTATCTTCCCGCCCCAATTATCCTGGGGATACGCCCCCTGTCGGATCCTTCTTGATAAATATTTTTAACTATAGGCTCGGGAACAATCTTCTGGGTTTATCCGCCCCAAATGCGGTAGTATTTGTCGAATTACGCATGGTAATCTCTATCAAAAAGAAAATCTTTTCCTCCCAGTTTTCTTTTGTCGAGGCTCTTACATTTTAACTAGTTAGACTAAATCCGATTAAGCGAAGGTAAAACTCTCTTGATTCATGTAATCCGACTCGCTTTTTTACTCTTTACTTTTAATTAATTTGTAAATAAATTCGATTATTTGGATATAAATATATTTCATTTATAGACAAAGAATATGTAAAGGCATTGCTAGATTTTATTTTTAAAAAGCATAACATTTCTTCTGTTCACTAATTTTTCCATATTCACTTACAAAATAAGCTGTAAAATTAATAGGACTTCGACAGATCAGCGCCACCTGATGACAAAAGAGCAACCAACTCTCCCTCCCCGGTACTTTTTTTCCTTCATGCTTCTTAACATAAGAAAGGAAAGAGAAAATAAAATTCGTAAATAGTTGAGGTATAATGATAGAAATAATAAGAACACTAATTCCATTGTTCATAAAACCCTTCAACGACTCTTCTTCGAAGAGAAAAATAAAGAGGATATAGCTAACAACTAAAGTCTTGATTATCATGTAAAAAAGGTTTTAAGAAATGCATTCGCCATCCTGAGTAACGGCTCGCCTATACAAAGCTTTGTAATATGTATAAACATGCTGATATTTCCCACGGACGTAGTCTTCGGCGCTGTAATCTTCGATTTCCCCTGAGGAGTGACTGTATCTAGAGTATGAAGGTCCTACAGTTATTCCGGGTGGAATGACATGTAGAAGGGGTTCAGTGCCAATGAGAATTGGTACAGAAATTTCAATGCTGTCATTCATGCCAGAGGGTAGTACACCTACGGTAATCACGTAGTCAATCTGAACTAGATTACAGCCATCCAACCTGGATGGAGGTAAAGGTGGAATATGGATGATATCGTGATAAAGAGCACTACCCCCGGATTTAATTTTCCCTCCCGATATACGAAATATGTCTGCTGTACTTTGCTTACTAACACCCCCTGCTTCCAAGGTTACAATTTGTTGCATAGTAACATAGCTAGCTGTAATCTCTTTCTTACTATGGTTTTGCAACTCGGCGTCAACATTTATGTCTTCTCCTGGAACATAGCCAGTTCTGTCTAACCTTAGCAAACAAGTGATTGAGCCACAACGACAACAACAGCAGCACCCCAAATGCTTTTCTCTCTTAACTTGTACAAGCTCGGCACATCTTGGATACGAATTCAAATCAAGACTCGATAAAACTATAAAAGTTCTGTCTTTGCTTTGTCTGACCTTCTCCTCAGAGCTATCTAATCGAGCTTTCAGGAGGTAGTAGACTTTTCCTTTATAAGCATGGCATGATTCGAAAGAAGTTGGTAGAACATCTGGTAATTTGTATTCGAATGTATAATCATGCTGTCCAGCAGGTAATATCGGCTTTTCCTCGGACGTTGTTGGTCCTCTTTGGTTGGGTGCTAGACAAAAAAAATTTTTTTTATAAATTCTATATAGTTCCCAAATCGATTCTCCTTTCGACGTTAGCGCCGTCTAGTTTCGCGATTTTTTTTAAATGTAAAAGAGTAAGAGACAAGCAGATATATAGATAGACGAAACGTGCCGAGATGGCAGACAGAAATAAATAGATAGATAGAACTCACCCCGTCCACATAGCGTTATGCAGTCTTTCATATAAATTTCGTAATCGAAATGAACTTTGCGACCACCCGGTTTGTCTGTCCACGACACTTCGGTTTGACCAAGAACCCATACATGAATCCCTGGACATAAATCATAAAATGAGTTGGATAAAGTTTAAATGAATCAATGTTTTTTACGTTTCGACAGTAAAATAGCGCAGAAAATTATTAACAAGGGAGGAACTCGACCAGCTTGGGAGGAATAAAGAAGCAAGGTGGGCTGCAGACAAAAACGGAAGTGGATTTATACTAGACTTCCCAGCAAAATCTACGGCCACTTAATCGTATTTGCTGTCGCTCACCTCTACTAGCGCGGGCTATCGATCGACCGCACTCTATATACTCGCCGGGGTTTGCGGTATATATATTTACGTTGTATAAAACGCCCCCCATCGATTTCTACGCGTGCAACACACATATATACATATATATATATATGTATATTTAACTATATATATGCATAAATGTATAATTTCTTCATTCAGAATATAATTTATATACATACATATAGAGAAAAATTAATTAGGTTTATAAATATCTATAAAAGCATATTACGTTTTTATACACTCAATATAGTCATGTAGACTTTTCTATTGATATAAAATATTTGAATATTCATTAGTTTATATTTTATATTTTTGTACATATTTATAAATTTATATAGTGGCTTTTATAATAGACTGACTAAATTAGGTAATGAATCTGACTAAAAGATAAGGCAAATAGAAATTTTCCCCTCCTACTCTATTTAGCTCTTCTAATAGAAACAAGTAACGAACCGTTAATCTGCAGCTGACGAGTAACGTGAACAACGACGTGACCGACTATCGTCTCTCCTGGACGGTAAATTCCAGTTGGAGAGTCGAGGGTAACGTCGAAACGGTTTACGTTAGTCGGCATCGTCGTTGGTAGAACTTCCTGCCTAGCTGGAACCGTGCAGTCATCTTCTACCGACGACGCCCGCCGATACCTGCCCAACGACGCCGATCGCTGAAGAAGAAATTTAGTAAGAAAAAAACTATATATATATATATATGTATTCCCGACGGAGACAGTCAAGAAAGGGATGAAAACTTTATAATAAACGTGAAATCTAATACATCTACTCTTCTTTCAGCAAGCAAATATGGGAAAGATCGTTTCGGATAAGAATAAAAACTTGCTAAAATTGGGAATGAAACTTACCTGCAAAACGGGCTGACCAGCGTGGCGCCGCTTTTGACGGAATGAGCCTGATCTGCTCACTTTTGTATACGGACGGCGCAGGTACTCTAGTTTCAACTAGCAGATCGCCTGAGTTTTTTCTCTCCGTTCAGACTGCAAAGGCGCCACCGTCGTTTTTTCGTTCGTTCCTATAGCGACGGTTTTTTTAAAGCGCTCCCGGCGTACGAATCTCTCTCTATTGTAAATTCGACATGTGTCTTTATAGGCTTTAAACACACTCGCGATTAGCGTTCATTATGCAGTAGAGACATTTTTTGTTTTTTATTATATGGCGACAGGAAAAAAGACATGGAAGGGACACAAAACAATTCGTCAAAAATTAATCTGTGACGTTAATGTCTGGAATTTCTAATTTCATTCCTTCTTCCACACCGTTTAAACTGATTCTATGACTGTGCAACATATGATCCCTGTAAAGAAAAAATAACGCCATCTAGTGTAATCTCGTTTATTTACTACATAAGATAATTAAATATCCGCTTACCGATATTCCTGAGAATCGGCGAATGAACGCTGGCATAATGAGCACGAATCATCCAAATAATGAACTGAGTTGGAGTGAAGTCGTAATTCGTCAGCTTCCCGAAAGATGGCACTACATTGGGGACATGTAAATACTGTTTGGCTGTAATGAACTTTCATGTGTTCCCGTACTTGAGATTTTTTAGTAAAATTTTTAGAGCATATAGAACATGAAAATGGTTTATTAGTTTGTGAGGCCATTTTGTTTTCTTTACCAAATTTGTGAGACTTGGAATGTGAGATAAGTGCTGCCTGACAAGCAAATGTTCTCCTACACTCTCCGCATTCCAATTGTTCGTTCTTCTTACTCGAGCTACTGTGAGAGTCGAGAACGTGCTGATGAAGAATTGCTGAACTCTCGTACATAATACCACAAACGGGACAACGACACTGTGAAGGAGTTGGAGAGTTTGTCATCTGCGAATGATGACTTATCTTGTGATTTTCTAATTCAGCGCTAAAAAAGTAGACGTTTGAGCAGCTTGAACATGAATACTTTCTTGAACCGACAGAATGCTCTAAAACGTGCTGTTGTATACCCGCCGATGAAGGTAGTATCTTACCACAGACGTAGCATTCAAAAGGTTTACCCTGATCATAAGAATGTTCTATTAAGTGGCACTGTAAACGTGCTGGAGTATCAAAATTCTTCCAACAAAGTCTGCATTCGTGAACATTTGATTCATTCAGCATGTGAGTGGCGACATGAGCTTGGATCTCCGATTCCGAAAGAAATGACTGTTGACATTTTATGCATTGATAGGCTTTTGGTAATTGACTGTTCTTTTTCTCCGGTTGCATTAGGCAGGACGAACAAACTTTAGATTTATCATTTGTTCGATTTTGCGAAGAATACATCTCGTTCGGTGATGAAGGTTCGGTATTGGTCGGAGTAATATGACACCTGGAACATTTCTCTTCCGGAAAGTGATGTTGAGAATGTAATCGAAGTTCTTCTGTGGAATTGACCGCCTGCCTACAAACAAGACATTTACTCCCAATCACGGAATGATCTCTTGAATGATTAAGAAAATCTCCTTTTTCGGCGATAGAGGCTTGGCACACGAAACAAGTGAGGCGGGACGGAAGTGTCACGTGGCTAAGTTTATGCTGAACTAGTGAAGTAGAAGAGGGCAGGAGTTTGTCACAAATATTACATTTGTGAGCAACTATAGGCGGCGGAGCATGTTTTTCTTGTATATGAAATTCTAATTCGGAAGAATTAAAGCATTCAGTTTGACAGTAGACGCATTTTAACGTTGATGGAGAAACAGATGAAGCGAGTTTATGTTCTATTCTTCTGTGGCGAACGAGTGCTAATTCATCTGGAAAACGAACATCGCAAATCTCACATTTGGTTCTTTCCTTCTTTGATCTTTTAGCAGGAGATGGGGCGACAGGGAAATGGGCTGTCTGAAGATGAAGATCTAGCAGGTACTCAACATGGAATGCTTCCTCGCAAATGGGACACTTGACTGTCTTCTTATGAGTGACCGAATGAACTTCCAATTCTCTTTCCGTGGCGTAAGTTTCATCACAAAGAAGGCACCTGTAGGGCTTTGAATTGTGACGTCTCATATGCATTTGCCATAAAATCTCAGTTGTGAACGCCGCTGAACAATCGGTGCATTTATAAGAACGCTGTTCATTCGAATGATTCATTGAAAAATGAACGCGTAAGCCTACTTTAGAGTCTAAAGTCTCTTTACAAAATCCGCACCTGTAGAGTACTTCTGTATGTTTGTCTAATTGGTGATCATTAAGTAGATCAACAGAAGAGAAAACTTGGTTACAGGAGGAACAAGGATATTCGACAGTCTTAGACTCTTCTGACTCGATATTAGGTGGACTAAGAATTTCACTTTTTAAACTCATAAAAATTCCATGTGACTCCCTTACATGTTCTGCCAAAGCGTGATTGTTTGGAAAGGCTTTGGCACAATGCGAGCAATACATTGTATTCGAATCATTTCGTTCTACCTTGCTATGCTCCTCTTTCGAATGTTCATCTAGTTCAAAAAATGTAGGAAACACAGCATCACATAGCTCGCAAACATATGCTTGTCCACCTTGACCGTGCATTGTATGAATGTGAATATCCAATACTTTCTGATTTACAAAGTTCTTCTTTTGACAAAGCTTATAAGGGCATTCGTAAGTTGATCGCCATCGATCGTTCGCCCGAGCAGAAGGCGGGTCGTGCGAATAGAAATGGTTTTCTAAGTCTTCAAAGAAGTCCTCACAGATCGGGCATATATCCACCGGAAAGAAATCGGCATGTTGCGAAGTTATATGCGTAGAAAAAGTCGACAAGGTTGGAAAAGAAGAAGCGCATCTGGAGCATGTATATGGTCGAGATTTGTCGTGCGAACGAACGTGCGCGGAAAGTTGATCGCATCTGTTAGTTGAGCAAGTTTACACATATAAACGCTTGTAGAAACCAATGGGAGGTCTGCACCCAACGATGTAAGACAAAAAGCCACACCCTAGTGATCGCACAAGACGTAAGGTGTCGCCTTTCTTAAATAAAGTAAACTTTGCAACTCTCCTTAGACGAATAAAAGTGGTCGATCATGGGAAATATGGGATAAAATTGTTACGTCTCCACACCGCCACCCACCCTTTCTACTAAACTAAGCCGTTGTTAAAAAGCGAGTCGCGTGACCTTAAAAGAGCTTAAAATGTAGAACGGCATCTACTTAGCGTCCCTCGACTCGCGCATCCATCTCACTAATGCCAACTGTCGGCGTCCAATAGACTGGCGGTAGACGACCGTCCTAGGTGGCGTTGGGAAGACGTACGACTCCACAGGGATCCGTATTCCCTGAGGTAAAAATTCTATATACATATACCTCTTAAAACGAGCCGAACAATAGGAACAGCTGTAAACTCCATCCTTCCTCGAATGAACCGTCCGGTGTTTGTCGAAGTCACTTTCTTCACTAAAGTTTCTCTCACATAATTCGCAGTCTGCAATAAACGAAAACGGACTGTACTACCTTCCCTGGAGGGTCGCTGACATTTACGTCAGTATCCCCGGGGAGCTAACTAATGCTTCCATTCCCCGCGGTTACCCGGGCAACGATTGTGTCATGCCGCGGGTCTTGGTGGATTGGGGTTTTTTTCTCTTTCTTTTTCCCTTAGTCTCTTAGACTATTCCCTACCGCTCTTTCTCTCCTCCTACCACCCGACGTTTCAAATCCCCTTCACTTAGTTGTGTCTTATTTATATATTTTTAAGTGAACTTCTCATCTTCTTTCTTTTTTTACCGCAGCGAAAAAAATGAATGACATTTATTCGGCAAAACTCCTGTGGGAGTTTAGGGGGGATTCGCGACGGCGAATGAGTAATGCGACGTTTGAGCCTATAGTATAGGTAATTAGAGGAGAGACGTAGATTATCCTACTGTTTCTGCGCTCGTCGGCTAATGACGGTCGAATACCAGAGGGAATAGAAGCATGTTGCAATTACAGCAATGCTCTCTATTCCGCTTGTTTTGCGACGCGAAGTTAAACGAATTATATATACGATCCAGCAATCTATATGATGCGCTTCATCGTTCCTCTTCAAGCTCCTTCTCACTGGCAATTTACTTTCGAAAAGAAAAAAGTCACATACAACTTTTCCTGTTACTCTTAGAAACGAATAGTCGGAGAGGATCAGTTAAAGTGGGATAGAGGGAATAGATCTTATATTATTTTATGAACCTAGTCATTATTTCATATTTATAATTAGTGTTTGTCTACGTACCGAGACGAGGAGGTTTGTCGGTAGATTTCCGGTGTAGAGCCTTAGGTCTGGCCTGTTTCCTCCTAGACATAACCGACCGCCGTAGAATCTTCTAAACAACTGCAGCGTTCGGCCACGCCAGGGCCAACTCCCAGTGGGATATCTCCACCCCGCTGCGCACCCCACGCTGTTAGTTCGACGCGCATGCGCAGTTTTTATAACGTATGTTACCAATTAACAAGGCCCTCATAAATGGTCTTACAAATTTCTTTGAAGTTAGTTAACAGGTGTCCTATTCTTCGTTTAGACCACTTAGAAATTTCGTTACCTAGAAACGATTGTCACCAATTCTTTTAAGAAACAAACTTGCGCACTTATACAGCGCCATCTATTACATTTATTTTTGTCATGTCAATTTCTTTCAACATAAGCAAGGAATATAAAAGTACAAGATGTAAAAGACAAAAAAACATCATTGGAAATAATTTCAATTTTTCAGGGAGAACTCAAAAATATTCCTGTTAACAATTGCAAACATAAAACTACTGGTTTCATTACAAGCTACTATTTAAGCTTCACTATCTTTATCTGGATGAAAAATAGGAGAAGGAAGAACGATTGCAGGAACAGAGTCATCTTCGGTATGACGTAGTTTAACAACTGGAATATGACTCGATTGTTGAGTTTCAAGATTCATCTTTAAACTTCGGATATATGCTTTTTCGTTTTCCTTAGTTTCTTCATCCGGATCCTGATAGGAGATTCTGAAGAAGTATTTGTTAAAAAAAACACCTTTCATAACTCATAACTAAGCTTTTCTTATATATAGACTATACTTAATAAGATTATACACGATATACAATTAGTTGTTAGCTGTCTTTTTCGTTCACACTCATTCTTATTCTCTTATTATGACAAAATAAAGCCTATCTGTTATCGAGAAAAGGTAATATTTACATATAGTTTTGTCTTCCCATCAGCTGTTCTCTGTAGAGAGCCAAAAAAAAGCAAACTAAATTACGCTATAGATACTACAAAATTAACAACGTCATACAATAATGTGCAATTATATGAAAGCGATAATAGTTAAGCAATTAAAAATTCCTTACTTCTTCTCGTTTCTAGATAACAAAACTGTTAGAGTTAATAAACCAAAAAAAACCAAAAATAAGCACCGTTCATACTATATTATTGGAATTAATAACAACAATAAAAAACCAAGTAAGAATTGACTTATACTCCATAAACAACATAAAAAAAATACTTTCTATTAATAAATTGTTCCTTTTATACCGTTTTAAAAATGTTAAGAAAATAAGCTAACACTCTTTTTTAATGATAACAACAAAGAAAAACAAAATTATGAAATGAAATTAAATATAGAAGAGGAAGGATATATATATATATATATATATATATATATATATATATAAAGAGAGAGAGAGAGAGAGAGAGAGAAAATTAAAAGTTTTAACTAGTTTTGTTAAAAAAACTAAAGTAAAAACGATATATTTTAAAAATTTTTCTACTTTTTTAGACGAAATATTCTCCTTTTGTTTGTTTTTTTTATGTTAGAGCTACTTTTTCATTGTTTTAATCGATCTTATAAAACTATTCATATTTTATTTTTAAATCATCATCACCTTGGTATACTTTCGCTGGACATTCTGAAGAAAATGGTAGTATTTTTTTTTATAAAAAAAATATAAAAAAAATATGATAAATAAAAGTAAATTATTTGTTTTATGATTATTATTATTAATACTAATATTTTTCTCTTTTTAATATTTCACCTTCTGTTGTTTAGTGGTCGATTATCGCTATAGACTTCTTCTTCGTGATCTCCTCGAGCTTTCAATGGTTTCAACTTATATTTCTTCTTTTTCTTTCCTATTTTTTAACGTGTAACGTAGTCCGAGCGATAAAGGATAAAATTTTGTAATTGATAAATTCAAAAATAATAATATGAGAATAAAAAGATGGCTTAAAGGTACAAAAATAGAAGAGAAAATATATTAAAGATGAATCGTCTCAAGCTAATTTTTCGTTTGAAAGAGTGTACTTATCCCTATCAAACCTATACCTTTTTGACAAGCCGTGTGGCGTGATAAAAAAAACAACGTTTTAACTACTAAAATGAATTGTTTAATGAAAATAGGAAAGAAAAACAATTAAAACTCTCCTTCCTTATTTTGTTCTTCTTTATAAATATATATAAAAATTTTGAAATAAATAAATAAAGAAATAAATACGAAATTTTCTCTGTAAAATTCTTCAGAAAGCATCAAATAAATCAAAGTGCTCAATTGAAAATGATTAAGCATTCAGGTAATAAATCTTGCCTCATTCCTATTGAGAAGCGATTTCTTTTTTCTGTTATCAATCAAATGTTTAGCTTGTTTATTTGTTTGTTTTTTGATAACTTGTTATCAATTTTTGGAATTTTCTCTTGTGTTTGTTTGTTTGTTTCTAATTCAAGTTAGACTATAAAACTACTAATCTAATTTCAAATATCAGAGCAATTCTATTAGCTATCAAGAAAGCGCACCTTTTGAGCAGGTAAATCATAATTCGAAAGATGAAGCTTATTGAAAAAAAACAAGCAATATTACCTGAATTTTCAGCCATTGACGATCTCTCTCTCAATTCCATATTATTTTCCAATAGCTTACTCTTTTCTTCAGAACTTAAATAACTCGTTTTTTGGTGTTTTCTAAGAAGTTGGAATATAATTATATAAAGATTAAGTCGATAATAAAATAGAAAATGGTAGAAGGGAAATTAGAGTAATTAACTGGAGCTTACTCGCCAGGTTCTTTCGGCTTTACTACATCAGCTGGATTAATATTCGGATCTCTTCTTGCAGCCTCCAATATTTTTGCAACTTGATACTTTTCCTATTGGTAGAGGAAAATTATTATGTAGAGAAAGGGGTATTTATATAGGTTTTTGTATAAAGAATATCAAGGAGAAAGGTTAGGAGGAGGGAAATTGAAATCAGATATAAGCAGATCATGATATATCCTCACCCTTCTTCTACGACGTTGAATGAAGCGAGGTACGTCAGGCACCAAAATTCGTATGATAAATTTAACAGCAAACACAATATGCTGTAATATTAGAAAGCAAACATGCACAAGAGAGTTATATCAGATATGTTAGATAGTATATCGACAAATTCAAAATTTCTACATGTTCATTCACCAGTAATTTATCAAAAGAGAGGAAATAGAAAATAATTCTCTATTTTTAGTTACTTCATCAATTTCTCTCCATTAGATACATTATAATCTTATCTCTCTCCCTCTCTTTTTCTTTCTACTAATTGAATAAAATATGATTATGGGTTATCTAAAAAAGAGTATATGAATAAAAGAAGATTTTTTCAAGTCAAACGCTTTTAGGACATAATAGAGATCCAATTTTAGACCAATTCAAAAAGATCATCACCTTACGACGCCTTAGGCAAACCCAGGCTGGGGTGTCGGGTATGAGAAGATCGATGACAAATTTGACGAAAAACACTATATGCTGTAAATGATTTATGATATTTTGTTTTGTTTTTATAACAAATAACAAAAAAATGATGGAAAAATTCTCTAAACAAATGAAGAAACTTAAACAACTGCAATAATTTTTTTGTTTTTAAAGAGAATTCATATTTTAGCATCTTCTCTTGGATTTCATAATACAAACTAAGCCGTTGATTTAATTGCTTTTTCTTGATCAAAGATGATAAAAAAAAGAAAAACATTTTTAATCACAAACCTCAAAGCCAATAACAATAAGTAATTTCTTGTATGTTTCGTCAAATGATCTTCCCCAATGAGATGTAAATGCAATCAAGCATGCATTGCTGATTACTCCTATTACGTTTAAAACGTATAAAATTCCATACCACATACCTAAAATAGAAGTGAATGGTTGGAAAATGATAAGAATGTTTATTACGGTTATGTCAAGAGCTATCTAACCGATATCTTGGGCTATGGTACTAATGGGCCTTCTATACCACCAGAGAAGCCTTCCAGCGTCTACTCGTATGTCGATTAAATATACAATAAGTGCTATCAATGGGGCGACTGGTAATGAAGCCGCAAATATCTGAAATAAATTATTACATAATACGTAAAAAGGTTCACGTGAATATAAAATAAATATCATTTACCATTAAATAGCCATAGATTAAAACTTTTTCGGTATATTCTCCAAGTGTAAAATCCCCAAGTTCCGGTTTAAGACGTTCCCTTTCCAAAAAGTCGGGAAGCGTTAAACTCTTCTTCTTTTGAGCAGATTCAGTATCGTCAACACGCCTTTTTCCTCGACATATTTTACGTAGTCGCCATTTCTTTAGTAACCATCTGTTTTTTTTTTAATTGAAAGAAACCTTGCTAATACTCTTTTACCAGCCATTTTTAAGCCCATTTCTACTTACGGTAAAATAATATCTTTTAAGAACTTTGGAAGAGGTTTAACTATCATAAGAACGAGAACCTGGAGCGAAAGCATTGCCATACAATTGTTATCTGTTCCGCAACTGTCCGTATATTTTTCTCCCAGGCCAAATATTCCATCTTTACCATAATTAATCTAAGGAAAGAGTTACAAGAGGATAAATTACTTGATGTTAATTAATCGCAAATTTTTAACCAATAACAACTTACTCCTCTAAAAAATGCTATATAAAACAAAGAAGCGTAACTGTTGGCAAATTGGAAAGCGAACAGTTTTATAATTAAGGCGTCGTCGTATTGAGTTTGCGTTCTATGATTTTCTACAAAAGAAGACAATACACGATTAAAATAGAACATAAACTGTTTATTTAAATAAATGACTTACCCCAATTCGTTAGTTTATAGGCCAAAATCTCATACAGTTTACCGAGTAACATAATAGAAATAGCATTTAGTAGTGCTGGTACCAAGGCGTTCACTATTATACAAATTTTTGGATCCGAACAAAGATTGACGGCTGTATACACCCGATATAGAATTACCATGGCAACAGAAATTAGAACGAAAAACACCTGTATTTAGAGAGAATTGCTTATTAAACTATTAATTACCATCAACTATAGAACAATTTTCTCTACGAACCATAGTTATCAATATGGAAAAGGAAAACATAAATTTAAATAATTGCCTCTTAAAAGGATAATACCAGATTTCTTCTTGAGTTACAGGATCTCGTTTCTTCTGTGTCCCTTGGAACTGGGGTCTATCAGGTTCAGTTTCTTCAAAGTAATCGACGTCCCAACGATAGGCCAACTCTGCATTCTTTCGTTTCCAAAACTCAAGGAAGAGAGTACCCCAAAGGCACATAATTAGAGCATAATACGGAGTGACTTTATTATCAAATGCTTGCCGAATTACTTGAATAGACCTTTCAACGTACGACTTTGTCCTTTCGAATAAGGGATAGAGTAAAAGTATAGAGTATTTCATTAAACGATAACAATATATTGAATACGTGTGATACATACAATGTCAGAGGATCGGTCGCATTCAACTGATTAGTATTGTTAATGTTATGTTCTATGCTCAAGTACAATCCGTAAAAGAATATGGCGAGTCCTAGCAAAGTTGGTATCCATAAAGATACTATAAGCGTTCCTACCCAAGCAAAATATAATGATATTTTTTCCCCAAAATAGTTTCTAATCTTCCAAAGAGGTTGATATTTCCTGTATCTTAACCAACTCTCCTAAAAAATTGCCCCCATAAATTAGCCAAAATGAGTATTCTTTGTTGAGAGTTTTCTATACTTACGTGTAACTCTTTTCTAGTATCTGGTAAAATCAACTTTTTCCCTTCTGGTGGATCATCTATAACAAATCTTGAACCGAATTCTCTTTCCTTTTTCTTTTTTTCTTCCTCTTCCATTGGATCGATATCCGATTCGTCGTGCATAATAAAAGCATCCAAAAAAATTTTCTCCATCAGCATATACTTGAGGCCTATATTTAGTTAAGAACTTTATTATAAAGAGAACCTTTTAGGTAATAAAATATACCTTTTCTATTTAAAGGTTCATTTTGTCTGTCTGCTTCATCGCGAATATCAATATTTATAAGAATATCATTTGCCTAAAGAAACAATAGAATCCATCAATCTATTTACAATAATTGTGTATGTTGTTAACACAGACCAGAAAGCATCGCAAGGCCGGCCTAAAGAATGTATTTACATCGCTATGGTTTTCAAATATCTTCATTTTTTCCTTCTCGAATGTCGTTGCAACACTATCAACTGTAATGAATTCAATAGAACGAATTAATTTTATAGTTTCCATTACCAAATTTATAAAAGCCCGACTCCAAAAGATACAACAATATTATGAGTGAATATTAAATAGATAAAAGCCTTGAATAAATTAAAATCTTGCTAACTAAAAGAAACTAGAACAATAATGTTTTAACCAAAAAGAACCCGAAACTTGTGTTATTAAAACAATAATAACAAAAAATAACCATTTAAAGATAGTATACAGTGATAATTAATCAATTAGCTAATTAATTAATTGATTGATCTAGTCTTATTATTGTGCTATACATTTAAGAAAGACACTATGACACCTGTATATCTTTCAACGCTTCTTCCATCTATAGTGAATATCTTTTTTGCTAAAAAAAAAATGTTAATGGAATTCTTTTTACTTTTTAAATTTGTCACTAATTGGCCAATTTACAGTTAAAATTGTTGCGAAGAGGATAATGAATCAATTAAGCTCTTCCCATTTTCAAGCAAAAATAAATAAGTTATTAACATTCTTTAAACAAAGAACGTTTTATGAGATAAAAATTCATTGACAATTTGTTTACCTTCGTTATCTGTTTTTAAATGTTTTCTTTCGAATTCATAGAACCATTCAAGATATGATGGTGGTGGATCTTCGGGTATACTTAACTATAAAGATATAAAAAAGTAATCTTTCCTTTAAACGACAATTAATTCATTATTTATAATATCTTTACCCCTCGAATGTTCATTTCTACGGCCACTCTTTCCGCCTGCGTGCAAATTCTTTCAAATGGAACATGTATTTTAATGAATATATTTTTTTTATCAAAATTTTTCGAATCTGTAATCTCATCTTCTTGCATCTCAAGACCTTCTTCCCAAATGGCTTCCTGTATTGGCGGTTGGGAAAGACTCCAACTATTTTAATGAATTACCTTATTCTTTGTGTTATCCTACCTTAAATTTATTCCTTAACTTATTTTTTTCCTGCGTTTTAGCATCATCTTTTTCTTCCTCGTCCAGTTCATATATCAAAACATAATCTATCCTTTTCAACTCTTTATTCGAGCTTTCACCTCGCCGACGACGATGGGGGGGACTCTCTGGAGAAGATGATCGACGCTTAAGTTCGTATTCACTATTCATACCCGATTATGATTCTCTTTTACGCTCTAATCAATAGCATAACCGTTAGCAATCAGCTATATTTAACAAAACATGGAAAATATTCTCTTTAAACTATTTTTCTCCTGTTCGCAGTCCAATGGCTGATAAACTATATCTCAAAAGCTGATTCTCTTATTGTTTCAATTGCACTGTAAGTAACTTAATAGCTCTATTAGTTTGGGCCGATCCGTTTGGTACAATAGATAAATAGTAAGTTGTCCTTAAAGCCTGTTACTAGTTGCTATGTACATCACGTGATTGTTGCTAAGCTCGAACCTCTGAGTTATTTCCTATTTAAGTTAAATAAATATTCTTTATATATTAATATAAAGACATTTTTGATCTATTATTATTATTTCACCTGAAATATCGTCACTGAAATTATAATAAAGAATAAAAACAATAAGTGGAATTAACTTAATCATTCAAACCACTCTAAATTTTCAATTATCAACTTAATTAAAGAAAACAATGTATTATTGTCATGCCAACCAGACTAAAAATATTGTAGTTCAATTAGAAAATCTTGTTATAGGAGAATACTCTGATTTTATCAAAGAACTGATGAAGCATAACGTATTGTTCGACTAGTAAAATTCGGAAATTAGAGGATAATTGATAAAAAAGATATTTTAATAATGATCTTTGTATATTTTCATTATTATATTGTATTATTATGTAATAAATATTTATGAATTACTACATTTCCTCTCGAGGGGTTTCGGTAATCTGTATAGAAAAAAATTTCATATAACAAATGTGAAGTCCTATATGTTCCTTTTAAAATGCTTGTTTATACTGTAGTAATAAAGGAAATAAGTACCGAAGCCCATATCTTCTTCCTTCATTGAAAATCTCTTAGTTCTATAAAACATTTTTTGATGCTTTTGTTGTTAGAGTAAATCTCTATGATGGTCCCGTATTTAGAACAAGTCCGGAAGAATTCAGACAGTGGGCAAATGTAAGATTGTTTGAATAATTTCTAGACGTCTTAAGTCAGTTCTTTCTTCTAGAAAGTCTTAAGCATCACTATTCCTCTTTCTCAATCATGCAGCGAAATATTGAACTTGCGGTAGACTGTAATATTTAAATATTAATACGAATCATTAGTATTGTGTTCATCTCAAATAGAAAATGATATTATTTGATGAGGATGATGACTAATAGTTGTAAGTTTATGCATATAGAGTATAGAAGCAGCATATATAATAGACATATCAGTAATAATTCCGGCTGCCAATTATTGTTTTCATATTATTACTTGTCTTAAAATTTTAGTTGTATTAGTATAAAAGAAGTTTTAAATAATTGAATAACATCTATTGACAAAAGAGCTTACCGATATTTCATATTATATCTTCCGAGAATCTCTCCTATAGAAAATCACTCAAATTCTATTGAAAAGACAACTCTCCGGAAAGAATAAGAAGCAATAACTTTCTAATGGCATTTCTGTCCCAATAAATAAACAATCAATTTTGTTAGCGCAATGATATTAAGTCTGCACAGCTATGATAGAATTAATTTTGGCATAGACATTTTAGTAAAGTATATTTTTGTGTTTGAGTTTAACAGGAGTTCTAAGGCATTGTAAACTAGCGACAAATCACACTTTAGATAATGACTAGAGAAAAAGAGATATAGAGTAAGACTGTTAAGTAGATTAAGAATTCGTACAACATCAAATAAACTGGCAGCATATTGAAACGGAAAAATTGAAACAAGAGGAATATCTCCTACTGCATATTAGTGTCGTTGCCGATGACTACTGGTGGAGCCATTTCCAAGTTGCAACTGTAGAGGAAAAATAAGATGGATATTTCTTTAACTGTACTTAAATATTTTCATTACCTAGCGAGTTCCCTTTGAAGTTGGGCTGTGATCCTTTCGCATTGCGCATAAAATGAATGCTGCGCATCGACGAAATCGTGTAGGCAACGCAGATGGTGGTTATGGGCGCTTCCCATCCCCTCCAGAAGCAATCTTGTAACTTCCGCTTGCCTCTCGAATTCGCTACGAGCATTTCGTACATCAGCTTCGGCTTTTAATAACTCTTCGCTGGTACTCCCAGGACCTCCAGCTGCTTGCTCAGCTCGTTTCTGCCTTCCTCTAGCCGCATCTAAATCCAATCGCCTAGCTATTAGATTCCGACGTTCTTTTTGTATTGTTTTCATATCTCCGTCTAGAAAAGCTCGAAGAGGTTGAACAAAACTTGTCATTGCCGAAGCTAGAAATTCTTTTTCTGCTCCTCCAAGTTGTTGTTCAGCTCTTCCTACACGAGCTAAGGCGGCTCCATACGGGCCACCTAACTCATTTCCGGCATCCATCATACCCGTGCCAAGGTTTTCAGATTCAGTTAATCTCCCGGATTTTCTTTCTAGAGCATCATTTACAAATTTATCGAGCCGAGCGCTGGGATTCGGCTGTAAAAGGCCTTCTGTGTCTTTAACGATTCTTTCTGTATGATTTCTAGTGGCATCGGCTCGCTGCAAAAGCTGTTCCAGATGAGGATCTAAAGGCGTTTTTTCAGTACTACTCCCACCTAACGCTTCTTCAGTAAACTGTGTGGGAGGGAAGTGGGGAAATGGGATAAAGTCGATAATTTTTTAATTCGTAAAATGGACGAATGATATTTGAAATATTTCATACCTGCTTTGCCCTACTGAAAAATGATCCTGCCTCCGAAGCGAGTTTCTTAAAAGGTGCATCCATTTTCACTCTTTGTATTCTTTATAACGTCAGCAAATATTATAAAGCCGCCGAAGCATGAGCTTATTGCATATTTTATTCGATCGATAATCTGATGTCTGCTAGAATCCTTTCCGGTCAACTGTGTTTTCGTATAAACTCAAACTAATTTTAAATACAAATTCAAATATTTAAAATTGTTTTAAAAATTATTAAAATTTTTATTAGTTTATCTATAATTTGATTTTGGGATAAATAGATTTTTCATTGGCTGCTACAGCCATCTAGTGTTTAGAAAAAGTACTGGAGAAATTGCGCGCTCTTATTTTCTGAATAATATCATAAAAATGCTATTAGATGGTTTTTTCTGAGGTCGAGTCTTTTTGGGAAACGTGTTGAATGAAATCAAGTAGGCGTCGTGAATAATAATTAAAAATAGTATCTGAATGCATTCATAACCGCCAAAATCTAGGCTAATCTCTAAATCAATATATAACCGCAATTATTGCAAATTTTTAAACATCCATAACTGAAATTACAGATATAAGTACTAACAGTTGTAGCACTGTTTTGGGACGTATTTGTCTAGAGACTAATTTTAACCTTATCATTTTAATAAGATACACGCGGGTTTCTCAATTTTCAAAGAGGCGCCAGACTCTCGCCAAAGACCGTGATTTTGACCTATCTATCTGTATTCAAAATGCGAGGGAGAAAAATTTTATGAATGCAAAGAAGGAAAATTCGAACGCAAATACCCACATATGGATTATTCGTGAAATTTAAGGCGGGAGCTACTCTCAACCACCTGGAACGTTGCAAACACTTATCAGCTCTTGGGAGTGGCAGTTTTGGACTGATTATAGTGGAGGGCGGTAAGGGACTAGAGGGAGTAAAGGTTATTGATCGACCACCGCAAGATAAACACTAGTACAATTTTTTTTGGCGGGAAAAAGCAATATTTCCGTTCACTCCTTGTACGCACTAAGAAAGTTGAATGAACTGTTGCCCTATCGAAGGATGTCAGAATGGGATACTTATGAAATAGCGCCATCTGTGTTAGGCTAAATGTCTAGATAGTAGGTATTACGGATTAATGCGGGAGCTTTCCGGAACGTGTTTTGAAAATTTCAAAAACTCGGCTTTTCCCTTTAATCGTCCGTTCTCTCTTAACAGAGCCTTTGTTTTCTATAAATACAACGGTCTTAAAAAAACTGTTTCTTTCTACGCGATAGAATTTTGAATAAGGGCAGGTGTTTTCCCTTTTTTCTATTTAATTGTTCAAAAACTTCCTGTCCAAATAGGAAAGTTTTACGTGGTTTTAACAGAATTAAAAGTAGTCCGTGGATAACATTACTTTCAGGAATAAGAAACGAACCTGAATTGCACAATAAAAACCTAGTTTTACAATCTGGCAATCTTCCAAACAGGGAGTGAAACCGCATAACTGGAAAAGTATAAACACAACAACGTGACTCGGGGATTTTCCCGCTTTTTCGAGACAGAACATTATTGAGGTTACTCACTCGTTATTAATAAGCTTCGTCAGAGACCTTAAAATACGATGGGTGTGACTGAATATAAATCGGTTGAGAATGGAATGCTAATAAATTCCAACAAATTTTTCGCACTAAACGGGAAGAGTATTTGTTTAATTATTACTATTTACAGACCGACCTGAAATTAACGTCGTTACTTGTAATAAAATAAGGGCGTGAAATTTGGCGATTGGCCAATCTAGATTGAACTTTGAACTAACATACGACGCCCCGCCCCAGAATTGGGTTGAACAAACTGAATTGTATTGTGACGTTTCTTTCCCTCCGTCTAAACAATGCCTTTTTGTCTTCAAAACAATAACATAACCTCCAACTAGGGCGACTGCGTAGTTGTCTGGCAAGTGTGCAAATGTTTATTATGATCATTTGTTGCGCAACAACTATCTACGAATGAAAGTAGAATGCTGCGGTGGCAACGGGTGGGAAATGTGTGGGGGGAGGATGGTGATAAGGGCCACCTGAGTCACGTGATGGAGTACAAAGAGCCGCTAGACGTTCCCGCTTTTTTTTTCTGGCGGGAAAAAGAGAAGACAGATGCGGCTGGCCTGAGTCTAGACCGCACTTGATGCACTAGTTTAAAGAAATTACGTACATATATAGAGATATTGGCCTTACCCAATGAACTACATTGATAAAACATATAGTCCTCGAACCTTTAAGTAGTAGTAAAATAAATTAAGGCTAAATCTGAGAGAGAGAGAGAGAGAGATAGATAGTATTATTTTCTTTTTATTTTAACAAAATGTATTTAACATAGAACAGATTGTATTGCAAAAAAAAGGGAAGAAAAAACGAAAAGAAAAGAGAAAAAAGGGAAAGTATAGGCTTAAATCATAATATAAAAAAGAGAGCAGTTAGGGAGAGTGTAAAAACGTTCTCTATCGTATATATAACAGTTGCAGTCTAGGTACCAAACCTACTTTCGAGCAATCGAATCTTGAGAAAAATTATGCTATCCATTGTTTGTATACACCGTACGCTAATAACTTAACGGTCAGTGACGTATACGGGTTAAAAATATTTTCTGTTAACGTCAATATTTCTATCGATCTTGGGCAAGCGTAAATATATCAACTACTATTAGTTTTTATAGGTTTGTTAATGTTATTTTTAGAAACAATTGCGTACACGAGATGCTCAAAGAAAAATGTATAGATTTTCAATTAAATTGCGTAAAAATGATCTATAAATAGATTTATATATATATATATAAATTTATACATAAGCATATTTAATATATTTAATATACGAGTTTATCTGTCTGTCTCTCTCTACGCGGAATTAAATATAAATAAAAACAGATTTTTCATATACATAGGACGGCGAGAAAGGCTGGAGACACAGACAGACATGCGCACAGACATACATAAACCCAAACAACATCTCATTTGTTTATCATCGATTTTTTTTTTTTTTTTTTTTTTTTTTTTACTATCTCCATTAATGTTGTCTGTATTTATTACTACTATTATCATATTTCTTTTATCTTTTCGTACTAGAAGCAAGAAAATTAGAATATAGTAAAAGAATATAGGAGAATGTCTGTCACGCTTATTATTCCTGCTTAATTAAAAATTGTAACCGGAAACTGGAGCACGAGTAAAACATCTGCTAAATTTGTTTTTACAATTGTCACGTTTTTTTTCCTTCTTTCCCTATGCTTACATAAGTGCAACACATTTTTTCAAGAAAGAAATATGGACAAGAGCGGTTAAAGAAAAAAAAAGAGGCGAAAGAGTGGTGTAGACGCTCGATAACGGCCGCCTTACCCTGGCATTCACCTACGCACTCGGTCATTGTACTCCGGTCACGTGATCAAAACGTTTTCTACTTAGAATAAAGGCAACGTTTATTATCTTATCAAATACCATATATACACGTCAGTAAGTGCATAATTTGATAAGAAGAGCGTCTATTGTCTAAGAAAATATCAATATGATCTACATATTAGTTCGCAAAATGAACTTTCGAGTAGTTTCATTTATTCTTCATGCCCTTTCCTCCACCTGTTTTTTATTGGGTGAAGGAGGACGAGGTTACTTACCTCTGTGCCTTCGCAATGCACTTTACATAACGATTACTCTTCAACTGTTAGCAGACACCACTATCAGTTGTCTATCAGTCTGAATTAAACAATTATTAAAATAGTACTGAATATATATAACATAGATATTATTTATATATCTATACAGTGTAATATAAAATAAAGGTAATTTTTACAATTAGATCTAGAATTCTTACAATGTGAAAGAAAAAAACAAACATAACAGATAGGAACAAAGAAGTAGAAAAAAATTGGGTACAACAACGAATAATTGCGGTTTTGCTTTGTTTACGACAACAGACTGAGTTTTCGCGACTTGCATGTGCATGCACTGATAAGAATACTTCGTTTAAACATGCTATAAAAAAATTTTTCTTGCGTGTTTCTTCTCTTCGTACATTCTTAGCAGACTATTTTTTATTATTATCTAATTTTAATATGTTTATATATTTATTTGTTGTTATTATTCAACACCCACTATTGGCAACAATTGATTGGAATATCAAATATGACTAGCGTGTGAAAATAGTACTGTTATACTGTGACAATCAATTATAATTTATGCAGTGAAATATCACAACAGTTGGAGTTGGTAATTATCGATAACTGATGTATATTTTACTAATTAGACAGCTAGCATTAATTAAATGAATTTTGACGAAGCAGGCGTAATGCAGAGGCGTATGATTGAACAAGATTAAACGAATATTTGTAATATATTAGGCGATTTATAAAATCATAAAAGTAGAGTAGATAGATAACGTTTAAAAACAAAAAAAAACCAAAATAAACTATTACTACGGTTAGCTCAATCTTTCTCAATTCAAATACTTAATTATCTTCTTCTATTAAATCATCATGAATTCATATTTGCGGCTGATCAAGTAAATAATTAAAAGTCGGTCAACGTTAATCGTCTCTATGAATAAACACAAAACTTGATGGTTAAACAATGACTATCCCGATTTTGCAGATTGCATCAACAGTTTACCATAGCCGACAAGCTCGCAGATGTGACGTCTGCTTTTTGTCTTCTCGACTATTAGACGTTCTTTTTAAATTATTCATGAAAGCGACAAATAAAGGACGTTTCGGTCTGTTTCTATACAATTATTCCGTCATTTTTTTTATGGCAGCTTTAAGGATCGTGGCTCTCCTAAATAGAGCCCCCTTTCCCGCAGGGTGTCAACCCCTTTAATTCTTTTGAAATAGCCTTGTAGATAAGATTAGGATGGGCGTTTCTTTATTATATAATTTCTTTTCTATACACGATTAGGCACGTTTATTAAAGAGAAAAGGATAGATTCAGATACAGGAAGAATTTAGAGGGCGGATCATGTAATTTTTTGTCCAAATTTTTAAACTGCTTATTATCTCAATAGCTAATTTCCTCTGAAAAAAATTTCTATTTTTTCATATTATTGCTTACATACCAAGAAGACTTAAGCCCACCCGCGGGGTTTTACTTTCTGAGTTAAGTATTTTATGACCCCTGTAGTAGTGTAGGGTGTGTTGACGAATGCCCCGGAGATATTTCTGACCCAGACGCATCTATTTTGCATATGATAAATCGAGCCTAGACCCATTTACATCCTGCCGTGTTGATTTACGGTGTCTGACCTTGATGAAACTTTTGTACTAGCCCTATGTCACCCAGTGCAAGCTATCTTTCTTCATTCTATATACATAAAAGAGTCATAAAGGAAAAGTTCATGCTTTTTTTTCTTTAACTTTTTCTACTTTTATAACCGCCTTTCTTAGTAAATACTTTATCTATTAGGAGACAGGTTTTTTATCATCTGTCTGTCTCTTATTTAGAAACACAATGCGTAGTGAAACTAAATATTTAACATCTATATCATTTAGTTTTGACATTTCAGCCTGAGAATAGGCACAATAGGATAAGGATGCCTTTATTTACAAACACTTTGTAAAACTAAATATAAAATAAAACATTAAAGTCTTTCGTCATTTAGTTGGACGTTTTATTTTATTTTTATGAAGTATAAATATTGAATGACGTAAATAGGGAATAGATATTATTTCTAAAAGAAAACATTTAATATATTCATACTTATCCTTTTCTCAGTACTATGCATACATTGGATATTGTACATGAATAAACATAATCGTATATTGTGCTTATAAAGTATCGTATGTTTACTATAAAGGTGTAATTATTCAGCCGTTTTCCTGCTAAGATAACTTGTTTAAACGTTTTAGACGCAAAAATTACGTCATAAGAAGCTGTGATAAAAAGAGCGGAAGTATTTATTTATTTATTTACTTTGTGTAGGGGTAGTTTTCTCTTTCGAATTAACGCTTCAATCTTCATTGTCAATTACAATGAATAAAAAGGATATACTTTTTACTTCCGACAGACATACAAATCTATATCTATGTCAATAAAAAACAACTGCCGGAAAGAAAAAGTCGGGAAATAATATCTGTATGTTCATTCGCACGCCTTATCATTTTAATATCATTGAATGTCCGATAGTTATTTTAATGGGTCATTGTTCTACGGCTAATTATTCTAATACGGGTTCAGGCAAAATACGGGTGATTACGAGATTAGAGGGTTCAAACGGTGACTGTAACAAATTTTTGTCAAATTACAAACGTTTCCTTTTTTATTGTCACAAAAAATAACATCCGGTTAACGATTTTTACTTCGTTTTTTCTTCTTCTTCTTATGCTTTATAGAATTGTTGCCTTAGAACAGAGGCCTAAAGATGTTTGTCACAAAGAGGAATAAGGAAACAAGACAGAAAATGTGAAGTACCAATGATTTACCAATTACAAGTACATGTAAACTCTTCTGTTTTTTGTTTGTAACATGGCCTTTGTCCCCTAAAAAAAATAATCTTAAATTGCTTTGAAAAGGGAATTAAATTTCATATCTTACGTAACGGAATAGGATATGTCCTGTAAATAGTGCGCATTTAAAAAGAATTGTTGGTACGCTAATAATTTTAAGTAATATAGGAGTTTTGTATCTTTTTAAATAATACTTGGCTATTAATAAAATATTTTATTATTTTTCCTCTTTAATCCCTCGATTGAACGATTTAAATAAATTAGTACACTAGTATAATAGCTAGAGTTTAAAAGATTTTCCTTCATTAATCTTTAATCTGAAGTAGCAAATAGGCGTCTCAAACTAGAACCACATTATAAAAAAAAACCAGTTCAACGCTCTAGCGTTACAAATAAACTTATGAATGGTACGCCTCGTCGAGAAACACGTCTTCGAACAAGGCTAGTTTTCCCCTAACGACCAGACATACGCTTCGGAAAAATAAAAGAAAAGTGGTGCGACCATGAGGGAGAAAAGTTCAAAGGTCAAACTGACCTGGTGGACAACATCGCCTGCAGTCCCGAAGGAAAAATAAAAAGAATGCAAGATGCAAAAATTTTTTTCAACAGAAATACAATGGTTTTTATTATTTCAAAACAACTTTATATTTTCCCTGACTTTCTCTAATTCTATCAAAAATCGTCCAGATCACCAATAACAACAATCAATTGAATAAAAACATCTTTACGAACTTTAGGACATTCATTTAAAAACAACGATAATTGCCTAAACTAGTGAGAAACATAATATGCGATGGAACATTTACACGCATAAATATTAAAATAAATATTGAACACGTTACACCAAGTTTATCCGGAGAGGTTTTTTTTTGCAGTCTGCATTGAAACGTTGCAAAGTTTCAAAAAAATTAGCACCAATTAAAAAAAATTGTCTGTTTTTTGTGTAGTTTCGTATCATCCTCATTAATTATTATTCAAGCTGTTTGTCGATGAGTTTTGAGAACTTGTTCTACTTAAACTGCCCATAGTCATCCAAGGGTGTTTGAGAATGTCTTTCAATGTAGGCCTATCAACCCACTTTACGGACAAGCAATTTTCTATTAAATTCTTGCATTCTTCACTTATATTACCCCGAAATTCAACTTCGGCTCGGATTATTTGTTCGTCTTTCTCAAAAGGAATGTCACCGCAAACCATATCGTATAAGAGGATTCCCAGAGACCAAACAGTCATAGGCCCATAGAAGTATCGCTTGTAGCGAACCCACTCAGGAGGACTGTATACTCGAGTTCCTGAATAATTAGAACAAATGAGTAATTACATACATGAGCAAAATTACATTTAATTAAGAATATACATGCAGCTGCCAATTAACGACAGAGCGGAGGCTATTCTTATTTGATAGTCTTGGGAAAGAATACTGTGGTACTAACATTCGGAGCTAGTAACAATAAACAGTTCCCAAAACAATAGCCATGTGACTTCCATAATTAAGCACTATTCATTGTAATCGATCGCTCTCGAAACAATACATATAACTAAGACAGGTGGTCTCCTATTACATAATCCTGAACTGATTATGCAATCGATAATGAACGACGCGCTTGAACATGGAAAGTTATTTTACTATTTTCACTTACCGTCATATTCATCATAAAGAGTCTCCTTAGTGAAAGAACCCGATCCGAAGTCAATTAATTTCAATTTTCCATTCTCCAGATCAACTAGTAGATTTTCATCCTTGATATCACGATGAGTAACACCGGAATCGTGGCATTGTATCAACATCCTAACAATTTGTTTCATAAAGTCCCTTGCTGTATCCTCGTCGACCAGTAACTTTTCTGATATGTAATCGAACAAATCGACAACCGATCTCGGCCTTTCGAGTACAAGCACAAAATATTCTTCCGTATCGAAGTATTCAATCAGTTTAACAATTCCTTCAATGTGCTGAACTCTTAAAAGAAGAACGACTTCAGTTGGAACTCTTTCGCCGTTTAACTGTGACGAAAAAAATTACGTAATAATTAGTGATGCTGAGTCAGCTGAACCCTATTAGACCTCCATATGGCCTATGAATCATTTGTTTGTCAACATTTTAGGGTTAGTCACGGTAACGAATTACTTTCTAAACTTTCACTTTCCCGCGTCAAAATTTTTGGCGGGAAACGTCAGTATGAACAATAATAAAGAAAAAGAAGCTTACCTCGCTCCACTTAGGCACTTTGTACTTGTTAATCTTTTTAATAGCAACCTACGGTAGAAAAAAATTATAGTACATTTTTAGATATTGTTTAATATTAGGCCTGATTAGAAAAAACTTACTGGTAATTGATCTTCTTTTCGAAACCCGCCATAGACAGTTCCGAATCCGCCACTTCCCAACTGATTTTCTACAATATACTTCGTATCCAGATAATATTCATTGTCTATTAACAATAAGAATACGTTTAACGAAACATATAGGAAATTAACTAATTATAAACGTCACACATTTACCCGTTTCACATCGAAAATTGAAGTTTTAGAAAAAAAACACTTATAACTTACCTTGTATTTCGATAGCTTCTCCCTTCTTGAACAAGTCATAGTCAACCGTTGGACACTTTTTTAAGGTTCTATCCATTTTGGATATATTTTTTGGTGAAACTTAAAACAGTAGTTTTCGAACGGTGAGGTGTTGAACGGATCGAAGCCAACCGATTTCTGACAGACGAATGGAAATTCTCTCGTTTTACGTTGGCGAGTGAGTAGTAATTTCATACGCGTTGAGTTTTTTTTTAAATGTCACAGCTTTCACCGAATATTCCTCAAATTCCAATCATACTTTTGCTAATTATGCAAATTGCAAATAAATTTTAATAGAATATATACATTATATTGCTGTATTTTGCAGTGTTTATATTCGGGGAACTATTTTGTTTATGTGTGGTTCCGGGATCTAACCAATCAGAGCCGGGATTCCCTTGTACCAGACACGGCTAAAAAAATTTGCATATGTGACACATGTTTGATTGTGAATAATATTCTTGTGAAGTTCATTTAGAGCAGAGGACTAATTTAGCAAGCTTATTTACATAAAAAGCGTGTTCGGTTAAGTTTGACGTTTAACGAGTGATTTTTACAAAAAATTTGAATGCTTGCAAGCAAAGATTTAGCTCTATTCCTCCCTAGACTTGTCCAGCTGTTAAAATTTTGGACTAAATGACCTTGACAGATTTAAATGGGCGTTTCGGCGGTTTGAAAGCAGGAATTTAAGCTATTGAGGCACTACAAAAGATTTACGTGCCACGAATATATTTGGCTTTTCATTTGTTACAGTGGCGACATCTTTTGCGGAAAGACACTGTTTTCAGGGTACACGTTCTTTCGCACACAATCTCTCGCTTTTTGTCTCTCTCTCTTATGTTAACTTTGGTTTAACTGGTACGTGTTTTGAATATCTGCCACGTTTATCCCATCCCTTTCCAAAGCTAATAATAAAGACTTAAGGGAATCGTTTTCCTGTTGAATTTGGAAATTCTCCCATCTAGCCAATTCTATTCTTTTCATTTTCAAATCTATTTCATTTCTAATTGAGATTAATCTATTTTTTAAGAAGCATATCTTTCTGACCAAATCGTTGTCATTACATCTTATTTCTTTATAGTTAATTTTCAACAGATCGTGAAGTCTTTCAATACGTTGCATATCACGCCGACGAAGTTTAATTTCAACTTTCGTTACATTTATGTCATCTAAAATGTCACTATTTTTATTCTTTCTGCTCATGAAAGTATCTTTAGATTCTTATTACTATATATATATATATATATATATATATATATATATATATAATTCTTTTTTACCCATTACTGTAAGTTTGAAGTGGCATTGATGTCATAATTAAAGCGTCATTTTCAGGGATAAATCTGATTAAAAGTAGCTTATTAGCTTAAAATCAGATCATTTGAGGTAAACACAATAGTCATTTTTTCAGGTTGTTTTTCATTGATTATTTTTCAAAATATCGTTACATAACTCAATTAGATTTTGAAATTTTTATACATGATTTTTAACTGATATCAAAGAAAGACATAAAGTCAACATTTTATTATTTAAACTTAGGAGATAAATCTTAGATATATCTATATATAAATTGTATTTATTGTAAAATCTCAGATGCGTCTAAATATAGATATATAAATTTATATATATATATATATATATATATATACTATATATATTAATATATAATATGCATATATATATATATATATATATATATATAAGTTCGTTACATTAATTATCTAAGATGCATCAAAATTATGACTCTAAATTCAAACGTTTGACCATCTTATGTTCAATGTACAACAAATTTTTTTTGACTTTTCAATATCAAATTTTTTTTTATTTTTTTTTTTTATTTTGGTAAAGCAAAGCTACGTGTGTTTTATTCAAAATTTATTATCGTTAACATCATTCTCTCTCTCTCTCTCTCTCTTATAAAAAGAAAAGATGACAATAATTACAGAGAGAGAAAGGAATGTTACATTTTCCTTTTAGAATATTGTTACTCGAATATTAATTACTTTATAGTTTTTAGAAACTTTTTTTCACTGATCAAAAGTAATCTTTTTTTATCTTTTCATTTCTGTGTTCATACATGCATGCATGCATGCAAGCATGCAATACAAAGATGCATGCAATACATAGGCGCTTTTTGTTTTTCTTATTTTAAGTAATTCTCATCTTTCTTTCTCTTATATAATTAAAAATATTTGTCTTTTGAATGTCACATTACATAAGATTAATGTATAGAAACTAAATAATCCCAATTTATAATCTATGAAACGTTATACTTAGATTTTTATCTTCATTTTAATTAAACGAAAGACAAGAAATGGTATTGTAAAGAAATGCACTTGAAAAGCTATTGCAATTATAAATATACGCATAGAAATATCTTAAAGAGATAGAGACAGAGGAAGGGCGTGGACAAATGGGCAGAGGCAAAAAAAAAAACAAGTAGGAAGAAGAAAGAGCGTTAGCGAGTATCGCATAAACAAATAAAACAGAGTCCCTTACACATAAAATCATTATAGGTAACTTGAAAGTTAAATTTTTAATTACATTTGTTAAAAAGGACAAAACTACCACTGTATTTCCGTACATTTATAAGCTTTAAAACACCAATTGTAAATTATTTTATGATATAAAGTTTGAAGGAGTAGGTTGTCAGAGAGTTACTGAGTAGTTATCAGTACAAGGGAATAATGTACTCTTTGAAGAATAGCAATATACTTGAGAAATGGTACATTTATATAGGATAATTAAACATTTTCCACCTAGACATTAAAAACTTTTTGCTTTGATAATTGGATAATAATTCCTATGCTAGTAATGCTAGAAAGCGGAAGTTAATGTATAAACTTTAATATCTTACTGTTTTAATATTAATTTTGTTTTTTTTTTATATTATTATTGAATAATCTAGTCCAGAGTTGAACGGTTCGTAGCTGTGATATTTTGTCTTCCTCTCTCAAAAAAAAACAAAGCAAAAAAAAAAACTCCTGCTGTCACTCTCACCGTCTCGTTTGCTGGTCAACTATTTCCTCGTCAAAAAAATGAAAAAAAAAAAAAGAAGAGTTGATTTCTTTATTTTTTATCTTGTTAGATTTTTTTTAAACATAAAAAATGTATCCAAGTATAAACTGTATATATAAAACTTTGTATTAAAAATGATAGGTTCTTCCTTTAGGCCTTTTAAAAGACAAAGGCGTATTTTAACTTTATATCCATGTGGAACAATATAAAAAAATATCGTCCTCTACTAAAAGTTAAAAAGTGAGCAAGAATTAACAATTTGACCTACATTGAATTGTGAAACTACTTTAGTCATTCTTATTTTAGGTTTGAAAGTAGAACAAAAAAAAATCTAATCTAATTCAATGGAGTTAGCACTTAAACTTTTTTAAGTCTCAACTAATCGAATTTGGGACACTTGTTATTTCGCATTTATAATAGACCTAAAAGATTCTGATTTATTAAATATATTGCAAATTTATTATCTAAGATGAAAAAGAGTAACGAATATGAAAGAAGAAGAAGAAGAAGAGGAAGAAGAAATGATAAGAAAAATTATTTAAAAATTGTTGATTTAATAAAAAAGATACCTCAGGCGAAAAGGAAACAAAAATAGATAAATTCATATATGTATATCAATACTTTAGAATAATAAAAAAACAATAATGTATTATTCAAATATTAATTTATGCATATATTAAATTTAATAACTATCAATCTAATACGCAATAAACAATATTTAGGTTATACTTGTTTTGAATTGTTGTTAATTCTACATTCAATAACTTTTCTTTTAAAGCAGTATTCTAGTTTTCAACATTGTATAATTTATTTAATTAACTGTTTTTTAATGAAAATATGTATTATATATAAATTAATTATATAAAACAATATTCATTGAGTTAATGGTGAAAAAATATATTTGAATTAAAAGGCGTAGTTGTCCTTTTTTCAATTTTTGAGCTCAATTTCAAAAGTCATTTGATCAGGTCAAAGCCCAAAGCATAATTTCAAAACATTCAAATGATATGGTATTATCATTAGTAGATATGTAATAAATGATAAGTAATTCATTTCTACTGATATAATATATTAATAGTGTCTCATGCTAAGTTCTTTATTTATGAATTGGGAAAATTAATATCTCATCTGATGAGATGTATAAAGTCCCATCAGATGGCGTATTGCCAAAAAATAGAGACAGAAAACACTTTATTCTTTATATTTGTTTTGATGAACTACATCTTTATAAACTTATTTTGTATTGTTTTACTTTTCAACTTTCTCAGAAATTAAACGAATTTATTGTATTCTTAAGATCATGTTGCATGAACTTTCAAAGAAAAAACATCAAGGATACCGATCCCCGAATTCAATGCACTCGCGCTCCTTTCGCTACCTTTCTAAATATTTTTCACCGATTTTTACAATGCCAGCCATATTAATTCCTATAAAAGCACTGATTAATGCTCATCAGTATCTACAAGTACCATTACATGTGATCAGAAATCTTTGAAAGATATACACATTTCCCAAAGATAAATTTTTTTTTCGATACTGAATTATGGCTAATCCTACTTCAAATGATAGCGGATACTCTTCCCCGAAAGCCATTGGAAATGAAGGGAAAGAGAATGATATGAACTATACTGTAGAAGGTAAGGCTAGAAGTGAATATTCTTCTAAAATTCATAATTTTTCAGATAGAAATGTACGTCCGAATATAAGTTATAGAGAGATTGTGGCTAAGATTCTCCTTAATAGCGAAAAAGGCGAAATGTCCTTAAGAGAAATAGTAGATAAGGTACTCAGTTCGAAGTACTCTGTAAAAATTTATTAGATAATCTCCTATTTATAGATAGCTGCTGAATACGCATATTACGAGAATTCAAAGAGAAATTGGCCGAGTTCAGTTCGTCATACATTATCCGTTTCGGATTGCTTCGTAAAAGCTGGAAGAGCGAAAGGTGGCCGAGGTTACAAATGGAAAATAGATGAATCATTCATAAAATTCTTTCGACAAGGCAAATTTGATATTAAGAGCGGATCGTCTAGTCTTTCATCATGCAGACAGACATCAACACCCAAGATAGACCGTAAATCGATCGAAGTTCGTATCTTTTCTTTATCATTAACTTGTTTACAGTTTTAAAAAAATATTTTCCCTATTATTTTTATATTTAGCTTAGTCGAGAGTCGCCTTTTTTAATTGAGCCTATAACTCCTTTCGTAAATCCTACTTCTTTCACCAAAACTCCTTTTGTTCTTCAATCCGAAACTACATATATCGAATCCTTTGATTGCCTAATACCTCAGTTGAATAAAGCTTCATGGTCTTCAGATGAAGGAACGGCTTTCTTAAACACGGAGGCTTATTCATACAATAAGCTTATGTCTCCTATAGACAATTACTGCTTAGACAATTCTTTGGGAGTTTTCAGAGATTGCATGTATTCAAGTTAAAGAGTTATATACAATTCATAAATACAGTTATATTTTTTTTTTTTAATGCGCAATTGCCTATAATCTTTATTAAAATCTGTGCTTAATCGGTCAAATAAAATTTTATCCGGTAGATGGCGCCCATCACTGGAAAATATTACCTATTTCGCTCGGTTCTTTTTTCCAAGCTATCTAAAAATTTGATCGCAATAAGAATTGCAATATTTCTATTGTATTCATTAATTCTGCTATGTAAATTTTTCAAAATAATGATAAGCGCTTTTAATTCTTTCTTTTTTTTCTTTGGTAAGTTTTCAACACTCTTTAAAAATATGGATAATAAATTAACATCTTTCCAGTTGTATGTGTTTCCTTCTATCCAAATAAATCAAAGTCGGATTTTTATGGAACATGCAGTAAGTTATTATAAGCTACTTTTAATAATACTTCAAAATCCTTAATCACCTAAGTAATAAAATTATTCCTAGATCAACCACCATTGATTTGTCCCTTCTCCTGGACAAATATTACAGTAAAGGGAGGTCCTAATCGTTGCTTAGACGTAAAATGTGATAAACGCTGCTACATAAAATTTCAGTAATTATTACGGATTATTAATCTTATTCACTTTAGTGTAATGCAAACAATTTTTCAGTTTGGTTCACCGAAATATTTTATTAAATCCAGTAACAATTAAAACTAATCAGTTCACTAAATTGTTTACTGGAAACATTTTTCAAATCCTACCTAACGTATCAAGACTAAAAGTGGAATGGATGGACGATACAGATATTATCTCTATTGCTTATAGAGCAAGTAAGACTATTCTTACTTTCTAGTTTTGTGTTTAATAAACAAGAAATATAAAACCGGCTATGCTTAATTTAAAAAGTTCAAAGCTCAAACAATGATAAACTAGATATGCATAATCGTTTTTTTTTATATAATCTATAATATTCAATTAGCTTTTCTAAAACAAAAGAACTTAAATGAAAACTGTTGCATCATAACGTTTTTAGACTACTACTCTGTTGAAAATGCCAATGTATTCCAAGTATATAGGCTTAAACTGTTATATTAAAAATCTATTTAATTTGTTTATATTTTACTATTATCTTTTTTGCATAAGGTAGTATACTGTACATTAATGTACGCTACTATCTTGTTATTGCGCAATCAAAACATTAATATGTTTACAATTGTTTTTTTAGTGTATTGTAATCCTAATAAAAAGTCTACTATATGTAAAAGTCCTCTTTGTATGGGAAATGATAATCGCCATAGAGGAGAGTGCAGGAATGCGTCAGGACAAAATATATGTAAAAGTAAGTAACTCTTACTAAATGATTGATTGATAAATAATTGTTGAAATCTATTAATTTACTAATATATTTACAGAGCCACTCAGTCTTAAAGTTATTATAACTGCCGTAATTGGATCTTTAGTTTGTAGTCTTATTCTTGTAATCTCACTGGGATGTATTCGTAAATTTCATGTTCTTGAAAGAAGAAATAGTGATAGTCAAATTAGCAATTCAGACAATACGGAACAAACTCATTTTATGGCTTGTGCACTCCCTGCTGCTGCTGCTGCTCCTCCTCCTCCCTATGATGATATAACAGAAAACTCTTTACCTTTCGATGATTTGGTCCAAGTCGTACAACATTCTGAAGAAGGCCATTCGGAGGTAAATAATATAAGGAATCTCATGGAAGAGAATTATGCCATTGCGTCGGAAGAATCTCAAAGAGAGCGTCGTAAATCTTTCGATAGTGATACTCTACTGCAAGAATTAAAGACCGACGATGATAATCGATCAATATTTGACGATGAACGCGTCGATATAAGTGACATGTTACCTATTATTTAGTAAATAGTATATTTTTCTGTTCTTGTCTTTTTAGAGTTTAGTTTTGATATTTACTGCAGAACTAAAGTATACGTATTGTAAATTTATTGTTTCACGTAATAATATAATTTGTCAGAATAAAATTTGTTTTAAAAGAATAGACAGTTTTTCAATGGAATTTCTTATTTGGTTAAAAATATTAAATTGAACACGAAACAACGCCTAAAATGTTTATAATAAAATATCTTGTACTCTAGATCTTTTATAAAAGAGATTGTTCAATCATAATTCTTTCGTATCCTTCAGGTGGTTCATGAAAGAAATTGACAAATTGAATATCCATTATCGCCCCGTCGTCTACGTAAAATATTGGAAATGTTGTACCCCTTATACCATGCACACTGCAACCTGTTGGTCTTCCGTTTAAGTAAATATTAAAGTCTACGTGATCGAAAGTAAAGCCCTAAAAAAATGAATAAAAGCATTAATGTTATGTTATCTGGAAAATTTATCAAATATTTTACCAGGATATCGCCTTCCTCCACTGCACCGGTAAGAGTTGCGCTTTGTTCATTTTTATGAAAGATAGCTCCGTCATTTCGCAGTACCCAGCTCTCAGCATCTTCTCCTAATGGTAATTTATTAATATTGCACTTCCTTGTTGCTAAACCGATCGCCCAAGAACCTAGATAAATTAGCCATAGTCATTCATTAACTGTACGTATGGTTCAACTGTACCTGATGACTGGATTTTTACTTCGAAGTAAGCTTTATTCTGCACGATCGGAGCATTTGAAAGGGCAGCCCCGCTGCCACATATTCTTCTTCCATTTTTTACTATAACGACATCTTGACCTATGGGCGTTAAGAATAATATCACTAATATTAACGAAAAAAATGAATTGATCAAAATTTAGTACAATACGCTGATTTCTCTGTTGCCAGTTAATGATTTTAAATAATGTATACTGACCAGAATGAGAGGGATCTAGTTTAACTCCAGATTGTTCACGATTTGGTAATTTATTTGTGGTTATCCCGCCACTCATAAATAATCGTAAACAGCCACAGAAACTAGCAGCCATATTTGTTTACCTGTTATCAGGAGAGTGTTTCGCTACTAACAGCTACAACCAGTTTATGTTCTCAGCTCAGAGTATCAACAACGTCCTAGGTACAAGAAAAAAATGGCACAAATGCTTCGCAATCGCTTATTCAACGAATTCATCAAAAGCAATCTTGCTAAGAAAAGTATAAACAACTGGTAGGTTTTAAACTATTCATTTACCTTTTTCAATTCATCAATTTTTTGTTTGATTTAAAATGAAACTACTATTATTAAAGCGTCCTAGAATTTGACATCGCAAATTCAAGACAAACTAAAAGATTTTTCCTTTTGTAATACCCTAAAACAAGTCAGTTGATTGACAATTACTTAATTTTTAGTAGTTTTAAAGCATTGACGTAAATTATAACCTTATCATTTAATATCTATAAAATGATGCATTTTTAAAATTATTGTCGAAAGTTCGCTTAAAGGTCGTGATGTGGGTTATGACTTTGAGAGAATGTTGAATATTATCCAAAAGCATTGAGTTCACTTCCGTTCAAAGTTCATTTTAGCATTTGTTCTACTTTAACTCTTTTCTTTTATTCAACAGTGCACCCTTAACTCAACAAAGATGTTTCTCTGCGTCTCCAAAGGTATATTTAATTATAATAATATTATTATCAACTCCCTAATATAATGTTTCTTCTCTAGACTCAAGTCTCTCCTCAACAGCAACAGCATGATGAGGTTTGTCGTTTGTTCAGTTAACATTTATGGCCTGGTAATAAACCATGCCCCCCTCCTATACTATAATATAGTATTGATAATCAATAATTATATTATATTTACGAGCATTTGATTGAAATTCTTTTTAGGAAATGAAAGTGATACCTAGCTCATTGATCATTTGTTTGTTTCTATTTTCTTAGGCGTCTCAGTCCTTCGGTATGAACTTGTTTCGTGGCAAGATTAGAGCCGATCAAGTATTTCCATTCCCGAAGGTTATGAACGAAGATGAGGAGTCAACTTTAAGAATGTTGGTTGGTCCCAGTGAAAAATTCTTCACAGAAGTTAACGATGCTTTGAAAAACGATGAACTAGAAAAAATACCTGATGATGTATTAAATGAGATGAAAGATTTGGGAGCTTTTGGTATGCAAGTTCCCGCTGATTACGGAGGTTTGGGTTTGACCAATACCCAATACGCCCGTATGACTGAGATTTGTGGAGCTAGCGATCTTGGTGTAGGTATCGCTTTAGGTGCTCATCAGTCTATTGGGTTTAAGGGAATTTCCTTATTCGGAACCCCAGAGCAAAAAGCTAAATATCTACCCGATTTGGCTAGTGGAAAAAAGATCGCTGCATTTTGTCTAACTGAACCATCTGCTGGATCAGATGCTTCCTCTATTAGATCAAGAGCCGTATTATCTGATGATAAAAAGTATTACGTTCTAAATGGTTCCAAAATTTGGATTTCCAACGGTGGAACAGCCGAAGTTTTTACAGTTTTTGCACAAACTCCAGTAACAAACAAAACAACTGGTAAAACAAAAGATAAAGTCACTGCTTTCATAGTGGAGCGATCTTTCGGTGGAGTAACAAATGGACCTCCAGAAAAAAAGATGGGTATCAAGGCGTCGAATACTGCTGAAGTTTATTTTGAAGATGTTAAAATTCCTGTTGAAAATGTACTTGATGGAGTTGGAAAAGGATTCAAGGTTGCTATGAAAATTTTGAATAACGGTCGATTTGGAATGGGTGCTGCTTTGACTGGAACAATGAAATTCTGTTTGAAGAAGGCCACTGAACATGCAGCACAAAGAAAGCAATTTGGTAGAGAGATCTCAGGATTTGGTGTTATTCAAGAGAAGCTGACAAGAATGGCTGTATCTCTATACGTCTCAGAGGCTATGGCTTACATGGTTGCGGCAAATATGGATCAAGGTTTCCAAGAATTTCAAATCGAGGCTGCTATTTCAAAAATTTTTGCATCCGAAAGCGCTTGGTATTGCGCAGATGAAGCTTTACAAATACTTGGTGGTATGGGATATATGAGAGAAACTGGTATTGAAAAAGTAATGAGAGATTTAAGAATCTTTAGAATTTTCGAGGGTACAAACGACATCCTCCGCTTATTCATAGCCCTTACTGGAATCCAATACAGCGGAATTCACCTTCGAAAATTACAGAAAGCTCTCAAAAATCCAACTAGCAATGTTGGTTTGCTCTTTGACGCTGGAGCCCGTAGAGCAAGGAGAATGGTTGGATTAAGCGCCAGTGGAAATTCGCTTATCCCTTATGTCGATGTCTCTCTTACTGCATCAGCCCAACAAGTTGGCAAGGCTATCGAAGATTTTGGAGCTGCTGTTGAGACTCTACTAATGAAACATGGTGAAGGTATTATCGAAGAACAAATGGTACTATCTAGATTAGCTAATGCAGCAATCGACACGTACGCAATGGTATCATCTCTTTCCAGAGCATCAAAGTCTCTGGAAGAAAATAGTGAAACAGCAGAACACGAAGCAGAAATGGTAACCTTCTTCTGTAACGAAGTAAGTCATTTTATGGAGTTTTTTCCATAAGCTATTTTTAACTAATCATATATTTTTTTCAATTATAGGCTGCGGAAAGAATTGCTCTCAATCTTGAAGCTACATCATCATCGTCCTCCCGCAACAATTACAATATGATGACAAGTATTGCGGACAATATCATAAAATCAGGTGGGCATAAGGCCACACACCCTCTAGGCTTCTAAGAACTATAAGAACAAGCATATTATAACTTAACATTTAGTCGCAATTGGCAATGCAACAAATAAATTTACGTCAGTCCTAACTTGTTTTGTTTCAAATGCTAACATGAAAAATTGTTAGATTAATTTAATGAAATATATATTGATATGTTTACCATTTTCATTTATAAAAGTATATTTATATACGCCATATCTACGTCTTATGTTTACTATGTCGCCTCTTAGCATCTATGGTATTTGCCATAAACAGATAAAAAATATATACTAATAAAAACCCTACATATCTTTACCCTTTTTAATAATGTAAGCCTATTTTTAAATGTTCTTTATCAGTTAACTACTAGACGTATTACTATTACTTTTCGTAATCAATGATGAAACTGACTGTCTTTCCTCAGTTATACTTTTATCGGACTTGGACTCTCTAATCTTTTCATTGATATTCGACTGATGAACTGTCCTTTTTTCATTTTCATTCCGTTCCTCTATTTGCATAATATTCCTTGACGGATTAACAACACATAGTCTCGATCTATAAAATTGACGTTCTTGAACAAATTTAGACTTTGGAAGACAATTAGCCAACTTATTAGTGGGAATAGTAAACTTTAAATTATAAGATTTACTATATAACGGAAAATTACGATTCTTATCATGAACTATATGATTTTTAATAGAAGATTTAGGTAAATTTATATATTGTCTTGATTGAAATATTCCTTTAATAGAATCTTCTACATTCTTCAATTTGACAAACAATTTTCTAGACGGATCGTTAATAGGAGATTGATCAATTTTTAATGACTCTTTCAAATCGTATAGCCAACTTTCCGATCTACACTTGTTTATTTCAATTTTTAACTGATTTAGATTAGTTGATATAATTGACTTTAGAACCTTAAATTAATTATTAACTATTTGATTTGAAAGTGAAGAGAATATTTAAGGAAATACCTCAATATTTGAATTAATGTCCTCCGGTGATCTATTCATTTCTAAAGTATGTCTTAAATGTTTTTCAATGGTTTTTATAGTGTTGACAGATGCTTTTAAAATGTTCCTATAGTATTCATTAACATGATTAATTGCCCTCTCGCTTAGACTTGACCATAATTCTAATTCTTTGATCTCTTTAATACACCTATTCCTATCGTCAATCATTTTACAACGTTGTACTTGTAAATGATCATTATTTATGAAATGACTATTGCAGTTAAAGATATCTAAAGCCGACTTTTTTATATTCTTTAATTCTATATTTGATTTATTGATTTGATGTTTAAAGTGTTTAATTTCCTTTATCAAAGAATCTAAATAGCCCTGAAAGATGAAAGAAAATTGGGTACCATCTTTAAAAAACATTTTCAAATATTGTAAATTATCTGAAAGTGTATAAACACTATTTATACAACATCTGTAACCATAGCAATTTAAATTTGTCACAAATTGTAATGTATATTCATGAAGAATGTCCAATCTATTAACTATTTCTTTATAAATATTTTCAAAATATTGAGGTGTTATATCATAATTATCGTTTAAATCTATATCGAGTTTTTTAATTCTACGTAAGTCGTTCAATGGTTTATGTTTATGAAATCTAATAATATCGCATTTTGAATAGTTAAAATTCAAATTATATTCATTTTTAATACTTAAATGTTTCCAATAACAATCAATTTTATTTGTATTAGTATGACCAAATATTTCGTGAAAATTTCCAGACAGTACAGTCTTACATTTCATTGTTTGTTTTAATTTATTATTATATGTAAATTTTTTGCCTTCCTCCAAAAATAATTTATATATTTGAGAGTAAAAATTTAAAGAATTTACATCAAATTTTGATTTGTTTGAATTTTCAAGTTTTTTTATATTTATTCTCTTTATTTGTAAAAAGTAACAATAAATATTTTATATATATGTATATATATTTTCAAGGAAGGAAAGGACTAAAGAAGAGAGAGATAGAGAGAGAATTAAATACAGTTCATTGACCTACAAGTCGTGTCTTTTTAGCTGTCAGTTCATTGAATATTTTAATACTATTTTTAGTCTTTAAAATTGATTTACTGTTACTTTGTCCTTTGTAGATATCAAAGAATCTGTTTTACTTGATAATTGTTGATTATCTCGAGTAAATTCCTTAGAATTATCATCTAAAGAGAATTCCTCATACTCTTGAACTAGCTGATTAGCTGAGTTATTAATATTGGTATTAATTTTCTTGTTTTTAGAGTTTGACCTTTGAAGTTTATCAATAGAATTTAGACTATTCTTTGTTGAAAATAGTTCATAGAAATGATTTAATGATTCTTCACAGGAAGTAACGTCTGCATTATCTCTACAAGAGAAATTACTATCGGAATTTTTAACCTTTAGAATAGATTTCGAAGGTTTCATTTCTAACAATTGAATAGTACTCTTAAAGTCAGCAACTTTTTCCTCCATCGTATTTTCTGCTCTGATAGAAAATTGAACAGATTTCGAATGAGATCTATAATAAGGAGCTTTGAAACAACGACGTTGTTTTATAGTATAAGATTTTGGCATATCTTTCATATAAGATATATCCAAAATTTCATTCTATTCCATCGTTATTGATTAAAAATTGTTCCTCATTCCAAATATCATTCTTTCAAAATAATAGACATTCTATTTCAAATTCAAAAATATATAAACTATGACAATGAATATTTAATAATATTTGAATACACAGTATATTTAACTTACGAAAATATTTGTCTACTCTAATTTTTCAGGAGATAAGACATTAATATTAGTGTTAAAGAATATCAATGAATTTCTACCTATATTGCAACAGATTATGAAATCTAGCACGAAAATAATACTTATATCCATCAGAAGGAATATTAACAATTAACCGGTTAACGGCATTATTATTATTGGTATTACTAAATTTGGATTGTAGTTAGGCTATTTACTATATGTAATTGTGCTAGAGTTTAATGATTTTGCGGAATTACACAACATTTTAAATTTTAATTAAAAATTTCGTATTTTTGATTATAAATATATAGTTAATAAGAAAAAATTGAAAAATTCATAAACTATCTTACATAAAAAAAAGAAACACATTCATTTCTAGTATTATCTCTTTAAGTTAATTTTCTTATACAGTCTATTGATACTAAATGTAACTAACATATAACTTTATTTTTATGTGTCTGAAAAGTTATATTGAATATGTTAAGATACTGTTGATTTAATAATAAGATTTACTAAAGTAAAAAAACATGTGAAACACTGACAATCCAGTTTTAGTATAAACTCGGTAACCGGTTCAATATTCTGTTTTTCATTTCTTCACCGAGCTTTAAACACTCTAAGTAATTGTTACTTTAAAGTACATAATGACTGAAGAAAGTGATGATACTTACCAATGCCAAATAAAAGAGACTTTGGAGAATGAATTAGATTTCGGGAAATTGAAAAAACTCTCAAAAGTAACAGGAGGAATTGTAAATAAAGCGAATTTATATGAAACTCAGGATGGTAAGAAAATTTTCGTCAAGTATTCCTCCAGAGACAATGTAAGTATATTTCTGAATATACTAAAGTTTCAGTTAGTTTTCTGTTGTTAATTAGATTCATTTCAACTGAAAATTATTTCAGGCATTGGACATGTTTGAATCAGAATTTCAAAGTATAATTGATATAAGATCAACGAAAGCCATTCAAGTTCCTAATCCAATAAAGGTTTTACTCATATAATTCTTTAAACAATCAAGTCATATGCTTAAAGTGTTTCTTTCATAACAAAACAAAGGTTCTAAAGCATCCGGACAGAGGTGCAATGTTTGCAGTAGATTGGATTGAAAATTTAAAACCAGTTGAAAAATTATGGTCCAAACTGGGTGAACAAGTTGCAGAGTGAGTTCTGTCAAGATTAAAATAAATTTTAAAAGAATACGTATTACTGTTCATTAGTCTACACCTCGATAATCCAAAAAAGTTAATGAAAGAACGTAAGGAGGCCAACGTTGTTGGCAAATATGAAAAATCAATTGCAGTTAGTAAATTCGGATATAATTATTCATCTTACATGGGTCCAACTTTCAAGATTGAAGCGAACCGTTGGTTCGATGATTGGGAGGTAATTTATGAACTAATTATGGTCACTTTCATATCTTAAAAGTAAATACCCTTCAGACTTGTTTTTGTCAAACTTGGTTGAAAGCTCAATTTGATGAAGTTGAGAAAAAGGTAAAATATTTACAATTTGTAAAATGAAAAAGATAGACAAAAAATTCGTATTTCTTTTCAGTTTGGTAATAGGGAATTAATTGAAAAATGGAGTTTACTGGAAAGAAAGTTACCTGAATTTTTTAAAGATGCCTTCTTCTGGCCGTCTCTGAACCATGGAGATTTGTGTTCGATTAATATAGGAGAAGTAAACGAAGATATTGGTTAGCCCAATTTTACTTGTAAATTACAATTAAAGAATATATTAATTTTATTATAGTTATATACGATCCTATGTGTTCGTACTCTCCTCTGGAGGCTGACCACACAATCATTCAACTAGAGAATAATTTTGGTAAAGAGTTCCATGAAGTATATTGGAAAAAAGTTAATAATTATGTTTCAAACGAGAAGTTAAAGTTAAGAATGGAGCTATATAAAATATTTGCGCTTTTATTATGCAGTGTAGCAGAAAATGATAAAACATTGATCAAACAAGCTATTGAAATAATAAATTCAATCATTCTTGAATGATTTCCAGATTAATAGAAAAAAAAACCCAATAAAGAAATAAGAAAAAACGAAAATAAAAAAAGATTTTAAGTGTTGTAACAGGATTTTTGAATAACTACAGCACGAATTATTAATTTACATTCATGATTGAAAACATGAATGGTTTCAATATTATATACTAGAAGTAAATATAGCAGAATTCTAGAAGTTATTTAGTCTACTGTATCATATGATTTATCAATTTTTTCCGATTTCTTAAAATTTTCATCAAGAATTAGATACTTTCTATCTGCAAGCCACTTTAATTTTTCCGTTTCTGATAATCTTAATTGGGATGCGTCTATTTTACATAGTTTTTTGTGTAATTCTGATAATTCCTGTTTTAGTGTAACTTCACGTTTCCGAGCAATGTCCGTTTCTCTCTTCTCTGCTTCGAAATCTTCTAACGCTTGTTTTAATTGAAGTTTTGTTAAATCATCATCTTTTTCATTTTCCTTAGACAAGAGTTTTGAGAGTTTCTGTAAAAGAATTGAACTGCATTCAAGCCATTCATTTTTATTTCTTTCTTTCTGCTTTATTGTGTCTTGCAATTTTTTAATATAAGATGGGATAGGAACCTCTATCGCTGCACCTACTACAAATTCATCTTCAGTTTCCATACACAAATCATAATCGCTCTCTATATCTTCTTCATCTTCGAAAATATTTAGGGTAGAACAGTTATTTTTAGGTTTGACAAATTCATCGTCGTCCGTTAAACCATCTTCTATTGTCATAGAATTTTTCTTTAATATTTGTTCCAAAACGCTGATAACTTTGTTTTGCTCATCAACTTTTTCTTGGAGACGATCTAGGTTCCTACTTTCACCACCTTGGGACACAGTACTATCCATAACGAAAAAATGAACCCAACGAAATATATCAAATTTTAGTATACTATCGAAAAATATGAATGACTTTGTACAATGTCTCTGAATAACAATCACCTGAAGATTTTATTTATAATCGGAACAAAATTTCTGAATAAACCATATGCTCAATCCATTAAAAAGATATTGAATGGTTTTTCTGAGTCAGGAAACACAATTAGATAGCAGCTCTGAAAAGGATAGTATATACCTACAATGCGTAAAAAATACTACCAGTTTTCTCTTTCAAATATGAAAAATTTTAATGATTTGTTATATAAAGTTTATAAAAAATATTAATAATGTAGAATATTTAATAGAACTTTAGGTATGAAAATCCATCTACAAGAGAGAAAGAGAGATATGTACTGTATTTATACGTATAGATTTCAATAGCATTTCTATTTAGAGTATTGGAAACACTTTAAATTGAATATAAGACTTTTATTGCTTGTTAATACAACTTTTGTTTCTATATGTATGATTCATGGCATAGACTAATCTTTAATTACATAAAATTGCTACAGTATCTTTTCAACGACGATTCTCATTACAAACAATCATCTAATTTCTTTTACGACGACGATACGATCTTTTTTCATCTTCTATCATCCTACGTAGTTCTTCTCTTGCCAAAAGTTCACGTATTTCGTCAAAGTCGAATTCGTCTTGTTCATCGTCTCTTTTCTTCGTAATTCTCTTTCTCCATTCCCTTTTTCTTTTTAAGTTTTCTGCACCTTCATAGTCTTCATCATCGTCACCGAAACGCTTGAGAGATCTTTTAACTCTCTTCTGTCTGATTAGCGCGTCCGGTTCGAGATCTCTACGAAAACGGGATGATAAATCCCTATTGGCCTCCCTTGCCTAAGTTGAAAATGAAGAAAAACATTTATAATATACATGTATAATCTTTAACTTGTAACATAGGAATATAATGTAATACTGACATTAGTATTAATTTACATACAGCATATATAAATACAAATACATGTATATGCTTTTCTATATATTTAATTTATGCAGCACGTAAATGACATCATTAACGAAAGGATTTGGACCTCGATAGCATCAAAATACCAGCCTCTATCTTTACGAGGCCTGTAATGAGCTTTTGCAAATGACATGTTGATAGCTTTGCCATGTTTTTGGCTGGCGTTAAACAGAGAATTTCTCTTAAATGTATTAAACCGTTCATCTTACAAATCTTTACAAATTCAAAAATTATATCATATTTAACATATTAATATAGAAATGAAATATATAACCTACGTAAAATAATGTAATAAAAAACTAAAATCCTTTAAAAGAAAAATTGCAAACCTGAACTGCAAATGCAACTGCAATTAGAACAATGAATATTAGAAAACAAATAGTTTTCATTTTCAATTCAGAATTTAGAATCTTTGACTTTTTTCAATAAGATGAAACTTTTTTTTCTTTCTATTTAAATGAGATGATAAACTGTTGAAAAACTAGCTGTCTCTACTTCTCTTCTTAGTTTTCGATATCTTCTAATCTCTTCTCTTTATTCTATATATCAATATACACACATATATATATATATATATATAAATATATATATATATTTATCTGTTTATTGGCTATTCTTCTTGCACATACCAAACTTTTCTCGTCTCTGGGAATAGGACGAGAAATGACATTTGATTTACCAAGCCCTCTAGTGGCACGAAAAACTCTTCCTGGGCCTATATAATTGTAAAAAACTTTTTTTTACGTAAGTAATAAGGAAAGAGGAAAAAACTATATTGTTTGCCTAAAGGTTATTTTATATTATATTATAATACAATCACAGAGTATCAATTGTTTATTTTAGATTTCTCTACATCTATATCATAAAAAGTAAAATAGAAAAAAATTGTTTGCATGTAGTTTGTCTGAAAGCTTAATAGGCTGAATATCAAATAGTATAATAAATTCTGTACTTGTTTGTCAAAATGTAGATGTTAATTTTATAATTCTTTCTTTCCAAGATAATTCGAGCTAACTAATTAGATATTTTCTACTTATCTTTTATTCCTAATAGATAGACGAATCAGATAGAGAATGTAATGGAAACATTCAGTTTTTTATTTAGTCGCAAGGCCTTCGATTTTGTAATAAAGTTGTTAAGGGTACAATTAGCATATAGGGATAGAAGAGATTTCGAGGAAACCTTCCCGGCTTAAAAATTATCATCAATAAATTTCTTGGTTTATTCTCACCCTCTTTTCCCCCTTCTGAATCTTCCTATCTTTCTTCCTTTCTTTACAGTACGAAACACATATAGGACTAGAAGGGAGCAGACAAATTGATCCTGCTATTTCTAATTCATTCTTTAGGCCTTTTCCCAAATTTTCTAATCTGGAATATTAGTAATTAATTACTTAAAAATAGTAATAACGATAATTTATTAATAAAATATACATCTACGCATTTTTAATAGATGGAAATCATTCTGATAATGCAATAAAAGAAATGAAAGGGAAGAAGACTACAGAAAAAGGAATGCATCATATACTTCAAATCTTTTTTCTCAAATGAGACGGTCATCAATGACAAACGCAGACTATCTTGGGCTACTCTCTATCGTAAGCAGATTTCTAATAATGTCCATAAAAAGGTAAATGGAAAACTAATATCCCCTTCATAACTCTCTTCTTAGACCTTTCTTTCCTTCTTATTATGTTCTATTAATTTCTTTAAATTACCTTCTAAATATTAATTAGCAGAATATTCTTTTCACAAATCAAAGTAATTCAATTGAAAATAATATAAAGTATATAATGCAAAGTGAAAGGCTAAAATGATATTTTATCGAGATAGACAGATGTAATGAAGTTTTTATTTAAAATTTCTATCTTTACTTCTCTGCAATCTTATTTTCTTACCTCCGTCCCTCCTCCTCCTCCTCCTCCTCTTACAAATACAAAGAGATAATCTAATAAAAAGCTGTTAATCTCAATCTTTTCTTATTTATTCATTTTTATCTTTTTGCCTAGTACAATCTATTTTCTCTCTCTCTCTCTCTCTCTCTCTAGTTAAATTGCGTATCTTTAGAGATTAAGAATAAATTCCTTTAGTGATCCAAATAATGAATATATCAATAGAATCTATTTTTTGATGCTAATTGATTTCTTACTTTCATAAAATATAACGAACTAATTTAACTAATATAAAAGTGTTATAGAAGATAAATTCTAGGAAAATGTTTAAAAAATGAAGGAATAATATTCTCTATTACGTCACGATTTGTACAAAGGCTGTTCTATTTTATAAAGTATGAAAGAAAAAAGAACTGAACTTCTTTTAAGCGTTTTTTGTTTTATGTTAGCAGTAACGAAAGATGGCGCTATGTGTTATATTTTTAATATACAGAGTATATACATATTGTCCCTTTCGTCAACTTTTCGTAGATAATTCAATATATATTGTATATACGGGTATAATGTTTAATTATGAATTATATTATTACTCTCAAAGAATTTAATAAAAAGTGTGTTTTCGTTAAAAATTCACATAGAACATTTCATTGAATGTTGTATAGCCTAAAGATAATATATTTTTTATAAATAAGTATTGCTAAATGGATGCTACTATGCCATGAATTTCATCTAGAAGAATCAAAAAATTATCTGTCAAGTGAAGAGAAATTGGATTTTCAGATCAATCTATAAATAACTAATTTATTCCTTAACGCTTTGCCAGGGATTTTTTAGGGAGTTACTCCGATCTTTTAGGAGAAGCCTAATTATCTTTTTTGGTGTAGAAATAAAAGAGAGGCAGAAGGTCAGTGTTCACTCTGTAAAGAAACATCGTTAAGAGACCTCTTAATTTACGTTACTACAGGATATTTGAAGGATCTTAAGTTTCAATTAAATTTAGAAACAAACATGACGAACTACATCGTGGTTTCTCTCATTAGGGCAGTAAATAAAAGGGTAATCTATTTTAGTGATCTATTTTCTATGGAACAAATCTAAAATCTAGGACAGCTGACCCCATAAAAGCCACAAACAATTTGTACAATAACCTAAAGCTCTACAGGGGCGGAAAAGAGTAAAAAATTATCTAATTAGGAAGAAATTTTGTTGAAAAATCGATTTCTGTTGTTTTTGTTTTTGTTGTTTGTCATCAATTTTTTTGCTCTTCTCCATATCTATAAAGGTTTGTCAATGTGTAGAATCAGAAAAAAAACCGCCTTTCTCAAAATTTTTAAAAAAGAAACAAACAAATCAGATATTTTATGTGGCTCCATCTTTAGTTAATGTTAGATATTGATACATAAAAGACAATATGGAGGATAACATGTACTAATCTCAATAATAAAAAAACTTGTTTTATACTAACAATATTGGCATTGAATAACATAGACCTAAACACACTGATACTGAGATACTGAGAATTGACTTTGGCCTGTTTGAATTTTGAACTGAGAACAAAACATGGAAGATTTAACTATGCATCCAGAAGCCCGTGCTTATATAGACGCTGTTGCCAAATTAAATTTAAAACGGTACCATCAACTAAGCGTGGAAGATGCAAGAGCAAGACACGAGACTATTTCGAGGAATTTCTCTGGAAAAATATCTTACGAGGGTCAAATTGAGGATATCAAAATTCCTTGTACCTACTTAGACTCTGGAATTCCGGCAAGGCTCTATAAACCGGATGGCAGGGAAGAAAGCTGTCCTATTATCGTTTACAGCCATGGTGGAGGCCATACAGTTGGATCAATTAACTCATATGACAGCTGCTGTAGGCTTATGTCCCTGTAAATATCAAAATTTTACATCTTATATTAACATAATTGATTAGTATATACTGTGCATATGCATTATTCTGTTTACAGGAAATGTAAGGCTATTGTTCTAAGTATTGGGTATCGCTTGGCTCCAGAATATAAATGGCCTGCTCAACCAGATGATTGTCTTACTGCGGTAAATTGGGTCTTGCAAAATAAAGACCAAATAGGTTGACTGTTTTCCTAGAAAACTTATAAAGCAGACTATAACAATTTTCTTTTGAAGGAGGTTCTAAGAAATCAAAAGTCGGTATCTCTGGTGACAGTGCTGGTGGTCACATTTCAGCAACTACCGCACATGATGTAAAGGATTTAGATTTTCAGGTTTCAGATAAAAGGAGTAAAAGTATATAATAAGAGAAACGATTAAGTTTTATTAATTACCATACTTTAATTCAGATTCTAATTTATCCGAAAGTTTGTTCGTATGTTGTACCTTCAATAGAAAAATATGGCTATTCTGCAGGATTATCAAGAGCAGACGCTGAATGGTTAGAAATAGTTGAAAATTGTTTTTAGAAAAATTACTTATAGCTGTCCATTTCCATTATTCAAGGTTTTATGGTAACTATATACAGAAAGATCTCTTTGATCCTACCGACCCGAGACTTTTTCCAATTCACCGAAGTAGTTTTAAAGGTCTTCCGAAAGCCATGATCATTATTGCAGAAATAGATCCAGTAGCAGACGAAAGTCGAGGTGCTTTATAATTAGGAAATTTGTCCTTTTTGATATGAAAATGATATTTAAATGAGAAATTTATATTTCTTTTCAAGAATATATTAAGAAGTTTAAAGAAGCAGGCGAACCCGTAAGAGTCGTCGAAGTAAACGGAGTGGTTCATGGGTTTTTTCATCTGATCGGTAGAAATTAAAACTAATTAGTAAGAGTAAATTCCCTCTAAAAGCTTTTCATTAAACAGGAGCGATGAAGGAAAATTGCGAAAGGGTTTACAATGAAATAGCTGACTTCGTAAAAGAAGTTTGTAATGAATAGAATTCAATAGATGTTTAATTGGTAATGAATAATGAGCGATAATTGATAAATATCACATTTAAAGTATCTATAGAAAGTTAATAAGACATCAATTTAATATATTTAGTAATAAATAAATGAATTACCTTACAGAACTTGAATAAAACTTATGCATTTTACAATTAAGATAGATTGAAAACTTATTTAAAACCTTCTCAAAAGGCCTATATTTATTTAGGTTAATCGTTTAACAGAATAAGAATAATCTAATGAATAAGAAAAATATCCTACTCTATTTTCTTTTCAATTTAGCGTACAAATATTATATCCTCTTGTATTAATATAAGAGATTTCTTCCTTTTTCTCTACTATATGAATTCGTCAGTGATATTCAGCCACGACTTATTGTTCCGTCTTGTTAAAAAGTTTTTTGCTATATATACTGTATATATTATACATACTGTATATAACTATAAAAATTGAATGCGAAGGGCGTTCAATATATCGGCTGCATTAATCCCCACTACCGAAAAGAATGAGATTGTCACGAGCTTGTAATACCTCAACTACCCTCGCCCCCCTAAGTTCTTTTTTTCCCCTCCGGGATTATAATACATTTTGATCGATCAGAATTGGCAGTTGGGGAGTAAAAAGAAAAGCTGTTCCAAGCTGAAAATTGTCGAAGAAGGTGTACGTAAGAATAAGCAATTATGAATAAAGAACAGCAAGAAGCTTTTAATCAGTTTTCAGCTGCTGAAATAGCCAAATATCAGGAGGCTTTTAATCTTTTCGATAGAGATGGAAATGGAAAGATCACTCAAAGAGAGCTAGGGCAGTTTATGCGTAAAATGGGAATGGTCGTTGCAGAACAAGAACTTGACGATATGATAAATGAAGTGGACGCGGACGGAAGTGGTTATATAGATTTCCCTGAATTTTTGGCTCTAATGGCAAGAAGAGTAGACGAAGGCGATAGCGAAGACGACATTAGAGACGCCTTTAGATTATTTGATAGAGAAGGAAATGGTTACTTGGCTGTGGAGGAAATAAAGCACGTTATGCAAACTCTAGGAGAATTAATGAGCGAACTTGAAATTAACGAAATGCTCAGCGAAGCTAACGTTGATTCAGAAGGGCAAGTTAATTACGAAGGTATAGCATTAATTTATAGCTATTACATGTATATCTCTTAAGAATTGAAGTTTTATTCAGAGTTCATTAAATTGCTACTATCATTAAAGACTAATTGAAAGATATTCAAAAATACAACGGATATAAAGAAAAAATATAAATCAAACAACTCTATAATCCGGAATGAATTAGCCTTTATTCTCTGTCAAGCTGTGTATAAAAGAACGGTAATTTATTAGTAATATACTGTATATTTCATTTCTTTGCTGTTGTAAACATCAAAAATATTAAGTATAGATGATATTTCTTATCTAAGATGACGTATGATACCAAACAACGCAGGATTATATTGTATATATTGTACGTGTTTACTCGTTTAATCATCAGTTTCTATTATCTCTTTCTAAGCTTTTACCTCTTAAAAATTCTTTTTGTCTGTTATATTAACGTGTTATAATTGATAAGTTTTATCATCTAGACTCTTTTAACTTTCTCCATTTCCGCGAGAGAGACATATTTTTTTCTGATCTTATCAATTAAATAAACATATAGCAACTTTAAAGTTAAATACGATTTTCAATACTAATTTAATATCTTCATTACTAAAATATACAAAACACATAGGGAATAAATATACTTGATGATGAGGATGATGATGATGACAATGGCAATGACGGTAACAAGTTAAAAATTTGCCTAGGTAACATAAGAATAAGCACATAGTTTTATAAAGATGATTTTCGGTGAACTATGTCATTAATTATTGTAGCATGAATTTGAGCGTGTTTAGTAATAATATAACCCAAGTAAATTGGATAAAATGGTTGGAGAATAACTTAAGGGCAATCGGGAACGTGACACCTAAATAATTTCCTAGGCCCAATTGGAGTTCTTCTTATTTGACAGGGATATCTTTTCCTAGTGCAAGTCTTCTTCTTAATGCAAAGAGCAAAACGTCGAAGGCATTTATAGTCTTCTGGGGAACATTTGCTGCAGGAAGCTTCTTCCTCATAATAGCAAGCTCTACACGAAGTTAGCTGACACTGAGAGCTACAAGTGCGTTCAAACAAAGCGACACCTCTGTGTAAAAAAAAAAGAAAGCAAAGTGAATCAAAACAATCACAAGGTCCTAATAGCATAGGTTTAGTTAATAATGAAGTTTACTATTCATTCATGCTAGTTGGATTATGGTAGTAGATAAAAAGAATAATAGTAATCTAACAATCTAGGTTTATTAAGTAGAGAGAACGAATCTATAATAAAGAGTCGTTCGTATACTATATATATATACTGATATATAGTACATAGGTATATACTTTTGTACTATTACTTTATTAGATATAGACTCTAGTATAATCTTAATTTTATATAATTTTAGGGAAGAATAGTTTGCCCTCTTTTTAGAAATAATCATCAAAATTTTACCCTGTAGCTGAGCAAATTGCTCTGGGGCGTTTCCGGCAAAATTCAGGAGAACATTTTGGTCTACACTGTTGAGAATCGTTTCCGGGTTCATCTGATTGCTTCCTCTCTCGTTTTACCTTCCTTACGCAGCGACCTTTACCCGGCCATAATTTTCTCCTTCTCGTTTTAATTAACGGCTTACAGACTAAATCCTTATCACACTTTCCAAGATAATAGTAAACACCTCCACAGTTTTCATTTAGAACTTTGGCACATTTATCGCAGCAGCCACAAATACCTTTCACTTTTCCTCCTCGACAAGTAAGCTTTCTTTCCATACATTTCATTTTTGAGCATGACACACAATTAATGACAGACGCGTCAGTTAGTTGAACATCAAATGTTAAAGCATTAAAAATGAGTATCATTGAAGAAATGCGTTGAATAAAAATTGAATAAAGCATTTGTATACTGATCTTTCGTCAACTCTAGATTAAATGAGAGGATATAGAGGATACTCTTATCTTTTAATATCTAACTAAATTAATTAAATTCTACTTCAAAGGAAGAATTCCCGAGAAAATATTTAGACTTTGTAAATATCAACTTTCAATGTAGATTTAGAGTAGGGTGATTTACTTAGTAAAACCGGATCAAACATAAACTTGAAAACTCCTGGCAACTTTTTATTAACACAGTTTGTCTTAAAGCATTATGATTTAGTATTAGAAATCATCGTATATTCAATAAACTGAAGTTGATTGTAAACAATTAAAAGATTTAATAAATCTAGAATAATCCGTATCTAGTATTTGATATATTAGTATATTCCGTATTTATATGCACTGTATGTTAGTATATTTACTAAAAACTTTTTGTTAGTAAACGCCTTAGATAGATGTTGACTTAATTATACAACTATTACTATTTTATGGACAAAGGAATTGCAAAAGTAAATAACTTTTTAGTAAGATTTTCTTGGCAATCTGCAAGATCTCTTTTAAAATTGTCAAATATTTTTTAATTTACATTTCTAAGGGAACAAAGCGAAGAAGAGAGATAAATATCTACTTTCTTAATCAGACATTTTACGGAAGAAGACTGATATAAAATATCATTCAATATTCATATGCATATTATATCTTTTTGAAACACGCAAATATAACTAAAAAAGGGCTCTGATAACATTTTCTAAAATCTAAAAACAATCGTTTACAACCTTGAACTTAACTCATTGAAAATCCTAATTGGTTAGGCAAATTTATAGCTTTTTATATTATTTTAACAGTGTTTTGTTGTGAAAGAGAACTGTATTTGACATTTATATACATATATATATATATATTGATTGTAGTAAAGAGGTAGAGAGAGGAAGAAGGGAGAAATATAGAATAAATATAATAAAAGATAAAAGTCGATTGGGGCGGAAGGAAGGGTGATGAGGAATTCGGACTATTTCCAATTTACAGTTGACAAAAGAGTAAATATCAACACTGTTTTCTAAGTAAACAATAGAGAACAAGAAAAGACAACTAAATGCAACAGATTTTCTTGTTAATATCCCTGACCGGAAGTAAAAGTTTTTATAAAAAATATAAGAAACAGAAAAGGGGAAGCTTGTTATACCATAAAATACGCGCCCTCTGTTGCTTTGTTTCCTAAACATAGTATAGAAAAATCTATTACATTGAGAATAGACTTAATTATCCCTAATTTTGAATCGTTATATCTTATATAATTTATTGTGCGTGTGTCACTGAGTAAGCGTTGAAGAAGTGACGTCAAAAGGTTTCTATTTTCTGAGTAAAAACTTCCACTGGAAGGTCAATCTATCCGTAAAACTTGGTTTTTTTTTCTACTTTTCTAGTTAAATTGTATACAGCTCATTCGATTTTTCCGCTTTGTTGCACCTTCCTTTCTCGTCCAGGTGGAAAGATACACCGTCACAATTCTTTCAACATTATAATGGTCCGTTAAGATGATTGAATGGATATAATTAGCAATCAACCGAGAATTACTTTGCCTATTCTCCTACAAGGTCGTTGAAAGCCAATAAATCACTGCTTCCTCTTCCTTCTCTATTGCACTACAAATTTCTTGTTTTAGAGAATTTCTCGAAATTAGTTAAAAAACAAGTGCTTTACTTTTTGGTTGAAAACTAACTGAGAATGAAGCTTAAAAATAAATAAATAAATAAACAAATATATATATATGTATATATATATTCTAGTTTCTTGGAATTTAACCGTAGATATAGGCTGAAAAATGATATCTAGTATTTTCTTTTGTACTACAAATATAACTTATGTATATTTGTTTGTAAATAAAATATTAAAACTATGTTAAATATGGATAAAAATTTTTGATAAAACCCAATACGATATACATTACATTTGTACCTGAGAAGAGAAGGAAAATTGATAAATACGTGTACTTGTTGATATAGAAAGTAATTTCATTGTACATTTTATAGAGTATACAAATTGCTTTGTATGTATTTAAATATAGTAATTAATACATTTATTTCATATTTATAATGCATATACAGTATATATATATATATATATACTGTATATATGTGTCTAAGTGTATCTGTGAGGTAGATTGCAAGGTAGACAGTAAATGTATCGTTACATGAACTACACAGTACATGAAAATGTCATCATACATATATATATATATATATATATATGTATGTATGTACGCTCTATATTAGGTATACAACACCTTTTACTTTCGTACAGTACTTTTAAGGAAAGATCAGGTATACGTTTAAATGAAAATATCAATATATAGCACAGTATAAAATACGTAAATTTTCATTTATCTTTACCTTTTTTTACCATAATATACGTTTTTATATAACTTGTTCAAAGACAATAAAGTTATTAATAAAAAAAAATTAAACAGAAAAGTTTATTATAATTCATTATCGTCTTGTAATTTTTTATATTTAAATATATTCATTGAGAAAGGAAATAAAAAGAACTTTTTTCATTTTATTATAGATTAAATTTCATAGAAAAGCCGAAAGATGTACTTGACAGATCTTTATATATATAAACAGTATAATATATATAAATGCTTCATTTACTTCTTTGCTGTTCTGTCTAAATTCTCTTTCTAATTTTCTACCTACTCTCTTAGAAGATGTAATTAGAATAGAAGGATTGGCATACAAAAGTAATAGTGAAAAGCTCTTCCTACCATTCAGATTAGAAAGATTAGTTGTATTTATACCATATATTAATACTTATATGTATATACAATATAAAATGTCATTAGAGTGTTGTTTTTTCTCACAACTTTTTATAATTAGAGGTATTGACAAGGTTAAAAAAAACCTGATTATAATTAGCTATATCCTTCAAGGATTAACTCTCCTATATCGTTACAGGGGAAATTATCGTAAATCAAATTAAGCATAAATTTAATAACATTACTATTTATAATGTTTTTAAGAAATAAACAACTTTTAAAGGTTAAAGACCCCTTTGCTAACATATTATTATTAGTTTATATATATTTATATACAGTATATATCCTGTAGTGTAATAATTAATATATGACACGAAGGTTCATGAAATATTTATTTAAAAGGAAAAAGTTTTTCAAGCTGAAAAGAAAAAGATTAACGGTAAGCCAAGAAAAGAAAAAGAGAGAAAAATTGCTTAATAAGATTCTGTTTTTGGTTGGCAGAAGAAGCATTCTCCAGAATACTAATAAACGAAAAATATAATTGGAAAGATAGAAAGACAAGCAGACAGACAGATAGATAGAAAGAGGAAAGAACTGGGAATATTTAGTATACCATATATACCTAATATGTTTTATTTTTGTCTATACATAGTATACCAATCATTATAATTAGTGTAGAGTATAATTTAAGGTGTATTTCACATCTAATTTTAACTTATTTTTCTCTTTTTTCTATTAGCTGTTTTGTCTTCTTTTCTAAACATGAAATCTTCTCTCTAAACTTTAAATACTCTTCTCCATTTAGAATTCATTTTGACTTAATGAACATTCAAATGACAGAAGCAATTGGCAAAAGGTTAAAATAGAAAAAAAGATCAAAGAAAAATAAGATCAATAATAATATCTTTAATATTCTGTTTGTTAATTTACAAATAACCATCTTTTTTTTCAGTTAATTGTCGATATTCGGCCAAGGTCAGTGAACTGACTATGTGTTTGTGTAGAATCATTGTTTCGTTGCCTACAAGGTTTGAAAATTTTTAACGTTATTGCTTTGGCAGATCTTCTAAAATATTTGTTCAGGATTAAATATATATAACAGTTTGCAGACGCACTAATTATAAGTAGCATTTCTTTTAACGTTGAAAATATCTTGTACGCGGCTGCATTTCTATCAACTCTTGCTGCTTGGGCGATACCCATCAAAAAATCAGGAGTTTGACAAATTAATAATTTTGAAATGACGACAACCATATTTACAACTATTGTTCTTGAAACAGGAACAGGTGTTTTTAGAACTTTATTCTTACTCTCTCTAGCGTGTAATTGACGAAATTTATCAGCTTTCCTTAAAGCTTTTACCAGATAAACGTCGCATACTGCAATTATACCTAACGGTAATATGAAGACAAGGGCAAAAGTTAATCCAACATGATAAAGCCAATAGTAAATGGAGGCATCCCATCCAGGTAAGTTAACTCTCAGATGGGCAATATGAACATATGAAGCATTTGTTTCAAGTTTCGAAACGGCAGAGTAATAAGCGAATCTTGGAGTGTTAAACAGAACACATCCCAAAATAGTGAGCGCTGAAACTCTCTTAGCTATGATTGATGTACAAAACGTTAGCGATTTTAAAGGTTTATCCACCGCAATTCTTCTATCTACAGCCAACATAGCCGTTATCCAAATACTAGAAGTTTGTAGCATCCACGCTATCGGTAGAGCAACCGACACTAATATCGGCTCTGCCTTTAAATAATTTGCCATACAATCAGTATATCTGTTAGGGAGAAAAAGATAAAACAATGCTTAAATAACTTGCCCTCGTTTTCAGCTTATTCTCCGTCAATGTTCCCGGAAAAAGCTCTATCTATTCTTAGGCAGAGAAAAGCAGTTGCTTTTTCTTTCTTTTTTATTATTGTTTTACTTACTTGGCAGCCGTTCTGAATGTCGTATATAAGAGGCAATAAGCAACAAATATAACTTCTACAAAAGCCAATACGCGTATATAGATTGTATATGAACTAACGTGAGGGGTATTTTTCAACGTTAATAGAATAAGTATATTGCCGAAAATCCCAGCAACAGATATGATTCCATCAACGTAAATATTTACGTAGAACACTAGCTTTTCAGCAGCACTAATGTTTTCTTTAGGTGTCATACAATTTCCCATAATAATTTCTTTTTTGACAGTAGCGTTGAGAGGAAAGAACTTCTTTCTTAACTATACTAAAAAACAAGTTGAAGTTAACATACACACTGCACACATACACAAAACAATAGATAAAGAAGACACCCTAAGGTATTTTTGTGATATATAAACAGCATTTAGCCCCTATAAATTGAGAAAGATAGCTCTATTATCTAAGTAAATTCTTCTCCAAAGACTTTTTCTCCATGAAATTCAATAGTTTACTCAACGTAATCGCCTGAAACATATATGTTTACGTTCCGTTCTTTCCAAAGTGTCGTGTGAACAACAACGACTTTAGATAGCTCTTTAAAAATAAAGCCAATGCTTTAACCTCTTATATAACATTTCAGAAATTCAATAAAACCGTTCTAGATGATTTACACAATTGTAAAAGTTACTCATGATCAAACATTTTCTATATTTACAAATCCTATAATATTTAATTTACGACCATTAATTTTGTAATTTTAGTAGTTTTTCTATTTTTCAATTCTTTGGTTTAAAAAGGTAAATCTATTGTTTTATTTAACTTTTTAATAAAAATAAGAACAACTATTCGATTAGTTTCGTTATTTTCTTTTCTTTTTTTTCTTCTCATTCACAAAAGTTCTTATATAAAATCTCTTTGAAATTCTCTTTATTTTCCTTTTCATATTCAATCAATAAACGAATTGCGACTATTTCTCTCATTACATCACGAAATATTACGTTACAATTTGCTTACATACAATATAAGCCATTATTCTCTATTTGGTTAACGATATAATAAAAGAATACAGGTAACGTAACTTATGATAATGATTGCAATAATAATAATAGTAATAATCTTGAAGTGTTTTTTATTACAAGCGAGAGCTGACGATTGCTTGTCATTCTGGAGTTGGAGTTGAGAAGAGAGAGTGATAAATTGATACACTGATAACGCAGAAAAGAGAGAGACAGACAGAGAGAGAGAGAGAGAGAGAGCGATGGAGGAAACAATTATCTCTTTATTAAGCATTCCTTATTTTTACTTTCTCCTCTTCTTATCAATTTGAATTTCAATGATCCTCTGGTACTACTCATTGTACTCATTGAAACAAAACTTGACCTCGTCACTGATCCTTCCATGTTAGTTGGACTGTTGTGTGCAGATGGAGCGCAAGATGCAAATGTCTTTAAAGCTGCTCTAAAAGACTTTCCCACTGCACAGTAAGCAGGTAAAGTTAATATTGTATGCAAATGAAGTAAGGCGTCAACTATTAGTTTAAAAGCGTCATTTTTTAACTCACTATTTATAATAGTTATCACGTGAAGTGCTGCCATAGGTATTAAGCACGTGCAATGGACAAAAACTGAAGCGGCAACAACTTTCGTCGCCCTCTTAGAATTGACAGCTCCCCTGGCTTTATCCGGGCCGTTTTTTTGGAGTTGTCGAAGTTTTCTAACGATTTGAACGTCCACAACAGCCAAAAGGAAAATAGGTATAATATATCCGGTGGCCAGAATAAATATATCAAATATTTGAACCAAAACTATTCTTACTCTGGAGTTGACTAAATATCTGACTTCATTGTTGTTACTGCTGCATCTATTCATTAAAAACGCGGTTAATTCAGGACGATTTGTAGACACATCTATGTCATTCGCTTTCGATTGAAATGTCCAATTGATAGCCGCATGACAACCGTACAAAGTAGTTGCAAAGATATGTATAGCAGCAATAATAATTACAACTGATCTTGTCTTGAAGATTCTAGATTGAATTGGTCGGCACACAGCAATGCAGCGTTCCAAACCGACAATTACCGCTGTCCATGTTGTCCAGAGAACCCCGGCATGTGAAAAACCTTTAAGTATATTATAGGTGTTATCAGTTTTTAAGCTTTTTGCGACTACCCAATGATAGAGCATCGTCGCTACATACATGATCAATGCTGCTAAGTCCGATAAAGCTAACAATCTTAACAAAAAATACGCTTTAGTTCTACCTGAGTGGAATCTTTTAAGAACAATTAAACATATAATAATAAGGGGAACCCCCAATGAAAGTTGCAAAAGGGGTAAATACACGTAAGTCACATTGCTTGGTGTTGTTCCTCCGGAATGCTGCCAAGATCCTTCCGAGAAATTTGAACAAAAATTTTCTACGATATCCTCAAGAGTTACTTTGTTAGCCATCGACTAGTAGCTGGAGACGACACTCTCGTTTTTGCCTATAAAAAAGTAAAATGTGGAAGCGCCACCTGGTAAAACGTTTTACCAATCATTAGACAGTGAATCAAACAGACAATAGAATATATGAAATATATCAGTAATCATTTTAAGAGATAGGTTATAGAATTTTCAATACAAAGAGAAGAAATAAAGGTCAATTCTAAAAATAATATTATATAAAATACGTTTTAAAATCTCAGCTTCACCATCCAATAAATAATTTAGGAATGGAGTAACCGGAAGCTTAGGAATGGAAAAGGTATTTATGATTTGTCACAATCATTGCAATGTGTTCGATTAGTTTCTTTATTCGCAACAAGGAACCCTACAACGTGACAAATGATGGGTTATAAATAATCAAGGCACTTTTCGCTCGTTTCAATAAGACAAGTTAGTCAAATAAACAAAAGGGAAATTTGTATGAGAAACAAATGGTTGAAAAATTAATTGACCATTTGGCAGATATTGAGATAATCAAGTAGTAAAGGGAGCTGACTTTAAACGAAATGTTATGATAAAATTTGCAACATTTATCATAGATTCCTTTGCTCTTTCGCATTCTCACTCTCTCGTTTCCCTCTTCATTCTCTCACCCTCTCTCTCTCCCTCTATCCCTCTGTTCTACTTGACTTATTTCTTTTTGGTTAATCTTCATGTTACAAATATGAAACTAAATTGTATGCTCTCCTTTAAATGCCATCAATAAAAACTCATTTGCAACATTAATTCGAAGAGTTTGAAAATGCTAAATAACTCCTAGCAATGTATAATAAAATCACAGAAATATTTTCCACTTTTACAAAGTCATATCGTATTGTAGTAACTCACTTTACTTGTTTTACATGCTCCTTTTACATTTTCTATTTACAAATTATATATTCATTATGGACCCACATTAAAAGAAAATACAATAATACAATAGAATAACAATAATTAACTAACTAATGTAGTTGATAGCCAATAAAATAAAATAGGTCTCTTTAACAGAAGGAATAAAAAGAAAATTTTGCTGTACTCTTTTGACACTTCAAAAGGTTATGTAAAAGCAAAAAAGAGGCCACATAGTATTTAGCTTTCATCTACGATCCATATTTACTCTCATTCGTATGGTAGATATAACGACAAGCGTCTCTTTTACTTTACGCGTTAACAGCTTATGAAAGGTGTTTTCAAAAAGTTTTGTTGTAAAAAAAAACTGATTCTGTCATTGTTGCATAACGTTACGTTTTTATATTTATCGATTGATCTTATAAAGAGTGCTTTTTAAAATCCTCCTTCTTTCAAACCTTTCTCTTCCTTTTAAGTAATGTATCCGATGCTGAAGGATTAAGTCAATTAAAAGGTACGGAGCTTGGGCTAAGGAAATTAATACTAGATTGCATGGGAAATCGTTCACATGGCCAAAAGAACTTAGACTGAAAGGAGAATCTGTTACATGATGAGTAAAATGCTTTTTATGTTCTACTTTACTAACAATACGAAAAGGAACACCTCCGCACAAGGTTCTACAGTAAAAAAATATGTACTCTTATAGTATATAGTATGCTATTTACGTGAAATATGTAGCTTTACCTCATGATACTCTTGCCTTGAGTCATTTTAGAGCTTTGCATGAGGGAGGCTGAATATAAAAATCTATATTATACATACTTATACAGTATATAAAATAGAGAAATAGTTTCAGAAACTTGCATATGTCTAAACAATAAATACTAATAGTTAATATTGCTGTCGTGCGCAATATTTATACACTTAAACACGTACAAATATGGAAATATAACTACTTAATATTCATAAATTATTAAAAAGAAGAAATGTATATTTTATATTAGCAATAACATTAAATTAAGTTAGTGAGTATCCTTTCAAAAAAATACTAAATAAAATATATTAATTTCCTTTTCTTCACTCTTTTTCATTCTTAATTGGATCAATAGATTCTAAAAATTTTCTACACTTTTTTCGTCTCCCTTTACAATTTAGATCCGGTGTTAATTAAATAGAAAATAGCTTTACCTATATAACAAAAAATAAATAGCAAAAAGGAAAAAATACAATTATAAATAGATGTCTTTTTTCTTATATTTTGCCTAATGGTCATATACTATAATAGATAGTTATCAAGATAAAAAAACAAACTTCAAATTCTACCATAGAGTATACTTAGTATAAAATTTTTTCTCTAGAGTCTAATTTACCAGTACCATAACATCGTGTACTACATATAATACACGTATCAGCCCTCCCTTACGTTTATTATTACTAATATCATTGTTATTATTTACCTTTCTTCTTCTTTTCTTTTTTCCCTTCTTCCTTTCCATTTTGCTTCATTTAACCCTTTTTCATATAATCTCATTTCTTGCATCTGTAAGCAGAGTCAGCTTGGTTTAAATTATTAGTGCACACCGTCAAAAGAAATGTTAAAAAAAAAAGTTTCAAAGATCTGCATTTGTATGCGTGATTAAATCACTTAAAGGTTCGGTAAGTTCTATATATTTTGTTCCGGTTAGAGATGCGTGAAAGAAATGGAATGTTACCTAAAACCCATTACAATGAAAAAACATGGGCTCAGAATCGATAGCGAAATCTGGATAAGGATAAAAAATAAAAGTATTTTACAATAAAGCTTCAACGATTAATGGCCCTTTTTCGGCTGAGGTTTTAGAATTTTATAAAATCTAAAATGTAGGATTACTATAGCTTGATAGAATGTTAAAGTTATAATGAAAGTGATTATCAATACAATGCCTAATTATTTAAGAGAAGTCGTATTTTGTTCTCTAAGTTTCACTTCAAAATTTTCACATATATAGTATAAGTATTTTATTTATTATAAATATAAGACATAAGTATTTCAGGCGATTTACTAATATCCGATTTTGCTCTATTACGGATTTTATCCTCTATCAGTGTAATAAACAGACTGTTTTTCAAGGTCGTAAAGTTCGCTAAGAAACAGCGAAAAAAGAGAATCTCTGATAAGTATGGTATTAAGAACAAAGACATTGTATGCTCTTAAACCAAGATCTATTCATCCAGTATTATTGCGGTTTCGTTATCCATACTCTTTCGCTTATTTCCTATATTTAAGTTTCAATATATTCCACTTCCTTTCAACTACCGTCAATTTTCTAAGGGAAATAGCAAAGATTTAATTAATTGAAACCTCTGCTTAAATTGACATTCAAGAATTCGTTTATCAAGAATACTAATCAAAACTTATTTTACATTTCTAATCTTTTATTAATTCCAATTTGCAAATATTGATATATATCAATTTCGTCAGACTTTATTCTTTTATTCAGTTGAAGCTGTCGAATATGGATTATTTTTCCGCTCATTAAATCCGAAAAAGGTTATTTCTTTTAACCTTTTCTAATTAATAATAAAATTATATTAAATTTAAGGATTTACAACAAAGTTTCTTCAAATATTAATTGAACCTCTAGAGGGCTCTGGATTAGTACCAGTTTGTTTTAACAGAAAATTTATATTTTACCAAATATTCACTTCCGTTAAATAAAAATGGTGAGAGACGTTTCAGCTTATCTTTTCGAACAACAGAGGAAATCTTCTAGCGAAGTATCCCAGGAATGGGCAGCCCTTGAGGATTTGTACAATAGGAAGTAAGTTTTTAAGTATAACTTAATATAATTGCAGATTTTTAGGCTAAATTGTTTTGCCGGCTGTGACTCAGCTTTTCATTCCTTTTATCACTCTTTAGATTATGGCATCAATTAACAATAAGACTACAAAAATTTGTTAAAAACGCCCAACTGCAGCAGGGTGATGCAATAATGCAGGTATTACGCTTTGAAAATTTTTGATTACTCTTTCTAATAACCCTGTTGATCAACATTAGCTGTACCAAAACTTCATATCAGACTTTGAACACCGAATGAATCCTCTTGCTTTGGTAGAGATTCTCATCCCTGTGGCAAGGCAAATGAAAGGTACGTTTTTTTTTTACATTTAATAGTCTATATTATAAATTGATCAATTGCAGATAATACACAAGCTCTTGCATTTATTGAAAAGATTCGAAAGGAAAAAGTAAAAAATGATAACGAGGCAGTTGTTTTATGTCTTATAACTGAAGGAAATTATTATATTTTATTGAATGATACGGATAAAGTTAAAGTATTTATAAAAGGAGAATTTGAATTCTTTTTCACCTTATTTCAAATTATTTTTTAGCATGTTATTGACGAGGCTGGAAACTTACTTGAAGAGCTAGATGGTGTAACCTCAGTCCATGCACCTTACTACGAGCTATGTAGTAATTTTCATAAACGACAAGCTAATCATGCTGACTACTATCGAGATGCTTTGAGATATCTCGGTTGCATAGATGTGAAAACTTTATCCAGTGAGGCTTTTTGTTACACACAATTTACTCTTTATTTATTTATTTGTATAAATTATTACAGACCAAGATCAAATCGAAAGGGCTTTCAATATTGGACTAGCAGCTATTTTGGGAAGTGGCATTTATAATTTTGGTGAACTTTTACAACACGACATCTTAGAAGCTTTAAGAAAATCTGATAAATCCTGGCTCGTACAACTTCTGTTTGCTTTTAATAGCGGCAATATAAGCCAATATCAGGATCTAAAAGTTCATTGGAGTAAGCAGCCTGACTTAAACGTAAATGAAAAATATATGAGACAGAAAATCTCTTTGCTTTGTCTGATGGAAATGACTTTTAAAAGGCCAGCTACAGAAAGAGTTTTAAATTTTTCTGATATCGCCAAAGAAACAGATCTTAACAAAGGCGAAGTAGAACACCTAGTTATGAGGGCTTTATCATTGAAACTTGTCAAGGGCTCAATCGATCAAGTCGATCAAACAGTTCATATGAGCTGGGTTCAACCTAGAGTATTGGATAAAGATCAGATAAGAACGATGGCTGACCGATTAAACTCATGGTGTGATCAAGTCTCATCAATGGAGGGTTTGGTACACAATAAAGCTCAAGAGATTCTAAGCTAATTTTTGTTATAAAGTTTTATAAATGTATTTAAGTCCAATGTAAAAAATACAATTGTGTAAAAAAAATTCCAATCTATATAGTAAATCAAGATGTGATCGTAGTCTGTTTATGTACACGCGCCGTTCATATAATAGAAATACCCCGTAACTAGTCTACAAGAATGGCGCCTGTTTAACGTTTCAGAAGTCGGCTGATCTCGGCATTTTTTTCTCTTACACAGCAATTTGCTTTCTTGTTACATTTCTGTCAAATCAGTGAAAGTATGCCGGGTGGAAGGAAAAGAGCAGCTAACAGTAAATTCCTTATGCACTTAACAACTTTTTCAATTTATTGTACTTTCACGTTTATTACATAACAGCTTCAAGGAAAAGCACACCAGCTAAAAAAGAAAAGGTCAATGCATCATGGGAGTGGTTAGATGAAGATGGTAATTGGTATAAATTTACCGACCATATTAATCAACAATTAAATCAATCCTTTAGAGCTGGTAGTCCATCTGTAAGATATTGCATAATATTTCTTTTTCTCTGTGAGCATAAGGACGTTATCATTTTGCAGGCAACTGTACAAGAATATATAATAACCTTCAGAGATATGATTGCAAGAAAAGAAGAAAGACAATATTATTTGCGGTATTTTCTAAGTAAGCAAATATATCTTAAATGGAATATATATTAATATATTTTCTAAGAAATTATAAGAAAAAGCTTTTTCTTTCCAACTTTTTCAAAAGGAATTCATTTTAATTGATCAGTTTCATAGAATTTTTAATTCAATTTAACTTGCGGGTCTTAGACAATGTAACGTGGAAAGTTGAAAATCATCATCCAATGAACGCAGAAAATGTTGAACTGATTGAAGCAGCGTTCAAGGCCAAGCAACCATCAATTCAACTCACAGGTGTCTACGTTGAAAATGACGAAGATGATGACCTTGTTGAGATAACGTTTGATGATATGTATGCGATGGGCGGAATTATTGACAATGATATTAAAAGAATCGAGTCCGGTAGTCATTTAATAATACGCTGACCAATTTTCAATGAAATAAATTATATTCAGCACAGATTCGACAAGAACAAAAAATTTTAATGACAAAGCAGACACTGTAAAAACAAAACCAAGTAAAAATAGAGTTTTACCCTAATTCACACAAAGTTTACCCGTAAAATATCTTTAAAGGTAAAGCTGTACCCAATCAGTCTGACAAGATACCGGTAGACTCACATATTACATGTCCTGAATTATACAAGGTATATGTTGAAGGTGATGATATTTATGATGCAATGCTCAACCAGGTATTCAAATTGATAATTCACAACTAACCATAAATCGAATGTAATAAAGTGAATATAATTCTTTCTTTCTTATGTCAGACCAATATTGGTAAAAACAACAACAAGTTTTACGTTATACAACTATTAATACAAAAAAGTGCCGCCTCATATTGCCTTTGGACACGATGGGGAAGAGTTGGAGTCAAAGGACAGAGCAGTTTGATTTCATATCAAAGCACTGACGAAGCAAAGAAAGCTTTTGAAAAAAAGTAACTATCTAATATATTTGAATATTCTTGTCTATATTACAGTTTTCTTTAGGTTTTATGACAAAACAAAGAATCATTGGTCAGATCGAAAATCATTTGAAAGCGTAAAAGGAAAATATGATCTTATTCATATAGACTACAGTACTGTTCGTACACATTACTTTTTGAAATATTTTTAGATATCGCCAACAACTTTTAAACATTTTAATCATTTCACAAAAAGTTATTTTCCATTATCACCTTAATCTAAATTTACTAAACGAGACATCTACTTACGGAATTAGTTGAATAGTTCCAGATCTGAAAAAATTATTAAACTGTATATTTTTTTATTATTCCAGAAATGATATCGTCGTACCTGGTGGTAAAAGGTATTGGTAAGCCTATAGCATCTTAGAAGTACATTGAATACATTATATACATGTATGTCAAACAAAAAGAAATATCTGATACGAATGGCTTTTAGTTCAAATTATGACATTTGATGTTTTGTCTATAACCTTTTGTCCTTTTGTGCAAGCTGTATTTAATCTATCATTTCAATATTAAAAGTAGATAAATTATTAAAAATAAAAACTGCAATTTCATATACTCATCAACAGACATTGTTCCCCTTGCAGACAATATCTTCAATTTCTAATAAAATAGTGAGCGATACTTCGCTATATAAATAAATTTTGAGCATCCTTCATTTTGAAAAGAGAATGATTATTTTACATTTAAGATATAAACTCAGAATAATCGTGGTTAAAGAATATTTTAGAAAGTTAAAAATAACTAAAACTATAGTAATGAATCATATTATAAAGACGAATTTGATGGAGAAAATGCATTTATGACAGCAAAATAATCATTTTGTTTTGCTTCTGTTGGCACAAAATGACTGATAAATTTGCAGAAATCATTCCTAAATGTAATAAGGTTACAAAGTTGAGTTTTTATAAACTTATTGTCTAAAAAGCTTCTTGTCCATTTAAACACTATTTTCTCTCTTTCATTATTAAAACAAAGGAATCTTTAACATTTAACATTATATGTAAATGGCATTCTCTGAGTACAAATAATTTTAATAAATAGATATTTATCCATAGACTCTTCCTTTACTCTTAAGAGCATTTTTAAGCAGAAGTTTTTTGACTAAAAGTTAAATAGCACATATAAAACCAAAAATTAAAGCCAGTATTAATTTCTAATTGTACAAAAATACTTGTAATTTGCCTATTTATCACTATCTTCGATTTATGGAACATTTAACCGCGTAGCGTTTGAAATGATAAACTTTCTTGAAAGTGCTCTTTAATATCTCAAAAAATTTTTAATATATGAAAACTCGTTTAAAGTATTAATTTACTTTAGATTATTTGCTTTTTCTTAAATTTTAATGTTATTTTTATAACAAAAAATTTCTTCATTTAATATCTCTTTAATAAGAACAACTCCACGCGGAAGTTAGTAATACTATATCCGTAGCGGCCAATATTTGTTCAATATATGCCTTGTCTTGTTATTACCTGCCCAAGTTTAGTCATCGATTGGTATATAAAATCTTACTGAAGGAAATTTTCCTGTCAGTTTTACAGATACCTAGGCAAAACACGCATAAAGAAAATAGATATGCCACGTAAAAGCAAAAGAAGCTCAAGTATTAAATTTCTTTAACAAATATTTCTAAATTAAAATAGCATTCTTCGTTTAGAATCTGCACCCGATTCAGCTGATGTAGCGAAAAAGCCAAAACTAGAATGTTCTTGGCAATGGCTTGATTTAAATAATAAATGGAATAAGTTACCTGATGAAGTAAATGCTGATATCAATGCAGCTTATGAACATGGAAAAAAAACTGTAAAAAATCATCCCAAGCTTGTAGCTAATTAATCAAGGAATTGGTTTATTTTTAGGTGAAAGTATCAGGCTTCAATATAAATTTTAAGAATATGATCGCAAAGAAAGCTCGCAAAGAAATTCAGTTAAGATACCTTATTGGTATGACTATTGATATTTTAAACAACTCCATGAAATTCACTAATAAATCATTCCCTTTAGATAACGAAATTTGGCAAATAGAAAATGTAAAGACGCTCTCGGCATATAATGTAACTCGGATATCGGAAGCATTAAAAACGAAGGAAAGCACGGTTGATATTACAGATCTTCATCTTGAAAACGGTGAATTGGAAGAATTAGCAACTGTTGATTTCGATTGTATGACAGCCGTTGGAGAATCTGTAGAAGATAAACTTAAAAAAATAACGTCAGGTAATAAAGCTCAACAAATAAATTAAGTCATATCTTTAAAACTGCCTGACGAACAGATGTCACAGTAACAAAAACTTTCGACGAAGATGGTCTTGATGTAAAAACAGAAACAAAGGAAACAGATGAGAAACCTATCACTAAGTCAAGTAAAATCAAAAACAAAATAAGTATTATTTTCTATAGCAATTTCGTCGAATTTAGCCAAAACATATAGAATGGAAGTTGGAAAAATACCAGTAGACCCGGAAATTTCGAATCCTGAGATATACGAGGTCTATGTTGAAGGTGATGATATTTATGACGCAATGCTCAACCAGGTATTCAAATTGACAATTCACAACTAACCATAAATCGAATATAATAAATATAATTCCTTCTTTATTGTTTCAGACAAATGTGAATCATAACAATAACAAATTTTACATTATTCAACTATTAAAACAAAAATCTGCTTCCTCATATTGTGTTTGGACACGATGGGGAAGAGTTGGAGTCAAAGGACAGACCAATCTTGCACGATCTTCCCTGGATGGCGCAAAAAAAACTTTTGAAAAAAAGTAACTATCCAATATGTTTAAATATTCTTTTCTCTTTCACAATTCTCTTTAGGTTTTATGATAAAACAAGGAATCAATGGTCGAGTCGAAAGTCATTTGTCAAAATACAAGGAAAATATGATCTTGTTCATATAGACTACAGTACTGTTAGTATACATTACTTTTTGAAAAATAATTTTTCAAACACTTCACTAAATTCCTTTCCCCTAACATTTAATCTAAATAATCTATATATTTTAATTATTCGCAGGATACGGCTAAACCAGAAGTAGCAAATCCAAAACCAGGAATAAAAACAGAAATTCGAGAATCATCTCTAGATAAACCAGTACAAGACCTTATCAAGCTTATTAGCGATGTCAAAGCTATGGAAGCAGCTGTTGTTGAATTAAAATATGATGCTGAAAAAGCTCCATTGGGTAAACTCACCCCTAATCAAATTAAGGCTGGTTTTGCTGCTTTAAAGAGTGTTGTTGAGTGCATTGAAGGAAAGTCAAAAACATCTCTGGTTGACGCTTGTAGTAACTTTTACACTAAAATACCACATAATTTCGGGTACGAATTCCATTTTTGTAAGAAAAACATCTTCAAAATTAACAATGTTTTCAACGTAGAATGAAGAGACCTCCACTAATAAGTACTATGCAAGAAGTGAAAACTAAACTACAGTTGCTCGAGGTATTTATACATACATTTTACTTTAATCTTTGAAGATGGATAATTCATTACCCAACGTTTCCTAAAAAGACTCTAGGTGATATTGAAATTGCTATGAACGTTCTAAAGAATGTGGATGAAGGTGAAAATCCGATCGATTCACACTATAAATCATTACGATGTGATCTTAAACTAATAAAGCAAGAATCTAATGAGTTCAAGGTAAATTCAACATTCAGATTAATAGGTATTTTCACTGACAAGTACCTTTGCCATGTTAGATTATCAATGAGTATATGCAAAATACTCACGCAAAGACGCATCGTCAATATGATTTGGAAATAAAAGAAATTTTCGAAGTAGAAAGAGATGGAGAGGATAAAGTATATAATGATGTTGGAAACAAGTATGAACTTAAAATTATTCCTTTAAATGAACACAATTTATATTTAAACTAACTATTCCTTTTAGAATGCTTTTATGGCATGGATCTCGACTAACCAACTGGGTTGGAATTCTTAGCAAAGGACTTCGAATAGCACCACCTGAAGCGCCTGTTACTGGCTATATGGTATACTGTACATCTACAAAAGTGTAAAATGTAATAATTGTTTTGTTTTTTTAAGTTCGGAAAAGGCGTTTATTTTGCTGACATGTCTAGCAAGAGTGCTAACTACTGCTTTGCAAATAAGGTAAATTCAACAGGACTACTATTACTTTGCGAAGTAGCACTGGGCGAAACTTGCAAAAAATTCGCGGCCGATTATAATGCATCAAATTTACCAAAAGGAATGTCAAGCACTCATGGAGTTGGTAGAACAGCTCCAGATCCGAAAGTTGTTAAAAAACTGTAAGAGCGAATAGTAGATAACATAAAAAGAATTATATACTATATATTTTTATTTCAGAAATGACGTCATTGTACCTTGCGGTAAAGGTGTTGATAATCCGCTAATTGGATCAACTAAAACATCTCTAATGTACAACGAGTATATTGTATACGATGTTCAACAAATAAGAATGAAATATCTGATACGAACAAATTTCAAATTCAAATAGACAGAATTGCAAAATTCGTATGTGTATAAACTATATTGATTCAATAGCACACTGATAGAAACATAACTGCATGTATTAAATATATATACTTTCCTTTTCAATGAAACAAGTGCACATTACACTGTGAGAACTCTTTTTATCATTAAAATGTGGTACAAAATGTCGATATAGCCTATCGTAATACTTGTTTAACGTTATATACATTTCAGAGTAAATATATGTGGGAAAATCGTGATAAAATAGATTTTCTGATCTTTTCATGGGACCTTTGAACATTGAGTAAAAGGTATATTTATAATTAAAAATTGATGGACAATATCAAATGAGACTATAGTCGAACCTAATATTTCATTGCCTACTATTGAACATTTCTTGACAACAATTAAATGTCTTTTATATGCAAGGTTCAGAATTTGCTTACCAATAAACCAGCCTCATACTATATATATAACATAAAGGTATACATAACGAATTTTGATAAAGTTTCTTCAGAAGAATTAAATATGATATCAGAGCAGCAGAAAGTAAATCATGTCAGCATAGTCTAATCAGTTTTCTTTGCCCATGCCAAATCATCGGACCTGGGTTTGGCACCTGTAAATTTCTCAATCTGATTTTCTAAAAATGTCCAAAAGCCGATATACTCAAAAGGATAATTTAACCAACCAGTCGTGATACAAAAGTATGTTTCATGAGGAGCAACATGATGAATTCGATGATGTTTTCTCGGTAGGATTATATGGCAATTTTGAAGCCAGACTATATAATTTGGCAAACCAAAATATGTATGTGACCATTTATGAATTTGATTCGTCATTGAGACAAAAATGCTTAGAAATATTATAAAAGTATTCCTATTGTAAACTAAATCAATATCTTTCTGTTCATAAGAACAAAATTGATAGGCCATATAGACTAAAGCAGGTATACAGACAGCGAAATTATCGCCATTTGCTTCGATAAAATCATGTCTTGTTATTGCAGTAGGATCAATATGATGTTCTCGGAAAGGTCTAATAAATGTCTGAAAAGTTGAAAGAAACAATCAATGATAGTTTATTGAAATACGTGTTAAAAAACATGTAATGTATAACGCTGCAAGTCACAGCAATGTCACGATATAGTTCGATAATTGACGAGATAAGCCACATTACGCTTAATTCTGACAATATAAAGATAAATTTAATTGAATATGTACTTTTACATAAATCATTCGACGTTTGTCAATACTTCCTACTAGTAAACTAAATTGTTTATCTCAATTGTATAGGCCTAGTGAAATATATACTTACTTTTCCTAAAAGAAAGAGATCTACACTGCCCCACGTATCTGCTCCCCAGTGGACTAACCCACTAAAAAAATCTGCCATCAGGATACCTAGAACTAAAAGATCAAAATTCAAGTTACATAATAATTATGTTAGATAAATTATTACAAACCTCCACTTATTAATATGATATACCATCTATTAAACGAGAAATTCACAAATAGAAAGTAAATGTTCACAAGCATTAAGGGTATGCTTATGGCAACACACATAATTTCTTGGATACGCTTTCCTAAAAGTGTTGATATTAGCAAAAATTCGAAATTCTATTTAGGCCTAACAATTACATTACCTGTAGAGTAACCAGCCGCTAATTCCTTTGCCCCTGCATGATTTGGCCCCCATCTTGGTGTGTTCACCTCTTCTATTGTCTCTCCGCTATTATTTCCATTAGGATCGTCTTCTGACATAGAATTATAAATAATTTTCTTTTCGGCTAATCCTGCCATTGAGATTGTCTCTAGTTTATGGCCTGATCGAAGACTGGTTCTGGTTATGGCGCGATTTTACGCGACAAGGCGAATCAGGCTTACTTCAATAAAAAAAACTTTATCGATTCCCCGATTCCCTTCAGAAACGCTGGCCACGTGACCAAGACGAGACGGAATATTATCTTGCCATATCTTAAGATTACAATTATTACATAATTACAGTTTCTGTAATAATGAATTTATAATTAATTAATAATGCAATATTTTCTAAAGAATATATAAAAAAAATAAAAATTCGTACTCTTATGTTCTTGAGAATAATTATGAATAGCACTAAAGGCCTATATTTTCAAGGAGTGTGCCCGACACAAATAAATACATTATTGAGTATCAGACACTGTCACTACATAATATTGAAACGATTGATTTTGAAAAATTAATTAAAATCAAGGATTATTAGATAACAACGATTAGAGGAAAATAAAGATAGTAAAGAAAGGAGGGATGTGTGGGAGAGGAAGAGAACTAGTTTTTGATACTTAGTATTATAGGCAACATGTTTTTCAGCAAGTTATATACTTTTTACATATTAGATAAAAGTTCATCCATTATAATATATATCATTACTATTATTATTTACTAATTAGTTTCTTTTGTATTTATTTAGAATAGACATCCTTAAAAGTTGACGCAGTATTCACTTGTATATCTCGATTTTATTTATATCTTATCTTAAAATGTTTTATCAGCGGATTGTATTAGTTATTTGATTTAGTGAAGGTGCTGAATTCTAGGGAAATGTGTTGTTTTTTACCTTGTATGTCAGCTATTAGAAAATGTCTACCTTCACAAACAGCAAGAGAGACGTGTACAATAATTTTTACAGAGTTAATACGATGGATAACAATCGCTATACCAATTATGCTTAGTGCCTGGCGCTATGCTGAAATGTATAAATATACAAAATTCATCGATGTTGATGATAGTAAAGTGAAAGCTCAGTATTTTGGAATAGTATTTGCGATATTCTTTAGCGCTTCGGCTCTGATTTATCTACCAATTAAATTTATTTATGTAAAGTATTGGTTGAAAACGCGGCAGACTCATGGATGGAGGCCATCTATTGTCATATATATGATTTGTTGTGCGGCACCATGTCTAATTATTATTATTGTAGGGTTTCGCAGACAAGAGGTATATACTTTATCTCTCTAGAGATACATTATTACTGACATTCATCATTAGGTACTGAAAATGGATAAGAATACTGCTGTTGCTCTTCAAGCAATGGTAATGGGTTTAACAGTTACCGAATGGATGGCAAAGTTTAGAGAAGAAGTTCTATCTTTTGACTTGATTACGAATATGTCTGTCGATTTTTTTTTTGCCTATGATGTTATTGAAATTTTGATGATGTCAACTGAAACTGATATATATAAATCGAATTGGATTTACATAACATTCTTTTTCGCCTTCGTCGCAATGATTAAATATATACCAATGCAACCCTGTGAACAGGCAGAGAGTCCAAGAGGTCTAGTCATTTATATACTAGTTGGAATATTCTGCTGCGATGTTCCATTCGTCGTCATACGTGTAATAACGATGGTAAAATTTGGATTTTTTACTGTTGCTTTAATCATTCATCCACTAAAGAACGTTGCCCTTATCCTATTTGGTTCCGTTCAACTTTATATAATTTACATAAACTATAAACAAACGCAAAGTGTTGATGGAAATTGCAAAAGAATTTCGCAAAAGAGGCAATCGAGAACATTTTCTGAGTTAGGACAATCCATTATTTCTACTCATCGTATTCTTAGAAGAAATTTATCAGACGGAGCTCAAGCTCTAGAGCAAAGAAAGAATCGTGGAAGACAGGCTCAATCTTGGGCCTATTCAAATAGAGCGGACTTTGTAGAAGAGGAAACTGACATCGAATCAAACGTTGATGACAAAACCAAATCTGAAAGACATTCTACTGGTACATAAACTGTTCAACTTGAAAACTGATAGTATCTCTCTGATTATCCTAAACTTTACGACCTTTTTGGCATTTTATATTTTTAGTACAATTCGTCAAATAATTGAAATGGAAGTTTATGGCTCTAGTCCACACCTATAAACTTTCTAATCTCTTAACTAAAACCTCACTTTCATCCTCAACAAAAGGCATCTTCCCAAAAAATACATTTTCTAAATGAAACGGAAGGGAAGATAATAATTTCCTCTTCTTTTACTTTCCCGATGATATTCAGATTTTGGAATAAATAATGATTTTTTATTCAAAAACCTTTCAACAATGAAATAAAATAAATAATTTCACATATTTTCAATCAATATTTCTTTTTTGAAAATGATAAAAAAAAGAACGTAATCTAATCAATAATTTTGTATTATCATATAAAACTCAATATTTACTTTCATTGATTGATTTTCTTCTCGTTTCTCTCTCTCTCTCTCTCTCCTACTCTCTTATACTCGGTTGTCTTTTTTTAAAAGTAAACAAGGGATCAATAAAGTACTAGTGAGATAATTAATACAATAATAATAGGAGCTTTATGATTAAATGATCATTCTTCAAGTATGATTTTATAAATTATAAAGCAAGTATTTAAAAGATGTAAATATTTAGTTATCTTAATCGATATGTCCTTCTTTTTGTTTGGAATGAGACCTCGCTTTGTATACTCAAAAATACAGAGTGATATGTTTCATTGAATAACTTACAGGATATTATTTAAACTTCATAAAATTCTAATTTACATTCATCAATTAAATCCCCTAAAAGTAGTACGATTGATCTATTCCCTTTATTCTCTGCCCTCTTATAGAATCAGCCAATCAGCTTTGAACCTTTCAACGGTCATAAATATTCAACGAATCAAAACGCTCGAGAAAAAAGAATCAATAGGTGTCGCTTTCATTGGGAATATAGATGGCCTTACCGTATTAAGTAGGTGAAATATTCCTTACCGAGTGGTGATGATAAATGGAGCAAGTCGGTATTCTACCTCAAATAAAATTCAGGGACAGCTTCTAGAACGCTTTGGTTCTAAACCATCTTCATATATTTGCATGATTTAAGTGAAAACGAGAATAGACAATGGCTTTAATTTCGAGGAAAACGTCTCCTACGCACAGGGTTGACGTGACCGCCGATTCTTACGGCGAAAATTTAGTTGATAAATTACGCGAACTTCGAGCAGAAGATTCACTGTGTGATTTCACAGTTACTGCTGAAAGAGTCTCAGTCAGGGTTCATGCCCTCGTTCTTGTAGCCACTTCCGATTATTTTAGGGCAATGCTTCTTGGGCCGATGAAGGAAAGCCGTGAACGTTCTGTCGATTTGAAAGGAATTCCAGGAACGACCCTAACATCAATTATAGAATTTATGTACAGTGGACGTCTAACGTTAGATACAAACAACATTACAGCCATATTAGACGCTTCATCTCATCTACAAATCGCTACAGCCCTTGAAGCCTGTTCAAATTATTTAATACATAAACTAACCTTTGAAAGTGCTGATGAAATTCTTGCTGTAGCCGACAGATATGCCTTAAAGAAAGTTCAAGATTATTATAGACAGATGAGTCTAAGAAATTTCGAAGAGTTTTCCAAATCCGAACGATTCAAGAGGACTTCAGCTAATGAATTGTGCCAAATATTAGCGAGTGACGACTTGATTGTCTCCAATGAACGTCATTTATTTGATCATGTTATGAAGTGGGTTAGTTATGGAAAATCAACAAGGTTACAAGACTCTGTTAGGCTAATGGAGAATGTAAGATTCTCTCTATTACCAGATAGCGTTTTGGTTGAACTATCCACACATAGTCTGTGCAAAGGACAAACTATCAACATAGTTAACGAGGGTAGGGCTTATCATGACGACTCATTAGTTAAACACCCATTGTTAAATAGTCGAACTAGATTAAGAACGCCGACAGAAATGCTCGTATGCACACAACATGGATCGGTTTATCAACCATTAGATATTTTTACTTTAAATGTTGATAACGATAGATTATACAGGCTTTCAGGAGACGTGAATGGTGCCAAAGACTCGAGAACCACTTCTTTGGATAATTTTTTATTCATCTATAGAATTTTGGATGCCGGCGGCGGTACGTCCCTGGCTCAACTTTTGCGATTCGATCCACGGCACTTAAGTGTTGTTCAATTGACTACTAACCAGACTGTAAGGATAGACGCCGCTTTCTTCGCCCTATCCAAGAGTATGCTATTGATTTCTGGCGGTATGGACGATCTGCTTCAACCTTTAGACTCGATTGAAGTTTATAATTCAGCTAGAAATACGTGGTTAACCGGTACAAATTTACCATTACCTACTCACTCCCATTCCGGAGTATCTCTAGGAGATAGGATATTTATTAGCGGTGGGGTTGTTAATAGAGAGCCGTCCAATCAATTGTTAGAATTCGACAATGGGAGCTGGATATATAGGGAACCAATGAAATTTTCCAGACGACTACATCAGATGTTAGTTCATAAAGACCAAATTTTTGTGGCTGGAGGGACTCATAGTCAGAGTCACCTGTCTAACATTCATTTAGAATGTTACGACAGCAATAAAAATCAATGGACAGTTCTTACGCAAACTATGAGTGGCAGAAGCGTTGGCCACTTTGTATCTGTTAATGGTGAATTTTTATCGATTGGACGAGAACATCCTCAAGCAACTGAAAGTGAGATTTGGCGATATGACGAGGATGAAGATGTTTGGAAAAGAAAGACTGCTGTGCCAAGAAGCTTTAATCTATCGAATGCTTTGGCAACTTGCTTGGCCTTTAATACAAACGATGAACGCTTAGCTAGATGCGCAATATCGCGCAATTAATTAAAGACACCAGTTGGAAAAAAAAGACCAGAGGTCAATTTTATTTAAAAGAAAAAAAATAAATAAAACCAATTCAATTTATACGTTTACCCTCACTTAAGCCAATATATTAAAATAATTGGCATTCTTAAGGATTTGTAAATATGACACTCGCTTAAATAGTTGTGGTGCAGCAAAGCGGATCTTGACAATTTTGTGGTTATTCAATCGATTGATTAGCATCTTTATTTTCTTGTTTACGATTTAGGAGGAGATAGTTTATCAAACGATTTTTTTTTATTATAAAATATTGTATTCGAAAATTTGAAATTTTTATAAATTTCAGTTAAAATTACCCACAAAAAAGAAGCCATGCACATACAATAAGATCTTTATGAGGAGACGGAGCAATAAGCAAATCATATATAGAGAGGAAGCGCTAAAATTTCCTAGACTGAGGTCTGAAAAAATGACCCGAAGAGTAAGCATTTTTTCCGCTGGACGGTCGAGTATGAGACTTTGTAGCTTTGCAAAGAGGTATGTGAGTTTTAGCTAAATTGGCACTCAATCTCAATCCACAGTATGAGCAACTTATAAGTTCATCTTCAGTCTTGGGTTCTTTTCTTCTTTGACTACTGTAAGATTACAAAAAAAAACAAATAATCAACGGAAATGATATTCAATTTCAGCCAAATGAATTTTCTACCTTCTCGAATTTTGATTATTTGGAAACTCTGTTGTTCCGTAGCTAGGCGTTCTTGCATTTTCCTTTTGCCATCTTTTACATACACTTTGGTGTCTTGCCTATTAAAGGAAAATAGATAATCAAAAAAATGAAATTGATATCTCTCACAATATTACCAGGCCTTGAGGAGGGAACATACTTCCACAATATACACAAGGGAATCTAGATGTATTACCCTCTTCATCATCTGAATAAATTAAATTTAATAATTTGGTGATACAGTAGAAAAAGAAATATAAACCTTCGAATGAAGATTTTCTCCTCCTTCTCCACAGTGGAACACTCCAATCATACATCTAGATAAAAATTATCAAATCTTATCGCAAAATTGTGCTTTAAACTAAAATACTTACACCACTAACTTCCTCGTCAGACATTTGACGAGGATTTCGTCGATTTTTATTTGTAAAATCGTTTAGGAAACGTTCTTCGAACGGATCTCCAAACCCTGATTTGAGATTAAAAACAAACTCGAAGGGATTATGACCTCTAGGCGAGTTTTTAGCAGACGTTCCGAAAAAAGAGTCAAACACATCATCGAAAGGAGACGAAAAAGGAAATTTGGGAAATCTGAAAGAGTCGAACGTATCTTTAAAAACGAATTCATCATCATCAAAGCCAGTGTCGCCCCAATTGTTATTCCATTCAGGTCTTTCAGAATTCGTTGGGCCACCCCTGTGCTTTCTTCTAGACGAATCTGTATAAGATATATATCAGTTACAATTTCACTGACGTGTTTCCGTTTAAAATCTCATTTAACTGACTTTTAAATTTTGAACCCGATTGTTTATTATTGCTATTTTTAAAAGGGTCAGATTTCCAGTCAGACGTATAGCGAAAGTTGAATTCTGACCCAAATCCACTATTTCCAAATTTGCCTTCTTTATGTCCTGCAGATCTTCGTTCTTGCGCTTTTCTCTTATCATACTCTTGGATTCTTATGTCTACATCATAATCCTTTCTCTTATCTTCGTCACCAATAACTTCATACGCAGCCGAGAGTTCTATATTTGAATTGTAAATTTAAGAGGGATATATAACGTTTTCTATTCATATATTAAACCTTTAAATTTCTCTTCAGCGCCTTCCTCCTTATTCTTATCTGGGTGATATTTCTTGGCTAATTTTCTATATTGTTTTTTGATATCATCCTGCGAGGCATTTTTGGCTACATCTAATACTTTATAAAGATCCTTTTTACTCATTATTCCTCTAGCAAAAGGCAAATATTAAACTTATTTCAGCAAAACCTGTTTGTATAATTACCCCCTCCCTGGACAAATTAATTGAAATAATAGACGGTTGGTGATAAATCCATTCACAACGGTTTATTGATATCTTATCCCCTAAAAGATCATTCGATGAATACTCAATTTAAAAATAGCTTCCATCAATATCTTCTCTCCCCAAAAGGATCTTGATAGGCAACGAAACTTCCGGTTCCGTTCCGTGTTTTTTTTTCTCCAACCATTTCTAGATGTCGCTGTTTTTTGAAATAGTTCTTCCATTGATAATAAAAAGAATTTATTTTACAGAGTAGGCCTAACAATTAAAATAATTTTTTATAACTATATGCATTTAAGAATTTGACAATGCACCGTTTGAATAGTACTATATAACTGGTTTTAGAATAAGAACTTTATATCTGCTCTCTCGTCCTCTCATACTCTTCTTAAGATTTGGCGCGAAATTTTAAATCACAATTGCCAAATTGGACTTTTTTATTGTTGTATGAGGGTCGAAATGCTTTTTAAAGTACTCCAATTTCAATGTTTATCTGATCAAATTGAATGACAGAAGACTCGAGAAGAATTATGGCCTTTTTAAAGTATTTTAATTTCCCCTATAAAGTGGAATTAATAGAGATATGAATAACTTGTAATAAAAAAGGAAAGGAAATACTAAAAGGGTAAATTTCTCGCCTAAGGAACAAAAGATATTTTTTTAAAGAACTTTCTTTACTCATGTGTCCTGTTTTAGTAAGAATTTATTCAAATTAAAATACAAGTCGGTTAAAGATTTCTCTCTTTCTCTCTCTCTCTCTCTCTCGCCAATAACAATTATCGCAATGTTGTATAATGCTACAAATTTTTTTTTGCAAATTAAACAATTTGTATCCTCTTGTTTTCTAGTATTATTTAAGGTTATAATAGATAACGCTTACTATCTAATACTTTAAAGTTAATGATTAACGCTTATCATTTTTGCACATTCTTAGTATCTTCTATCTCTTTATATTATAAAGTAACAGTTTTCTTTCTCAAGTTCACTTTTTCCCCTCAATACATAAGCCTGACAATGCGACGAGAATTTCTACTAGTGTACTTTTCCCCCTTCATTTTTCAAACTCTAGAACAAAAACTGAGAATAGATAGCCGTAAATTATAAGCACATGTTGTAGGATAAAGAATTAATAGTGAAAAATGTATATATATATATATAAATGCATACTATAGGCTAAATCTAAGATACAATATTAATAATTAAGTAAATATTAATTGTTAATAAAGGAAATAAAAAAAAGTAATGAATTTCAATCTATTATTTTTATAGTTTAAGGTATCATTTTTCACAAAAAAAGTATCTCTCTCTCTCTCTCTCTCTTTCACTCGCTCTCTCATTCAGTATATATATATACTACAAAGACAGCCTCATATTTCAAATAGGCCTGTTAATTTTCTAATTAAAAAGAAATTATTTTGATAATGTCTAGTTATTTTAAACTAGTTATTAATTATAGTCAACAACCGATTGAAAAGTAAGGAAACACTAACATACATATATATACATTTATATATATAGTATATAACTGACGATGAAATTAACTACAAGAAGAACAATAAGAAGGTCAAAGTTTACTATTTTTAATTTTCAATTCTATTTATATTTTATATAAACTTATATATTATGAATAAGTGAAAAAATATGTACTGTATCTATTTTTGGAAGCATTTTCGAAAGTTCTCATTCGTAAAAAATCTTAGTAAATGGTATAAGCAGTATATACAGTTTAATTTCTTAACAAATCATACTCTAATAATAGGTATTCTTCAAGTACAAATACTTTATTACCTTTAAAATTACAGCGTGCATAAGCAGCATGTTACGCTTATAAGATTAATCTATATATATACAGTATATATATATATATATATATATATATATATATATATATGTGTGGTATACTATATGAACCGGTAAAAGATAATTCTACATGTATTTGACCTAGTAAATTATCATATATTTAGATTCAGAAGTAAACTATTCTCTTTGATAAACAATAAGAACTTCTTTTAAAGCATTGTTTTTAGGATAAAGTGGCTAACGTTCTCGGAAAAATACCATAGTAGCATTTTTTCAGGACATATTTATAGTTAAAAAAAATTAACATTTCAAGGTTCAAGGTACTCTAACTTGGCGTCCTTCGTACGTAATCTCAAGTATTCTTACGTATCTCAATCGCGACCTTAAATCTTAATACAAAAATTTGTGATGGTTTTGAAGGCTAGTGCCCTCTGTATTTTATATTTGTCATAATATCTATCTCTCCTATTTCACTATCTAAGGAGAGTAGCTTTAAAATGCTTTTAGTAGAAATCAAGTTAATAAAAGCCATTACCAATTACTCATAAACAGACATTAATAATTTAGTTAAATGCAATATATTTTATTCCTTTTCTTTTTTCAACAGGTTCAATAATAATGGAAAGAGAAATAAAGAAAAATAAATATTTTCATATATTTTCTTTATAGATTTATGAACAATGGTTTAAAAAAATTACTGTTAACTCTATTCTATTAAAAACATTGCATCAAAAATATAATTAAGTAGGTTTTTTAATTTCGTATCTCTCTTTTTTTTGTTCATAATTTAATGATATTTAATTAAATTTTTGTTAAAAGTAATAATCTTAATAAAATTAGTTAATATACTAATAATTCGTTTTTTTTACGGTTAATGAATAAAGTTTTTAGTAGTTTTTTTTTATACTTATTTTGTTCTTTTTAGAACGCGAAATATTCAGAAAAAAAATTTGACAGATACTCAACTAACAAGTTGTAGTGTGTACCTCTTTTTGTTCACAATAATAATAATGGCAAAAAAAGGGCACTCGTATGTGAACCAGGTTTGGGAAGAGATAGTATTGAAAATGCAGTAGAGTAGGAGCCATATTAGTGTGATGAATCATTGGGTATCTCCCGGTTTCCTCTCGACGATCATCAACTTTTACTCTTGTAAATTTATCTTTGGCTAAATAAATACATTTGATGGAAAATTCGATATAATACAATGGATAGTGTTAGTGCTATGCAAAGATTAAATGACCGAATTAATAGAAACACAGACTTGTACGCTGGAGAAGAACTAAATAAGCTAATAGTTAAACTATCAGAAGCAGAGGAAGCGAACGAAACGCTAAAATTAGAGAATAACTTGTTCCAGAACAAGTTAAAGGATGAAAGAGCGTTAAAAGAAAGTGCCGAAGCATTGATCGAAAGCAAGGATAATGAGATATCCTGCCTAAGAGAGGAAGTTGTATTTTCTACAATGATTTTTTTCATAGTAAATATATTGCTAATAACAATAAAAGGAATTCTTATTTAATTAAGGTTGCGGCGTTGAAAGAAAAAATTGAAAAGCAAATTAAAGATCCACCTACATCTTATGCCGAGAGAAAACGCAGAGCTCTAAGAGAATACAAGGAAAAGTTTGATAGGAATATACAACACGAATTAGAACTAGAAATGGCTGTAAGCGTTGTTGATATAGAATTTCACAAATAAATTTGTTCTTTTTTTCTTTTACTTAGGACGTTGTCGAAGATAATGAAATGCTTCATAGAAGAATAGACGAGCAACTCAACGAAATATGTGGATCTTTTTGCGAAGAAGAAGTAGACGGTCTAACTTTAAGTAACAATTCTGTTACAAGCACAACTAGTTAATCGAAAATAATGACCTTAAAGTGTACTTAAGTGTGTTCCAGTATATGCAAAAGTATAAAAAACACCCATAATTTATCTTTTCTTTTGGTGCTTTAAACCATTGTGTTTTCTTGAACCTATTAACTATTTATTCAACATTTTTTTTCTTTCCCATAATGTTGTTTCGTATTTAATACTTTGAAGATAATAACACTTTCATCAATATATAAATAACAAAACAACCAATTATCTAACAATAATCCCACAAAATTTTTAGGAGCAAAAAGATGATAGTATAGTTTATCCAAGTTATAGAAATTGCAGGTATGCTAGAAGATAGATAGATAGATAGAAGACGCACCAGGAAAAAGAGAGAATAAATGAAAGAATATAATCAAAGTCTTCCCCCTTATTCTCTCTTTTTCTTATTACTTTTAAAATGTTTAAAAACCACTAGAAAGTCTGAAACTAGATTCCAAAGATATATAAAATAACCATCCTCCGACCCACATTAAATAAGATATTTTTTAAAGAAAACATATAGATTCATGTACTGCCACAGTTAGTACATACTTTCCAACAAAAATTACACATTTTCGACTAGAAAGATTAAAAGAAAATGTAAAAAAAACAGATAAGAAGCTTAACCTACTTTTTTCAGTTTTTCTTTGTGTTTTTCCTTTAAAAAAAATTATACTTGATTTTCTCTGTTTTGATTGAAATTCATTTTAATGAATTTTCATATTATTCATTTATCGTTATTCGTTAACGGAAGTTGAGAATCCTTTTTCCTTTCTTGAAGTTTATAATGTGTATAAACAAAAACTCCTATTTAGGTTAAAAAAATAACATATTAATAAATAATATACTATATATTAGCAGTATTTATGTATCTTGAGTTGGTATATTTACCGCATATTGCTGTAAAAACTCCAAGAATTTGAAGGGAATGTAAGGGATCTCTAAAGAATATATATCCAAAAAGCATTGTTAGGCAGAATTTCAAGTGTCCAACCATATTGTACCTTAAATAAATAATAAACTAATTGTTATTCATAAATGAGTAGTATATTAATATGATAATTACGTTAGAGGTGATGTATTTCCAATAATCCAGAATATACTCATATTAACGGAAAATGCAACCACACCGGATAACGAGACCATAATCTATAAAGAAAAATTGATGTTTTATCATATACTAAGCATATATAGGCATATATTAAATTATATATATATATACCGCTGCCTCTGGAGACCAGGACGAGAATATCCCTCTTGAACTAAAAACTGGTTCAAAAAATGGAATGATAAACATCAGCAATGTCGCAGACAGCGGAGCTTGATAATACAGCAATTGCATTGAATTCACTTCGTGTTCTTTTTGTTTTTCACCAACCCACTAAAAAAAAATTGTGAAGAAGAGTTAGAGAATAGAGAGAGAGAGAGAGAGAAAGAGAGAAGAAAAAGAATAACAATATACTATATATTAAATAGAATTGCACAAATTGAAAATCTTACCACTTGATAAATGGATGTTACTAAAACACCAATCGTTGCAAAGAAAGTCCCAATAAAGTTAAATTTAATATCATAATATGAATTCATAAATACACCCAGAGCTATGGGCAGCTGTTACAAGAACAAAAGCTATCAGCTAAATACATAATGAATATAAATGATCAATAAACTTACTAAAGATAGTTTTATTTGGAGGGAAAAATCTTTATTATAAAAATAAGTCTGAATGAGTATAATACAGGGCGTAGTCATTGTCTTAGCTAATTGATATGTCCCAACTGAATTAAACTGTAAAGATTATTTTAGAAAATTAATGAGTTATGCATCTTTATTAAATCATCATTTAATAATTAAATAACAAAGTTGTTTCTTACCTGTAATGATAGATTTGTAAATACGACAAATCCGCAAAATGATAGAGATAGAGGAAGCATTTTTAACAGTGGTAAAGTTTTAGGTTGAAAGATATTAAAATATTGACATAAAAGTAATCCCATCGTCGTGAAGACAAAGTGTACACAAGTCATCGTTATATTTGGAAAACCATAGTGTGTATATATCCATTTGTTGAGGATGACAATTATAATTGAGAAACATATATTCGAAAGAAGGCAAAGTAAAATGAATAAACTATCGCGGTTGTTTGCCGCCATGTTTATTAGTGACACGAAATATTAAACAATTACCAGTTTTGTTCATGTTTACGTATAACTTTGTATTGTGAGTTTTCTTATATAACTTTTACGATTAAATCCTTATCAGTAGTATTTATATCGCGAAAGGAGATGTAAATTATTTTTTTTTTATTTATTTTTTTTTTCAATTGTTGATATTACTGCATATGAAATCTTATATTATCGACATTTGACAAGCTACTTTGGAATTTTGGCTTGATAAAACGTGTACTTTGCTTGACCATTTTTAGCCTATTAACCTTTTTACTATATAAAAGCTCAATCTATGCATGCCTCGTCTTTCCTTTATCATTTCGGTTATGAGAATAAGCACATGGTCCACTTTTCCTAACCGGCTTGACTTTCAATGCGACTCTTTTCATTTCTCTACTGATACAGATTGAAGAAACACGATGTGGAGACTGCTTAAAAATACTGGTACCCGGTACCTTCATACAACTTCTACCTGCTTGAAAACTGCCCAATATAGGCATGAATTAAGCGACCTTAGGAAGATTGTAGTAAAACTTGGTTCGGCAGTTATAACTAGGGAGGATGAATGTGGTCTTGCTCTGGGTAGACTAGGGTCAATTGTTGAACAGGTAAAGTATTTTAATAAATTAATTAAACGAACTGACCTAAATTTCCATAAAAAACAATACCCTATTCTTTTTCATAGGTAGCTCAATTACAACATAAAGGCCATCAAATGATGATTGTAACGAGTGGTGCTGTTGCATTTGGTAAACAAAAATTAAGAAAAGAAATTGCTATGAGCATGACAATGAGGCAAACTATTGCTACGATTGATACGAATCAGGTACAATTGCCAGAATTATCCCTTTTCCTTTTAATAACAAGTATTAAATGATTGATATAATCTATCAATATCTTCTTTTTTCCAAGGGCCTAGAACCAAGAGCTTGTGCGGCAGCAGGTCAAAGTGGTTTGATGTCCTTATACGAGGCTATGTTCTCGCAATATGGTCTTCGAACAGCACAAATTTTAGTCACAAAACCAGATATCTATAATGATTCTAGTAGGCAACATTTAAGATCGACTATTAATGAGTTGTTACGTTTGAATATAGTACCAATAATTAATGCTAATGATGCTGTGGCATCGCCCGCTGAAGCTGATATGGATCTTCAAGGCATCATATCAGTTAAAGATAACGATTCACTTTCCGCTCGTCTTGCAGTAGAACTATCAGCAGAGCTTCTAATCTTGTTGTCTGATGTCAATGGCTTATATAGCTCTCCACCTGGAACCGATGGCTCTAGATTGTTATCGACGTACAATCCAAGTTCTGATCTTGCAAATGTTGTCTACGGAGGAAAGAGTAGAGTTGGACTAGGAGGTATGGAAAGTAAAGTATCATCAGCTTCATGGGCTTTACAGCACGGAACAAATGTTGTCATCGCTAATGGCTTTCAGAGCGATGCTATTACCAATGTTGTTGAAGGAAAAAAGATTGGAACATTTTTCACGCCTCTCCAGCAAACCACAACACCTATCGAAATTCAAGCTGCTAAAGCAAGGGACGGAGGAAGAGAACTCCAGCAGCTTTCACCTACACAGCGTTCAGAGATCATTAATCACTTAGCTAATTCACTATTGGACAACCAGAATGAAATTCTTGTCGCCAATAAACATGACTTAGAGGAAGCTAGAAGAATTGGACTGTCTGGACCGCTTATCTCAAGATTGGTCTTAAGTCCAAATAAACTTGCTAATCTATCAGGAGGTAAATATTCTAGCCTATTACCAGTTGTCCTCCAACGTAAGCTAAACACAATAGACTATATATATATATCTTTCTTAACTAGGTCTTCGACAAATTGCTGCCACTTCTAATAATATAGTTGGAAGAGTATTAAAGAGAACTGAGCTCTCACAAGGAATGACCCTTGAACAAGTTTCCGTTCCCATTGGTGTATTGTTGATTATTTACGAGTCACGACCAGATTGCCTCCCTCAGATTGCGGCTCTCTCTATTGCATCTGGTAACGGTTTACTCCTGAAGGGTGGCAAGGAAGCTTATCATAGCAATCAGATACTTCATTCCCTCGTTCAAGATGCTATTGGTCTGCATGCTTCCAAAGATTCTGTTGCTTTGATATCGAGAAGAGAAGATATTGCTGATTTACTACAATTAAATAATTATATTGATCTTGTTATCCCAAGAGGATCCTCTAGTTTAGTTCGCACTATAGAGGAGCAAAGTTTATCTATTCCTGTTTTGGGACATTCCGAAGGTATTTGCCATGCGTACGTAGACAAAACTGCTGATTTTGAAAAAGCTTTGGCAATTGTAAAAGATTCCAAAATTGACTACCCAGCTGCATGCAATGCTTTGGAAACAGTTTTGTTGCATAAATCTTTATTGGGCACACCGTTTTTCGATGAAATGTTGGACACTCTTAAGAGTGCCAATGTCAGAATTCACGCTGGACCCAGACTTTTAAGCAAAATGAAATTTGGACCACCGCCAGCTAAATCCATGAGCATAGAATATGGCTGCCTTGAATGCACTATAGAAGTTGTAGAAGATGTTGACGATGCCATAGCGCATATTCATAAACACGGTTCATCACACACTGATACCATTATCACAGAAGACAACGAAGTAGCTGGTCATTTCCTGAAGAGCTTAGATTCTGCATGCGTTTTCCATAACGCCAGTACTAGATTCTCTGACGGCTATCGTTTCGGATTAGGAGCAGAAGTTGGTATTAGCACGTCGAGAATCCACGCAAGAGGACCAGTTGGTGTTGAAGGTCTTTTGACAACGAAATGGTTGCTAAAATCCCAAGGTGATATCGTTGCCGAATACGGAGAAAATGGTTCAAAAGTATTTACGCACAAGAAGTTGCCAGTTAGCGAAAACGAAACAAGCGAATTCTTTCAATCAACTAATGGTGAAAAATTGGAATCGTAATGGTAAAGTTTAAAGAGGTGCCATTTTAAAACTCTGCAATTTGTGTTTTTGGTTATCTGTTACATTTTTTTTCTGTTGATTAAAATCTACCTAAAAAGGAAAAAACATACTAAACATATTAATTAGTTAAAGCAATTCTACTTTCCTATCTCTGAATTAGGATAAGCTACTCTTTTTTGCCTCTTCTATTATCAATGAATAATCATAGATCTACAAACAAATATTACTCTACCCAAGAAGAAGAAAATAAACATTTTCAAGTCTATTAATATATTCCTTTTTGGTGTTTTCATTTTATATATTTTTTTAGATTTTTATCAAGGAAAGGTGCCTAAAACAAGAAGTTAATGGTAATTTACTATCTTGTTCTTATATGATAATAAACTAATACAGACATAAGAGTTTATTTTTTAAAGGTAAATAACATAGCATCTGTTTTAAATTAAGTAAACACCAAGTAAATCATAGATATTCACATACTAACACTATTGATAAAATAGGATGTTGGTATTATCACATTTCTGCTATAAATATTTTTGATTGTTTCCATTGAAAAGAATATTTAATTGATCATAACTTTTTGCATCAATACATTAGATGGTACTCTCACGTTTTGCATAGGTTGTTGACCACCAACATAAAAAGTATACGTTCCTTTTGGAACAATAAAGCGATCGTTTTGCCAAACCGTAAATTGTTCCCGTTGTATTTGAAATGTTACCATTTCAATTTGGCCCTTTCGAATAAAAACCCTTTCGAAACCAACCAATTGAATTTTTGGAGCACCCTTCGTTACATTTGCTTGTTGACTGTAAATTTGAACCACTTCCTCTCCATCTACAGAACCAATATTTGCGACAAATACTCTAACACGGAATGGATTTGGGAATTTGGATAAGGTAGGAGTAACCGTGAATGAAGAATAGTGGAATCTTGTATATGAAAGTCCAAAACCGAATGGATATAAATTATCATACTTTGACGGGTATCTATATGTTCTTCCATTCATTCTATAATCGGTCATATTTGGATAATGAGACAGTGATTTTGGCCAAGTGGCCGGCAAACGTCCAGCAGGGTTGGATGCTTCTCCTCTATTATACAAAACATTGAATAGAGCATCACCGGTTGCTTGAGCGGGATACCACGCTGCTATAATAGCAGATACGGAAGACGACTCTTGAGCCCATGAAACATCTAATGCGCCAGCATTGAAGAGAATAACTATGACCTTCGAATTGCCTATAATGATTTAACAAGCCGTTTAAATTTACACTTAGAAATCATATAAACAGCTTACTTGGAGAAAACCTAGACGCATCCTTTAACAGTTGAAGTTGCTTTCCAGGAAGATCAATATTACTTCTGTCATTCGACTCTCCTTCTAAGTCAGCACCGAGGCCAAGGCAGACAACAGTTACTTCAGCATCTTTTGCAGCGTCTTTCACGGTTTGACTATTGTAGTCATTGCAAGAAGATTGCAAACATCCAGCTCCGTATTTAAGGTTATTAGCCATATCCTGCAAGCCTTGTCTCGGAGTTTTTCCATATTTGGGATCAACGTCGGCGCTATACTCACCGTATAAAATATTCAAATTATCAGCAAATGGACCAACAATAGCTGCAGTATTAAACTTCCGCTGCAAAATATCATAATATTCAATTACTAATATAGCAAACTAGATCTATATATTACTCTTAGCGGTAAGGCTCCATTGTTTTTCAAAAGAACAAAGGTTTTCATAGCAGTTATCAGAGATAAATAGCGATGTTTTTTACTTTGTACAAACTCTTCAGGTTTTAATTTTGAGTACGGATTATTTTTGGGTGGATCAAAGAGTCCTAATCTCATTCTTGTGTAAAATAAAGGCTTAGCGGCTTCTCGAACTTTGTCCTGAGATAGTAAACCTTGTCTTACAGCATCACTAATTCCATAAAAATATGGTTTTATTCCTGGTCCATCCTCCAAGTTGCATCCAGCCTTAACTGCTACAGCAGCAGTTTCAGGTATAGTATTCGTATAGTGATGATTATCTTTAATATCTTCGATTGCACCTTCATCACTAATAACGTATCCTCTAAATCCCCATTCACCCCTCAGAACGTCAGTTAACAGGAATTTATTGGCGCAAGCAGGTATTCCATTAATCCTACAACGAAATAGAGAGTGCAATGAACAAGCTCATTGTAGCAAACTGTATCACACAAACCTATTATAACTGCACATCAAACTCAAACTTCCGGCCTCTACGCAGGCTTTAAACTGAGGCAAGAATGTTTGACGCCAGTCTTGAACAGAAACTTTTGCATTAAATTGATGACGACTTTCAGGAATGTTTTCTGGTCCAGCATAAACGTCAAAATGTTTACAACCTGCATTCGCCATAATATACTTAGGATGATCTCCTTGTAAACCGTTGACAAATGCTCTAGCTAATTCCCCGCTCATCCAGGGATCTTCTCCGTATGTTTCCTATTTTAAATACTTGACCCTTACATTTTTCTACTTAGCTATCTCAATAACTTACTTGATTTCTTCCCCATCTAGGATCTCTTAAAATATTAATAACTGGACTCCAGCAGGATGCACCTTTGTGTTGACCATACTGTCCAGCAGCTGTGTAATTATTAAACTTTGCTCTTACTTCCAATCCTGTTGCTCTTGACACTTCCCATAAAACATTTCTACTGAATGAAGCTGCAAGACCCAGTGCTTGAGGGAAGCTGGTTGCAGGCCCAGCAGTAACATCCCCCCTCAGACATTCTGTACCCCAAGAGTATGGTTTAATATTTAGTCTAGTAATAGGAGGAGCATATGTTGTCCTGCCCCCTCTAGCCATTTGTTCAGTTAGCTCATCCAGAGTCAGTCTTTGAACAAGATCATTTACCCTATCATCAAATGAAAGAGAAGTATTCATAAATGGATAAAATGAACATGATATGACTTGGAAGGATAGAAACACTGCTAGAAGAGTCCACATTTTCATGATATTTTCAAATGAAATGGGAGTTAAAATATCATATGACTGTCATGTGATGCGAGGAGTAGTATGGCGTGATTTGAATGAATATTATACTATAATTGTATTTCAAACTAGACAAATTCAACATATTCCTTTTCAGCTTTATTATTAAAACAAAGTTGAATGAATAATGCAAAATTTTCTAATCAATAGAGTTTTTACAATATCGTTTCTGTTTTATTTTACTTTTTTTTTGCAATTTTTGTACCTTGACTGGGATAATATTTAGCGACAAAACTTTGTACGTCAAACTTTCTTTTACATCCAGCGTAGTTCATGTATCGAATTTTTCCGAAAATTTCTCTCTCTTTCCATCCCTGATCATGTATTCCACAAATTGACCACATACAACCCGTATAACCATTGGGATCAAAACCATCTAGTGAGTACTTATCATTTAAATATAAAGCAATTCTTAAAGCTGTCGAAGGATCTTCTGACCATTCTAGAATTTTTTTAGCCCAATACATTCTTAAGAAACCATGCAGCTTGCCTTCTAATACAAGTTGTTTCTGTTTTCAATTTATTCTTTTAAGCAAGTTTAAATGAAATATATTTGATATACCTGAGCGGCATTCCAAAGATCTTCATGAGTTTCAGCACTTTCAAATTTCTTAAGAGAGTAAACATAACTCCGCTCATCTTTTTCATGCTTTCGAAGGGTTGTTTTTGCCCAATCGCTTGCACCTTTGTTCGTTTAATGATCTATTAAATCTATAGATGCCAGATGAAATATTATAATTTAACCTTCTATATTATCGTAATTTTTCTGATAGTAGCAAAAGTTATCACTCAACTCTCTTCTAACAATGCCTTCTTCTAAAAAAGCATCAACAGATTCTTTATAATTTGACTTGTATTTATTGACTTCAAGCATGGCTCTTTGAACCGATATCTGCCCGAAATGGAACCAAGGACTTAGATTACTTTGAACAGATTCATTAGGATTATTCCTAAGATTGGAGTAATTTTCGAGTCTGTCTCTAATGAATGTATAGAGCATGTTTAAACCATTTTCTGTTCCTGGCCTAGCCCATTCAACTTGTTTAACATTCTCATCAACATCTATTTTAGAATATATTTGACTCCAATTGGTATTTTTGAATTCTTTATCGCAAACATAAGGATGCTCTATCACTGGTGGAAATTCCGTAAAAAATTCCCCCATCTTTAAGACAAAATTAAAATAAACGAAATCAAACAAGAATATAGTAGTTTAAATATTTAAAATTAATTACATGCTGCCATATTTTTGGTCTAATTGTCCTAGCGGCATATTCTTGCTTATCAGAAGTAGTCCAAATCGGTACAATATTATGACTGTCAATCTGGCATATCGGAACATCATCTGGTATGTTTTTTCTCACTTCGTCAACGTTTTTAAGTGATTTTCGAAGTGGCATAAAATCACAAACTATAGCCGATACATTATTCTTTCTAACAAACTCTGGTAGAGTGTTTTTCGGTTCACCAAGAAATAAGTGAAAATTTATGTTTAAGGCGTGAGCTTCCTATTCAGGATTTTCACAATCTTACTCCTATTATTCAATAATTTATCAAAGTTCTTACCGCTTCAATTTGTTTAAGACCATCCAAAATAAAATTATAGGATCGTAGAGTGGCATCTTTGCAAGTCGGATTTAATGAAAAGCAGATAGATAATGGCTTTTCGGCTTTTAAAGCTAACCTCTGAGAATACAAAAGCCCCCAATTATCTGAAATTATAACAGTATATATTTATAGAGAATATTATCTATAACGAATATTCCCAAGATGATACCTTGAATTCTTTGATCACGAAACATCCAGTAGACAATATCGTTACCGCCAATTTTTACATCTTGACTTTTTGAGACGACTTTTACTCGTGCTTTGTTAAATTTGAAGTCTAAAATACTTTTAGCAACAGTAAATCTTGTTCTTTCAATGGCTGTTGAAAACTTAGCGAAAGAAGTCATGTGAGGAGATATTTTAGATTCATCTAGCTTTCTCTTTGGCATTCTAAAATGAAAAATGTATATTTACTAAAATAAATAGCTATATTTTGTAAATAATATGACGAAATTATTAACATCAGCTTCTGTTATGTTATTGACAAACTCAAAATTCTAGGGGATATATTGACACGTTTTTTCTGTCTTTTATTTATTTCAATATATAAACATAAAGCGATCGATATATCAATCATTTAAAAACATAATTGTATAAATTTTAATATAAAACAATTTTTAACCAAATGAGCATTAAGATCAGAAATCAATCAGGTTTTTTGTTTTTTTAATTTCCTATGGGAACCCAATGTGGTGGGAAATAGTCTGCTTTATTAACATGATATTCTAATTGACTATTTGGTCGAGGCCATTTAGAATAATAAATTGTAGTACCGTTCGCTAACCATGCAGCCCACCATCCATAAGAACCCACTGTCAGGATGACATGATCACATTTTGATATAATTGCTAAGTCTAAATCCACCTTTCGGAATGGAGTTAGAATTATAGTCCTCTTGGATTTTTTAACGATATTTCTTCGACACCATCGTAAGTCATCACTAGCAATAATATAAATTACATTTTTAGAATGCTTGCTCTCCATATAGTCCATTGCTTTTGTTATGTAAGAGGCTGGCGCAGTAGTATACCCGTAAGAAGATTTGTCTTTTCGCATCATATCAGCTCGTCGAACATGAATTCCTATAAGAAGCTTCTTCGGATTCAAAGATTTAATATCTTTGATAGTTTTGTCAACAAGACTTGTAACCACTTCTTTAAATACATATTCTTTTCTGATCTTGTGGTCAATATGACTAAAGTATTTCCACGACTGCCAATATCCGTGCAGTTTAATATTTCTTCCTTGGATCTTTAAAACATCTCTATCATACGCGCATGCCCTCCTTCCAAACTCAGTATAATCTTCCGCTGATGATCCCAAGCGAATATCAATATATCCCAGGGGAGCAGTAAGACTAAAAGTGTTCGACAACATCCCCTCAGCAAATACAGGGGTTTTATTTAGTTTTTCAGCCACTCCCAATAATGTTGCATAGATAAACATAAGATTGCCTAAGCGGGAGTCACTTGGATATATTGCTGTCATGCATCCATTTGACTCAACTGGATTAGGTAATTCCATACGAAAAAATGACTTTAAAGTATCTTCCATAAGAAGAATTAACAATGTAATTGCGATGCAGATTGAAAGCATAAAAAAAAAAAAACGACGTAAATCAACTATCCTAGGATAAATTATGAAACGCATTATTTTCCTTTTAAGACCAAAAACTGTTCTTTTGAACATAACTAAGTAGCACATATGATAAATCAATGGTCTTCATTCTACATCAAACTCCATTTCAATAATGAGAAATATAAATTAAACACTAAAGTGATGGAAATTTTTCCATTAGAGAGCTATTTTACCTGAGTGAATTAAGAAATATGAGAAGTAATTTAGAATATGATCACCTTTCAATTGTTTTCAAACAATTTTTTCTGCTCTACAAAATTTTACCAAACTTCCGTAAAAACATGCACTTCCGGTTAGTGAGTTTCGTACAAAAAAATATATTGTTGATTTATTTAAGTTAGATATAGAGAAAAAAATTTTAAACTATCTATTTAAATTTTGTACAATTTTTTTCATAATTGCGGCATTTTCCTTTTTTTGAAAATGGCGGACATGCAAAACCAGTTTCTTGAAGTTTTAGCGAGTCTTTTAAGCACAGACAACGACTATCGCACAAAAGCTGAGGTAAGAATAATTAATACATTCAGTTAAATAGAGTTTTTCTTGGGTAAATTTCTTCAATCGGCAATTTTCCAAACGATTCGCCTTGCACGCCTGAAACCGCATGGCGAATGACACATCACGAGGGATGATTTTTAAGATTTACAAACTTTTTTCAGGAAGTATATGAAAAAACAGAAGTCGGTACACGATTAACACTTCTTCTTCAAATAATCTCCGACGAAAACTGTACTATAGACATAAGATGTCTTGCAGCCGTATTAATGCGCAGAATTTATGCATCAGAATGGGAAGAAATTTCGAAATTGAACCCAGAACTGCTTGAAAACGTTCGAAGCAAGATTTTGGAATCATCCCTAAATGTAGCAGATGATTTAGTGAGAAAAAAATTATGTGACCTTATTGCAGAAGTGGCTAGAAACACCGTTGAAGTGGAAGAGGATAATGACAAACATGGCTGGCCCGACGTATTGCAATTTATAATTAATTGTAGTAATGCAGAAAATAGCAATTTAAAAGAAATGGCTATGATAATTTTATCCTACGTTCCATCAATATTTGGTGTTTTGCAACACGAAAATGTTGATATGATTAAGAGAATGATTATGCAGTCTTTGGTTGTGGATAATTATGCAGTAAAAGTTTCAGCTGCGAAAGCACTTTGTCAATTTTTGATTGCGAATGATGACGATGAAAACATCATTAATTCCTGGAGAAACCTTACCCTAGACCCCCTATTAAATGTTTTGAGTGAAAATATTGCCAAAGATGAAGACTTGAATATTCTGAAAAGTGTTGTTGAAGTAGCTGATGCTTGTCCTAAGTATTTTAGACCTCGCTTTCAGCAACTTATTGGAGCTAGTATTAATCTTCTTTCTGATAACGATAAAACTTCGACTGTCAAACACTTGGCTTTAGAATTGATTGTTACTATGTCAGAATCTGCTGCTGCATCCATGAGAAAGCTGTGCGGTGATAGTATTCCACCTCTTGTTCAAAAGTAAATAATTTTTTTTAAATAATTTCAAATAACACAATTTCAAATTAGATTACTTTCTGAAATGACTGAAATTGAACATGAAGACGAAGAATGGAATGTTGCCGATGAAGTCGAAGATGAAGAGAGCGATGCTACCGTTGCGGAAACTTCTCTAGATAGACTTTGTGTCGCTTTAGGGGCCCGAACAATGGCTCCAACTGTTATGGCGGGAATTAAAGAACTCCTGAGTAAGGAAGACTCCTGGCAGGCAAGACACGCTGGTTTAATGGCTCTTTCAGCCTGTGGCGAAGGATGTAAGGCATATTTCGAGTCCGGCTTAACAGATTTAATTTCGGCTGTCTTACCCTTCTTACACGATAATCACCCAAGAGTCAGGTATTATAAATTTGTTTTTTTTTTTAATATTCTTCAAGCATTTTTGGTTTTAGATATGCCGCTTGCAATGCTGTTGGGCAAATGTGCTCCGATTTTGGTCCCACTTTGCAAAAATCCTGTCATCAAGTGAGTTATTTTAATCAGCTATTTGCATTTATAGTAATTAATCTTATAATGAACTTTAGATCATTATGCCAGCCTTACTCAATCTACTGTCCCAAGAAAGTATACCCAAAGTTCAGAGTCATGCTGCAGCGGCTCTTATAAATTATTGCGACGATGCACCTAGGATAACTGTTGTTCCATATTTAGAACCTATCCTTCAGACTTTGAATAGCATTCTCGTTAACTGCTCCCAAAACGTTTATGCTCCAGGTTCTAAGATGGTCTTAGAACAAATCGTTATGACATTGGCCAGCGCAGCAGAAAGCGCAGAGGAAAAGTTTATACCTTACTATGACCAGTTTGTATTATTAAAATAAATTAAATTACTTTTTTTCAACTTTTTCATTTAACAGATTCGTTCCTGGTTTGCTCCAAATCATTGAACAGACAGGAGGTAAAAAGGAAAATACGTCCGAGGCTGATTTTCGATTGTTAAGAGGGAAAACTATTGAATGCGTTTCTTACATAGGTAGGTCAATGTTGTATTTTCTTGCACTAATACACGCAGATATCTTTTTGATCACAGGATTAGCAGTAGGGAGGGAAAAATTTCAGGCTGATGCTGAGACAGTTATGCAATTACTATTAATTTCCAATCAAACTCAGATTCTAGAAGATGATGATCCTCAGCTCCCTTATTTGATCGGAGCATGGGCAAGAATGGCTAAAATTATAGGGGGTCATGCTTTCGCGAAGTACCTTCCTTTAGTTATGCCACCAGTCTTGAAGACAGCTGCTCTCAAACCTGAAGTAGCTCTGCTTGACCAAGATGAATTGGATCAATATGAGACACAAGAGGATTGGCAAGTTGTCAACATGGGAGAACAACAGAAGTTGGCAATAAAAACTGCAGGAATGGAGGACAAGGCTAATGCCTTCCAAATGTTGGTTTCATACTTGAAAGAATTGGGTGGTCAATTAGGAACTTACCTTGAAGAAATTGTAAAATTAATAGTTGGCCATCTTAGATTTTACTTTCATGAAGTAGTTCGAATGTACGCTGCTGAAGCGCTGCCACTATTATTAGATTGTGCTAAAGACGTCAAAGGAGAGGAAGCTATGATGGAAATGTGGAGATATCTGTGCCCAGAGATTCTTAAAACTGTTGAATCAGAACCAGAGACAGATGTAAAATGCGAGTTTTTTCATTCTCTTGCTCAGTGTATTGAAAAATGTGGCAAAAACTGCCTTAATCAAGAACAGACAGAATCTCTTTGTACTATACTATGTAGTGAATTAGACAACCACATGAAAAATGCTTTGGAAATAGAAGCAAAACGAGCGTCAAAAACTGAGGACTATGATCCAGAGGTAGAAGAAGATTTACTTAGAGAGGCAGAAGAGGGAATTCACATGCTTGAACAGCTAAGTAATATATTCCACTCTTACGTCGGAACTCAAAGGGAAGATTCTCTTGCTTTCATTGAACAAGTCGTACCCAGGATCGATCGACTTTTGAATGGTGGTAGCACTGGTAAATCCTGGACTGATAGACAATGGGGTATTTGTATGGTTGATGATATTATAGAACACAGTGGAGAGCTCTCCCTTCGCTACAGAAGTATGTTTTTGGAAAGATTATTGAACGGTTTAGGAGATGAGAGACCAGAGATTCGACAAGCTGCTGCTTATGGTGTTGGAATAATGGCTTCAAGTGCTGCCCTGCATTACCAAGATGTTTGTATTCAAGTTCTTCCTACTCTTGCCGGTTTGATACAGGCTCCGAAAGCAAGAGATGTTGAAAATAACCTTGCAACAGATAACATTCTTTCTGCCTTGACGAAAATAATGAAAACATTTGGAGAACAGATACAAATTGATCAATTTTTACCTGTCTGGTTACAAGGACTACCTGTTCAGGAAGATGAAGAAGAAGCTGTTCATATTTATGAATATCTTTGTGAAGCACATTCAAAAATTTTCACTTCACCTGAAGCAATGGCACATTGTTTATCAGCAATAGGCCACTCTTTCTATGTTAAACTACTGAGTAGTGAAGAATCAGAAGGGACACGGAAGAAGCTTTTACAACTCGTTCATTTTCTGCAGTCAAATAATACAGATATCTTTAATAGCTGTATGGAACGGGTTGAAGTAGCTCACAAAACCGCACTTTTGGAGGCTTTGGCTTCGGTTTCTTCACAATAGAGAAGATAATAGTGTTTATTATTGCTTTGTATTATTCATGGACATAAGTTAATTTGTGATTCAGCAATATATATATATATATATATATATATTTACGTATTTTCTTAAATGTTTGTGCTTGCGCGCCCTTTTTCGCTCAATTGTTGTTAAAACGCTGTAAATTTATTTAACTCCATTAAAATTACGATTTTTCATGAAAATCGTAAAAAGTGGCTTTGGAAAAAAATTAGGAAATTACGTAAAAAGTGAGTAAAAAGAATATATTAATTGATAAAAAACAAATTTTCTTAAAAATTGGTAAAATGATAAAATTATATAGCTTTTTTAACTTACTTTCGAAAAAAGCTATCGAATGATGAGCAACGTTACAAAAGAGGCGCCTTCTATAAACCGGTCTAAACCGGTATAAAACCGGTCATTTAATACAAGGTCTTCCTTCATTCGCCATCTTGGAATTTCGGCTGTGAAGGAAGCGATAGGAAAATCGCGATCTATCTCTGCCGTTAGCCAGGATTAAGACATATTTCTTGTGCGCAAAATAAAATCAGTTCTATTATTGACTCAAATCACTTGTATAACGTATAAATTATGGCTAGTAAGTATTTCACGTCTTCGATACTTTCGTTGGTGTTTGCCGGTCGAAGTTTTTGAATAAAAAATACATAATTGCATTTTTTTAAAGGTTGTGACGGAGAATTACAGTGGTGCTTCTCACAAGTAAAAGGCACAATCGAGGAAGAGGTCACCGACGGTAAGAAAGAAAAATTTTATGCATTTAACTATATCCGGTAATGACATCTCATTTTTTTATATAGCTGATATCATATCTTGCGTTGAATTCAACCACGACGGTGAACTCTTAGCAACGGGTGATAAGGGAGGACGAGTAGTAATATTTCGAAGAGACCAAATTTCTGCCCCAGGTGGACAGAGACGCGGAGAGTATAACGTCTATAGTACATTCCAAAGTCACGAACCCGAATTCGACTACTTAAAGAGCTTAGAAATCGAGGAAAAAATAAATAAAATACGATGGTTACATCGTTCGAATCCTGCACATTTTCTTCTCTCTACAAACGGTAAGTTTTTTTTAGAATTTTATTGACTAAATTAGACGCTGCCAGACTTACCAGACTCCTATAAATAACATGCCTATGTCTAGTTTTTGAGTACTTTCATGAATGTTACTTAGCCATGATCAATACGAATGTGTAAACAAGTTAGAAAATTGAACCAGTAAACAGTCGCTAAATACTTATTTAATTAATTGGAGGCACTTTCATATATCGTATCTAGTAGACTGGCACAATGTGAATATTGAGAAGCGGTATCTGTTCAAATATACCAATTTTCAATTTGAAAACCTAATCCTGTGCACACACAGTCGTCCTCGCTCATTTTGCAAGTACGACTTACGATAGCAGGAAAATTAATGTTAGGCCCCGCATGTGGTACCTTTAGGAAATCACGTCCCTAAGTCTAACGTAAATTTCTCTCCCCAGACAAAACCATAAAGTTATGGAAAATCCGAGAAAAGGATAAGGAATACCATGGATTTAACTTAAAAGATGAACAAGGCTGCGAATTGGAGCCTTCATGTATAAGTGGTTTAAGTGTGCCAAAACTACGACCAAAAGAACTATATGTCGAAGCGTCACCAAGAAGAATCTTCGCCAACGCTCATACGTACCATATAAATTCCATTTCAGTTAATAGTGACCAAGAAACATATATGTCGGCTGACGATTTGCGAATAAATTTGTGGAATTTAGAGATTACCGATCAGAGCTTTAGTAGGTTTTCTTATCACAGGGGTTACCTATGTATGATAACATAATTCTTTTGCAGATATTGTTGATATTAAACCTGCCAATATGGAAGAACTAACCGAAGTCATTACAGCTGCCGAGTTCCACCCCAATCATTGTCATACATTTGTTTACAGTAGCAGTAAGGGAACAATTCGATTATGCGACATGAGGGCCCAAGCGTTATGCGATCAACACGCAAAACGTAAGCTTAAATTAACTTCCATACAGATTTACTGATCAATTCATGGCACAGTTCTTGAAGAACCTGAAGATCCTACAAACAGAAACTTCTTTAGCGAAATCATTTCTTCAATATCTGATGTAAAATTTTCTCATAATGGCCGTTATCTGATGACGCGAGATTATCTCTCTGTAAAAGTTTGGGATTTGAATATGGACACCCGACCAGTTGAAACCTATTCAGTCCACGAGTATCTCAGGACAAAATTATGTGCTCTGTACGAAAATGACTGCATTTTCGATAAATTCGAATGTGCATGGAGCGGAAAAGATAGGTTAGTAAAATGATCAACTTAATTTAAATGATTTACAATGGAATTACAATAGGTATATTATGACGGGTTCGTACAACAATTTCTTTCGAATGTTTGATCGAGAAACTCGTCGGGATGTGACACTCGAAGCATCTCGCGACAATATGAAAGCCCGATGTATTCTCAAACCGAAAAAAGTTGCTTCAGGAAACAAACGAAAAAAGGATGAAATAAATGTGGAATCGTTAGACTTTAGTAAGAAAATTTTGCATACTGCATGGCACCCAGAAGATAATATCATAGCTGTAGCAGCGACGAACAATTTGTATCTCTTTCAGAGTAAAGACTAGTCGATTAAATACGCCTCCTGTAGGAAAATGGTGTAATATACATATTACATTTATATTAATCTCTTTATTTAAAAAGAAGTTATGTAACTTGTTGTCTGATTGATGAAAAGTTTGTTGTTTTTTGTTACGTAACTGCAGTTTACTGTTGTCGTTGTTTAAAAAACATTCCTCAACACACCAAAATAATGTCGGTGTTGAATAATGGTGCTAAATAACTTATTTCATCATTGATGCCTTGCACCGGCCCAAATGACGTATTCTCTCGGTGTTATGTTTCATTTTTATTGATTGTTTTGAACACGACTTCGACGTTCATCCCTTCTCTCGGTAAAGCATTCTGCATGATCTAAGATATTGCATTTATTATATAAATGTGTGCTTATACTGCGGCATATCATATCCAGCGACCGCTACACCTATTTATATACATTTTTTAAAAACTTGATTTTTTTCAATGAGTTAGAATTTATAGTATTAAAATGTGTATTAAACGTATACTCTGGAGTACTCCTCGTATGTTTTCTAAGATGTTTGGTGAAAACTAAATTGACAATAGTTGAAGTTAGAATGTGTCAGCACGAACGTGGTCACGTTAAATAAAACCAGCTCAAGTTTGTATTTTATTTTTCTAACGGAGCATAATTTAAAAGTTTCTCAATGAGATCGACATGCCCAAGTAACATTCGTCGGCAGCAGTATCGTCTTAATCCTAACGCATCCAATGCATCTCTGAAAAATTGATAACTAGTTATATAATTTTAAATACAATAAATTTTAAAATGGTTTTATGATATCCAATAAAAAGTATTTATATTTCTGCAAGAAACATTAGTTACATGATTTTTAAACAAAAATTGTTACTATATTTCGAAATTTAAAACTAACCCCTCTGTATATTCTGACTGAAGTAGCTGAAGATAATTTTCCCATTTATTTCCAATAACTTTACCACACGTGAAGCAGCGAATAGGGATAATCATTTTGCGCTCTAAGGCGTAATTTTATAATTAAAATAAGATCATTTCGTTAGATTATATTAACTTACTGTGAATAAGTAACAGTTGTAGATTATATCAGTTACTAAATAACTCGTAAATTTCTATTATAAAAGGGTTTTTCGGTGTGAGATAGAGCCGAGAATCACATTTGAAGAGTGCGAACAAGGGAAATGACGTCACAGTCGGGATACAGGAAAATGGTTCTCTTTTTTTTTACGACAGTCACGCATTTTTTTAAAAATGAACGAAAAAAGCCTCTTCATATTATCATAGGTTTGAAATGATAAAAAATAAAAGCCGATGGAAAAATAAAAAATGACAAAAAAAGAATTATATTTTTGCGTGGGATCAGACTAATTTTTCAAACAGCTGTTACTTTAACTATTACTTAGGAATCAAATTTATGACTCTTTAATAAATGTTATCCCTATTTATATTCTCAATTTCAAGGTAAAGAAGTAATATGTGTCTAGAAGTTTGATATTACAGAAAAGATTCACTTGTTAATGTTATTTATTAATATACCTCGAAATTTTATACCCGTTTGCATTTATTTAACAAGGATTCATGAAATGATAGAGTATGTAAAATACTAAAATATATTTTCTTTACACTGATATAAAAAGGAAGAGATAGTTTTGTGGACTGTTCAACTTTTTTAGTTGGCAGTTAAGGAAACGGAAATAAAGGATTTAGCGGTGCAGCAAACCAGCATGTAGCATAGATAAAACATTACAATTTGAATACTTTAAGCATGCACAATTATTTATGTATAAAATAATCTGAATTAAATAGTAAGGCCATTAAAAGTAATAAATTTGTCAAATGTAAAATGATAATTATAAAGAACCGTCCGAACTATTTCGCGTATTCTTTGTTTTCCCGCGTAAGAATACAAATATTGAGTGCTATCCGGTCAGAGAAATCTCAAATAAAAAGATATTTAACGATGCAATGAAATAGTATTTTATTTTTTAAAGGACAGGAAATGGTCAAATCAATGTAAAATTTTGGTGTCTAATGGACAGGTGAGAAAATGGTTAAAGAACTAACATCTACCCACGCTAACAAATTTTTGACTCATTAATGCTTATGAAGAAAGAAGAATTATGATTAATGCTTTCATTTATTGCAGAAAAGACGAATGCATATGATGCGATGTGAAAATACGCCCAATTCTAACCCTGATAAAGAACAGTATGTGGAGGCAAAGTACGACTACGTCGCTCAAGAAACAAAGGAATTGTCATTAAACAAAAAAGAAAGATTGTGCCTTTTGGACAATTCAAAGTCTTGGTGGAGAGTCAGAAATTTACATGGAGATGAGGGATACGTGCCGTCGAATTATGTAAAAGTTGTTAAACCGTCTCTCTTCGATACATTGAAAGGAAGTCTTAGAAGACAGAAAAAGAAAGAAAAAGTTCCACCGCTTCCTCGCGGCGATGCTTCTCAACATTCCTCCAATACGACGACTGAAACACGAAATTCAACTGAATTTCGTATTGTAAAATATACTTATGAACCGAAGAACGAGGACGAACTTGCAATTGAAAAAGGTGAAAAAGTATGGATTGTTGATAAGTCTTCAGATGGATGGTGGAAGGGAAGAAGAGACGGTTCAAATCACTTAGGCTGGTTCCCATCTAACTATTTATATGATGATGACAGCTACAACACTGCCGATGATGAGCCCGATAATTCTTACGATGACAGCTGCGTTGAACGGGTTCTCACTCTATATGCTTATTCAGCTCAATCAAGCGAAGAGTTATCTTTTGATAAAGATGAAATGTTAGATATATTAAATAAACCAGAGAAAGACCCGGACTGGTGGAAAGCCAGAAATAATCGTGGCCAGGTTGGACTTATACCAAAGAATTATGTCCAGTGTTTATCCGTTTCTAATGCAACGAGTGGAGATAGTGGCATTGAAAGGACACCATCAAGTAGTACTCATAATACGACTCTAAATCAATCGTTTGGGGGCATTCGCGCACAAGCTTCTGGATTATACGCCGGGAAAGAATGGTATTATGGAAAAGTCGCTAGAAGTCAATGCGATCAAATGCTAGAAAAATACGGTAGCGAAGGAGAATTTATAGTTAGGGAATCTGAAAATCACGTTGGTATTTTATAGCATTTGTATTGATAATGTACAATCATTTATTCCCTAAGTGCAAACGATCCCTACAGGTGTAATGTTTCTTGAATAGATTGTCAGTAAAAGAAACGCTCGATATTAAATGTTGAGCCAAAGCTTAATTGCCCTACTGAACTATCAAATAACAAAAAAAAATATTTAAAAATATATTACTAATGTGATATTTTCTTTTCAGCCTGGAGAATATACATTAACACTACGAGCACCGGTGAAAACGAAACATTTCTTAATCAAGAGATTTGAAAACGATAGCGTTAAAATCGGTGAAATGACTTATGAAAGTATGGATGAGCTTGTGTCGCATTACAAAAGACATCCTATTTTCAGAAATGATAACCTAACATTACATTTAGGTAGGCCATTTTGTCACCCCGAATTTTAGAAGTTCACGAGAAAAAGGTCTGGTCATCTAGGTGCCATTCTACTAAAAAAAAGCAACTGTTCTTTATTATAATTTTTATTCTGGCTATTATCTTTTCCTTTAAATCTCAACGTTTACGCAAAAACGTTTAGTCATTTGAAAGTGTGAATATCGTATGTGTTTGTTTTTATTACATTCATGCTGCTTGATTAGCGAATTTTTTTGCGTCAGCTATAAAATATATGCAAATACTTTGATTAATTGTTAATTTAATTAATTTGAAAATCAAAAGAAAACAACGACTGACTGACTTATACTGTATCATATATATATATATATATATATGTATATATATGTATATATATACAGTATATATATGTATTTTTTTGATATAACAGAGCTAAAATAGTAAGATGATAAGGTATCAAATAGTTATATTGTATTTGATTTTCAATCGCAAAAGGTCATAAAAACAGTTTTTTTAAAAAAAAGACAAAACCAGATTTATCACATCAATTATCCTCGTCTATGGTCCTCTGCAGCTAATCGAAAGTAGTTGAAGATCCAACGCTTGTTCTGTTTAAACTGTCATTTAGCCTAGGTCTGTTCTGCATGAGTTGGAAACTAAAGCAGTAATTGCAAACCCGTACGGGTTTATTGAAGCCATAATGATGCAGGGGTATTGAGTGTGAAGAGCAAGCAGAACAAAAAATGTGACCACAATTTCGGCAATGATGCCGTCTCTTGAAAAAAGTAAATTCGGATTTACAAGAAGTGCATTCTTGAACTTGGTCATCAGGTACCCATCGAGGAGCCTCCCTGACATTATTACCTATAGGTATTTCTTCTTCGTCTGACAAGAAAGGATCATCTTCCTCATTGTTATCCGAGTGTATTTTGAATACAGATTGTAAGACAAATCGCATATCCGTTGCGTGATTACTTTGTAACTGATCTGCTATTCCTGAAACGTAAACAAAAATTTTGTGTAAATCACTTCTATCAGATTTCTGATCCTTTGCTTTCTGTTTTTCACAAATAGTATTATTCTCATTTTCGACTGCCTTAACATCCATACAACTTGTTAAAGAATTAGTTAAAAGTGTTTTACAATCGCCTTTCTCACTAGTACAAAATGTCTCTTCAATTTTGTGACTAGGATTGGTATCGCATAATGTCTCTTCCAGCAGCCACAAGTCCTTGTCTGTCAAGTTCTTCAGTAATTTCTTTAGTTTACACAGTAAAGGCACATAAGGCTTGAACATAGAAATCATTTGAGCTGGTTCTTCAGGGTTCAAAGGGCCTTTCGGATAATGCAATAAACCTCCAATAATCGCCAGTCTTGGGATGGCGAACATTATTCGAGGTTCATAGTCGTCCAGCATTTCTTGACTAAGCAAGCCTATTTTGATGGCTCTCTGGGTACTTTCACTCATTAAAACAGCTACGTCTAAAAGCGAATCATATTCTGAAACGGTCTTAACAGCCACCATGGCGCTGACGTATGATAATTCAAATTCAGCAAATAGTCTATCAAAAAGGGCTAAAGCATCCCTTACACTCTTTGATATTACATTTGCTTTCAGAGCCTGCTGTCTCAAAAGTGCTCGGACAGCGTCTAAATGTTTCGTTAGGGCTCTGGCCAAGGGTCTCATAGTAGCAGATTCAACTTCTTTATTCATAATACAACTCCCTGCAGATAAACATTCGGCCCCGAACCATAATTGACCAGCTAAACCTTCATGAATGATATCCTCTGGAAATTTCCTACGATAATCTCTATTTACAGGATTTTCAACAACTTCTTCTATTAAATTTTGAATAATCACAATAACCTAAATAGTGATTGGAAAAGAAAAAAACACACTTCGTTAATTTAATAAAGATGGTAATTAAGCGAAATGAATAATTTATTACCTTATCTTGACATCGTCGTAATTTGTGTATTAGTTGATTACATCGCTCAGGGTCTTTTTTTCCATCAAAAGAGTCCAATTCAGACGCTACTTTGTGCAAATCCTCGTCGGCAAAATAAAATCGGGCTAATAAGGAAGTGTCGCTACGCTACAAAAATAATAGAAAAAACATTATTTTCTTTATTATTAGTATATTTATTAAAATAGTCTTAAGGAGGGGTTGTTAAATATATATATATATAAAATGGGCGACAATACATAGTCACATGCTATTTAGTTTCACTTTTACGAAGTTTGTATAGAAGGTTAGCTCCACCCATTATTCAAGAAAGTAGACACACCTAAGCGGCTATTTCTAAGAGTTTCAATTCCTTCAAAAGTTATTTGAATACAATCTTTCACGGTCCCTTCATAGGCTAAATTGACATATAATAGCCTTCTAACAAGCTACTTTTTTAGCGAATAAACATATTCTCTTCATTTACTTGTTGCAATGACTTAATTAGTTTATAACTTTAAATATCTAAAGAAAACTTTACAAAAAAGATCAAAGTACTGTTAATTGAAAATTCTTACTAAATTTGGGTTAACCTTATTATTGTGATGAATAATAAATTTAATAGAGAGACATTGTTGTCTTAATTTTTTAAATGGCTTAACAATAGATCAGTTTTAGACAAATCGGTTTAGCAAATTTATTAAAAGAAAATGTCGTGATCAAATCTGAGAAATCTTGAATTTTAATCACGCACTATTAAAATCGAAAATGTAGTATACGTACTTTTGGAGCATATATAAGTTTCTTCAATGACATTCTATTGATCTGCAGTTGTTAAAAAAGGAAGAAGGCTGTTAGAGCTTTTTCGTCGAATTTGAATTGTTTACGCCAGCTCTTTGGGGTAACGGTAAAGTAAGTTATCTCAACACTCAAATGATGAGATTCACGTAACAAACAACAACATTTATGTCATATCCGGTCGGGAACTATTTTTCGATTCGGAAAAAAATTTCTGTTAGATGTCGCTGCAAGCAAATTGTTATTGAGTAACTGTACCGTGATCTAGAACACAATCACTTAATGTATTGCTCATTTCCAATATAGTTTTTTACAAGCAAAGCAATTGTAAATGTTTTATCAAAAAATTATCTTAATTATATAGTTTTAAATATAAAATAAATTGCGCGCGATCTTAAATGTTTTTAATTTCTTTTGGTGTACGTTTAAAAGAACTTTTTTAAAATATTCAAAATGTCGTCATTGATAGCAAACAGGAAGGCCATTTTAATTATGTGGCTAGAAGTTGATCCTCATAATATTGTAAAATAAGATATATACTAGGTGAAAATTAGTGAAATGTATTCATAAGCTGTAAGCTAACGCCGACATTTTAGTCTCCTGAAAAACAAGTTCTACTAGTTTTTTCTCTGGAAGTTAAAATTTTTTTGGTATCAAAATTAATCTAAATCGGCAATGATAGGGCTTTGAATAATCGAAAAGTCATTATCTTATCTGAAGTATTGATCGACTGATACTCACAGTTGCTTTATTGAAAAGTCCTGACGTCTGTTTGAGCGATAAAGGGATACCCGAAAAAGTGAAATGTGAATCGACTCTATTTTCAGCGAAGTTTACTTTTCCTGAAGAAGAATATCTTTTGTGATTTTATCAAACAAGACTCTATTCAATTCGGAGAACAGATACAAAGCAAAATGGCCACTTCTAAAACTGTTTTTGTAACTTTAATTCTCCTTCTTCCAACTGTTTGTTCATTATCAGGTGTGTAGTTTAAATGTCTACTTTGGGATTATATATCGTTGACATTGTTGTTGCCCACAAAATGTTGTCATTTTGTGCTAAATATTAGCACATTATAGTGCTAAGACAATTATCCCAATTATGAGTAAGTGTCTATATTAATTAAACATGGCATGTGTGAATTAGTAATATCATAGAGCGTATAAGTTATGAAATTATTATAATTCTATCTTTTATGTTTTTCCTCTTAAGATTCTAATACTACATATAATGCTGATAATTCTACATTGAGATATGAAACTATTCAACCGAATACTACGAAACAAAGCTTTGTAGAAGAACCTTTAGGAGAGCTAAATGCTAAAATCGTTACAGCTGATAAGTCTACTGTTGTTGATGATGTGACGACACAAGGCGTAAAGATTAGTTCTACAGTTCAATTATCAACAGCAGATCCTAAAACATCCAAAAAAACCACAGTAATTAAGCAACAGTCAACCAGAAAATTAATAGAGACAACTACAAATCCCGAAATAACAACTGAAAGAGTAGTTAAAACAGATCCACCTTATATAGTGCAAACACTTGAGCCTAAACCTGGTAAGCTATAAAAAAATTATAGGACAAATTTATTCTATTGTCTATAGTTTATTCTCTCCTCTCAATGGATTCTTGAGGAGATAGTAAAAATACGATAAGCATTATTCAAATGATGTAATTTCAAGGTACACATTTTCTACTGGAAAGATGTTAAAAACAATTAATAATTATTGTTTGATCTAAACAATAGAAATAAAGTTTTATGTTCCAATCGATAAAATATAACATAAGAAATAAAGAATAATGCTACATTCTTACGTTCTATTGTTAAAAAGCATTTAGAACACCGTATCAAGATGTATTCCGCTTCTCCTATTTTCACAATATGATAAACATATGTGCTTTTCAAAACAGAGAAACAAGAGGGTTCATCTCTTGGAATTATTATAGGCTGTATTTGTGGAATTATTTTCTTAATCATAATAATTGTCATAATAGTTTGTTATGCACGCTATAAGAAGAGGTAATAGTTTTTTTAATTCGACCACTAGATGGCAAAAGAGTAAGTTAATTTTATATTTTCTCAAAGGAAATCTTCTGGATCAAGTTTGTTTATGAAAGATGATAAACTACATTATTTTATGAGAGATAAGGAAGATTCAATATATAGAAATTCGGATGATAGACGAAGTTATAGAGCGAAAAAAGGGGAGGTGGAAATTTTGGAAACCTCAAAAATGGATCCTGTAGGTGTTCGGAGATCGGAAACAACTAGGTCAGATAATATTTATCGGAAGAAAAAACGTGCTCCTGCTCCACCTGGCCCTCTTCCATATAACTCGAGAAAGTCTGTAAGAAGTACATTAGCTTCTGTTGTTAGTATGGATTTTTTAAATTTAAGATTATTTATTTGTTTGATAGACAAAAAAAACTAACTATATTAAGTATTTATGCCATAACTAGATTGATATATATATATATATATATATATATATATATATATATAATTTCTCCCTTGCCGCTCAAAGTTTAGCCTTTTCTAGGGCAAAAATAGTGTTTCTTAATAATTTCCTTTGAAATTAAAAAAAAAAATCGTTATTAAAAGATCAATTTATCTATTTCAATTAACCGAAAAGACTTTATTTAATTTGTTTCTATGTATGAATAATACGTAGGAATGTATTTATGGATTGATGTCTTTTGGTTAATTGGATTAGGTGTATCTAAACAATATGGTCAAGAAAGATACGAAACGGTGACGCGAAACGAAGGAGAAAGGAAGAGAGGAAACTGAAATCTAATGATTAATTTTCTTTTTTTTGCTGAAGTTTACACAGGTATAAGTCTGACTAGACAGAAAAATGTATTTATCTTATTGTTAGTCTAAACTAAAAGTATGCAAGAAGATAGTTTTTTATTCTTATTAAACGCCAATGACCTATATAACTTGAGCATTTTTTCTTATTTGATATTAATTTATGGTTTTCTTTCATGCAATTTAACTATTAAGGATTTAGTTAGGAAAGTTTTAATTAAAAATTCCCAGCAAACCATTTATTTCTCTCTAAGTGATCATGTTATTTTCCATCTTTGTTGACTTCCTACGAATGCAGAGGCCAAATATGTTACAATCAAACTATTGGTTTACAAATTTTGCACGGCTTCCTTAAACTGTTTGATCCAATGCCCACTCGGCCTCTGCAAGCTAACACTTTTATTCAATTTACAAACTATTGAGTTATATTGAGTTGTTTTATCACTTGGCTTTATAACAGAATAATTTTTTTACGTACCATACTAGTTTTATGACCTATTTATCGTTTATTATTTATTTATTATCATTTTCATCGGCACTTTAATATGTTTTTTCGTTTTATTTTTTAGTTTTCTTTAACTTTTTCTCTTTATTTTAATTTTTAGTCGTCGAACGAACCAGAAACAGAATTAACTACATTCAAAACAAATGCTAATGAGGAAGTTGATAAGCCGTTGTTAACGCAACAAGTAAGGAATGGAGATAATCACGAGTATTGTGAGTTGGATGATTACGATCGAACAAAAAATCCATTCCTCTCCGATGAACTCGATGATAATCGTAATGTGAAATAGGAAGATTTTCTTATTATTTAATTTTCTTGCTCTTTTGTTTTTATCTAAGCCTTTCTTCCTATTCTCTTTTAGTTACTTTTTCCTTCTTTTTTTTTTTTAAATTTTATTTTTTAAAGAGAAATTTATAACAAAATTTTTTTAAAGAAAAACATAAAAAAAGAGGAAAATTCACTGGGCTTATAGATAAATAGATATGTTTAGTTTTATTCTATGTTTTCAATATTGTCATTACGCATGTGTTTTTGTTTTATTTTCTCTCTCTTTCTCTTTTTTTTTTGTTTTTATATTTAATAGCTTCTCCTTCTCTCCTACTTTTCTTCCGGTTACCTATACGACATTAAATATGTTGTGTAAGTGTTTTTTTTTTAAATGACTGATATTCAAATTGATAGTTTGAAGAGCATTAAGAAGAATTTAAAAAAAGAGAATTGAAGCGGGAGATTATTGAAAAGGGGAAAAGGGCAATAGATGGTAAGGTTCGATTTGTCTGTCTGCCTCACTCTCTCTCTCTCTCTCTCTCTTCTTCTTCTCTCAATTATATCGAAATATGCACTTTTCTCTCTTTATCTCATAGAAATGAAATCTTAACGTGTTAAATGTTTATTTCTTTTGGCTCTTTTTTTTTTCATGAAAACGTGTTGTCTATTTTTTTTTGCCTTGTTGTTTTAGGTAATTTTGCTTGGCTTAAAACTTGTAATCATTCCACGAAAAAAAAAGAAAAGAAAGTCAATTCAAAAGATAATTTACTGTGATAAAGACGAATAAAATGCTCTTGTCGGACAACATTTATTTTAATTCAGCAGAAAATACTTTATAGATATACTCCCACAAAACGAATATGCTATATGAATTAATTATTGTTAGTCTGATATTTAAGTAAACGCCTCAAAGCTTCTATAATTGATTCGGAATTTCTTGCTCTCTTTAACACTCCTCCTCCGCAACCTTCCCAATCACAGAATATTCTCTTGGCCGTCTGTTTGTATTCATTTCGTAATTATTTGCTTAATAACTTAAATAACTTAAATAATATAAGAAGAACAAATAAGATGATATTTAGTTTAGTTTCTTAGTAAAGGAAACTTTTCATCTCCTCTTTTTTTTTCTCTCTTTCTCTCTCTCTCTCTCTCTCTCTCTCTCCCTTCTTTCATTTATTTCCTCGATAAAACGTTTATTAAAAAAAGGAAAGTGGGAGAGAGAAAGTAAAGATTTATACCTGATAATCCAATTGTACTTTTGGTGCACAATTAACAAGCAGACAAAGTGATAAGGATACTAAAACCATAAGGAGAAGAGTACGCTGCGAAGAGGTTGGCATGTTTAAGACCTTAAAGTAGAATGAAAAGGATGATAATAATATTAAAACAAATTGGAAAATGTTTTTTTATTTGTTTTTCTTTTTCTTTTTACAAATAGAAATAAAGTTAAAAAACATAGAAACAAAACAGTACAAATTTCCTGTTATTTAAGAGTAAATATAAGATGAAATATCAATATACTTATTCTATAGTGTTTAATTTATACTCCAGAGATTTGAATTATCGCAGTAGAGATATATATACATATATATATTTATTCATATTCTGTATGTTTAACAGTGAAAACTCTCTCTTAAATCTTTTTGAGATTCTTTTTTCTTTTTTTGCGACTCTAGTAAAAAATAATTGAACGAATAAGCTTCTTACTTTTAGAATATCCGGTATTTAATAAATTATAAACAACCAAAGTCTCTCTGACTCTCGTTCTTCCTATTTTATCTCTATTTATTTCGTTTTATAACTCTCGGATCAAACAATAATTGGGAAAGGGGTGAAAAAAGATAAAACGACTAAAAAGACCTTTTATTAAAGGGGAGAATAAGGTTTTTAAGGTTTTCTAATACGTTGCAATAACTAATTTTTTATGCGTATAGTTTTGATTGGCCTATATGATTAGAAGGAAAAATTTTTGATTAAAAATTATCTTTATCATAGGGGAAAAAATATCATAAAATAAATGTTCTAAGGGAGTCCTTTTTTTCGTTTTTTTCTATCAATCTATCTATCTACCGTTCTTCCTAACCCCATTCAAATAGGAATTGAACAAAAGTAATTGAATACAAAAAAATCTTGTCTTTTATCATTTACTTATAATTTTCTATTTTTACCAAAGTTTGTACAGTCTTTTGCAGTTTGTTTTTTTTGTTTTTCTTATCGAATAGAAAATGAATATAAGTCGATAATATATTCGAATATTTTGCGTCATTCCTTATTTTATAAATTATTCTATTTATGAAAATTTATAGAAATAATATTTTTTTCTTTTGCTGCTTGTCTTTTCTTTAATATTTTTTTTTTAAAAAAAAAATATTAAAGTTTTTTTTAATTTTAAAACAAAATAAAGACGAAAAAAAACAAGGGAAAAAACTGATTATTCATACTATTTAATCAGTTTTGAAAATATTTACCTCTTTTTTTTCAAATTTCAGTTGAAACGATTGTTAAAGTCGTAAAAATGACGGATAACTGTAAAGCGCGAGTTTTTACCCAGTGTCGCCTGATGTCTCATTAATAATTCATAAACATCAACCAATCAGCAATAGATGTTTAAAGAGCGGTAAAACATCAAGTTTGTAATTGGATGGCTAAACATTTAAAAAAAAGCGAGCTATACAGAGATTGTTTTTATTAATAATTAACATTGAAATATTATTAACGTTCCAAGAAATCTTAATAGATACATGCTGTAGTTGAAGAAAGGAAGATAATCAATAATGGACTATATATCCAACACAACGCTCCATTCGTCTATAAAGTCTATTTGCAGTAGATTGCAAATAGACTACGAAGAATTACAGACGATGTTGTTATCCCTTCGAAAAGGTTATACAATAGCAATTGCTAGTGAAAATTCATCGAATTTCCATAAGTGTTTTTGTCGTTATCCCATAGTCAACAGCTCCATCTACCATAAATAATATTAGGTGTATCGGAAGCGCCACCTGATAGCCATCATTTATTGGGACTTTCGGAAAGCCTCAACTAAAGCATATTGATTTTTATTTACGGTCCGAATATTTCCCTCTTTTCCCTTTTATCCCTTTCCAGCTTTTTTGTACTGCAATTTCGTAATGATCATAATTTTATACAACCTTTATTAAGTTAAAAGAATGAGACAATAAAGTGACTAGGCCTATAGCTTGGGCATTAAAAGAACTTGAGCAATTTTATCCGTTTCTTTGCAATATACCAGTTAATTTAACTATTTTCACCCGTCAGTTTGTCAGTTTACACGCCAGCATCTTGACTCGATTTTCGTGCTGATTGGACGAGTTGATCACGTGACGTATTTGTGGTTTTTTTTTCAACAGAACAACGCACATTTCAACGAGAGCGGCGTTAAAGAAAGAAGTTGGATTGGCTTAAGGTAAGATTTGCAAATGCTTCCTTTTACTATGCTAATAGGTAAACGGCGCCATAGTAAGCTTTTTTTCGTCCAACGAAGCGTTCATCTCTTTTAATTAGCGAACAAGGCCAACAGCGTCACGTGACACCCTACGTAAACCATATAGAAAAAGGACGCGACCACTCATTGTCAAAACCGAAACGTCCTTGTCGTCGGTTAATTGAATAGGATCGTTGTAAGCGTCCAAAAATTCAAAGTTTGATTATTATTATTATTCATATATCGCTTATAGAGAGAGTTTTACATTGGTAAGAATAGAAGGTTGTCTTTGCTAGTGTTATTACTATTACTATTATTATTATTATTATTATTTTACATTAGTAAAACGTATGTATGTGCATATATACAGTTTATATATATACATATATATATATAGAGAGAGAGATATGTAAGAAATCAATGATTTCTTTAGTATTATTACTCTTCTAAATGAAACTATGAATGAGCTTTATATATATATATATATATATATATATATATATGTCGTGAGAAAAAGGGTTAACTTCGAGAATATTTTTTAATAAATATAACTATTTATTTTATACTCTTTTGTTTATATAAACCACTCATTCATTCATTCATTCATTCATTCATTCATTCATTCAGTCATTTTTGTTTTGTTTTTATGTTTTTGTTTTTTTTTTTGGCTTTTAATAAAAAATTTTGTAATAATAGTAACTAAGGCGTTATGATATTCTTTCGCAATGGACTGGAACAATCCATCGGTTAAATCTAAGCCCTTCAGATTTGGATTATACTGACAAAAAACGGAAAGAATATTAATCGAAGATTGTTTCCTTTCATCAGCCGTCTTATTTAGCCTTTTTTTTATTCCCCTTTTCCCTTTTTTATTCTCCTTTCCCTTCTCGCCTTGAACTTGAATATTATTGGTTTTTAAATAAATATAAAGTATTTTCTTTCCGTTTTTTTCTTGCAATTAGATATACGTTTCCTTATTTGCATAAGGTTTCCTTATAGAATGTTAGTACTCAGGGTAAAAAAAAATCTGTATCTTACGTGTAAAGAACATATGGTTTGCGTGGGAAGATTGAAAAAAATCACTTGATTATGTTTTTACATAGGCGTCTAGTAGGCCTATTAAGCAGTAGGGAGTTTTTGCAGTTAAAAACCCGTCATCCTCTGGTAACGAGCTTATTCCAGGTTATCAGTCTGAAAGGTCAAGAAATTCTCCCCCCTCCCATCTCTGTGTCTTCTCCCTCTTTTTGATTTTCTGTTTTATTTATTATATTTTCTGCCAGGTAAGCCACTTTATGCTATCAATATATTTCATAATAGTTATTGACTTATGCAAGGGCAATTGACTAGAGATCTTTGTTTCTTGTTTATAAGCCTATAGCCGTAATTTTACGCTTGAACCAATAAATTAATAATATCTTGGTTCTAAATACCCATTTTTCTCTTTGAGAAATATTAGTAACTCAAAACGGTTACGTAAAAAAACGAAGCTATTAACAAGTAGGCCTGTGGGGTATATCTATCGTCTCTGTATATAATGACCTTTTCCCGCGTAAGAAATTATATTTTTCCGTCAACGTCGGTTGATTAAAGATATAGGCCTACGAATATTTTTTGTATTTTATGCAAAAGGCCTATAGAAGTTTATACAATTTCGAAAGAGAAAAAAAACGTATCATTAAGAAACTTTTCAGTCCAAGTACTATTGCTCTGTGGAGAGGAGAGGAAAAGCAAGAAAGGAAAAGAGTTAAGGAAAGAGAAGCAGCTTATTATTAATTCTAAATATTCAGACATGTTACGCTTCTTGACAAACAAGAAACGCTTCGATTGTTCGATTAAATAACCAGTAGAGCAACTTAATTCCCTCTCATGCATACTGAATAATTTTCAGCTTCTGTCATCCTAATTATACATAATCCCTTTTTTCAATTTAATAGAAGAAGAACGCCGAAAAAAGAAAATGCCGGGTGGACCGAAACTAAACAAATCGGCTCAGACTAAAAGCAGAAGTATTGATCAACAATTGGAAGAAGGAAGAGAAAAACAGCACGATGATTTGCAACTTCTAATTTTAGGTTAATAGTATATACGGTAGAGAGTAAATAGAAAATATATAGGGCGCAAAGCTTGCCTAGGAGTCAAGGTGCATATATAAATATAAATATAAATTATAACACACACATATATATATATATATATATATATATATATATATATTGTATTTATACTAGACCTAAAAATATTTTTATAAATATTGCAGTATTGCAGTTTAGAGTGGATTATTTACATATTTATATTTATATATTGAGCACATATTTCCACTATAACTTATTTATTTTTGACGGCTGTCTAACGCTTCAACTTTTAAAAGGTTTCCTTAAAGAGTCAATATCTTTTTAATATAAATGGTCAGTAATTTATTGTTGTAAATTTATTATGAAAGTAACTTTTCTCCCCCTTAGTTTCACATCGCCCTCTCCCCCTCTATCCCCCCTGCCCCCTCCTCTCCTCAACCTCTCACTTGCCCGCCCACCTACAATTTTTTCTCAAAGGAAACAGTCAAAACTTACAAAACATTTATTGTTCTTTTTTTCTCTCCGCTTTCGTTGAGAAATATTCTGCAAAAAGGGGTGGAAAGTTGAAACGTGGAGAAAAAGAGAAACTCTTTGGTCAAGTGATTTGCCTAGTAAATGTCAAAATTGCATACTTTGATTTAGAAAACGGGTTCTAAGTCATTTTTTCCCCTGTTTTTTTTTTATTCTTTTCCCTTTTGTAAAAAGGTTTGTTTACTCTTTTCCTGTAAAAAGGAAAACAAGAAAACGTTATAATTTATACTACAATGAAAAGCACAATATGTATATATATCAGGGTCATGGCGGACGTAATTAGATAAGCTTTTATTTGGCTATATATAAAACTAATAAAAACTCTTTTTCTTATTCTGAATAATCATCTTACATACCTTGGACTCTTTGGAAACCTTAATAATAGTTGGATCAAATATCCTAGCAATGACGTATATTCCATCCCTTCCATCTGACTCATTGATAAAACAGGACTTTGACCATAGATGAGGGATTTGGCTATTCGATAAATACTCCCATTAACTATTTCTTATTCCACTTAGGTGGCGCTGGAAGTGGCAAAAGCACCTTTATTAAACAATTACGATTACGGCATGGGGATAAATTCCCTGAATCTGAAAGAAAAACGTGGACTATTTACGTTTATGAGAACCTGGTTGAAGCTCTCTACCCTATACTGGAGCAGGTAACTGAATGGGAGGACGGAAGTAACGCTGTACGAATACTTATATTAGTGCCCCGCTGGGAACGTCTAACACTGTTTTTAACGAGCAGAAAACGTACAGCCTATTCGTTGAGAAATTTCCCCGATCCAACATCGGACGGAAGGGCTCTTCTAGTCAAGAAGAAGATCACTCAAAAAAAAATGTCAACTATTCGAAACTTTCATCTTTAGCTGCAGATGTTTTAAGCATGTGGCGGGATAAGAGCGTTCAAACCATCTGGCAAGAGAATATAAAAAAGTTTGGTCTACGAAAAACTTTCGCGGATCAGTGAGTAAATTAAAAAAGAGCGAAAGAGGGAGAATGAAAGGGAAAGAGTCAGGGAGCCAAAAGAGTAAGTGAGAAAAAGAGAGGTGGGAAAAGTGTAAAGGTGAGAGAGAGAGAGAGAGAAAGAGAGAAGAAAGAGAGAGAGAGCAGACAGAGTGTGTGTGTGTGTGTGTGTCTGTGTCTGTGTCTGTGTATATGTGTGCATATGTACGAATGACTGAGTAAATGAGAAAGAGAGAGAGAGCGAGAGAGAGCGAGAGAAAGGCCTAATAAAGATCAGAGTAAAATATTCAAAGTGCAGTTAGCTTGGCGGTCAACTTTCTCTTTGAATTATTTTTATAAGAAGACGGCTGAAAATAAATAAACGCCGCAGGCACATTAAGTTAAATTTCGTGACTGACGTTACTGGCAGGTACGTATCATGTCATGCCCAGCAATCATCCTAAGAAGATAAATCACGTGATAGGAAAGCATAATAATAATATAGGTCTGATTTTCATACTCCTTTTCCTTCACATTATCTTTTTCTATTTTTAAGACGTCTACTGCACACAGAAAGTGTAGATGTTTGAGTACTAAAATAGACTTGAGACCTTAAATAGCGTGTACTTTCTGTTTCGAATTAGCGTAGGATTGAGTAGTTAATAAGATGCGTATGTATTAAAAATTGTAACCTTGAGAAAAATTTTGCAGTTTCTTATCCAAACTGGAAAGAATATTATCGACCAATTACATTCCGGATATTGAGGACATACTATTTATACGGAAACCTACGGCAAGCGTTCAGGAGCACATGTTCACATCAGAAGGAAATGTTTACAAAGTAATCGACGTTGCTGGTAAGTGTTAATGTAAAAGAATTTACTGGAGAACGAATTAATTGACTAATAAATTACCCAGGTCAGAGGTCGCAACGTCATAAATGGATCAGCCTGTTTGAAGGCGTCACCGCAATCGTTTTTATAACTTCATTGACGTCATACAGCGAAGGAACCTATGAAGATAGTTCGTTAAATTCCCTTCACGATTCCCTTTCGGCTTTTGGCTCTGTAATAACAAATCAATTCCTAAAGAATACCAATTTCATTCTTCTACTCAATAAGAAGGATCTACTAGGAAAACGTCTAGCAGATGTTCCATTTTCATCAATAATTGAGAATTACAAAGGTAGGCGAGTAAGAAAATATGCATGAAACCAAAGAGTAGCCTCTTTTGGACGTATATGCTAACCAACATTTACTAAATTTACCGATGCCATTCACGTATTAGCATTAATTCGTTAGCGTATTAAATGACGATAGCCTTTCTACTCCATCAAAATAGGTAGGAATGAAGAAGCCGACGTAATTGAATACATAAAGAAGGAGTTCGAAAAACGTATCACAAGTGAGAAAAAGGTTAAATTTCACGTGTGCAGCGCTATCGATACACCAGGAATGAAGCCTTTAACAGAAGAAATCATTCAATGCATAAGAAAAAAATGAAAACAGAAATCACTATCTAAAGCCTAAAACATCAGTTTAATTTTCAACTTTGCATCATCATCATCTGATTGGCCATGTCATAAATTAAATTCTGCTACAAACATGTAAAACCATTAGCATATGTTGTTGGCCTACTCAGATGGGGTTACTTGTCTATTTATCTATGTTATGTTGTATTTAGAGAAAAGCAAGAAAAAACGCATAGAATAATATACTGTTAATATTCATCACGTTTATGCATGTTTCACCTACGTTAAAAGTACCAAATGCGAATTAAAACTATATAAATATATATACTAATACATATATTAGTATATATATATATATATATATATATATATATATATATATATATATACATATATATATATGTATTTAAAAGAAAATATTTGAGATTTTCTTTCTTTTTTTTACACACCACAACCTGTTTTTTGCACTACTATAAACTATTTTGTGTCTAAACTTTAATAAACACAACATCTAACAATAATTTTAAACAAACGTAGTAAGAAATAAAGAAAGAAAAAACAAAAGACTTTTTTAAAGAATTCATCAGAGTTTCTATAAAAAAAATTTAACTAAAATACAAAAAAACAAACAAACAAACAAAACTGATATCGATAGACAGATTAAACGCAAGTTGGTGATCCGCATGAAGATCCTCCTCCAGAAGTAGAACGCATGCGCAACGGTAGATCATATTCCTCCATGCTCATCGAACGATTTCTAGTTATCGGTGGATTTGACGGCATTGGAACGCCAGAAGCTGTTTTTTTATGCATTCGTAACGTATGAAAAATCTCTCTTTCCCACTATCCCTCTCCCTCTCTCTGTCACTCCCCCCACTCCTTTTTTTTTAAAAAAAAAAAAAATGCAATGTTTCTTTTTTTTTTCCTTTACGAGGTTAGGTTTTTTTTTTAAAGTCAATAAAAACTTTTCTGTTTAACGAATACAATAGCGTTTGTACACTACTACGTACACTAATTGTTGTACTGTAAATAATTTGTTTATAAATATAAATATGTATATATGTATGTATATACAGTATAAATTATTTAATGTATCATCTTAGTAATATCATAATTTATATAATATATACATATATACTAACATTACAAGTAATAAAACTAAACTTGTAGTTTTACATATAAAAATATATATAAGCGTGTTATAAACAGGTAGAACGACCTATTTTTTTTTTTCTTTTTTTTTTTTTTCCTTTTTTTTTTGTACAGAAAAAGAGAAAAGAACGAAAACGAACAAACGCTTGTTGACGGCGTAATGAAATTTTACATTTGACTAATATCGTTCTCCCCTCCTGACATCGAGCGCAATCTCAGTTTCGGCTGATCGTAGACTTCCATTGACATTGATCGTAGTCTGCTCTTTGGTGGTCGTTCCACATGAACCATCGGTATTCCTGAAGCTGTATATCAGGCATTTTTTTTTTTTTGCTTTGTTTTTTTTTTCATCTATTTTTTATATATATATAGATAAATATAAATATATATAAAAATAGCTAATTAATAATATTCAGGTTGGCAGAAAACGTAAGAAAAAACTAACAAGCTACATCAAATTTTTTCTTCTTTTTTTTTTTTAAAAAAAAATCTATAATTTTGTCAAAATATTTGTTTTTTTCTTTACTAATTAGTAATTTTGTATCTTATCTCACCTTCTCTCTCTCCTTCTTCTTCTCCTCCTCCTCTCTATGCTCTTTCAATATATCTATTCATCTATCTATTTATCTATCTATAGATATGTCGACCCATCTAGTTTTTTAGTTTCCCTTTCCCACACTCGCCCTTTTCTATATCTCTTTTACCCTTCCCTAATTCACTTTATCATTCTTCTTTTTTCTGACTACGTCTATCAATCTATCCATCTATCTATTTATCAGTCTATCTCTCCATCAAAGATATTCTATAAATATAAAAAAAGGAAGAAAAAAAGGACAAAAAAATTTAAATACAACATCCTCTAGGTGGCGTATACGTAGCGGATGCAACAGAAAGAAAAAAATTTCGAAAAAGCCAGGAACAATCGACGTTAAACAAAAAGAAACGAAATAGATCAGATTGTTGTTTCAACATGCAAAAAATGTAAGAAAAATCGTTCACAATATATAACAAATACAGTAAACATGCGGCAACGTGAAGAGAAGCATTGCAAACACAATTTATTGTGTCTGCCTACAGACAAATTAATTGGTCTACAGAAATATTAGCATAGTACTCAACAAGTATGAAAAAAACGAATGGAATTATAAAAAAATATCCTATTTAAATGGATAGATATCTACAAACAGTAAACGGCGCTCTATAAATTTATATATATATATATATATATATATACAGTATATATATATATATTATTTTTTTAAAAGAAAAAAAAGAGAACTATAAGCCTATTTGCTATTTTGCGGTTGATTACTTAAAAATAAATATAAAAAAAAAGAGGAAGGAAAAAATCTTCGTTTTTTTTTTTTTTTTTTATGTAAGGAACGTTTTGCTGATAAGTTAATAAATAAAAAATACTCACCCCACCCCAAACCTTGGATGAAATACTGAAAGCTCTCAGCCATCTTTTCTGGCGCTTCTTCCAAAACGTTGGCAACCCTCTTAACCTCGATAAAATTCACCAGGTCCTTTACTGAAGCGTGTCTAGAAACGGTTTGGGCAAGAGAGTTTGTCGTTCCGCTAAACACGGATTTTTGGCCGGTTACCAACAGCATAGGGCATCTGTAAAATATAAATCATAGTTTAAAAAGTTCATAAGATAATTTATATACGAAAATAGATAAAGAAGCTTACTTTAAATGAGTGATTTTGTCGGCGATACTTGTTCTCCTATTAATTATAGGTTATTTTTAGAATATTTTTTAATGTATTTGTACGTCAACTATCTAATGAGAATTTTAATTAGAATAACAAAAATTCCTACTTTAGAAAAGCTTCAACAAATTTCTTCAAATTCTTCGGATTTACGTGTTGCCGAAGTTCTTCTTGAAAGTTAGCAATAACTTGTTTCAATTGCTCCGCATTTTCCGCTGTGTTAAACTATACAGAAAAAAAGGACAAAAGAAAACATGAAAACGCGATAATAAGAATAATATTTTCTATATCAACTACAAGTAAAAAAAAAAAAAAGTTTGTGTTTTTTTTTGGTAGGATTGATAGGAATTGATAAGAGGAAAAATAAATCAAATATTGGAGTTTGTCAAGGGTTTGTTTATTGTTTTTTTTTTTTTAAAAAAACAAAAAAAAAGTTACATTAATATTTTTGGTGCGCAAGAATGAAGAATTAAGTAGTAATATGTAAATGTGCTTCTATATATTTAATACTATATACATTTATATACGTTATAATATAATTTATACGTCGTGGGAGAGAGAGAGGGGAGGGGAAGGGAAAGAAGGGGGGGGGAGCGTGAATACTTTTCTTAAATTCTACACATCAATCATTAGTACTAAAAGAAAATCATTGAGGAAGTAAATCAAAGGTGTTCTTTCTCAATTATAACGTTCGAGTGATTCGTGCTCTATATAATATTCTAATTATAATTACGTTAATTGTAATTAAAAAAAAAGGTTAATTTTGTTTGTAGCTAAATAATAAGAGAGTAAAATATAGACAGAATTAAGGGTAAATGAGATAAAGAGAGAAAGCTAGTGGTAAGGCGCGAAAGCAAGAGAGAGAGAGAGAGAGAGAGAGAGAGAGAGAAAAGAAAAAGAAGGATAATAATAGTGCAAATGTGTCGTTGTTATTAGATGAGTGAAAAGAAACAAAAAAAAACTAACAATAATTAGGTTAGTTCTAATTTTAACAAATTTAATTGTTAATGTCTCGTAACTGACGACTCCAATACGTACACGAAGCAATGTATTAATAAATAATTCTAAGATGCTTAGTTAAACTATGAATTAGGCCTGTATTGAAATACATCTATATATATACATATAATTTATATATATATATATATATTTTGTATAAATTATTCAAGAAATATCTTATTAAGTATACTGATATATAGATGTACAGTATTTTATAACATAAACTGTAATATTGATATAGTGGAGAATATTACTTTACGAAACTCTGAAAAAAATACGATATAATCTAATGAAGTATGTGCACGACAGGGATTCGTCAATTCCTCAAGTTAGGAATTACACTTGAATTACCTTTGAACTGCTCTGCTAATAAGAAAAAAAGGAGAGAAAAAAAGACGCAATTTAAAGATGCTGTCGTTGCGTAAATTGTACTCGCGAAAGAGAGCTTAAGAGTGATAATTAGACTTACCGAACCGAAACGATGAAGTACCAAATATTGCTCAGCAGTTGGATTCATTCCAATATGTTCCAGTTTCCAATTTATAACCTATAAGCAAGTACTTGTAAGTTGATATGTCGACTAATTCTTTGAAAAACAAACTTTATCTTTAAGTGATTCCATTAAACCTGCCGTAGTGCCTGTACAGTGAAGCAGTACAACTCCCATCACTCTATCCGAATGTTTACACTGATAGATTAATAAAAATATTCATTAGTCATAGTCCCATTGAATTTTTTCATTATCTCAAGATTATATTTTATATTTACCGCAAATCTCGCAAGGATATTTGCTCCCGCTCCCTCACCAAAGCAGAGTACTTCTTTAATTCTATATTTATATAGGAACGATATATTTTCATTTTTTTTCGTCTATTAAACGATTATGCTTACTTTAACTCATCAAGAATATGAATCAGACTTTCTCCGAGTTTTTGCATTGTCGGGAAAGAATATCTAAAAGGAAAAGTATGTCATATAGAAATTCATTAAAGCGTCATAACAATAGTAATAATAATAAAGCCATTTTTAGATTCTATTACGTCGATGGTAAATCCGACGCGTCCGTTTCCTGTCCGGGTACAGCAACATGAACCCATACAGTTCTGTCCCTGATCGGCTGCATTCTCTCATGATTGATAAAATCGTCGTATTGTAAATAATTGCAGCCAAGGTCGTGCACGGTAAAGATGACCTTTTCATTGCTCGACCTATTTCCCTGTTATTTTTCAATAGGAATTCGTTTATAAAAAAATATATATTAGAAATATATCCGTGTTCTTTATTTTCCCATTTAGGCCTATGGAATACTTAGAAGTAGTTACACTAGTCAAAGAAACGTAATTAGGTCGTAAGAATTATTATTCAATAGATTGTAAGATTATAGTAATAATATAAAATATATCTTAAAGGGCTTTCTTTACCTTCCCACAACAAGGAGGGAATATGTTTCATCTATCAGATTTTTTGAAGTATGGAAAGACAGAGAGAGAGAGAGAGAGAGAGAAAAGAGAATGATAAAACTATTCATAATGTTTCTCTTTATTAAATTTAAGGACCCTACTAATCTTGCGCGTTTGCGTGACCTTTCATCGTTAGCGTGCTCGTATTTGTTTCAATATAAATAGACCAACCTTTCCAAGTTAGCTTATTATTTTGTCAATATGTAAAGAGACATAGCGAATAAATCGAAGGTTTACAAACCCTATAAATCATTTTTTTTCTCTTTCTCTTTATGTAATATATACGCACTGAATAATTTAACAAATAAACTACTTCCCTCTTTTTTCAATAGAAGTCATTAGCATTTATATTATAATCAAGGAAGAGATCGAATTTTGCACTCAATATTGGACTCGTACGCCTATTTATAATTTTTTCTTTAAAAAAAAATCGATAAATTACGTTTTGAATGATTTGCTAATTATTTCACCCTTTTCCCTTTTAAGTCATAATAAGCATGATAAAAGAAAGTATACCTGTACGTAAACATTGATCTCACCAACATCACCACACTTTATAGTCTTCTGCTCCATATTGTAGGCCTTAGAAAATCTGAAATTTTTTAAAGCTTTATTGACAAACTGCACAAACAATACACAGTCGAATAGCGTTCAGGGGCGTCGTAACCTTGACAATGGAAGGGCCGCAACATGGCGTCCGAAGAAAACATACTCTCCTTTTTATAAATAAAATAAATATTGTTTGTCTAATGTTACAATTTTTTTAACCTTCGACAACAATATGTTTCTTTCTCATAATATTATCGTAAAATTTTAAGAATAGTCCTATACGACTAGAAAAAAAGAGCAACGCTACAAACCGAGTCCCATTAGCTGTTTGCAATCTAATTGCAAACAAAATAAGATTCAACTTAATATACTTTACTTACCAAATATAACTTTGCAAATTAATATATCTTCAATTTCGATTTCCAATGCTTCTTTAATGCTTTTTAACTCTCCACTTAATAGCTTCTCCAAAAGACAAAAAAAACTCACAGTAGCATCCAATCCTAGAACGACGTCCCGAAGATTGCCGAAGAAGTCCGAACGAGCATTTCTAGGAAGGCGGCTTGTTCGTAAACATATAAAAATATTTTCTTTTCTTTCCATATTGAAGAATTTATTTTATATTTTTATTCTATTAGAATTTACGAACTATGTCATATATTTACGAAAACTTCTCACGTCACCATAGCAACCTCCAATAACATATAAAATGGTGGATATTTTGCTTGTATAAGAACAGTAACTAATATATATAAACAATTAAGTAAATTCTTTTGCCGCCAAGAGTTTGTCTAGAAAAGAAATTTTAAGTTTTTTATAAAGAAAATTAATGATCATGGCTCAGGCGTATAAAGATTTAATCGCTTCAGTAAAAAAAATTCTTGATACCTTTGATGAAAACAGTGTGGCTTCAGAAACTCATCTTGAAGAAAGTCTGGCCAGTTTTGGCGTAAGTATTAATCATTTCAAAGAAAATAGTAAAGAAAATTTTTCCAAATGATAAAAAAACATTTCCTTCTCAGCCTATAGACGAAACAGAAGAGATTTTCATTACGAATGCGTTTAGCGACTGTGTTCAGTACTCAAAAGCGTTAAAAGTAATTGTAGATGCTTTTTACGCTCGTGATGGAAAGATTATGCTTAATAGCGAAAAGCATATGTATACAGTATTCGCCTATCTAATGTTACTTGCCTACAAGGACATCGGTTCAAGCTGGTTCAATAAATGCGTTTTGTCACACCATACAAAAAAAATGTATACGGTAAACTGATGATAATTTCACGTTTTTCATTTTATAAATATACATTATATATTCATTCGTACAGTTTTTTCAATTCGCTACTGATGAAAAACATATTTTGACCTGGATGAAGGATGAATGGAATAAATTATATGATACCAGCTTTGTCCAAGAACATTTCATTAATCCTTTACAAAGGCATCTTCCAGAACTTCGAAACTTAGTTGATTCTTTAAAAGATAAATTGGATAACAAAAATCAATTAAAAGAACCAAAAGAAATTCCCAAAACAAACTCTAAGCCGTTTAATTTAACTGAAGTAAAACCTAGAAAAATACCCATGCCACAACCAATCCCTAAAATGCCTAAATGCAAAGATGCACCTGAAGTTATCTACAAACAGCCTGAGGAATTTGAGAATTTACAAAAGATCTCCAAGGAAAATAGAAGATATGCCGAAAAAAGACTAATGGACGCTACCAGATCTCAATTTTCTTGTGCTAATACTGCACCGTCAGATAAAACTGTAGAGAAAAGGGAAAATATCCTGAATGAGCGAAATGCCGAATTGAAATTTAATATGTCTAAAGCCCACCCTCTGCCAAGCGTTAGTGGTAGACAAAAGCCAGTTGTAAGACTTAATGCTGCTGCTATTTTAAGAGAAGGTGAAAGGTATCGAAAAGTGCAAGAAGAAGAATGGGAGAAATTAGTAAAATTAGAGTCCGGTTACGGAGATAGTGACCAATTTGACAATTGGCAGAATAGGGTCAAGGAACAAGACGAATTAGATGCGAAACTAGAAGCTGAGCGTCGAAGGATGTCCGGAAAAATTGCCTATGAGGAGGCAATAATTGCCAAGAAAGAGCAGATAGAACAAAAAAAGGTTGAAGTTCAACAGATGAAGAAAGAAGCAAGAAAGCTCATGCATATTTACATGTTGAAAAAACTCGATATGGAGGAGTCGCAAAAGCATAAAGTCAAAAATGTTCAAGATTCTCATCAGAACGCTCAAGAAGCTAAAAGAAAGGTTAGGGAATATAAAGCCGGAATTGTAAAACAAGTGGCGGAAGAACGTAAGGAGTTAATGGAAAGGGCATTAAAAGAAGCTGAAGAGGAAATGATGAAGAAAATGGAACTCATCAGAGAAATTCGAGCCTTAGAGGCTGTTCCCAAACAAAGGGAAAAACTTGTCGATTTGACATCTACACCTGGACACGGTCTCTTAACAGAGATGTCGGTTGCAGAGCTCAGAGAAAGATTAACATGGTTAAGAGTAGAACAGAAAGAGAAAGAAGAAGAAAGGCGAGATCAGATATTCGCATCGAAACAAGCAAAAGATCAGTTGCTAATAGATACAATAGACACAATTAGCAAACATAGAAACGAATTAAGCAAAGCAGCAGCTATGAAGCTTGAGCAAAAGAAAGTTACCAGACTCCAAACAGACACCGATGTTAAGTCTAATAGTAAAATTAATGCCTTACAACAACGTCTCGACGACCTGCGATTGCAGAGAAAGGAAACCTACAACCACTTGGGTCACGGCGTTGCCAAGCAGGTAATATCAGTCCATAATAAGATTATTTAATTATAGCAGAGCTAAATAAGACGCTACAATTAATTCTTGAAGAATATCTTTGTTTGGTTTCCTGAAAATAAATTGGAATTCCTAATCTATTCTAATTACTTCGCACGGATTAACAGTTTCTTTATATTTTTCAGCTACCTAAAAAGCTTCCTAGTGGTAACAAATCGGATACCAGATTAGCGCAAATTGAAAAAGGAAAGGAAAAGAAAGACAATCGCTTGGGACCGTCTATTCATTCAAAATCTGCTCAAAGAATTGCAACTGCTGGAAGACAGACTGCTTTAGCTGCTTTTTCGTAAATTAAATGCATGTTTTTTTCAGCGTCCAAAAGAAAATCAATTACAAATACAAACACATTACATATAGTGTATATATATATATATATATATATATGTATATATATATATATATATATATGTATATAACATAAATTCATCACTCAATTATTCAGCGTCATCGAATTGGCCTTGTTCCATCGGCTCTGCGCTACCTGAAATGAAATTCATTATTCAATTAACCACTAGATATTACCCTTTTGGAAGGTTAATAATATAATGTCATTCTATTTACCGTTCGGTCCCGAATCTCCTGTAGGTAAATCATCCATAGTTTCCGCCTTCTCGGTCTCATCAGCAGTTCCATTAGGATCAGCCTCCCAATTTTCATCATTATCATTACCTTCATTATCTTCCTCATCGTCTTCTTCTCCGTCGCTGCATGGATGTAGAGCTACGCACTCACACATAGCTTTATATATTGGCTCAACTATTAGAGAAAAGAATATTCTCGTTAGTCTCTAAATATCAATAATCGTAACCTCATTTTCTCGACATACGTTTTTGCACTGAATCGGGAACGAGCTGAAAGGTCGTGACCACTTCTGCATCGACACTCTTCTCAGAAGCGCTGTCATCTCCTGCCTCTTCTTTCTCGTCTATCGAATATAAAATAAACTTATAAGATACATCATCAAACAGTTATTATTATATTTACCAAGATCAACAGTTGCGACTACCATTACGCATTGATGAGGGAAATCTGCTGTCACCTCCGTTAAAATCGCATGTAATGAGACATCAGGCCATTGTAAACTAAAACCCTTGTTGTCGTCAGTTTGCCAGGTGAGCTCACTAAAATAAAAATTTATAGATTTTCTAATATAAACACACATTAGAATCTTACTTTTCTGCTATATATAAGGTTCCTTTTCCAACACTCCCTCCACGCTGAAAATAAACTGTCACATCTCGTTCCTCGTGAACAATCCCTTCGAGGGGTTTATCAACCGCCTCGAGGATCATTGCAGCAGAAATGTTTTAAGCTGTAATTGGAGGATAATTTTATTAATAATTTTGACTAAAATGTGTTAATGTAAAGCATCAGAATAATAATTAATTTTTTGCTAAGAGGCATTAATATGTTGAAGTTAACTTTTCTATTTTTATATACCGTTAAAACGTGCTATTGACAGTAAATTAAAATTTATTCTATTTGAATAGATTACTTAATAGGGAGGAAGGTATTAAAATATTAATTTGACAAATTAAACTAATTTAAGCTGTCAAAAAATTATTAGATTAACCTAAATATCTTTTCAAGCAATTATTACCAGTTAGAAAGTCCAAAGGAAAGAATAAAAAATTTATAAGATATTGTTTTTTCTTCAAAGAATATTCACAATGTACCAGTGGGTATATCTTGGTCGAAAATTGCAGAAAAAAAGGAGTAATTGTATGAATACGCTCAAATTACGCTACCGGCACGTTGTTCATACGCAAATGCATTACATGGACACCGTAATTTCAAATAATATTCAATCGCATTAAAGTTTATAAAAAGCAAATCAGATAAACTTTATGTTTACGAAACCCTCTAACGTATGAAGCAAACCTGTATTTCGAATATCTCTGTCCTTTAGAAAGTTTAATAAAACCTTCTCTACTTGCATTAAAAGTGGAAAGAGTGCTTATATATTTTACAGGTCCTTGTTTCTATTAATTAAACTAAATTTAAAACTTTAAAAATGTTAAATCAAATAATATAGCGTTTCGAAACACAAATATGTTATATCAATTACGAAAAATAAGACTTTTACATGCTCTTGATTCGCTTTTTCAAATAACCAATGGTCTTCTTAAGGAATTAATTAATTAATTTTTTTCAAAATGGATTTTACATGAATAAATTTTATAATAAATGTATTTAAGAAAAAAAGAGTAATATATTATTAATTGTACGAAAATATCGCTAGGAGTTAGTTTCCGGTTTTCGAGCGTCAAATTCCATTTTATCGCTCTAAAATATTTGGATCTATATTTATTGCAATTAGTCCAATTTTTAAGCGATCATGACCGAGAGAAAAACCTTCGGCAAAAAACCGCAGCCATTTCGGCTAGAAGAGGGAGGAGAGATGTATTATATAGGAGCAGAAGTTGGAAATTACTTGCGGATGTTTAGAGGTTCTTTGTACAAACGATTCCCTTCTCTATGGCGCCGCACTGTAACCCCAGAAGAGAGAAAAGTTATCGGTCAACAATTAGGCTTAGAGGCGAATATGATGGCCACAAATATGTCATTACTACGGGCTTCTGAGGTTGATGAAGTATTTGCTGGAAATGAAGAAAAATATCGCTCCTCTGGTGGGCACTCCGATTCAGCTCCGAGAATAGAGAAAACTAAAAAAGTTAATACTTGGATGACAAATATGCCTAGTAATTCTCATCATCTTGATGCTGTGCCTTGCTCAACACCAATAAACAGAAACAGAATGGGAAAAGTTAAGACCAGGACATTTCCCATGTGTTATGATGATCTGGATCCACAAACCGTTCATGCTAATGCAATGCAAGATGAGGTTCTAGTTCCTATTCGATTGGATATGGAATTTGAAGGTCAAAAACTTCGAGATTGCTTTACATGGAATAAGAACGAAAACCTTATAACACCAGAACAATTCGCTGAAATAATATGCGATGACCTGGATTTAAATCCTCTATCATTTGTCGGCCCAATAGCACAGAGCATTCGACAACAAATTGATGCTTTCCCCTGTTCAACTGATAATCTCCTCAACCAACAAACAGACCAACGCGTTCTTTTGAAGTTAAATCTAAACGTGGGCAATATTTCCCTTCTAGATCAGTTTGAATGGGACTTATCTGAACCTGATAACAGTCCAGAACAGTTCGCAACTAAGCTTTGTGCGGAACTAGGCTTGGGAGGTGAATTTGTAAGTTCAATAGCTTACAGTATCCATGGTCAACTAGCCTACTTACGGAGGACGTATGCATTCAGCGAGAGCCAGTTACCACAAATAGAAGTGGCAATCAGAGATGAAAAAGATGCTGAGCAGTGGTGCCCATTTATTGAGACATTAACTGATGCTGAAATGGAAAAGAAAATAAGAGATCAAGACCGGAATACCCGAAGAATGAGAAGATTGGCAAACGCAACTACGCCAGCGTGGTAATTTATTAGATATCAACAGTCACTGTGTATATTGTACTATAAAATATATTTAGCTTTAATCTGTCTGTGTAGTGTTGTTGTTCTTATTTTTAATTCTTAAAGGACTACTTTTTTCTAAATGCTTAAAAGTTTCATTTTCCACTCTGAGTTGAGCCATATTTTGAATTGAATCGCAAAATTTCTTTTCATCAATAAGACATGCATTGTTAATGGTCTGTAAACCCTCTGCCAAATATTGAATGTTTTTAGGTGGGTGAGGATCTAGTGAATTCACAGTTTTGCCAACATCGGCTCGTCCTTGCAATAGACTGCTAATTTTCCTTCTATATTCGTGCATCAATACATCAGCAGCGACTTGATGAGAGTGTAAAACCTGTCGTAATAGCTCATTCTTATAGGCCAAGATCTTTAATTCTGAACCGTCTACGCAAGGTACAGCATTACAGCCGTTGTAAGGGTCTTCAGCCTGACATCTTTTAACAACAGTATTCGATGCTGATTCCCATTTGTAGATAAGAGATTCCAAGACGTCATCATCATCACGCAAGCGTTCAACCAGTTTTTTGGATTCTGATACAATACTGCTCAGAGAGACTGACATGATTAAAGCATAAACTAGTCTGCTACATATGAATTGTTAAAAATCTCTTGCAACGGAAATTGAGCCTGAGAGTTATTTTCGTAAAAAATGTAATTTTAAAGCAGAATATAAATGTTCATTAAATGGTCACATCTGAATGAACTACATATAAATGAAAGTTACAATTAAGAATCATACTAATAATTCATTAAAGCTCTCATTTTAATAGTTTTGAATATTTTCAATTTACTCATTTTTCAAAGGATAATTTTTAAATCATAACGCACATAATGATACTGATTTTTTAAAGTTATTTTTCTGTTAAACTATGAAAAGTAAGTTTTAAACACGATGTGTGACTAATTATTAAAATTTCCATCTGGTTGGGCGGGGTGAATTCGAAAGTTTGCGCATGCGTAAGGTGTGCCAGCTTGCCAGGTACTTCCTGCTTCTCGTTCAAGCAGCTCGTAAAGTCGAATAATCTTCTAAAACGAAATAATGGTATGATTTGTCACCTATGTTAACATAATAATCATTTTTGTTTTGTAACGATTAAGATTTATCTCTCATTTCTTAGTTTTGTTACTTAATAAAATAAATAATTCACTTTTTAACCTGATGCCTATTTTGACAAAAGAAAATACTTATTCGTCGTTCAGATTTCGAAAGAATTTTTATTGAACACTTGATGTAGTGAAAATATAAGCTTTTTAATACCGAACTTACAGGCCTTGAGCGAAGATACGCAACAAGAAATTAAAGAATGTTTCCAGTTATTCGACAGAGAAGGAAGAGGTTCAATTCCAATAGATCAATTAGGAGAAATGGTCAGAGCTTTACGTCAATGCCCAACCCAAAAGGAGGTAAAAAATATTTTCTATCTATGAATAACAGTAAATAAATAAAAACTTGTAGTGACGTATTTAAGAGATATTTTCAATTGATTTATTTTTAGCGTAGAAGTTATTAACAATTTTTCAACCAAATAAACGCGGCTTAATAAATAGGTAACAACAAGGATAAACACCTCAAATATATTGAATTTATAAATGAAGTTATGCAGTTTATATAAAGAGACACATTCAAGGAAGTCGTTAAGATTTAATCAAATAACAGCTTATAATAAATAACTAGTTTTATTTTTAAAGTTCTTTTCTTTTTATGCTTTTACACGTTTTATTTTATTTTCAGGTAGGAGAGCTGATAAGAGAATTTTGTGGCAATAAAGGAGAATTTTCCTTGTCAACTTTTACGTCGATCGTGACAAAGTTATCGCAAAGAAAACGCGATACGGAAGACGAAGTTCGTGAAGCGTTTAGTGTATTTGATCGGGATGGAAATGGATATGTTTCTGCTGCAGAAATTCGTCACGTTATGACCTCTCTGGGCGAAAAGTTAGGTCATGATGAAATTGAGGAGCTTCTTTCTGAAGTGAACATCGACAGCGACGGACAAATTGAATATAAAGGTAAATTACGCAACATAGAAACTTTCAAAACAAAAGTAACAAATTTTATTATTCTTTCAGCTGTCGTTCGAACGCTGATGCAAAAGTGATAAACAGCAAAGTTTTTTTTTCAAATAAGGACATTCCCTATTAAAATTTTAACTGTTACTAAAAGAAGCTTAACTAATGCCTGTTGGTGATGTTTCAATTACTTCTACGGTAACTTCTTCCGACAGTCCAACTTGAATCTCACCGCTTGCAATCAAAGCACGTACGTCTTCCTGACTCATTACCATATCATTATCTGTTACAACTGTCACTGTTTGAACAACATCGTCTTCAATAGATTCTTCAGCGACGGTGGCTTCAACTTCCATTTCACTCTTTTCTTTGTCGCTAATATTGGAAACCTAAAAATATTTAAATTAGTACATAATTGAAAAATTCCATTTCTTTGAAAGTTTACTTTTGACTGTTCAGATAGTCTTTTAACGGTACTTTCACTGGGTAATCGAAATTCAGCACACATCATTTTGTAGACATCCCTACTTTGAGAATATATATCCATGGCAAACTGAATAGTATCAGCACTCCACCTCATGCCATGATGACTTGAACTTGCAGATCTAACCTGATCTTGGAAGAAGCATAATTGCATTGGAGTAAATTGACTGATATCAAATCCCTTAGCACGCTCTTGCCTTAGAGCTTTTTCGCAAACAGCTGCGTAAAATAATAAAGTTTAGTCATAATTATAACAAATCAGCTAATAAAAGACAATTACCTAGCTGTCTCGTTAGTTTCGTAACTTTTTTCTTTGAAGTATTCAATTGTTTTTTAAGCTTCTGATTTTCTTTTACGTGTTCTGAAACAGTCTTATCGACTTTTATAAGTTTCTCCATTAGCATTTTAACCTGATCGGGGTTTGCTCCTTGACCAGCTTTGAGCATTTTCGACTCCCTTATAGATGAAATATTAGAATTACTTCCAGAGTATGGCGTTGAAGGTGTAAAAACAACTGTATTTTTCGGTTTAGGAGTAGCAACTGATTTTTTAACAATTGGTATATCCGTTCCTCCAATGTTAACCATATTGAGGACGGGTGCAAAATTAGGTCTGGGATTTGATATGCGAATAGTTGGTGGTGGAATTGTTCGAGCAGGCGCAATCGGTCGAGTATTTAAAATAGCTGTTTCAAACTTCAAATTTGAGCTTGTTTGGGCACCCGGTGCCCTAACAAATACCACTTTACTACTCGAATTAGCTGATTGTAGAAACTTTTGTAGATTATCATCTCCAGTCACTACTAAAGTATTATGATTTCCAGCTGGGGCTATACCTCCGACGACTGCATCATCTTTTTTATCTAAACAGTCATTATCAGTCAGGATTAGGCTTTACAATTTATATATATACTAATATATATATATATAATAGAAATTATTATATGAAAATGTACATATTTAAGAATTTTTGCTTTTTCAAATTTGTCGTAAATTGAGCTTCTCAAATTAGTTGTAAAAGTAAAAGGCTGAACGATGAAAGGTTATATTCTACCCTAACCAGTTGTAACATTAGATACACTATTACCCTTGCAAATTTTCTAAATTAACCTTTCGTGTGATTATCATTAAAGTATTCGTATTCAAAATAAACAACAGTTTTGTTGACATTTGCGAATACACGTAGAATAAAACCTAATTTATAAATTGGCAGAAATAGGTAAATTCAATACTTACTTTTTGAACTTCTTAAGGCTTCGGAAAGACTGTTTTCTATGTATTTTCGAGGAATAGCTGATAATTTAAGATCAGAAGATATGAGTTCTTTCTCATCCTCTAAATCTGATACATTGAAATGATCACTACAAATAGACTTGTTTCTGAGATGATAATGCGTAACATTTTCTAATTCAGTTCTCTGGCAGGCTTTAATCCAACTATCAACACTACAATAAAATTTTTTGGAAAATAACTATATTTAGATGAATGAAAAAAGTCACTGTACACAAAAAAACGGTACAGTAAAATTTAGTAGCTTTTATTACAATTCAGTTTCTGTTGAGCTTTAGCGAAAGTTAGATGGCGCTTTTCGACACCAATAAGTCACAAATAAATATTTTCAAACTTACATATCTGGATTTTTCCATGGAAAAGTAAAAAATCGTAATCCTAATTCTTTTATGTGTTGATTTTCTGGTTGTTTTAGGTTGTCGCAAACGTCCATTTGACACATAATATTTGGTTTAAATTTAGAATCATTTGTTTCCATTTCTTCGCTATCTACATATTTTAAAATGCACAGTAAGGCAATGAAACTCATAAATGTTCATTACATTAAACTTGTAACTTATACTTCTTTTGAAAATACTCAAAAACTTGTGAATAAACGATTAACGAAAATAATAACTCACTCGAAATCATGGCGACACTATGAAACCTTCTACAAAGGACTATTCATTTCGAAATTAAACAGTTCATATGGCGCCATCTAGCGTCTGGTTATTCTATTAACTCTTGTAAAGTTTCTTGGCTATACTTACAACAGGCACTTTATTCAATGTTCGTGAAGTTTCAATCTAGAGCAAAATTAGAAGTTTAAAATGGCTAAGTACTTTCTTAAGACTTTCAACTTTCAATCAATAGAGAGCACAAAAGATTCCTTTAATAGTATGAGTATATTTAAACTTTGTACTTTTATAACGATTTTAAAAATTTATTGATCTTTTAAAATTAAAGTCATAATAAGAGCTAATTATAGTTCTCTTCATCTTCTCATGTCTTAAAATTCTGGCTTTTCATCACTTCCATTTCTGAGCGTGTGATGATTGATAACCATCCCCAAAGCTCTCTCAAATTTTGGCTCTAAAGCAGAGTAACATTTTATCTACTTGGTGACTCCAATCTGTCATGAGAAAAGATTAGTTTTTTGAAAGGTAATGTAGTTAAGTCGTTTCATTAGGTTTCAAAATTTGATACCTATGCGGGGTGGCTTATATATCTGCAGTAGCCTTAATTAATCTTTGTTCCAAATCTTTTATGCCCTGTTAATAATAAAGAAATCAATAAGGTAGAAAGAAGATCAGTGGGGGGGAAATAACAATTTCTTTTGCACCATTTGACGCACAAATATTGACTGCTTTAGCGGTTTCTGATATAATAATTTCTCGAAATATATTCAACTAAAAAAATAAAATTAGTTTACCTAATGGTATAGCGTCAAAACAAAATGTGCACGACTCACATCAATAAATAGAGGTTCATCCCAGTCTATTCGTAAAGTGTCATATGAAGCTTTTAAGCTCACAAACGCGTTATAGTCAAATAAAAACCACCGCAATTCAGGTCATAAGCAATTTCGAAGAGGCAACTATGCTATAAATTTCCCTTATTTTACAACACAAATTACAGATCTACTATAATGGAAGAACATTCGAATTTTTAGCTCAGCGAATGCACAGAAATCATATTGTATTTAAAGAAACAAAAGATTGCATTTCGACTTAATACCTTCTCCAGCTTAAATTAAAAATGATGACGATGTCAAGAATTTCTAGTTTCAGTAGAAATTTTTGAAAAAAATGCAATTAGCCATGATATAAACAAGATACAAATTTTATTCAACGTTAATGCTATAATTAAGGAAATTTTGTTAAGATATAGCGAATAGACTGGGAGGTTTGATTACCGTTGTATCACGCGATAGTTCTTCAAACATCCATTTCCAGTCCGGATTGCGCAACGAATAGAAAACACATGTATCTCCGTCTCCCGCCGAACAACTTTAAATTAAAGTTCTAACCGTTTTTAAATATATTTACGCTTTATTTCAACGAAAAAAAAAATAATCATATTATAAGATCTAAACGATGCGATGCGATTTAATAATATACAACAATACAACTTTGATAAAAAAGATACCGATACTTTACAGTTCGAACCGAAGGGCAAAGCGTACGCGAAAAGTAACGCAGCGACGCCGGATTTGTGTCACACCGTCAAATGTCCGCAACCGCCGATTAGTCTTAGTTTATTTTGCGTTTGGCCCAGTTCCGGGGCCCGGATTTCTAGTGAGGCTGTAAATTAAAAATAAGTATGAATTCTTAAAATTTGAGCTGCTCAAAAATTTTTACGAAGTTTTTAACTTAACAATACACTAGTAAAAGAAGGCCCAATTTCAATAACTGATTACCCCAATCATTATAAATATTAAGCATTTAGTGTATAGTAATATCTCTTAATATCAAAAATTACACACTTTCGATAAACTTAAGAGCCCATTTAGCCTAACTTTACTTGAACGGAAAGTAAAATCAGGCTACCAGAAACCCAGAGACATTAACAAGCGAATGATATGCAGGGAAAATCAGGGATACAGTAGCTCAGAATATTTAAGCCTTTAACTTCAACTTAGCAATATGTACATAGGTTCGCAAGTGTTATAATAAATTAAGCTCTTTAACGGTGATTTTGTCGCAGTTAGTCACGGTGAAGGTCGATATTTGAACAAATGTTCAAAATTAGTATTACACTGAAGAAAAGCAATTTTTTACGAAACGATATTTTGATTGTCGCTCTTGTTCACACCTTTTGGTTCTAATTCATTCTTGCATTAGCCAAAAGTCTTGTGATTGGGGTATTCGAAGTTTATAAAACAGGGCTAAAGATATCTAACCGTCTACATGATAACTTACTTGCTGAAGTAGTCGTATGGCTGACTGGAGAAAGTTGACTGTCCTCCACCACCTCCACCTCCTCCTCCACCTCCCATAGAGTTTGCTGCCGCATTAGCATTCCCAGTCAGAGATGCCAAAGAGCCCGCTAATTCATTAAGGGCTGATGCCCCTTGAGCATCTAGTTTACTTGTCAAAGAACTAAGATTACCCAAATTAGCGTTTCCCTGACCTAACGCTAGTTTGTTTGACATGTCGTAACTCATAGGATTATTGCCCGAATAATAATTACTGCTTTGTAAGTTTGATGTTGATGATACAGGCCCAATATACGTGCTACCATTGTTTAAATTGCTTCCCATTTGTTGCATATTATTACTCATGCTGCTTATATTACCAGGATTCATTTGACCCATATTACCCATCATATTATAGCCCATATTAGGATTACTTCCCATTAATGGTGTTGGATTAGCGGGAGAGGTTCCCATATTATTGTAACCATAACTAGCTCCGGGTGGCATTTGCTGACCAAAAGGGCCCCGAGGTCCATACGGATGATATCGTTCACCCCCATAACTTCCTGCATACCCGCTATTAATGTATCTATTTGTAAAAAAAAATATCGCTGGTTATAGAAAAAAAAAAGCAATACATTTTTTATTTTAAAAAATAGGAAAAATGAAACCTTCCGTCGCTGCCTTTTGGAGGCAAATAATTTTCATATAGATCATACTGTCTCGGTGGTCCTCTATTATGTTCGGCATTTCCTCCATTTCCTCTATAACTATCTCTTCCTCTTTCATAACTACTTCTACTGTCTCCCCGACCGCCACGATTATCAGCAGCTCTCTTCCTCTCAGCTAGTGTCCTACTTGGACAGTCCTTTGACCAATGACCGTCTTTACCGCATCGAAAACATTGGGATTCACCTCCCATTCCTGGTTTTTGTCTTACTCTGCTTGTTGATTTCTCCACTCGTATTAATTTTCCATTGTATTCAGTTTGGTGAAGGCCTTTAACTGCTGCCTGTGCTTCTTCGTCTGTCTTATAGTGAATAAAAGCGAACTCCTTAACTATGTCGCACTCAACAACTTCACCAAACTTAGAAAACTTTTCTCGAAGTTCAGTTGATTTTGCATCATGTGGCAGATTGCCAACAAACAACTTTGCTGTTCTGGAAAAGAAGTCATTGACTATACTATCCAATAGATTAGAAAATTTCTTTACAGAACTATTTATAAACAAGATGGCGGACAATAGTGGTTCGCCGACTACGTTTCGAAAATGTCACCTTACATTAAAATTTAAAAACGAATAAATCATGTAAATGTATGAAACATAAAGTATTTTTTACACTTTATCATAACTCACTTTCCACTCATCAAATTCTTTTTCTATAGTTAACAATTCTTGGACAATGGGATACCAAATCACGATATATTTCCGCAGACGATTAAATTTAAAGCCCTCTGATCGACATCGGTAAAATCGAATGTTTGGCGCAAATCGATTTTGAATTCAAACCACCGATTTTCTTTAAACAAAACAACAATTTATAGGTCAAATAACAAACATAATTGGGGATATTGCTATCCGATAGATCTTACATAAATATTAATACATAATATTGTAAATAGTTGACTTAGTTTTCAAAAAATCCTGCAATTTATTCTAAATAAAATTGATTTAAAAAATTTAAACTTCGCCTATAGACTAAACCTAAAATATTTTTCTTGAATTTTCTCTCTAATGGACAAGCTATTAAATTCATCGTTTCATTTTATCGAAGTTGATGTGCTTTCGATTCGGAAATCGAGAAACAGACGCCGAGAATGTTTTACCTTCAGCGCATGCGCAAACAATGTTTTTCCTCGTTGTTTAGATCAATTCTAAATTTGAAATTGAAATCGTAATGCACAGAGTCCTAGATTCTTATCGATCAAATTGATAATTGTTTAGGAGTAAAAAATATATATGTCCACTTGTAAGATGGAGATTGTTCCCAAAGTAACACAATAACATAATAATTGATTTCTTTTAAACATATAACCGATAATTTTCTAACCCTAATTTTAAAATTAAATAAAAGCAAAGTTTTAGCATATATAATAGGCCAAATTTGACACCAGCACTTAGTTTAAAAAAACTTACTTATAAAATTATTCGCGACTCTCAATTATATATGTGTCTCATATCGTAAAACAGGAATAGCATTAGCCATAGAGTTAATGGAGCACGTGGGTAGAATTGCTAAACAGCAATGAATAGTTTGTAAATGTCACTCGAAGGAGAATAAAGTGACAGCTTATCATCCGAGCTAGTATTTACTGATTCTTTGACTTTTGTTTTCTAAAATACAAATCAATCATTTATCGCTGTTTGAGAAGTCATTACAAGCTGTAATAGATTTTCGTAATCTATATAAACTTTAGGTTACCGTAATATTTATTACGTTCATTTGGAGTATTTTTAAAAAAGCTGTCAATTTCATCATAAATTTCTTTAAAAATATTTAAGATTACTGAATATATATTGAATCGTCCATTTTAATAGAACTTTGAAATACAATAAGAAATTTTTACACTTACTGATTATGCTTAGGCATCTCATACTGTTAATAAGTATTATTCATGAAATTATCTTATAATTTTAGTATTGGGAAAATAAAATATATTAATTTTATTCAAATTGATTGGAAGTTAAGATAAACATGTTTTCAATTCTTATCAAAACATCCTGCAAAAGTAAGACTTGCATACTATTTTCTATTGTAATTAGGACGAAAGGTATAAAATAACATATAGCAAATATGGCGGGAACTCGATCTGAAGGTGGAATAGAAACCATACCGGAAGATACAACCGGTAGCCGACCCAAGGCTCACGAATTACAAACTACGATTGATCAACGCTATTATCCGCTTTTTAGACAAGCTCTCATTGAGAATTATCCTAGATCCGGATTTTAATTGATATATTAACCATGGCTGAGGAGGGCGGTGTGAAAAAGAAGCTTCCGAAAGGAGCAAAAGTACGTTTTTATCTAATAAATGTTGTATAAGAGAACGATAATAAGGATGTTTAAGCAATTATGTGCTGTTCTCCTAGGTAAAGAACAAGATGCCTGCAACTGTTCAAATAACAGCCGAGCAACTTCTAAGAGAAGCCAAAGAAAGAGAATTAGAGTTGGTTCCTCCTGTAAGTATATTAGTACTACTTGTTATAATGTTTTAACATTCATATTCGTTAAGCCTCCTGCCCAAAAAATATCGGATCCCGAAGAGTTAGAAGCATATAGACTTAAAAAAAGAAAGGAATTTGAAGATAATATTAGAAAAAATCGTTCTGTAATGATAAACTGGATTAAATATGCGAAATGGGAAGACAGTCAGAGTGAAATACAGAGGTTCAGTTCTATTAAAGTATACTTTCAAAGTATTTACTCCATATTTTTATTTATTTAGGGCTAGGTCAGTTTTCGAAAGAGCACTGGATGTTGATCACAGGAACATATCGCTTTGGCTTCACTATGCCGAAATGGAAATGAAGTATGAAAGACAAATATTCCTTTAAACATTTTTTTATTGTATTTTACTGTAGAAATCGGCAAATAAACCATGCAAGAAATATATGGGATAGAGCAATCACTATCTTACCAAGAGCAAATCAATTTTGGTATAAATATACCTATATGGAGGAACTTCTTGGGAATCCTGCCGGTGCTCGTCAAGTATTTGAACGTTGGATGGAATGGGAACCAGAGCCACAGGCATGGCATTCATATATTAACTTTGAACTGCGTTATAAAGAGTTGGAGCGTGCGAGAATGATTTATGAAAGATATGTCCTTATATATCCTGAAATAAAAAATTGGATTAAATATGCTAGATTTGAAGAGAAGCATAATTACATTTCTAGTGCTCGAAAAATATATGAAAGGGCGATTGAATTTTTTGGAGAAGATAATGTTAATGAAAGGTTACTTTTATCATTCGCGAGGTTTGAAGAAAATCAAAGAGAGCATGATAGAGCTAAGGTTATTTATAAATATGCCTTGGACATTTTGCCGAAAGATAGGAGAGAGGAAATATTTAAAGCTTACTCTATCTACGAAAAACGCCATGGAGAAAGGGCAGGAATTGAAGACGTAGTTGTTAGCAAACGAAAATTTCAGTATGAACAAGCTGTTCAAGATAACCCACTTAATTGCGATAATTGGTTTGACTATATTCGTTTAATGGAATCAGAAGGTGATTTGGAAACGATTAGAGAAATTTATGAAAGAGCAATATCTAACATTCCACCAACAAAAGAAAAACGACACTGGCGACGTTATATATATCTTTGGATAAATTACGCTGTTTTTGAAGAATTACAAGCACAAGATTCAGAAAGGGCAAGGGCTGTATATTCGGCTTGTATTGAACTATTACCACATAAATATTTTACTTTTGCAAAAATATGGTTAATGTTTGCTCAATTTGAATTGAGGCAAAAGGATGTAGCTAGGTGTCGAAAAATTTTAGGAACAGCTTTGGGGAAATGTTCAAAAGACAAATTGTTTAGGGGCTATATTGAATTAGAACTACAATTGAGAGAATTTGACAGATGTAGAATTCTATATGAAAAATGGCTAATGTTCAATCCTGAAAATTGTACAACGTGGATGAGGTTAGAAGAAGTTATAATAATTTATTTCTTATATGAAACAATCTCTTTCAGATACGCAGAACTTGAAAATATATTAGGAGATTCAGAAAGAGCAAGAGCAATTTTTGAACTTGCTATTGGTCAGTCCCGTTTGGATATGCCTGAAGTTTGTATCTATTTGTATTAATTTATTTTTAATAATAGTTAATTGATTTTGATATAATTTATTAGGTTTTGTGGAAATCATTTATCGATTTTGAAATTGAAAATGGTGAACATGAACGAACGAGAGGATTATATCTTAGATTGTTAGAAAGAACGTCGCACGTTAAAGTCTGGATAAGTTATGCGGCTTTTGAAGTCTCAACGGGTGCAAAAAATGCAATTGAAATGGCAAGAAAAGTTTATGAAAGAGCTTACGACACACTGAAGGACGTTGAAAATAAAGAGGAACGCCTTTTATTATTAGAAGCATGGAAAGAGTACGAGGTATACTTAACAGTCATTTTCAGTTCATTTACCCATTAGAACAACTCTAATGCTTCTTCTATATTAGGCTGAATACGGTGATGATGAAAGTAGAGCAAGTATCGAAAAGAAATTTCCTAATAAAGTTAAGAAAAGAAGGAAGATCCTGGCTGAAGATGGGGTAAATGCAATTATTATTTTTTTAATTTTCATTACTAAACATCATAATGAAACCATCGTAGAGCGAAGGTGGCTGGGAGGAATTTTACGATTATATTTTCCCTGATGATGAGAAAGCTGCACCTAATTTGAAACTATTGGAAATGGCTAAGAAATGGAAAGCAGCCGCAGCTGAAGATAGTGATAGCGAAGAAGAAGAGGAATCTTCAGAAGAGGGAGAGGAGGAGGAGGAAGAAGTATCTCAGCCTAAGAAAGCTAAGTTAAATCACGAGGAAAAGGATGATTGATTGTTTTTATGTTAATTATTGTAAATAGTAATGTTGTTTACTTAAAAAATACAATCATTTATATCGAAGTTAAACAAAGGTATTCAGGATTATGAAGAGCGGCATCTCTGTGAAAAAAAATAACGAATCAATAATAAAAAAAAAGAAAAAAAAATTTGTACCGATCGCCGTACAGAGAACTGCCGTGACCAGGATTCGAACCTGGGTTGTCTCGGCCACAACGAGAAGTACTAACCACTATACGATCACGGCTAACAGGTACACGATATTCAAAGATCTAAGTTGAAATTATATGATAGATTTAATAATTTTCAAAACTAAGTCATCCAAAATAATAGTATTATATTGAATTGTACATTCCTATTAGAACACGATGTAGGCCTATATTCAAATGAAAAGAATATAAAAGATACTTTATTAAGCATCGATATTCTTGGTATTAGATTAAAAAAAGACTATTGTGGTTTGGCAGGATAATAAAAATAAAGGAACCAAAAATATAGGGTAAGGAAGAAGAAGAACAGCAACCCGATAGCTTTTAAGGCATTCAATAAAACATTATTAAAATGAGCAATATTTGATTGGGAAGGATAGTTGATGGACAGGATTTTTAAGAGCAGAAAAAAAGATTTTTAATATGTTTGTTTATTTTTTATCCGTTTTTACTTGAGTACATACTATAGATGTATACATATACTATATTGTATATGTATATTTGAAAAGAACTAATTAAGTATTATATAGCTATATAGGCTTGATTCGAGTTCCTCTTTATTACTCTTAAATTCAAATTAGAGAGTCCAATCAGAGAGAGGTCGAAAACTGCTTGAATTGTCATAACGACTATTGAATTGAAAGGTAGTAGACAGTGTCAAGTAGATTAAGGAGTGCGCTGTGACTACATCAAATAGATAGAGATGATGAACTATGTTCACGTTATCTTCCTTTTAAGCTCCCAAATTATATTAGTGTATAGAGTAATGGCTGATGAAAATGAAACAAATTTTCCTCAGTCATCATATTTTAAGAAGTATTACGAAACAGGCCCGAAAGTCAGTGAACAACTATGGAATTGGCTTCTTACAGCAATTATAACTCTGGCTATCTTGTCAGTTCTGTGCTTGATATGTCTAATTGTTTGGGCAGTTGTGTATTATAAGGAAAAACGGGAAGACAAAGATGATGTCTCCTTACAAAACAGTAATAAAACTAATTACTGGAAGAATGAATATACACCAGGTAGTGTTAATTAAATAATATATTTAATTTATTAACTTTTAACATCTAGGCAAAAGAGGAATAGGCCTAATGTGTGCAAAAAAAAACATATAAAAAAGTAGCACAAATCTAGGCATTTTCTTAAATTAATATTGTTTTCTTAGTGGGAGGACATGGAGGATTAAGTCACATATACCCACCGTCAGGCTCCACCATATTAAACCTACAAAAATGGAACGCAATGACAGTAAATAATAAAATTAAAATAGAGTTATCATACGTAATGGAGAATATTTTAAAAATATGACGTTGTTTAATAATTCTATAGGGATACGGAGATATAACTGGATCAGACAAGAAAGATAGAATCATTGTAAAGAAATACGATACTGAAGAAAGAATACCGAAAAAAGATATTACAAGGGTAACCGAAGAAGGTGGTCAAACCTGGGTAAAATTTTATATATAGCTTTTTTTTTCATTAATTATTAGATCTGTGTTTAATTTCCTTTTTTTGTTTTTTTTTGTGTTTTATAAACAGAATTGGAAGGAAACTCATTAAAAACAATAACAACATCGCAAATAATAATATGAATGAATACAAACGGTTATATTAGAATTTTTTTACAGAAACTTTTTTCTCACTTCCATCTCTCCGTTGATTATCTCAATGAAAAAAAGAGTACTGAGAATTTGTTTTCTGTTTTAAAATTTTATATAAAAAACTGTAATGGTATCAAAGCTTTTTGAGTTTATTCTTTTTCTTAATTTAATCAACGGGAATAACAATGAAATTCCTTTTAGAAATTACTAATTTTTTTCTATTTTTGGCGAAAAGTAAGAGAAATTATTCTTGTGCCGTGGCAAAAAAATATGTGATTTTTTTTTCTGGAAAATCTTAATTTATGAAAGGAAAAATTAAAAAAAAAGAGATCTATCTTCTGACTTATTTTCTTAAATTTATCATATTCATCTTAGGCATATAAATATTGTTTGTTTATATTTATATCCTTTAGGATCTATTATATTATCCTCAGATTCTGAGTTAAATATACAATTTGATTATATAATATTTACAAATTTATCAAGATTTGTATAAATTATTTTTAATCATTATCACTATCCCAATCGTCGTTTACTCCTGATCTGGAAAAGAAATTTTTTGGATTTTTCTCTTTACGCTTGTCTTTTTCAAATTTTCTATCACTCCAGCAGATAATATTTCTATCATTTCCTCCACTATATAATTCTAATGTATCGTCATTCAGATAAGTACAATTAACACAGTTAAAGTGTCCTTTTAAAGTATTAACACGCTGCCCTGTTATTAAGTTGAAAACTTGTATTTTATTATCCGACGGAACGAATATTAGATTTGGATTGCATCGAGAAGTAATAGACATTTCAACTTGTGGATTTGAGTTGACAGTACCATAATTGATCATTAAATTTTTTCCAGTCATTGCCGACCATAATCTCAGTCTATTATCGACGCCAAAACTGGACAAATACAATCCGTCATCTGAGAATTCAACACAGCTAATTGCACCACCATGAGCTGTATGAGATTTGTGGGAAGTATAATAATCTGTGCCAATGTCCGTATCATGTTGATCTAAGCTGCAAATACAACTCTTTGCTCTTCGAATATCCCAAATAAATATTCTATTATCATCAGATCCACTGGCTAATATAAATTCATCAGTTTTTGACCAGTTGAGAGCAGATACAAGTTCTGTGTGACCCTGTAATTTATGACTTGCACTACCAGATCTCATATCTATCAGTCTAACCGAGTGAGTTGATGATCCTACGGCAATTAATGAATGTTGCTTAGCATGAGATGATAAAGCTATTTTGTATACTGGACCGGGAAATTGAAATTCATCAGCAACTTTTAATTTATTGGAATCCCAGATTTTCAGATATGTATCGGAGCTACACGATAAAAACATTCCATTATCGAATGGATACCATTTAACGGTTGTGACACTAAATTTATGATGTTTTTTGTTATTCGACTTGTTAATTGTAAATAAACTTTTATAGGTGGCATCTTCATCGTCCGGCTTTTCTCTCCTTGTATCAAACACAGCTATTTTACCATCATTTGAACCAGATAGAAGGCTTTCATTTTTTAAAAATAAACAAAAAAATGGTTTAATATACAATCAGAATAGAAAGAAATGTAAAAATAGCTACTATCGCTGTTCATCGACATCTAAGTCTAAAGTGTTTATTCCTGAGTTATGAGCAGCCGCAAAATCTGTATTCTTGTCTAAATCCAACGAGAAAAGCCGCCTTGTTCTCTCAGCTCGGCAGAGTTCTTGTGGTCTACGCTTACCTTGTCGAATATCATACAATAAATTTATCATATTTCCCCCTATTTGCAGTTAATTGAGAATTATCTCGTGTTATGAAAAAACACGTATGGACATCGCTTTCTTCCAGAATTCTCGGAATCGATTTTGATTTCACAATTTTTCTTTATGATTGCTTTTAATGTCGCAACAGAACTCCGTTTTAAGTCAATAGATGGAAGTATAAATCAGTTTTTCCATATCTGATAATAATGTCCTAATGAAGCGTTGTGCTCGGTAGCCCATAGACTTAGTCGTACCTTTTTTTTATAATAATTATCAATTATTTCTATTTAAATTCTTCATTTTATTTATCTGCAAAGATAAGATCTTGTCTAAGTTGATCCAAATTCACAAAAAAGTCAAAAAATCCCAAAGTTATCATTACTTTCTGAATATATCGATTATATCAATATGAACTGTGCAAGCATATATAATACAATTATTCCACAGCAACAATTTGCATAGTAACAACTTCCTTGAATTACGTTTGTTTGTTTGTTTGTTTGTTAATTTTTTTTTATCATCAATATTCTGGACTATCGCTGAGTACTATGATTTCCTTATCATCACTTGAATCGGATTCATCAGTTAATTCCATTTCTTTTAGAGTTTTCTTATTTAATGTTCTTTGACGTTCTCTTTTAAAGTCTTTAAATTTCTCCTGCTTCTTTTCTCTTCTACTTTGCATTATTTTTAAACGCCTTCCTCGATTTATTGAATGTTCTGTTGGCTCTTCTTCTGAGTCTATGAAAACTTGTGTTGTAATTCTCTTCCCTGCAGTTGGGATAGTATCGAAGTCATTTGAAGATGAGCTTTCTAGTGTATCTCCTTGGAATAATAATTGATGTTTTGGTTCCTTATAGTCATCACTTAATAAGGGTTCAGTAAGCGAATCGCTATCATCCGAAGCAATTTTTGGAAGGTGCTTTTTTTTTTGAGAGATTATGATTTCCTCCTCGGTACTCGATCCTTCAGATACTTCCACAAGTCTTTTCTTTTTTTTCTACAGTTATTTTTAGATTGTATTCATTTCTAAAAAATATAATTGCTACCTTCGGAATCTTTCTTTCGTCAGAATAGGTTTCCTCAAGTATTTCATCGTCGCTTGGGCTATCTGGAGCCAAATTGGGGTCATGATTATATCGGTTTCTCCTGAAATTTAATATTTACTTTTATATATAGAAATACTGCTCAACTAATACTTCAACTAACTCTTTGATAAAATCAGAAATACCATTGTTGGGTTTCAAATGAGAGTAGGAGGAAGATGAGGATACATTCTCATTCATTTCATCTATCTTGTCCCAAACTTCGTCACGAGTTGGCATATGAAATACCCTGTGACTCTTCTCAGCTAATCTTTTTGATCTTTTGGACATATTATTTCTTTAAACTATAGTAAATTCAATTAATTACAATTTGATAGAGCGATAATATAATCACTATATGTAGGATTCACTTCGTTCCATATAGGCAATAGAGCGCGCCTTTTTTCAAATAGTTCCATGGTGAAGGACGATAATTATCATTTTTCAAACTTCCGTAGCAAAGTGTAAAGATTATGGTTAATATTCCCAAACAACGTAAAACTTATTGCAAGGGTAATAATTGCCGAAAGCACACTTTGCATAAAATAACCCAGTACAAAAAAGGAAGGGTTACTGGCATAGCTCAAGGTAAAAGATGTTTACAAACTTTACATTTTGTGTATGTTTAACGACAGTTTATTTCAGGAACAAGACGTTACGATCGAAAACAAAAGGGCTATGGGGGGCAAACAAAACCAGTTTTTCATAAGAAAGTAAGACGGATAGACATTTTTTTTAAAACTTATAAACTATATTTTGATATTTGATAGGCAAAAACAACTAGAAAAATCGTTCTGAAAATGGAGTGTACAAGTTGTCATAGAAAGAAACAGGTCACTCTAAAGAGATGTAAACATTTTGAAATTGGTGGAGATAAGAAAAGAAAAGGGCAAATGATACAATTTTAATTTTCATACATTTCTGAATATAGAAAATCAGTTTGAAGAATAAAAAACAACAAATATGATGAATATGTAATGTTTATAAATTTTTACACCTGTCTTCTCACTTACTACATAGATTACTGTATTGTTTATCTTTCTTTTGTTATATAGATCAAACGTACCTTATCTATATCTTGCAAAGATAGCGTTAGATGACATGCAAAAACCTGAATTTTAAATTTTATTGATTGAAATCAGTGACGTTAGAGATAAACAACGTACTACACTTATGTTTTTATTTTAAAAAGACGCTATTCTATTTTAAAGATAAGATATCAATTATTTCTTTTCCTTTGTTTAAACATAGATTATATTCCCAAACCCTTTATTAATATTGCTTCATAATTTCACTGCAAATAATTAATTTATAAACTTCTGCAACACTTCTGCAAATTTGCCATCTTTATTATTCTCTGTTCAACAAAGAATTTTCATTAGAAGAAAAATTTACAGCTTTTGAAATAATATTCTAATTGTGACCTCTTTATTAAAACTACGTCAAGACACTCTATAGTTAGTAATTAATGGCCGTTGTCGATTGTGAATCAACCACTTGACTTTCTATTTCTAATTAGATTAGGCTTTGATAGCCGGAATTTTAAAGATCGATAACCCGAAAGTCTCTATACTCAATGCACCTTTTGCAGTTCTAATACCTTATCCTGTTACTTCTATTCTAATTGCCATTTTGAAATCATTCCTTGATGTTCTGCTAATACTTTCGGATAAGGTTCTTTTTCACGATGTTTCAATTTATTTTTCAGTTTGATACTCAAGAAAAGAGTAGGAAGAAGAAATTATGCATATGAATCATCTAGTGAATGTCGCTGATTATGAATGCGTAAACTAGCCCTGTAGCTAGTCATATCCCCTCAATTTTAATTTTCAGGAATGATAAGATCTAAACTATCTATGGTTATCAGCTTTTAACACTATCAAGAGGAGAAGTGTAACTTTCCAAAAAATTACTGCCGAGATACAGTTTCGTTATACTGTGTAGTAATTTCGCCAGCAAAGTTTTTCGTATGCTTCGGGTCTGGAGAACATTATAATTTCAATATGCAATTTTATAATATCAGTCAAATTATGAAGAAATCCTGATTTTTAAAATTTTGGTTGGACGATTGTCTGATTGGAGAAATTTTTGCAATAATCACCACAATCCTAATGTTAATTTATTAGCGTAAGCAATTTAATTTATTTATTAAGCTTAAACTGTTACTAAAAAAATCAGCACTGATTGATAAGTGAAGTAAACTTTAAACTTGTAGTTTTTTAGGTTAGAAGCTCAGAGTTAGGAAATAACAACACTAGTACTTGATTAATATTTTGAAAATTATTTTTGAATATAAATTCTAATTAAATAGCTAGAATTGACAATTTTAATCTTATTTGTCTTAATTTTTACTAAATTTAACATAATTTTCTCTTTCAAGTCAATTTTGAACAGAGCAGCAGTATCTTGTATTTAGAAAGCTTACATATATGTCTCAATTTTTTTTGAATGAGTTCTGCATACTGTTGTACATGTTTTAGTAAGACCCGTATTTTAAGCTACAAACAATTCGCCATGGTCGTTTGCATCTGTAAGATTTTCTCAATTATCATCTTTATCTGATTGATTATTAATTAATCGATGGCGACGATGGAAGATCGGCTTTTCACCGATATTGCCCGTAGGCATGGTAAAGTGAATTTTTGTACGATTTTCTATATAGCTAAGAATTTTCTTCGATGGAACAGATTTGCAGCTGTCAGCCATACCTGTGGACAGAAATTTAGACAATATGGACACATCAAATACAATTGAAGACCCTTGTTCTGCAAAAATGCCCTATGTATCGTCCAAACACGCAAAGAATTTCCTGGAAAATATAAATGTCGTTCGCCGAAACAATAAGGAACTATGCGACGTAATTCTTGTTGTTGGAAGGAGAAAAATTTATGCTCATCGAATTGTCCTATGTGGGTGTTCACCTTATTTTCGAGCTATGTTTACATCGGATTTAACAGAAAAGAGCTCTGACGAAGTAAGTATAAAAGACATTGATGAACAAGCAATGGAGTTATTGATCGACTTTTGTTATACTGGACAAATTGTAATTGACGAAACCAATGTACAAACTTTACTACCCGCCGCTTGTTTATTACAATTACAAGAAATTCAAGAAGTTTGCTGTGAATTTCTTAAAAAGCAATTGGACCCTTCTAATTGCCTCGGAATTCGAGCCTTTGCTGATACTCACTCGTGCAGAGATCTTTTAAGGATAGCTGACAAATTTACACAGCACAACTTTCAAGAGGTTATGCATAGCGAAGAATTTATGCTACTGCCAGTTAACCAATTAGTAGATATAATTTCCTCCGATGAACTTAATGTTATCAATGAAGAGCAGGTTTATGAAGCTGTTCTTGGTTGGATTCGATATAATGTAAATGAAAGGAAACAATATCTCTATCAAGTTTTGCAGCATGTTCGACTGCCCTTACTAACCCCGAAATATTTAGTTTCAATCTCCTCAGAAATTATTATTAAAACGGATGAGCAATGTCGAGACCTTGTTGATGAAGCCAAGAATTATTTACTGCTGCCACAGGAAAGACCCCATATGCAAGGTCCTAGAACTAGACCAAGGAAACCCATTCGTTGCGGGGAGGTGCTCTTTGCGGTTGGCGGGTGGTGCAGTGGTGACGCAATCTCATCTGTAGAGAGATATGATCCTCACACAAGAGAGTGGAGAATGGTTGCCCAAATGTCAAAAAGGAGATGCGGAGTTGGCGTAGCAGTCTTAGATTCACTATTATACGCAGTTGGTGGTCATGACGGACAAAGTTATCTCAATAGTATCGAACGATACGACCCTCAAACCGATCAATGGTCATCTGATATAGCACCAACTAGCTCTTGTAGAACCAGTGTAGGAGTTGCAGTTTTAGATGGAGCACTCTACGCAGTAGGTGGTCAAGATGGAGTAAGTTGCTTAAATTTTGTTGAAAAGTATGAACCAAAACTAAATAAATGGACGAAAGTGCCAAATATGACAACAAGACGACTGGGCGTAGGTGTAGCTGTCTTAGGTGGTTTTCTATATGCCGTTGGCGGTTCAGATGGAACTAGTCCTTTGAACTCTGTCGAAAAGTATAACCCAACGATAAACAGATGGGTAAATGTTGCTAATATGCATACCAGAAGGAAACATTTAGGTGTAGCTGTGTATAATAACATGATATATGCAGTTGGAGGAAGGGACGATAGTACAGAACTGAGTTCAGCAGAGAGATATAATCCGTCCACAGAAACGTGGCAGCCAGTGGTAGCTATGTCATCGAGAAGAAGCGGAGTTGGCCTTGCAGTTGTCAATGGACAATTAATGGCAATAGGTGGATTCGACGGCACAACTTATTTAAAAACTATGGAAATATACGATCCAGATAGTAACTGTTGGAAACATTGTGGCCAGATGAACTATAGAAGACTTGGCGGAGGAGTGGGAGTAGTCAAAATGCCTCAAAATGAATTATGTTGGGGTGTTACATAAGTACAATATCAATCTCTTATATAAAAAAAAACAAGTTTCAGATGTTTATTTTTTAAAATTTTTTACGTATCCAGTAGGATTTGCAAAAAAAAAGAGACATAAATAATCAACCACCACCGCCATCACCTAGTCGATGCTTTTGTTTTGTGATGATTCATTCCGTGTTGAAGGTCTTGTAGTAGTTACTTCTTTCCCTTCTGGGGCTGTTTTTTAAAAATAATTATTACTAACAATTAAAAAATTTACTAGAAAACTATGTGGTTTTTTGCTTTGTTTTAATGATCATTTTACAAGAAAAAAAAAACAGTTCCCTTATCCAATGCTTTGTTCATAAAAAAAATAGCATGCATTAACTATATATTAAAAAAAATTTACTTCATTCGTGCAAAAGCTATTACAGTAAGAGTATTAAAATCAACAAATGTTTAATTAATTACGGATGCGGCTTACCGGTTGCAATACTGTAAATAGAAATTTTTATTTATGTATTGAAAATTATAGATAGATAGAAAATAATTTTGTGAATTAATGAAGAAATAAAAATTCCTTACTTGGATTATTAATTTTTTCCCATATTGGAGTTAAAATTTCATCAAGATCGTGTTTCATTGCTATATAATCTTTGGTTGTAGCATTGGGTGATCCATCAACCCAGACCTGTTTCTCGTTACAAGCTCCATTCGCTATATTTTTATCATCTCTTGTTAATTTACCTTGAACCTTTTCATTGTCACCTAAAGTTGCTCGCATACGCTCAATACATAACAGTAGGTCTTGTTTGGCTTCGGCCCAATCAAGATAATCAACACATTCCGTTTGCGAATATCTTAGTGCAATTTCTCGGGCTCTTTCGCCAGCTGAGTTTTTGTGGTGTAAATCAGCTCCTGCTTCAACTAATTGCTTTACACATTTTATACTTCCCCAAGCTGCTGCTAAATGTAGCGATGTGTAAAAACTTTTTTCCATTTTGCAGTTTACATCAAAATTTCTATAAATTATTTCCCCAACCACTTTATCTCGACCAAGAATTGACGCTATATCTAACGGTGTTTTTCCTTCGTCATCGTCACGCAAACCCATCATTTCTTCAATTTTTTCGTGATATGGATCTTCTGAATTTTCAAAACACCTATTTAACCTTTCGGCTTTTCCTTCAATAGCACATCGCCATGCAATATTTCCACTCTCATCTTGTAATTCCTCTCTTTCACTTTGGGATGTTGTCGGTCGAGAACCTTTTCCATCACTTTTCTTCCCTCTAGAACCACCTCTAGCAGATCTCCTCATTTATCTTTGTATAGCGTCGCTGTCTCTACGGAATCCCCAATAGGTATGTAAGCTCATCGCTGATTCGTCGAGAATTCCCCTCGCGCAGCCAATAAAAGTAGATTTAATTAATGCGTTTAATTACTGAATTCAATTAAGAACGGCGGGATTTTATGGTAGTTAGTCATTAGAAAAATATTTAAGATAATTTTGTAGAATTTGTGGAACACAACTAAAATTGATGCGAAACTAGCAGGACGAGACTCTTTATACTCAGTTTCGTACCGCCGTTCACCAGGAGAGGATTATTTCGAACGATTTCGACCCTTCCACGATGACGGCTCACTAACACAAGGAAAAAATGACTGATCAATGTCAAAAAAATAATCAGGTGGTCCTTGTCGACGGTGATGTCGAGAAGAATCTGATGAAACTATTTGAAAACATTGAAAAGCCTTCGAAGAGTACTTCCTGGGAAAGAAAAAAGTTACCAGAATCTTTTTTCAGGAATCCAAATGCGAATGAAGCCCCAATTCAACCCTCACACGTTAAACAACGTTCCGCACCGGCAATGTTAGATCATTCGAGCCTTACTGTGGCTTCCCCTGTCCACCCGAGACAGAGATCAGCAAATATTTTGGATGATAATAATTGGGAAATGAAAAGCCACATGAGTCCTTTCGTTAAGTGAGTATGCTCATTCCATTCAAAAGTTGTATACACCTAGTCAATTTGTAATGCAAATGTGATTCACGCGTATGCTACATTGAGTACGGCCTCTAAAAATAGAGCTAGGCCAATTTACGTCTATAACGCCCCTACTAACACAAACTTGCTCTCTTAACCTTGATTTCTGGAGCGTGAGAACAGGAGACGTTTACTATGACGCTTTTCATACCTTTTTCATATATAAAGTGCTATTTATTGAATCATAAATCATGAAAGTATAAAAGGTATAGTGTACGTAATATACGACCGGTGTTATCGCTTACCTGGTACAGCCAGGTATGAACCTAATACTGAGCAGTTCCTATTCTACACGGTCATGTTTGTCATTGATATCAGTTATTAAATTTTCTACGTAGATAGCAGCCTCTTTAAAACAAACCCGATCTAACTTTATCAGTAAATATTCGATAATAGTTTAATTATAACAAACTGATTTAACTGAAGAATTCTTCTCAACTAGAAGAGATCATAAACCAATAAAGATATATAAAATATTGACATAACTACTTTAGTGAGCTTAACATCCTGAGAACCCTTTAAGAAAAAAAAAATTTTATTCAGAATTTTATTAAAGAGAGTCAAGCCAAATTGTTTGACAAGAAGATTTGAATTACATAAAACAACGCCTTGTTCTTGTGAAAAAATTCACGTGGGAAATATCTACTTAAGCTCTATGTCCTGTCAAAGGATTTCTTACCTTGAATATTAAAATTAATTGGAAAATAATCGCAACGTAAATTCTATAAATGATTGGTTTAACCCTTTTCCGGTTCCGGTTTTTTATTTAATTTTCTAGTATTTGCAATGAATAAGGATGAATTTCAATTGCATTTGTAGGCGTATAACTTTTGTCGGGTAAATTGATACAACAGTGAATAACTGAATTTAATGATTAAACTAAAAGATAGGAGCTTATTAGATTGAAGTTTTTGCGGTGTGTATAACAGGCTTTATAATGTGTATTTTTTATGTATATACAGCAGGGTGTGTTGCGTAATTCGATACGGGCGTTAATTTTTATTCCTTCTCACAGTAACAACAACATAATCGAGGCGGCCAACCATCAACAGCAGCCATGGATTCAAGCTCCCGTAAAAGCTAGAGTGACTAGCCCCATCCCTCAGAGTCCCACTCCCATACTTCCTGGTTACGTAGCTGCATTACCACTAGGATGGGAACAAGCTGTAACTGCTCAGGGCGAAGTTTACTTTATTAATCATCTCAAAAAAGAGACGTCCTGGTATGATCCTCGTCTTCCTCCGAATATACAGAAAATTGGAATGACTGAAGCTTTTCTAAAAGATATACATCAGAGATTTAGCGAAAGCCAGCAGAGACAGCTCAGTATTCAAGAAGAAATAAAACGTATTGAAATGATGAGGCAGCAAATTCGTAAGAAGGATGAGGAATTAACAAGGGAATATGAGCGCCTGTTGCAGCAGTTAAAAATAAGCGAACAGCCGCAAGGTAACGCAGAAGCTGGAGTATTTATCCATGGTCGACAAAATTCGGGCGATTCTGGTTTGGGTGGAATGTACAGTTTACCTAAACAACATTTGCCTACAGAACAGCAACAGCAGCCGCAGCCACCTCAAGGTAACCCAACTACTGCTGTTTCCGAAGTCGATACTAAGCATTTGGTTGACTTGGCTTCTGATTTAAGTAATCATAATGATGTTCTCATGGAACACGAGGATTTTCTTCCGGTAAGCAATTTCTTTTCCATGATAAAGTCATTTATCATTAAGACAAATCAACTACTCGAAAATCGTAATCTTATCCGTTAAATTGTTTTTATTCGGACACTATTAATAATATAGCTGTTCAGATACTATTTTTACAACAGAGCTAAAATGTGACGTCACATTATAAATAGGCCATATGATTTGATAAATAGATTATTTTTCTTGGTTAAATTGATAGATAACAGGTACACTTTTTTTTAACGATATACAGCCGGAGCTTTTACACATGACTGGAATGGAAGAAAATGAAAAGCCTACTTGGTTGTAGAAGAGATATGAATCGAAAGAAAAGTGTTTGTTGCGGTGTCTATTTCGTTCAATTCCTACACATAGGATTAATTACATATCAGTTTTGTTCAATGTTAATATTTATTTCTAAGACATTTGCGTTGCATTTACACCTATCAAATGTTACACGAATGTACATTACCATAGATAAAATGTACTAGATATTTCCTTTTGAAAGAAACGAAGGATAAACAACAAAAAAATTGATGAAGAAACTTTCCCTTTTTTTTGGATTTGTTTTGGATAAACAAATAATCACATCAAGCCTTATTGTTGAATGACATTTTTCTTACATATCATTGTTTCTATTTTATAATTTTTGAGAAGAGGGGAAATATGTTTTATAAGAGATTTTTTTTTTTAAAAAAAAACAAATAATGCCAAATATCGAATATCTAGTATATGTTATCTATGATGCTGCGGTATATTTGTTTTTACTTTCGATCTCATTCAATTTTTTTCAAAAAAAAAAAATGAAAAAAACGGGAGGGTAATAAAAAGTATATAATTAAGGTTTTTCGCCTTTTTAATAAAGTTTACAAACATCGTTATTGTTATTGATAAAAAGAAGTTAATTCGTTGAAGTGACCTGCTTGTTTTTTTCTATTTTTTAGCAATAACTTTTTTCGATTGTGATTGTACATAAATGTGATGGAACTCTATGCAAACTGATTGTGCTATCTGAATACATAAACTTCGACTGTTAAAAGAAAAAAAAAGAGACTGTAATCGTTTAAATATAGAATTTGTGTCGTGAGAATATATAGTGTCACGCTTCGCTAGACAGCAAAAGGAAGCGTGATCTACTTCAATATTACAATATCAAAGTAGGGCCAACCCTTCATTGGCGACCGGATTTTCAAGCATGTTAAGAATTAACTTAACTAAATTATTAATTACTTGCATAGCTATTGTTCTTCTGGCGTTACTTTTTACATTTTTAAGAACTCCTTCAAATGTCAAACGAGTCAGACAGTTTGAAAGTGTTTCGAAAGGGAAAATATCTGCTATTAAAACGGAAATAGCCGCCACGTCTCAGCCTGATACGAAATTCAAGGGAACTCCTAAGCCTGTAAAACCAACAGCCTTAGCTTTTGATTGGAATCACGAAGAGGCACTTCTTCCGGGCTTAGTCCCACCTCAAGCTCATCTAATATGGTGCGGTCAAAAATGGGTAGAATATAAACATTATTTGACTGTTAAAAGTATATCGAGAATTTTAAAGCCTGATAGAGTGGTGATGCATTATTCAAAAGAACCTGGTATTGATAAACTAAGATATCATCAGTGGTTGCAGTGGATTAAGACTGACGAGATTTTCTTTACTATGCAAAAATTCACACCTGACCAGGAACGAGTTTGCAATGAACGTGTTCCAATAGATGAAAGAATAGGTATAATAATGAATATGCTGAAGGAAGAAGGAGGTATTTATGTTGGACAAGACACTTGGTTAGTTAACTTTGAACCAAAGACAAGGCTAAACGACTTCATTTTCGCTCTGGAAGAGGATTCTCTCGAAGGAATGATCATGCTGAGAGGCAATATCCTTAAAGAAGCTTCAGAATGGAAAGAACTTTTGCATAATAGAGAATTGAAAACAAAAACTTTAAAGTGTGCTACTGTACAACATATTTATAATGGCGATGATACGCCTATGTGCTTAACTGTTAGAGGAGGTTCTTTAGACTCTCTTATGCCTATGGATATTTGGGAACTTGACAATAGATTTGGTAGTCTATGTAGAACACTCTTCTATGGAACTGCTGAAATTCGTAAACCTAAACCTGATTACAACGAGCTTGTACCAAATATTGGTCATATGATTTGGATAGGAGGGGGCCCAATGGATTTTGTATTCTTTTTATCGGCCTTGAGTGTTCTCTATGTGGTAAACGTTGATGTTCTATATATTCACGGCGACATAGAGCCAGTTGGTGAGAATTGGCAAAAAATAAGGTCAAATCCAAGAGTAAAGTTCATAACACGACTCCCACCCAGAACTGTTTATGGAGGAGAAATTCAAAATTATTACAGGGCTTTGATGAGTGACATAATCAGAGTCGATTTGATGATTAAATATGGTGGCATTTATACAGACACAGATGCCATTTGGGTACGAGGACCTACGTATGAGGATCGTGGCTATGAAGCCGTTGCATCTTTCGATTGGATAGATTGGTCGTGGCCCTATAGAGATTCTGTAAACTTTGGTTTATCATATGGAAAGAAAGGCGGAAAATTTTGGCACATCTTTAGGGATTCTATGCATGAGCTACATAATCACCTACATGGATTTACAGGAGTTATGGAACCTTATAAACTACTTGAAAAATATCCCGAACTTTTAAGAATTGATAGGCGTTTACAAGTAATTTGTTACCATTCAAGATGCCATCCTATTTATGTAAAAGATTATCATAACGAAACAAACGATCACGTAAACAGTGGAACTATAAAAGATTGGAGAAATGACGTTTACGCTTTTCATTGGACACACCCAAATCCAAGTGAATATAAGAATTTAGATGTATTATTAAAATCTAAAGGAATGTTCGCTGAGATTGGTAAATATGTTCTTAAAAAAGCCGGTCTGCTGGATTGATTAATGGTAGTTAGCTGGTAACCGAATTTAGGCTACTGTAAAGGTTAAGTACTTCAGTTCTTTCGGTGCACACACATTTAACTTGTCTTATGAAATCAAAGTCATTTTATAAAAAAAGGAAACGCTTTTATTTAGCTTTCAATCCCTTTTTACAAAAGTAAAAGACAATTTGGATTATTAATGGTTTGAAATATAGAAATATGTAAAAACAAAAATAAAGTTTTTTCTAGTGTTTCTTGTTGTTGAGGTAAAATTAGTATTTTCCTCTAAAAATAGAATGTTTCTTATTGTTTCGTTCACAAAATTTTTAATTAAAGTGTACAAATTAATTACAAAAATAAACATCTGTTGTTATGACAACCATCTTTTAAATATATTATTCATTTCGAGACGACTTTCTGGTTTGCCAACATTAACCGTAGGTATAATTTTTTTTGGCTTTGTGTACTGAACAAATCGTTTCAATTCCTCGTAACTGCTGTGTTCGCTATACGGAACGGCTGGAAAAGTGATTGAAGTTCAACGAAAATGTTACATCGTTTAATCAAGTAGTTATCTTTTATTTGAATAATGTTGAAAAACTTACCGTATTGGAGAATATTATTTTTGTTGAAGACTGGTTTCAATTCTTTAAAATTAAGTTTTTTCTCAAAAGTCCAACCAGTTGGTTCAAAAGAAACAAGACGATTGAACTTTGTAGACAAAGACTTTAGATAGGATTCCATTTTCTATAATTGAAGAATATAATATGTATATAACAAATACAAGTAAAATAGAATCAATGCTAAAGGGAAGAAAGTCAATATTTACATCGGAACGACGAACATCAAAAAGAGGAAGAACATGAACCAAAGCTTCAAATTTATTCATTGTCAAACTTTCAGTTAATGCTTCATTATCATAGCATTTTAAAATGTTAAATTTATCTCTAGTAACGTAAATTTTCGAATTGAATGCTTCGGATATTGCTCTGAATATTTTCTCTTTTCCAACAGTATAACTACCGCAGACGAATACCGTTTTACCATCGTTCAAATTTAGACAAATATCAACAACTAAATTTATGATAAATTGTTGTGGTGGAAAACTATAGGTCGGCTTACAATACCTTAAAAACGAGAGGCAGAAAAAAAAGAGAAAGATTTTTACTATAGTAATTTAATACTTTAATGGAATATTAAGTATTTTTTTTTACGTAGTATCCAAATACAATTCATCTATTTGTATATTCTTTATTGGTTCGTACTCCTCCATCTCTGGACAAGCCCGAAAATCTCCAGTATGTAGCATACAACATCCATTTGATGTTTTAAAAAGAATTAATACAGCACCTGGACAGCTGAAAAAATAAAATATCTTTTTTTAAAAACTATTTTTCCATAATCTTTAAACGCCATCTAACGGTTTTATATATATTTATATTTATGCATTAAGTATATATTTTCATGGTAATTTCTACGCTAGAAAGCATTTTTAGTCAAAATATAATCTTCAACTGAAACTTGTTTTTATAAAAAACTGCTGGATAGTTATTATTACTTACTGATTAGCCTCCAGAAATGTAACACTGCAGCCTTGTACAATATATTCTTCATTTAAATTTAATACTTTGATTTTGTCAACATTTACATGAATTTTCAATAACAATAAATTTGCTGTTATCTAGAAAAGAAAGAGAAAAAGTATTAATAAGTTTTTATTATTATTTTTAGCTTCTATATTACGTTAAAACTTACTTTTGAACAATAGATTGTTCCTTCAAATGTTTTTGTCAAACCACCGTAGTGATCATAGTGAAAATGAGTTAAGAAATACGCATCGCAGTCGGGAATTAGGCCATATTTAAAAGCATCTACTGTAAATTTTGTTCCCGGTATCTTTTTATAAAAAGGGCACCTTTTGACGACTGTTTTGGATGAATTTTTCGTTTCATATCGAACTTCTTTTGATACACTTTGACTCTTAGGCTTTTTATTGAAAGACACAGTTTTAGTACTATTTTGAGCATTTGTGTTTTTCCTTTCAATATCTTTTTTGGCAAAAAAAGAGATAATAGACGACTGTTTCGTTGATTTGTTGTGAAAATTTTGAGAGTCTATATGTTCACTTTCTTCCAAGTTGTTTTCCAATTTTTTTTCGTCTACTTTCTCCTTTTCACCTTCTTCTTTGCTCCTATCCTCTACTTTATTCTTATCTAGCATTATAGCTTCTTGTTCTTTATCGCTATCTTCCTCTTTACTTTCCTCCTTTTCTTTTAAAAGTCTCTCACATTTGTTCACGTAGGACTGCATTATTTCCTCCAGTTCTTCTTCGTCTATATCAGAATCGCTAGATTCAGATTTTTTTTCTTCAACTTCTTTAACTTCAGGCAATGTTTTGGTAATCTCTTCTTCAACAAAATAATTATCCTCTATATTATCCGCTAAGGCGTCCTTTTCCTCTCCACCCTGACTAAGTTGGAGAGGTGAAATTTGCTGATAGCTTGGTAACTCGTCAAGAACGCTATATCTACTCTTAGTAGAAGAACACGATTGAGATAATGTATTCATCCTATCTTCTTGAGATTTACTATCTTCTAGGATTGTTATGGCGCTGGATTGAGAGCTAGGTGTAGCTGTTTCTTCGACTAAACCTGGCTCATTTTCTTTTACTTTATTTCTATACATTTCACTCTCAAACGTACTAATTTTTTCATTATCTTCTCCTTCCTCCCTTGATTTAATTACAGTTTCTTTTAGTATATCAATTTCTGTTGCGTTATCATCACTAGGAACCTTCTCAATACTATGTGATTTATCAGGTTCTTTTATATCAAGAACACATGCTACCTCTTCATCGTCACTACTAAGAATAATTGTTGTATTTGCTATGCAAGTATCCTTCCTATTTGCTTCACATTCTAATTCTTCAGCTGAATTATTTTGAAACAGCTTTTTTGCCACATTTTCTCTCGACTCCTCTGGATAGCAAAATTTTTTTATTATCAATTTGTATGATCTACGTCTAACGAAAAAGCTACTTACTATCCTGCCGAGTACGTAATTTAGCCAATTTTTCATGATTGTATCTTTCATAGTGACTGAGAATTTCACTATTACAATTTTCTCCTTGGGGACAATCTATAAATTAGATCATTTAACTTTTAATAGGATTATAATGAACAGGAATGCTAAACCTTTCTTTCTCTTTATTTCTAATAGAGAACACTGCTGACGATGCCAGCCTGGAGATTCTGCGATTAAACATCCGTAAGGAGCTTGACAGATTGGACAGTGTTGGGGCGCTGCCTTAGACTTTTCCGGAGTTTTGAAAGGAGTAGGTTTATTTTTTTTTTGAGCTTTATTAACTTTTTTTCTGCCAGTTCTCCGTAGTTGTACATTTGCTACAGATAATGCTTTTGGACTTGATTTTGTATTTGTATTTTGATTACTATTCTTTCCTACAGATACTTCTGTATCTGTATGAGCGATATTAGACAGGGTTTTGCAATTATTTATAATGGAAGTTTTAATTTCTTCTCGAGCTGATTCTTTACGCCTCTTAGAAAGTTTAGAAAATAAAAGTTCATCATCACTATCATCACTTGTCGATCTTTTCATTTTTATAAATAGACGAAAGTAAAAAAAGTCGTCAAATTTTATATTTGTAATAAAACTATGCAAAATATTCAGGAATAACTGGTATTGGTCAACAAACTTAGAGTAAACTTAAAGACGATCATAGTGGCAGTATGACCAATTGAGGGATATTTAACTTCAAAAGTATAAAATAAATAACAGTTGAAATTGAATTTAAGGGAGATAGTTTAAAATAGGCCATTATCTTAACTTTTATTTCATCAATTGCTTATTTTAAGATAGAATAAACGAATGTTCATTCCAAAATTGTTCTTTAATTGCATCACAATGGAGTGTTTCAATTTCTTTTCCTGGTTGATTAATCAATATTGATCCCTTTTTGTAAATTTCTTCTACATTATTATAATTAATGCCAAATCTGGAGAAGAGTAATTCATTTTTGTCCTTGGAAACAGTTCCCTAAAGAAAGGAGAGAATATTAATCAAAGAAATCGGTTGTAAAATAATAAGTTTTATTACAAGAAAAATTTATTTTACCAATTAAGTAATAAAATTTTTATGCTTGTTGCCCTAAAATAACTCTTGTATTAATGCCTACAACGAAACGTAAACTACGTCTTGAGAGAGAGAGAGAGAGAGAGGGGGAGGGAAAAAGAGATAGCTGTGCGGTATTTATGAAGTACTCAGTACAGCAGTATGTTTTTAAAGGTCATTATAAATACTATAAAAATAAAAACCATGTAGAAATATTCATATTCTGAATTTCTGATTAGATGCTAACTTTGCTGTTTGATTGTAATTGAATACAACGAAATTGTTTATACGAATACAACTAACCCTTAAGGTTTCTTCAGCTTCTTTTGGACTTAATCCACCAGTTTGAACAAGTTTCCAAAAACAGGTGTTGTACAAATTATTGATATGGCAGTCTGCTTGCCTCCAAGAAACATAATCTATCAGATTTTTATCAGTTGGATATAGAGTTATTCTTCCATCAAATGAAGGAGCGTACAATAGTTCTGTTGTCATGAATTCTTTCCAGTAGAACACGTAGCTTGATGTAAACAAACTTACTACATTTGTAAGGATTTTTGCTTGTCGTCTATTATAACATTTTGTATCTCTTCTAAAAATAAAGCTATATTCATCACTTTGCCCGTAAGCCAGAATTATCTCGTTAAAATCTTGTATAACACGTTTAGCACACTTATTCATTAGATTAAGAGCTTTTATATCATTAGGTTTCTCGAAATTATGTTTGTCAGAAAATTTATGGAAACCCTTCCCATCGATTCTCAGTACTATCCAAGAGTTCAACAAGAGTTTATCTTCCATTTCAAACTTTTTCACATATTCAAATCTACTTTTCGCCATTTTTGTTGAATGAATATGACGAAATACAGGCGTAACAGCAGCAATCAATTTGAGGACCATATAGTTTTCCCCCCTATAGCTAAGCACATGCTATGTTCGATTTTAAAATTCCGCGCGAAAGAACGAAGTAGATAAGGATACGTGTTCCCGAAATAGATTTGCTTCGAATATGTAAGAGTGACTCATAGATTACTAATATGACTTACTTAACTCGTTTTAACATTAAGTTTGCAAAAAATTTAAAATACTATATTTTAAAGTATTTAATTGTTAAGCTAGTAATCAACTGCAATGTAACATTTACTTTTTCTAATTATTATTAACGCGCTATCAATCATTATTTATTCACCGTTGCGGGACTCGTAACCATACTTCGTATTGTATAAAGTAATCTTGGTGATGATTGAATGAGCAATTTCTTCTTTTTCTTGACAATGCAGGATTTCTAGCCACTGTCTGTCTTTACCAAGAATATTCTTTGAGTAAATTCGTTGTGAGGTTAATTGGAAAGCTGTTTTAGGTTTGTAACATAAAATAACTGTGTTTTATCGTTCAGGCCGATGCTCCTCTTTGTTAGAGCATCGATTACTCAAAGACGATGATTGTAGCTATTTATTTGTTCATCTGCGACATCAATATATTATATAACAACAGTTTGTTTTATCTTAAGTTAAATACATATTTAATCGCGTCCTATTGATTTCTTAGTCATAAACTTTTTTTTAAACAGGAAACACAGACATTCGCTATTGTATTGGTTAACGGAGAAGGATGTCGTCTGAATTTAACGGGGAAGACAAACCTCCTGCACCACCATTACGTTTAACAAGTAATAAGTAAGTATAATAAAAATAAATAAAATTTTAATCAATATATATCATTAATCTATTGGAAATTCAAGATCGAATATTTCCGTTCCATATTTTATAACTTATCAAATTCCTTTATTGTTTTTTTTTTGTGATACATAAAAACGAAAATAGTTTGTTATAGAAAAAAGATCTTTGTATTGTTGATAAATTTTAATAAAAAAAAACAAGCATAGATGACGAAAAGCAGAAAATTTTGTAATGACTCACTGATTGATACTAATAGAAATTTTGTAAAACAGGAATGCAGTGGATTTGAAGCCTTTACCAAAAGAACCTGATGAAAGGAAAAAGAGTAAAAGTAGTAAAAACTGTAAGCTATTAGTTATAAATGAAAAAAAAAAGAACTGTTGAATTTTAGTTTATAAACAAAATGAAGATATGATTTATTTTCTTTTAGCAGCTAAAATAAAAGTTAACGACAGAACTATAATATCTTCACCGCAAGACTTTCATCATGTTATACATGTTGGCTTTAATGCTGAAACTGGAGAGTTTACGGTAATTAGATTTTGCAAATTGTTTATATAAGGGCGTAATTCAGTTAATTTTAGTAGTTACACTCAAACTGATTACGCGAGGTAGGCTGAGAGAAGAAGAAACATATGTACACCACACACCAGTATACCAGTAGTATATAGGTTAACATTGTTAGTACAAGTTCTCCTTGCTTTTGTCATCAATAAAAAGCAAATATGGGCTTTTTTTAAACATTATTTTCACCATCTCCCATAGCTATATCCCCCAAAGGAGAGAAGTAACATTCGGATAAAAAAAAAGAAATTTGTCCTCTTTGATTAATAGATATTTTATATTCTTGTTGTGGGAGGAAAAATTGTCTATTATATGATAAATTTCATTAAATGTACATTTATTATTTGATAGGGTATGCCGAACGAATGGGCCAGATTGTTGAAACATTCAGAAATTTCGAAAGAACAACAATTAAAAAATCCTCAGGCCGTTCTAGACATTCTTGGATTCTATACAGCATCAAACAAGGAAGGAAACAAGTATATGTATTCAACTGGCAAGGAGTCTGTCAGTAGTACGTAACATTTCATAAATTATTCATTGATTTGACCTTTAAAATGGAATGAATTTCTAAAAATTTTTCCGTTTATCAGATTCTAGCAGCAATAGTAGTATGGTGACTGAAAAGAGTACAAATCATATAGAAGTAGACATTGAGGTACTTTTTAGATCATAAAAGAAATTATTATAAGAATATTATTGCTAATATAATTCTTTTATAGCCCATCAAGCCAGAGCCTCCTAATCCACCATGCACTCCAGAAGAAGTAGAACTTCCTCCACCACCCGTAATATCTAGGCCAGAGAAAACTAAATCAATTGTAATTATATTAAATATTCCATGGAGATGGATGCAATTTGCTATAATAAATTACTTTTCTATTTTCGTTTAGTATACAAAACCACTTGAAGAAGAGAAAAAACCCGCACCAAAGGCAAACGGCTCCGAATCCGTTAAAAAACAAACAAATAAGAAGAAAAAGATGTCCGATGAGGAAATTTTACAAAAACTTAGAGGAATTGTCACAATTGGGGATCCCAATAGAAAATACAATAAATTAGAAAAAATAGGTCAAGGGGCTTCCGGAACTGTACACATCGCTATCGACACAACAACAAATCGGGAAGTAGCTATTAAACAAATGCCTTTACAACAACAACCAAAGAAAGAATTAATCATTAATGAAATTGTTGTTATGAAAGAAAATAAGAATGCGAATATTGTCAATTTTGTTGATAGTTATTTGGTGACTGACGAAACGTCAAATTACGAGTTATGGGTAATAATGGAATACTTGAATGGAGGTTCTTTAACGGACGTTGTCACTGAAACTTGTATGGATGAAGGCCAAATAGCAGCAGTATCAAGAGAAGTTTTGCAAGCTTTAGAGTTTTTGCACGAAAATAAAGTTATTCACAGAGATATCAAATCAGATAATATTCTACTAGGAATGGATGGTTCGGTTAAATTGACTGATTTTGGATTTTGCGCTCAATTGTCACCGGAACAGAATAAGCGATGTACAATGGTCGGTACCCCATATTGGATGGCTCCTGAGGTGGTTACAAGGTACAATCGGTTATCTGTATAGTTTGTCTCTTTTAAATAATATTTAGTGTCTTTTTTATAATATACATGTATTTATATGAAATTATCCTTTCCCAGAAAACAATACGACACAAAGGTAGACATTTGGTCACTTGGAATAATGGCAATTGAAATGATTGACGGGGAACCGCCTTACTTGAATGAAAATCCATTACGGGTAATATTTATATAAAGATCTATTTAATACTTTACAGGTTCTTCTTACTCTATTTTGTCTTCTTAGGCTCTCTATCTTATTGCTACCAATGGTAAGCCCGAAATAAAAGAACGAAGCAAGCTATCTCCAGTATTTCAGGTAGAATATAGTTGATTGTTTACATGAGTTAAATAGTATAAAGATAATATCTCTATCATTTTATGCATACAGGATTTCCTAGACAAATGCCTTGCTGTAAATGTCTCTGAAAGGTGGAACGCGAGTCGATTACTAAGTCATCCCTTTCTCCGATTAGCAAAGCCTCTTTCATCATTAATCCCCCTTATTCACGCTGCCAGAGAAGCTTCTAGAAAGCCTTAATTGAACATTTTACAATAATATATACAGTATATATATATTTATATATGTAATCTTTCGTTCCAGATTCTTGTGATTAACCTTTTTGTCATCCTAAGTTGTTCAAAGTCATTTTAGTGCAACTATTTAATTTCTTTCTTGCATATCGTTGTTGAATATCTTCTTTATCTCTCTTTTTTCCCTTTCTACTTACTAGATTATTTACTGATCTTAGATATTTCAAATGGTGCGATAAAAATAATTTCTAATTGAAGAATTTATAATCGAACAATCAACAAAAAACAAACTTGTAATATTTATATTGCATTCTATTTATGTTATTAAATTAATTTTTTATGATATCAATTTATTACTTTTTTTTGTTTTTTTCCTCAAAAATTTTGAAATAATAAATACAAATATGAATTTTTTAAGACAAACAAAAACTATTCCATACTGTAGACATAGTACGTATAGAAATATCAGGATACTCATTTTTTCAACGGAATTATTTTCGATTAAACGAAACTGAAACTAGGAGTTTCATTCAATTGAACTATATAGTTGCAACTTACTGTATAGAGATGTCAACAAGGGAAGAAATGAATTTAGATATGAAAGATTATGTAAGAAATTGTCTTCAAAGTGAATTGTAAGTGATTGCTAACGTTTCTTTATTCTTCGCCTGTTTAACGGTAATTCTGTTTGTAGCCTATTTCTGAGACCTATCGATATACTACTATATTTGCAACCGCATTTAGACTTTTCAGGTGGAGTTTATAAGTAAATTTATCATTTGATTGATTAACTATCTGTTAATTCAACAGATTGCGAGAGTCATGAAATTCTATCCTCGTTGATGTACGGAGGACCAACAATAGCTTCGAAAAATTTAATGGACTTGATACTTTCTAAGGAATTGAAAGATGATCATTTAAATAAACGTTGGTTCTATACACTAGAAGATGCTCTTTCCATACACGGTACAGTACATTTATTCTTGACATATTTATATTCAAATAATCTTTATTTAATTAGGAGAGAGATATACCCTTACATTGCTGAATAATGATAAAACGTCGAAATCTTATAAAGACTCGATCAAATTTTTTAACTTGTTTAGAGGAATGATCGTTATTGATACTGTTATAGATATTCATCAATTAGTGCTTAAGATGAAAGTACTTGAAAAGCCACCAGAAATAAGATTTTTAGATGATGAAATTTTTTCAAATATAAGTCCAAATCGTCCTGGCAGTAGAGGTGTAAAACTTGCTTTTTTCCTACAACAAATCCAAATGAAATGTAATTTTAATTGGATACCATATTTTTGTTATGCTTTGAAAGAGTTAAAACATTTGGACATATTAAGACAAATAGATCCCGCCCTTATTCACCCAAGTGATGTTTCAAACAATTTATTATTGATATTTATCTTGAACTATCTTTAAATTCTTATTACAGAAACCTTAGAAGAAATGAAGGATACATATAATGTTGTTGTTGATACGCAGTTTGGACAATCCTCTCCCGGTAATCCCAATCTTATTAGCGAATTATTTAACCAATATAATTTATTTAACTTGTAGAGGATGAACAGAGAGTGGGAAGTTACAAAACTATTGATGACGATGAACCTATTGCTATACTTGGGGAATATGAAGAACAGTCTGATGAGCCTATGCTAGAGGGTGCGTCACCTACAAAAAGACATTGCAAAACACAAGCAGAAGAGGCAGAGACGATGGATTTGAATATTCCTCAGTCAGCTGAAACAGACGGAGAAAGCAGAGTACCTATTGAAAAAATTGAAGATGTCATTGAAGAAAAAAAAGATATTAACATTTCGAGTGATTGTCAAACCGTCATCACTGAAACGACTGATTCTAACATACCTATTACACGAAAATCTGAGGAGATTATTGTGGAAAGAGAGAGCTTAGTTCTTCGAAATTATCAAAAGGAATACGCTGAAACTGCCTTACAAGGTTTCAATACCCTAATAGTTGCTCCAACTGGAACCGGAAAAACTCACATAGCAATGTATATTGTAAAAGAACATTTGGATCAGGATCCAATAGAGAATACTGTTGTAGTTGTTGCTTCAACAGTAGCCCTAGTTGATCAACATGAGAGGGAATTTAAAAAGTTTCTTCATGAATATTCAACCTCTATTGCAGGTGAGTGCCTTGGTTGATAGTATATTCTTTTTCGAAAGATAACCCATCGTTTGCTATCTCGTAAGCTTTTCATGGATCAAAGGCTGATAGCCTAACAGTTACAAATTCTCTTGAAAATAAAATTCTTATTACTACTCCTCAAATGTTACTTAACGATTTAACGTAAGTTTAATTGTTTCATATTTTCAAAGCAAATCAATTAACTGTCTCTCTCTCTCTCTCCATATTTGCCAATTGCAGAAATCGAGAAAACAAAATAAGTTTGAGTGATCATTTCTCTATGATTATTTTCGATGAATGTCACCACTGCCTAAAAGGTCATCCCTATGCAAAGATTATGGACATATATCATGAAGAAAAAGAAAGGAACGACAATGAACATTCAACTCAAATCGTCGGTTTAACCGCCTCGCCTCCGTTACAAAAGGCTAAAAATATGACAGATGCCAAAGATGCCATATTTGAATTGTGCGCTTACCTAGATATTAAAAAAGTCCCTGTAATTAGAGAGAACGTAGACGAATTTAAACAGTTTATCAACAATGTTACTGAAGATATTTTAGATGTACCACCGAGAGAGATAGATTCTTTTGGTGATATAATTAAAGAGTTGATGACAGGCATTGAAAATCTTTGGAATGAGAAGAGAAGTAATTTTCAAATAGTAACAGTTGTGATTTTCCTAAATGTACACTTTTTTAAATAGATTCAAGTAGGAATAGTCAGTTTCAGCACGATCTCTCTAGCCTAGCTAATTTTCCATCAGAAAAAGGATCCGATATTTATACGAGTTGGATAGGCACTTCAATGTCTACAATTAGTCGTATAAGAGATGTGGAAATAAGGGAATTTTATTATACAGCAAAGATATTCCTTTCTGTATGTAACATTAAATACTATGTGGCATATCATTCAAGAATTACGTTAATCCTTTTATACTCCTATAGCATTATAATACAGCACTGCTGATGCATCGTGACCTCAATCCAAAAGATTGTCTTGCATATCTGAAAAAAGAACTTTTATCGCAGGACTTAAAGAAATCTGAAAGTGAAAAGCAGTGGATAGCAGATTTTCAAAACTCTCTTCTAGAGTTAGAAACTATTGCAGAAGATCCCAAAAACTTAAATCCAAAACTGCTAAAACTGAAGGAAGTTCTTAGAACTAACCGTTGTGAAAGAAGTATAATCTTTGCAAAAACTCGAATTGTAATTGATTTTTTGGTAACATGGATAAATGAAGATCAACAATTATCCCACTTGAATGCAAACAAACTTGTAGGATCTAAATCTTCAGATCTGGGAATGTCGCATAAACAACAAGAAGATGTTTTGAGGTATTTCAAAGAGGGAAGACATAAAGTATTGGTTTCGTCTTCAGTCGGTGAAGAGGGTTTAGACATATCAAAATGCGGTTTGGTTATTACCTATGAACACGTTAGTGAAATGAAAGCGATGATACAAAGAAGAGGAAGAGGTAGAGCTGCAAATTCTAAATACTTTTTGATTACATCAACAACGAACAATAATTATCAAAAGGAAAAAATTAACATGATGAGAGAGAAATTCCTCAAAAAGTGCATTGATCATTTAGCAACGGAAGAAGGAAAATACGAATTTGGGATAAAAATCCCTAAAGTTCAAAATAGAATGAATACGGACCGTAAACTAAAACGTTTTCAATCAAATGCAATAATCACACCAGATGAAAAAGTATATGAATTTCGATGTATTAAATGCGAGAGTATCGCCTGTTTATCATCCGATTTGAGGCTTGTAGGAAATAGTCATCGAGTTATATTATTAAGAGATTTCGAAACAAGAGTAAGTTTGATTTCAAATAATTATTTAAATATTATTACATATCTTTATATCTTCGTAGTACGTTTTAAAAGAACATCCTCGTAAGGAAAACACTAGAGGGAATATACACAGAATTGGTAAAATTCATTGTAAAGAATGCGAAGCAAATTGGGGTGTTCTGATAAACCACGAAGGCATTGAATTACCGGTTTTAAAGGTCGATCCATTCGTCATTAATGATATTTCTACCACCACGTTTGTAAGAAAACCCCATTGTAAAGCTTGGAAGCAAACTGGTATTACGATACCAGATTTAAAACTCGAAGAATTAAACATCTTGAAAGGATCAAATAACTTAGATTAATCAGTGAAAAATTCATTAGTGTGTACACCTTAAAAATACAGTATACTCTCTATATTATTTAAATTGTCGATTAATCGATCGATTTGAAGAATCGAATTAGAGAATCGATTAGGCGAATTACGGTACGCGAATTTCAAATGTAAAAATTACAACAATCGCTGATAAGGAATAATTTTAGCAGAATTAAATATCTATTTACTTATGACACAAAGTAATATTTTTAAAAACCTTACACTTATTATTAGATAAAGAAAAGACGATATTTTTCTAATAATCAAATAATTCTCCTCTTTTCGTGTAATTCTTTTTTTCCGTTACCTATTGTTGGTGTTTGTTCAATCAAATATCAAATAATTCTGCTACCAGGAGAGAAGAGGAGATGAGAAAACAGTATAACGGTTTTAATACATTTAGTTTGAAAACTAATCGGCACCGGATTATAAGTGAACGCATATCCTGTAAACAACCGGTTTTCAGTGATACCAGCGAATCGTTTATTAAAACTGACGATGGAGATTCAAAAAGTTTAATTCAGAGAAAAGAAGGGATAAGAAAGTCTACAAGAATTGCTTCAGGTAAAGTTAAACCAGCTTGGCCTTCAAATTGTACGACATGTTCCAGTTGTTCAGAAAAAGAAAATACTTCCAGTAGCAACGTAAGTCTAACTTTAGGAGCTAAAAGTCTTTGAACATTGATTTTTGTCAACTATAGTCAGTGAACTGGTCTTCTGTCAATATTAATAAATGTGCAAGCCAATCAAGCGAGGATAGCTTATTTGCCTTTAAGCCGAAAGAATCAAAGGTATTTGTTTTATAAATATACGCATAATATATTATAAACAACAATAATTGTTTATTAGCCAAAGAAAAAAGGAAGAAAATCAACAAATAGGAAACAAACAAAAAAGACTGGTCCCGTGAAAAATATTGCCGAAAAACAAAAGCCTGTTTCACCTCCTAAGGAGCCAGTTATAAACTTTAGTGAATTCGATAGCTATAGCTTAAACATTGAATCGTATGAACCGCCAAAGCCGAACACTAATACTTCCTGCGATTATCGCTGCTCGCCAGCTCCAATAAATGCTTCACTTACTCAAGCGCGACGAATTGAATTAGAATCCATTTCAAGTACGTTAACTTGTAGTACACCAGTTAACGATCGCACTTTGTTCAAAAGAGAGGATGATCAAGAAGAGGTGAATATATCAATAATAGAGTATGACGAAGAGGAAATTTATAGAGGAGAAGTTTTTGACGATCCTGTTATAAACTTGTCAAAGAATGCGAATAACTCACCTAATGACGAAAAGCCGAAAACTGACAATAAGCTGAGTTCGTTAGATAAGGCTGGTACTTCATCGTCTAAAACTTCATCTGAAGATACTTCAAAATTTCTCAGCTGCTCGCCACACGGAACAGGAATATCTTTAGAGTCTTCAAAATCTGAGAATAAAAGTGAACTAAAACTGTCTGTAATGAAAGAATCTAATGCTTCCTCTTCCTCCAGTAGTGTGAGTGCTGGCTCTTTATCACATTCAGAAAATCAAAAAAGCCCAATACCCAAAACGAATATCTCTCAAAGTTTGCCTATTAACGAATCTAAAGTTCAAATCACAGAACCGAATATTGGAATATCTCATACTAGTATTGAACAAAGTACAGCCGAATTATCCATTTTTGGATCTCCTGAACGGGGTGGTTATAATAGTTCACAGGATCTTTTCTCAACACCCCCAGAGGAAATGCAAATCGGACGCAGGTCGAACGATGAGCTAACGGAAAGTGAATATAAGATAAAAGCTTACTATGAGTCATTCAATCAGAATTATATGGCCCAATTAAAACAACAGAGATTAACTGAATGCCTTTCTTCACCTTCACAAATTGTTGGTAATATTTATGGAATTCGCGAAAGTGAAAATTCCATTCGCAGTAATTGTATTACTGATTCAGAGATAACTGTAAATAGTCAAAGCATTATAGATGTGGACAAAATAGACGAATCAAAAGCATCCTCAATTCCTCTAAAAGATGTGGAAAGCCTTGATAAAAACGAAACTATTTTATCGGAAGAGTCAGTAACAAATGAAAGTCAGGAATTAAAATCGAATTTGCACTCTCATCGCAAGCTAAGCGAACGTTTTCATAGATTGACGGTGCATTGTACACCTCATAAAACTTCACTGAGTTTATTTGAAGTTTTCAGCCCCGTTAGAAATCTCGCTGGAGAGGAAATTAGCGACAAGGAGAAATTGCTTTTATGCTGTGAACAAGAAGACGTTCTATCTTTTGATAAATGCATGACAAAAAGGTTAGTTCTTTATTGAATTCTTTATTTAAAAGTAATTCCAATTAAAAGAGAAAATCTTTCGAAGGATGTTAAAAGAATGCGTTAAATTAGGAGAAGGCGTTTACGGTGAAGTGTTTATGGCACCAAGAGGAAAGAGTAAAAGCGCTATTAAAGTTATACCTGTATCTGGTACAGAAATGATTAATGGGGAACTGCCCAAATCATTTACAGATATTTGTGCAGAAATTGTTATATCCAGGTATCTTATTACGTTACTTACAAATAGTTAAATAAATATCTAATATATCATGTTTTTATTATGATTATCAGGGAATTGTCGAATTTGGATAATATGAATGAATTTTCTTCAACTCCTGGATTTTGCAAATTAAAAAAGTATGTTCTGTTGAAGCATATTACAACGTAATATAATATTTTAATTTATTATAGGGCTTCCCTTGTACAAGGACCATATCCTGAGCAATTCTTACAACAATGGCTCAATTTTGCCGATGCTAATGGAACTGAAAATGACTGTCCAGGTTGAAATTTCCATTGATTGTATTTAAATATCGTACTATATCTATGATGTTTTTTTTCATAGATGAATTTCCGGAAGATCAGCATTACGTTGTACTCGAATATGAGGAAAGTGGGAAAACATTGGAATCTAAAATATTCAAAAATGCATGGCAGGTTTACGCAATCTTCGAGCAAACAGTTCTTTCCTTAGCAGTTGCCGAAGATAGATTAGAATTTGAGCATCGAGATTTACATTGGGGAAACGTTCTTGTAAGGGAGGAGAGGAAGAAGAATCTACAATTTCGTCTTAAAAACAATAATATAACAGTTCTTAGTAGAGGAATTAAAGTTACAATAATTGATTATACGTTATCAAGATTGACTCAAGGTACTTTTTTATTAAAGTCTGAGAATATAAGCCTATTTATGTTTATAAATTAATGTTTCTTTTCTTTAAATTAGATGGGCAAAACGTCTATTCTGATATTTCAACGGACGAAGAGTTATTTACTGGAGTAGGCGATCTTCAATTCGAAATATATAGAATGATGAGGGAACATAACGAAAACGAATGGGAGTGGTTTCGTCCCAAGACAAACGTTTATTGGCTCTATTATTTAAGTAATAAATTGTATCAACATTCTCGTTTCGAAGGAACGCTCGAGGAAGAAGAGAGACTTACTATAAATAAATTAAAACACATTCATGAAAATATCTTAGAATGCCGCAGCGCGGAAGATGTTTATAATAAATTTTTTTATTGTTGTTGATTTGAGAACAAACGCTAGGTGGCGTGTCAAGTGTGTTTACCATAGCAGCGATTATTTGCCCGTAGACTGGTATTTTCGCTCAACAATTTTGGATTTAATTGTAAAAAAATGGTGTGTACATTGAAGTATTTAATACAAAATTTCAATTGTAATAAAATATAAGACTAAATTATAGTATATTTGTTAAAGTATCGTTTCTGTTGAATAAGTAGTTTGAGAGAATCCATAGGTATTTAGTTTCCTTGCCAACTGATTTGAATCTTTTTGCAAATGAAAGTATTTAAATTTCAAAATTGATTTCTCTTCTCTTTGCAGTCGACGCAAGATGAACGATTTTGCTTTCTAGCGGAATGGTACGATCCCGCAGCATGCTTAGTTCGCTCCTTCAATTTGATGTTTTATCCAAATGACAATACCGGTACCTATTCAAATTTTTTGAACGTATAGAGACTTGTTAACGTTCGACTATAAACAAACTATTATGCTTTTTTAGTTGAGATGTTTGATCTAAAGACAAGAAAGGTATTTCTGAAAAGATGTAAAGCAGATAACATAAGAATGGAACATCTTTACGTTGGATCAACAGTAAACATGCTATCAAGACAGTTAAACATAGTTGACATAGGTAAGAATAGTAATTCATCAATTATTATAACTATTTCTGAATTAGATATGTTAAATAAATAAAAAGAAATTCCTTAAAGAATGTTTATTTTAAGGAAAGATCCACAAATAATTGATTTTTGGGTCTATTTAATATTGTTGTCTAATATTGACCTATTTTTCTATTTTAGGTGACGGATATACAAGAAATAAAATCGCCTCCAAAAATGAAAGAACTTTAGCTATGATAAAACCTGACGCTGTTTCAAATGTTGGCGCCATTATGGATCTGATACAACAGAATGGCTTTCTAATCTGCAATTTGAAAATGTTGAATTTGACAAAGGATGAAGCGGCAACTTTCTACACTGAGCATCGTTCAAAACCTTTCTTCAACACTTTAATTAACTACATGTCTAATGGGAAAATAATCGTAATGGAACTTATGGCTTCTGATGCTGTCGCTAGATGGCGCCAACTGATGGGACCAACCGATAGCGCCGAAGCTCGGTCCATGGCTGCTACTTCCATAAGAGCAAGATTTGGTAGAGATCAAACTATGAACGCCTGCCATGGATCTGATAGCGTAGAATCTGCTGCAAGGGAATTGGAATTTTTCTTTCCAGCTTCTGGAAGAGATAGTTTCCGAAGCACAGCAACCTTTTGCGACGCAACTTGTTGTATAATTAAGCCTCATGCTGTAGTCGAAGGCCAAAGTGGAGCAATTATTGAAAAGATTCAGAGTGCAGGATTCGAAATATCTGCAATGCAAATATTTCATATAGAGAAAGCGAACGCCGAAGAATTTTTGGAGGTCTACAAAGGTGTTGTTTCAGAGTACGCTGCAATGGTTGGCGAATTCTGTTCAGGACCCTGTATCGTTTTGGAAGTAAGAGCTCAAAACGCCCAACAAACCTTTAGAGAGTTTACAGGACCAGCCGATCCAGAGATTGCAAGGCATCTCAGACCAAGAACCCTTAGAGCAACCTTTGGAAAAGATAAAATTCAAAATGCCGTCCACTGTACTGACCTAGCTGATGACGCTCTGCTAGAGGTCTGTATATACAGAATTTAAATTAAACGCATAGTTAACTTTTCACTAAGCAAATCTTTTCATATTTTATTGCAGTTGGAATATTTCTACAAGATATTAATGAAGTAAGGGAGCCACGTGAATAATAAAGACTCTTTACTGTTTTGTGTGTCTCTTGTTTTTACCTTCGTATTGTTAAACTATCGAACTTAAGAGAATAAACGGGGGCGAAATCATTTGATAAATATTTATAAAGATTTTCAAGGGATTAAATATTAGAGGCTTGTCAATAATAGAACAGGTTCTGAATTATAGACAAAGTTATTTAATAATAATGAGGCCTATATACTGTAGTGGGCTAAATCTGCGAATTTATCGACATGTTCAATTGTGCAACCTTAATCCAACTACTCAAACTAAGTCAATTCTCTATTGTCAGAAACGCTCCTAATGAGCTAAGTTTATTGTAATTTGAGCAGATTGTATTCATAACTATATTGGACTCTCCTATATGAAAACAAATTTCATTTACGTTCTACATGCCTGCTTTGATAAATATCGGATTGAAAAGTGCTCTGGAGAGAACGACGAGTTATGGTGACTCTCGCGTTCTAAACTATAGAATAAGACGTAGATCTACACCAGTGCCAATCTTACCATTCTCAAAGAGCCTGATTTTACCTTCGATCGATCTTAGGAGGAGCAATAGTAACTCAGAAGTTATCACGAGAAAAAAGGTTAGCTTTAATCTTGAACCTACCATTGAAAAAGTACCCTCAAGAACGCCTAGACCTAAAACAACACCTCCGTATATCCAAACAAACAGAAAAGATAATCTTCAACAGAAAAGAGTTATAAATCGAACGAAACCAAGTGCTCAATCTTTACGAAGAACGTCAACTACCAAGGAACAAGTTCACATTCTTTTAAAATGCGTCTTACCTGATATTAATTTAGCAGAACCTAAACCGGAACCAGTAAGTGATGAGGAAAGACAAGCCAATGTTAAGGAATGGTTAGGAAAATTTGTATAGACCTTTATATGTTACTAACTCAGGGACGCTTGAAAAAGATATTACTAAGATATTACTAACAAATTTAACATAAAATCATTATTTCATCAATGCAAACTCTCTCTGTCGGAATTTCTTTTTCATCATCTGCTGTTCAAGTTGATCTTCTTTAGTTATCTTCAAAATCTCACTTTTAACTGTTTCTCCTTTGACTGAAAGCTCGAAGTTATTTAATCGAACATCATCAATAACTTTATTTAATTCTTTAATTGAATCTTCGCGGATTTTCGTCAAAGCTTCTATCAGACAGAGTCGACCACTAAGTTCCATCAATTCAAAATTCATATCCTCAACAGATTTTGAAATTCTTTGATAACGAAGAAACATGGTTCTAATGTATCGACGTAGTCTGGATGAATTTTGTAGACGATCAAGTTCCGTTTCAAAGTATAGCTCACATAAAGATTTTGGCTTTTCTTTTTGTGGATATGAAAATATCGACGAAATTTGATTTGGCTTCTCTTTAAAAACACTGCTATCATAACGACCTGATTGAGTCTGTCTGGTCTGTTCCATTATAACTCTATATGTATATTTTGTTCTGTAAAGTACAAATATATTATCTTCTGATGGTCAAGGGTTGAATTTTGCTTTTGAATCTTTAAATTTAAATTTATTACGTCATAATTGAACATTTTAATATAACAAGTATCATAAAGAAAACAGATATATGAAGTTTCTAATCTTTCTTTTCAGACGGCCTAACGTTTTGAATAAGTTTATTCACTTCACCCTTGAATATATCTTCATTAAGTTGCCCACTTTCATCAATAAACGCTCCAATTGATTTAGAAAATTTATCTTTGGTCTCAACAAGACTCGTTCCGTGCTTGAACGTCACTTCCAGAGTATACATATCATCGTATCTATGAAAGAACAATAGAGTTTTAGTTTTTTTGCAGAGAGATTTGCTAAGATCGCTTACTTTTTTAAGGTGGATGATAATTTCCAAACGTCGTCCTTACTTACCCCAACGGGATCTTTTTCGTAGCAAATGAAAAATGTTCCTCTCTCCACATAGGTCATGTACAAAGTGAGAATTCCCATGAGAAAAAAGTAGGAGAGTACACAAACAATTATGACCGGCTTTGACAAGGGAAACGGATAAAACCAATCCCAAATAATTGCGTATAGACTAAAGAGACAAGCAATGGTTGCAATGGCGAGTCTAGTATCCATCAATCTGTGAGACTCCTTCATGCAAGAGTTAACAGTAAATAGTTTCTTTGCAGCATCATCTAAAGTATTTTTTACAGCGGTGCCGTCCCATTTATCAATTTTTACATCTTTTTCTGCTTCACTCTGTGAGAATATAAATTTTTTTGTTTTCAAAAATTTACCGGTATGTTTGTTCCAGATGGATTCTTTTTTTATGGTAAAAACGAAATTATTTTTAGAAATATATGTGAATAATTATAATATTGATTTTAATATAAAGCTACAATACGCTGGCTTAATCGTAAAGAAGGAGGGAGCAATAATATTTACAGAGTTATCGTTTCTCGTCTTGGACGCCATTATCCTCCAATATACAATCTATCTCCGCTTGCTATAATTATACGTGTAATATTGTATTAAACTGGTCACCGGTCTGTGAAATGTGGTTGTTTCTCTAATATTCGAATTTTTAATATTTCAAAAAATAATATTAAAAACTGTTACAAAAGACTAATCAATGAGTCAAAAAAACCCCGGTAGATATGTTTTTTTTAGTAAAAACCCTTAAAGAAGTTGAGGTATGAGTTTAGTCTTCCTGTTTCTAGAAGAAACACAAAGTTGAGGGTAATACCTATGTCCATTGTTATTTTTATTATTATTCAAGTCGCGGAACTGAAATTTAAGTAGGAAATTTATTTTTTTCAAAAGATTCTTAGTCAAAAGAAGAGGATCGAATTTTGAAATAGAAAAGTCTAAAAAAATATGTATAATATAGCATATATCTGTTTTTTGTTGTTTTCGTTCTATAATAGAATAATAATAACAATAATAATAAAAGTTTAATCTGAAACATTATGATAAGATTCTTCTTTTCGTACTTTCATACACGTAACTGTGACCTAAAAAGTTAAATAAAGAATATACATTTACTATATATTCAGTTGTACAATTTAAAATTTACCTTCATAACCAATAGGCAGACGACATCGACAAAAGTCTTATACATTAATAATCCACCAGTTACGGCGTATTCGACGCTTCTATCATGGCTCATTAACATCTAAAAGAGTTGTTTTTTTTGTTTATTATTAACGAATAATTCAATTATTCAGTATTGGTTTATAAACTAGATTTTACCTCTGCCAAAACGTAAGCTATGATTACTGCCAGTGTATGATAGATTAGAAACACGTACGATCTCATTTCGGCAATAGCGTCTCTATGTTTTGCCCTGTAGAAAGAGAATCATTGAGTATTAATTAAGAAACTATGCCCTACTCTATATTAATAGTTAAACCTTAAAAGAGCTGGCCATACAATTATTGCGGTTGCTACATGAACAATTCCGTGGTAAACGAGTACAGAAATTTGAAATTCTTGTTGATTGTTCTCATCGCTTACTGAAAACGATGCGGCTTTTCCGTCTTCAGTTTTTGTAACTTCGGCAGTTGGTTTGAATACTGCCGCCCACACAACCGAGGTAGCGCAAGCAATAACAACAAACGTACACATTACTACATTCGGTTTCCATTCTTCCTTTCTAATTGGTTTACGATTATCCGTTTTTTGTGCGTAGTAAAGGAAAACCGTGGTTACACGAACAAACATACCACAAAAAACATATGTTAACCCAAGCGTAACGAAACATGGCTGAATCTGCAACATTTTATTAGTCATTTAAAATTTCCGAAACTTAGATATTCAAATTAACTCAAACCTCCGTAATAATCTTAAATGAGTCCTCATTCATCCAATCAGCATTAGCCCCTCGAAGTAAAACTGATACATCCAATATTAAAATACCCAATAATATGTAATGATCTATAGAGAAACCAGGTCTAAACAATGAAAAAAACACCCCCGTTTTACAATGACTCAGACAAATATAATGTTTAATTTTTCGTTATAATATAACTTACGAGTTGTTTTTCGTTCCTGAACATATACTTAGAATAACAAAAATGAAGGATAATATTAAATTTAAAGCTGTAATTGCGACGAATATATAGAAAATTATTTGATCTGGATGATCAAGGTTGACCGTTTCGATCCACATGGCTTCCTTAATTTTTGCTGTAAAAATAGTACAAAAAATATTTCAATAAGATATTAATAGAAAAATTCCCAAGGAAAATTACCGTACTTTTCAAATCGAAAGTATCTAAAGTATAACACACACCCTTTTGAAGATATATGTGCCTATATCGACTATAGAGGGCAGAGAGACACAAAGAGTGACTAACAGAATAATATTGAAAATATAATAACGTTATTCAAAGTTTACATTTCACATTTCTTGAAGGAATCTTTTTGGTTAATCCAAAAAAATGGGCTATAAATTTCGATTCTCAAACATATGTGTTCAATTTGCGGAAAGGCGTCGAAGGCATAAGACATGAACACATATCTGGTTATAGGTTTTACTTTATTATCACCTTTATCCTATTTAATATCATCAGCACCGGTGAAATCTCTAGCCGAGCAGTTACGGTTAAACATGGATTATTGTGGAAACTTAACTAAAGTATCCAATTCAGAAAATGTTGGGAAAGCTAAAAAGTATCTTGATGAAGAATTACTGAACATTTCGAAAAAAGATTTTAATATTCACTCAAAGGAATATAATAAATTGACTGAGGAATTATATGAAATGTTATATGGATTGTACAACTATAATAAAAAAGACAATCCACATTGGGAATGTTTCGATGCTATCTATTCAGCTCTAAACACAATGGCTGATGAAATCAGTGGTTATAGCAAAAAGCATGAAAAGTTAAAGAATATAGGCAAATACGAAAAGACAGTTATCTCATTTTCTTATTTATTATCTCAATATCTTAAACATATCAAATTTTCATGATAGTATATTATTTTATGTTCTTTGTAACAGGAACAAAAATGAATCTGTACATATATTATATTAAATGTGTTCAATAAAATTATAATCACGTTCAACTTTTTCTCTTTTTCTTTTGCGGTGGTTCTTCCTCAATATTCGAAACACTAAACCCACCAATCTAGATTAACCATAAATTTCATATTATGAATAATCATCTTATTCGAGAATAATTTAAAAGTTACTTACGTAAGGGGAAACCAGCTTTAGGCATAACTTTTGGTGTTGAATATGGGTTTTGTCAATGCTAATTTGTACTACAACTTTATCAAAAGATGAGAATGTTATATCACCACATTTCTGTGTACCGGATGTTTCATCATATACAAATTTAACAGGACTCTTATCTAAAAATATTGTTCCTTCTAAACCATACTTGGGTATGAGAATTTGTATGGCATTTTTTCTCACAAATAGAATGTAACCGTCTTCACAAACTATCTTATTCTGAAAGAATAGCTGTGTATGAAGACCAACGGATGCCCTTCCCGCGTACTGCGCCATTTTATGACGATAATTTAAGTTGTTACAAAGGTTTTGAGTTTTCTTTTTATCTAGAAAATCTGGATGAGGAGCGTCAGCTTGAATAGAAACAGCTAGTAATCTATGAACTATTATATCCGAATATCTAAACAAATCGAAATATAGCGGTATGAATTGAATGTAATTAACTTTTTTAGAGAATAACTCTACCTTCTTATTGGAGATGTAAAATGTGTATAGATTGGAGCAGCAAGTCCATAATGGTAAAAGTCTTTTTGGTCGACCACGCCACTACAGAAATATAAAGCTTGGAGCATACAGCGTGTTGCCATAATTCTTAGCATAGTATTGAAATATGAATTGCTTTCAAGTACACTTTTTTCTAAACTCTCTGCCAACATTTTTCCTGATGTAACATTTAATGTAAAGCCCTATATAAGAATTTAACAATTAAAAATGTGAAATACATTAATAAATATCATTATTAGTTACTTTAGATTCAGCAGATTTAATTAAACTTTCAAAATTGGACGATGGAGGTTCAGGGTGTCTTCTAAGCAGGGCACACGAAGGAAATTCGTCGTATATTTTTTTGGCAGTTGCTATATTAGCCAACAACATGAACTCTTCAACCATAGAATTTGTTTCTCTATTAAAAAATTAATAATCGAAACTGATTATCGACAATATAAAACAATATAAGTTAACTGACAGTAATTGTTTCGTTTGAACTTCAATTGGGTCATGAGTTTCGCTATCCATATGAAAACGAACTTCGGGCGATGCTAGCGTCAAGGAGCTGATAATTAAATATTATAAGTAAATGTATGATTTATTCAACATAATCTAATGTATAATAATTAAAACAAACCCCTGCTTTATTCTCTCTTGTTTTAATATTTTTGCTAATTTATTTAGTAGTCTTAAACTCTTCGTTACGTCATCTGTTTGTTGACTATCATCTATTCTCATTTGAGCTTCGGCATAAGTAAGGGCAGCCTGCAAATATAATTTAGTATTTTAAAAAAAGTAAATAAATAGAAGAAACTACGCACTTTTGATTTTATAATACTCTTTGTAAATTTAACATTTACGACTTTTGCATTTTCATCTAACTCCCAAATAACACTAAAAGCAAATCTCTCTTCTCCTCCCCTTAATGAACATATGTTTGAACTTAGCAATTCAGGAACCATATCTATTCTCTGATCGATAAGGTATACAGTATTAGCACGATTTGCAGCTTCAACATCTATAGCTGTTCCAGGCTTAATAAAATGAGACACATCAGCGATATGAACACCAACTTCGTAGTTTCCATTATCCAATTGAAAGCAATGTAGAGCATCATCAATATCGGTACATCCCGGTGGATCTACACTCACAACAGTCAAATCTCGTAAATCTTTTCTTTGTTTAAGATCCTAAAAATATTAAATGCAGAGCTTCAATAAAAAAAAATAAGCAATAAAGTTATGCTGACTGACCTCTTCTGTTATAGACCACGGAAGAGACGGTAGACAAGCTCGAACAGCGGTAGAAAATTGATGATGAGGTATATCGTGCTCAATTAATAAAACTTCATTTTCAGTTTTTTTATCCCCTATAGCACCCAAATTCCTAACGAAGTGACCCTGTAAAAAAATAATTCTGTCTTATAAGTAAAATAAAAGGAATGCTTTCTTACAAGTGGATATCTAGATGTTCTTGGCCAAGAGTCAATAACAACGAGAATTCTTTTGCCATCAAGAACATCTGCTTGTCTTGTTTCAATTCGTATTTTTGGTATTCTTTTATCTGCTGGAATAACTAAATGGCGAGTTGCCTGAAGGAAGAAAGATATAATTTTCTCTGTTAGCCATACATCATCCTAAACTTACTGTTTCTATTAAAGACTTTTGAAGCATGCCACAAAATTGTCTCCAGTTTCTTTTAATAATTCCAACAACTTTGCCACAAGGTTTCTTTTCGGATTTGTTTGAGATGTCTTGTAGAATTTTCTTATCTTCGGATATTGTTGATTCATCATTTTTCTCTCCATCATCTTCCAAAATCAAACTTGAAGAAGACTGCCATTCGCTCTCTGGCAAGATTTCGATGGCAACTGTGTCACCTTGCATAGCTCTATTCATATGTTGTTGTCCTTGAATAAGAATCTAAAATTATTAAAAGTGAAAGTTATTTGTTTCAATGATTTATCAATAAATACAAACTGATAAACCATCTTTTTCATATACATCAACCGATGCTTCTAAATAGTTATCTCTGGAGGCATGAAATGTTCCTTGTATGTAGCTTCCAGATTTCAAACCTACTTGAATACTGGACAGAGGAAGGTGTTCTTCAAAGACTGCAGTCTTACCAGTAGAACTCTGTGTAAAATAATGAATTGGAACATAATATATTTGCAATGTGATTTAGACTTACAGAAGCTTCTCTAGTAAGTGCCAATTTATCTGCCAATTCATCACAATTCTTCAAGCTCTTTACAAATTTTTCAACTATTCAATAAAAAAATAAAATTAGAAATAATCTCTTAAGTGATTAGGATTTAGAACAAACCAGTATTAGTTTTAATCCCAGATTCCAAGGCTAAATTTTTATTTGACTGATCATTCGTAACTAACAATATTTCAACTTCATAAGGTTTGAGATGTTTTTGATACCACAAAGCAGCAGTTCTAATTGCTCTATCATTTCGATCATTTGGTGATTCCTTCTGGTCTCTTTCAATGAAAGTATCCCTATTTAAATAAATAATCAGTAAAATTGAATATGAAGCTCAAATTAAATATAAAACCTATGAAACTCATTCATAAACAAATAAAATTTTTTCTCAGGATTTGATAAACAATCTTTTAGTTTCTTATACGCGATTGCACTCCTATGCAAAACTTCTCCATACACAGTTTGTAGAATAATAACATTTCTAATGCTTGAGTCTTCTAAAATATCCATCTAAGGTTATAAAAAATGTATAAAACAACGAATAGTGTCAACAAAAATTTTCAGTACTTGATGTAAAACAACATTTGAATCTGGTATAATTAAATATTTTCCAACTAACTCCTTTGAATCTACAGAGGGGTTTGAACTAAAAATTGGTTTTTCTTCCTCACATTGCTCGCATTTTGGAAAGCTGCAATATACATCGTCTCTTAAATAATGTTCCCGTACAACTTTTAAGATTTTGCCCCGTTTTGTTTTCCTAATAAATACATTAGATCTAATCATTTTCTCAAGCACGTGGGATATTTACTACTGAATATTTTCCCCCACCATGGATAACCGGTTAAATCGTTTCGTATTTATTGGCACTATCAAACCAATAGTTGGTAAAAGTCATATAGTGTTCTAGTCAATAATTCGTACTATTTTTAGAATTAGTATTAGTTGTAGTTTAAAATACTTATATCCCTTAAAACTATCCAAGACTGCTTTAAAATTCTCTACCAGTTTTCTGGCTTTTTTCAAAAACCGCTTAAATTTAGATTTTATGAAATATTAAATAACCAAAGAATTGTCTGTTTTATCGATCTATCTATATTCCAAAATCAAATCTATACAGAATATTTTAGGTCACTTCATCCCCGATAAATTTAAAGGTAAATAAATCCGATTTTTATAAATTACGTCATACTAACTAAATATAGAATCGTAAATATAACTATGTTATCAATGTTATGTTTGCCTCAATAAGCTGTTAACTAAAATATCATACAAGTGTTGAGATCAAATATAGTTATATCAATTTCTTTTTGAAAAAAGAGAAAATCTTTAAATAAAGTATGGCAACTGTGAAACTCTTCTTCACTTCTCTAGTTCAATAACTTCAATTACATTGATTTGCTAATGACTGCCCATTAAACTGTGTAAATTAACTTTCTTTTAAAATACACTTAATTTCCGTCGTAGTCATTTAGAGGATAAATGATTGAAATATGATAGTTGATCTTATGCTAAATGGTAGTTTTAAAATGAAGAAAATATATTAGTAAAAGCTTTGTCCTAAAAGAATTATTATAATATTTTAAATTTAGAAGAAAAATGCAATCTGCATGCAATTCCAGATTTGGGAATAGATAATTATTGAAAGTCTATATATTTCAAATAACCGGAAACCGGTTAAAAACCGGTAAATACATTATGAGGATATTCTATTATTTTTTATATACTGTAGGGGGGTCACGTGATCTATTTTCTTATACGTTTTCACATTGGATATTGAGTGATTTTAAAAAAGAAGACTGGTGGTGATTGGTTAACACTTGCTTATTGACCAACATCCGCCATCTTAGTTATAGAGTAAAGCATTTTTTAAAAAATGTAGACCAAACATCCAAAGCTTTTCAGAGTGACATCGTAACAAACTATAAAATCTAGGAAAAATGACTGAACCAGATAGCGATGCGATCAAGATGTTTGTTGGGCAAATCCCACGTACTATGGAAGAAAGCGATTTACGCCAAGTATTGGATGAATTCGGACCCATTTATCAATTGAGTATCCTGAGGGATAAGCAAACTGGTTCGAGTAAGGGATGTTGTTTCGTAACTTATTACAATAGGTTATCTGCTTTATCCGCTCAAAATGCTTTGCATAATGTGAGAACATTACCTGGAATGGCGCATCCTATACAAATGAAGCCGGCTGATTCTGAGAAAAGAAATATTGAGGAGAGGAAGCTCTTTGTAGGTATGCTATCAAAGCAACTTAATGAGACAGATGTTCGTGACATCTTCCAATCGTTCGGCCAAATCGAAGAATGTACAATATTAAGAGAGCAAAGCGGTTGTAGCAAAGGATGCGCATTTGTTACTTATTCAAGCAGATCCTCTGCAGCAGCTGCTATAAGAGCAATGCATCATAGTCAGACTATGGAGGGTTGTAGATCACCGATTGTTGTCAAGTTAGCCGACACTCAAAAGGACAAGGATGCCAAAAGAACTGTTCAACAACCGAATCCCACTGCCCCTCAAGCAAGTATTCCGGGTTTAAACTTGAACAATGTACCCCCACAATATATACAAATGCTTCAACAAGTACTTCAAACGACTGGTCAGCAGCAACCCCAACAACAATCACAGCAAGTTAATTATTTGCAACAAGTTATTTCCGCGGCGTCAGCACTAGCTGCTAATCCTAACTTGATTTCAAATTTGGCGCAATTAGGACTACTAGGACAAGTTGAAGCCCATCAACAGAACAACTTAAACTCTTTGATAGCTCAAATGGTTGGATCAGGCTCCGAAGCTTTCACTCAAGCCTACTCAGGAGTTCAACAATACAACCAGCAGCAATCGCCTCCTAATTGCAGTCCTCAAACACCCGTGGCTGCCAATGGTTCAAATCGACAGACTGAAGGACCGAATGGAGCCAATCTGTTCATTTATCACCTACCACCCGAGTTCACAGACAACGATCTTTTACAGACTTTCTCGCCCTTTGGTAATTTAATATCCGCTAAAGTATTCATCGACAAGGCAACAAACTTAAGCAAGTGTTTTGGTTTTGTGAGTTATGACAATCCTGTATCAGCACATGCCGCGATTCAGTCGATGAATGGTTTTCAAATAGGCACGAAACGCCTAAAGGTTCAGCTGAAGAGACCGAAGAATGATGCTAAGCCGTATTAAACGAAAATTTGTATGTATGTCGTCTCGTTTGAAAATTTTATGTGGGAAAAGTAAAATCATCGATTTTATGTTTATGTAGTATTTTGTTGTTGTGTAAATCAAAAAAATGAGGTTTTGAGGATAAAGTCATTTCAATATGTAAGGAAATCGTTGCGTTTGGAATCTCCGTCCATGTTCTACTTTTCATGTTAAATTATATATTTTCATAACAAATTAAGCACAGTGATACTGTGAATAAGTATCAGAGTGCCAATAGTTATAATATCGATTGTGCTCAAACTTTTCTAGTCGGACACTACTTTTATAAGCGTTAAAATTTGTCTGGAAAATGGTGCTAGTGTATGGGAGTTTTGGGTTTTGTGTTCCATTAATAGCGTGTTCGAAATTTAATTCTGGTAGAGAAAAGGGAATCGTTTATTTTTTAAGGTTAAATATTTTTTAAGAATAACGTCCAAAACCTTTAGACAATAAATTGGCGTTAAACCACGTCGGCCGTTTCTTCTTCATATCAACAATATACTTATTTTCTTTCCTAATTTGAGGGTCATCATCCTCATAATGAAATTGAATTTCTTTTGTTGGAGCATCAAAATTCCTAATTTTCTCAGGAATTTTATTTTGCATCTCTTCTGTTTCATCTCTTACTTTTTCATAGCAGTGACCTAGAAGATTTTTTTTAGAATAATGAGGCTATAATAGTAGTTTTTATTTTAACATACCACATATTGTTCCTCTTTCCATCCAATTACCACATTCTAAGCAAGGTGTAATATTTTTTTTTGGAGTAGCATGTTCGAAATGTTTATGAAATCGCATCCTTCGGGTGAATCTTCGCTCAACGCTTCGTCTACTTTTAGGCACAGCCCACAATATAGAATCATTGACAATATCTTTTAAGGATAATTGATTGTTTTCTGATGATTGTTGTACAGGTGGAGCAACATCGTAAGCAAACCTAAATTTATCTACAAAGAGCGATATTTAGAACATATTACTCTAAATTGCCAATAAATAACAATTTACCATTAAATAGCAACGAACTAATGCATCGATCAATATTAAACTGTATTCTATTCAAAATTTGAGTAAATTTAATTAAATTCTTCATTATCAATGATCTGTAAGCTCAGTTTTTACAAAGTTTGAGAAGGTTACGGTCATGTGGTAATTCAATGAAACCGCTAATGCTCCTTTCCAGAAAGCAGAAAAAGGATGCAGAACCACACTAAACTCAAAAAAGATGGCCGAATGAACAATTGCGTTTTTTAAACGTACCGTTCAAGAGTTGAAGTTATTTAAGCTTACACGGATTTCTATTCTTAACCATGGCCGACGATCATAAGAAACACAAAAAGGAAAAAAAGAAAAAGAAGCATAAGAAGCATAAGAAGAATGGTAAAAGCAAGAAACATGATGTCGACAATGAATCGACTGTTGCAGGTAGCAATCATGCTCATCTGCAACATAGAGTTGATAATTGTAATAAGAATGTTTCCACTGTATATAAATCCGACGATTTGCCCGTAGATAATAAGACCCTTGTTGCTGAGTATCACTCGGGTTCAGAACTAGAAGACGGCGAGATCGATGACGAAAAAGCCGATGAACGTTTGAGAGAGGAAGGTGAAAATTGTGTAAAAGACGAAAACAATATTTCTAGGAAAGAACATGATAAATATGTGTGTGATACACACAGGTTCGAACGCTCTTCTAGGAGATCTCGAAGTTCTTCAAGACAAAGAAATTCTGATAAAGTGGATAAATATAGACGTCGCACGCCCGAAAGGCGCCATAGATCTCCGGAAACGCGTCGTTATACATCTCGAAATGATGAATACAGTAGACATGATTCTTACAAACCTAAAGATAGAGATAGGTATTACAGATCCCCTGACCGTCATGGAAGAAGGTCTCCCCGCCAGCAGCTAAAGCGCCAACATTCCCCTGAATTAAGAAGACGCGATAACTCTCTTAAAAGACGCCGCTCGCGAGATAGAAATGATGATCATCATAACGGTAAAAATAGGTCAAGAAGGACTGACAGAGATGACGAAGAAATTGTTAATATTGAGTTAGAAGATGAAGATGAAGAAGCAATTATTGCTAAACGGCGTAAGGAAAGAGAAGCATTGTTTCAAAAATTATCTACGGATAGCGTTGACGAGTCCAACAAAAAAGATGGAGAATCAGAGTCCTCTAGTACAGCAGATGAGAAATCGTCCGATTCAGACGATAGCCTAGACGACAAAGAAATTAAAGAAGATTTCAACTTCGATGAAGACTTGAAAGATAAGTATAAACTTTATGATAAAAAAATGCAGGAATCCAATGCAAATACTCCTATTGAAAATAATGAAAACAAGAAAACTGAGTTGGATATGTTTGCTGACGAGATTGATATGCTTGACCAAGCGCATAAGGAATCCCCAGCAACGTTTGCAGCTGGACAAAAGATGGGCTTGGAAGATCCGACGCTTAACGACAACTATGATGACGCTGAAGGGTATTATAGGGTACGTATTGGGGAGGTACTAGATAAAAGATATTCTGTTTATGGGTCAACGGGTCAAGGAGTATTTTCTTCGGTTGTCCGAGTTAGGGACGCGGCTAGAGATAACTCTGAAGCTGCTATAAAAATAATACGCAACAACGACCTTATGTTGAAGACTGGCCAAAAAGAACTGAAACTTATGAAAAAGCTAAACGATACAGATCCTCACGATAAATATCATTGCCTACGTCTTTTTAGGCATTTTTATCATAAAAACCATTTATGTCTCGTTTTAGAGCCCATGTCCATGAATCTTAGAGAAGTATTGAAGAAATATGGTAAGGATGTCGGTCTGCATATTAAGGCTGTTCGTTCATATACCCAACAGTTGCTTTTTGCTTTAAAGCTACTGAAAAAGTGCCAGATACTTCATGCTGATATAAAACCAGACAATATTCTAGTTAATGAGAACAAAATGCAATTAAAACTTAGTGACTTTGGCAGTGCTTCACATATAAGCGATAACGATATAACACCGTATCTGGTATCCAGATTCTACAGAGCCCCAGAGATTATAATTGGAATAAACTACGATTATGGAATAGACATGTGGTCGGTGGCCTGTACTTTATTTGAATTGTATACTGGAAAAATTCTTTTGCCTGGAAAGACCAATAATGAAATGTTAAAATTAATGCAGGAGATAAAAGGCAGAGTTCCAAATCGTCTTGCTCGAAAGGGAGCTTTTAAAGACAAACATTTCGATTCCACATTCAACTTTTTATACCATGAAGTAGATAAAGTCACACAAAAGGAAAAGACGACTATTATTACTAATACCCAGCCGTGTAGGGAATTTTTATCAATGCTAATAGGTGTTCAAAGAAAGATGCCTGAAGCTCAATACAAGAAGGTGAAACAACTTAGAGATTTGTTGGATTCTATGCTTACATTGGATCCAGGAAGACGAATATCTATTAATGACGCTTTAAAGCATGCTTTTATAATTGAAAAAATGGTTTAGTTTATACATGATTTTGCACTGACTTGACCGACCGGCTATTCTTGCATTATCAAAAAGTTAATACATGAAATTTACAGCATGTTAAGTACTTTGAAAAATTTTTAAGAAAATGTGATAAAAACGGGTGTATAAAAATTTTACTTAAAAAAAATTTATGACAACTGAACGTTGTCTTTTATTCATGCGACGTTTTTTATTGTAAGTGAATACAAAAACATGTTATAGATATTCTGACTTTATCTATTAGGAGGAGGGGAAGAAAATACAATAGGATACGTAAAGCGGTAGCATTAAGTCAGTCAACTTGTAAGGCTGAAATAAAAGTAAAGTTTAGCAAAGTAGTTGTCGTAAGGATTTAGTTACCTCTCCCAGAGACGCTTCTAATTGTAATCCAAATCTTTGAGCTCTTATTCCCGTTGTATGTAATTGTAAACGCCCTTCTTGATTGAAATATTGTACAGTAATACTGTAAAATACATTCCTATCATTTCTCATTGAGACAGTGTGCCTTTCGCACTGTAATATTGATAAACTAGGATCTAAGGGACGTAGACGTCTAATACTGAAAGTAAATGTTCCGCCTTGATCAGTTTCCTCTGCCTTGAGATCGAAATAGAATCCAAACATTTCGATAACCTATATACGTTGTTAATTATTTTACAGCTATAAATATTGTTTATATAAAGATAAGAGCTGTTAATGAAAGTTACTTGAGATTCGTAGAATGGTGGTTTTTCTATAATGAAACCAAATCTTACGGCTTGCTGCTCAAATTCATTTAAAACGTCCATATCTCCTCCAGAATTGACCTAAGCGATATGATAATGAGTTCAATTTTCTTATTTAGAAAAAGATCAAATTTATTACCGATCGATGATGTTTTTGAAGGATTGTCATCATTATATTGCTAGGTACCACATTCATGCTTTGTATATCATGTAAATTCTCAACTATGTTTGAAAGAAATATAAGAAAATCACAATAAAATATACATATATATATATAGATGTCAGTATTTACAATCAGTAATTCCGAGTAATCTTATAGATTTTAATAAATTTCCATATTTTTTTATCTTGCCAACTTCAAATATACTCTTGTCCTTTCGAAAACTGTATAAAGATCAGAATATTGCCTACAATCTCCTACATATGATATATATATATATATATATGTATATATTATAACCTATTATAGAATGCTTTTAAGTCTGACATTGATGGAAGAACTTGAATATCTTGATTTATTTGTAAATATAGCCAAAGTATCATTGTGCAGAATACTTTATATTCGGAGTATGTAAAAGTCCAATGCGATTTGAGAAGAGACTCTAATATTTCTGGAGGCATTCTTCGAAGACTGACATCATTCGATAACTATTTCAATATTTTATTAATTAATATATATTTATATAATAAATAACAAACCTTAGGAATAAGATTCAATTTCAACCAGTTTATACAAAATTCTGTGACATCTTTCAAACAGTACTGTTTTTTATTCAAACATAGATCTTTATAAATACGGGTAGATCAATTTTTTTTATTTAATTAGTATACCTTTACAGATACTTCGTAAATATCCATAATATTCTTGGAATAAGCATTCTGGTTCACCAATTGTGATAGTCTATTGTATTATAAAAAGTGAATTGTATTTTACTTTCATTATTGATGATGTATAAGCAAACCTTTGAATTAGAACGTTAAATTTTAAATAGCAAGCTGCTGATAAAACTCCAGCTACATCTACTTTTGGAATGACATCAAGAAAGTGAAGAGTATACAGATGACCAAGAGCAATGGCAAAAGTCCTCGGGGAAACATGACTATCATTAACATTTAAACTAATAGTAATTTCTTTAGATGATATCTGTGTATTTTGCTTTATCTATGGAATAAGAGATAACTTGATTAGTCTACTTGATTTAATTTGCTTTCGAGTTATTACATTAAGACTGAGTCTACTTGCAGGTCTGCTCAAAGAGTCTCTTTCAGATTGTAGTATGGCTTCATTAAACAATTCACTAAGGACATTTGATGATATAATAACATTTCTATGTAATTTCCAGCTATATCCGAAGGAGTGGAGAATAATATCTGTGTCCAAAAAGTAGCTATATGTATATTTAAATATATAAATAGCGTGTTAAGATAGTTTAATACTCTCTTTTTAGAAAGAAAGTGTCTTAAATTTGGGAAATTGAAGCACTGCTGAGGTATTATTCATTATATTCTATATTAAGCGGGAACTGGGTGCAATTTAATCTGAAAGTGGCTAATAAAAGTTAATAGGAGTAGATGAAGTCAATCACCTGGTTTTGGAAGGCACGGAATTCTCTTTTTGAAGAATGACAAAGCGTCTCGAGCGTCATAGTAATAAGATTTAGGTTTTTCATAATCCATTGAGTTTGACCTATTGAAAGGATTAAGATTAAAAAAATTACATGGTCTTTATACTATTGCCACTAATCTAAAAGCGACAAAAAGAAATTTCTAAATGGTATAAATCTATTTATAAAGCAAAAAATTTTATAAATTTCCTTTATCCTGAAGATTGTCTCTTATCTCGTCTTATTTTTCAATGGTATCTATTAATTTAAGATAAATGGCACATAGAGGAGATTGAAAATAAATAACAGACAAAAAATATTCTTTATAAAGAAACAGATAGAAGATAATAGTAACCCTTTTTACTTAATCTCTTCTTATTCTACATTCATGTCTATACCTTACTAAGTTTGTTTGAATATTAGTTAATCCCTTTCGAGTTTATTATGAGCCACCTTACATATAGCTAACAAGAGCAATGGAGAATGAAAACAAATAAAGTTGTTCGTAGCCGAAGCGTTTAAATGCGTTTCTCTTTTTAAGCCTTTTTCAATCTTATATTGTTTGTAATAATAAAGCAATAAAAAAAAAATTCACACTAAGGCTAGAAAAAATTTGCTCTAGCTGCAGGCTATTACAGACCGTCCTTATTATTTACTGCTCAACGCTTGAATTCTTAATGATGTCTCCTCTTACAATGATTTGTATGAATGTTTTTTTTTCCTGCTTATGTTAGCTAATTTTTTTTGCAAATATAGATTCTTCTATCTCTCTTTCTCTCCCCCCGTTGGAAAGACCGATTTTGTTCATTCTCTTAATAGATTATTGTATAGGTAGATATTTGATAATTTATTATTTAGAAGAGTTAATAAATACCAATTGGAAGGAGCAGTTACTGGTCTAGTGGTTGTTTGATCGTAACTTCTTCGAAGATCGTCTAAATTTGATGTTGTTAAAGGCCTGAAATTCAGTCATAAAAACAAATTAATAGATTCGTTGGTGGGGATTTTATTACCGGATTAGCAACTATTTTCGTTTTTCATAACAATTAAACATACCTATCATCGTTTTGTCTGAATTTATAGCTGACTTTCCAATCTGGTAGTGATTTTCTGCAGTTTTCTGACGTTATATGATTTTTAACAGATTCACTCCATCTTACTGAAGTTGCTCGAACAGCTTGGGACGAACCTAACAGATCTCCTCCCAGTGAATTAGGAATACGCCATCTATTGGATAATCCAGTTAATAGACGTTCCCTATTACCAGATATTAACTTTTCCCTTCCCTCGCATGTTTCACTCTTTAGTGCCTTGTAAGGGGCGTTTTTGAGAGCGCTAACGAATTATCATTTACCTCAATTAAAAAGTACTTTCAACTTGGGAGTTTCTATTAAAAGTCTTACTAAGCATACTCCAGATTAACTTTTACTGGATTGGGGGGTTTTGCTGGCAAGTAAAATTTTCTGTCCGCAGAACTTTGTCGAGTCGCTAAGGCCGCCATTTATGAACATTTGAATAATATTCATATTCATACGCCCGCTAGGTGAGCAAATAGTTCTAATAATCCCGTAGAAAAAGAAAAAGAAAACCAAACCACTATTGTGAATATTAGTGTGATCGATAGGTATAAAGCGAATTTATTCAAGCAATAATATGATAGAAAAAACCATGAATATTAAGTTTTTGTACATAAATGTTTTACTATTTACATTCATATTTTTGGACACTTTTGGAATAAGCATCTTTATCTTTTAAGCATGTCTTTTCCATAGTATAAAATGATTCATTCATAAAATTTTATCAATGGTCCTTTATCATTATCGTCAGTATCTTGTTCTTCCCTCGTAGATAATCGAGACACCTGATGTTCTAATCGTTTTGCGTTGTTTATAGAAGGTCCTACATAGCTTAGCAGAACTGGAAGGAAGACAAGGCCATGAGCTGCACCAAAGACCACTATTCCGAGGTACATTCGAAAGTAGAACACCTATGCAGGGAGTAAAGATAGTTTACATAGGAATTGTTTCTCTGACCTAGAAAAAAGTGAAGAAAAATAGCAAACCTGAAATAGTTGAGATTTCGAAAAAGCGAGAACAAGTATACCGCCCAATTTGGTCAGTGTTATTCCACTGAATACCTAAATAGTTAAAGTATTATTTAATAAAGTTAAAGATAAGATCATTTCATATACTGTATAGATATGTATCTATCTGATTTTTACAACTATGTGAAGAAGACTCAAGAGGTTATTTGATTAAAGATTAAATTTAATCCTCTAAGTCAACTTGAATAAACAATTAAATAAGTGGTTCAACTTATGAAAGATTTAACAGTGTAAATAACGTTAAAGGCAACTTTTACTGTTTCATTTTTTCTTTTCTGCTCTATAAATATTCATATAAAAACAATATTAATAAATTACTTACCGAACTACCAATGTCGGTTAAAGCTTCGCTGGCTCTCTGCACTCTACTTGGAGCAATACTCATTGCAAAAGATCTACCAATATGGGAACAGAACTCAACAGATATTCCAACACCCTATAAAATTTTATAATAGCTTATTGATAATGCTATTAAACTTTGTAAAAATTCAAAACTATTCACCATAATTAGATTTACTAATGAGACAGCGTTCAATGAAATATCCCACAAAGCCATAAGACCAACTAAATTGGATAAAATTAAAAATATGACAAAAATAATAATCATTGCACTCCAAAAGTCAAAACCCAATAAGAAGAAGGTTACTATGAAAATTGACGCCAAACAGACTGATACTTGAATTACACTATCTTCTAAAATTGTTAAATATTGTTCATAAAAGACGTAATGATAGCTATACGGAAAAATTCTTCCCGACACAGAGGACAAAGAAGAGGAATTTGCATTTTCCGTTTTATTCGACATGTTCATAATGGTTGCTGTAATATTATCAGCTAGTTTTCGAGCCATCTTCAATGATCCAATAAAATCACTATCGCTCTTCAAAATTGAATGAAATGTTGAGAAATATGTTGCTAAAAAGAAAAATGAAAACAAAGGATATTATTGAATTCGGATAGACGAAAACACTCTTATATTACCTCCAACAGATGTTTTATTTCTTAATAATTTTACTGCAGTGCCGTAGGCTGCATGACCTCCTTTAGCGCATTTCATATTTGGATTATCAATTAAAAACCAGGGTAAATATTTTATAAAATCCTCTGGATTTGGACGTCCGTTAATTAAATTCGCTTTACTTTCTATGCAACTAACGCAAGTCTTTGAATCACACGTAACTATATAAATCACAATTCTTTCAGTATATTATATATATAGAATATATAATGTATAGTATATAATATTGATAACTTACGAGACGAAGGCACAAAAGAATTATTACTCTTGAATTTCCTGCAACAAGTACTATCAGGTTGAACCCATATGAAGTAGTCGTCTAACCAAGAATTTGCAGGTTGAGCAATATAAGAACTATAAAAATAATTGTTTAAAAAATAGCTTCAATTAATTGTATTTCATACTAACTAATTGGCAATTTTAGATTCTCTATAGACTTTTCCTAATAGAGAACTGTGAGGGCAGCCGGAACTTCCGCAGAGTTGATTTTGACCCGTAGTTGATGTATAATTATGACCTTTTTCAACAACAAAATAAACTGGTGGTCCTACATTGAGATAGCGATTCATATCATTAAAATAAGAAATAACGTAGGAATCCTTCGGCATAGATAATTTTTGATCTAATCCTATCTTTACTTTAGTAACTATACCAATGCAGAAACACGACCAAGCGATAAACGTAAACATCTGCAAAAGACATAATAAATGAATCAGGATCAATTACTCTAGTAATTTAAAACACTTACAACAATTGGTCGAACAAAACGATTCAAGATAAACGGGGCATAAAACTTCTTGAAAAATGTATAAAGAACTCCTCTCTCCTCATTTTCCGATGTTGAAGGTGTTTCAATAGGCGATTCCTTGTTAAGGTTAATGCAACAACAACAATCTGGTCGATTACTCTTTTAAAAAGATTATTAAGTATTCGTTAGCAATTCAGTCAAACAATGATATATTTAAACATTTATTTTACTTGTTGCCTTTGGGCATCCAAAACCATTAGCGCTACAAAACAAGTAATTTGAAGAAGGAAATCAATAAGTACAGCCATCCCAGCGTATAATGAAAATACTTTGACAGCGGGCATACTTGTTACAGCAGCTAAAATAATTCAGTATACATATATATACATATATATATATAGTATATAGATAGATATTCTTTATGATTCTATTGTCAGTTGTAAAATAGTTACCTATAAAAAAAGCCAACGATTCACTCACACTGGTCAAAAGCATACTAGGTCCAACAAGACCCAAAGCAATGCTAACTCGTTCTTTTATGCAAGTAGATGAGAATTCTGGTTCTTTTAATCGCTATATTAAAAAAAAAATATTACTTAGAATGAAAAATTCAAAATTATTAATATCGTACCTGATAGCATTGAACAAGAATAAAGATATTGTCTACACCAACTGCCAAAACTAAAAATGGAACAACCTCAATAATAATTAAAGTCGCTGGAATACCAATAAAACTAAAGAAACCCAATGAAGATGTCACAGAAACTACAACGATAAGTACACCAGATAATCCCAATGTAACTTTTGAATCAATTAAAATTGTACTAAATTTCCTATAATGTCCAAGCATTACAGAAACATAGATAAACATTACAGAATATGATATAGCAATTGTTTTAATATCCGAATGACTTTCTCTATTTAGTTCATCTTCGATTGATCGCTAAACAATTAATTAAATCATATTTAAGCGGTTAATTTAAATATTATTATATTTTCCCATTTACCTCTGCTTTAAATGAAATTGTAATATTATCATTTGTGTAATTCTTCAAATATTTAACTACATTCTTTTCCCAAGCTAAGGCCTTATCTTGAAAATTTTTATCCTTATAATTATTCAATAGTATCGTAATTAAAAGTGCCGACGAATTTTCATAATTAACATTTGTATAGCCTCCCAATGCTGTCCATGGAAAAGTTGGCCCACCATAGGCAGATAAGCATGGAGTTTTGAATTTGGACAAATCAACAGGAGCCGTTGGATTTTTGAAACAATAACTCAAATGATCAGCATAATCAGACTTAACTTGCTGAAATTCATCCTCATCTTTTTCATTAACCACAGTTATATTGTTTTGAAAATATTGTAATATACTCTATAGCAGACAAACAAATTAATCATAAATAAATTACATAAGAAAGTTAATATTTCTAGTTAAGCCTATTTACCTCTATGGCGCAATTTTTATTATCCGGCGCCAAAGGTTGAAAGCAAACATCTTGAATAGTTACATTTTTACCATCGTCCATTTGCCCTACAATATTAACGAGATCCTCTTGCAATCGAAGTGCCTAATAAAATACGGATAGTAAATTATAATTAATACTAATAATATAAATTCAATATGTTTTACATCAATAATGAATTGTTTCCGAAGTGCAGCTCCCCAAAGTTCATAATCAAGATTATGAGGTAAAGATTTCTGTCTGAGCCATTGACTTTGATTTTTCGGATGAAGAATTACTTGCGTTATTCGGTAGAAAGGCCTAAATAAACAAAGAAATATAAATTATTATAATAATTAAAAGCATAAAATAGCTTATAAACTGTTTACAAATGCTGTTCAATCAAAATATTTTTAACTCTAATAAATACTACTATTGATAATGAAACTGTTTTTTTGACCTATGGACTCTTATTTTTATGACAAATAGAACTTTTTTAGTATATAGTCGGTATTATTCACTTACGAGAAATTGTCATCAAAATATCTTTTTTCAACTCTTGCTCTTGAATTTGAGGCGGACCATAGTTGAACTGGATCAGTAGTTACTTTGAATAATGCTATTCCCGATGATAATATACAACATATGACAATACCAATTACAATAGTGACAATAGGTCTTTTTGTACATAATCTTCCTAAATTTGTAAAGAAATTTTTTAACATCCTTTGCATCCAAGCTCCAATCTTTTCACGGCATTTAACATCCGCCTTTGTAACAATATCAATTTGAGGAGTTTTAGCTTCTCTTTTACCATTTCGAAATGATGAGTAAAAGTTAAAGAGAAGGTATGAACTGAATATAACGGTAAACGCTAAGAAGATTGATGCCATGGAAAATGTTGGACAATTGATACCAATAATGGAGCATCCTTTACTCGGTTTTGGCGGTTTTACAGGACTCCCACAAGAATTTCTGCAATCTTGACAACTACAAATTCCGTCACATCTGGTTGTATTTGGTCTGATTGGCGTTTTTGCTGAGCCATTTAAAATAACTGGTTCATCAGACACAATATAGTATATTTGAAATGGAACCATAGGGTTATTTTTTTTGTCTCCAAAATTATTCAATAGCTTAAGCGGTGTACAATCTGCTGCTGTAGTACCGCATAATATATCCATTGCCTTACTATTCGAAGATGGATTTATAACATCTCTACACGAATCAAACATTTCAATTGTGAAATTTTCCGAAACGGTTATGTTTACCTAAATAGAAAAATTTAGTTGTATATTTGTTTTTTTTTTTAATAAAAAAAACAATAAGAACAAAATATTACGTACGCTTGTCCAAGAATCTCCCTTTGGATTTGACCGACGAACTACTCCATCCATAAACACAGATTGGTCAGGACCACACGTATAAGTACAAAAGAGATCTAGAAAATTTCGAAGGCACGGTGGACAACGTGATAGAATTTGTCTTGGAACTTGAACACTGTCTCTTAGCGTTGCCAATTGTCGAGGGGTGCAACAGGTCCTTGTGTCATTGCCTAAACGATAATTTAGATGCATTAGGTTATTGCGTCATACATAATTTGTTTTTAAGTTTAGTGTATATTCATTAGTTTCAACTAACCATCGTTTTTGTAGATTGAAGGACAGAGTTCAGCTAGGATTTTTAAAGCTTGTTGATCCTTTAATTTACGAGCCGGTTCTGTCGAAACGCAATTTTCCATCGACCCTTCAGGTGTTTTGTAGCATTGGTCATACCAAACACAATGAGGTTGAGAATTAACTTTTATAGGTTTTCCACCTCCATTTTCTGATGTGACTGTCGGACTAGATGTTGTTATATTCTCACTTAATACTGTCTTTAAGAGGAAATTTGTACAAAATATTAGAAGAAAGAGCTGAAATTGAGAGTTCTTAGTCATTGTTTGTTGTTCACTCGAATGGCTAAACAGCAAATCTTCGTGAGAACTCCTTTATTAATTGATGTTGTCGCTAAATTTTAATTTTTAAGAATATAACTATATCCAAACGAAACAGCACAATAGTATTTGAAGCTATAGTCTCTGTGTTGCGGAAAATGTCACGTGATCGGCTGATTTTAGATCACATGACTAAACACACCATTTTTGAGAACTAGGTGTCGTTAATATAGCAGTTCATCGGCCTACAAATATGTCATATTTAGCTTGACATTGCGAATAGCAATGAAGAAATATATTGAAATCGTGCAGCAATCTGAAACAATTAATGTTTCTTAAGATTATAATTACAGATTTAAGATATTGTTCATAGATTAGATAGAAAGATGAAAAAGTAAAGATTTATCGTATAAAAATGACTTAGATTTCATTTATTGTAGAAATTGGAAGTAGTATACAAAGGGTTTAATAAATAAATAAAACAAATACGAACGATAATCCTTTTATTGACGTTCTATACGTAATATTCCAAAATTTTCTTCGATTGGAACATTGCAGCATCTATCGACGGTTATAATAGATACTTTATGACTCCTTTCGGAATTTAGTGCACATAATAATTATTAATAGATATAGGATGTTTAGAAACGTCGATTACCTCTCTTCTACAACCTCAAGAGATCCAAAATAGAATCCAATCTCTTCCCATCCTTCGACAGATGAGATATTTTTAGATGGCTACCACTTGTAAATTCTATTTCAAAGTTTAATGGATGAATTAGAATTTTTAACCAAAATTCTAATGGAATATAGATGAATAAAGTTAGAATTAGAACTCACTTCTAACAGATTTAATAAAAACTGGGTCACATATAGACGCTTCGTTCCGAATCCATTACCGCTACGACTTTTATCAGTAACTAAATCCAGCGACCCTCTAAAAAAAAAAAAATCTTCTTAGACTTTTCTTATCACCCAACAACATAGCAAATTGTTACGATTATCATTTAATTACTAAGACTGTCAACGCCTATTGGAACTGCCTGCAAATGAGAAGAGCTGTAAAGAATTGTGTTACAGTGTATTATTCCAATAAGATTATAATTAAATCAACTAAATTTCATGGGCCACATAACTTTATACTGTTTATATAATATATATAATTAGTTGCCTATAGTTTAGATATTTTTAGATATTTAATTCAAGTAACATTTAGAGTTTTATATAATTCATTATACAAAATTGTAATTAGTTTGAGAATTGTTTTATCAAGTTTTACAACTACTCTCTAAAATGACTATTTTGTTTCTATTGTTGCCTCATTAGCAAAGATGCTAATGTACACTTGAATAAAATGGTAGGAGAAGGAAAAAGTTATAGCTCATTCTATTTCGTCAATATTTAAAATTGAACTTATTGTAGATCTATTTAAATCAACTAGATTTGACAAGGGCTTTGTAACGATCTGATTTTATCAAATGACGTAATATGATAATTTAAAGCACTAGGTGTCGCTAACACCAAAGTTCATCAACCTATAATATAATTTCCCTATACACTGTTAAAGATTGACATTGTAACTAGACGTGAAGAAAGAGTGAAATACTAAAATAAATAAGAAAGAAAATTTCATAAGATTACCCATCAGTCAATGAGAAATCCTATATATTCTTATATTTCTATATACTATTCAAAATCTAGGACAGTATGAATAAATAAGAGATAAAATGTGTATTTTTTATTCTTTTTTTAATGCTAAAAGTAGCCTTGCTTGTTTATTGGAGAAACGTGAAGTAAATGTTTTTATTATTTTTATTATTATTTACTTCCGATTGATTCAGAAAATTATCAACTATCGACTAAATCTACACTTTCAAGGACTCCAATAAATACGAATGGTGGGCCTGATTTTCCGGACTTCATATATTCTGCTACTAACAAGGAAGAAAGAGGTTGTCCTTTGAAAATCATGCAGGGGTTCATAGTAGATGGTTATCTTTTTCGTTTACTTCTTCTTTTCTTTCGGAATAAGATCATCGATCTTTTCGCCCTTCTCTAATTTCTTTTCCATCTCAATAAGAAGTTTAACACCATCAACAACCCATTGTACGAGTTGCACTTCGGAGAATCCAAGTCTATCCGAGTTCGAAATATCGTAGGTTCCACCGACAGCTGCAGTATCTACTCCACCAGTTCCTAAAGAATTTAATAAATAATTAAATATACTGTATATAAAGATATTAGTAATATATTAATAATCAGAGTGGATAAAATGAATATAGACATCGATTACCTCTCTTCTGCAATCTCAAGAGATCCAAAATAGAATCCAATCTCTTCTCGTCCTTTGACAGATGAGGTATTTTAAGATGGACACCCCCTCTCAATCCAGTTCCCAAGTTTGATGGGCAAGTTAAAATGTAGCCGAGATGCTGATTCCACATAAATTGATGCCCCTTGCTCTTCATAGAATTTTCTACTTTAGTTAAACCTTCGCAGAATCTCCTGAAAACCTCTTTCATGTTTCCTCCCTTTTGCATGGAGATAACTCTGGTATGATCTTCCTCGTTTATCCACACTAAAAATGACTTTTCGTCATTATGCCAGATACCTCTTGCATCAGGCCAATCTCTGGCCATTCCAGCGCAAGTTAGGAGGGGAGAAACAGGCTTATCGAAGAGAAAATGATCGTCAATAAGTTGATCTTGCTCTTTCTCTGTCATTTTAGACAGGGGATAGTATTTGCCCTTAAATTCACCACTCAACGATGCTAATGCATCGCAAACAACCTTTTCAACCAATCTTCTTTCGCCTCTGGTGCAAAAGGGTGGAAGGCAGATGTTCTTTATTGATCTTCCGGTTCTAACTCGAGAAGAGAGAACGTAGTTTGAATCAAGTTCACCTCCGACAAGTTTAGTGAAATCTAGGTCAGATGGATGCTTCTGGTCAGGTCCATAACCCCCATGACGTCCATCAATAACTGGATCGAACAATTCCTTGAAAACTTCATAGGATTCCTCATCACCAGCAACACAACCAACTGTCATGATAAACGGATGACCGGGATTATCAACGCCAGTTTGGATTGCCTATAAATAATAAGAGTAAAAGAGAATTCTTCGTAATATTTTACTTCTACAACTTCGGAGCTTAATCAACCAAATTCATGACCTATAAAGCTCAATATGCCATTTCTATCCCAATATTAAAATTTTATATTTCAGTATACACCAAACACATCTCATATTATAAGAAGAAAAGAAACGTATTAGAATAACTAGAGTTAAATTCACTGGACCGTTATATATTTCACTTAACCATAAATAACCAAATTAAGATGCTCAAATGGAAATTTTGATAGAAAATACATTATGAATAAATTTCTAATCATTAAGATAGAGAACCCTACATACAATATAGATTCTATAAATATTACTAGGAAGAAAATCTTTAATATCTTATAGGATATCACTTGGAATTTTGTATGTAAATAAAGTGAAGAGAGAAGTTTAGCGTTGCACAGATGATGCTTTTAAGGGAATTTATCAACGTTAGAAAAGATCTATAAGCAATAAAAGATTGTAGGTTGTTTTTTTTTTCTTCTTCTTCTTTCCGCCTACTTAGTTTCCTACAAAGGCTCGAGTGGATAGGCAATTAATACCCCTAATGTTGCCAGAGAATTTGTAAATTGTATAGTTTGGTCAATGAAATAAAAGCGAGTTTCTCTCTTCTCTCTCTCTCTCTCTATAAAACATAGCCGTCTCAGAATGAGATCGAATGGTCATTTGAGATTATATATTATTAAAACTAAATCCTTCGATGCGCATCATCTAATACAACCTACTTTCATGAAATTTTTAACTTAATACATTTCCTTTATAACCTTGAAAAAAAAAACGTCATAAAAAGCGAGATAAGGTTAGCTCTTTCTTATACTTTAACAATGAACTAATATCGCGAGACGTTAAAGGAATATTAAACTAGAAAACTAGATAGAGAAAGAAAGAAAGAGAGAGAGAGAGATGTAGACAGACAGACAGACAGACAAGCAGAGAGAAAAAAGTCGGAATTTCTCTTAAGATTAGTTTTTCTCTATTCTGCTGTAATATATTTTTTCTAGCGTTATGGAATCAGCTCCTTAATAAGATTTGACATAGTTTCTTTTCTTTAAAGTAACTGGACATAAAAAAGTTTATAGTTACCTGATCCAAAGTATAACCACTTGGAGTTGATCTATCTCTAATTTTAGCATAAATTTCTGGAGTTAAGCATTTTGCCATCCAGTTGTTATGCTTGCTCAAATCTGGAAAGTCTTCTTCGCTTTTGTACTTCTTTTGATTTTCGTTTCCACCCATGATTTTGTTTCTTTGTAGCAAGTTCCTATGCTCGAATGAAACTGAAAAAGTGCTTTCTCTATTTTTATACCAGAGGGAGTATGAGAGGTAGAGAAGTCGAACGTTTGCAGCGCAACTGAAAAAGCGACGCAGTGGATCAGTATAAATTTAGCTGCAAGTCGTCTACTAGGCCTACGAAATTTTATCGATGTTCCGAAATACTGAAGATGGCGTTTTTCGCTGACGTGTTGATAAAGCAGACGACAAAATGGCGGTCGGCAATTCTAGTTGTATATTTATCGTTTTAATATTAATTTCACTGGTTTATGATGTTTTTTCCGATCGAGTATCACATACGAGAACATGCGCCGATCCAACATGTCATAGTAAGATTTTTAAATTGATTGATGATTATAAATTCATGAAAAATACAGCGAAAGCCACAAATGTGTGAAAGTGTCGAAGGCCACATTTTTTTAAAATTCACCATGAAGACATAGTATATTAATTAAAAGATATGGTAGTTAAAACTATCTTAATTAGAATACTAATTATATACAAATTTCATTTTTGATATTGAATTAATTTAGGTGTTATTTAAGATATATTAAAAAAGAATAGACAAGTATTCTATTTACTTTTTGATTTATTTGATCATAAAAACAGTACATATTATTTACTGCCTAATAAAAGTAAACGTAAATATTATTATTAATATAAACTATAGGTTTAGGAAATATTATAAAAATTCAATTGATATTTACTTAAAAATCTGTTGATATTTTATTCTTAAAAGAGAAAAATCGATTTTTTCAACTTTAAAGAATCAAAGAATGCCAAATAATTAAATTAATATCTAAAATATGGTGAATGTACAATAAATACAATGATATATAGATAAATATTTAAAAATTTTATTCTTTTATGAATACAATTCTGAAATTTTCATGAATTTCTATTCTATCTTACACAGATTATTAATTATTAATTTGTTTGTTTCTCCCAGCTGTGATTTCAGAAGCTATTGCATTGTATCAAAATAAACAAGAAGGTTCATTACCCTTTGAAGTTAATGATAGGATAAAAGTTTTAAGTAAAGGTGTAGGAAAAGACCAAAATTTATGGGGTGGACTGGTAAGTTTCTATCATTTATAAAGTTCATTTTCTGTAACTTTATTCCATTTCTAGATCAAGGGTCAAATTGCTTATTTTCAAAAACATTTAGTAAAGGAGACACAAGTTTTTGTTGAAAATTTGACATTTACAGTCAAACCAGGTGATACTGACAACAATAATAAGAAAAATTCCGATGATGACTTCCTAAAAGAAGCTCAAAAAACTTATGAACAAATGGAAATGAAAAACAAGGGTAATGATGTTACACAAGAAGAGAAAAAATCAGAAGATCCAACAGAATTTGATGAAACTGATGAAACTGATATTAGTTCGGATACTAAAACAAAAACTGAACAAGATATTACTGATATGGACAATGAAGAAAAAGATTTAAAAACAACAGAAACAAAACCCGAATCTGTTGAAAATGAAAAGAAAGAAGAAGGTTAGTTCCTTATAAAAAATTTATAATAATTACGCTTGAATGACTTGAAAAAGTATTCGATTACTAAAAATTCATTAAAGTTCAAAAAATATTCTTAAGAAACCTTAAACTGTTAATTCTTAATTATTTTATAATTGTTCTCTCTATTGATTGTTCAATGTGATGATGATATTCTGTACATTTTCTATCATTTTCTCTATTAATTATTTGTTATCGTAAAACGAAGAGAAAGAGGCCAATATTTTCATAACTTGTTTTTTTTTTTATGTGTTCTGAAAACCCGCTAATTTTCCTTTTAGGAATCTGGTCTAGTGTAACCTCATTCTTTCGTAATTCGAACGGTGAGCTGGCATTTATTATAATATTTTTTTATTAATTTTAAAGACAAACATTAACGATAGAGAAAAGAAAAGACAATTTCTTTAAAATTATTGAAAAAAATGTTGCTATAATAATATTTGAATGCTATACAATGTTTTTAGTATGCAATTCCAAACTTTTTCTTTCATATCTATTGTAAATCTATATCTATTTATATATATTTTCTTTTGATGCATGAAATTTAAGAGAATAGAAGTAGTTAATGGTTTAATTATTATCTATACATTGTAGATGAGAAATAGTGTTTTTTGGCTTGGTTAAATTGCATCTTTTTTAACATTTTTAGGGTAATAGTTGTATCAATATTATTAGTATTAATGATCAATTCAATTAATTATATATACAATATACTGTTGTACCATATCTAGTCAGAAATAGATAAATATTTCATATGGTATATTTTTTAATATTCTCTTCATAAATCATAATTGAAAACTTTATAAACAGGTGTAGATGCCAGAAATATTGATAACAAAGGAGAAAAGAATATTGAAGGTAAATTTTTACCATTAATATTACTAAATTCATATTATATTATTCATTGTTCTTAAAATTTACTTATATATTTCTTTTTCTTTTTATGGATATAAATAAATATATTCCTTTAAAACGATTAATTTATTATGAAAAGAACAAGAAATATTTAAGAGTTTCTTCATCTTCTTTAAATTTAGTTTAAAAGGAAAAAGTTTTAAGTAATTAATTAAATGAAGATTAAATAATAAACTTTTTTTTATTAAATCTAAATTTATTGTTTTCCATTGTATCTATACTATATGTATAAGTTACTTTAAGTTCATTGTTATCATTTGCTAATTGTTTATTATTGTTTTTTTTTTGTTATGTTTTGCTTTTATTATATTCTCTTATCCTTCTTTATACTTTCTTGTTGTATGGAAATATTTGCACGAAAAAATAATTTCTTCCATTTCCATATATATATATATATTTTATATATATAGCCTAATGGTACAATCTCTTCACTTGAATTTGACGTGTTTGAAGAAACTAAACAATATAATTATATAATAATTTGAAACGGGTTCCACAGATTTAAATAGTATGCTTAGGAAAGAATATGAACAACATTTACAAGAAAAGAAAAAAATATATGACGATCATTTTGGCGTTGGACAGAAGGAAGGTGAACAAAACACACTTGATGATGACAATGCAGAACAAACAGCTCAGAGAAAAATAGAAAATGGTAATGAATCGAAATTTAAAAATGATGTTGATGGCATAGCAGAACAGAGCTTAGAACAAGAGACAAATATTGAAGCAGAGCTTCTAGAAAAAGCAAAGAAAGAAGGAGAGACGGAACAAAAGGACGAAACAGAGGAAGATGAAACCGAGCCGAAATCAGAAGACGAAACATTGCCAAATGCCGATTTAACGGAAACGAAATTGGAGGATGCAACTGAACTAAAAGATGAAGGAAAGATAGAGATCCCTACGGAGAAAAAAGTTGAAGAAGAGAAAGAGATTTCAACTGAACAGAACGCAGAAGACAGTACGAAAACTGATCAGTCAATTGAAAAAGCCGAAGAAAGTGAAGGTGAAGAATTAGCGAAGCAGGATTCTGAACAAGAGCTCGAAAAAAATAATGACCCTACAGAATCCTTAGGAAAACCTCTAACTCCAGAAAAAACAGTCGATAACAAGACTATAAATTTTGCAAACAAAACAAAGAAGGAAACTGCAAAAGTATCGGAAGATGTACAATCAGCCATTAACCAATTAAAGTTCACCTCGGATGAAACTTTTCCATCGGAAACGAAGACGGAATTTGAGGGTGATTTAAATAACCACTTATTCCTTCTAATACTTTCCTACAAGGCATAACTAATCATATTTATAATTAGTAAAAGGGTTACCCTTTTCCCAAACACCCCTGTAGTATTGTTGCTAGATGAGAGAATTTTGCATCCTTATAGTACAGCTTTATAGATGTATTTTGATAATACTTGTAGGAACCTTTTAAAATACGGCATTAATAGAATTAATTTAGCATTTCATACGGTTATAGGAAAATTTTTCTTAAATTCTCTTTATATTTGTTTGTAATATGAGAATATTAAGAAAATTTCGCTATTTTTAGATTGCTTATTATGTTACATGATTTTTATATATTTTTTTCTTCTACTTCAAAATAATATTTCTTCTTTCATTGTTTTTCTCCTAGAAAACGAAGCTAAAAAAAATGTTGAATTGGAAAATCCGGAAACTCCCCAAACTATTGAAAAAATGACCGACGACACAACGACCGATGAAAAAATATTAACTGAAGAAAATGCTAAACATTCAACTAAAGAGGAAGAAGTTGTTGAAAATTCTATGGCAATTGATAACGAACATGGAGGAAAGGGTGCTGAGGCTGATATTAAGATGTCTGAGACGAAGACTGATGTTAAAGAAGATGTCGGTAATCCTTCTGATGACTCCTCGATTCAACCAACAAGTAATTTAAACACTGAAGAAATGGTCACGGAAAAGCCAGCAACCGATTTAGAATCAAAAACTGCACAGGACGCTTTATCCGACGTACAACCAACTGTAACATCACAAAGTACTAATAGTCTTGATGAAGATCAGTCACTGTCACCTAGTGTTCCTGATGAAAACGGACAAGACAATACAGCCAGCATTACCAACTTGAACTTAGAATCTGTATCAACAGATTCGACCCAGACAACTGCGACAGAAGAAGCACAACAGAACACAATGACTGATACCACTCCACCTCCTCCAACTAAAGATGATAAACCATTGGAGGCTGGAGTTGCAGATGCTCCATTAAAAAATAACGAAAATAATGAGAACGTTCCAGCCTCAAATAAACCGGAGGAAAACAACTCACATCAAATGGAAGACCAAGTTCATGTTAATGACGGTACAACTACGATGGTACTTGAAGGAGCTACAACCATTTTACCCCCAGATGAGGAGGTTGAGGCTAGTGTTATTCCAACAATGCCGTCATCTCTCGAGTCAGAAAACAACGGAATCGACAAATCTACCGAGGCTATAAAAGTTGATCAGGCTTCTAGCGAAAGCAAAAGCTCTGAAACGGAACTTAAAACTGAAAATCCATCCGCTCACATAGAAAGTGCTAGTCAAAGTATAAACACTGAACCATCATCCATAGAGGCTAATATTTCCGACACTTCGCAAACTTTATCCAGCGAAAAAGCCAGTCCAAGCACAGAGACAATTCCTGAAAATACGCAACCGTCTTCTGAAAAATCTATACCTAAGGAAGAGTCCACAACAATTGAAACCCCTCCTCCAGAAGTAACTATAGGAACTGTCGAAACTAAGGAACCAATAGAACCACCTGTTCAGGTTCCTGATGTAAATAGTACGTCAGACCAGCCTGTGACTTCAGAATCAAGCAATAATGGTGAAGAATTGTCGAAAGACAATGTCGACAACTTAAAACAAGAGGCAGATACAAAAACAACCGAGGCAACTGAAAAGACGACTGAAGCTGATAGTGAAACTGTAACCCCTACTCCATCGATAATAGCTGAGGCAGACTCGACTGTTACAGTAAATGCTAGTGTTTTTTCAGGTGTAGATAGGAGTATGATGAATATAATTGAAATGGTAAGTACAAAATTTCCCTGTGACCTTGGTAAGAATGTAAACTATATCATATTTTATCTTAGATGCCAGGTGTTCTGCAATTTATCTTTACAAGCGAGCCAATTGGTCTTTCCGCTCCTAGAACATTTCTGTTGGCCTCAATAACAACTATGATATGTTTTGTCTTTGGAGCTAAAGCTGTTTTTTGTAAATCGAATCCAAGCAAATTACCAGATCCACACGGTTGGAAATTTTTCTATTTCATTTAACTATGAGAACAAAAATCCACTAAAGAATAAAAGCATGTAATATACATTTGTTTTTAACTATTTGCAGCTGCTGCCCGAAAATTAGAACACCAATTGCATATTTTACAAAGAGAAAAGGATCAAATCGAAGATGAGAATAATAGACTAAAAGCTGATATTGGAAGCCTATCCAATAGATCGAATCTTTCTTCAAGAGATGTTACTAAGCTAAAGGAGCAATTAAGTCGTTCTCAGGCTGACAGTCATTCCTATCAGACTCAAATACACGAACTTCAACAACAAGTAGAGCAAATTTCAGCGAGCGTTGGCGCAAAACACATGGAAAATGTTCAACTGAAAGAAGAATACGACCGTACGGTAGCTGAATATCATAAACTTAAAGATACCAGCAGTTACTATGAAAATCAACTTGCGGAGAAAGTCAATCAGTTTGAACAAAGTCATAAATCTCAGGAGACTTTAGAACTTCAAGTTCAGCAAATGACTGAAGAAGTAAGCGTTCTACAGCAAAGTAGAGATCAACTATTGTTAGATGTTGATAAATGGAAAGAGAGGTATTTTATACTTTGAGTTTATTGTTTGTTGAATAAAATTAACTTCTTGTTTAAAACAGAATTAATGACTCGAAAGAAGAATTGGGTATTACAAAAAATGAACTAGAAGCCCTAAAGGAAACAATTGAGTCGAAAGATAATGAAATATCGGTGCTTAAAGATTGTATAATAAATCTTCAGTCGAGTGATGATGATGATGAACTGGGAGAAAAAGAGAAATTACAAAGGCTAGAGAAGACTATTGACGTTGCTAAAATCTCTGCTGAACTGAAAGTATTCAAAGAGGATAATGAAAGTTTGAGGAGAAAATATGAAGTTGAAATAGAAAGTAGAAAAGGAATGGAAGTTCAATTCGAAGAAATTAAAAAAAAATGTATAGATTTAGAAGAAATGATAAGAGGGGCAAAAAGAGAAAAAGAGGAAGCTCAACTGAAATTAGATGTATTGTCAAATTATTTTAAAGAAAAAGAAACCAGCCTTCAACGTGAAATTGGAGAGAGAGAAGTACTTCGAACGCAAGCTTCATCCATGCTTTCTCGAGAAGAGCAAGATCGTGAAATGGCAGAAAAGACTTTAGAAATTTATAAACAACAAGTTGATGATTTGAAGAAAGAAATCACAAACCTGGAGCAGGATTTCAGGAGACAAAATGCTATACAAGAGAAAAAGGCTCACGAAACATGGCTATCAGCTAGAAGAGCCGAAAGAGGCGAAAAAGAAGCAAAAGCAGAAGCTAGTTTTCTTAGACAGAGACTTCTTGAATTAGAAAGCAGACACGAAAATATTGTAAGACCTGTGCCGACGTTACCGGAGACTTTAAATGGTGGTAGGGCACCATTAATGGCACCTATTCCTCCTCCAATGCCTCCAATGCCCCAAAATCCTATGATGGATAATAGACCACCATCTTCACATAATTCATTAAGGTAATTTGAATACTTTTGAAATTCAAAATTTATAATATTTGTTTTCAGGGAAGAGCTTGGCGTCTCTCCAGGTCTACCTCCAATGCCACCACCCCCTCCCCCTCCAATGATGCCAATGCTTTTCGATAATCAACAACGTTTCGACCGTTACGATGACAGATATTCTCCAACATACAATCGCACTAATCGTGGTTCGGAACCAAGAAGACTTGGTAAATTACAATAAAATACGAAAAAGATTGAATAAAATATATATAAATAATTTCCTTTTCAAAATAGGCCCTAAAACATCATCACCAAGAGATCCTGTACATTCATCAAGAAGGTGAAAAGTCTTACCAAGATTGAATAAAAACCCAACAAATATAGATTGTAAACAAAGAAATTGGTTAAAAAATATAATTTATCAGGTAAAAAACAAAAAAAAAGGAATACGAGAGACATAACCTAGGCTTTTAAAAATATTGTTTTTTTTTTCTTTTTGTTAAACAATTAACTATCGTTTACTAGTCAGGCAGTTATGGAAAAAAAAACACAAAAATGATGCAAATTTTCAACAATAAAACATATAATAAAATCATATTTAAATAGTATTTATATATATTTTCTTTTTTTTATTGTTCATTTATTATAATTATTATTATTTCTTCCAGTTTTTTCTCTTTAAAATTAAGAGATCAAATGGAAAATAATAAAAACAAAGAAAATATTAAAAGTCATTCACTTTTTTATTTTTTCTTTTTTTGCTCTTTTAATAATTTTCTTATTGTTTTTTCTACAAAAATTTCAGCCGATTTACTATTTTGAGATGATTTTTCAACAAGTTCATCTTCAAGCCTATTAATCTCTTCGTCGGTAATAACATTTCCCTTTATTATTAACTTCATAATGGGAAATTTTAATAGAATTTTATTTGACCATTCTTCTTTGAATCTTCTATATTTCAATGAAAATTTCATACATCTTTTATCAATATAGATACCAACGTGGAAGATTATAAATAGATTTACTGCAATTAAAACTGTATATAATAGGGCTATTAGAGCTAAAAATTCACGTCCCGAAGGTGGATGTGTAGGTCTTGTTGGACGTGTTCTCGAACCATTAATTCCAAATATTGTAGTGGAATAGGGTGATAATACGGTAGTTTGAATTTTTGGTTGAATATGAAAAGCGGTTGAACAGTCGAAATGATGATAAATATAAATTCTAATACAATTGCAAACGTATTCTTTCAATTCGGATTCTTTCCAGTATTTCAAATGGCATTTACCTTTATAATTCGAAACGTGAACAAATTGAATATTGCTATAACCATTCAATAATTTCATATTAACAAGATCCATAAGATAACAATCGTAAACACTTTGAAATTTCACCAAAACTGATTGGAATTTGATGATAAATTCAAAATAAACATAATTAAATGCCGACAAAAAATCAATGATTATATTTGAAGATAAAGCTATTTTACGGATAGTTTCAATCTTACGACTCTTGTCAAAGAACGTCTTTAAATCAACTATCCAAATGATACAATTTTCTCTATTATTATTAATAATATATAATTTTTTAATAGAATTAAACGACGATCTCTCCAAAGATGGACAATGATCATCCGATAATATCGATAATATATTAATCGATTTAAATTGAATATCATTCAATTTAATTGATAAATTTAATGAATTTACACGAAATGAACAAGGTAAATAGATTAACTGGGAATTAATTATCTCAATACTGAATATATTCTTATGAATATTCATTTTAATTAGATCATAACTTTTACAATTAATAATACGTAACTTTGCGAAATGATAATGAAGATATTTCGTAGATATTTGTAAATATTTAGGATTTTTAATTGATGAATATAAATTAGAACATTCTATTGAAATTTCATGAATAACTTTAAGATTTTCAGTACAATTATAAAAATTATTAATATTCCAATTAAAGTATAAATGATTATCATTTCTCCTTATACATTGTATATTATCTATTTGTTTCCATATTATTTTACAATTATCAGTGAATAAATTATAATTATTACAGCAATTAATTAACTTCTTTAGTAATAATGATTTAGGAAGATTTTTCCTATTGAATAATATCAGATATTGAACAATATGATAAAAGTTATTCAATATTCGTATTTCTGTTGATGAACAAGATAGAATAATAAATCTTACTGGAAAGAGATTGTTACTCTCGTAAGATTTTATCCTAAATGATCTTTTTATTAAGTAATAGCTGTATTTAAATAATGACACACTAGAATTATTAATTAAACTTTTATTCTTTAGGTGAATTAACATATTCCTTCGAAGTTGAACTAGTAAATTACCATTTAAGTTTGTAGGTAATAGATAAACGTGAACAATGAGATATTTTAATAATAATAGATTCTTTTCGTTTGTTATTGGTGAATAATCAATTGTCAAAGAATTAATTAAAGATTTAAATAGAGAATTACAATTATTACCTAATAGATAATTAATTGTAACGTATCTTATATATTCTAAATCTGGTTCAACGTAAACTTTAATACCTATTTCGGTATTAAATATATTAACCAAACAAGGTAGTTTATAGCTATTATATAATATTATCATTAATTTCTTATCGTAATTATCATAGATATTAATAGTTTTATTACAGTTTGTAATTGTAATTAAATTTAATAAGATATTAAATTCTCTTAATGATATTAAATTGATATATTCAATATTTAAATTATTAATATTATCATAGCAAACAATTTTCATATGATTGACACTTGAATTTGTTATTTTTAAACTTGAATTACATTCTTCGTAGTTTGTTATTATTGTTGAATTTTCAATTAAACTCTCGCCTATTAATTTAATAGATATATAATCATATTCAAATTGACAATCAATAATATAACCATTGATTATTAATTGATTAAATACGTTAAATAGATAATAGAAATATAATACAATATTCATTTTTATCGATCCATTTTCCTCTGTTTTCTTTTAATTATTTCAAAAAATAAAAGTTGAATTAGTTTTTTTTTTAAAAAGAAAAAGAAAAAATTTTTCTTTTTTTGTATTATGAATATTTTTCTTTCTATTCGCCTAATATAGGCCTAGAAAAAAGTGATAAAAAGGTCAAATAATAAACTAAATGATTCATATAAAATTCTTTTGTTGTTACATTTTTAATAATAGATTGTTTTATCGATATAACAGTCACGTTTTGGGCGTTATTAGATAGGAAAGGAAGTACGAATGAATATCCAATCATTTCAATACCTGTGTTATTTTTAGCAGTAAAAGAATGTTTAATAGTTTCGAAGGTTTAAACTCTTAAAAGTTATAGTTTAATTTATTTTTTATTAAACATATTACTGTTTCTCAGGCTTTATTCCATTTTTAAATTATCGTGTCAACGGACATGACTTGTTCTATATTAAAATAAAGATATACAAAGTGAATTTTATCTACATCATTGACCTTTCGTTTTTCTTGTCCTAAAAACATGACGTAATAAATCTCTTAAAGACAATGAAGTACTTTTCAACGTTCGTTAAAAAGTTTATAGTAAGTACAGTCACGACTATTAACTTAAAGTGCAATATGTATATAGATATAGAAAAATTTAGTAGAAAAACAACTAAAAAACCAAGATATTGTTTATTCTTCCATTAGAATCAAATATAAATTGTATGTTAAATTCTTGAATGAATTCAAGTTAAATATTTCACTATGACATAAACATTAATAGTATTTTCTTATAGTCTTGTCTTTGTTAGAGCTTTACAATAGGAAGGTGGCTCAATCAGCTTAGGTTGACATGGTAATTTACTGTTTATATTAGTGAGAAATTGATTGATATATTTTAACTTGGTATAAATAAATTTTGTCTCCATATTTATCAAATAAGATAGAGATAATAAGAAACAACAAGGAAAAAACAGGTGACTACTCAATTTGAATCTTATACGAAAGCATCTATCAGTATTGATGTGCTGTCGCTTTTATTGGTTTTTTCTATAAATTCAGCTGTTCTGTCTATAAGAAAGTAGGCTATTGTTTAACCTAATTTTAGAATAAAAACAATACAAGCTAAAGACTTTGTTTATTCGTGAAAGTAAAAATTATATGTTGTCAGGAACATAAAAATCTAGATAAAACATTTATTTTACAGGAATTATGCCTAATCTGGATATTTTCTAGGATAAATTGTATTTGAGAAAACTGGGATAATATTAAAATAAAGCGGAGTATAAAGCCATATGGGTAACTTTTATATTAAATCTTTTAATCTACTAATTTGCATCTTTTAATTATCTTCTGCTTAAATATAGGTTTTATCGATGACATGAATTACTCTGAAGGTGGAAATGTTAGGATATATTTCAGAATATTACTAGTATTTGTTATTGGTAACTTTCTTCTATATATTACGTTTTCTTTTAATCACTCAATTTTTGAAATGTAGGTCAAAATAAGTAAAAAATAAAAGAAAACTAATAAATATTAACTAAAAGGGAATTTTTCTTGTTGTAGCGATACATCCAGTGATGTTTATATTCTTCCTCTTCCTAAAAAGGATCATGAAGTTGTCAATTTTACTATTAAACCAGTCCCGATGGTTAGTTCATTGGAATGGCCCCCTGAAAGGCCTAAAGTAAAACCAGACTCAGTTGTTAATGAGTTTAAGAGTACCATATCACAACCAAATGTTCCGGATCTACCTCAATGGCCATTACCACTACCTCCGAATGAAACAAACAATCACTTTGTCGTCTATGAATGCTTTGATAAACTATGCGGTGGATGGTCCAATAGACTTTATGGGATGATTGGTGCCTATTTCATCGCGATAATCTATGATAGGTCCTTAGCAATAAAAATAAATCGACCATGTTCTCTAGTGCACTTTCTACAACCAAGATATGTTCAATGGGATGTCGACATTCCACAAAATTGGATCAACATTAGCTTTAACGAAATAAATGGTTATGAAATTTCTTTCGATAAATTAAAGGATTTGGATAAAAGTCTAAGAAATCAAAGAAATCCCGTAATTAATATTCATATAGCACAAACTGGATATATAGCACTATTCTCAAAAGTGAAATTTTACAGAACGAGGCTTCTTGAAAAAGGATTTAGTGAAAGTCAATTGGATAAATTAACTTTTTTACATTTTCCTTTAAAATATCAAATTTATGATCTGTTATTCAAATTAAAGCCGTATCTACAGGAAAGGAAAGATAACTATTTAAAGACTTTTGATAAGAAACCACTTATTTGTGCTCATGTACGAACAGGAGGTGGCAAAACGATTCCGGGAGATGCCGCTAGAGGAAGGATGTTTGGAACAAAAACGCTCTGGGCATTCTTACAAGAGAAACTACAAATTAATAAATTTAAAGATGCTAAAGTGTTCCTTGCTACTGATGATGATGAAGTTCGAGAAGAGTTTAAAAAAACATTTGGACATGTAGGGACAGAGATATCAGGCAATATAGTGCATATTGATAGATGGAAATCTCAAAAGAGAACCATTCATGATAAAGCAGCTGCATGCCACGGAATGGATAAAGTATTATTAGATTTTGAAATTATGAGTGAATGTGATCTTCTTGTGATAACTTGGCGAAGTGGATTTAGTACAATGCCTGCCTTACGAAATAGACATCGTAATGAATTATACGTTTGGAGATGCGAAGGAGGTAGTTGTTGGATTGAACCATTTTATAAATTTCAAAATGAAACTAGAAATTTATTTATAAATGCAATCAAAAAGCTGCCATTTTTAAATTGTGAAGATATTTTATACTGTTAAGTTATACTTTAGAGTTAAAAATTAATACATTTCCACAAGAATTTGTATATTTTATCGAATAAAAACTCAGAAAATTGCATATGCTAATAAAAATAGAGAAAATAAATATCACAATAATAGCATTTCAAATTAAAAAACGCAAGTAAGAGCAAATAGTTTTTAACCCCCAGTAACAACTAAAAACATTGAAACAAATAATTTAACAGTAATAAATTTGATACGCAAGAATACTCTACTTTTGCAGTAGAGAAATCCATAATAATTCCTAACTAAAATTTTAATATTGTCCCTAACATTAACATTTAAAAATGTCTTTGCAGTTGACATAAGGTTGTCTGTTAATGGCTTCACTAAATTCTCTTCTGCTTTCATCCTGAAATCTATACATTGGCTCAACCCAACAACTATTTTTTTCGCATCTCCAAACGTATAATTCATTACGATGTCTATTTCGTAAGGCAGGCATTGTACTAAATCCACTTCGCCAAGTTATCACAAGAAGATCACATTCACTCATAATTTCAAAATCTAATAATACTTTATCCATTCCGTGGCATGCAGCTGCTTTATCATGAATGGTTCTCTTTTGAGATCCCCATCTATCAATATGCACTATATTGCCTGATATCTCTGTTCCTACATGTCCAAATGTTTTTTTAAACTCTTCTCGAACTGCATCATTATCAGTAGCAAGGAATACTTTAGCATCTTTAAACTTATCAAATAGTAATTTCTCTTGTAAGAATGCCCAGAGCGTTTTTGTTCCAAACATCCTTCCTCTAGCGGAATCTCCCGGAATCGTTTTGCCACCTCCTGTTCGTACATGAGCACAAATAAGTGGTTTCTTATCAAAAGTCTTTAAATAGTTATCTTTTCTTTCCTGTAGATACGGCTTTAATTTGAATAACAGATCATAAACTTGATATTTTAAAGGAAAATGCAGAAGTGTGAGGTGTTGTAATTGTCTTTCCGTGAAGCCTTTCTCTAATAGTTTGTTCTTAAAATGTTTTACAGTAGCAAAGAGGTGAATATAACCCAATTGAGCAATGTTAACACGAGCAACAGTTATATCTTTATTTGTTAATTTTCTCTCTAAATCCTGCAGTCGTGACAATGAAATTTTATGACCATATATTCCGCTGAGACTTGTTTTAGACCAATTTTTGTTGGGAATTGTCACATTCCAATGTATATCTCTTGGATCAAGAAACTGTCTTATATCACAAGGTCTGTCCATTTTGACAACTATTGATCTGTCGTACATGATCGCTAATATATATAGGGCAACAATACCGTATAACCTATTTGACCAGCCACCGCAGGCCATATTGGATGCACACTCATACAGAATATACCGATTGTTTGTCTTACTGGGCGGTAATGGTTTCGGCCATGGTGGTTCATCGGGCACGTTCGGTTGAGAAATCGAACTCTCAAATTCGCTTATCACAGAATGTCGTGCCACCTTTGGTCTATCCTTTGGCCAATTTATAAATTCCTCCACTACAGGAGGAGGTAGAAATAATGTTTGACTGAAAGATAATTAAATTGGAAGAGATATATGTTATTAAAGATCAGAACTTACCTTTTACTCCTCTTTGCTCCATGAAATACTCCAAGAGAAATTAATATAACTAGTGATAAAGTCATAACGATAAAACAAGTTTTAAAAGCTTTTCCATTACCAGTTCGTTCCATTTTTAAACGCTAGTCAGCACTGAATATCAGGTCACGTCTCGCGTAACAATACTGCTCTTTCCGCTTACCTGCGTACAATATTTTGTTTCGTTGTTAAAGTATTTAACAACAAAATTCACATGCACCTGTGCAAATTATATATCTAAATATATAACATGTAAATGTATAGCAATACCAGTAAACATATACAATCTGAACAATTTATACGAAGTATTAGTAATACCTGTTTATATGGTAAGCATAGAAACGAATGTGGAATGTGAAGCGTGAACAGTGAAAGACTAGTCAGTTATTCAATACTAACGTATGCAAAAATAAAATATCTGAGATATATGAATCGTGTCTAGAGATATTGCTTACTATTCTTTATCATTTTTGTTAATATATATTGAGATTATCATATCGCAGTTTTATCTGCATAGACAATCGATAATAGGAAAATTACTTTCAGCGTTTTATTGATTAAAACACACTACGCTACCTTTGCACTGTATTGAATTTTTGTTGTAGGATAAAAGTAATGATAGACGACCTTTAAAACTCTTAATTTTACTGATAATAATCCAAAGAATTGAACTGCAAAAAAATTTTTCTAGATCATCTTGAGACGTTTGATTGAAAATAATGAATAAGAAATTAATTAAGCCTCGATGGAGACCTGTGAAATTTTCGCAACTACCTAAATGGCTGCAAGATAATAATTACTTATTAGGTGGTCATCGACCCCAAATACCTTCGTTCAAGACATGTTCCAAGTCAATATTTGCTATTCATTCTGAAACAGGAAATATATGGACACATTTATTGGGTTGCTTAACGTTCGTGTGCTTAACTGTATGGTTTGTTTTTCAACCATCTATTCGATACAACTGGAGTGACAAGATAGCTTTTCTAATATTCTTTACCGGATCTATTCTATGTCTTTTGTTTTCTACCGCTTTCCATACCTTTCTTTGCCATTCGGAAAGTATAAATAAGCTCTTTAGTAAATTGGATTATTGTGGAATAGCCTGCATGATAATGGGAAGTTTCAGTCCATGGTTATATTACGGCTTCTATTGTCAGACTAAGGCAATGATATTCTATGCAATTCTTATAGTTGTACTCGGTTCATCTTCCATCATTATATCCATGTGGGAAAAATTTGCACTGCCCAAATATCGGCCATTAAGGGCTGGACTATTTATTGGTTTGGGTTTAAGCGGCGTATTTCCTGCAGTTCACTATCTGATAAATGAAGGTCTAGAAATAAGTTTTAATAGATCAGCTCTGGGCTGGTTGATTCTTATGGCAGTCACATATATAGGAGGTGCCTTAAATTATGTCTTCCGTTTTCCAGAGAGGTTATGGGCGGGCAAATTCGATATTTGGTGCCAAAGTCATCAAATATTTCATATATGTGTCGTTGTTGCAGCATTTTTCTGCTATTACGGTTCCCTTGTTATATCTGATTATAAGAAAAGCTTGAACGACTGCTAATTTTTTCCAAGCTCCACATTTTGCTATTAATTATAAATAATTGCTTATCTGTTCAAATTTATTTACAAACGCTTAATTAGATTACACAAAAGATTGAATAACTAATGTCCATCTCCTCAAGACAATTTATCATTCACACTCTTCTTCAACACCTCTTTTCAACTGTAAAGAATATTCATATCTTAATATATAGTATATAATACCGCTATTCAACAAATTATCATTAATATATGACCTTTTTTCTTGTACGCGATAAAGTAAAATAGCAAAGAAACCATACTCTCATTCATTATTTCAGTTGGCAACTTTGATTAATTAACACAATTCTCTTATACTATAAAATCTTTTTCCTTACACTTTATTCAAACTGTTGTCAACTATCGTACAAGATGGTACCTTCCGATTCATTCTCTCTTCCACTTATCCTCTTTTTAAGTGTCTCTCATTTCCGTTTTGCTTCCACAACACAATGTATGAAGTATTGGACGTATTACTCTCAAAAACACGCGTGTTATAGATTCTATAGTCAACTGTATAACTTCGAAGAGTCTCAAAACTTCTGCGAACAGAATGGAGGAAATTCAGTTAGCATTCACGATGATCAAGAAATGTCTTTTATCCAAACGAATCTTGGGTACACTTTATATAGAATATAGTTTAATTTTTATTCAATATAACTGAATTATAATTGTTTAGCGTTAATCGTGACTTTTGGATGGGTTTAAGAAAAACCACAGGAGATTTATCCTCTTTCGACGGTTATACTTGGACGGATGGAACAACTTTCAATAAGAATTCAGGATCATTTTTTGTATCGGCATCTCTAAATGAAAGGACTGGTTGTTTGAGAACGTACACTCTAATAAGGAACGGAAGACGAATAGGACAATTTCATGATTCATCATGTAATAGGAGATATGCCGTACTTTGTAAAATAATATGTAAGTATTTAAAGAATATATACCTGTTTATTACCAGAAATATAAGTCATAAGTTTTACATCCTCCATCTCTTTTTCAGTAAATCAGAATAGGGAAGAGACTACAACTTCTCCATCAACTACGTACATAACTACTGAGTCTATAAGTATAACAACCGACATTCAAACGACAATAACACGTAAGATAAATTATTATCTTTATCATATACATTTATATAAAATAAGAAAAAAGACCAGTGCTCCCACCAAGGTTATCTAATACTATTAAATATGGTTTATTGTTATAATAGCTTATAATAATTTCTATAGATAATTAGATTATTCTTAATCCTTAAGTATATTTTCGTATTTAATCCATTATTTCCTTCCAAAATTCTATTTTAAAAGAAAACAAAAAGCTTTTATGATGTCAGAATTTGAAATTAAAATAATAGAAGAGAAGATAATTTCTAAGATATATTATTATGGCGAAAAAGGATAGTTTGGAAGAACTTTCTCTATCGGCAACCATTGATCAAGTTGATAATGATAATGATATAAATTATTTTAATATACCTAAATTGGAGAATTATTCTAATATAAGGAATGAGGATTGTCTTGTTAGTCCACCTTTTCAAGATCAATTTGATTGCGCAGAAGAAGAATATATGTCAAAGATAATATATAAAAAAGTTAATTTACCTAACAATGATGAAATCCGTTCAAAAGTTATTGATACACGAAAGTGCTTCTGTTTCCATCTGGAAACAAAGTTATCAAGTAAAGTTACTGTTGAAACCATAGAAAAGACTCCTATATTTAGAGTAATCAATAATTTTTTGTTTTTATAGCAATTGATTTAACTTTAACACAAAAATTGTATTATACTTCTTTAAGTATACTTTAGACACGTTTTACGAAACACGCAAAGTACGATGGATTTATGAGCCGTATGATGGACATGAAATCGATGGACCCCAAATGGGTGTTATACTTAAACCTTGGGATATCAAATATATTCCTCAAAGTATGTTCCAAAATGAAATAAAGATAATGAAAATACCTCATACGGAACATGTACTGCAAAAAATTTATAAATACTGCAATATAGTTTTTAATTAATCATTTATTCATATATACATATATATATATACTCAAATTAGATATTTCCTTGTAAGAAATGTAACGAAACTGGAATTATCGATTGCGGGATGAATTGTCAAAAGATGAAAAAAGATGCTGAGTATTTTGTATATTCATTACGTTAATTGTCTATTAAAAATAGATATTTTATATTTTTCTATCAAGATGCTCAAAGTGTAAAGGAAGAGGAAATATTCAATGTACAAGTTGCCATGGAAATAAAATGATTAAACTCCATATTCAACTAACTATTAGTTTGTTAGTATATTCAATCATTCCATTTAGAAGAACAAAATTACAACTAATACGTTATTAGTAAAGTTTATAGTATCGATTACGATTTAATAAAATATAATGTACCGGAAAGGATTATCAAAGATATATATGGCACAGTTATATTTGAACGTTCATCAAGAAGAGCCTATCCTATAACGAATTTTCCAATTAAAGAGATTAATGATAATTCTCAAATATTAGTTCATAATAGTAGTAAAATCAGTAAAGATCATAGAATTTTACAAGAAGTATGCATAAAATATCTTTGATATAATTTATTTTTAATACAACTTTTAATTGAATTTAGAGGCAAAAGTTATTAATAATACCAATTAATGAGATAAAATATAGATTAAAGGGTAAAAAAACTATTAAGAAATTATGGATTTATGATCAAAGTTTAAGAGTTTATCCAGAAATTCGTTCCAGATCTTCATGCCAAATTCTCTAACTTTGTAAATTGAATTCGTTTCGTTTGTGAAAGCAAATTTTATTTTATTATTTCATTGATTTAATGATCAATTTTGAAAATTCTGTGAATAAGATAAAAAAAATATACATAGGATAAGAGAGAGAGAGAGACAGAGAGAGAGAGAAACAGACTTGATAAGTAATCATTCAACAATATTTTTTTACCTCTATAATCTACTTGGCCATTCTTTGATTTGTCTGCCTGTTTTATTAAATTGTCAGCCTCCTCATTTGATAATCCTTCACCCAGATCTGTAATGATCCTTCTCAATTCTCGAACGCCTATAAAGCCATCCTTAGCCTTTTGTTTTATTAAAATTATATATACTTATAAGAGTTTATTAACAGGTGTAGAAATATACTTTATCAAAAATGCTAAAAGCCTCAACAAGTGCTTCTTCCTCCCTTTCAATCGTTTCCTCTTCATTAAAATCATCTGATTCACCTTGATCGTGCTTAAACGTTTTATCCATCATAACTAATATCTGGGAAAATGTAATCTTATTACATTTTTCAAAGTCATTCAATATTTCATTCAACTCTTCCTCAGTTGGATTTCTTCCCGACGCTCTTAATACCATACCAACGTCATTCTTATTTATTAAACCATCGTTTTTATGCTCAAAATACGAAAATATTCTTTTACAATCTAATAAAAGTGAATAAGAAAACAGGTGATTCGTTAAAATTTAATAATAGTACTATAATAGAAACTTTGCTTTTCCTCTTCGTTAAGATTGTAGCAAGCCTGCATAGCAATAGTTTTTATTTGATTCACATTTATAGAGAAAGAAAAGCGAATATTATATTGATTATCTTAAATGTTTATTATCAGAATTTATATACTTACCATATCCTGCGCTAAACGTTGAAAAGTCACGAAGACAAATAAGATTCTTGCTTTTAGAGTTGATTGAAAGAAAAAGAAAGAAGGTGAAAGAAGGTGAAGAATGAGAGAGAATCAAAAGATAATTGATGATTGTTATCTTCTATTATTTAATTCTTTCTTACTTATAGCTCAAATATAAATATATTCCCTTAATCTATCATTTAAGGCTAATAATTGTAACTTTATCTTGTAAATCTAAATTATATTGAATTTTCTTTTTTAGGCCTATACTAGGTGAATTGCGAAATAAAATAAAAGCCTAGATATTTGAATTTATGAAATGTATTTTTTTGTTTTCATTTACAAACTAACATAACGATATTAGTTTTGAATTCCTTTTTCGTTTCCTTCCGGTCTATTCTTAACTCTTTTTTCGGGATTTTCTTTATCTTTATTCGTCTTTTTCGATTGTTGAAATAAACTTTCGTTAGGATTAAATAATATGCAAAGGTGCCTAAGCGTATTCGGTACAGATGGTATAAAGTAATTTTCAGGCAATTTAATTAGCATATAGGATACTCTCTGAGCGCCGTAACTTTCTATATTACTCTTCTCCTGATGAAAACTTATTGAATCATTTCCACGAGATAAAGACGCAACAATTTGCGAACATTTGTCATAGAATTGTAGATTATATTGTTTATTATTACCAAAACATAAATTCATTGAATGAGCGTAAGTAGAGCAAACTTTAAGACCAGATTGCCAAATAATTCTCTCCAAAGTTGCCTTATATTTTGGATATTCTCTTATAACTTTAATCTTTGCCATCTCTAATTGATTTTTCAATATTTTCCAGAACAAACTTTGCAAACTTTCCTTTTTATATCAATTTCAAATATGCATTTTTCATTTTTATAGGCTTATTAATCTCTTACCTCTTTATCTAGGAAGATATTTGTAAAATAAGATTTAAGAATAGGTTGATTCTCTTCCCAGAAGAAATCCTTAAATTTCTCAATTCTATTAACTTCACTTTTACAAACATATGAATTTAACTATGAAAACAAAAAGATAAATATAATATTCTACGCTTATGAATATTCATTAAAATAATTACCAAATTCAAATTGCATAGAGATTCGGTTAAGATTAGTTCGAGGTAATTATTTCTATTAATTGTACTATATAATTGTTCAGATTGGGTAAATTGACAAAATTTATCCTTTTGAAATGAATTTAAATACTCTGAATTTAAAGCCAAAGTTAACGCTGAAAAAGAAATTACGCAATAAATAATTAACTTGAACATTCTTTTCACTTTTATAAAGTATTTTTGAATGAAAATATGAATTACATAAATGTATTATTCACGTTTATATATTCTTTAATGTTTCGTGATTGTTCAACAAAAAAAACTCAATAAATTTTATATTGATATAGATTTAACACGCATATTCTACAAATATAAAAAGATAAAGTGGGAAGGAAACTGAAGAAAATAAATAAAATTTAAAAAAAGTCGACTCTATCGAACAGCTGTTCAGAATTTAGAGTTTTCAACAACTTTTGTTTTTTTTAAAAAAAAAAAAAGTATATTTCAAAACCTAATAAAGTAAATTTATCATATTATCTTTATAAATTGTATATATATAATATATCTTCTTCATTTATAAAGTATTCTTTGAATAATATATCACGTGATTTTTTTATATTTACTCAAATATTATGAATTAAGGCCTTAAGCTTGTACGTATACAACCCCTTTGTGATTAAGGAATGCTTGAATGAGCGCAAAGGTATTGCTCATATGTAATAAAAAGTTGGTCAGGGCGTGCCTTACTACGAGATCACGCCTTGTAGCACTCCCAGAGGTGATTTGGTAGTAATTGAAAGTTATTTACGAGGAAATTCTTAATTAATTATGGCGGAAGTAACAAAGAAAAAGTCTTCGAAAGGTCGATTTTCGAAATTATTCGCTAAAACTGACATTCCTTTGAAGGTTTCGCAGAAATCTGAAACTCCTGCTAAGGGGAAAAATATAATGTTTACTTCTGGTAGAAAGACTTGGAAAGAAAAGGAAGAAAAGGCAAAAGAAAAGGAATCAAGTACACTAAATTTCCAATTACCAGGACCTGGGCGTGTCAAAGAAAACGAATTTGTTCCTGAATATTCCCAATCGGTTGATAGACCTTACAAACCAGTTCCTGTTCCGAGACCAACGAATAACAATACAGTTGAAGTTCACAACGATACGGAAGGCTTCAACGAACTTCACGTGTTTAGTTCAAAATCGGCAAAACAAGACGTAAAGGACAGACCCACCTCTGGAATTGTTGTCAACACTACCGTTTCAATGGAAGAAGTTCTAGCTCAAAAAGTTGAAAATCCTTCCATACCAACAAATTCAAATTCTCCTATGAACTTTGAGCACAAAACTAATAAGAAAGGTGCTGTTAGCCTTTTAGCTATCAAAGATGAAGAGGATATTGTAATTCAGACAAGTCCACCAGAAATAATTGATACAAAACAGACAAAAGCAAGTATGTAAAAAATCAGTTTCTATTAAATCTTAAGTAAAAATTTTTGAATCATCATATCATCTCAATTTGCCTTAGAAAACGATCGTCCAATCGTTACTCCTTCTGTCCATGCCGGTCCGTCTCCTGCCCTTCCCCCTTCATCAACTACTTCTCCTACTTATCCTGTAGCTGCACCTCGAATCGTCACATCCGAAAAAGACAGTGCTACTCTTATTCAAACATCCAGTACCGTAGAAAAATCAGAGACAAGTTATTCGACAACTACTACTAGGACTACTACTGATGCTTCGACCGTAAAGGCTGAGTCAAAATCCAATGGCAATATTTCAGATAGAGTTGATTTAGCTAAAATCAGCTATCACTGTAATTCTGAAATTATTGAATGTAATAGGACAGCGTCATTTAGGATTATGACACCACAAGAAGTTTATCGAAATGATTTAAAAGTTACCATACTTGGTAAGGAATTCTATTAAAAATACTCTTCATTTTACATTTCGTTAACATGTCGATTATTTATGCTGATTAGACGCCGAAAATAACGATGTTTCCTATTACGTAAGATCATCTGATCAAGGTGGATATCATGTGGAATATACACCAATCAAACCTTGCGGTCATGTTATTAGGATTTCATATAAGGATGAAGAAATTTTTGGATCGCCATTTAAAATCAAAGCATTCAATCCTGGTGCAGTTACAATCTCAAAAATGGAGAAGGCATTCGTTGGTGAAAGTTTCTCATTTACGATTAAAACCGACGGAGCTGGATCTGGAAAATTGGCTGTAAAATTTGAAATTGATGGTAAAACTGTACCAAATACAATGAAGAAATCTAACAAAGAAGTAAGCAGCTATATTGCTACATTTACACCGGAAGTAGCTAGGGTACACGACATTTTTGTTACTTTTAACGATGAATCTATACCGGGTAGTCCATTCACTTGTAAAGTCTTTGATAAAAATGAATTTACAGTTGAAGGTAAAACTCTTGACTATGCTCCTATTAATAAAATGGCTACGTTAGTTCTCAAAACTCCACCCAACTTTGAGGATCCAAATCCGAAAATAGACTTCTACATAACTTCACCAAATGGTTACGTAATTGACGTAAATAAAAAGAAAATTTCCCAAAATGCTTGGGAAATTCAATATATTCCAATAGAAGTTGGGAAATACGTTATTAAGTGTAGCGTATCCGATATTGAAATTAAAAGTAGTCCATTTACTACGGAAGTTTATGATCTTAGCCAAATTAAGGTAAAGGGAATAAAAACTGGTTTAGTTGGTAAACCAGTTAGTTTTGAGGTAAACGCTGCCAGAGTTGGAGAAGGTACTCTAACAGTTCATGTTGAAACAAAGAATCATAAAACAGTTTCAGCGAAACTTTACGATAGAGGTAATGACTTTATTTTGCTGACTTATTAGTTTTTAATACAAGCTAAAATTCTTAGGTAATGGAATTTTCGAGATTGTATTTGTTCCTATCGACGAAACGCCTCACAACGTTGATATTGAATTTAATGAAGAACTCGTCGAAGGATCTCCGTTTGTTTGTCATATTTTCGATAATAAAGCGGTTAGAGTTAATTGGGATAGCGTTTATCCTGTTCCTATTAATAAGCATGTACAATTCGATATCAATATTGGAGAAGCAAAATTCGAAGATATCTTTACTAAAATTTTCAATCCTCTTGGAGGCGAGGAAGAGAGCGAACTTTCCCAAAGTGGAAACTCTCTCACAGTGGCGTTTATTCCGAAAATGATTGGAAATTACATTGTCATTGCTCAATGTGCGGGTCGTAAAGTAGCAGATTCTCCATTTACTTGTTCAGTTTACGACGTATCCAGAGTAAAATTACAGGCCATTGAGGTCGATGGCCGTGTTGGGGATGAATTATCTTTTGTTGTGGATACAAGCGAAGCTGGAGATGGAGATTTGGATGTGGAGGTTTTATGCTTGGGTCAATTAGTAAAAACTATTAGGCAAAAGTTGGACAATACACACCACAAGTACAAATATAGAGTTGAAAGAATACATAATCATTTTATCAATGTTATGTTCAATTTACGTCCAGTACCTGACTGTCCTAGAGAGGTTACAATGCTTGATCAAACCAATTATATCTATATAGATCAAGAGACGCCGAACCTTGTTCCTGCTCACAAAATGAATTGGCTTCGTTTGCTATGTCCTGACGTACCACTATCTGTTGCTGATCTTACTATTGATATTCACAGTAAGTATAGTGTCTTTTTTCAATAGAATTACCTTTTTGATGTGTTAAACTTTTTCAAAGCTCCCAATGGAGATCCAATGCCTTATAAATTTAGTCCTGAGGCTCCTGGCAAATATCTATTGGAATATTCTCCAGTTCAGGCTGGAAATCACGTGATTGAGGTTTTATATGGTGAAAATTATGTAGGAGGGGAGCCATTTCAAGTGCATGTTTATGACCCAACTAAAGTTTTGGTTGAATATTCAAAAAGTGGAACTGTAACAAAGGAAAGTGAATTAAAAATCAATATTGCTAAGGCTGGAAATGCTGAACTTGGTCTAACTATTCACTCTCCCAAGAGTGAAGTTGTTCCGTACAGCAGCAAAGAAGTTGCAGATGGATTTAAAATATCATATTCCCTCTCTGAAGCTGGAGCATACAAAGTTTACATTACTTTGGGTGATATTCATGTTCCTGGTGCTCCTTTCATTACGAATGCAGTTGATAGAGAAGAAGGTGCTGTTGAGGTATCCGGTGATGGCCTAATACAAGGCTATCTTGGTAGACCCAGCGAATTCAAGGTGGTAACTAATGATGTTGTCGGTGACTTAGATATTATAGTAGCTGACAACAAGACCATACTGGACAATACTTTTGTCAAAGACGATAATAATAATATTTTGGTTACCTTCACCCCGAAAATACTTGGAGAGCATAGAATAACAATAATGGTAAACAAGAAGAATGTTCCAGGAAGTCCTTGGACCCCTAATATAATTGATCCCAACAAAATCGAGGTGGTTGGTGGATGGGAATCCCACATGGATTATGATCAAAAAGTAAACTTGATTTTTGGAGAGAAAAAGACTATAGAATTTCTAGCAGAAGCACCTGGTACTTTGATCGGCGAGGTTCGAGGTCCAACAGGAAATCTTGCAGTTGAGAATGAGGATATTGGTAATGGAAGGTATACGATAAGTTTCACTCCAGATGTTGCTGGAGAATACTACATTACTGCAAAATGGAATGGAATTATTGTGGCTGGCTGTCCTCAAATGGGCTTCGCAACATCTCAAGAAGAAGTGGACAGTAACGAAGTGTCAATTAGAGGCAAAGGCCTAAACGAAGCAAGATTAAACGAGGATGCTGAATTTATCATTGACGGAAAGAGACTAAGAAGAACAAATCCAGAGGGACCCCAAGTAGATATTGTTGGTGTGAGAACAGCTTTGATATCCAAAGTGACTAGATTACTTGATGGTCGTTATAAATGTTCTTATAAGCCGAAACATCACGGAGCCTATTTGGTTTATATTAAATGGGGTGAAAGCGAAGTTCAAGGATCCCCTTTCAAATTAGATGTAAAACGAGATTCGGATGCCTCTAAAGTAGTCTGTGACTATGAAAAATTGGAGTCAGCCACCCTTGAAACTGAGAGCGTAACAGTTATTGACACTAAAAATGCCGGAAATGGCGAGTTAGTTGTAAAATGTGAGGGATTAACTAGAGAGGCCCTATGTCAATTATTGAATCAGAGAGATGGAACATTTAATCTTCTGATTAACGCACAAGAACCTGGAAAACATATGCTTCATATAACATACGCAGATGTTCATATTCCTGGTAGCCCTTATGAGATGAACTTTGTAAAAACATCAGATGCTACAAAGGTTCGAGTGTTTGGACAAGGCATCGAAAATGGAATTTTACCTACCTTCGTGTCATCTTTCACAGTAGAAACAGAGGGTGCCGGACCAGGCAGATTGTCAGTAAAGGTTAAAGGGCCAAGAAAGGCTTTCAAAGTAAACTTACGACCAGTTGATGAGTATAGTAGAACAATTCTATGCGATTACGAACCAACAGAAACGGGTTTATATCTAGTAAGTGTTATGTGGACAAAACATCACGTCGCCGGCTCTCCATTCAAAGTACGTATATTCGATACAGCTGACGAACTAAACAAATTCTTAAAGAACAATCCACAAGAAAGAGGAAACGCTAATACTTTACTAAGACATTTTTAAGAGATGCATTTCTTTTTTTTTATATATAGATAACTTTTTACTCATCTAACAAAAACAAAAACAAAATATCTCCTTTCTCTTCTTCTCTATTATTGTATTTATTAATATAATCATTATTTGGGAGAAAAGCAATTCATCAACTGCTGTCTTTTATCGAAAATAAATGAATTTATACGAAAAAATATGTCGTATTTATATATATATTTATCATGAATAAAAAAAAATGAACATTAAAGGGATAAGATCAATCTTCCCCTTTTCAAAGTATGTATGATAATATAAGAGAATATAAATCTCCTGCAATCATTTTCTTCTCTTTCTTTATTTTATTAATTTTTCCGTTTAGTTTTATTTATATAATGATTGTATTTGAACAAGTAGAAATTTTGTATCCAACTTTATTTTAGGTTGAACAAGAACAACAAAAAAAAAATACATTTTGAAAATAATCACTAAATTCATATTTTTTTTTTCATAACTAACTGTATGCTTCATATTCAAAAGGATAAACAGGTAGAGAGCAGTTCATCAAGACTTTTTCCTAGATGGACCAAATATAAACTCCAATACTCTATCAACAGCAAATGAAGCTAAAAAGTCGACTGCTAACACTTTGAGAATATTTTCCCTAAACTATATTTATAAGAAAAACAAATGAATTAAACATTTATTTGATATTATATAAATTATTATTAATTCTATAATTAATTGCCGTACCAATGGATCAAATTCAACAAGTTCAAATTTCTCAGCAAATCCTGGAACAACTCCCGAAGCCAAAAGTACAACCGATAATCCTGATACTAGCAAGCTGTAAAGCAGAAGCTTATTTTCTCTAAGTGATTCCATAAATGGATGACCCTGAAGAGAATAAAATTACATTTGTTTACAAAAAAGGTCTTTGCACTAGAAAAAAACAGAATTTTTATAAAAAAACTAATCTGTTAACCTTATAATTTACTGCGAATGTAGTAACTTGCATGGCAATTGATATCAAATAAACTGTACTATTAAGAATATTTGGCTTGAAGTCTGCTTCAAGATCGATGTATGCACCATCAGTAGAATTCCTAGGCATTAAAGTTTGCGCTTGCGTCTTCAAATATACTAGGCTAGTGAAATGCACGGCGAATTGGCCTAAAACAGTAAATATCGTATACACGTTGAAGATATTTGGTAAAGGTCGTTCCTTGGCTAAAATTTTTAAAGGCTAAAAATAAATTAAAATTATTACTTGCAGTTTATATAAAGATAAAATATATTCGAGTTTACTTTGCTTCTTGAAATGAATAGGAAGCATCCAGCCAAAAGGAGTCCTTGAAGTGTTGCCTGTGTATCGGAAAATTTAACACCATCCAAATACAAAACCGATTGGCTGTATGCTAGAATTAAAGCATTCAAAGCCAAAATTTTAAACATTTGCAATGTCGTTACTAAAGTACATCTTCCTTGTTTGATAATATGGCAAACTATGCAATAAAAGATTATGTAACAATTAATAATAATCTATTATAGAATAATCCAATTCTATTATACATACCGCACATAGTCGTTGATAATTTCGAGGTAAATGGAGAAGCAATACTGGCATCCCCTAAACGAACGACTTGGGCTTTATCCTCTTCTTCAATTTGCTTTAATAAATTTCCAAGTTTCTTCTGTAAAATAATAAAAATTAATTGTTTCTAAACTACTTCTTTCTAATTATATTCTATTCTTACATCAGCATGAGCCTGGAATGCCATTTCACGACTTTTTGATTTGCTTGTTTTACTGTTTGATCGATTTCTTAAATCTTTGTTCTTCTCTTCTTGTTCAACTACGTGATTAGTATAAGATGGCTAAATAAAATTGGGAAAAGAGATGATTAGTTAATTATTATTATTTCATTACAGAACCATTTGATTTTTACCTTCTCTTCTTTAACACCTGGTGGCTTTTCTGGGGCGTTAGCCAAAAGAGCAACACCTTTTTAAAAAAAATAATATGTAAAAATGAATGTTCTTTCATTTAGAATTCAAAGCATCATTTCATTCCGAAACTTACCAACGTGGGCGTGCTTCAGAGCCCCTACATCATTTGTTCCATCCCCGCACATTAAAGTAACAAATCCTAAATCCTTAAGAGTCGTAATAACTGCTTCCTTTTCCTTCGGTGCAACTCTAGCCAAAACTCTGACAAGTGGAAGAATCTGATTCAAAAATTTATTTTCATTCGTTCTTAAATATTGGAAAGCATCTCCAGTTAGGCACAAGTCATATTTCGTTTTTAGAGTTTGAACACTTGTTTTAACCTCTAAAATTATACTGTCGTCTACTGATTGCCAATGCCATTCATCATGGAACTTGTTCGGATTTGTCAGAATAAGGGTTTGTTCTCGTTTTATCATACGTAATTCTTTAGCTACATGACAAGCAGTCAGAGGGTTATCTCCAGTGATCATTGTAACAAGATGAGATGAATTAGCTATTTCCTTTACGACTGATTTTGAATCAGATTTCAACGGGCAAGATATGATAACGAAGCCAACAAATTCTAAATCTTTTTCAACAGATTCCCTGGTCAAATCGCGAACCTGTTGATGAGATAAAACTCCAAGTTTCCTATAACCCAGAGCAAGAACCCGGGCTCCTCGTCTAGCCATTTCTAAATACGTTTTCTCGTAGTTAGGAGGAACAGAAGAGTACATATCTTTAAGCATTTCAGGAGCACCCTTGACTGTAACAATATATTCAGTCTCAGATCCAGCAAACGTATGACCAGCAATTACACTCATTCTTTTCAATGCGGAAGAAAAATGAAATCTTACAAATATTTTTAGTCCATGGCCTTTTTGTTTGTTTGGTATAACAGCATCGCCTTTTGTAAGTATCCAATCAACAGCCGATAATGTTGCCTTTTCTAGAGGATCACCGACTAAATCGCTACCAAGCTGTGCTAAGGAATGGCATGTTGCTAGTACATGTTGACATTTTGTTGGTGATTTTGAGACATGTTTAATTTCCGTGTCGGTGCTATCACTGAATAAAAATAATAATGAAAAATTAAATGTCAAGTAAAAGAGATAATAAATCCTTACGTTAATCCAGCAATTCCTTCTACGACAAGATTGTCACTAGTCAAAGTGCCAGTTTTATCGAAGCAACAAATATCAACTTTACCAGCAAATGGTATCCTAAAAGGTTCCGTGCAAAATACAAAGAGTTTGCTAAGCGCTATAAGAGAGGAGTTTACAGCTAAGGAAAGTTCTATAGGTAATTCCGGAGGCACAACTGATGTGAGGATGAGCGTGCACTCCAAAAATAATTTATATCTGTTTCTCTTTGGATCCTCAGTACCTAAAATTTTAAAAATGGCATCGTAAGAAGAATTAAAATAAACTAATTAAAAATTTATCCACACCTTTAATCCATACGTAGGAAGCAGCAATAATAGCGAAAATTAGGAGAAAGAGAATAAATAAGAATGTTTCTACATTATTAGCAGTAACACGTTTAACACCGTATAATATTGTTCTTAATAATTTTCCTTGTGATGTATTGAAGGAACTACGTAAAACAAAGGCGATACAACCATTATCACTTGCTGTAGTGTATGTAAAAATTGAAATTATTGAAAATTAAGTATTAAGAATAATTTATTATTTTATGAACTATCACCTTTCATTCCAGCTCCGGTTTTCGCCGGAGGAGTATGCTGGACAACTTTCGTTCCTCCAAACAGAACATGTAATTTACCATGAGCGCCTATATCAAAATACGTGCTACTGTCATGCGATTCAATAGGTTCTTTCATTACGGGAACGCTTTCGCCAGTTAACATAGATTCGTCCACAATACACGGTCCCCTCAGCAATAACATATCACAGGGAACAAGCTTATCACTATCCGATCGACCTGTTTAAAATAAAAAAACGTACAAAATAAAGTTATTTGATCATGTTTTCTACACAATTTAACATTATAATCAATTGTTTGCACCGAAAATTCTGTACAATAGGATATTTCTAAAAATAACTTTTCTTGATTTTCTTTTTCTTACCACATCCCTAAAGAGGTTACTTAATTATAAGAATCTATAATACATACTGTAATATTTTAAACTAAATAGCGGAAACTTCAAAGGCTTTCCTTTTCGTTGCTTACCTATGGATACAATGTCTCCTGGTATTAATTCATCACTATTCACCGAACGCCATTTTCTATTCCTGTAGCACTATTTAAAAAGAGAAAATAATTGTAATTATATTTTTGTACACCTATAAAAAAATGACTTAAATGTCATTGATTATATGTATTTACCGATATCTGATATGGTTTATTACCCATTTTACGAATCTCAGACATATTCCTAAGTTGCTGTTGTACCAAAGTACATTCAAAGGCCACTAGCATAAACAAAGTGAATACACTGTAGTACCAATATTCATCCAAACACCATAAACCAACACAAAATACTTGAAAGACGAAAAAAGGAGCTGTAGCTCTTTCTTTAAACAGCTCTATAAACTGGGGTATATCCATCCTCATACTAAAAGCAATTAGATTATATATTCAATTAAATTAATTTAAATATAAATAAGCTTTAAAACATACTTGTTCGCTCCGTAAGTCCATTCAGCCTCCTTTATATTGTCATCAGATTCGTATCCTTTCCATGACATATATTTTTCAAATGACCAGTCCATCGGAAAGTCTTGAGGTTTAAATTGCTTTTTCTCGTCAAAATCAAAATAATATTTAGTTTTTTGAAAAAAAAACCACAAGTAACATTTCTCTGTCACTGGATGTAGTCCCTTTTGCAAGAGAACAAGTTCTGGAGATCCATTATTCGGAGTTGGAACGACTTTTATGAGTCGTGCCCTTAAAACATCCTTAGTCTAAAAAATATGAAAAATTTTACTATAACGATTAATATTTTTTACACAAAAATGACTGTTTTTACCGTCGAACATGTCATAAACGTTTTCACGTGGACAGACCAGTGACAAAATAAGCATATTAGAATCTGACAGATTCCAATACCAGCAAAAGCGATCAAGCCTGCTTCATAGTACTCCGTTACTCCGATGAGAAATATCCAACAATAAGCCCAAATAGAATAAATAATTATAAAAGGTGCTACATATCCATGTAAGTAAACCGGTCGAGGGCTATGTAGTGTAATATAGTCAATTTCGTCATTTTCTTCAATCATGTTGTCCGTTCCTTTCCTGGCCGTGGATGACGCAGGCAACCAGTCGGATTAACATGGGATACCCTATAGATTCCCCCACAATGAGTCACATTAACAGACATCTTTTCACTGCGTGGCGGCGCCACGAGTTCTTTTTCCGCATCCGTCCTTTTCTTCCTTTCCAAAATGGCGACACGACAGCAAATCCAACACGTGCAGTGTTTTGGCCGTAAAAAGACCGCAACCGCCGTCTCCCACTGTAAAAGTGGAAGAGGTTTAATAAAAATCAACGGCAGACCCATTCACTTGGTTGAACCACAAATTTTAAGAGCGAAATTGGAAGAACCCATTCTGTTGTTGGGCAAGGAGCGCTTTAGCGGCGTGGATATTAGGTATGATGATTTTTTTTGGTCTAATTTCAGTTTTATGTTCGAATATATAGTATAATTGTGAAATATAAAAACAAGAAATACTTCGCTTTTGTTGTAAGAATGGTTTAATAGTTTTATTCCTGATTTTAATACGCGAATTTTTTTTATCAGTTTCTTAACATTCAAGGTCTTATAATATTACGTTAATCGTTTACAGAGTTCGCGTTAATGGTGGTGGTCATGTAGCTCAAGTCTATGCTATTAGACAAGCTATCTCCAAGTCGTTAGTTGCTTACTACCAGAAATATGTTGACGAGGCTTCTAAGAAGGAAATTAAGGATATTCTGGTTCAATACGACAAATCTCTTCTGGTTGCCGATCCACGTAGATGCGAACCCAAAAAGTTTGGAGGTCCAGGAGCAAGAGCCAGATACCAGAAATCTTATCGTTAATTTTGTCATTGTGGTTTCGAATACAATTTGACGATTGAAGAATTAATTGATAAAGAAGCTCTAATTTTAAAAATAGCACAAGTCAACTGTACCAAATACATTAGTATTTATTGAATTCAAAAGAAAAACAAATAGAGCAAATTAATAAGTTAACTATACATAAACACTTGCACTCGTAGCACCTTTAATATCCTTAAAAGTTCGTTAGTAACTAATCACTCCAAAAAGGCGCGCTAAAACACATGTTTCGCACCTGCATTAAATGGTGACTAAAAGATTGTATGAAAAAACCAAAGGTTTTAAAAAAATAAGCCAGCTTGCCCTGTCGTGAGACGTCGTTTTGAAGTTAAAAAAAAGAGTTCTTCACGCATTTCCTATTTTTTAAAATGGCAGTTTTAAAGCGGATAAGGAATGTGGGAAAACGCATTAAGCAATCAAAATAATTGATGTTTTCTGGTCGCAGACGAAGTGGAAGATTGCCGCTTTTGCCAATAACAATTTTGTATTGTTACGGCATCAATTGATACAGAAATATGTTTGGTAGTTTCAATTCGAGTGAAACTTTTTCCTCCAGAATTGTACCTGATGAGAATTAAGATTAACCTTGTAAACTAAATCAAGTTCAATAGCTTACTTATAAAATCCATCCATCATCTTATTTGTTAGAGGTGATGGACCTATTCCACTGACTTTAATAATATCTTCTGTTTCTGGAAAGTATGAATAAAGGGCTCTGTATTGCTGACCTACTCCTCGAAACAGAATGATAAAATGATTAGCCGTTGATCGACCAATAGCCTCTAAAACTTTTTGTTTCTTATCACTATTGACATCACCAGCCAAACAACAATGACTAATGGCGTTCATAATGATGCTTCTATTCGACTTAGCACTAGGCTTCACGAAGAGCTTCGGACCTGATGGAAAAAATTTCCGATTCGTTTCATATTAAACCTTCTAAATAAATATTCTTTATTACCTGTATAATCGTTAGGCTCCACAATTTCAGTGTTGCTCCTACCTGTAATTTTTAAATGAAATTATATCACTAAATTCTGTTTAAATGACGTAGATCGTTAAAGTTATTGGGAATAATTTAATAAAAGCTCTTTTCAAACCGAAAGATACCCATATCATTGAATAAGGAGAGCTGTTAAAATATCATTCAAAATACTCTTAATAGGAGTTGGCAACCATTAAGGACAAAATGATTTCTCAATTAACAGCCCTTTCTAATATAATATGTTGAATATATATGTATATATAGAAAGCACTTTCATACCATGAGTAGCAGATATCTGTTCTAATCGTGCAGATGAAATTGGTGGTTTAACAACTTGTGTAGTATGATGTCCAGCTCGTATCGCAATTGGATTTACGGAGGCCATGCCTTAAAAATATAAAAAGGCCATGCATAAAGCTACAACTTTATAACAAATATAACATCAGCTTGAAATAAATGGGGAATGAGCAAAGCGGTAAGGTATAAAAAAGCAGAAGCTTTAAAAGTAAAAAAATAACCAACACAAATCAGGCCTGGAAACGTTTCTTAGATCCTTTAAACTGTTATGCCTCTTGTGGACCAGGTTTGAATTCTTGCTGGGTAAAATAAACTTCTCGACGTCTCTAGGAGATCCAGGTAAAGAGTCTGGTCTAGCTATGGCTTTCATAGGGCCCGACCGACTGGTTCTCAGTTTTTCTACATCGCTTTTACTGCTGATACTACTAGTGCGTTTTGTTCTCAACAGGCATACTATAAAAGTGCGAAAAATGTGCCCAGTGCAAAATAAAAAGAAAATTAATTTAACAGATTGTTAAAATATAAAGAACGTAGGGATTCAAACAAGCTAGACAAAAATATTTTTTTTTGGTAAAAATAAGAATAGTAAAAAAAAGAAATAAATGTCTAAACAATAATTTCTTTTAGGGACTCTATCACAATAAAAGGAAAGTGCCTCTTTTCAGTGATTCTTAACAAGGTTCCAAAAAACCCATTAAATAAACCTTTTTTTTTTTACATAGCTGTACTTTTTTTTTAATTAAAAAGATTATCGATATGTTTATATCCAGAGAAAATTAAGTGCGATATTTAGTTAGGAAACTAGAAAATGATAGCTTGTTAAAATTGCTAGGCGGAATTTAAAAGCATTGTAAAACGCAGATGAGTGAGAGTTGAACTTACATGGACTAGGTGGCCTTCGTCCAAAGCTCACTTTTCTTATATCGTCACCTATATTGCTATAATCGTAAGCGTCTCGGTTTACGGCAGCTTCATCACCATGACCCTCTCCCGTCCTACCAGTAGACGGTGATACTTTGACCAGGTTTTCATGAGACCTACTAGCCATTCTTCTGGAGGCTAAATCATGATCTCCTACAAAAGCCTGACTTTTAGGCCGAGGCCTTACAGTCTTCTTAGGTTTCGGAGGAGATTCAATTCCTTCTTCAGTCTGCTGCTTTTTTCTTAAGTAGGTTTGTAGTCTCTCCTCTCTTCTCAATCGATCTCTTTCCCGTTTAGCTTCCTGCTCCTCTTGCTTCATCCTCGTTTCAAACGCTTTTTGAGCTCTTTCTTCTTCCATTTTTTTTCGTTTTTCCTCTTGCTCTGCTCTTCGCTTTTTTTGAATTGCTTCCATGCGCTGCTGTTTTCGCTTCTCTAGATCTCTGTCATTCGGCGAATCATTATCAGCAACCATAAAGCCAACAGCTGATGTAGCTTCCTCTTTTGCTGCCTCTTTCTCATCTTGTTCCTCCTCTTTCTGTTGTCTTGGGGACGTTATCGGACTTTCGTTGTTTGGATTGTTGTTTTCTTTATTTTCTTTCTTTTCTTTCGTTGAAGTCAACTTCGGTTTTCTTTTGGATTTTGGAGTACTTTCAGAACCAAAATCAACGTAAAATCCAGTTGGTTGCGATTCATTACTTTCCTCCTTTGTTTGTATATGTTCGAGAGCTTCCTCGACGGTTGTATGAGGTTCGTGCTTTGTTTCTATCGATATTTTCTTTGGAAGTTCAGGCTCCTTTTCTTTAACTTCTTCGGATTGAGATTTTGGGCTCTGGGAGCTGGTAACATCGGGTAAAAATATTTGACCTGGAACTGAGCAATGCTGTCCTTTTTCACTTAATGAGCCAAAAGGTAATTGTTTGGCACTGCCAGGACTTGGTTTTGTGGAGTTATCTAACGACAATTTCATGATTTCACCATGTAATTCCTTTATGCTTGTATTTAATTTGTCAAGAGATGCACCGTATGCTTTGGGTTGTTTTTGCTCTGTTTTTTCTGATGAATTTGTTTGGATTACAAAATTTTCGGATGTCGTATCAGTGCTCCATCTTTGTTTTGCATCGCTTATTGTCTTTTGAGTGTTTACATGAGAAAATGACTTTCCTGTATCATTCGTATTTTCTTCTAAGTTAGGTAAACCATTACTTTGTGTATTTGGAATGGTTGGCGAAATTCCTTTGCCTTTATTGTCTCTGGTTTTATCCGCAACAAAATCTTCAAGCAAAGAATCTCTTCGGGAAAACTCAATAGCACTGCCGTTATCAGTAGGCTGTTTATCATCTGCTACGGAGTCTAACCTGTCATGAGTACTCGAGGAACGCGGTGGAATTTCTTTCCCGGTGGAACTATTAAAAGACCCGATGAGAGAAGCCGGAGCACTTTCTCCACCTTTCTTAACCCCAACTACTTGTTTAAAAGCTGTGTCACCAACATGCTGCCTTATTTCGCTTCTTTCCTCCCTTTCCCTCTTCCTTTCTTTCTCGATTAACTTTCGACGCTGATCGAGACGCATTCTGATATTATGTATTTCAGCAGCCAGACCAGAGTTTTTATCATTATCGAAATCAGACACTGTAGAAGAATTAACAGAATTCCCCTCTTTATTTTTTTGAGCGCATTGCGACCATGTAGTTTGGTTAGGGAGAGAAAAAGTTGTTGTTTTCTTTTTCTTCCTTTTTGCAGAGCTACCGATTATTCCGACGCTAGGGGTTTCGGGACCACTAGCAGCAATTTTGGCAAAACTTGTTACAGGACTGGCTTTATCCTCTTCGACAACTGGAATTCCTGCTGCGGAAGCTTCTTCAGGACTTTTCACCTTATTATGTAATACAAAGCTGGCCCTATCAGTTCTCATTCGATCCAACGGCGATTCTTGAAATAAATTTTCATGTACAATTTCATCCGTTGAAGCATTATTGAAACTTAGTGGAGCATTTTCAACAATAGGTGTTTTGTACTCTTCAGATCCAGGAGAGGAGTCGCTTGATTCTTCAGGTTTCAGAGGCAAATTTTTTGGAACACGTCGTTTCTTCTCTTCGCCTCTTTCAGACGATTTAGTGACACTTCGCGTTTCCTTAACCTCCTTCTTTCGAGCAGGTATGAGTGGTTCTGGAGATTCTAGATCATAGTCATTCGATATATCAACTTGATCTAATAGAGAGTTTCCCTCCTGAGGCCAGGCTTGCTTTGGAATATCTTGGCTTGTTTTTCTCAAAGGCAATAGTGGACTTTGTTTACTGTGGAATAAAAACGAAAAATTAATATAACAGATTTGAAAAGTTTCTTCAAGCCCTTTTCACTATTAAAACCTCCATGGGAATTTTTGTAAAAATTTTTTACCGAGCATTCGCCTGTTAAACTAGAAAATTACAAAGAAAAACTATAAATATAGAATATATTTACTTTTCGGCAGCATTGTGAATTTCGACTGGAGATTCAGTCCTATTGCCATCGCCTCCTACATAGTTTTGACGAAAACTTTTCTTTGTTGCTTCGCTTATCGGCGGTTTTACAAAATTAGCAGATGCAGGACGTTTTCTAACTGCAATTCAAAAATTAATTTTTAACGAGGCCAAAAATTGCATTTCTATTTCTTACCTTGCTGATTACGATCTCCTTCAAAATAATTAAATAACTCAGCTATAAATGCAATAATATTTGGCCTCATAATCGGTTCACAATAAAACAGATCGTTCAGATTCAATGGTATAGTTTCTATTGAAGTATTCAATATAGTATTTATATATTTTGTTGAAAATTGATGTTTTTTTTTACCTACCTATATTTTTATCACACCAGCTTAAGATCTGTTCTAGGTTATACAACGAATCGGCAATATCTAGAGATCTTCTAAATATAGCGTCTGCAATGTTTTTTGTTAAATGGATTTGTGGTCTATTATAAAATAAAAAACATCACAAGCATTAGTAATTCATACCTTGCAATTTAAACGAAGTTTGATAGTGAGCCAAAATAGCCGCTAAATTACATCCGTCCGTCATATCACCTAACTGCTGTAAAATTAGAAAGTTTTCATCTTCGACGTTTAATCTATTTCTAATAACTCCAGCGATTTTATTCATCCAAAAGATAAGACCATCTTCAACATCAAATGGTAATTCCGAAGAGGCTTTTACTGTTGCAAATCTCCTAAAATTATACAAAAATATAAACTCTTAATATTATCTTCACTATAGTTGAAACTTTCATATTTAATTAAAGATTTAAACGCAATTTCTTACAGAAAAAGCACATATTTTATACAAATATATATATTTGTACATATATAGCATGATAGTGTTATTGAACTTACTTGACGGCTGTAATAACTTTTTCAACTGGACTCGTTTGTGATGCGTAAGCCATCATTAAACTGTCCATCATTGCGATATGAGCTCCCTGATAAGAGAGAAAATGTATTTCATAGAAAACTATATAAATATGTTTAAAGTCATTCATTAATTGAACTTTACGTACCACTTTAAACGGTGCCGGTTGCGATAAAACTTGTTCAGTCACATTAGATTCATTTGGGGCGACAACGTAAAATCCTTTCCTCGACAGCATTTGAAAGACGCTGGAGTGACCTACGTAAAATCCGCCTTTTGTATAAACTTATGTTTAAGGTTATTGGATAGTACCTCTTCCTTCATATTCCTGCAAAGAATTACCAAATATATGCGCGCAAGTTCTGCAGTACAAATTCGAGCTGACCAACTGCTTAACAACAGTCTGTTTCATTCTTTGTGAACCCTAGGGGAAAGTAAACAAAACATGTTTTTATTCTTCATTTATATAAAGTAAAAAATAAAGCATATTTCAGTTTTTTTTCCTAGCATTGTACTTTGTTTGTTTACATTACAGCTAATAGCTGTACAGTGTGCATAAGTTAGAATATCTATTGAAAATAAGTGTATTCAAAAGAAAATACAAACATTTTGGTCCGACTCGAACGGTTCTTGCAAATCAGAGGGAATTTTTCCATCTGGAAATGCTTTCGATATAAGCCATTTGACTGAAGCGCATAATTTTGCCTGAAATAATTAATAGTTAATCCAAAAATTGCCTACTTGTATTATCCAAATATTTATGAAACTAATCATCCATTAATCATTATCTTAAAAAAAAATTTACCTCTTTTATATTCCCAATATAATCATCTAGTGGGACAATTTCTATCACATCCATGATATTAAGAATAAGAATTAAGAGTTAAATCTGCATCATTTTTAAGAAAAATACAGTAGACAATGACAAATAGAGTGCAATCTTCAACTGTCTTTTTTCTTGGACAAAGTGGACTTGATAGAAATTTAATTAGAAGTAAAATTGTTCAACTGCCAGTTTTGAAAAGTAGACTCAAGTCCTGGAATGTTGAAAAATCCGATAAAATTCAATTTCTGACATCCGATCACAAGATGTCGGCCACACGCATGCGTAAAGAATTTCGAACCGAGCTCTATATTCATAAGGATTCCTGTTCTACGTCGCTTCACCACCAACCAGACTAGTAGTTGACCATGTGTTAAACTATCTTTCATAACGAAAGGAAAACTGAAAGGATCGACATATTTTAAGATTCCTCAGCCCAAAAAAATTAATCGAATTTTAAAGTTACCTACTTACTATCGAATTGTAGCCATGAGCAAGTCTAATCTGTCCGGAAGAAGGAAGATTGAGGTAGCATTACTTTTATACATTGATATTAAAACGATGAGTATATTTCTCAGTTTTTAGAAAAGATTTCTAAACATCTGAAGGAAATATTCGAAAACAACCCAGATAAAATACCGCTTCATAAAAAATGTTAGTTTAAATAATTTTACAATTCTTTCATTTAATATTAAGTATTGTTCTTCCCAGATGCTGTAAAAATTGATAATATTCGTCCTTTTCTGAGAAAGAATAATTATGAAGAACATTTTGTCTCTGCATTAGAAGATTCAGTAGAATATCGAGTAAGTGAAGAATACATTTATTTAAGTGCTCATGAGGAAGAATTCTCCAACTTTGGCAAGAAAAATAACAAAAAGACAGATACTAAATCTAGTGATAAAGAGCATGCTATTGAAGAAAAAGAATCTATGAATCTAGAAAAACAGAAAGTAGGAATTTAAAACTAATTTTTTCTATTCCCTACTAACTAATTACTTTACAGAAAAAGGTTCTGGGCTTTTTAAAGCATATGACAACAAAGGGATACATAGAACGCAAATTTAAACCAAACAAAGAAGGCTATATCGACTTACAAAAGTTTAAAAGCGTAGCATCGGAACAAAAAAAAGAATTTGATTGGGATTCTCTTAATAGTTTCATTAAAGATGAATTCGAAATTAAAGGCAATATGATTAAGGTAACAACAGACAAATCCTGATTCATAAAAAGTAGTTATGAAAATATTTTTTTTGCGTCTATAGGTTGGCGAGAAGAAGACTGAAAAAGAAGACTCAATGGAGGCGCAAGCCGAAATTGTACCAGTAGTAATTAGTGATACTAAAATTTCTGATAAAGATAATCGTAACAAGAGGAAAGGACTTTCTACGGAACCCAATGCAAAGCTTCCTCGTCAAGATGAACAGGTTAAATAAGTATAATATTTATATCTATGAATTATAATTATTTTTTATGACGGACTCATTAGACAAATCTAAAGGAAATGGAAGAAAAGCTTGTTAATTTCTTAAATTATGGTTGTAAACGTTATCATGTCTCTCAATATCAGGGTAAGTCGACTATAGTTAATTACTAATTAAGGATATATTAGTATAGATAAGATTTAAAATCTTTTGAAGGTTTTGTATATTTGGAAGATATAGAAACTAATATAAATATAAGTCAACAAACAATAAAAGAAATAGCAAATCGAAATCCGAAATTCGAACTTGAAGTAGAAGGCAGCACAAATAAAGCCCAGATTCGTATTTTTAAAAGAGCACATAAAGAAACACCAGTTGATGTTATGATTTCCAAAAAATTATCTAGTATTCTAAGACATAATGCTGAAAATTGTGGTTTAAAATTGGATTCTGGTTTGTTGATGTTTTTTTAATTACTGTCTAAAAACGTAATCTTTCTTTACAAGGTGGATTCTTATTTGTTAATGAAATTCTTAACCTACGTGAGTTTGTTAAGAACGAAATAACGGAAATGGATATAAAACGAATTGTTGAGAACAATGAAAAACAAAGGTTTTATATGACGACTGATGAGACAACCAATCAACTAAAAATTAGGGCTAATCAAGGACACTCTTTAAATGTAGAAAACTTAGAATTAGAAGAGGTCACTGTAGACACAAATTTACGCTCTGTAATACATGGAACTTATTGGAAATTTTGGAAATTGATTGAGAAGGAAGGATTGAAACGTCAACGTAGAAATCATATTCATTTCGCTGAAAGTGATCCATCAAGGAATCAAGTAATAAGTGGTCAGTGTATAATTCATTTGAGGGTTCTTTTAAGTTTCTCTTATCTTGTAAAAATTGAAAATATACTTCACAGGTATGAGATCTTCGTGTGACGTCACTATTTATATCAACTGGAAGTTAGCTCTTGCAGGTTGTATCTTATACTTTTAACAGTATTTATGAAATTTATTTATAATTAAAAATTACAGACGGGATCAAATTTTTTATCTCTGCAAATAACGTGATCCTTTGTCCTGGAGATAAGGATGGTGTTTTATCTCCTAAATATTTTGAAAAGGTTCTGGATAGAAAAACTGGCAAGGCTGTTTTTCCTTAAATTATACAGAATAGGCTATTAAATTTGTAGCTGTTACAAAACTTTCACTTGCAAAAAATAAATAATACTTAGAAAGTATAATGAAAACAGTTACTAATATTAAACAGCGTGCATTATCAGTTTGAAGGCTACATGAAAGTTCTATTCTTTAATTTAATAATTTTCCTTTAACTTATTTAATTGCCATTGAACGATAAGAGAAACGCTATTTTCTCATCACCTGAAAAGAATGAAATGGTTCATTTTCAAACTCTTATCTAACTTTAAAGACCAAATAAATCTAATACAATTTATATGTATTCTTTTAGGAGTTAACTTTTTAAAGTTTAGGAAAGCTAAGAAATAAGTATATATCTTTTTATCTGTGTTTGCAGAGATCAGTACTATTACGTTTAGAATGTACGGAAACATTAATTTATGGTATGATTACGAAAGACCTTTCTAAGTTTCGTTCGAATCCCTCTTTTCGCGACTTATAAACATAGGCTAACACAATTCAATATTACTCTTCTTATGACATATTACGAAATATGGACCTCTACGTGTACATAAATCATAAATATTCATAAAAAAATCTCTTCCTGATAATAATCGATTTTACCTGACAACTGCAGTTCTTATCAGATATTAGTAGGAGAAACAAAATGGCTTCGTGTGTTACTTCAAACCTAGCTACGGCTAACTTAAACTTTTCTTTATGCCTTTTAAAGCATTTATCTAAGGATACTGAAAATATATTTTTCAGTCCTATATCACTGTCAACCGTTTTTGGAATGATTTTTCTTGGATCTGCCGGTGAATCACAAAAACAACTAGAAGATATATTCAGTTTTGGGTCTTTCAACAGTACTGAAGATGTTCACAAGGAAATGCTTGAAATTTCGAAACTTTTTAGAGGACAGAATAACATTGAATTGAATGTTGCCAATAGAATTCTTGCACAAGAGAAGTATACTTTTCTACAAGATTTTATACACAGTCTGAAAAATTTCTACGAACAAGACCCAATTAGAGTGAATTTTGCATCATCTGAAAAGAGCAAAATAGTTCAAGATTTGAATAAATGGGTTGAAGATATAACAAAGGGTAAAATCAAGAATCTTTTAAAGGAGGATGCAGTTACTGCACTTACTCGTATGATACTTGTAAATGCAGTCTATTTCAAAGCTGATTGGGCTGAAAAATTTGACGAACGGGCTACTCAAATTATGAATTTCATGATCACTAAAGACGAAAAGGTAGAAACGCGAATGATGTATAGATCTGGAAAGTATCGACTTGGCTATAGCTCGAATCTAAATATCCAAGTTCTTGAGCTTCCTTACAAAAATCCAAACTTCAAGATGCTTGTATTCCTACCTTTGCCTCACCAGCAAGGTGGACTGTTCGCTTTGAATGAATTGCAAAACAAATTGAATATTGATATACTATCCAACATGCGAGGTCATTTCTCGTATACTGAGGAGAAAATTTCTGTTTTTTTCCCAAAGTTTCGCCTGGAAACAAAACTTGAATTAGAAGCCGTTTTGCCCCAACTAGGTCTCAAAGACGTTTTTGACGAAAAGCTTGCTGATCTTAGCCTTATGACAGGTACCAAGGATCTTTTTGTAAGCAGTGCAGTACATAAAGCATTCTTGGAAGTAAATGAGGAAGGTAGTGAAGCAGCCGCCGCAACTGCTGCTGTAATGAGTCTTAGATGTGCCGCAGTCAATCCAGAATTTAGGGCTAACAGGCCTTTCTTATTTTCAATTGTGCATTCGTCTTCTGGAACACCCTTGTTCTTTGGAAGATATGTCAGGCCATAGGAGACATCTTTCAATTATTTAAATTTTTGCCTGCGATGATTCTACAATTTTCTGCTTACTAGAATTAGTTTTAAATTGATATTTTTACTTCATGAAGCTTAATGTATTCATTTTGATGGATTGCTTTTGAAAAATATTAGATTTAATACAAATTGTGCAATTACAACAGACTATTTTATTTTACAAGTTTATCCATATTCTCTATTGTTATATAATATAATCTTTGTGACCATAACTACAACATGGAGAGTTTTATTAAAAGATTTTACTTATATACTAATAAGTTTTCGGATCTAATACTTTATTTTTACACATTTAACATAGATTTTTCATTTTGACGAAATATAAATCATATTCACCTTATGATGATTCAATTGCCTGTCTATGTGGGTCGGTCATTTTGTATACACATTTAAGTAGTAATACTTTAAACTTCTCTTTGTTTGTAGACCTGATCTTAATTTTTTATAAATAACCTGTGAAATATAAATATAAGAGAAAATAATTAATTGAAAGTCTAACTCTTTGCAATATTGTTACTTATTTATTATTCCAGTAGAATAATTGAGAATAAAATTACAAAGAGAACTTTAACTTTCCTATTAGTAAGAGTATACTCTACCCTATAATTATATATGTGATTTTAGTTAACATTACGTAAGCTAACAATCATAGCTTATCTTAGGAGAGTTAGCAATGTTTATGAAAACGTTTATAGCTTAAAACTTTATATAGAGTTTTCGCTCACAATATTATACGTTAACAAATACTTTAACATAGGGAATAAAATATAATAGACTAACATTATTTTCACTTTACATGCTATTTAAGTAATATTGGAATATGTTTACTATCAAATTAGTTTATAACTACTATGTTCTGTCATTACTTGCGTAATCTGCTATCATTAACTACAACATGGCGGCTTTAAAAAGACTTTCTCATGTCATGAAGGTATACTTTTTATTAAATAATCTTATACATTAATATGATATGCAATATCTAGTTTTATATAAACTGGAAAACCAAAGTACATGACGAGATCGTTTTCTAATCTAATTTTATCATCAATTCTATGACCTCTCCAAGTTTCGATGAGTTCTTTTACGTCGTACTTATTCCTAGTTGAAAAAAAAACCAGCCACAATATGACCGAATCATTCAAAAAGCAATAGTATGTTATTGATTTACAGAAAAAGTTGGCATTTTAATTTTCGTTCGATTAACATGAAATTGAAATGCAAATTATCGATTTTATTGACGCCTCCAAAGACGGTCACATGTTTGATTGATAACTATTAAAACTAGATATGTTTAAAAAAAGAAACAAAAACAATAAATTGTATTAAACCAACTCCTATACTCTGACAGAATTTCTTAAAGCTAATTATAATTATTAAAATAAGCAATCTTTTACATATTGTTAAAATTCATGTCGGTTCTAATATATAGAATTCAAATTCCATAATTTTATTTATCTTATATTTTATAGGCAACAACATCTAATCTACAATTTGTTAGAGCCTTACAGACAACTCCAGCATCATTCAATTTGGTAAATATATATTATTCTTTTCGATCTACTATTTATTGTATAATAGTGGTAATTTATCTATTATATCTATGTTTTTAACGGTATAGAAGCGGCACCAAGTAACTATGATCCCTGGCGATGGCGTATTTCCTGAATTAATGAATTATGTAAAAGAAGCTTGTGAAGCTGCTGGTGCAGGTATTGATTGGAGAGTTATATGGGCATCTGAAACTGGAGCATCTCAAGGTTTCGGAGCTGATGTTAAAGAAGTTTTGGACTCTTGTCATGCTACAAAAGTTTGTCTTAAGGGAATTATTTCTTCCCCTCATACCGTTGGAGCCGAGGGCCTACTAGCAACCCTTAATATGAGAATTAGAAGAGGACTAGATCTTTTTGCGAACGTTGTCCGTGTTAAATCCGTACCCGGATTTGAAACTAGGTTTAGTTCAGTTTAAAGGTTTCAATAACAGTAATTATTTAATCGATTTTTTTTCAAATCAATAGGCATAAAGATATCGATGTTGTCATCATTCGGGAGCAAACTGAGGGAGAATATTCTGCTTTAGAACATGAATCTGTACCAGGAGTCATAGAATCACTTAAAATAATTACAAAAAAAAACTCTGAAAGAATCGCTCGATTTGCTTTTGACTATGCAACTCGTCACAATAGAAAGAAGGTCACAGCCGTTCACAAGGCTAACATTATGAAACTAGGAGACGGCCTCTTTTTGGATTGCTGTCATGAAGTTTCCAAACTTTACCCTCATATTGAGTTTGACAATCTCATCATTGACAACTGCTGTATGCAGTTAGTATCAAACCCTAACCAATTTGATGTTATGGTTATGCCCAATTTATATGGCAATATTTTGGATAATCTGGCCTCTGGTTTGGTTGGAGGAGCAGGTGTTGTTCCAGGAGAGAGTTATAGCAAAAAAGTCGCTGTGTTTGAGCCTGGAGCAAGACATGCTTTTGCCGAAGCTGTTGGTAAAAATTTGGCGAACCCAACAGCTATTTTATTATGTACCTCTAACTTATTACATCATATTAATCTGGACAAGTCTGCGCAAGCGATTCGCAATAGCGTGGAACACGTTATCAAATCAGGAAAAGTACGAACTCAGGATATGGGTGGATATGCGACAACCTTAGAGTTTATGACTGCAGTTCTAGCACAGATCCGCAGAGAAGCAGCAAATTAATAAATTAAACATTTCCCCAAAAATCACTTAGCAAATCTATTTTGATGAACGTTTAAAGTTGAATTAAGTGATTGCCTAGTAGGATTATAGGTAAAAGTTCAAAGTTGAAATTTAATATTATTGTGTACAGTATTCTTCTGTCTTCAATGTATAGTTAAAAAATTACACTCGTATGACTAAATATTAAAAAAAAAGTGTGACAATTAAAATTTCTAGATATTTGGACGGAAAACAACGACATAGATTTGAAACAAACAGGAAGAAAAATAGTTTTTTTGATATGTCAGCGAGTGAATTTTCAAAGCCTGTACATGTGCACATAAAAAATGCTCGATTACTTCTTCTTTCTACCGACAGTTTTCATTGCCCACTCCATACCTTCCTGTAAATTACAAAAAAAAAAACAGTTGAATACACATTAATGGCTAATCATAAAAAAATGTCTCAAGTGTCATATTAATGCTTCCTGTTATAATATATTAAGATCGATTACAAAACCTCAGGTGATAACATGACACTGCTGATATGAAAAAACTATTAGACTAATTACCGTTACTCCTTCCCCTGTCAACGCTGAACAAGCCTGTATATGCCATGCTCGATCTCTTAGAGATAATAATTCTAAACTATCGCTAATTTCATCAGGTGGAGCCGCATCAAATAAATCCTGCTTGTTGGCATACACGACGACAGGAACACCAGCCAATTTTTCCTGATCGATTAAAAATTTATACGTAACTAACGATATTTAAATCCCTATTACGATTAGTACCTCATCAAACAATTCTCTCAATTCTACGCCTGTCTCGTCCAATCTCTTCCTATCAGACGAATCAATGACATATATAAGAACGTCTGTATTTTCAAAGTAATTTCGCCAGTACGGTCGAATTTTTCGCTGTCCACCAATATCCCATACGTTTAATTTGAAGCCGTTTGATGAGACAGACTTGATGTTAAACCCATGTGTTGGCGTTATGTGGCTAACATCTTCCGAGGCTAACTTCTTTAGTAGAGTTGTTTTACCAGCGTTATCTAATCCAAGCAATAAAATTCTCAGTTCTTTGTCAGGTTGAGATTTGAGGCGCCGGAGCATAGACAGAAGGCCCTGTTGGCAACGTTTATACGAGTTATTATGACGATATCACAAACTTAGTCATTATTTAATCGAATACAACTTGATACGCATCAATATGTGTCGATTATCAAAAATAATTTATGACACATAATTTAAATTCTCCTATAAATATAATATTTAAGATAATTAAGAAGTAAACAGCAACTTTTTACCATAGTTTGGCCGTTTAGCAACTATGTATGACGTCACAGGAAACGGAACGCTCGAAAAATAAAACGCGTTCTAATAAAGTGCACTGTCCATATTTTTTTGTAGAGAACTGTTCAAAGAAAACAACCGTTAGAGCGGAAAGTGAAAAAAATAATTGCCGAGTATCACAGCTATTTGAACCACAATCGGGATTTCACACAGCAGGGCTCGATATGGAAGGTAAGGAAACCTAGTGAAAAGCCGTTTACCCCATTTAAAATAGTAAAAGAGCAATATTTCCGTGCCTTAAATAAAATTAACGATAATATGTGAATGTTCTACTTTCTTTTTGAGAACATTTTCTCGAACTCACTATTATAGCATGCATTAAGATAAATAAATTATTAGCTTGTTTCAAAAATTGCAGAACTGCTTAAATCTAAGATTGAGAAGCTGGAAGAAAAACTTGGATCAGTTGAAATTCAGTATTTCAAAAGTGACTGCGTTACGATTACTGAAGAATTAAAAACTGGAGGAGAGTCAACTGTTTTCAGTGGTCAAATACGCACAAATTGTGGATTAGTTTTACCCTGTGCAATAAAGCAGTATAACTGCAACAATGATGAATCTCTCAAGTATATCATGTCAGAAACTGAAATACTTGTTTCTTTATATCATAATCATCCTACTTTTTCAAACTTCTTTATTCGCTTTTTTGGATTAACCGTTTTGAATGACAAGTATTGCTTGCTAATGGAGAAAGGTATAAGTGATTTATTGTCTTTCAAAAAGAAGTATGGAATGAAAAGAGAACTAGTTTATGAAGTAACGAGTAAACTATTAAGAATTTTACATTTTCTTCATAGCAATGATATTGTTCACCATGATCTAAAACCAGAAAACATTTTGATAAAACATATTCAGAAGAAAGACAGAAATGAAATATCTGATTTAGATATATGTCTCATTGACTTTAGTATGACTAAAAAACTTCCCTCAAAGTTAAAAAGAATCTGGACAGAGGATTGTAATGGTACACAAGGTTATCAAGCACCTGAATTAATAAAAATTGGTACAACCTACGACCAACTCATTGATATTTTTGCATGTGGTGTTACGATTTGCGTTCTTTTAACAGATACTAGCACACAGGATGTCAAGGAGCTATTGCAACAAATTCACAATGATGTTTTAAAAGATTTAATCGGAAAAAATATCTTGTCTAAATTTAAGTTGAAAGTTAACCAAAAAATTTCAAAACTTTTAATTTCCATGCTAGGAGAAAAAGAGAAAAGAAAAAAGGTTCAACTTTTAGAAGCCAGTGGCGTTTTTAAGAAGGCGGCTGATGAAATTGTTCAACTCTCTTACAATCCACCAACACCACCAACATCAGATGAAGATGTATTTGTTCAACGTCCAAAGCGAAAGAGGCTAAATAATCAGCAGCCTGCTTCTCGACTTCTTCGATCTGGTCGTGTCTGTTAAAACTGATTTCCTGCGAAGTTTTACGCAATTTTTAAATTCTGTTGAGATGTTTTGCCAGCAGATCTTTATAGTTTAGTCAATCATTTGATAATTTCATAGCAGACAATGGAAATTTAGTTGTTTTGGTTCGCTGAGTTTGCGTAAGCCAAAACTTTATTATTTTTTATACGTTACTATAGCAAATAAGAATGTATGTGATACATATCTTCAACTGTAAAGTCATTGATTATTTTGAACCTAAAGAGTGGTTAATTTATTATTTGTTAATTTGCATGATACCTTAAATGCCGTTTAAATCTTTACTATATACTTTTGTTTTTTGTTAACATTGTAAAGTTTTGAGTCAAACAGTGAGAAACCTTTAAAAAATTTATTAGAAATGCATTTTCTATGAAATTAATTTTTTTTCAAATGCAAAAAAAAAGTCTTTCGAATCTTTCTCTCAAGACAATAAGCCTTAAATAACTGGTTTTAAAGTAAACGTTAAGTGTTATTTATCTTCCATTATTGTATTTGTGAATTGTAAGTCGTAAGACAGAATAAAGTTAAGAAAAACTAATTGGTTTGTTGAACGTATTTTTTATTTCTGTTTAGTAAATAATCTAGTATTTCTTCTTTCTTGAACGAGTTTTATCAGCAGTTTTTGCTTTTAAATGCAATATTTTTCTAAGCCTATAGCTTCGCCAAACTGCCTGAAGTTTTGACGCAGCTCTTTGTCTTAAGTCGTTCTCTCTGAGGTTTACTCCTATTGCCTCTCTTTCGAGTGCTTTCCTATTAACAATATTGGAGTAGCTTTCTAAAAGATATTTTAGTCTCTCTTCCAAATTTATCTGAGCTTCTATCTGTAGCTTATATTTTTCTGTTACATCATCATACTTCATTTGTCTAAAGTTCATATCTTCGTCATATCTTGTGATCCAATTACTTATCTACAATCGGAAGATATAGTTTAAAGTCGAAATCTTAAAAATAAAATTTTTTTCCCTGAAACTTACTTCTTCGATTAGCTTCAGTCTCTTTTGTCTCAAATTATGTTCTATAGACCAATTTTCTTGCCTTATCTCGTAATAACAAGATCGAAGTTCAATTATTTCTGCACGATATCTATCTCTTCTCCTTCTATATGGTTCAACTGTAATAAATTTTTCTTTCTTTTCCAATTGATAGCTATTTTCTTTCAACTTTTCCTTCTCTCTTCTTTCGAAATTTGAAGTTCGTGCCTCTAAATTTCTTATAATATTATTTTTAAGTTTTAAAATATCATTTTTTTCATATAAAATCTTCTGCAATTCAAATTCGAACTGCTTTATTTGTAATTCATTTCGTTCAATACTTTTACATAAACTTTGTGTATAAGAGACCATATTTTGTCTATTTTGAAAGCTACTCTTAATACGAGCAATGAAAAAATCTCTTAACTGATAAATATTATGTAGAAAATTTTCGCATTGTTCGTCATATTCAATTTCACCATTATTAAATTTATTAACATAAATATTGTAAATTGGAGGATTTCTTATTATTATTCTTAGAATACTCTTAGTACTTTCGGTTAATTTTAACCACATTCTATTAATCTCTTCATCTAAAATATCAATGCATTCTAACAGATTTGTAGCGCTAGAACTTTTACTTCTAATTGACACTGAAACAGTTAAAAAAGCGATAAAATAGAGAATCTTTTAAAGTCATAAAACTATTGAATCTATTACTTTGATCTGTTTTAGATGAATCCTCTGTTGACGGAGAAGGAGTAGGAGTGATATTTAACGATATTGACTTTAATCTTTTTATGTTGTGTTTTTGATAAATCTTTGAAAGATTCAAAGAATCTACAGAATTTACTTGTTTACTTGAAAGAAACTGTTCACTTAAAAGCCCAATATCAAACTGATTTTCTATATTTCTTCCATTTTGCATATCTCTTATCAATTCTTTTTGTCTTTTCCTTTTCTTTTCTATTAATAGTCTTATGGCTTCATTACGCAAAGCATTAAACTTATCGATTAGCCTTTTATGACGTTTTAAACACAATACCAGATGAAAACCAAATGAATCTTTATATTCGTCGATATTTTTAGTGAGGTAGTCGATATTTATAGAAATTTCAAATTTCTTTATAGCGTTATCGATTACATTAACAAAACCGTCAAAATCGTTCATAATGCCAGAAAATTTCAATAAACTCATCTGTTTTCACAAATAACTTACCAATAGTTTGAATTTTACAATGAGGTGGTCATATTGTTTCCTTTAAAATTCGATAATAATAATATAAACGCAACTCTTATTTGTTTTTCTTATTTCTCTTCTAATTAAGATAGTGACAAATCCCTTTTTTTTTATTACTTCTTTATTATTATGGTACGCACTCAGATATATTATCTACATCACAAGAGGATGATAAACTATGCAAAGTAATTATTTTTCTTGCTGATTCATCGCTACTAATTTCCGCCTTGGGAAGGGTATCTATAATTTCTGAATGTTGTAACTTAGAGTCTGGAAAGAAAGAAATAGAAATATTTATTGTATTTGTATAAAAGATGCCTTTTTGTTTTTAAAGCATTTTTACTCGAATTTCTATCCACTTCTTTTGCTTGTTTTGATAAGGAATTTTCATTTTTTTTCACATTTCCCTCCCCTTTTCCAATGGTTATTGATAAATCTTTATCGCTTGTAGTTTCCTTTTCAAATTCCTTCTTGTCCTCCTCCATAATTTGAGAATTAGGATTATTCATTTGTTCTAGTTGATTATCTGTTTCTAAAGAAGTTACTGAAGAGGTTAACGTTACTCCAGAAAACATCCAAGACAGTAATGGTGAGTAAAACTCTAATCTTGTCTCCTCGGAATTAATTATATCATCGCTACTATCCTCCTGTAAGATAGAATCTAAAAATATTGCAAAGATGTATTGATTGGTATTTTTCAATATTTATAGTCATTTTATTTACATGGAATTTTATGCCCTTTCGATAGATTATTATTCGCCTGTATACTGATGCTTTGAGTAACTTTTCTTCCATCTTTCAGTCTACTACTCCTACCTTTTATATTTATGGATGAGGAGCTTTCGCGTAGCCATCTATTACTTTTAGAGTGATGCTTTTTATGAATAAATTCTCGAGAATTTTTCAAAGAATTTTCCCGCGCTCTCTGTTGTCTATTATTTATTTCAATAGAAGGTTTAAGATTCCCGCTGTCTGAAGCAAATTTCGAACTAGAGAAGTTGCTCCATAAGTCTGATGACAGTTTTTTCGATTTACCAATAGCTTCTTGATAAAAGAAAGTTTTTATATCTTCCAATTGAGTATCTGATAACGTAGACAATCTTAGACCGTCTTTTCTAATATTTTTACGATTTTCACTTGATTCATTTAAGAGTTTAGATTGATGAGAAAATATGGAATAAGTTTTATCGAGTAAATTAGTACTAGCTTCTTTATTTTCTAAATGTTCTTTTAACTTTGACAATTTCAAATTGATTGAATCAAGTTTTTGTTGAATACTTTTCTCAAATTCTGATCGAGTATATTTCGAAGGAATATTCTTCTCTTTCGAACCTATTATCTTTCGATCTTCCAAACGTTTTAATAGATATTTTCGAATATACTTCGATTCCTTCGTACGTGCTTCACCTTCGCAACAGGAACAAGAACATGAACATTTTGAACAGGAGCATTGAGAATTGTTAACTTCATTTGGAGAATCCAGTCTATTCCGTATCAATTCTTTCAATTCTTTAATGCTTATTCCCTTTTTATGTTCCTTAATTGACTTTTTCGGCGATTGAATTTTATCTAAAACTGCTAAATAGGCTCTAGAAAAACGATTTCTAATTTCTTCAATAATAATTTGATTAATCTTCTCTGTTATTGAATCCTTATCAGTTTTAAAAAGGTTTAAGATATGTTCAGATTTTGATGAAGGACTACTTTTTATCTTGCTTTGAATTTCTGTCTGAGTAGTGTCAAATAGTGAATCGGGAGGTAGTTCTTTTCTTAGAACGTTAAAAAAATATTCGATAACATTTGATGTACTTTCCCAATCAATTTGTTGATTTGTTTCAGACGGATTATTTCTATTTTTCTCTCTATCATCTAAAGAGTTAATACTAAAGCGTTTAGGAGAGGAATCTCGTCTTTTTTTTGGAGATCTTAAAGAGTTGGGTATATTCACAAAGTTAATGTGAAAATCATTAGGATTTCGCAATTTTTTTGATATACATGAAGATCTTTTCTTTTCAGCCATTTTTTTCGAATTTGAAAATATGACAACAATGAGAATTATTTGAGAATAAATAATTCCAATTATTCGTAAAAATTGAAAAAAAAGCGCGCCATTTAGAGACATTGTAAAATGAGAAAATTTTTGAATGTAATGTTGAAAAAATTTCTATCATCGCTCAGGCGAAATGTCTCTCGCCAATGAAAAAGAAAACTTCAGCAATTCAATATTGGCCACACTGCCTCGAGATTTTTATAAAGATTATCTCGGGCTAATCGAGAATAAAAATGAAGAAGACAAGAATGTACCTTTGTAATAATCTGTATTTTTAAAAACTAATGTATATCCATAAACTTCTTAGGCTTAATTGTACACTTATTAAACAAGTTTACCAAGAATTGCAGCTGTACATTACAATATGAAGTAGATAATAACTTTCTTTCTTCTGTACAGTTTTGAGATTGAGTTGCTGCGAAATGATTGCGAATTATGTCGGTCTGTAGTAGTTGTGGAAGAATTCGGTGATGTTTTCTCAGAGAAGGCTAAAAATGTGATAAGCGATGAATCGAAAGAAAACGGTTTAACAGAAATAAAAGAGGCATCTATTCGTAAAAGATTATCGCATTTATACGAAGCCCATTTAAAGGATACGAGTGACGAAACCCTAGTTATTGAAGAAAAAAAAGTCCTCATACATAAGTTAGTTCTTCTCTTCGTTTAATATAAACAAATTGATTTGATCTTTCATCCTTAAACTTTCTTTAGGAGTCTGTTGTCAAAGTTAAGTTCGTTTTTTGAAGCTTTTTTTAGCGATAGGTGGGAAGGTCCAGACGATGAAGTTAAATTAAATGGGTTAGTGAAAATAAAAAGAGAAGCCTCTATTTTTATCTTCATTACTTTTTCTTTTCTTTCATAACAGAGTTTCTTATAATCATTTTGTGAAAGTTTTAGACATTGTTTACTGTAAATTCCCACAAGTTGAAAAGGAAGAAATATTTCCTCTTCTTGAACTATCTGAAATCTATGATATTAGAATAGCTAGCTTGTATTTAGCTGCTTGTATAGAAGTTGTATTATGTCGAAGATTTCGACGACCTGAGAAGAATAAGGAGGATGCCTTTCACGCTTTTCACTTATCAGATCGTTTTAGACTAGATAGATTAAAGGATAAAATTGTACGTTGGTTCTGTAAATATTGGCAAGAGTTTTGGAGAAATGAAAACTTTTCAGTCGGTGGCATGAAATTACACAATGCCTGTATGGAAAGTTCAATCCAAGCATGGACCGTAAATGGTACCTCAATTAAAAGTTTAATAGAGCATCTATCAAATTTAGCCTCATTCCAAAATAACTTACCAAGTGATAAAAGCCAAAATACTCAGAATATGTGCAATAAAATTGCACTTAAACTTAACCAAATACTCTGCTCTGAATTATCATATAAGAAAGCGGTTCTTCTAGCGGTAAATTAATTAATATAGATATTTAATAGTAAACTATAGACTAATGAATATTTAGAATATAGCGTTGAACGATGAAGACTTTAAATTGGTGGAAATTGCAATGGAGCATCTGAAAGCTGAACAGGCATTAAAAATGTATGAAAATATTGTTGACTTCCCTAATGAGGAGGGAAGAGACTTTCTACCAAAATTAATGGCTATATTGAAAGACTTTATAAAGAAGAACTTTCAAAAATGCTACTCTTGCCAAAATATGTGGGAGAAACTTAGTGCCAAACATCGAAAATTAATTTGTACTGGTTAGTATATTTATATAATATATAGTATGTTAATTTAAATATATCTATCGTTTTAAGAAAGCAACATGTTCGGTTTTGAAGACAAGCCTTTAGTTAGTTTTCAAAAAAAAATCATAAAGAAAATACCGAAACCAATTGCAAAAAGGTTAAAACCTAAAATTGAGGAAAAACCAAAACAATCTAAACAAATGGAAGAGAAAAAGGCATCTTCGCATAAAATTTCCTTTCAAGGAGAATTAAAAGAACTACCTGCAGGTCAAGTTTTTAGATGTGAATTTATACCAACCTTTGAAGTACTATTTATTAATTAATACGCTTCCTAATGTTACAAGATCAAAAAAAGCATGAATGATAGTTAATTCTTTTTAGAAATTTCTTTAAATAAATTTTTCATATCCTATCTTCAAGATTATAGCTGGAACAACTCTCCCAATCATCCGAGTATCCTTTGATATCGTCAGAATAGATCGCTATTGTTGCTTCAGTCTGAACTTCAGCGTTACTGTGAGCTTTTAAATCTTCGTAATAGAATATTTTAATTGGTGGATCAATTGCTTTATCTTCTTGTTCTACGACAGCCTGAACTCCTTCCTCTGAGTATGTTTTTATGATCGTTGAACATGACCTATCACGAAGTTTTGGAATCGGATATTGAGAAGATCCATCTTGTTTATGTATAGTAGCTTGTACTAATTTTTCGTTTGTTTGAGCTGTCGCTTGAACTTCTGCGTCAGTAGTTTCTATTACTCTTAAAATGTTACACTGGCTTGCTTGATGATCTACTTTCCTTTTATAGTAGAGAAAGTGACTGTTGTGACCTTTAAGACTAATTGGTAATTTCTTTCTCCTACTAAGTACTTTTGCCTCATTTCCATATCGATTCTTAGGACGGAAGCTATTAGGAACTAAATTAGGATTAAATTTATTCTTTTGGACATTTCTAGCTGGCAGTAGCATTCTATGAAATCTTCTTTGCTGTAAAAGCTCTAATTTTTCTCTAACCTCAGGATTAACGGTATGCTTTTTAGTGACGTGCAATTTTTCACGTAGAACTTCCTCAACTTGATTTACTTCTTCATTATAATGAACTGTTTTTTTCTTGACTGGTGGTCCTCCCCAATTTACACGAGAAGCTATATTTCCATATTTTTCCACTTGTTCGGATCGTTCTCTAGGTGAGAGTTCTTGATCATCCGAGTCATTATTCTCAACAATCCTTACCACTTCAATGTCGGAATCATCGCCCTGGTAGCATTCATATTCATACCTCGGCCTTTCCGTTACCTTTACCAAATCCTCTCCTAGATCCTCTAGATCATGTAATATAATTGTTTCGCTTTCGTCTTCATCTTCGTCCTCGTCTTTTTCGTTAGAATGCCTTTTTTGTCAAGAAAAACATAATCTAATTGTCAACAGTTTATTTAGATAAGAATATAATACTTATACGGTTCAGATGGATGAAAAATGCATTTTTCATCGTCCATCTTAAGACAAAGTAATCAACAACTCTGACGGATCAATGAAAAGTTATCCCTAAGGAGGAGTAGATGCACGTAACTATTGAATTTATCGCTTTAATTGTAATTATAAAGTTAAAATTTAAAGGCAAGAGAGAAAAGTTCAATTTTAATGTAAAAGATGATACAAGTATATACAATATAAGAAACAATAACTATTACTTTCTATCTCATTTATCTCTTTTGAAAATCAATATTAAATTTATATAAATAACTTATTGGTTATATTTGAATCCTTTTGTACTTTTTTTTTGATTATATGATATTTAGGGAGAACTTTGTGATTTTACTTAGAAAGATGAGAACACTGGAGAAAAGTTTCTATGCAGATACTAGTGTTGTCATCTGGTGCCTTTATGAGTCATCTTAAAAATATTTAGACACATTAACGTTGAGCGGAAGTTGTTGAACACAGAAAAAACCATTTTAGCTGTTTTAGATTTTAAAAACTGGATTAAAAACATCGAAATAAAAATCGGTGCCATAGATTCACGCAATGACAATAAAAGAATTTTTTGGCTGCGCGTTTCTGGCCTTTGGACCGGCAGTTTCGCTATTTATTTTTGTTGTCGGGAGGGAACCGATTAGGGTAATTCTCTTTATTGCTAGTTCATTCTTCTGGCTGATTGCTCTGTTAATATCATCTCTACTATGGTTTGCTGTAGTACCTTTGCGAGAGAAACTTGCGTTTGGTTTAGTGTTTTCAGTTCTCTTCCAGGAGGCTTCCAGATTAGCTTATTATAAATTAGTTCAAAAGGCAGAAAATGGTCTACAAAAAATGATGCAGGATGGCCAAGCTGGGGCTGATGAGGACAGTAAACAGATAAAATTTATAAAGAATCATCACCTTATGGCTTTAGTTTGTGGATTAGCATTTGGAATGACTAGTGGTGCATTTGCCTTGGTTAATATATTGAGTGCAAGCGTTGGTCCTGGTACGGTCGGAATTCATGGAGATTCAGATCATTTTTTTATCACAAGTTCTCTCTTAACGTTTGCTTTTGTAATGCTCAATACTTTTTGGCAAGTCATCTCCTATGCAGCATTGGATAAAAAATCTTATTGGCAAGTGGGTGTCGTTGTCATATTCCATCTTCTTGCGTCCTGCTTAACTCTACTTAATAACCGTGATCCCCCTATCTACGCGGCAACTATTACTCCCGCTTACGTCTTACTCATTATCTCTGGTATATGGGCTTTTGTTGTAGCTGGTGGTTCACTGTCCGGAATCAAGGCATTTTGCGGATTCTAAAGTGTACTCCTTACTGTTTTCTTTTTTTTTTTATACGGATAAAATTCAAAATCGAAAATTACTATTGATTCGTTAAACAACAACAAAATTCAACGGATTTAGTCAATAAAAAAATTTAGGGAACAATAAATCTTCCCCATTCCAGACTAAATAAGGAACGTACCTGAATAATGACTATATCTTTGTTTTTGTGAAGCACTTAAAGTCTCTATATCCCGATTTGACAATATATAGGGGGAAGGGAAGGGAAGGGAGATGGGGGTATATTATTTATCTCTATTATCTTATACTTGATTTGGAGTCTGTTACTTTAAAGACGTTCAATTTGAAATTAATACAAAAAACTCATTTGGCTACAAAATAACAATTTAACACTTTCTTGACTAATCATGATTGGGTTGAAAATAAGTTTAAAACTCCAATTTCACTTAATTGTGCAATTGCAATATTTTCCCAACCCTTGTTAGCTTGAGGATTGGCTGGACTAGGATGCATAACAACAGCGGTTTTAACATTTTCTATATCAAACAATTTACAAGCTTTATCAATGTTATCTTTAGCATATTTTCCAATGCCTATAATCCATTTTGGTTCAATAACCTTTATGACTTCTGATAGAGATTTGAGACACATTGAATTGACTTTCTTCCTTAGGTCAATTTTAAGATCGACTGGTGTTAGATTTTTTCCAGACTCTTTTAAAAATAGAAGAGGACAAAAGTTATGTACGTAAGCCGCTTTGGAAAAATTATCTGGTGTTCCACATAATTTTTTAAATAAACTCCAGAATCTTTCACCGCTAACTTCACTACGCTGACATTCGAGACCGGAAATTTTACGTTTGACACATTCCTTGGCTGGTTTGCCAATTTTTCCTTCAACTTTGAACCAATCTTTAACAGTTTTAACCTCACCAAAAGGAACCTAAATTTAAAACAATAGAACATTACATATGACATACTATTTTATATAGATAAAATCATTTTATTACTCCTGTTTGAGCCATTCCAAAAGGTCCTGGATTCATTCCAACAAATAGAACTTTTTTAGGATTTTGACCATATTTACTAATAAAATCACAATGCAGCTCTGCTGCGTAGTCTATTGGATTATAAATAAAGGAAACAGGGTGAAGGTACTCCAAGGAGGCTAGCTCATTGCATAATTTTATCTCAATATCTAATATGCTATTAGCAATTAAATCTTGAGTTTTGTCCTTAAGAAGCTTTCTTATTTCATCTACCCTATCATCGACAAAGTCAAAGGTAATGTTATCATTTGACCCCATATCATCATATTTCCTCTTGACCGTTCGTACAGTCAACATGTCTCTATATAGCGTATTATCGCTCAAAACGTGAAAATTTCCAGCCTATCAACATCATATCACCGGTGGCGTAAGAGGTGATATTGTCCCTTTAGAGTCGAACGATAATGACTAATCTAATTTCTTTAAGAAAATATATATTACGATAAAAAAACGTACGTCCCATGAAATATTCGAAATTTTGATATGACTTTTTATTCATAAAATTTTTTTATATAAATGTATATATATAAATTGTTTTATAACATCAATTGTAATAATTTTCTAGGTGGACATGAACGAATTTTGTGTTCTGTAATTAAGTGTAACAAAATTAACAATGATATAGATGAGTACAAGAGAAGAAAAAACATTTTTTTTATATAAAATTTCACTAATTTTGCTTTTTGTTCTCCATTTTTTTTATATCTTGTACAGAAGGTTTCTTCTTATTGAAATAGGCGTGATAGAAGAAGTTCGAAAACAAGGCGAAATAACTCAAATACATAATAGATGACCATTTAAGATTTGAGTATGACTGTTGACAATAGCCTCCTTTGCCCTTAACGTGATATGCCCATATATTAACTGCAACACCTATTATCATTTGTGTTATTTGTAGACTAGTAATGACCATTGATATAAATTTTGGTACTTTTACTCTCATAGCTTTTAGAGCGTAATAAGTATACATGAAAGAGTGTACAGTATAATTCATCACGATAAACCATCTTCCGGGAGCAGTATGTTCAGGTATACTGTACCATACGTAGATTAAAACTGTTATATGATGGTACCAATGCAAAAAAATAAGCTGTTGTTTTCTTAAGACAATAAATATCGTATCACCCAATTCATAAACTTTTGATAAAGCAAAAAGACACGTCCAGAAAGCTGTCGGCGAATAATACACATACGAGGGGTTGCATACCGAAAATTCCCATCCATATTTATTTATTACGTAAATAAGCTCAGGCATAGTTCTCATCGCACCTAATATTGAAAATATTGCCAATATACTTGACCATACTGCCAATGCCACTCGAATTTCTAATCTTGGTCGCCTTTCCATATAATATTTTCCGCCGAAAATGAAAACTATGTAGGCTAAAGAGTACCAAAGTGACAGTGTCCAATTTTCTCGAATCCATTGCCAGAATGACTCTTCGTCAAAGTTCTTCTCGAAAGGAAAGACGTACGAAAAGCTAAAGTCTGACGTCTTGTCAGTCATCTTCACGATGTTATTGACGATATAGCAAGTTCAGTTTCCTTGAGAAACAGCCGGCTTATGAATACGTTAATATTAATATTACCTGTGTGAAGATTGCTTATTGGACGATTGTTCTCGGAAGTGCAGCTTGTGCCAATCACTGTTCTTGACCTAAAAAACGGTGAGCATAGTCCATAGACCGTAACACTCTCCATAATTTCGCGCCACTTCGAATTACCAGTTTTCTCTCTCCTCGTTGATTGCTAACGCCAACTATCGGCAAATTATTGTTGTGGTTGTCAACCAGGTAGAATTCTATTAATTTCATCTAAGTTACAGATTGTTTAAGGGTAACTTTAATATATTACTTAAAAGTCTAAAAATTTTAGGATCTCTGAAAGATTTTAGAAATGTTCTTTGTCACAATGGATTTTTATCATGCAGTGACATGTTCACTGCTAAGTAATTAGTATTCTCTTTCAACAGCCATGACAGCTGGAGCAATAGGAGTTCCGACGGTTATACCCCTCCGAGTACCAATTCCAGGACAGGTTAAGAATTCGGTTGATACTAATACGAAAATTGAACTTAGATCAGGTTGGAAGTTTTAAATATTTGATGACTTAACAGTAAACTCATTATTGATTATCACTAAATTATAGAAACAGCGAATGCAACGATTTATTACACAATTAATGGAGATAAACCCGAACCTTTTCAAACACTTGGACCAGCTGCAAAGAAGACTTATAAATATAAAGTTCCCTTCAAGCTTCCTGCAGGAAAAAAAACAGTAAAGGCTATAGCTGTTTCTGAGTAAGACTCTCAATATTGTTATGCAAACATAACGTTTATGTCGATAATTCGTAGGGATGGGCTTAGAGAAAGTCACGTAGTTATGAAAAACTTTGATGTTGAAGCTGTACCAATTGATCCCGATGAGGAGTCAGTGACAAATGGTTTAGAGTTTATGAACGAACTAGTCGGAAATGACACAGCTAGAAGAGAAGTGAGAAAATTTGCGGGTAATATGGTCGATAGCAGAACAGCATGGCAAGAAGTTCAAAAAATGAGAGAAAATGAGGAAAGAGAAAGAGAAATACAAGGAAGTACTCGGCACAAAGTTATTCCTGGCACTAGGTTTATGAACGACAGAATGACTGTAAAAAGTGACAAGGCCACAATTGGACAGAGTAGTTTGGTATAAGAGCTTTAATTTCCTTTTTTTCTTTTATGCCTTTAGGCATTCGTTTTATACAATAGGTCTAACTTTTCGCTGTGTAAACCATTTATAAAAGTCTTCCATAATATTTAAGTCTTTATGCTTTCAGTTTGAACGGAGACCAATGGTACCTGACACCTCAACTCAAGCTATGCGTTTACAAAGAGAAACGGACTTCTTGAAATGCATTTACTGCTATGCTCCAAGACCCGCTGATCCTTTTGCTCGATTTTGTAATGAATGTGGTAATCCAGTAGCTCAAATCACACCGGGACGTCTACCCCCTCCTGAGGCTGGTCAGATGGGTACCTGTGTTAGCTGTCATTCTTTTGTTCCATTTAATACAACAACCTGCGTGATATGTGAGGCTGATATACCACCCCAAAATCAGCCACAGGCATCGATTCGTCTAGCCGACAAGCTGGTATGTACAACTTGTGGAACAGCTAATCCCGCTCAAGTAACGACTTGCGTCACTTGCGAAACACGTCTACCACCAACAAAACTCCAAAACAACATTGGGATGACTGCGCCGCCTATGCCTAAATCAAATACGTCAACCCTGCTGACTTGTACAAAATGCGGAAGAGCAAATACAACTGACGCTAGATATTGCGATTGGTGTGGTGCAAAAGTAAGTATAAGAATAATCTTTTTATAACAAATCCTTTTCTGTAATTAATTCCAAGATAATCATACAAATGAAAAAAGCACTCACTTTCTCTATCAAATTATTACTTACTGCACACACACATTTTTTTATTATTGTTAATGCTCTTTTTCTTCATCTAAAACTTTATCCCATCATTTTCAGACTAGTCCATTTCTAACAAAGGTAACAATTGCATCCTAGATAATTTTAATTGCTTATTTTGGGTATCTTGATCCTTCTATTTTGTTTGTTTTGATTTTTGAAAAAATCAATTCAGGGCAATGATAGAAAAATAGTTCTTTTATTATAAAAAGACAAATTCTGCTTGAGCATGTGCTCCTTTTGTATTCAATTTGATATTTGTATTTCATTTAGAGTGTATAACTGCTACTTATTGTAATAAAAGGAAATTAGCTGTAGATTTTATCATAGAGGAGTAATGTAAACTAATTATTCTCTTTTTCTTTTGTAGCCTTCGGCCTCCGTATCATCACTGACCTGTTCGAAGTGTGGTGCCAGCAATTACGCTTACGCTGCATTTTGCTCGTCTTGTGGTGTTTCTATAGAGCCACCGCAGCGGCCCGATGTTGTGAATAACGGACTTACAATAAAGTTGGGTTCAACTTTACCGAATGCCGCTAATGGCTCAGCTCAATGGATGCCTGTGGCTCTCCCTACAAATTTGGCGCATAAAAATACCATAGCCACTCAAACTGTAGGTCTTTTCTATCCGTCTGAGAAAGAATTACTGAAAAAGCAAAAAGAAGAGCTAGAAAAGTTGGTTATAGAGAAAAATATGAGGGATAAAAACCCTGTTTTAACAGCTGTTAGTCCAGGACGAGGTTACTGGAGGAAACAAATGGATCATATTTGTGGTCATTTGAAAGCCCATGCCCAGAATAATGCAGAATTTAGGTCTTTAATAGCAGAGCCAAGAATGGGGAAAATTGTTTCTACATCAGTTAGAGAAGATGGATACGAACTGAGTTTAACTGTTAGTTTCGCTTTGAGAACTGACGCTGATCCATTTCAAGGAAAGAGAATGGATTTGAAAAATTCTCAGTTTTTAAGTTCCTATACTCAAGGAGGAAGAGCTAGTCTAAGAAGCTACAATAGTGAAGATAGTCTTAGTAAATTTCTTTTCTATCAATATCATATATTTTTAATTAGTCCTTACAGGTTATTAATTTGTCAATTTTTTTCCTTTTAGTCAGCCATACAAGCAGTTTTAAAGGTGCAAGAAAAAAGCCAACAAAGAAGACTGTCAAGAACAAGAAAGTAGAACGTGGTGACAAAACTATGCTTCAATTACTGAGAGAATTAGGCAAAAATGGAGAAGGTCGTCCAAGCGAAATCGAGCAATTAATAGAAGAAGGAGCAGATCCTAATGGTACAAATAAAGATGGTGTTCCAGTTCTGCAAGTTGCCGTTAAAAATTCTCATACCGATGCTATTCCAGTGTTGATTGATTCAGGAGCGGATGTGAATAAAAAAGGTCCAAAGTAAGTATTTCTGACATGCAATTGCACAATTTGCACCAAATTATTCTATTTACTTTTACTCTAATATAGTAAAGGCAATACTGCACTTCATGAGGCCGTTCTTCTCGGTATTGATGGTTTAAGGGTTATAGATGTCTTGTTAAAGTAAGACCAACATACAATGATTAAATCATATCACTTGTCCTTTCTCAATCTAGTTATGACTGTTAATTGAATTAATCTTTTGTAGACACGGAGCGAAATTGGAAAGAAAGAATGATAAAAACGAAACTGCTTACGACTTAGCGGTAAAATCGAACAGCGATCGAGTTGCGAGAAAACTACAAGAGAAAATGGGTCAAAACGCTCTTTATAAATTATCTAAACCTAAATCAGCCCTATTCGATGATGAAATTTAAAAAAAGGGAAATAAAGAATGTTCCTTTTTTGTCTCCGAAAGTTTCTTCATTCTTCTTTTTCTATTCTTCTTTTTTTTATATTTAAATGCAAGAATAAAGCTACCATTTGTTCTTTTTTCAAAGTGCTCAGTTTGGTTTGTATCCGTCCTATTTTTGTCCATTAGAGAACATTATCAAAATTTTTACTCCGTATTTGTGCGTAACTGTGATAAAAAAATATTGTCGTCTACACATGTAATCTTTTTAGTTCTTATTTTTGCAACGCCACTAGGTATTTCATATCATTTGGCAAAAAGTCACGGCTTCATAATTCTTTAGTTAAGATTATGTTTAATTCTTATTGTTTTATATGTAATTTATACATATAATACAGTCTATTCATAAAAGAACAAAAAAAAATTCTTCAAATTGGAACGCTTTTCTCATTATCGTTCACAAATATTCCCCTTAATCGTTATTTACAAAAAAATTTTTCCGGCTTCTGCAAAACATTTACTGACACGAATATTAACACTTTTTTTATGTTGTGCATACAAAATCTCTTAAATAATATGATTATAAATTTGTTCAGCACTTTTACCACTTAATGTGATGTACTTGAAGAGATGGGATTATCAAGAAACGTTAACATTACCTAAAGTGTCAAATATATTTTTTTTCCTCTGACAGTTTTTTCATCCTCTGGTCACGAAAATTTTCTGTTTAGAATTAAATTTTAAAACTTTATGTTAGAGAAATAGCGGCCTAAGTAGTTAACTATTCATTATTCAAATTATAGGCTTAATCCAAGCGAAACAAGTTCTTATACAAAACATTCGGTATCCGCCGCTTAGTATGAAATATATTATCGCTCGAAATTTGTTATATTAATAATTCTCTATCTATAGAAAGAATTATGACACGTACAATAAATCATCCAAAGGTAAAGAATGTATATTTCAACAAATATTGTATAAACCGTTTATAAACTCGTTGATTTTTCTTTTGTAGTATAGACAATTATGTGCAACGATAGACGATGAAAAACAGCGTCAAATGATATTTGAGGTTTATATGGATCTATCGGAAGGTTAGAGGTCTCTTGTTGCAATTGGTTATAGTAATTATTGATCGCAAACTTTGCCACAGTACGTAAATGGCATAATTTAAACATAAGGAAATTAAAAGCGAATCGTTTCGTTGTCACTGGAAATCCTATGGCTAGCGCTGCTGAGAATGCGGTTTATCCTGTTAGCAGCCAGGATAAATTCTCCCTGGGAGAAATTACAGACTTACTGAGCTCGATGAAAGAAGAATTGCAATCTCCCATGTAAGTATTCATAGACCTTTCTAACAAAAAACAATTAAGCGAACGAGAAAACTAGGTTTACATTGACAGCCTTTGTGCTAATTATCGACATGTTCCCTAGTCTAACGGGATTTTGTTATTAGATTAATTCTAGCCTTCATTGATCAAGATTCAACTATAGCCTACTCAAAACTCCAGAATGGATTGAATCCTCCAGAAACACCGAGACAGATGCAAGACAAAAGAAAATGGGCCAAGCACAAATTTGCACGAAGGAAAAATAAATTCACTTAACTTGATGAAGACTCTCAAAACAATGAGTCGATTTTGATTGATTTATATGAAATATTAACATTAAGTAAAACTTGAAATGGTCTCAAAGAGTTAATAAATGTATTTTCGTTCACAAAACAGTCTCTTTCTATTAAAATTCATGAAAAGTCTTATAAAATAAATAATGATGCAGATTAACTTTAGTAAAAAAAACAGCTTTCTATCTATTCCTGACTAGATCAAAATGAACAGCAGATCTGGTTAATTCAGAAAAAGTGACTATGGGTTTGTAAGCGTTCAACATGCGTATATATTTTCAGAGCGGGTCCCATCTTCAAACTTAATCCGTTAAGAACGTCAGTTCGCTTGAGCAGCAACAATGACTTTCCATCGATTTCCTGTTCGCGGAAGACGTCGGCTTGATTACAGAAGCCGGCATTACGGAAATATTGTACGACATCATCGATTGACCATTGGGATGCGTCAGACATTTGCTGTTTGGAAAAGGAAGGAAAGCGTCAACCGTTTTAAATCAAAGCGTGTGAAAATACTAACACCATCCAATAAAGAATTTACGACAGTTGGAACTTTGGACGGTATTGATGACTTAGGACGCTTTAATTCACCGTTAGGGGGGGCAGGTGTCGAATCGAAATGAGTGGGTGAGTCAGCGGGAGTAGGCAAACAGGGTGCATTTCCATCCGAGGTGACCCTTGTTCCTTGTTCGGCAAAACATCGATTGCAGACCCATTTTCCGCTCGGTTTCTCTGACATGGGTGGATTAAGACATTCCATATGAAAGCCTTTGTCACATGCATCGCAAAAAAGCATTGTACTCTGTTTTTGAAAGTCAAATATTCGGAAAATACATTAAACAAGAAAAGACTTTAAAAATAAATAAATACCGCGTCGCCAGAATCAAAACACACGCTACATGTTTTGCAATCTATACACTGCCACGGAGAAAATTGTGCTCTCTCTGCAAGAGCTTTGGAATAGTCCATGCAGGATGGATGTGCTGAAAGAATATCATGGTTAGTATTTACAAAGTTGTCGCTTATCCTAACCATCACTTTATTTGTGCTTTTTTCACTGTCGTTATATAAATAGATCACACCCTAGAGGTAATGTAAAATACAGTCACGCCCGTTTACAAATTATCGCCTTTTTCCAATAGAATAGCAACTAACTGGTATCTTCAATAATTGAAACTTTAGGTTGTAAATTGACATTGTGACACATTTTTCATCCGTAAAAAGTCCGTATTGACATTTTAATTAGTTGTTTTGTTTTGCTATAGGTATAAAATATATCAATGGTACCTGTGTGATAATTGACCCATAATTAAAGAATTCCCTAAAGCAATTGGTCCGCGATAGTAGTCTGAGAGTTTCGTGTCTCACGACGGAAAATTTAGGGCTGAATACAGCCTAATCAAGATCCATAGACCTTTTTGTTATACAAGAATTTCTCCTGAAGATGGCGATAGTAGGGTAAATCTATTTAGTATTTACCTTTCGACCTGCAGTCTGTGCAGAATAGTAGATCCTCTTTTTCTCCATTTTTATTACATTCGGCAGTCTTTTGGCAGAAGTCGCATCTTGGCTCTTGACCATTTATTGAGTCAGGATGAGTTACTCTGCTTTTTTCAGTACCCGTCGATATAAAAGATTGGTCACTTTCTATCTCTTCACCATCTGAACTCCTAGCTCTTTTCACTTTCGGTTCTTCGCCAAATGAAATTCGTTTCTATAAAATCACGAAATAGAAAGTTGAACTTTGACCTAGTCACGTGACCTACCTCAGCTAAGCTATATGCACCATTTCGTTCGTCGAAGTGCAGTCTACCATTTGTCACCTCCCTTGTTAGCGCGTAACTAAGACGTTCACCTCGCAGTGGCGTCTCTTTATCCTCGTCGAGTAGGCGCCGCTCAATACGCGTAAAAGTAGCAGCTTCTTTTCCGAACGAGCGGACAACGTCACTTAATTGTTTTTGAGTTTGTGTCGAATTCTGAACACCAGCTGCTGTATGTGACCGTCGCCATTTTGAAGCGTTGCGGTACGACGTCGAACCCTTGTAGTCAACCTTGATAACGATTTCGGCATTAGTCAACCGTTCTAACATTTCTGTAGTTTTTTTTATCCCTATGCCATATTTCCGTTGAAGCATATGGGCTATACGCTCAGAATCGGGTCTTGCTTTTCTCGCCCGAAGTTGGTCAATTGTGTCCAGTATTAGAACGGTTAGACGCTCCTTTTCCTCCATTCCAGCGGCCGAATATGTAATAAGAAGCAGTCGCGGTAAAATTGAGCTGGTTCCCGGCGATCTGAACGGAGTTAAGCGCCATAGTTACCGTACAGCACGGATCAGACTAACAACTGCGCATGTGCAAACGGTTCTCGCATAGCATTATGGGATTGATAAAGGAGCGCGCAGCTGCCCAGCGTCCGCACCGAATGTTCGAATTCGTATGCAAATTACACGAACCGACCCTTCGTGACCCTTATGAAGGGAAAAGTAACGCCCATAGATAAGCATTCAAATCACGTGACAATTATACGCTTAAAAACTGGAAAAGTAGCGGAAATACTCTCTGTCTACAAGCGGGCGCTTTGAAGCATGGTTCATATGAAAGTCGGAGTATAGTTGTCGACAAATTTTTATAACAGTTTTCAGCTTCGTAAGAAAAAAAGGGGAGAATGTTGATAGTATACGCGCACCGCCCTTTATTCGTGCTCTGCCTAACGCGCTGTGGAGTGCGGCGTCTTTCCTCGTATATCGATCGATTCGTTCGGTTTTTCTCTGCTTTATATTTGCACACTTTTATATATACATGTGTTGGAACACACCTATATGAACATATATTCTCAACGATGAATATGAATATGTAAAATTTATGCCCATTTGTTCCTTAATACGGCCTTATTTCAAAAGCGAATTGCACGGCTAATAGACCAAGGCTTTAAGCCTATGCGTATGTGAGATGCAACCATTCTCCTCTTTTGGGACGCAATTTCGGTAGAGACATCTGTCGGCCTCTGAATTAGCCTTTCCTATAATTTTCGAAGGACAATGAGACCGAGGAAAGGGAAAAAAATGCTCAAACGACACCTGTTGTCTCTTCTTTTTTGATTATAGGAGTACAAAGAACATCTAAGTTATGTACTCATTGTCTAGACATGCTGCTCAGTAAATCTAACCAAAGCTAGATTTTTACTCAAAAGAGAATAGTTTAAAAAAAAAATTCCGCAACAATAGGCCTGATATTCTTTCCGCTAAATTAGATACCAAGTTTGTTAATCGGGTGTGTTTGGCGTGAGAACAGCATGTGGAAGAAGCCATAAAGGTTCATTTAGGCCGAAGAATTAGCTTAAACAAAAATATTCCTTGCCTTGGAACTAGTCATTTTTGAAAGAGATCATTTTTGAACTTTTACGAAAACTCTGGACAAATTGACAGTAGAAGGTTAAAAATGAATGACGACGAAGAAAAATAGTATAGAAGGAATTTGAACGACTACAGCAACAGGTGTTAACATGGCAAGAATGTGATAGTATTATTAGACGTGCTTTTAAAATTCTATTGGGTTTCTCTCTATTTCCCTCAAGCTTAGAGAGAATGGAATATCGGATTTATCATTTCCTCTGAACAGTCCTACTATCCTATCCCTGTAGCCTAATAAATACAATTCGCTATCAATAAACCGTTAACACATTGAAAATAGTTCTTTGCCGGTTGGCGCTAACAAAACTTTCTAAACCCCCTCACGTAGACGGTCGATAAGGTTTAGTAGTTGACGGATCCCTGCCTGCTTTCCATTTAGATCCTTCAGACGTAATTAGAAGGAGACTGAAATTTTTCGCATCTGCAGTTGTCCAATCGGATCGAAGACCTTGAAGAGGTACTTAACGGCTTGGTGGAGCCGGAAACGTACAGAAAACATGTTTCCGGTAGATTCTGGGTATAGTCAAAGATTCGAAACAACACGTTGATTTCGAGTTCATCAGCAATCTGTTATAAGATTTATGGCCGTTTCAGAAGTAGATGCTTAGTCTCTTAAGATATTTACACAATGCGCCATCTAGCCGAAGGAGATTAAAAGTGTAGAAAAAAAAGGAAGGAGAGAGAGAAAGCATTATCTCTCGCATCATTCGCTTTATTGCTGTTAACGAACAAACACGCTTGTATTCGTGTCAACAATCGACAATGGATTGATTGGCTATTAAAAACTATTAAGAGGTAATACCCCTATGAAAAAAAGACCTATAATTGTAATAGTACAAATTCTATAATGGATAAATATTGATCGGTTTGTGCTGTATTCATATTTTTTTATTGAAAAGAGGACAACCTGTAGGAAGAGAAGACGAGAGAGGGGGGAAAAGGGAGAAGAAAGAGAAGAGATGAAAGAGAAAAGACCGAAATAAAAGAGTAGTCAAAGAATGAAACTGTAGGTAATTTTGTAATTTTTCTATGAAAGTCTTTTTTAAAGATCAGTTATCAGTAACAAAAGATATAGCCACTTAGCCAATTTTTATTCCCTTTATAATAAGAACGTTACTGTTAAAGTCAAAATGTGGTTTATGTTTCAAAATGTTCACGTAATTAAGCATCAAATGACAAACTAGAGTGAAAAAAAATCTATAGAGAATATATAGAAATCTAAAGAAAAGTCTTTAAATTAGAATTAGTTTTTTACTTTCTGTTATTAAATTGTAATAAAAAAAGAATAACTAATAGGGAATAGAGAAAGGAGAAGTAGCGAAGAAGATAAGGAAAGGAAATATTCGTTCATTCAACCTCTAAAGAGCTTTACTGCTTTTGACATCAATTTGCTTACGTTCGTCATAGATGTCTCGTGCCAAGAAATTTAATGTATAGAAACATGTTTATAGAGGAGGATAGAGAAAGACAGAGAGAGAGAGAGATACACATAAAGAGAAAACTACGTAAATAATAAATATATCCGCTGAATCGTTATATTATGAAGGAAAAAAATCTGAATAAAACAATAAAGAATCATCAGGCTTTCTCTTTTTCTTCCTATTTGTCTAGTTCATTATCATTCATTTCAAATACAATTGTATAGAAAATGTCATGCCTTTTTCTAGTTGAATATTCAATTTTCTTTCTTTTAAGTAATTTTATTCTAACTATTTTCGCGAGTTTTCCATACTGATACTTTAAATAGTTTACAAGACAAGGAGATAATGATACATTAATAAGAAAAAAAATGGTCAATACTGTATACGCAGTAAAAGAAAATAACAAACTGCAAAAATTTAAGACTTAGGATATTACAAACTGTAAAGAAGCCAAAAATAATATTAATATTCAACACGTATAAAGATTTGAAGCGTTTACAAGTTGATAGTAGCAATAGAAAAAATTTCATTTTCTGTTTGATCAAACAGTTTTAATCGTGTTTTAAAATTCTTAGAAAAGGTTGTTTTTGTTTTTTGTTTATAATTTTTTCTATCCTATATTACTTATTCTCTTTCTAAAAGTCTTATTTTCTTTTATCAAATACTTCTAATTTATTCGACAACTCGTTAATTTAAAAATGAATGGTATTAGTAGAAAATAAATACAAGGTTATTGCAAAAATGGTTGAAATCTTACTTGAAAAAAATCTTTATCAAACAAAAAGTTAATGCAGTAGATTTTTAAATGCAGTAGTGGATCAAAAAATTTGACCAAACAGATAATAATAGGCTACTACATATACATTCATTTGTTCAAAAAGTCTATATTAGCTTTAACGCACCTTCCGGAAGTCAAGTCGATGACGTTTGCCTTGATCTCGGTATCGCCAAAGATCATTCTAGCTTGTATTTCCCTTGGCTTATCCGACTCGTTTTCACCTTCTAGGAAGAGGCGAAGAGTACCGCAATGTCGGACTCCGTCGTTTGTAATAAAATCTGCGTTTGCGTCTTCCGAACAATAGAGATTTAGCAAGCACTCGGCTTGTCCATGGCTTGCGGGTGTATATGAACGCAAAACACTATCTCCCAAAGCTACCGATTGACCGCAAGCGACAAATCTATCGAAAACATCTATGCACCAGTCAACACCGTCGCGGCGAACTCGTTTGCTTTCTGGGTGTTTGCCATTTACCCATTTATTCAATACTCCAACACCATAAGTCAATCGCGAAACTCGAACTGCAACTACGCATGGATCGATGCCGAAACAAACAGCCCCCTTGAGAATAGTTAGACCAACATCTTGCGGTATGATTGTTCGGACTTTGGGCGTAAACCGATCCTTTAGGTGTTGCTGGAGCAGTCCCGATTCAGCGAAACCGCCCACGAGGAACATATATTTGATATCTAAATTCAATAGTATTTCATTAGAGCAAGTTCAATTAGCTATGTTTTATTTGTTTTGTGTACCTGGTAGAGCTGGATTTTCCAAAACCATTGCTACTGTGTCACTTATTTTCTGTAGCGTAGTTGCAAACAGTTTCTTCATAGCCTCGGGGGTCAATCTCAACATTCCTTCTACTATTGTCACGTCCGGATTGCTGTAGCGTAATAGTGCTGTTTCGACACTTCCACAACCGGGTGTAAAGGACTTAAAGGGTATATCACTTTTAAAACGAGTTCGAATTTATGATAATGAAATTCACCTTATAAAGTACAATAAAAGAGAATGGTAAGGGTACATTAAGAGGGTTTTCTTTCCAAGGACTGGCTGCTCTTTTCCTTGACTCGAAGCTGATCATCAAATCTACAAAGCCTGCTGGTCTTTTCGTCTGTAAACAGAATAAAATATTATAACTAAATGAGAAAAGAGGGTATGAAAGTTCAATACTTTATATAATTCCAAAAACTCTTCACTGAAAATATCGACCAGCAACCGATAAAATTCCTCGTCAACTCCTTTAATTGAGAAAAATTTTTAATTAAAATATTCGATTATTGTATCTGATTTCTACCGATTGATCCATGTGGACCTCCGACTGCCTTGTATAGTTCCGTTAGGTTTTGGTGTTTCCCTTGCATCTCGTGGACGGTAATATCGACAGTTCCGCCTCCACAGTCCACCACTATATATCTAGTTCCTGAGGAAATTATAAGTTTACATTGAGCAATCAGTTTGAGTCTTTTCATTATAGAAGCTCGAACAAAAAATGATAGAGGAAAAAGAAATAATTATCTGTTGACTAATATATAGTGTATTAGGTTTGAGAATCATTGTTGTTAGTTTGAGAAAGGAAGCGTATTTGTTTGGTGTTTTCTAGTTTGGAATACCTGGGCAATTGACAAGGCTGCCAACGTTATCTGACTGCAGTAGTAATGGCAAGCTCTGTTCTGTAAACATTTTTAATCATAGATAATATACTCTCTGAGGAACTCGGGAGCACCACCGGACGATTTCATTCGTACTATGTTATAGAAATAGGGCAATCAAGGCATCTGATTGATTTCTTCAGTTCGTCAGATGGCGCTAGAGATTTATGAGTTGACTCAAGCGTATCTATCTATCTTGGGGCTCGGAGTACAAGCAGAAGCAAAAATAATTTATACATTGAATAAGAAAATTAATATCGACCTTCAGAATTGGGTATTACAGGTACATCATCTTCCCCATTGCTTGTATCATTTAATCTCTTCGAAAGTGATTCATTCTTTCTTCTTGGTGATAACGAGAACCTGTTCGGTTTTTCTGGCATTAATTGATGCAGTCTCAATTTCCTGCAGTAGATGGAAGCAGCTTCCGGCTCTAGAGCTATTAGTAATTGTTCAGGCTCCTCGTCCGAGGCTATTCCAGCCTCGTAAGCCGCTTGACGCATAAACTGCTTCGCTTCAGCTTTCCATATCGCTGGAACCGTAATTACCCATCGAATGTCCGAATTTTCGAAAGAAGTGAAAGAAGACTCAGTTAGTTCCTATAAAAAGAAATAGATGGCGTTAGCTCACAAGCTATGAAGTTTGTCATTTACGTAATTAGATTTAAAGAAATAGATAATATATAACAAACTTGAAGAACGTGATCCTTAAAGAATTTCAAGGCATGAGCGAATATTGTCATAGCAGGCATCTTCTTTCCATTTGTTGCATTGAGTTCAGTTTCTGAGTTAAGGCTCTAGGTGGAAAGAAAAAAAGATAGAGTAAAAAAAAAGATGATTTTTATGTTTGTTCTATAAGCCAGCGTATTCTATCATTACAATTCACAAACATGCCCCACCGAGTAAAGATAGAATCAAGTAAATATCACGTAACAAACCGTGGACGTATTTATTATATCCAGCGCATTTTCTGCTTTATTAGTACGAGTTGAAAGTTGATACAGCCTAATTTACACCCATCGTAAGTGACATTACGCACTTTGTCACTTTTGTCGTTATTTTCTCCCTTTTTTGTAATCTATCTCTATTATTATTGCATATCGCAGCTCGTAACTCAGTGTAGGCCTTATCGTATTAGCTAACAAATAGTCTAGACAACGACACTCTTTATACAATACATTAATTCTACAAGAGTTGAAAAAAAAAGAAAAGCAAGTCCAGTCATCAAGACGAGGACAAAAACATCTCTGTCTCTTTTTATCGGAATAGAATTACTTTGTTCGAAAACAAACGCAATATTATTAATAATTATGATAAAAAAAATAAGCAGAAAAATATACAGAAACAGAACAAATTAATTCCCAAAACGCACCCCGTTTTTATTGTGTAATCGATAAATGTTGGCGTCTGCGTTCAAATAGCTAATCGACCGCAAAAAAGCACTTATTACACAAGCTCTCTCTCTCTCTCTTCGCTAGAAAAACATCATTCTGATTCGAACCATCATTGTAAAGGCAGTCAAGGTCAAGGCGTAAAGTACTCTTGCAGATGTTTTATATATAATAAATTGGTAGTTCGGGTATGAATTACTAAGTAGCATAAAGACCAAAAAGAAAAATTGGGTAATTTTCCTTCTAGCAAACATTAAACGATCCAAAAGCATCAATATAAAAAAAACCATCTGCTGCGAAATACCAACAAAACAATATGCTAGTAAGAACAATATAACAACCGGACACTTTTCACCACACCTATTCGACATCTTTCCCTCCCTTCCGTATGAAACAAAGCACCGTTTGACTTTTAAACCTTAAACATTTTATCCATAAATAAATATTACAAAGCAATCAAAGTCCATTTACAGAGCAACTTTTTTTTTCAATTTACTTAACTGTAAGAATGAAGAGAGTGGAAAGGAAAAGAAAGCGAGAAAAAGAGAAAATAAAAGAGAAAGTGAGAATGAAAGGAGAGAAAAGTAGAAGTAAATAAGCGAAGAAAATAGACAAAGAATAAAAATATTATCCCTTTCATGTGGTATACTATGATATATAGGAGAGTGGTTGAGAATACATGGACACGCGTAAGGTTGTCAGCGGAACGAATTTGCAAAGGGAAATGTGAAATCAAATACTTTGCCTCTAAAAATTTATTTTCTGCACATTCTACTTTTTGGTGGGATATTTTTTAGGGAGTTTGGGTAAGATGTGGGCGAATAATTTCTAAGCTATACCAGATGGCACAAATCGGGTCGCGTCTGGTTTAGTTCGTTAGAGAACTTTATCGCGTCGTCGTTGACCTTAATCAGGTATGCTAGATTAAGATCAGAGTTCTCACGATCTGCACATAAACATGGTACATACGATATATAAAAGTAGCCGTGGAGTATCCGAAATTTATAAACAAACAAAGGGACTCTGGCTGCTAAATTCAGGATGACAACACTGTTGTCCCGACCCTTCATAGTGTTATGCAAATCAAATATGGTAATGAATAGTTATTAGATAAGGGTGCGTAATCTAAGCAGATTGTCCAGGGTGGAGCAAAGCTCTAAACAAATACAACTTACAGAATTACGTCTCGAGGAAACTATCGTAACAAGACTCGTAAGACTTACCGTTTCATGATGTAATGCCATTTTGAATTTGTCGAAATACAGCCATTTTTGGGCAACGGAAGGCTCAAGGTTATGAAAGTAATCTCGAGCAGAAAATCCGAAAGAATGAAATTCTCCATCTGGTTTTAAGAGAAGAACTGTTGGACATTTTTGATTGATGATTCCAGGATCTCCTTGCTACAAAAGAGTTTTTTAATGGTTTAGACTATACTATTACTATAATTACCTGTCTCATCATATGAATTGTATCAGGGTCGTTAAGAAAGCTGAATGCGTAACCCGAAAATGTTGTTCCAAAGTCAATTGCAACTACTACCATGTATTCTTTTGTCGGAGTTTGTATTTCCGGCTCTTCTACACCGGTTGCCGTAACCGCCGAATTATCCAAGGATGTTGCATGCTTCTTTTCTACAGATACGTCTTTTTCTTTATTTTTCTTTGTCGAAAATCTCTTTAAGAGGCTAAGTTCTCGTTTAGCTTGTTTATTGAAGTTTTGTGGCTCTTCTTTCAAGTCCGTTTTGTCATTTTGATTAGGCTCAACATATGTAGCGGTTTCTGTTACACTTTCTGGTACATCTACATCTTCATCTTTCTCATCAGTACCTTCCTTATCCTTTGCTTCGGTTCCATTTTGAGGTATTTTCCAAGTTCCTTTTGAACCAGACATGTTCTTTTTTAATTTACTCTCATCTTTTCGCTTTTTTGCTTCCATTTTAAGTCTTTTGGCTTCCTCTTTTTGTTTCTTTTCTTCAGATTTCTTCATTTCTTTTTCAAGCTTTTTCTCTTCTTTGGTTTTTTTTACATTTGTAACTTCAATGACAGCTTCTTTATTGTCTTCAGCCGGCTCACCGTCATCGGTTTTTGGCAACTCGAAATCGGCCATAGTTTCCTTGTGAACGACAGTTGAACGTCTCTTCCTTCTTGATTTTCTCGTAAAAATAGATAGTATTCCACCTTTTTTGCCAATCGATTTAGGTTTTTTCTTTTTTAAGGTGCCAGTTTCTTCTGCGGCACCTTGATTCTCTTCCTTAATTGTTTCGACCTTTTCTGTCTTCACGTCAACCGGAACCTCTTTCAGTTCGCTCTCTTCAAGTTTAGGTTCCTCTGTGGATTTTTCATTGGCATCTTCACTTTTTTCGCCTGAAGACCCATTGAAAGGAAATTCATTCGAAAAGTGCTCAGCGGGGTACTCTGGCACAAAATCTTCAGGTAAAGGTCCTTCGATTGTCTTTTGCACGTTGACTGTTTTAACAGTTTCTGTTCTCTCTCGCTGAATTTTAGTGTTATCATCAACTTCTTCAACTTTTTTCTTATCAGTTATAGTGCATTCCTTGGTAGTTTTCGTTGTCTCTGTGACCTCACCTTTAATTTCCGTCTCTTCATTGTAGGAGGTTTCGCGGACTATATTAATTTCCTCTTCCGGTTCTTTATTCTTTTCTTCATCATCATCTTTTTCTACGATTTTTTCGTCTTCTTTATCATTTTCTACGGCTTCTCCAATCGCTTCATTTTCTCCTTTAACTTCTTCTGCTTCATTTTTAGACTCTGGGTGTGTTTCTTGGAGCACTACATGTTCTAATTTATCTTTGATTTCTTCGACGATTTCCGTTTGAATTTCATCCTCTTTCGTAATATCGTTTGTTTGTTTTTGTACGCCATTTTCTTCGTCAATATTATCAACGGTTTCTTCAGTGTACGTCACTGGTACTTCGCTAGGGGGTGGCGTAGGAGGGAGAGCACGACCGTCTCCTGTTTCATCTACTTCAGCTATATTATCCAATTTCTCGGTAAAATCACGATTTTCCTGCTCGTCAAAGTTCGTCGAAGAGAATTCTGGACTATCACCCTGGCATTTCGACGAACTATCTAAATCTAATCCATCCGCTCCAATCAAATCTGGAGCTTTGTGGCTCATCGTAGTCGCCTCTTGTTCATCAAAGCCGTTCTTTTCTATCGATCCGTTTTGCACACAATTCTCAGTCTCCGGAGGGTCAGAGACGCCGTTGTGATTTTGTTCTTCTAATCGTTCTAAGTTTGCTTCGCTTTCCTCTGCAGAAAAAAAAAACCGCTGAGTTCTCTTCGAGTTAAATAAACAAAATTGCCAGTAGCATCGAATGACTATTGTTTACACTGGTAGAGTCTCGAGTAAAAGCAATGCAAAAAATTTGATCAAAGCATTTCTAATTCTCTAATAGAGTTATATCTTTATCCTTACATAATTTTCATTCGCTAAGTGTCAACTGTATAAACAAATATAATCGATTATCTATACGAGTTCTACATTCCATCAACATTTAACTAAACAAAACGAACAAAACACGGCCATTAAAATATATTCGCCTATCTTTATAACAAAAAGGAACGCGTGCAAAGTATACAAACTAAGGGTTGAGACGTAGGTTCCATTATACGTGATAGTTGGAATGCAACATCTAACTTTAGTACGGTAGTTTGTGTAAATATAACTGAGAGAAAAAGTATGATAATAGTTTAAAAAAAAATAACGTTCCGTTGAGCGATTCATTTGCGAAAAGAATTCCTCAGGGCGTTGTAATATTTGGAAGAAACGTTAAAAACAATAGATTACGTAATTCTAAAAAATGTCTTAACATGATTAGACAGTTTGGATTGTGGATATAGCATTTCGTGCATATGCTTACAATACAATGGTATATTGTTTTATGATTGCAATACTCTATTTAGAACTTTCTAATAAATGAGAATGCTGATAGATTAGGCAAAGGACTATAAGGACACTGTGTACATCTCTATAAATACTATACCACGGAAATACACTAAGTTCGCACTAAACATAATGCACTCGCTACTGCAAAACGTTTCACTGTAAAGACAGTTTATATTTATAACTTGATCGAATGCACAAAGCACTGATGACGTCACTTATGGGAGGACAGTTGCAGATTAGTTTAGCGTTAATAACTATTAATTATTGCAAGTCAGAATCCTATGGAGAGAAGATGAAATCAAAGAAAGATGCAAATATATATTTTAATACGTATTTGAGTAAAACTTAGTAGCAGGGGTTACGACTTTGTTTCTTTATTGTGAGTAATCTCTTCTTTGGATGACGTAAGTTTAGAGATAGAATCAATGCCACACGTACTGACACATGACACACCTGCAAGCTCAAAAATGCATGTGCTCTTGTCGATCATGACATAGAAGTATTTCGCAGTAATGTGCGAAATAAGACCTATAGCGTTCGGTAATCACTCTTTATTGATAGTTGAAAATTACATATGAAAATTTGGTTCTAATAAAATTTCTCTATTGTTTTTTCTCTCTCTCCCCTTTTAAATAGGATACTCATATTTCTAAAAAGTTAGTAAAGGATATGAAAATTGAATTAACTAGCAAATCGGTGTCACGTGACCTCGTTCGTATTACTAAAATATACTAAAGTTTTTAAGAGATTTTCCTGCCAAAAATATTCTTAACACGCTTTCAAAAAAGATAATTTACATAATTCAACTACAGCATTTGAAGAATCGTGTGCTTTAGCATTCATATTAGAAATCGATTAAATAACATACGAAAAGTATATTTATAGTTGTGGAAAGATCTTTATATGGCTTATAAAAATAATGGTATTTTTAACCTGCTAGGTCTATACATCTTGTATTCATTCGTCTTGATTACAAACTTTAGCAATGTTACTAAGAATCCACTTCGTACGTAAAGAATAAATAGACTATTAATAAAAAAATTCACTATGGGTTGTAAAATCGTAAAAATCAAAGCTACTCGAATCATTATCAGGCAAACTGTCAAATGATTATTTACTTAAACTCAACGTTTAGAAATCAGGAGTTAATCACATAGTCAACAAACAAACAATCGAACACACATACATGCTCTTATTTTTTCTTTTCACTCTTACGTCATACTTGATTATGGTCAAAGAACCTTTACAATAAACCCAAAAGACTCATTGACTCTTCTTGATATGTCTATCCTTTTTGAATAATTTCGATTTAAGACCCTCAGGTACCATAGAGGATTGAAGGTCGCAACATATTATAACTACCATCTATAATAGGTAGACTATAATCGATGCATGGTGTAATATAAATAATAATATCGAATATTTTGCCGGCAAGCGCACGTTCTACTTTTTATTAGACAAGTAATACGTGTTTTCATTAAATTTCCTCGAAATGCCAAGTTAAAAAAAAACTAAAATGTTCAATTACCTGTCTTTCTAGGAAGAGGCGTTTCGATTTCCATCGTTTCGGCCATTTTGCAATCCGAACAATCGACGCCGCTTTCTTTCAGATCGTCCCAAATATGTTGGATTCCTAAATCAACGAGTTTCTCTTTTTTCTTCTCTAAAGATGCTGATTCGGCTGAGGGAAAAATGTTAGATTTTGTAAAAACAAACGGAATCAGTTTGGTCGGTGTCGGTGTCTGCCGCGTGCAGCTGACACCATCTGATACGGAGGTCCTTTGCTGGCGCCCTCTAGCAGGAGCTTCCATTTTTAGAAGAAAAAGGATTTCTCTTTCTCGGAGAAATACTTTGAAAAGATAGGAATATTCTGCTTCACGTGAATTACTAACTCTTGCTAATGGCCTATATTAAATTACGAATGAAACGGTTCTTTTTTGGCTGTTGGCCAAGCAGTTTGATGAGAGGCAGATAAAAAAAAAAAATCGAGTTGACCCTTTTTCAAATATGCAAATAGAGTTTCAGCTTTTACCCTTATATATGAAAAGTTACCTATAAATTGTTTTGTGTTCAATGAATTCTTTGAAGATTTAATCATTTGTTTAAAAGTTAGATCAGAAAAGATTTTTCTCAGATTCCCATATAACGTATTGAAGATTCGCGCGGGATGAGGGGGCACAGCGTTCAACGTTAAGGAGGTCCCTACCTCATTACGTGACATAAAAATGGAATACTAGCCACTCTACACTAAACCGAAAACAGCACAAAATGGCGAATTTGACGACAGTTACAAGAATTAGTCAGGAAAAGCATCCTAGAAACATATCTAAGCACTTAAACTATGGGACAGCAGGCTTTAGATCACGGTATATCCTCAAGCTTAAATTTTTCATTCTCTTAATTCTTTCCAGTCTGACAAACAACTTTTAGTTCGTTTGCAAAAAAAGATTTGCAATTTATTGGTGATTTGTTGGCATTGATCGATATATCAACACATGGTTAAATATTTTCTGCAATTTTTAAAGGGCAACAGAATTGGATCATATTCTTTATCGAATGGGCGTATTGGCTGCTTTAAGATCGAAATCAAAGGACGGAGGTAGGCCTAACTTGTCAAGTCAAAAACTTTAATAATAGTAAGAATATAAATGCAACGATAATAACTTAATTAAGCTATTTCTTGTGATCTTCTTACCTGGTATAAACCTCCATGTCAATAAAGGCAGACATTTGACCCGAAATCTTATTCGCCTGTGTATTAATTTTGACATTTTCCAGACACTATTGGCGTTATGATAACTGCCTCCCACAATCCGGAAGAGGATAATGGAGTTAAGTTGATAGATCCCTTGGGAGAGATGCTAGAAAGTTCGTGGGAAAAACATGCAACCTGTCTAGCCAATGCAGGGTCTGTAGAAAGATAAAAAACATCTATTTGAATAATTCTATTCTATAAACATTTAAGAAAAGACATAGACAATTCAGTTACATTAAATATAGAAAATAGATCATTTTAATTTAAAACTATGGGCCAAGTTTTTGGGATCCATAAAATCAGTAGATATTATATAATCTAATCGTTTTCCCTTTTTTTGGGTAATAGTGATGAAGAATTTCAAGTAGTTTTAAGTGAAATTGTGGAAACCTTTAAAATTGATATGAATTGTAAATCATCTGTAGCTATTGGAATGGATACTAGGTAAAAAAAAGCTATTCAATTTTAATTTTCTACTACAGGTGATCTATTTTAATAATAATCTTCAATACAATACCTACAGAGCTAGCAGCCCAGGCCTCAATACTGCTGTCGTTGATGGCGTAAAGTCTGTGGATGGGCTTTGTTTTGATTATGGTAAGTCCTACTTCATTTTAAATGATCTCTATATTTTCCCTCTAGTCCAGTTCTAACGTGTGTTCACGTGTGAATTTTCTAACAGACTGTGAACTACGTTATGTTAATGAGTTGTAAATTAAATCTGTCACGTTTGTTTAGGTTTCGTTTTAATCATAGAACAGTTTTATTGTGTAGAAAAAAAATACCTTTGATAAAATGCATTAATAGTCAACTTTGAAAATCTAAAGTTGATGACATTTTCCTAAAAGTAATAAAAAGATTATGATACTTAAAATACTTTTAATTTATTGCTTTTATACCTAAGTTTTGTTTTTTATTCTTTGTATTATGTCTATTATTTTTCCTTAGTTTATATAATTTTCTTAATTAAAATACAGCACTTGACAAATTTTTAGCATTTTTATTCCAAAAATATATCTTTATCGCTGTTCTTTTTTTTTTGTTTTCTATTTATTTTTGTTAATTTATTAGAATACTCGAAAGAAAAAAAAAAGAATAACTTTTTACTTGAACCGTTTGATAGGTGAATAAGTCAATTCTTTTACCATTTACCACTCTAAAGTTGTTAAGTTAAGTGCCGGTCCTTGATGGCTTATTTTCATTTCATTTTGTTGTTTTTTCTATTTATTTCTCTGTTTATTTAAGTAAAACTTAAATTCTACAACTAAATAAACTATAACAGTTTTTGTATTGTTTTCAAACTATTTAAGTATAAACATAATGATAATGTTTAAGTAAAAAGGATTTGTTTTTTTGTTTTTACTTAAATATTTTATGTTGTTTGGTTTTTGCATCTTTCAGTAGAACATTTCAACTTATTCCTTTTGCTGTATAGGTACAATTACTACTCCCCAATTACATTATATGGTTCGATGCATCAACACAAGAAACGCCTATGGAATGGCAACGATTGAAGGATATTGTAATAAATTAAGCAAAGCTCTAAAGAATATTTGGCAAAATGTAAGTGTAATTTTCCGAACGGACTATAATTCAACTGTTTTATCAATTTACCCCTTGTTGAAAAGCCTACAAAAATTTATAAGTAACTATAAGCTCTTTAAAGTTCGGTTATTATAGGCCTTCGGAATATAATTTTTATAGCAATCTTACAATATAGAATGTATGGTCTAATCGGCTATTTCTCTCTAGCAAGGTGAGAGAAAAGTGTATAAACCTCATATCATTGTTGATTGCGCAAATGGAGTTGGGGCCAAACGCTTGAAAGATATCGCTGAAAGATTCGACAAAATTTTATCTATAGAAATTCGGAATGCTGGAGAGGGAAAATTAAATTACAGAGTAATCATTTCCATAAAAAATTCCATAGCCGATGTCAATCTTTAATTTTCTCCCTATTTTTTAAAACAGTGCGGAGCCGACTATGTTAAAGTTAACCAAAGAGGTCCGGAAGGTATGTTGAATAATCTTGCGCATCCTCCAAATTCTTAATTAGATACGGTTTCGAAAGGTAATTACGTTAGTATTCTTTTTTTTTTACGTATTCAGGGATAGATTGCATAGAGGGACAAAAATATGCCAGCTTCGACGGAGATGCTGATAGAATAGTTTTCTACTACACAGATAAAGGTTGAGAGGATAAAATAAAGTAATAAATTGATATTTATTGTATACGTATCTATTTTAAATAACAGATAATATTTTTCATTTATTGGACGGTGATAAAGTTGCTACCTTAATAGCAAGTTATTTGATAGGTTTGATTCGAAAATGCGGATTGGAATTAAACCTTGGTATAGTACAAACTGCATATGCCAACGGTAACTCAACTGCCTACATACAAGATGAACTGGTGAGTTACGACACGCCCAACTATAATATTTGCGTAAGAAAGTGTTTTCTTTTAGAAAGTTCCCGTTGCCTGCGTTTGTACAGGGGTAAAACACCTTCACAGAAAAGCTCTAGAATTTGAGATAGGCGTATATTTTGAGGCGAATGGGCACGGAACAGTAAGTGTATAAATCAAGCACTTGTTTTTTTTTCCTTGACATGTTTCTTATTAAACCTCAGATTCTGTTCAGTGATAGCGCCTTGTCGAAAATAGAGTCTTCTTGTAGTTCAAGGTACAATCCATTCATTTCAGAGTGATGTAAAGCTGATAATTCTTTTTTTTTATTCATTCCAGTTCAAATGAAAGTGAAAAACTCTCGGCTAATGAATTAAGAACCTTTGTTGACCTAGTTAATCAGGTTTGCACATAGTTTAATTATTCCTGGAAATCCGCAGAAGAGCTATAAAAAATTGGGGATTTCCCTAACTTTAAGTGGCATTTTCTTTTTTTTTGTGCTCACTCTGCAAATTTATTTCTAAAATATTCAACGAAAACTATTGAAAGATTAATTGCAAATTTTATTCTATAGACGGTTGGGGATTCTATATCGGATATGTTAATTGTTGAGACTATTCTTAGAGATAAGGATTGGGATGTTGCTGATTGGGATAAATCATATAGAAATTTAGCAAATAGGTTATTAGTTGTAAAAGTTAATGATAGAAGCGTATTTGAGACTACGAATGCTGAAAGGACTGTTATAAAGCCAACGGGACTTCAAAAGGCTATAGATGACCATGTTAAGCTATTCCCAAATGGACGATCGTTTGTCAGGTGAGTAGAAAACTTCTAACTTAGTTTTGAAAATTGATGCTCATGCTGTATTTAATTTTATATTGTTATTTTTCTTCTGTACAACAGACCCTCGGGTACTGAGGATGTAGTCAGAATTTATGCTGAATCGGATACTCAAGAAAATGCTGACCAGTTAGCTTTAGCAGTTGCTAAGAGTACTTATGACCTTGCCGGTGGGACTGGTAACTTACCAACTTTATAGAAGTTTCATCTAATCATCATATTTCACCTGTGGTATAGAAGAGTATCGAAATTCTTTTTTGAACATTTTTGAAAATTATTTTCAAGATTATGTTACATTATACAATAAAAAGGAAAGGTGCTCAAATTGCTTATTTTATGTATTCTGCGCACTCGGAAAATTATATGTAAATAGAATCAACTTTTTACATTTTCCTTCGTCACTTTTTAGGATTTTAATAACAGTAACAGTATTTATCATGGGATTTATCTCTAATGAAAGAAAATAGCTCAGTTAATAATGATTTATATACTTAATTCCTCTTTTCTTAAGTCAGTGACTGTTGTAATTTGTTGATAGATATACCGGAAGTTCATCATGATTTTCCCATAGGAAAATAAATATTTTTTTTATTTAAGTTTTTGTTATTTATCGCTTAAAAACAAAAGTATAAAATTATTGAATGATTTGTTTTGTAATTTATATAATCTTTTAGATATTACTTTTAATTAGATAAAAGAAACGTTTTTAGTATAATTAATTTTTTTGAGTTGGAAAATTTTAACGTTCTAAATTTTGGGAAAAAACAATTGTTCTACTGAAATTCATGGGAGAAATCGTACGACAAAAACTATCAATTTGATTAATATTGACGAGAGTTGGAAAAACTTTTTAAGAGTGAATTATTGTCTATTTACCATATATTTATTTAAAAAACAAATTAGTTGTTTTTAGGAGGGTTCCAACTGTGAATTTTAGGTGTAACAGTGCTGTATGGTACATATTGGCCGGTCGTTCCAGATAAATTTTCTTCATGATCAGTCATCCATTCTCTATCTGGACAAGGCTTCACTTTAGTTGGAGGATCATCGGTCATATAATGTAACCATCGATGCCAATCAGCCGGTACTTGACTGCCATCAAAATCATAACCATATTTAGGAGCATAATCTATCCATCTACTTCTAGCCACAAAGTAGGATTTATTTTCATAATATTTATTCCCATATTTGTCTGTTCCAATATGATTTCCATATTTCAATTCGTCAGTTCTAGACAACAGCAAAATACAATTGCAATTTTGACTTAATGACCAGCAATATTTACTTACCGAAAGAGTTGTAAATAGGCTCCTATGATACCTCCATTCTGTTTGATAGCAAGACGACAATTACGAAGCTTTTCGAGATATTTTGACATTTTAACGAATTTATTTTGTCATTGAAAGGTCAAGGTTACAAACCACTCTTCGGTTAGTTTCGTAAAAATATACGAAAATACGAATATACATTTCGCTTAAATTTTAAGTATGGAGTTTCGCGCGATGCAATTCAGTGACGAATCTGACGAGTTTTCAAGTTTAGAAGAGGATGGATTTTCATTTCCACCCAGTGCTTCCCCAACTAAAAAGAAAACAACAATAAGGCGCAATCTTCCCGAGTTAAATGTAAAAAAAAGGTTAAACAAAAAACTTTAAAGGGATTTTGTAAAGTGTTTATGCAATGACCATGTGACAACAGTTTATCGGAAAAGACGAAACCCAGGCAGAAAATTAAAGTTCCTGAAAAGGAAAGAAAAGAAACTAGTCGTAACTCACTTGAAGAATTAAAGGTTGCTATCTTTCGTTCTAATCTTTCTGATGTTAAGGATATAATCGAAAAAGGTAGGATGTCATTGCGCAAGAAAAGTAATTGTATTACTATGTAATTAATTTTTTTTTGAAAGGATGCAATGTTAATTCGGTGTTCTCTTCAAAGTGGTCACCACTCATGTATGCAGCAAATTCAGGAAATGACGAGATTGTTTCATATTTATTGAATAAGGGAGCAGACGCCAATTATCATTGTGGTAAGTTTGATCTTGCGTTGAATTATAACAGCGATTGAAGTTTATTAAGCTTTTCAGATAGGGAAACAGCCTTGATAGTTGCGTGTTATTGCGTAAAAACAGAAGAAAGAATCTTAAACGTAGTCAAAATTCTTATACAAAATGGAGCTGATGTTAAAGCTATTAATCGCCGCCATATTTCACCGCTAATGTACGCTGCTCGAAATAACTACTGTAAAGTAGTAGATTTACTTCTTAACAATGGAGCAGAAATTAACTCTCAAGATGACAAGGGCTATACAGCTCTAATATGGGCAGCTGAGCAAGGAAGGATGGAGGTCGCTGGTCTTTTATTAGACAGAGGAGCTGATAAAAAGATACGAAGTAAAAGAGGAACAGCGGTTGATGTTTCTATCGAACAAAACTATTTAAAAGTATACTTTTTTAACAGATGAATCAGTTTATTTCATAAAAGACAATCTCTTTTTCAGTTAGCGACTCTTATTGATAAATTTTGTGAGACAAAGACTGCTAAAGAAATCTTAGATGATATTTCAAAAGAAGAGGAAGAACTTAAGAAAATTAATAACAATGACTATGAAGATTTCGGTTATGTTGGCGATGCGTAAGATAAAATACTTTCTATTTAAATATTCGTTATATTTTTATCATTATAAATTTATAAAGTAAAATAATAAAACTTAACCATCTCGTCGTCAGGAAATACTCATTTAGCGAACTAGACATGTTTCTTCACGGTTCTGGTCTTCCTGATGTCGCCGAAAAGTTTCAAAAGCATTCAATAACTTTTGAAATTTTCTTGGGTTTGAATGAAAACGATTTAGAGAAGATGAATATTGATGAGCTTGGGAAGAGAAAGAAGATATTAAATCTCATTAGAGAAATAAATAAATCTCCATGGAAATCTTCTTCCTTACCTGCTGTGAAGTTTAATGAATCTCTTAGTTTTTTAGATTTAGAGAATATAGTAGGTAATATTAAAAATCATACTGGATATATTGTTCAAACACTGAAATATGTTGACGAACAAGTGATGAAAAATAGAGATAACTTTCTTTATACTCCGGTAAACCTCTTCTATATATAAACGATTGACTATATATGTATATTTTTTTCCTAGAAGGGAGCTCTTACCCCAGAAGATATGCACAAACTACTAACAAAAGCTCAGGAGCAAGCCGTTAGAGTCACAAATAGTTTGAAAAGTATTGATGAACATGTAGCTGAGGTTATTTTAATAATTCTATTTATTGTATTCATATAAAGCATAATGTTTTCCTATTAGATATGTGGCGGTCCAAAAAAGCTTAAATATTTTGAGGAAGCGGATAAGATTGATACAAAAAAATTGCGAAATCTTAAGAATCCAAAGAGAGATATCTTTAAATATTTTACGATTATCGCCAGTGTAGTTGGTATAAGCGTTGTGATAAAGATCTGTCGTTAAAAGTTAAGAAACAGGAAAAACAATCAATACAATTGTTAGTGATGAATAAATGTTCAATCTGAACTGGTTTGATAATAATTTCCATGATTGTTTAATCTATCATGATCGTTATTACGATCAGAATTACTTCGTTTATATAAACGTTTTCTTCTTCGGCTCATTTGAAAAGGATAGAGCGTAGATTGGATATTTTGATCAGTTTCTTTACTAGCATAATCAGGCAGATGCGTTAAATTTGATACTCTTCCTGCACTCTTATGTTTATAGGATAGTTTGAAATAGTAAGACCAGCGAACAAGTAAAGACATTCCTAATAAAAAAAGTAATATGATGGAAAGTAATGCTATAGTTGTCGCCATTGCCTTTTCTGTCGAATCGCGACTTTTCAATACACTATTCTCGGTGACTGCATGTCTAAAGCTCTGCGATAGGTCGAATGCACTTCGTCTTTTCCAATCTTCAAGATTTAGTACAAACGGAGCTTTTCGCAAATCAGTAAAAGTATCTTTAACCGCATTATCAAATCCTTTATCCCTTGATTCTTTAAGAAGGGATTTTATCATATTGATGAGCTCTTTTGTATCTAACGATTGGCTATTTTGTGTCATTTTATAATTCTTTTGTTTAAGTATATCATTAAACTATTATCAATATAGAAATATGTCGCTTTTACAGAATAAGGAACTTGTAAACTATAAGATTAGGAATCCTAATGAATATGCAAATTAATTATCTTTTAAATTTAAATAAATTATAATTAAAATATCATTTTAACCGTCATTCTAGACAAGAATCAAATATCCAAATTACCTGAAGTGGATTATTAAGTTATTCGGTTTTTGAAGAGATAGGTCGTTCTTACGAGTAGGAAAAGATTAATATTTTATCTCCACTTTACAAAGCAACGTTCTTTGAGAAAATTGCATTATTATTTTTCGAAGAAAGTTCAAATAATTAACTGTATTTGCAATGCTCTTTTTATAGGTGATTAAGTAGAGTGTAGACCGTATAATATGATAACAGTATCAACAGACTGAAAATGTAATATGTAAGCTGACTGGTAGAGAGCTGTCTCTGAAACTAATTGTATAAAGATCTCAAAGTAAAGTGCCGTTGGACAAGAATGTATGTAACAGTAATTGTGTTATTTAAAATGAATGTTTGAAATGTTTCACAAATTTTATTGCAAAATAGTCGCTTTAAATTTAGTATTTGAATACATTCTATAAAGCAGAGCAAGCGGTGGACAGCACCTTGTATGCCATAGAAAAGATTATTCCAACACCAACTGAGAAAGCCGTTGCTCTAAGAGGCTGAGGAAGTGCAAATTGATAAGCAAGCATATGCACAAATCGGCTTATGGTAAAGATCCTGAAATGGAGTAAAGCTGAATCTAGACTTGGTCTAGTCATCACATAAAAGAATCCAGTAAGAACAAATGGATAAACATTTTCCATATCGTTCAAGTGGTTTCTGTAAGAGAAAAATATTTTATTTTGATTGACAATCAAAATTCACGCTTCTTTTCTTTTGTTACCTTCGTAGTCTTTCAACGCTGTCATTTCTAAAGTCAACTTTAGCATCCTTCGGACTTTGACCAATAGCGCGAACTACGACTTTATCTTCTTCGTTACTAAAAGTCTAATAGAATTCGATTAGTGTAGCATTTCCTATCTTGTATTTGGTGTATGATTGTCTCTTATGATTTATAGATTAAGTTGTATACAAAGTGTGAATAGAACTATTTTTAACTTCAATGATATACTATTTCTTTATACGACCAAATGACCAAGCACTTTTTGCTTGTTCCCACATACTACATTCTCAACTATTTTCCAGCTAAAAGTTTCATTAGTACTTTGGAATTATGGTAAATTTATGCTAAAGAAACCCGCTGGAAAACATTCAAAGCTTTACAGAACGACTATTCTAGGGCTATAAGTTTGGTTATAAAATCTTTAATTGGTCTATATAGTTCAAAAGCCTTAGGAGTAACTAAAGAACAAATCTCTGCTAATTGCATATTAAACTTACCATAGTAGCGAATCTTTTCATAGTAGTCAAGGGTCCCAAAATTACAGTTTTTGATAAACATGCTACCGAATGAAATGCAAATCCGGCAAAGACAGGATTACCCAAAGAGAAAATGGCGTCCGACATGGCTACTAGAGCAAATAGATTTGTACCTTTCACGGCGGAGCAAATGTATAAAATACTAGGGTCTTATTGGCCTAACATAAAAGGCCAAAACCTAACGACTTAACACTAATTTTTGATACTTTAGTATTGAAAGAGATAACAGGCCTACAAAGTTATATGAAATGAAACTAAAGTATCCGATAGATGAAATTCTTTTAATCATAAATTTAAGATGAACAAATTAGGAAGATAAGGAAAGCCGGAAATATCTTTTGTATAAAATCAGGCATTTTCGTGATAGTAATAAAAAATAAGATACTTTGTGTTGTAATTCAGTTTTAATTAATGGAAAGGATGCACATTTGTTATTTATTATCTTATTAATATAAAACAAAGTAGTCTATAGTAATTAGCAGTTTCTATCAGTTGGTTCTATGTATTCCAATTTTAAATTGTCGAATACTTGATGTTCGCTATTGGCTGGAAGAGAAGTTCCCCTATTTAGATCAAATAGACCATGACTTGTTAATTTTAAACCTAAAACTCTTTGCGAATACAGTCTTAGTGACCTATTGAACCATTTATTCCCTGTCCATCCCACTAAAGCATAGAAGAATTGACTAACGGGAACTACAATGATATCAACTCTTCTAGCAACCCACTGCTTATCTTTAGACGATAAGGCTAAAAGTTGTTCGAATGACATTTTAGAATTACTAGCCAATTTTTTCTTTGTATCTCTAGCAAAATCTTCGTTGTTATCTAAGGTCTGTACAAAGGATCGCTTTTTAGATAGCCTCCCTTTTTTCGTTTCTATACTGGTTTCCGTTAAAGAGTTTTGTTCCAGTTGTATAAGATCATTTTCATTATCAGAAGAGTCTAAATCCTTCAGATTTTTATCTATCTTCATAATTCCTATCCATTTGTCAAAATGATCAACATTCGAAGCTAATGGCTTTCCCTTATCTTTCATAATTGTTTGAGGATTGTTGTGTCCCGTTTCCATAGTTCCGTGTAGCACCAATCCGGAATCACTGAGTAGATTTAATAATTTAGGAAGTAAACCGATTTCTTTGCCCTCTATGGGATGTGTTAATAGAATATCCGCATCGTGACCGCTGGCTTTACCTCTGCGGAAACCTCCTGCTAGAACAAGAATACATCCAGGAAGTATCTCTTCAAGATGTTGTTGTATCAAATTCTTAATAGCTAAAGCATGCTGCTTTGTTACTTGAGTGTTTAGATCTTTGTAAAAAGATATTCCCAATTCCATTCTATGATCAAATGAAGAATGCAAGTCTGTTCTCTCAATTAGGTCGTCTATCGTAAACACATTTTGGGCAATCCACTTTTTGGCTTTCGATGGTCCAACCCCGTATATACTTTGAAAAGCTTTCATTTGGTGAAACCATGGATCGTTTATAATATTTTCGACCTCAATGGAACTTCCCTCTTCGATGATATCCTTTATTACTTCTAGAGAATGTTTACCAACATCATGGAGACCTTTAACCTGATTAATATTTTTAATTTTGAAATTTAAGCTCTTAATAACTCCCGCCGCCTTTTGAAATGCTAATCTCCTCGCTTCGTCATCGTGAAAGAAAGCATTCTCAGAAAGAGTTTCCAAAGCGCTCTGCAAAAAAACAACTTTTTATCCATTATTGCGCAATATCTTTAGAATCATACCACTATGTCTGGGTTTTTTGACTTTAGAGGTGTTTTTCTCATGCAAGCGTATTCTTTAACGATTGCTTCTTTCTTGCCGGAGTCTTGAGATTCCAATGCTACGGGTCTGATTTGAAGAACTTCGCTGTTTATTGGGTCACTAAATTTCCCCTCTTTGAGACATCGACTTAGCCATTCTGATTTTAAAACTGTAACATCTCTATTCGTATTTTTTTCTTGAAGAGCTTTTTCAATATTTTCCCATTTATCTAGGTCGGTAACTAGGTGGGTTACTCGATCACTGTTTAAAATAATATCGTTATTATTATTGAAAAATTGTACGGAAATAAAGTAATGCACGAAACCTAAAAGATGACACTAAATTAAGGCCTTTCTTCTTAGCGGAAGCAATCATAACTTCATATCTTCGTTTTTGAATTTTTTGGGGTAAAAAATAAACAACATATGAAGTTTGTTCGCTCATTTTAAAGGTAAACAGTTATGTTTATTATAAAGGCTTAGTTTATCAGATGTTATATCGCCATCTTGTTGATATATTTATGTGTTTTTCTTTTTTTCGCAATTAAGGACTTTTTTAACTGAAAAAAGTTAACTTTATATAAAATATAGTATATATTTAAACTTAGATTTTCCTAAGTTTTAAAGGAAGCTTAAACATACTTTATTTCATGGAGATGTGGCATATTTCAATACTTTTTGTCTATTTTTATTAATTTATTGTTCTAAAAATCTTTTAAATTAGTTTAATGATGTAAGTCAATTTTAATTATATAATAAGAAATGTATACAATTCAAAAGTTTTAACCTATAGATGGCGTCAGAGTATGTATATCACAGGTAGAGCCACTAATAAAACCCTTTCATAGTTGAATTCCTAGATCGATAATCAAGGTATGGAGAACGGAGCGCGGAAACAAGAATCAGCGGGTGAAATGTGGTTTGAGAAATTCTACGAGCCAGTATTCGATTTACAAGATAATGAATCAGTTTTAGATGGTTAGGTTGTCATAGCGATAATAACTTTGTTTTCTAAATATAGGACTTTTCTGTTTTTTTTAGACGAATTCGCCAATATACGTGAGGAAAGTATCTTTTCGAGGACTCAAGTTCCTATATCTAAAAATGATTTTGATAAAATAAAAAATGTATATGAAAGAGTTTGGCTAATGGAAAAAATGAAAGAGGATAACCTCAAAGACGAAGAGGACGACGAAAGAAACATTTTAAGCAATGATTTTGACACATCCAACTGTATTTGGACACAAAACGAAATAGCTACAATAAGAACGGAATATATGAAGATAAAGAAAGAAAATTCAAGATTAAATGCTTTAATAACGCTATATAAACAACAAAATGAAGAATTAGAAAAGAATGTAAAAGAAATTTATAAAAGGTTGCCAACTGTTGATTTTCTTTCATTAGAATTTACGATACTTTATATGAAATCCTATATAAGTTTTCCATTTTGTTTCTTTTTTATAGATATGAAGAAAAGCATAAAAAATATTTTGAAGGGAAGAAGAAATGTGACCGATTACAGATTTTATGTAAAAGTTTATATAAAGATGTTGAAAAGTGTACACTTCGAGTTGAAAAGTTGGAATATTTGTTATGTTCACTTCGAAACGAAAGAATTGATACTAATAAAGAAGTTACGCAACTAAAAACCAATTTAAATGTTGAAATTGTTCGACATCAGAGTGATTGCGCTAACTTTGAAAGAGAAAGGAGTAATCTTGAAGCGTCTTTTAAACAGAAAGAAGATGAAATAAGATTAGGTTATAGTCAACAAATTTCGAGGTTGGAATACAAATTGGACCAATTGACGGATGAACTTGAAAAAGAGAAATCCGATCATAAAAGAACTCTTAAGGCATTAGAACATTTAAGAAGGCATTTTATGACTGTTAATATTGATGAAGATAAACAATCAGATGAACTAGGAGAGTTTGTTAGAGGTTGATTTTCGATCTTGATATTCCTTGCGGGCGGCTTCCAGTAAGGTGTTCGTTAAAGATCCACTAAAGTCTCGTCGAGGAGTTGCTACGGGTGGATATGGGTTTTCTACAATAGATAACGTTTTTATAAATTAGTATTATTTCCGCTGTTGTTGTTTTTTGATGGATAGAATAAACGTTTTAGTTTATAACTTAAAAATTACCTTTTAATTCAAGTAAACCCATTCGTTTTGGTCCACCAGGATAAACGTAAGGGAGAGTATATAATTTTGTGTAAGCTGTATCGTAATCTTCGAAACGGGGAACTAGAACTTCGAAGAGCTTTGGAATAATATCTTTTTCCTTTGAAAACAATATAAACATTTTGTAATTACGTATTTATTTTAATAAATTGTAAAAAGAACTTACAACTATCCAATAGTCAACCATTTCCTTGGTTACTTCGTGATCGTAGCCATTTTTTATAGACTGTTGGAGTATCAGTTCAGCATATCCCCTTGTCTCGTCTAGATAATCCCAGGTACCTTCGACTCTTTCTTCTCGAAAGAGGTTTGTTACGCTATTCCTAAGGTAATCAATTCGACCTCTGGGTCCTATTCGATAGCCGGTAGGAAGACGTTCCTGAACCCTTTTCAGATTTCTATGTCTTAATCTATAAGCATGCTTCAAAGCATTAAAGCTTATCTTATTCATATTTCTAACTTCTTAAACTTAAAATTTATAAAATAACAACAATTAAGAGGTTTTATTGGCACGTGCACAATATTTTCTTAAATGTATCCTTGACCTTTGAAAACCACTAGCGTCATCTGTCTTTATTAATCTGAAACTTCATAGAGATAAACTTCATTGGAAGACTTATTTTATATACTGTACTTCTCATTCGATATTTTATTGAAATTCATATAGGACGGATAATATTAAAACGTTCATTTGTATAGAATTAAAGAGAATAAATGTTATTAAAAACTTCTCAAGAATAAAGCTGCTCCACTTTGGAGCCAAACGTGAATTTCTGCGTCGCAAGGTACATCCAAATGCATAACAACTCTCTCTCTTTCATTTGAAAAATACAATGGTAGAGAAATTGAATGACCTTGAGGAGGAATTTCTTTTACCCAACCTACTAGTACTTCTGATAGAGTTACGACAGATGGTGAATCTCTTTGATTCTGAACTAAGCGGTTTCCTTCGAAACTGCAACCTTCTAATTGGATTCCTCCTAATTTTACTGAAGATGAGCTGGAAATAGACCCTCCTCCAGATCTAGACCAGCTACAGGCAAGTTTTAAGGAGTCCATCGATGTTTTCATTGATCGGGCTGTTGTTTGTCTAAGAGCATTCATAAAGGTATCAGGATGAAAGAGCTCGCTCAAATCTAAAGTTGAATCCAACAGGTTGTTCTGTTCGGCGGCTGGTACCCATTTTTGTGTTATGGCCGCAGTTCTCGAGACTAAACCTCTAATATAGCTCAATGGATCATCACTCGGTCCCTGCCACTTATCTAACCAAACAGTTGGAGTGCTATTAAGAAGGAGAGCAGAGGCAACCTTTTGAATATCCTCTGTCAATAGCTGAATTCCTCTGATTACTTTGCTCAAGGAAGAGAGACAACTGTGAACCTCGCGAACGAGAGCGAGTCCGTTGATTCTTTCTTGTTGGACAAAAGTTAAAAGTGGTGAAGCGTCAGAGGAATGTGAAGAAGGAGGAATTCTAGTCTGAATTAAATTAAGGCCTTGATTTATGGACTTCCATAGGTTCAGAATTGGTGTTAATTCCTTTCGCCACACTTCTTTTTGGAATTTCTTTGAGCTTGTTGTTGATCGTTGTATTATTCGAAGTTGACTTATAACGTTCAAGCCAATTGTTCTTTCTGTGGATCTTTCTATGTTTTCAGGTAGGCCAAAATAGGATGGCTTATCCATTTCAGGTAGTCTATCTATTTCTTCTATGAATTCTTGTGATTGGCATGAATTTGGTAAATTCAAAGGACCAATTCTCTTTCCCGAACCTCTTCCTACGATATTCGAGTTGAAAAACTGTTTTAAATATGAGACCATAACTCGATTATCAAAGATATTGTCTACACGACCGCCGTAGAATGCATTCTCTACCAGACCATGAACATAATTCCATTCAATGTCTTTCTGCGAGCGCTTACATAATCGATCTATCATTTCTGCCGATGCTCTTAAATCGGACATATTAAATTCATAGAATTTCGTCCATCCTTGAGGTACGTAATTACGACGTTCTTGCATGACGGCGTGAAACCATGCCAGAACAAATAATGCTTGAGAACGTGCTACATTTCCTGATTTCGCTACGTAATCCGGTGACCAGGTTTCATAAGTTCTCATAAGATTCTTTTTAATACCTGGAGGAGCTTCGTAGGTAATTTTTAAGCTTTCTTGTAAAAGAATGGTAGGGAATTTTGGATGACTTTCAGCTGTAAGCCACAATCTGAAATTTTCGTGAGGTTTCAAAGAATTCAATTCCTTCTCCAAAACTGGCAACCATGCAGTGACCAAATGTAAATTTTTCAAGCATAACCATTCTCCATTCTTCGAGCATTCATGTAATAATTGCATTGCAATTTCAGCTTGACCCTGGCCCATAGCTACTTGATGATATTTGTCACTGCCTACAATATCTTTTGCCAAATCCTGAAGTTCTTGAGATGGATCAGCACCAGGCGATATTATAATAAGAATTGGTTCGCCTGGTTCAGTTTCCTCTTGGCACAATCTTTTCAAATTGACATTTGTTGGCGATAACTCTTTTAAGTTAAGCATATCGCACGCAAACTTTGTCATTGCTGACTGCAATCTGTCAGGTCTTGTTGAATAGACAACCAGTAATTGTTCAAAGTTTGATAAACGTTTTTCAATACCCGATGGAATTTCCCTCTCACAAGTTGACGATCTTGAAAAGGATGACCATACTCCATTATCTTCCAGATTCATATTGGAATAGACGTTGGGCAGAGCAGATTTCAATAATGCAACTGTCGATGCGCAGTCTCCTTCAATCCAGCTTGGTAAAGAAGATTGACTCTTTGAAGCGTCAACCGCTACCATTCCGAGGAAAAATTCCCATTCCTGAATAAAGAAATGTGTCTAAGTATTTAATTTGATGATAATTGAAACACCTACGTTTTCTTCAAAACTTTCTGGGTGCATTCCATGAACCAAGTGAAGTGCAAACATCAATCTATCCGTTTTGAAGAGAGATCGGCAAACATAATTGTAGATAAGCTTCAAAAGGACACGTTTTAGATTTTTAATTCTAATATCTGTGGAGACGCCCTCTTGTTTGTTATTTAACGATCTTTGAAACAGTTTCAAAAATGCTGCCAAACTAAATCTGTACATATTATTCAATTTACAGAGATCCATTATAATAAAGTAAAGTTGACTGCCATGTTCGGCCAATGGGAGATAGGCTCCTCGTTCTTGATCCAGAGATACTTGAAGATTTTGCGATTCAGACAGTGAGTTTGAAATAGTTGTTGAACTCTCCTTTGTTTTTTGCAAGGAATCGAGTAGTTCTTTATTATCAAGGATATTTCCTTTAGCATTTGCTAATTGTTCAAGCAAACTCTCTTCCAGTTTGGCTAATTCAATTTTCAGTTCTTCTTCCTTTCTGAGTAGATCCATCTTTCGAGTTTCTAACTCTGGCTTCTCATTTTGAATACTAGCAGCTAGCAACTGACCAGTCAACCCGGCTCTTGTCGTTGTAAAATTGACTTCGGTAACAATAGACGATGCATCTGGAGGTAATTCAGGAGAAGGATTTCTTGTGGCCAAGAATAATTTAAAAGACTCGTTATAATCTATAACTTTATCGCCTATTTGAACAACGTGTCGGGGACCTTGAGAAATTAGGTCGCCCCTTAGTAGAGGATATAATATGGGTTCAACTCCGTCAACCTCCTGAATGACTAATGTTTTCCCGAATCTTACAGCTAGTTCGAGAGCAGTTGTAAAATTTGAGTCTTGTTGGTTAACAGTGTCTAATCTTTGGTCTTTCAAATGGGTTTTCAACCATTCCGTTGCTCTGGACGAAGGATCGACAAGGAATGGCCTAAGTGATGTCTAAAACAGAAATAAAGTCTTATTTAGCAAACAATAGTAAAAGAATAAATTAAATTGCATATAAAGAAAATATAAAGCAAAGATAGTGATCCATCTTCTTCAAAGTGAATATAGTTTTTTTATGTGATTCTTATTGATTATATAAAAAAGCTATTAACTTAATGAAAGGTGAGGGACGTTCAGCAAACATAAAATTAAATTAGGAAAAAAACAAATAATAAAAAAAAAGACATGTTCAGTTTATATGATATTTCATCCTTTCCGTGACAATAATGTTTCTTACCCCTGCTTCCATTGGATTAGTCTTTATATAACAAAAGAAAACATGCTTATTTAATTAAATCTAATTATTATCATTCAACAATAGATAAGTTTTTTACAAATATGAATATGTTTAAACACTTTGCTCGTTTTTTTGGTACATAATAACGATTTTAACAAATTCATGCCCAATATAAACTCGTTTCGACTACCAAAATTAGGACAATACTTAGAATAACAAATAATATTAAGTTGCTTTTGTTTTTTTTTACCTTTGCCCGCTAGAATAATTTAACGATTAGAGATAAAAAGAAAAATTGTTAAAAATTGACAAAATTTTCCGTCCATTTAAAATGAAAATATTAAAAATTAAATATAAACAATAAAAAACAATTGAACATTTAAGCTTACTTGTAGAATCATCATTGCATTCTCCATACTCAATTCGTCCGATGGTAAACCTTCGCTCTTCCATACAAGTTGTTCGCTTTCTGTACTGAGGAATCTTCTTAATTCGAATGTATCTATTCCGACTGCTGATATCCAATCGCTTATGCAAGCTTGTCGTCTATCTTCCGGTGCATTAGACATATAAGTAATAAATGCGGCGGCAACTAAAGCTCTTAAAGGTAATTGTTCTAATTCTTTATGAAGTTCTCCAACTTGTGAACTCCATCTGTCATGTTCGCTGTGTAATTTTCCAACAAGATTTTCAGCGGCAGTAATCGTTTCCTGAGCTTTATCTAAATCAACTTTCAACTTCATAGCTTCTGTTGTTCTTCTTTCGAAATTTTGTTTCAAGTCGGCAACTTTACGATCGACGGCATCAAGACCCTTAGATAGTTTTGACATCTGATTATTCGCCTTTTCTAAATTCCTAATATATAAGAAAAAGATAAGATATAAATCCCTGAACGAATGAAATTTCATACTTTTGCAGTTGGGATTGTTCTTTTTCTAAAGGTTCAATTCTCTCTAAAACGTGGGAATACTTTATATTGGCTTTAGTCCATGCAGCAAGTGGTGCAGCGGCTACTGAGGCTCTTTTAGCGGTCTATCATATGATATATGAAGAAAGGAAAACAACAAGTCTTTTTAGATAATAGAGATTTTAAAGATATATAAATGTTTCTCACGTCTTTTTCATACGATCTTTCCTTTTGTTTTATTAACTTTTCTACCTCTTTTCTATGGTCAGGATTAATGTTACGAGCGTCGAAATTCTGAATTTCTTCTTTGACTCCTCGTTTTGCCAGAAAGCTGCGTAACATTAAAGAAATATGTAGTTCTAATTGATTAATATTAAAATTAGTTACTTTTTCATAGCATTCCATGAGACATCTTTCTCTCCCATCAATCTTAAAACACCTTCTAAAATATCTCTTACAACATCTGGAGGAGCTCTGAAAGCTCTAATTTCGCCTAAACTCTCCGATTTAATACTGCCAACAGCCCTTTTTGATTCTTCGACTATTGGCATTACATCTTCTAATTCAATATCGATTTCTTTCTTTCTCTTTTCTAATTTAACATTCTCCTGAGATACTTGCTCCTTGAGTTTTTCCATTTCAATTTTCTGATCACCAGCTCTGTGCATAGTTTCAGTAATTTCTTTTAAACTTTCATCAGCCTCCAGTTGCTTTTCGGCTAATATTTTACTTTGTTCTCCTGCCTTTGATTTTAGTTGATCTACCAATTGTTTGGCTTCATTCAGTTTGGTTACACCAGCTTGTAAATGTTGAGTTCTAGTTTCGATTTTAACTTTCTTATCGGAATATACTTGCTTATATGTATGAACAAAAGCCAAATATCTTCTTGGAGTAGCCTCTCCAAACTGTGCACAAGATTCGTGTATATGAAGAAATCCTTTCAGAAGTTCTTGCCCACCAGATAGCTTTCTTTTCTTTGGCTTTTCACTTGATAGAGCTGCACCTTCAACTTTTGCTTCTTTGGTAAGAATTAGGTGTGGTAAACGAACCATGGATTCTCTACTCCATCCTTCTAGCCATAAGATAGAACACTTCTTATAGAGAGATGGGTTACTTTCGCACTGAACAGCAAAGTTACTGTTGATACAATCCATGATTAGGACTACGTGAAGGTTCCTTCTAATTCTTGATGAAAAATATTGAGCCATAGTTCCTCTGAAGCCAGCTTCCGACGCTTCATCTCTTAAACTAGAAACAAGCGGCTCTAATTCTTCAGTTGAGTACAATCCAGGCACCTCTCCCGCAGCAAGTACAGAATTGATTAACTCCAAGAAGGTAGATTCTACAAAGTTGTGATCTTCGAGTAATAGAACAACTTGTTGGTTGTCAACGCCGGCCTGTTGCATGGCTGTTTTTAAATCGATCTTGAACTGTTTGGAGCCGTATGTTCGACTCATCTTTGGTGCAACAACTGACATTTGGTGCATATGAGCGACTAAAGTAGCAGCAGTTCGTCTACCAACGCCACTACGGCCTGCTAAGAGGAGAGAACCTCCAGGAGCTGTTAACACTCTCTCTACCCTGACGATTTGACATAGAACTTCTTTGAAAAGAACAAGATCTAAATCTCTTTGATCTCTGCTGTATTGAACTAGTGCTTTTTCTACAATGACCGTTAAGTCATCTGAGTTAAATTGACTTAGGTTTCGACCATGAGCGGGAAGTGGGGCACCAGCACTTCCACTTTCAGCTCTAAAGTAACAGTCACCCATATCATCCATAAAGTGAACAGACCAGTCAGCTCTAACAACGTTGTTCAAGATTCCATCAAATTTGGCTCTGTGCTCATCAGTTGCAAGCTTATCTCTGAATAGCCGTTGAGCTTCGTAAACCCATATTTTTAGGACATGGTCTGGTCTATCTTCTGCCCCAGAGCTGAGATCGTAACGAAGTAGTCCATTAATCCACGCTGTCAAATCTCTAGGTGTGAATAAGTAATGACTATAATCGTCCACCGTAAATGTTCCTTTTACTTCTTCATATAGCTTGATCATGCAATTGGACAAAGATCGCATTTTGGAAGCAGAAGACCAAATTGGATGTCTTTTTAATTGCTTCTCCAAGACTGGCTTTAAGTATGAAGAATATATAGTCTGAAGTTGTTCGGTTGACGGATAACCAACAGTACAGATTCTTACTATAGATGTGAATCTTGTACTTAACCTATGTCGACCCATTGATGTTCCAGCATTCATACTGCTTACAATTTGAACTCCTTCTAGGCCTACAAATTCCAAGTTCGAATCATAAAATCCCTGATATGTTAGGACTTGTTGCAAAAATGCAACTAATTGACTAGTGCCCCACTTATCAGGTTTGGGTAAATTGATATCTTTTAAATAGAGAATTAGTCTTTCGCAGTCTTTTGGCCTGTACACTCGACCGTTGTTCGTATTAACGGTCATACAAGATTGGTTCAGTTTCTGCAAGACGTGTTCAGGTCCAGTTTGCGCACTGCAATACAACACATTTACTTGAACTGACTTCAATTTTTCAAAACAGTATTTTAATAATAGTCCTTTTCCACATCCTTCAGGACCAACCAAAATAAATGGTTGTTTATTAGCACTAGATAATAGAGGGGCAAAGTAATCCATACCCCTCTGAATATCTGTGGTTTTAATAATTGGTGGATCATCTGCTTCGAATCTGTCAGCAGTCAAATCATCTGCACCTTCATGAGAGTAAACATTTAATTTACCCAAATCACTGTCGTAATATGTGTCTAAAATTCGTCTGGGATCAGGTGGACTCTCTCCAGTTATAGAGAAAATTGTCTCTGAGAAACTTTGTTTTAAATTATCCGGTAAATTTCCACCTAAACCTTTTATCAATGATACAGTAAACTGAACTTTGTTTGTTACATCGTACAGATGAGATAAGCCATTTAGGACCAATCCTACTATTGTTGTTTCAACTACCATTTCATGCATATATTTTTGTGCTTCGTCTATTGCTTGATAAAAATAATCTTCAATCCAACCGGATAAGAGCATCTTTTGCCTCTCCTCCTTTTGATTTAACCAGCTCTTTATCAGAGCTGTAATATCAGTATTTTCATCGCTCATATAAATCATTCCCATTCTGGAAATTGTTGCGGGAGATGCACAACTTAGGTCATGAGTTTCAAATAAGAAATTAACGTTGGGACCAAACTGGATTCTTTCACCGCTTGGCATAGTTAACAATCGATTGTCATCCAATACAGAATTTAAAGATTCAATCCATTCGGGATCAATGTCACCATCGCACACAATCCATGATTGAATATCAATAGGTTCTTTAACAACTTCTCTTGCAGCATATGTTAAAACTCCATCAGACCATTCTCTAGTGTCTAAATCGATATGACCTAATAATTGTTGCCTGGGCATAGCCTTTGGGTTCATTACGTATTTCTTTACTGTTTTGGAAATGCGTAGAAGAGCATCACGCAAAAGACGCCATAATGTCGATTTACCAGATCCACTAGGTCCGACAACAACTACACCCATTCTTTGACGTAATTGCTCGTATAACTCTAAACATTTTTTTATCTAGAATATATAAATTAATTAGGATATATTAGATTATAACGCAACGACGTTCAGAAGTTACCTGATTGTCAATTGGTATTAAATGTAATTCTGTGCAAGTTTCTCGTAGGGCATCTTCCAGTTCTTTATATTCGATGTTCTATATGATAATAGTTGAGGCTTGTTAATTGTTAATATTAATATTACAAAAATGGTACCTGAAAATCAACTTCTGGGAAAACATCTTTCACGAGATTATCAAATAATTTTGAATCGGAGAAGGTAAGCTTAGAAAGAGTATTGAATCTAACAGCTTGAACTACAAGTAGAGTTTCCTTTGCTTTATCAACTTTTGCATCTAAAATGTTTTTGTTTTGATTGACAATTCAACATGACATAGATTATTTACTTACTTTCTTCTCTTCTGATATTTTGTAGCAAGTTCCCGCAACCTTTCAAAACAGTTTTCAAAGCTCTTAATCCCCAATCATAATGTTGTTGGCTGCTTAACAATTCTTTAGATAAATTGAAAACTGCTACAAGTTTTCTACCAAGATTTTTAGCATCTTTAAATCCTTCTGAGAAAAGGATTACCTCAGCAATCAAATCGTTGTCGGGTTTAGACATAGCTACAGGTCTAAACAATTGTTTTAAGTTATCAGGTAGTTTGGATCTTCCTCCGTAACCCTTTCCAGCGGGATTCAACGTAATAAATATTCCTGAATTGGGATCAATACTAATTGTCTTCTCTAGTAGCTCGGCTGTTTTAGCTTTCGATTTAATTGCGTCTTGAATAACTTGAATTTGCATAGATACAGCTGAAAGTACAGCTTCTTCAAGTCGATTAAATTCATCAAAACATCCCCAAGCTCCGCATTTGACGAGACCAACAAATATACGTCCCATAGATTTAACATCAATTCCTTCGTCGCAGTTAAATACTAATACTTGGCGCCCGAATAGACCACCCAGGGCTTTCACGCTCTCTGTTTTGCCAGTACCAGCCGGTCCGTAAGGATTTCCTCCCATTCCCATAGACATACCTTGAGTAAGAGTCAAATAACATTTGTCAGTTAGAGGAGTGTGAACCAATTTAGCTGCATTTCCTTGATACTCGTATGTATAATTAAATTCTGCATCAACCATCTTAATTATAGCTACTTTATCCCTAAGGTAAAATCTGAGTTGTTTCTGCCAACGCCAGTGATTAGGATCAGCAACTGCATGTTCTTGAAGTTCTCTTACAACTTCAATATTGTGAATTGTATCTAGAATTAGTGATTTCACTTTTAAATTAAGCACATGAACACTCTGTCCAGATAGATCAATAGAAGTATAAGATTCTAGTTTTCGGTCTTGCTCACGTCGAACGTTTTCTAAAGCAGAACCTCCACCTGATGATAGTGCTTTTTCAGCACTATGAGTGAAATTAATTTGTTCAGCCAAACACAAGATCTATTAGTAAGAGGAAAATAAAAAATTGTTACGATCTTTCATTTCTATTTATTCATACCTGAGATGGGAATTTGCTAGCATCAAGATTATTGCTTGCTGCAATGCATTGATTTAATAGTTCTTTCAGGGTTTTAACCATTTCTTTTGCAAGAAGATCCAGCCACTCCTATTTTAGGAGATAGTATAAAATATATTAAATGTTAACTTGAAAATCTAGTTCAAATGTTACCTCTACTTTAGATGTGATTTTAACTTGGTTGTTTAAAGGAACAATTTCGCCATCAAGTGATTTCATTGCAAGAATATTCTCATTCTTTTCATCAAATTGAACGGAGTGAATACCGGCAAACAATTTCTTCAAATGAGTTTGAATGACAACGGGATTTGTTGATTGACCTAATATTTCCAATAAGTCATCATCACCGATGAAGTAGAATCTGGGGAAGGCTGATCTCTTCTCTTCCAAGAATTCATTTAATGCCTTCTGACATCTTTGTAGTTGATCGAGCATTTGGGTAAGTCGGGGCCCTAAACCGGGTTTATCGTTTAAAGACACTACCCTATTATCTCGATTTACGTCCAACATGATACCCCTTCAAAAGAGAATGGTTTGAGCATTGGGATTATCTATTTGTTTTAAAACCATACGCACCTAAAGTCATTGTCTACAGCCTTGAATCTGCCTTGATCTTTCGGTAGGGCACCTCTGCCAAAAATAGGTTCTAAATAGATCCATTTCCTTTGAATTTGATTCAAATTATGCAAATATTCATCCAACGATGCTAATTTTTGCTCCCATGTTGATGCCTTATCTTCAAAAGCTTTATAATAAGGTGAATCTTTAAGAGATTGTAATAGACACTGATTATCTCCAATTTGATTCATTAAATCCTTCCAATCTTTGATTAAATTAATCTTATGTTTGTGAGAATCTTCATAGCCGGTTAGTGTGAAAACAGCTCCTGCTCCCCATAAATCTAATTCTCTTAGGGCTTCTCTGATTGTCACTTCTCCTTGAGCCCTAAGATTTAGTTCCTTAATATCATCGGCGCGTTTAATAATATGATCAGCAGATTTGAGAACATCGCTAAAAGTTAGCTTCTCAAGAGTCGTACCCTTAGGAAGTTGAAGCATTCTAAACAATTCCAGCCAGTGATCAGTGGACAATGGATCTCCTCTAACCCATTTTAAAACTGGTAATACATTCTGAAAGCACAGTACCGTTTATCTTTATTTTAATAGACATTGTTATAGTTTACCTTATATTTATCTATTTCCTGTTGTAGTCTTACTGTCATTGTTGTAGTTTCTTCATTTTTAATCTGTTCATACCAATGAACAAGATATTCTTCAAATTTATAATAATGAGTTCTAAATGATATCCAATCCTCCTTTCTTAGCTCATCTAATCCTTTATTAAATTCTTCGAAACGTCCAAACATATTTCCAAATCTTTGAATTTCATTTTTTAATTCTTCAGCTAGTGGAAATTCCGGTGTCGGCAATTCAAAATGTGCGCAATCAGTACTAAACAAAATAACAGGAAACATTAAACTTTAAAATTAAGATAAATAGTAATTATTTAGAATTTATACCATAATTGCTCTTTTTCTTTTTCTAATTCAAGAAACTCTTCATTTCGTTCTTTAATCGTAGAAACAATTTCACCCCATTTAGATACGTCAGCATCCATTGAATCTCTAGCTTGATTTCTGACGTGACTCCATCTGGCATTAAATTTCTCTAATTTTTGTTCGTATTCGCTTATTCTAGATTCTGTATTCTTTCTCATCATTTCAACTTGTTCGCTTATCATCATTTGGAATGAATCCATCATTAATTGAAATTTATCGTATTTTGTATTTAATTGTGATACTGATTCAACTCCACCTCCTGCTACTGATTTTAATAGCTTATTTTTCGATTCGATCTCTTCGAATTGAGGTCGAATCTAATAAAGTAAAAGTCCATATAAGAAAAAAAAACATAATAGCAAATTATAGATATTACCTCTCTCTTTTTTTGTTTGAAAATAGTCTGTTTGGAGTTAGCTTCACCAATTTCCTCTACCGTTTGAGGCCTCACCGATAATGTATCAATTGCCTCACTTAAGAAATTATCAATACTCTCGATTTCTTTACTTATAGAACGTCTTAAAGACATTAATAAAGCATCGAAAAGTCTCGTAATATGCTCTTCAATAACCATTTTAACAGGAACTGTTGATACACGGACGCAGTCAACTTTATATTCGCTATTTAAAAGGAAAATACGATAGTTAATGATTATTAATTATCATAAACTGTTAAAAACTTACGTTTTTAACTTTTCCGCGTTTCGTCCTCTAACTTTGAGAGCTTTTAGTTCTCGTTCCCAATCGCCTATATTGTGTAATTCTTTATCAACAAAATCATCCATATCTGGAATATAACCAAGAACAACCCAGTCAGAAAATTCATTTTGAACTTTTGACAATCTTTGAAATAAATCCGCTGCTTTTATATAACATCCTATAAAAGCGCTTGCATTCCTGTCTATAATTGCAGAAAATACTGATGATGGTGGTTCACTAACGCCTTTAAAGTGATTAGGTATGCTGAGAAATTTTTTCATTTCTCTAAAATATTTAGCTTGGATCTCTTCGTAAGGTGGTTTAAATTGCAGTTTTTGTTGCTTGAATGTCAATTCGACGTTTATCTCTGGTAGACTTTCATTTAAAGATTCAACTCCCATTTGATATTGATGTTCAAGAGCTTTATATAATTGTCTATCCCAATGAGCTTTCCAGGGTCTCATATTCTCAGACGCAAAGCCTTGGGAAGTTAAATTGGCCATTATATGTCTTATTTCCATCAAATAATCCTTCCACTTTTGAGGATATTTTAGTAGATCAATTCCCATGAGATCGCTACATTTATCAGCAATAGTGTAGTGGCATTTTCTCAGTCTCCGATTCTCTGTCTGCAGTTTACCTGATGCTCCTTGAAGACTTTTTATATATTCTTCTAATTGTTCAGGATTATCCCAAGTTACTTGAACACCTGTATTGCCTTTTGCTTTGTTAGCTATTTAATAGAAAGAATATGCAATTTAATAGGTTTCTTACTCGTGTATTAGTATATTAGATCTTACTAGTTTTTGGATTTTTAATAATTCTTTCAAAGGCCACAGCAGATTCTAACATCATTGCTTTTTGTGAGGAAAGCATTTGCTGATCAATTGTATTGTAAAAGTTAGCGACTTGTTTAAGAATATTTCCATATTTATAAAATTTCTTTCCAGTTTCAGCTACTCTTAAAATTTTCTTTGGAATTGAGAAACCTAATGATGTAAGGGTTGAAACTTCTCTTATAAGTGTTACTAATCTCTCTCCATAGTTAATAAACAATTTTCCACTTCGATGATCTAGTTCCATAAGTTTGCCGCTAGTTTCTAAGCAAATATTTTTCTCATTTTCGTCAATTTGCTCTTGAATCTCTCTGGACCATTCGTCGAATTGATCCTTTTGCCAGTTAGTTAGTTCACCGATTAAATTATCAGCATCTGATTGTAAATCTTTATATCTTGCTAAATCTCCAAGGATTTCCGTAGTTATTCTTTTCATATCTTCGACCTAAAATTGAATGAAAGGTATATAATTTATCATAAACAATGAAGATTTTCTTTAAATGTAAATAATATGCTTACTCTTGATTGCAACTGTCTTGCCCAAACAATTTTATTTACAATTTCGGGTAGATTTTTACCAGTTGGTAGCCGAGTGGATCCCGTTCCCGTCGATATTTGCTGATATTCGTCTCGGCAATGTTTAATGAAGACATTTAGTTGACCTAATAAATTCTCCCTTTCTCCCGTTAATTCTTTCATAATACTATCCCTCTTTACTAAATCTTTATATCTTTGAAACTCTCTTAGTAATTGTATAGGGTTTCCATCAATCGATTTGAAATGATTGCGAAGCTTTTGAGCCACTCTACTTTCTGCCAGACTTGTTAATCTCTCATACTGAGCAACAGCGGATTTCCATAAAGGTTCTGTATACGGGTTATAATGAACTGGATTTAATCCAGAGAATGGCGCAAAGCTTTCGGATAGTTTTAGTTCTTGTTGCTCCTGATTAGGTAGGAGTTTGCACATTTGTTCATACGTTGCACGAACTGCTAGAATTTCATCCAATCGTCCTTTCAACTTGAGTAAATTATCTGGTACAAATTTTTCTCCCTTCCATGGATGAGGTGAGTATCTTTTCCAAAATTGCGTTGTTAACATGTGGCAAGTTTGTGCCCACCGTTCACAAACAGCCTGACCTGATTTTAATTGGTCTTTTATAGTGGAAAACGGACTACTCCATAACTCTTCTTTTGAAATTTTCTTCTGAATACTTCGTCCAAGCAGTCCAGCACTTACATCTAATAGATGACGCATCCTCTCCTCAGAGTACGTTTCCGAGTCTGATTGTTTCCATAATTCATCAAGATAGTCTTGCATTTCGTCTATTACATCTGGAATATCGGATAGTTTCATCATATCAATTGCGGAAAATTCTTTAGCCATCGGTGCCAAATTTTCAATAACTGTTTCCGCGGCATCCCTTCTTGATCCTCCCTTAGAAGCCTGATCACGCCAGTATTGAAGTTCATCAGAAGGAGAAAGAATTCCTATTAAAAAGTAAAGATATTAGATAACAGTAATAATTTGTAATGTAATATTATCATGTTAGATGGGCCAAAGATGAATAAAATATGGTAAAATATTTTTTATACTATAGCCTTGTGAATTTTGTTAAAATATAAAGCTTTAAGCTAAGAGTTTAATCAAAAACCTCTTACGACTTCGATTGTCAATCCTTATTATCTGTAAGTGTATTATTCAACCACAAATTGAAAATGAAAATAGAGTACAGTTGACATAATTAAGAATTAAATTATGTAATCAATGAAAGATTTAAGTTTAAAGATTTTATTTTGTATGTTAGACAATAATTTACCTCCTAATGTCTCTTGTCTTCCCTGTCTACCTCCAATTACCAGACTACTTAGAGCAGCTTCTAGATCAGTTAGTAGGGATTTAAGTTTTGGAGGAAGTGAATCACTCCACTTATTATCCTCAAGCAATACTGGATTAAATTCTGACTTTATCGTGTGAAATAGAGACGCTATTGGTGTGTCCAGCATTGATGAAATAAGAATTATTGTGGACATATTATCTGGAGTTATGGCCTCTGGACGAGTTTTGCAGAAAACCAGAGTTTTATTTCCGGTATTGTCTCCAAATTCAATCTAAATCCGATCAAAAATAGAACATTTTTTTTGCAATAGAAAATTATTTTGGGTATTTATACCTTATTATTAAATTGAATAGAACCCCCATCGTAAAGAGCACTTAATACTTCTACGTTTGAGTCGTCTAAAAATCTATTTAAAGGCTTTGCAGTATCGGCCCCGATAAGACTTTTGTCATTTGCAGATAGTCCAAAATGATTAGAGGACGTTGTTAGAATAAAATCTTTTCTTGAGTCTCCAACTGGCATCTTTCTTAACGATAATAAGAGAAACCACCGGTTAAAGCTCTAAAGATAGTTGATTAAAAGTTAAATTTAACCCAAAGTTAATTATTTTATGAATATTTTCAATTTGATATGTATTTTAATTATCAACTTTCTGCTTAGTATAATTAATTTTCCTATAAAAATTTTTCCTGCAGACTCAAAAATTTCGAGCAAAATATTTAGACTGGTTCCAAGCTCTTGTTTACTATAGCAACAGTCTGGTTTTTAAATATGGTTACCTGTTCAGCGTTGTTAATGCGTGCATCGCGTTTTGCCAAAAACAGGGTCCCTTTACGTCGTATTAAAAGATGGTGGTCATAGAAATGATAATATTTTAGAAACAATTTAAATACATACTGGCGGAGAAATGTTGCGATAAATGTTACTACTGTAGATCGAAAACATGTATTCTATCGGAAACCAAGAGTATCGTCCTCTTAAAAAATCCAGGCAAGGAACACACGGACCTGATGTATATCCACAACAGGCATCCCAGAAAGAAGTAAAGTTTCAACTGTTTTTTTCTTGCTTTATTTACTGCTAATCGTGTTTACTTGTATCGGTTATACATTTCTAACATAATAATTTGTCTTTTTAGGATGTTCTTAGCCATGAAAATGTAAAGAAAGGATTGGAATATAGAATTCTAGTTGCAGAAGAGGTGACTAAATATTATTTACAAATAAATTCACTGATTTAGCGCTTCCTACGTATTTATCAAGCGTATATATGCTTGATGAAACTTTTTAAACGATTTCTATATATTTTACGTATATACGACTAACAGATGTAAAGTTTAACGTTAATCTTGTTTGTAGTTTTCTACGAGTAGCAAACATGGAGATATATGTAATAAAATAGCGAAGATTGGAGACTTTTACGATTCTATCCTTGCAAAAAAGGCCGAGATTAACACTGTTTCCGATACTGCTCCCAGTGGTGCTAACAAACGAAAGCAGCCAATTAATGCTAAAGATGTTTTTATCCATGTGGTTGGTATATTTAACTTTACATTCAATTCAAAAATAATACCTTTTATTTAACAGACTTTAAAGCCAAACACTCCTAAGCAATCTGGTATACTAAACTTCTTTAAAGATCTCAGTGGATTAAGGCCATTAACAGAATTATCCAAGAAGGTTAGTTGTTATATTAAAAAATGGATTTTCTCCTATAAGTATGGCTTAATTTATACAAATCTTTTACTTATGTTAATTTTCACCTGTAGTTGCCAGTTTCTATAAGGAAGGAAGATGTATTACATTGTTTGTGGGAAAATAAGGTTCCACTAATTAGAGCGACTTGGTATATCAAGATGAACGCGGCTCATTGCGCGTCTTTGGCCGAAAGTAAAGTAAAGAAGAGAACAACAACTGATCCCTCCAGCGGTCAGTAAAGACTGTTACATTAATATATGTGTGTATATAGAAAATCACGTACATTTCAATTTTTACTTTAGAATGGGGAATGCACCTATTAAAGTTACTTCGCGATTATTTGCAAAAAGTCCACTGTAACTATGCTGGAACTGTACCCTCTATGCCAACTGGATTTCTAACAGTAAGTTCGTCAAGTTCGAGAGATTCTGAACAATTAGAAGAGTTACTTGGAAAATGGAAATTTTTTTCGAATCTCACTCATCATATGTATGCCGTAAGTAGTTTATTATTAGATAAGATTTTTCGCTTGGAATGGTATTAATAAGAAATTGTTAATATGATATACAGAATGATCTATTAGATCGCATGGAAATTTTACAATTTTACATTGATATGCTGGAAAAAGAGAAAGATGACACAACAACTAAATTAATTCTATATGATATTATGAGATATGATTCAGATATATGCAATAATCATATTCTCTCCAGGCGACTAGCTTACTATTGTGCTAAAAGAATCAATCTTTTTCTGACCGATGTTGGATCCTCATCGCCTCCTCATGACGGAAATGTAAATGAGATTCTCACGGAATATTTAACTTGTCCACAACATAAACCAATAATATCTTTACTCACCGCCTTACTGCAGGGGATTGTTTTAAGGTCTCCTGGGGCTTTGGTTTGGAATGCTTATAAGACTGAAAAGAGTTCTGTTGTCTCTCTATGCGCGTCACCTCTTGACTTATTGCCTTGCGAACCATCTGCTCTAGCACTTCCTTCCTGTATGTCATCTGAAGAAGTAAATGAATCTAGAATGAAGCTAAGGGAAGCAGAAGATCAAATTCGTCAGCGTTCAATTGCTGCATCAATTAAATGGTCATCACCAATGTGCAGACTAAACGAAGAGGGTTTTCGCTATACTAAACTCTTACAAATACTCGAAGAGTTGGATAAATATAATTTCGATTTCAGGGAAAGCAATTCAAGAATAATTACAATAGAGACACTTTATCAAAAAGTATTTATTATTTCCAAAGAAAGAGATCAGAATGAACCTTACTTATTTGATGCACCTATTGTAAAATTTTTATGTGAATGGGCAGTGAATACGCAGAGATTCGGATTTCATAAAGCTGCCGCAGTAGCCAAATTATTGGACATGAGACAATCTTATTGGCAGGCTCAAGCTGAGTCAAGAATAAACGAACCTAGGGATGAGGAAGATACAAATCCAGTCGATGACATATTACACGCAGCTACAAATTCCAATATGCCCTTTCAGAGTTTATTGATTGAATTTTTGGATACGCAAGCTCCAGTTCTTGATAAATCTCCATCACCAGAAAATCGTGCGGCATTTGCCAACTTAGTTTTGCTATTTGCCGAATTAATACGTCAAGAAGTCTTTTCCCATGATTCATACATAGCCACATTAATATCAAGGGGTGATCTACAATGCTCAAATAATATGTCCTACACCGAGATTCAGGAATTATCGGACATTGCGGTTAAAACTGAAACTGATAAATCGAATGATAACGAACTCTTTGATTCAGAGTCTGAACATTTCACTGGAGTTGGACCAAAAGACGAAATTTTTTCTCCACAACCACCTGGTAGCGTTTCAACTTCAATTAAGTCTGAATTGTATTCACCAGCCTCTGCCAAAGGTATGTCGTACGATGCGGTGGCATGCAAAGGAACTACTCCCCAAGATCCTAGCCCATTAACGCCAGCATCCAGTCTACAGCCCCACACTCCTTACACTCCTCATATGGCGTACACTCCTGGAACTGCAACAACTCCAATAAGCACAACGAAGGCACAAAAAGTTCAAAAACCCAGTAGACATTTATACTATACAATGCATTTACCGTTGCCATCCGATGACGCCTATACACACGAAACAAACCAACGACTTATTGTATTATATGGTGTTGGGTCTGTAAGAGAAGCGGTTATTCATAATCTAAAAAAAATTAAACGTGAGATTGTAAAAATATTTGGTAAGAAGAATGCTATAGATCTAAGTAATGGAGATATTGGCGTAAAGAACAAAAAGAAACGATTGAGTGATGCTGATTCAAATTCAGTACTTAAGGCATCCATTGGAAAATGTCTGAGAACATCCTATTTTGATCAACATCAAATAACTAACTCATTGGCTTCATTAATTATAGAGCAGGTTTGTTTTATATAGAAACAGTGTTTTTTTTTCAGAAGAGTTCCTAATAAAAACCATACTGTCCGTATCTCTCTACAGATACAAGCATTTACGTCCGGTCAGACCACCACTGTGCCACAAATTGAATATATAGCTTGCCTAATGGATTTAATGGAAAAGTCATTAAATATTCGTGGTTTGATAGATCTTTGTGTTCAACTGTTATCAGAAGTATCCGAAAACGTTAGTGAAAAAGCTAAAGAGCTACTTAGAGGCGATAAAAATCAGAAACTTCAACGACCCGTTCACGCCAGCAACTATCTACATTCTTTAGTCCTGTGTATTGTTTCAGTTTTCTGGAAATATCATACATATCTAATTCATTTTCCCGAAATATTGAAGCAAGCTTGTAAAGGGTAAATATTCGATGATTGATAATATTAATTCTTTTTTTGTCTTTAATCTTATTTAATATATACTTTCAGTTTAAAAGAATATGTAAAGTTTGCAAAACCGAAAGAATGTAACTCCGCTGAAACTTGTGCTTTTAATTATCTACATGAGGCTTACCTTGGTTGCTCTTACTTAAGGATGAGCGATCAAAATTATCAAGAATATTTAATAAATGACGTTAAACCGCACATTCAACGAAAAATGGAAGCTGCCAATAGCAATTCTATGTGGAATCAAAAGTTTTTACAAGAAATGTTAGGTGATCCTAGAATTCAAGCAGATAATATGACAATTAGAGCTATAAATGAAATGCCTTCAAATTCGTATAGTTTCGTTTGTAATACTATATTAAAAATATGTTCAGGAACAGAAGACAGTAATAAGTAAGTTACTCAAATAAAGTCATTTAATGCCAATAGTTTAATTAAACAATATAATTTTTTTTTTCAGACTTAATGACATAGCCATCATGTGCTCTCAAATGACATCTTATTGCCATCAATTGAGCAACGAATGGTTAGGGGTCTTAAGCACCCTATGTACAGTTGATCTTAACTCTATGGAATGTAGCAACAATGGCTACATTGATCTCATTGTAAAAATTTCCGAATTGGATGTAAGTATTAAAGAATATCCGCTATTTGTTTATTGAATGTTTTTGCGCAAAAAAAACCTCATTTCTTTCCTATTATAGGTTTCGTCATACGGTGATGCCTTAGCCATTTTTGTGTCCATACTAACGGCTAGAAATTGCTTTTCATTAGAAGACTTTCTACGAATTGTAATTATGCCATCGTTGGGCAAAATAGTATCAACTTTGGGTCAAAATCCATCTGGTACAGATCAGGGTTCTAGACTATGCCTGAATTTGTTACTACGTATTTTTCAATCACCGAATTTTCCTACGGACAATGTTTTTGTGATAAAGCATATGTATGATAGGAATCTGTTAACTGCAGCCCAAAACGTAACTTCCCTAAGTCCTGTTGTTCTTGTTTTAAAATTTCTGTTAATGATTGCCGGGGACACAAATTCGAGGACGGATAGCTTTCAAACTATTGGTTGGACTTGTAAGAAGATAATGGGATCTGTTTCTTTAGCAGATTTTGCCAGATACGTACTCCAAGAGCTTACTTGCCAAGATTGGATTCGAGAAAAATTTCTCAGATCTCCCCACACACTTTTAGGTAGTGACTATCTGTTGGATGTTCATTTTTCAACTCGCATGGCTCAAAACCTCGTTGAAATATTTTGCTATCCTCACGGAATACCAAATTACGATAGTGACGACGAAGACGACTGTGACGAAGTACTAATTCAACGACGACACATAACAAATATACTTCAGAATTTAACTCAATGGAACAAGAGGGAAGCATGGCTAGAGATGAGATTATTGTTTTTAGTTGAAAGACAAACAGAAAAAATATTTCATCAACTTTTGGATAACGTAGCAAAAGCAACAATTCAAGCCTTTCAAGAAGAAGCTGATAAAAAGGCGGAAAGTAATAAGACATATGTAGATAAACCTTCAGTTTGGTTAATAGGACCATTCCTATCTAGTTTGGAGAATATGGTAGAAAGTAGAGTTTTAAGATTCGCCGCTCAAGTCTTAGAAAGTGGGAACAATTTCTGGGCTATAAAAACTAAAGAAAAACAGCGAGATCTACAAAAGAGAACAACCTTACTTGGCTATCAGCCGTTCATTTCCTTGATTTTATCTTGTTTAAAAAGTCAAGATGAACAAAGGGAATCTCTATTAAACTCCCTTAGAAGTCAAATTGATAATTTTGTATCAAATGCTAAGGAAGATAAAGTAACAACATCAGATCCAAAATTACGTCAAATGATGTCAGAGGCTTTACATCTAAGACTTGGTTTAGTTGGTAGTATGTTCGAAACTTTGCAAAAGAGCACAACAAATACTCAGGATTGGTGTACTTTATTGACTCAATTAGTTTCGTACGGCGTTGTAGATACGACAACTAATTCTTATATGTTGACATCAGTTTTGGATATGTTAGGAACATTAGTTATAGGAAGTCTCGTTAATGAAGCTGCTGAGAAAGGTGATGAGTCGAGGAAGAACTATGTGAAACTTTGTAAAAGTATAAAAAGGGAAGTAAATGATAAACATTCTGAAGGTATTGACTTAGTGAGACAATTACTTCCTTTACCAAATAATAAGTTCCAAATCGAAGTACTAACTGTTGAACCTTACTCTAAAAAACCTGCATCAAAATCTGGCTGCAAAATACAAAATAAGCAAAAAGTATTTTCTTGGGATATACTAGAAGGTCACAAAAATCCTGCACCGCTTGCTTGGTCATGGTTCTCTGGTAGGAAAACAGAGAGGAAAACCTTAAAATATGAAGATCAGTTCAGACAGCTATTACATCACCAGCATAACTTGAAACAACCGGATGCTTATTTCTTCGAAAATCCTCCTGTTCCGCCTGAAGATTTTGAACCAGTTAGCGTGCGAGAGGAGGAGAAACCTGTAGAGAGATTAGAAGAACGTCATACAGATATGAAAAAGAAGAAGACTTCCACAAGAGGTAGAAGAGTTAACAACAATCGAACTTCAAATCCAACAACACCTGTCTACAACATGCAAACTCCTAACTTCCAAGGCATGATGGGTTCAAGAGAGCAATACCAACGTCCACCGAACGCTCCGTGGGCATATTCTGGGCAGCAACAGCAACAGCAACCGTTTTATCCTCAACAGCCAGGCTACGGTGGTAACCGTTTCCCAGGTCCTTCAGCTGGGGGCGCAAGCCCCTATGGAAACGGAAAGGAAGCATTAACAACCCTCTTACGTACTCGTATGCCCCCTTACAACGCAAACCGACCAAATACACCTCAAAATATAGGTGGAATGCCTCCCCAGCAACAAGCTGCTAATAAATTACAACAAATGAATAACAACCAATTGGTTCGGCAAAGGCTCGCAATGAATATGATGAATAGAACAACAAATTCGGAGATGTCTTATCCAGGTAAGTTAGATATATTAATTTCATTTTCTTTTTTTTTTTTAAAAAAACAAACATTTAGTTTTTATTCTTTTTTCAATTAACTTTTCTTTCTTGTTACGCTTTATTTATTTTTTTCTATTTCTTTTTTTTTAATTACTTAAGTTATATATATTAGTTTTTTCTAAATTTAAGAAAGAAATCGTATATTTCATACTTTTCGAAATATTTTTTGTAATTACTATTAGTTTGCACTTATTTACGGTGTTTATCTTTTTTTTTAATTTATTTATATTTCATATTATATTAGAATAGCTTTAATTATTTTTTTCCTTTTTCTTTTTTTTCTTTGCGCGTTAAAACACTTCGACATTGACAGCAGCACCACCTAACGTCATTCACCAACAATCAACAGCCTTCCACTTAATGGCGCCACACGGTAAATTAAAAAACAAGAACATAGCATGTCCCAGTAGTAAACAACAAATTCTTGATTCCTTAAAAAAAGCAAAAGCCTTAATAATTCCCTATTACACCTGATTATGTGTCTGAGTACATATATATATATATATATATATATATATATATATATATATATTTATCTGCATATTGATATGAATATATATATACAGTATATATATATATGTATGTATATACTACATATGCATTATGAAATAATATGCATACAGTATATACAGCCTTCTACGTCATTAAACTCCAATAACCAAAATTATGTTGTTGGTTGGATCTGGTCGATTATTTTTCGTTATTGTTATAATTAGCAAAGAAATGTATTATTATTTCGACACATGATCTTATGCTGCACAATATTGATATATTCATATATATATTTTTATATATGTATACATATATCCATTATTTTATACTTCCCTAGAAAACGTCTCTATATGGTATTTATTAATAAACACTTAATAATTGAATAAATATCATATAATTACGTATTTAACAAAGATAATAATTAAAAAAAACTAATTCCTGAACGCGCTGAATAATATTTGCAAATTTGTTGTGATCCCTCGTCAATCTTTCTAATATTTTTGCATGCTATGTATTAGATTTAGTGCTTCTACATGTTAGTTTGTCAAACAGGAGGTCCTGGTTCTACAAATAGCGTACAAAATAATTTTGCTTCTTCAGATGTAGGCCCTGCTCAATATAGCCAAACAACTCCTAATTATCAGGTAAACGTTTTAGATATATTTTCTTTGAGTTGATCAATTTTTTAATCTACTCTTCATCTTTATTTGTATTTAGGCGTCAACAAATGCAAATTTTATGACGACTAACGCCCAACAACAATACGCAAATAATCCTCCAGCGTAAGTATTGAAAAAATTTACTAGATTCATATTTAAAGTTTTGAATTTTGTAAAATAGATATCCAGCGGGAACTGGTAATCAAATGAGCCGATCAGCTCTATACAGTCGACAAATGCAGCAACATCAGATACAGCAACAGCAGCAGCAGCAACAACAACAACAACAGCAACAACAACAGCAAATTCAACAATTGGCAATGCAGCAACCTCAAATAAGTCGACAAAATTCACAGCCTCCTCAATACGGAAGTTACGGCGGTGCTAGCCGATTCTGAATCAATTTCTAAATTTCCCAGAACTTGTTTATTGTTGTCTTTGAATTACATTTCAAGTAAAATTTCCAATACAATTTATTACATAAATACTATATTATGACCTTTTAAAGGTCAAAATATTTTAACCTAAAGTTTTAAAAGTGGAAAATATAGAGCTGTATAAAAAGTTAACTGATATCTAAGTTTGTGGTGTTTAAACAGGGCATACTCAAGTTTAAAAGCCAATATTTTGTTCTCTTATCCGAAAATTGTACAATTGACTTCTAAATATTTATTTTTATATAATTGTCTTATAACTAATCAATCAATTAAATATATTTATGTTTATACATGATGTAAGCGATATTTAACTGAAATTTTCTGTGAATCTAACTTTAGAGAATTGTCTCTAAAATTAAAATTTTATTAATGAATTGATTTAACCAGATATACATTAAACTTTTGCAGCGACTCCCTCTGCTGAAGCGAAAGCGAGGAGCACTCTGGCAGCTTGTCTTGCTTCCAACAACTTTCTTGTATCTTTTATCCAATCTGAAGCAACATTTCTTGCTTCGCCTCTCAACTGATTCATAAACTTGAGTGCTGTTTCCATGTCTCCTATTTCCATGTAATGTTTAGCGTTATCTAATATAACAAAGGTTGAAATTACGGAAATATCAATGGGCTGGTCCAAATCCATTGGTTTAGATGCTGATATGACAAACAGGGACTGAACGAAGCTCACGAAATATTCCCATAGTGTACCACCAGTTTCATCAAGCATTGCAACTCGTTTACATATTTTCTTAACTTTATTAAATCTACTTCTAATTTCATTTTCATTTCTAACCGGTTCCCCTGTTAGCGAAGCTAAAACACGCTGAACGAAGGGATGACTTTGAGAAGCTGATCGAATAGCTTCCACATCGGGTTTTAATGATCTTGATTCTGCATCAGGTTGATCAACTGCTGTTACCAAACTTTGACAAGCTATCCACAGCTTTTGAGCTTGTCTGGCAGCTTCCTCAACATTAGAACGAGACTCTACTGCCTCTTCAATTCCACGAAGGCGACCAATCGATGCTGCAACTGTAAGATCAAAGTCATCTCTAGCTTTTTGCAAACGCTCCTTCAGTACCTCGGTATATTCTGATTCTAATTCTTTTTTCTACAAAATAGTTGATTAAGTCAAACTGGAATTATTTTCGTAGTTAAATTACACAAGAGAAAAGATCATATATTTGAGGATTCGAAATATATTTTAGCTAAATAACTTTGCCACTGGACAATTTGGGAAATGCTTTTTGTGCTCTTCAGTTGCTGTATCACCTAAATTCCATTGATGAATTATTCCTTTACACATATAACACTGTACTTTATCTGCTTCTCCAAGATAGAAAAAACCACATTTGGCAAGTTCAACTGGCTCTATAATATCGTGTATAGGCCAGTTAGAATAGGTTTTCAAACGATTACCGTATAATGTCATATCTATTGAATCATTTGAATTATCAGTACTGCATTCTTCTAGCTCTGGGATTGGAATATGCTTCGGTTTGCTATCATTGGAATATTTGCATTCATCTAGATGTATTAGTTCCGAAAAACTTTTAATTTCTGCCGGATTTCTCAATTCAATACCACATGAATGACATCGTAAAATGAGCGGAGTTTGAACTAAAAAAAACCCCTTATTACATATTTTGATTTTATGATCTTTGAAAAACTTGGATTCGCAGAGTTTTAAAGTGCCAAGTCGTCTTGATATAGTATCCATTTTCCTTTTCAATCGTAAAACCACTAACCACGGTTTTCATGGTTGTATGGCTTTAAGCCTATTATAGATATTTCGAACCGGCAACAAAGTTTCTATCTCTAACACTGTCTCATAATTTTTTATATAAATGCAAAAATTACCTGTAATTTTAAAATTTCAGCCATATGATCGCCATGGATAGATGCTTGTCTATTTAACTGCTCACGTAGTTCATTTTCAAATTGAACTCTGGCATCGATTACCTAATAAAGTTTACAATAATACATTTAGTTAATGCATAAACATGTTATACAGTATAAGAAGAGTGTATTTTTTTGACAACTTACCCAATTTTCTTTTTCTCTCTCTTTTTCTTTCAACAAAAGCTCTCTTTCTCTCTCAACAGATTTTTTGGTAATGTCATTGTTCGATATTTTCTGCTTATCTAGGGCTTCCTGAAAGATATTTATGACATATTACATTTACCGACTAGTCATATATATTAATGTCGAAATTTACTTCTATTCTTAATACTTCAGTAACTTGTTGTTGGGCTAATTGTTCTTGTAATTGCTCTACTCTTCTGTAAGAATGAGCAAGTAGCAAATGCATCTCATCCATAGACATTTTTTCCCATAATTTCCTACTGATTCTATAAATAGAAAAAAATTAATGTAATTTATTTAGATTTTCTTTAATTATTACAAAGTTTACCTAAGACCAGGTGTAACAGCTTCAACTTCATCTCTAAATTGTTTTTTACTAGCAGTAACTAAGTCGTGATATTCTTTTAAGATATTATCATCAGTAACAGTTTTCTTTAATTCCTCTCTGATGGAGCCTAATTCGTATTTAAACTTCGAAACTTCGCCAACAGCTTCCGATAAAACTTTATTTTTCTTTGTCAATTTACTACTCTTTCCATCATCAATCTGTAATTCAATTTTTTCGATGACAGCCCTGTAAAACATCACTGTTAGCATCATTAAGAGTTAAAAAACAGAGTGCTTTTCTACTTTGTTTCTGACAACAGAGCCTCAGCTTCCTCAACGCGTTTTTTTTTTATATTGTATGCCTCAGTCACACTTTTCCACTCGCTGTCTTTTTCCAATATGTTGCTAGAATCTATTAATAAAAGAGATGTTTTAATGTTGATAAGCTATTTCTTTCTAATGAAAAGAAAGATGAAGACAAATTATTTACCTAGTTCCATGGCCTTTCTTAATTTAGTATTATGGTCTTTAATTGCAGCAACTGCTTTCTTATGTACAAGAACAGTCTCTTCCAGAGTTTTACGAGCATCGCTCAACGAAAGTTTTATAACAGAGGTTAACGCTGGAAAATGGAAAGAGTAAACAATAAATATAGAATGGAGCAGTCATGTAAGGTATTACCAGCATTTTCAACAGCTTCATCTAATTCCGTATCTTTTGTTTGGTTCACAATTTCCACTTTATTATTAACCTCAGCAGGTGTTTGTTCCTGTTTTGGCTCTATCTTTTTTTCTATACGCTTTTCTACTTTCTTAGGTTCATCTTTAATCTTAATGCTCGAACTAGGAGGCACTTCACTTGTTTTCGCCGAAGTTTTCGACGATTCAATTTTATTAGAGAGTTTTGGAGTTTCCTCCTTAATTTGACTCATATCCGGTCTTATAACTTTTGCAAGACCCTTCTCCGGTGGAAGATCTTCTTTGTTTTTAGAATTTTGCCAAGGTAACTTTGGCATCTCAGGAATTGATGGTAGACTAGGCCTTTTAAGCATAAAGAATAAGTTACCCACATAAAAAAAAAGTAGCTTCAGACCATTTTTTTTTCTATTTAAAGTACAAAAGGACTTTTAAAGTAATAAAAAAAGAAAAAGTGCTTTCAAACTATAATAGAAAAAGTAAGAGCGTAGTTTTTTTATATTTTCAATACTATTACAAAAAAATGATCTGAAACCTTTTGAAATTGCTTAATTACAATTTAGCTTTAACTTCATCTACTGGAGGAACATTTTGCAGAAGGTAATCAAGTGCCAAGTCCGAATAGGGGATGTTGTCGGTTATTTTTTTCTTGAAATCATTATCGTACCAAGAGTAAGCCACAACACCACTACTGCCAAGCGCTGTGAGACCGAGTAATTTCAGCGTAACTCCAAGCTTACCCCTTTAAAAAGTTGAGAAACGAAAGTTAAATCTATTATATTATAAAATTGATATTTATTGGAAAGTAAATTCTCTAATATAAACACTACTCTGAAGCTTAACTGTCTCGTTAACCTTCACTACTCGTTAAGAAATGGTCGAGAACACTCATTATACAGGCTTAACTCAAGTTTTCGGTTTTAATCAGGTGAGTTTTTTAAACAAAAAAAAGTTCTAAAATAATATTTATAGATATATAAATACGTATATTTTAAACATATAGTTTCAGTTACATCCTGCAGTCAGGCAAGAGCAGAACGTTTTACTTCAAACGTTTAGAAATTACGCTTACTTGTATGACAATGACGTTTTAAAATTGGAGGCGGAATTTCATAATGAATTTAGCGTCATATGTAAATATACTCCCTCTCAATCAATTACAGATGCCCAATTGATGTGTATAAGACATACGTCAGGAAGACTACAAACAGTCATATCTAAATATATTAAGGCACCACCGGCTGCTGATACAAGACCTATTATTGAGCACCCCAGTGAGTCAACAAGTAGTAAAGTTTCAGTTGGAGTAAACAAACTTAAACATGAAAGAAAAAAACCTTATTCACGGAGTACACTTCCCACCAAAGCTTTAACTCTTATGCAAGCCTGGTACGATCAGAACGCTCATTACCCTTATCCAACGGCAGAAGAAAAACAAAGATTCGCAATGGAAGGGGGAATAACGGCTAAACAAGTTAAATCTTGGTTTTGCAACAAAAGAAATAGAATGCATAATACTTTGGGAAAGAATAGGAGTATAAAATCACAGCGTAGTCATTCGTATGAAGTTCCTAGCCCTGACTCTGGCTACTGTGAGCTATCGCAAGGTAGTCTCCACAGTTATGGAGTACAAGAGGATTCTACATCAAGTTTCAATGAAAATACAACAGCGAAGGGTGAATCGACTATCGACTTTTCAGGTTTGCTGGACGGTTACGTAGAGAAAAAAGAAGGTAATAGTTGAAAGTTTATCTTGTTCGGAACCGTTTTTTAATCATCTATGTATTCTTCTTGTGTTTCGTATTTTTCCTTTTTCAGAATAAAATAAAACTAAACTTACTTTTTAGGTGTCGGCTCTGCCGGCGTGCAATAAGGCGATTTTGTTGAATTTTTTAGTAATATCTGCAAGGTCACAATGTTTAATAGATATTTAGGTATGTTATACTATCAAACTATTATTAGAATGTTTGTATAGTTTTTCCGAAATAAACTATTGGTTATCAAAGTTAATCGCATTATAATTATTAAAGGTAGTATCTACTAACGCGAATATTAGGTAATTTTTTCCCAGCACGCAACATTTTCACTGAATATCGCTCAACCCGCTCTATCACGTGACATAACAAAACAGTCTCTACCGGTTATTGGCTTATCATAGAGAAGGTCATTTACTCCAGTGTATCACGTTATTTTGTGTTGGTGTCAGATTGGGTATAAGTTGGCTTGAAAAGCTCCTATTTGAATATGTCAAGACTGTTTTTGCTGTAAGTTATGTTTTCTTCTTCATTAAGAACAAAAAGGATCACGTTAATTCGTAGGTCATACATGCCACGCTGTCTATCACGCAATAGATATGCCTTATCGGTTTTTCTATAAATTAATTGCTTTCTAGAGGATCCAACTCTATAAAGAGTTTGGGCTCAACTCTTCGAATTACAAGGAATTTGTCAACTATACACGGCAATATAAATGCCCTTGCACCCAAAGTTCGTCAATGGGTTGAAGAGAATGCGAAACTATGTTCCCCAGAAAATATTCATATTTGTGATGGATCTGAAAAAGAGAATAAAAATTTACTGAATCTTCTTCAATCCAATGGTCAAATCAAGCCACTCCCGAAATACAAAAATTGGTAATAATTTTGTTTTTGAGAGGATTATTCCTCTAAAGTAGATAATAAATATTAAAATTTATTTTGTATCTTCAAAATATAGTTGGCTAACATTGACTGATCCAGCTGATGTTGCCAGAGTTGAAAGTAAAACTGTCATTGCAACACCAAACAAACAGGATACAGTCCCAATAACTAAACCAGGAGTAGAAGGAAAGTTAGGTAAATGGATTGCTCCAGCAGATTTGGATAATGAATTAAACCAAAGATTTCCAGGATGTATGAAAGGTATAGTAATTTTAAGGAATATTTTCTATTTTGATAGTAACATTAAATTTTCAACTGTTGAGTTGAGAGCAGTCTGTTATACTTAATGAACTGATGTAGAATTACAATCATAAGATATTTAGAAAGTTGACTACATTATTTATTTTATAATGGCTGAGATATAGACGAAAAGTAACATTCCAGTGAACTAGTAATTTTCCATGAGACTAACGACCTTCAAGTGATTGACCTTAGTTTTCTAAAGAAGATCCCGGTATTTTCAAGTGCATAAAGCAGCTGTAAATTCACCAATAATATGCGTTTTTCTCATAGATATAACTTGAATTTTTATATTCAAAAAGCTATCTCAAAACTGATAATCAATTGTTAAAAAAAATTACCATATATAAAACAATAGTCAACGTTAGAATGGAAATATGCAAGGCGTATGACCTTGTGAAGGGCAAAGTAAAAAAAAATCCTGTCCCGATCTATAATTTTATACCTGCACGTTATTTTACTTATACCTATGTATAGAAAATCTAGAATTGCTTTACAAATGGAAATTAATTGCATTATTTTTATTTTTTTTAGGGCGTACTATGTATGTTATACCATTTAGCATGGGCCCAGTAGGATCGCCTCTTTCTAAAATTGGCGTTCAAGTAACAGATTCTGCATACGTTGTTGCAAGTATGAGGATTATGACAAGAATGGGACAAAATGTATTAGACACATTAGGTAATGAAGATTTCATCAAATGTCTTCACTCCATTGGTCAACCCCTTCCAATGGAAAAACCCTCCAAAAATAACTGGCCTTGCAGTCCAACCAAAACAATAATATCTCATATACCAGCTGAAAATAAAATTGCATCTTTCGGGAGCGGTTATGGTGGAAACTCTCTTCTAGGAAAGAAATGCTTTTCCTTGAGATTGGGTTCAATTATAGCAAAGAACGAAGGCTGGTTGGCTGAACACATGTTGATCCTTGGTATCACAAATCCACAGGGAGAGAAGAGATATATTGCTGCTGCTTTCCCATCTGCCTGCGGAAAAACCAACCTGGCTATGATGGTACCTTCCCTGCCAGGATACAAAATTGAATGTGTTGGAGATGATATTGCTTGGATGAGATTCGATTCTGAAGGTCGTCTTAGAGCTATCAATCCAGAAGCCGGTTTCTTTGGAGTTGCACCAGGAACGTCGAAAAAGACAAACCCTAATGCTATGGAAACTATCCAATCCAATACTATCTTTACCAATGTTGCTGAAACATCTGACGGAGGATTTTATTGGGAAGGACTTGAGGATGACATAGATATTAGTAAACTACAAATTACATCTTGGAAGGGTCAAGAAAATTGGACTCCTGGTAAGGAACCAGCCGCTCATCCAAATTCTAGATTTTGCACCCCAGCATCTCAGTGTCCCATGATTGATCCATTGTGGGAATCTCCAGAAGGTGTACCAATAGATGCTATTCTTTTTGGAGGCAGACGTCCTGCTGGAGTTCCTCTTGTTTATGAAGCATTTAACTGGCAACACGGTGTATTCATAGGAGCTACTATGAGATCAGAAGCCACTGCAGCTGCAGAACATACCGCTAAGCAAATCATGAATGATCCATTTGCAATGCGTCCATTCTTTGGTTATAATTTTGGTCACTATTTAGACCATTGGTTAAGTTTTGGGTCAAAAGGCAACTTGAAACTACCCAAAATTTTCCATGTTAATTGGTTTAGAAAAAATAATGCAGGAAAATTCATTTGGCCTGGATTTGGAGAAAACAGTAGAGTTTTGGACTGGATTGTCCGAAGATGTGAGGGAGAGTCCATCGCTAAGGAGTCAGCTATTGGTTATTTACCTGCAGAAGGAAGCTTGAACATTGACGGCTTGAAAAACGTTGACATGAAGGAGCTATTCCACCTTCCAAAAGAATTCTGGGAAAAAGAAATTGTAGAATTAAGGGAGTATCTTACTTCCCAAGTCGGTGATGATTTACCTGATGCTGTTTTAGGCGAATTAAATGCTCTTGAGAAAAGAGTAAAGGACATGGAACTCGTAAAATAAATACTTTAGATGCCATATACAAAAGGAAGGAAATTTCTTGTTGTGTGAAAATACCTGTGATGTAAGAATTTTTCATAGGTTCGTCACTAGAATAAAAAACCCCTGTTTAGTACTTGTCTGTTAATATATTTAACATAGATTATAACTGGAAAGACTACAAAAATATTGCTAATAAAAATACAACTAAAAACTCAACCTTACTTTTCATTTAAGAGCTGTTTGTTCAACTTTTTACAATAAAAAACAATGTTGTTGCCAGATGTATAAACTATACGGAAATTATAAATTGATTATATTACGCCAGATGCACTATGCAATTGGGCTTAAAAGTACCAAGTACATTTTGATCTATTAATAGTACAAATATAGTGAAATTTATATAAAAAAATATTCCTACTCAACTAAAAATCTAGATGTCTCCCTCATTTTTTAAATAGTTTTAGAAGTTTGAAGAACTTCCTTAAACGTTATTTCTTTTAGTATTCAGAACAACATGATTGGCTTAGTCATGGTACATGTGGTTAGCCTATTGTTAAACAATTATAATTATTATCTACACTTTGCATTGTTAAATACAACAACAATTGAATGCTTTACAAAATAACTAGCCCAAAAAAGATAGCAAAAAAAAGAGGTTCGGTGTCAGGTTCGATACTGGTCCAGTCGAGTTTATTGATCGCACTGCGGTTGCTTGACGATATCAGCCTATATAGCGGCATTATGCTATATATATATATATACTGTATATTCTAAATCAGTCATATTTATCGTTGTACTTTGTGCCGAAGCCTGTCGTTTTTCTTACTAAATGGAATGCAACGCTTGCAGTAAATCATTTAATGGAGGCCAGTATATATTAAAAAATAATAAAAAGATATGTACTAGCTGTTTTAATGAAAAATTGGCTAACATTTGTGAAAAATGCCAGAAAAAGATTGAAATTGGTAACAAAGATTTATCATACAACAATCGTCACTGGCATGAGGCTTGTTTTGAATGTGCAGATTGCCGTGCCTCTTTAACCCAAATACCTTTTGCCGAGAAGGACAGTAGTGTTTATTGTGAACGGTGCTATGATGAAAAATTTGCATCGAAATGTGATGAGTGCAAGAATGCATTTCGTGGCGGTAATCTTAAGTATATTGTAAAAGGAAGACAACTTCACGAACGTTGTTTCTTATGCTCGAAATGTCAAGTTCCCATAAGGGCTAATGCTTTCGTTCCAGTCGAAGAAAGGATTATATGCATCGAGTGTTACGAGGCAAACCTCGCACCAAAATGCGTTAATTGTCAGAAACCAATCAGTACAAAAGGATTGGAAGAGTCTGGAAAGAGCTATCATCACGAATGCTTTCAATGTTCAAACTGTAGTATGCAACTAGACGTCAAACGCTTTTCAACTAGAGGAGAGAAACTCTACTGCCCTCAATGCTTTGAAAATCTCTTCGGTATAAAATGTGAGGAATGTCAAAAAATTTTGTCACCTGGAAAGATATTTGTATCTTATAATGATAAATATTGGCATAAAGGTTGTTGGAAGCTTCCAGAATTGCTTGAATAGGATACTAGCAAAAAGTCAAAATAGAGATTTTAACACGTAGACGATCTATTTGGCCTTTTTTCCCTTTCAGTATTATATTTTTAATTGTTATTTAGAAGCTTAAATTCTTATTTCAGCCGCTTCTAAAATACGTTATTAATCGAAACACCCTGCATACTTAAAAAGAAGAGCACAATATAGTGTCAACCGGAGAGACTCGTTAATGAACATAGACTATATATATTATATAGAAATTATACAGTAGATTGAATATTGATAATCAATCACAATGAAATTAGTATTCAAAAAAGAAGTCTTTGTAGTCCAAGAAAAGAAAGAGGGCGAAGTTTTATAATTACAATTCCAAAAAAAAGTATTTATACTTCAAAGCTCCGAATTAAGACGAAGAAATCTTGACCTTGGATTTAGACAATTTAATAATAGACTACAAATTAATAGATCTCTTTTTCACTGAATAGAAAATGTTGCTTAAAATAATAAATTTAACAAAAAAAGATATTCTGTTCTCATCAATAAAGCCTATACGAGAAAAGGGAATTCTTAGTTAATAGTCAATTAAGTAAACTCCTACTGGGTCACGAATACCTTTTAAGTAAACAAGTACACATCACCTTTTAACCTAGAAGCTTTGAAAATTTCAATAGATTCACTATAATTCATATAGGCAATATATTAAAACAAACTGTAGTTTGTGTATGATTGGTAGCTCTATCTGCAGTGTAAAAAAAGAGTTAGTAATCAAATCCTCTTCAATAATTTGTTCGTTTCTTATGAATGTGGTTCCGTTAGAGAGACAGAACTAGCTTTCGTTGCTGGCGCAACGCGATTAACAGGAGGAGGTTTATTGGTTGATTTTTCTTCACTTTCATATTTCCAATCAACGTATATTTCAATAACAGCTATAACAATCATAGCCATTTCTTTAAAGATAAGTATAAATGAAACGAGACTGCTATTATCACTATCCAATGCCCCGTAGAGTGAAACAATTCTTATTCTTATACATATAAATGGTATGTTTAATAAACACATTGTGAATATTTTGTAATTTTTTAATATCTCTGAAAAATTCCTACCTTTCCAATTTTTATCTGTTCCAGCCAACACAAATGATGAAAGAGGTAGGGTGAAAATAGCAATCGAAACAAAAGCTAATATAGCATTTACTAATGATTTTTTATCAATGTAAAAGTCGATATTGTCTATCACTTCATCAACCAGTTCGAATGCATCAATCAACTCCAGAAAACTATAAAACGATATAGATATCGCTGCTTGAAAGTAGTCTTTATTCCATTTTTTGACTACAGCAGACGCAAATATTGGAGATACTAGAACGGTTATAAAAGCAGATGATTGAATGAGTACCATTACAATTCTTGTATTCGGAAAGTCGGAAGATAGCTTTTCTAAATTATTATTATCATCGTAAGTTCCGCTTTTCACAACAAAATTTCCGTCAAAAACCTCCAGGCCTTGTTTTTTAATCTCTTTAGTTATTTCTGAAGATGTAGGAGCTCTAACAAGAACATCATATAATCGATCGTCTTCTTTCGGTACAAAACATCTACAAAGATAATTAGCAGAAATAAAAATAGAAATAGTAATTAAATAATTGAAACTTTCATTTCTTCTGATTTTCCTCTCTAATTTTAATTAATTAAATGATAAGAAACGGCTTATTTAATCATTGTCCTAGTTTAAGCTATCATACAGAATTATAGAATATTAATTTTCAATGACTACACCTAATTCTTAATCAATAGTAAGAGAAAGAAAGATAAAAGTAAGAAACTAAACTAATCAATACTTCTCTAATTTAATCCTGAATGAACAAAAATCTATCAATTAGGGATATTTGTTTTGTTCAGACTTGAACGTAGATTTACTCAGAGGTCAATAAACTACCACAGCTTAAAACTACCTACAACTAGCAGAATGGAAATGAGATTATGAATACTTTACACTATTTGTATACATTCCGTACATATTTCATAAAGTTTTCTTTTAGAAAGACAACCTCAAAAGGGGGAATCGCTAGTCTTACCTACAATTATAACCACACTGATTAGGAGCATTTCCAGTCAATCTTAAGGATTCAAGAACACTTTGACAATAGCATATCGAATTTTCTGTTCTAGATTTGATTAAACTTGTAACATCAACTGATAGATGAACTATAACTTGAATCAAGTACAATATAGTGGTACCTAGTCTAAAAGAAACAAAATATATAAATATATTCAGAATTAGTAATTACGAAAACTTACACAATCCAGATCATTAATTTATTTAATTTTTTATAACCAGCTATTCCGACAGGAGGTATAATACCCTTAACTCCTCCGTATATGAGAACAGCAAGGATGTAAAATCCTATTTAATAACGAAAGGAAAAATTAGAAAAAAAAAGAATAAAATTTAACTTTACTATGGCTATATTTCTATTTACCAATAAAATAATATGGTATAAAAGTAGCTCTAAATGCATTTGGTTCATAATCTTGATCTATTTCTTCTATTGCCTTATCCTGCCTTACGCAAATAGTAATTCCATGTATAATTATTAAAAATAGAATTATTGAGAAGAACACAATTTTTTTCTGAAAGAAACATAGTAAATGTATACAAAGTATATTTAAAGAATATACGAAAGTGTGTTAAATTAAGTCAATTTCTTTTTTACCGGAGTATCACCTGCATTTTCTACTTTATCCGTCATTTTTTTCTTTTCTAATAGCTATAGTGAGACGAGAGAGAGAGAGAGGAGAGAGCGATAGACAGAAAGGTATAGAGAAGCAGAGAAAAAAGAGAAAGAGAGTAAAAACAACGTAACCAAGATTCTATCGATTCTTTTATTGTATAAAAATGTAACTATTGATCAGGTAGCAATATTTTTAAAGCTAATTTTTAATAGCTATTCAATTTTTTCAGCCCAAATTTTCACTCTTCAAGCGTTTATTTATGAATTTATGATATGAGTTGTTATACATTTTTTCAACTTATTTTTTTATAATATCAATATTTAATTATATACCTTAATTAGGTTAATTGACTGTTTGAATTTTAAAAAAACCGCTAAACGGAAGTGACGTTTTTTCTTTTAAGACTTTGGATTTCTGTCCATACAACGTTAGTCAATTTCGTTGCACTGAGGTTGTGCAATAAAAAATATTAGCTCGAAAGCTGATTGTTTCGCAATTTAAGCCTTTCGTTTCGTATTTTATATACGGATAAATAAGAAGTATAAGGTCATTCGAAAAAGATCTTTATAAACAATCCATAAGGTATCAGTAACGAGCCAAAGCACTGAGCGATAAAATAATTTTCAGTGAGATGGACTTGCAAAACAACGAAGAGCCAGACGGTTCAAGAGCTAATTCACGTCAGCAAGGCAGAGGCTATCCAAGGAGATATAATCGTAATAATAAAAGAAATTATACACAAAACAACGCTACTCAAGGTGAACGACCAACTGAAAATGTTCAACATGAGCAGCCTTCACAGAATCGAAACCGACCATATCGAGGAAATTATAATCGAAATTTTAGGTCTAATAACCGAAGAAGGAAAACCAATCAGCCTGAAACTGCCCAAGAAAATGGTGAAGCTGACGAAGGCGCAACCCGTGCTAACGTATCAAATAATCCTAGAAGGAGAGCACATAAAAATAAAAAAACAGCCGTAGAAATTGAATCCCAGAGAGAGAACCTCATTTACTCTTTAATGAAAGGTAACTATGAGTGTATGGTATGCTTGAAAGAATTGAAAAAACGGGATCAAATTTGGAGCTGCGGAGCATGTTATCATATATTTCACTTGAAGTGCATTAAAAAATGGTCTAAGTCCGGTGAAGAAGGTAAATACTATAACAATGCATTCTTTAATTTGTTACGTAATTATATGTTTATTTTTAGATGCTTGTTGGAGATGTCCAGCTTGTCAGTTAATTTTTACGGAAATTCCAACTGATTTTCAATGCTTCTGCTTGAAAGTGAAAAATCCTGCTGTAAATTATCACGAAATACCTTTTAGTTGTGGAAATGTCTGCAGGAAAAGTAGAAATCACAATTGCATTCATCCATGTAACATGTAATAAATTGATTAAATTATAAATTATTATATTCTAAAGGTTAACTTGTTAAATATTCTTTTTCAAAATAGATTGTGTCATCCAGGGCCATGTCCCACTTGCCAGGTAATGGTATCAAAGAAATGTAGATGCGGAAAAATTAGGTAAATATTCTTATGAAAAAATTAAAATACCTTTTTTTTTAATATTTTCTCTTGAAATTTTGATAGCAAAAAAGTTCAATGCTGCTCTCAGGCTTCTTTTTCATGTGATGAAAAATGCTTAAAACTTCTAAATTGCGGTATTCATGCTTGTACTGCAACTTGTCATGATGGACCTTGCAAACCTTGTGAGGAAGAAATTGACATAAGTATATAAAAATTGTTGTATTTTAATTATAAATCCTAAGTAATTTTCTTTCAAATATTTAATAGAATGCTTCTGCCAAAGAACTTCAAAAGTTATTACTTGCGGAGCTAGTGACGTTGAAAAATATTTCAATTGCGATAACACATGTGACAAATTGCTAACATGTGACAATCACAAATGTAAGTCACTTTGCCATCCGGGAGACTGCGATGCTTGTGACAGAGACATAAACAGTCCTTATTGCGCATGTGGCAAGACAATAATCGAAAATTCCAACAGGAAAAGTTGTGAAGATCCATTACCTACTTGTGACTCGATTTGCAATAAGGAATTAGGATGTGGAAAGAATGGTAATTACATAGAAATATTAATATTGTATTTATTATCAAATTTTAAATATTTTCTTGGAAAAAGATGAACGTCATACTTGTCAGCTGAAATGTCATGATGGAGATTGCGCTACGTGTACGGGTGAAAGCCTATCGAGATGTCATTGTGGTTACATAGAGGAGACAATATCATGTATAGAATATGTTAGAGAAAGTAAGCGAATTAGTTTTAGTTAAATTGAATTATTCATTATTGATTAATTACTTATAGGTAAAACTTTGCGATGCAGTAAGATATGTAATCGAAAATTATCATGCGGTCGTCACAAGTGCAGGGAAAAGTGCTGCACGGTATTTTAGTATATGTTTATTAACTTTTTTCGTCGAATTTACAATTTTTGTTGCAGAAAAAGGAACATATTTGCGAGCAAATTTGCGGTAGAAAGTTGTCTTGCGAGTTACATTATTGTGAAGAGCCCTGTCACAAAGGCAATTGTCATAAATGTTGGAACGTTTGTAAGTTTCATCTAGAGTTCTTTTTTTTGAAGATCACTATTAATTTTTTTTATTAAATTTTCCAGCGTTTGACGAGTTCTTTTGTGAGTGTGGAAGTTCCGTTAAATTACCGCCCATTGCATGTGGAGAAAAACCACCTGAATGTAAAAAGCCTTGCTCAAGGCAACATTCTTGCGACCATAAAGTTTCTCATAATTGTCATTCGGATGTGAAATGTCCCCCTTGCACAGTTTTAGTTCAAAAGATTTGTAAGTTTTCAATTGCTGAAAGTTAATTATATGACTATTTTTATGATAAATCATTATCATTAGGTATGGGAGGACATGAAATCCGAAACAATATTCCTTGTCACTTGAATGATATTTCCTGCGGATTGAAATGTGCCAAACCTTTACCTTGTGGCGAACATAAATGCGACAAAGTATGTCACAAAGATGAGTGCGCAAAAACTGGTGAAGAGTGCCTTCTAAAATGTGAGAAAATAAGGGAGAATTGTGGACATCCTTGTAACAACAAGTGTCATGTTGGATCAGCTTGTCCAGAGAATCTTTGCGAAACAGAGGTATAGAATATTTCTGATTGATGGATTAGGTACTATTTTAAAGAAATAATCTGTACAGATATCCTTACATTGCGAATGCGGACGGAAAGTCATGAAGGTTCCTTGTGCACCCTCACTACGATCATGTACTAGGTAAAAGATATTCCTATTGTTATAGAATGTACCTTGAAATGCTTATTTTGTTTTTTAATAAACCAGAATAAGACCATTACTCTGCAAGGACGAAGGAGCTGTTAATTTGGTATCTTTACGTCAAACTCTTCAAAAACAAATGTAAACTTAATTATAAAAAGACAGTTTTTCTATTTTATATGCTAAATTTATTACTAAAGGATTCCCTGCGATGAGGTATGCGCTTCAATTTTGAGAAAGAAGCAAATGGCTGAAGCCTTAGGCATTGATCCTGACCGTCAAAGCACAAATTCAACTTATACAGAATTTTTGAAGAATGCTGCCAAGTAAGTAATAAAAGTAAACTTGGCTGTCAATCTAATTTTCTAATTTGACTAAATATTCTTCCCTAATAGGCTTAATCCCCAGTTCGTTGGTCAAATTGAAACATCTTTAAGAGAGTTGGTTATATCGGCAAATCTATCTAAGTCGAATTCCCGCAGTCACTCATTTCAAGCTATGTCTCGGGATAAAAGACATATTATTCATGAGCTTGCAGAGTTTTATTTCTGTACAACACTGAGTTATGATGAAGAACCTTATAAGAATGTTGTTGCAACTGCTAAAAAGTAATTTATTTGAACTATAGAAGATAAAAAATCATCCAACCTTAAATATTTTTTTTACAGAGGCGTCGCCAAACTACCAAACATGTCACTAATTGAATCAACTCAGAGATCAATATATGGTCGCACTATGCAGCCGCCAGTAATAACAGAACTCACCAATGAAGATACAAAGTAACATTGACCTTTAACCTAAGTTGGAAATTTTTTTACGCATGTTTTTTTTTTGTCTGCAGGAGTGCAGAGAAACCACCTGAAACGGCTGAATGCAAAGTTATCGATTACTTTGACTATGATAATTAAAACTTTTACTTCAGATGAAATATAGTATAGAAAACAAAACGGGATTATTATGATCACAGAATTTCAATACAGAGAGCATAGCAAAGTATTTTACGCGCCATTTCTTTTTCACTTCCGAAGTAGATGCAGTTTTTATTAGACGTCGCGATTAAATAGCCTAAAAGGGTCGAAAAAACACTTGACAAAGACGAAATTCAAGATATAATCTTAAAATGAAACATAAACCTAATTTATAATAATAAGATATTGAATAATAATCAAAAGACACTATGACAAGGAAGGTAAAGAGTTTTTAAAAAAAAGTAAGGAAGTAATTATTGAAGATATTAGCTTCGTCTGCTTCCTTCTATATCATCTTTGAAATATATTTTAGTACTTTTTATCTCTGAAATCAGGGTAATCAGAGGGATGTTTTATGTAGTTCAGACGTCAGACAATCTTCTGGCGGTTAAAGAAAACAGCAACTACCAATAGATTTGCGTGCTTTACTTCGATTAACATATTTGTTATTATTCTAGAACAAGATAATATTCTCTTTTTACGATCATATCAAATATCATACCGAGTTTTGGAAGCTTTGAATTGATATCACTGATTAGAGGTAAGCGTATTACGAAATCTTTACACATATTGTTAATTGGACTTGTTAGGTTTTGAGGTAATAGGAAGTTATTCGGGGTACAATGTGACTTTGATAAACATCTATTCTTCGGTCGTTGTAAAATTTAAAATAGATATTTATACAGAGGAAAATTTATTTATACAGCTTTATTTGTTGTTCATTTGACACAGTTTTTTATCTTATCTCTGTAAAGATAGACTGTCTTCAAAAAAGTCTTCTGTATAATTTCTACAAACATTTAGGTTAATAAGTTGGATTTAAAAATTTTAAATGAATGTTATCAATTTTTGTTAATTTTATCAAACGAAGGAGTTTTCGTGAAAAGAATTTTAAAATCGCTTAAGCCGCCCTGAGATAAAAAAAACCATTTCTGCGCATGCGCGCTTGTAAGCACGATTCAAGGTCAATGAGGAAACGGATGTGATGTCATGGGCATGCGGTATCTAATAAGAAATTAAGAATATTACCTGGAAAGAAATTAGTGTATAAGAGACATTCATCAAATCATCCAACATGTGGAGTAGTGATGGGAAACAAGTGAAAGTATCGGATAAAGTCGTATCGTTTAGCTGGCAACAAGTAGTTACTGCTTTTTGGAGGCGTTATCCTAATCCATATTCAAAACACGTTCTAACTGAAGATGTTGTTGATCGCAAAGTGATTCTCTCAAAGGATGGACCACTACTTCGTTCAGTCCGCTTACTTACCAAGACCAACTCTATTCCCAAATGGGGAGAGAAGCTTGTACCGTCCGCACAAAGAACTGTATCGATAATAGAGGAATCTTTAGTAGACCCCGTTCGCAAAATACTTAAAACCAAGACAAGAAATATTGGCCTTACAAAAGTTATGTATGTTGAGGAAACAGTTGTGTACACAATGCAAGAAAAACATCGCTGTTTAATTGATCGTAGAGCTACAGTAAAGTCTGATCTGTTGGGATTAGCCACTGCCCTGCAAACATTCGGTGCCGAAAGATTTAAACACAATGCTTCGAAGGCTAACAAGGGTTTGGAGTATGTTCTGAATAAACTTTACACAAACGAGTCATTACATGTTCTTACACCCAAAGAACTGTTAAAACAAACAGCTGCCGAGAAAGCCCAAAAAGCTAAAGAAAAGGTGCAGAGAGCCGTTGCATCGAATACAAGTTAAGACTTAAAGACAATACGAAATAATTAATCATTGCAATTTGTAATTCTTAATGCTAAATTGCAGCTAATTACATTGTATATGAAGGTGTTTAAATGTCATTTTTATACAATATACAACTTGTAGTAAATACTCTGGTGATGTTAGTAAGTACATAGTGACATCTAGTGAGAGCTAAGAAATTTGACCAGGAGCCCTACTAAGTTGCATGATGGGTAATTAATTTGTTTATAGAAACATGGCGGCAAACGTGTGGTGAATGAATTTTCACTATTGAGAGAAAATGTTTCGATTTTCGGATTGCCCTGGAATAGATCGCATTTGTAAATAACTGACTTTGTTTTTATATCTTACTTACTATTAGAGTTTCGCTTTTGAGATAATGACAATTCGCCTGTGAATTACTATGTAAGCTCACGATTAGAGGATTGTCGAGTATTTACGTTGGTAAACAACAATTTTGCTGCGGTTGGCAGAAATTTTTCGAAGTCAAACCGTAATCTCCGAAGTCAATCTACAAGACGTCTTGTTGTCTTTTTACATCATTTTTATTTTCAGAACGCCTCTGAAATGAGAGCAAGAATCGTATAATCGATGACGTCATAGGCGTGGATGGCATCATCGCGCGACAAACTCCAATTCCTCAGCAAAGTAGCTAGTGTGGACGAAGATGAACTTCCATCGGATCTGGAAACGGCATCGGATACCTATGAGCACTATCAGTTTCATTTATCCGATGCCTACGAATTATGTAAAGTGTTTGAGGACATATTCAAGGCTACTGGTTCAGATGAGCGCATGATAAGGCGCCTCGATTCTGAAATTTTTCAACATAACAAATGGTCCGTTACTTTTGCTCTTAAGTACAAATTAATGAGGACCCTCATTGCTCAAAGGGCGAGATTATCAATCATAAGAGATTGTGTAATTCGGCTCAAGTCTTTTACAACGTTCGTTCAGGATGTCGTTAATGTTGCTAGACAAGAAATGGAAAGTTGGGATGCTATTTGTCGAAATTCTCTCGATTCACCACCGCAATCAAAGCTAGACTGTCTAAATTCGATTTGTGATGATTTACGTGTGCATACTAACCATTTCTCGTCTATCGTTCATTGCCTGCATAATTCGTCGAATCATTTGGGATGTTCTGTATTACAATTGGCTGTTCAATTAACAGCTATAGAGAAGCGTGTTAAACGTCTTAGAGATAAAACAATATTATGGATGGAGCGTTTTATAAAAGTTGGTATCAAAGTTCTAGCTCACAGTGATCTGGAAAGAACAACATCTGATGTATTATGGAATATCGCAAGAGGAATCGAGGAATACAACGCCATAGTCCTATCGATCAAAGATTGCTCATGCAATCCACAATCGATAGCTTTTACCGAGTTACTTAGTTGTATGGCCTGTGAAAAGGCCAAGTACGTAGCCATACATACTTACCGTCATATCGCCTGTTCGGATGAAATTCATCACGTACTCAGAAAGTCGAAAGAGAAGGAGAGAATCCTTGATTTATTAGATAGAATCTCTCCCGTAATGGAAGTGTATCAGAATGATTGGCAAATATTATCGAACTTTCTAAGTGTATTCGCCCAGTCAACTTCACTCCTTCGTTCCTCTCTGCGTTCTTCATCAACAAGTAAACGACGTAAAAGAAAAAATAGTAGTAGAAAGTCAAAAAATGACAAAAAAACAGTGAAATGGGAAGACACTGACGATTACGGTATAAGAGAGAAATTAATGCAACATTACGCCGATGCTCTTTGGATGCACTTTGGAGGTTTAATAAGTGATTTCCTGGATGAAATGTGTTGGGGTAGCGTCGACGACTGTGAAAGAATGATGGGAAGGGTGAATTTTATTTCACACTTTGCTATAATGGTGCTCGAGAAGGTTTTGCAACATTTATGTTTTAGAGGTTTGAATATTTTTTTAAGATTGTCTGTTCAGAGAATCCTATTACATTATATTAGATATATAATATCTAATACCATCTATATATATGCAAATATATTGAAGATAAATTAATAATAGCTATATTTTACAGATATATTTCCTATACAAGGGCGTAAAAGTTTGTTACTCTGTTCTATAAAACTGCATATCAGAGCAGCTCTCTCTGCTTGTGATATGAGTAAGTAGATATATTAATTATACTTTAGTTCTGCTTAGTTTTTCAATTTATTAATTGAAATGCATCTTTATTCTTTTTCTTCAAAGATATCTGTGAGGCGATAGGAGCTTCAACTGTAGACAAATGTTCACCAACTCCGCTCAACGATTCTTTATCCTGCACTAAAACTGCATGCCAACTCCGTGACTCCTTTCAGCCGCTAATTAGGATTTTCAATATGCTCCAAAAACTCACGAGCGATGGTTAGAAACTTTTTTTTTAATTTATTCTGTCCTTTGATTTTCGTATGAAAAACAAAAAAGGGACTTTCGAATAGTCTTTTTATCTAATTTCCTCGTTACCCCCAGCAACATTGCCATGTACCTGGAAAGAGACGCTGCCTTTACAAGTTACTTGTTTAACGAGGTGCGAAATTGTTTGCGAAATGGCGGCTAGGTGGAGTCATTCTCAAACTTCTCAGTTATTATCCTCCTGGAATCTACCTCAATTTCTGCTGGTCTGCTATTCAGATTTGAAGGTTAATATTTGCCGCATTCATCCATAATAATGAGTTACCTGTGAAAGCGCATCTGCCATTAACTATTTCTGATTGAGTTATTATTTAAATTTCTCTGGGCCAACGCCTTTTTTAAGAACTAATTTACTAATAATTAGGGGAATTCTGTTATTTATATTGACATCTAATAGCTAATTCTATGTGAAATCATCACTAGAAAAAGTCTAATAAATAATTAATATGTTTTATTAGATATTGTCAGACGAACTAACGACCCTAGTATCAGTTAGTCGGCCAAAATGCGCTGATGAGAGAATTCTACTGACGTATGATGAGAATTCCACTTACGTACTGGCTGAATTGATACATCAACGACTAAGTACTGTTGCAATATCGATGCAGGTTCGTGACTTCTCCAAATCGAATACTAAAGATTCGTCTAACGAACTATTTCTTCTTTTTAGACGTTGTCTAGTAGTATCACGAAACGATTTAGTGAAATTTTTCGGAAGAAAGCTTTAGATTTTTTTGAAAGCTCTCTACCAGTGGGTAAAGTATGGAAGAAGAAAGGAGAGCCACCGTGTGATCCCTTACCTTATGCTGAAAGAGCCATAGATGAACTAGTTGAACCAGTTATCGACGCTTGCAACAGCCTGAGCCCGAACGCTCAAACCTCAGCTTTTTGTATTACTCTGAACGCATTATGTTACGCTTGGACGAGCGTTATACTACAGAAAAAAATTCGATTTAGTGTCATTGGAGCGATGCAACTTCAGCAAGACTTTAATTATGTAAAAAATTATTTAAATAATATGATCCAAAATGAGATTGTTAAGCAGAGCGTGCTCGAAATGGATATCTTCAATGAATTAAAGGTATTCCTTAGATTCTCCTATTCTCAAATACTTGACTTTAATTTAATTCGATCCTTTAACTTGTCTTCATTTAGGGTATTGTCGAGCTGCTGCTGGAACAGCCGCGTTACGGTCGATCAGCTAGTAGAGGACGAGTCCCGTCTAGTATGTGTAAGTTGTAACCCCTTTTAAATATTCCTTAAATAGAGCACATGATTTGTTGACAGCCCATTTATTTTATTTCAAGTTACATATGTCTAGTTGTAGAGATTTTTTGAGAGTTCGTAAAATCCATAGATTATTTAAGGCACAGTTAAGTTATGTATATTACTATTATTTAATAATTTGCATACAGTAGAAGCACATTATTATAAATACTTTTAAATAGAAATATACAAGATATATACAGTAAAAATAGTAGGACAAAAAAAACCTTTTCGTATATGCTGTTTTATTTTTTAATACCACTCCTTCCCTTCCTCCAAATTCGATTTGCCCTGCTTTTAGTAGAAAGTTTGCAATTATTATACTTTATATTGGAACAGGTTGCGACGAATCAGCTGTTTCTACTGTTGAGTCTGCCTATCAAGCTTCCAATGGATTCGGAACATCCCGTCCCTCTTCGGTTCCAAATGCTAACTTATGGCTGTCTCTCCGAGTTCATGGAGGTAGCAGAAGCTGGAAAATTCCGTCGTGTTTTACGGCTACAGGAGAGTAGATAAACGAAATTTATGAGGAAATTGGTGCTTTTATTTTCACTTCCTTCCTCCTCAAGTATCTTGTACTTTTCGATAGAAAAAAATATGGAGCGACTTAACCGAGCTTTTCAACGAAAATAATGAAGAAATGTGCAACCTGCAGAGTTGTTAAACGAAGAGAATAATTCCGTATTTTTTTTAGCAATATTTTAAGGTACTAGTCAAAGAAAGATTAATAATTCTATTTTTAGTCTAATAAAAAGACCTGTCTAATTGTCATGAATCGATAATTTGCTTTCCTAATGAAAATTTAATTCATTCCTAATTACGGTATTAAAAAACTAGAAATCACAAATTTTCAATATTTTATAGAAAGTAGGAGAACAAAACAAAAAAAAAAAAGTATAAAAAAAAAACCTTCATACAATTGCACAATAGTGATATTTATAAAGGTTGATGGTGGTTTAGGCATCGTCGATCTGCAATATGTAAGTAAATTTGCAGTTGACTATTTGCAAAATGGGAACCTATCCAAACGTCATAATAAGTTTTTTTTTTTATTTATACGTGAAAAAAGTAGTTATTTTATCTAAAATACAATTTTTTTTGATATTCTGTCGCTTTTGCTAAAGAAAGCAAACAGTACGAGGAGAAAAGTAATGATTTTCATAAATATCCGAAGCCAGTAGGAGCAAAAGCTAGTTTACTTTCAACCATCCAAAGGCAACGACGCCAAACATAATACATTGATAGGCGATGAAATAAGCATTTAAAAGTCTTTTCCTTTAGTCCAATGTACAGCTTTCCTGATGGAATTGCAATATCATATTCTTATAGAAAAATAATGGATCGTTTCCTGTCCTAGGCCTAAGATAATACGCCTTTACTGTAAAGAGTACCATTGTATTCAGCTATCTTCATAGTACTTTCTGACAAAGACTAATAAACCTGTAGACGCTCAATAAACGCTTTTATTAAAAAAAATGGGATGGGATATCATTGAAAATATTTCACAGAATGTTCTGTTTGAAACAGTCGTTAATTAATTAATGAAATATAATAGGAAATTAGCTTCTTTTAATTATAGAATTCTAATAGATTTTATTCGCAAAAATACCTTAGCACACTGTAAAATATATATACAGTATCTTTGCAGTATTCTACTGCAATGAGAATTTTTTATTTGTTATACATTATACTGAGCAATCCTAAATTCAAAGATCTCTCACTATGCTTTCAATAAACAGAGAACCACTAATTGATTATATTAATTAACAACAGGCTATAATTTTTCAACTTTGCATTCCCTTTTTCTCACTTTGCTTAACACTTTTATAAGTAATGTCCTGCCTTGAGCCATGAACCAGATTCCTCTCTCCTTGGCCCCATGGCCAAGCTGCTGACGGGGATATTTGACGTCATAATGATGCTCTAAAAATAATTGACCCAAGAGATTTCTCCAATCATCAAGTCTTAATATATTTTTTGTTGTTAAGATTTCCTAAACTAAACAAGTTCTATTTCAATGATGAAATAATGAATTATTATATTAAATCATTTAATCCCGCTTTTTTAATATTTTTTAATACACCTGAATGATATTTGTTTCACGATTTTATTAAAGTATCTGTAACAAACGTGAGAGAGAGGGAGGGAGAGAGAGTGAGAGAGAGAAAAGAGGCGGATACGACGAAGAAAAAAGGAGAAGAATGAGTGAGAAAAGGAAAGAACAAAGAAAAAGAAACAATAAAATGATTTCTTCACTGTAATTTAATTTTGTAATTTTGTTCTCCTTTCTAAAAGAAATACATATAACCTAAAGGGTAGAAAAAAAGCCAAACTATAGAACATGAAATAACAAGTGACTCAGTGTCGAATACAATTTTTTTCATTCAGTATTTTCATTTCATTGTGTCTTTCTATTATTATATTCTTTAGTTTTTGTCTATCTTTTGCTTTATACTGTACATGCTAATATACAGTATATATCATTACTATTAACATACTGTATACTCATATATTTTAGATATTTTATAATAATTATGCTATGTATTTTTATGTTTGACAAAATCATCTGGAATAAGCTTTAAAGTGTCATCTATATTTGAAAAGCTATACAAGTGCCATCTAGCGAATAATTTACTAGTCTAATAAACTTTAGCCATGCAGCTTTTCATTTTCTTGTATAAATACTGTAAATGAGTACTGTACCCATTGCTAAAAGACCCTTAGGCAAATCGAATAATACAGTTTATGAATATTGTAACACTATTACTTAGTATTGGTTGCGAAAAATACCTCAAGCAATTAAGAGAAAGAGAGCAATCCAGTAGATAAGTGTAATAGACACGTCTATAAAGCATCGCAAACGTTTCCATGAATTATATTTTTGATCATCAGTGGTATTCAAAAAGAAAGGAAATCAATGGAAAATTGATCATCAAGATTTCATTATAACATCCTATTTATGTTAATCGTTTCTTTTTCCTTTTCTTTTTATCTAAGCTCGTTGCCAAAAAACACTTGATAGGTAAGTTAATACGGTCTGTAACTTAAATCTCACTCAAAAAGGAAGAAGATGGATTTTATTTGATAAAACGTTCAAAGCTAACATAATCAAAGTAAGAAAAATCTTGAGAAGCTTTATGAAAGGAAATAAGAAGTAGAAAACTATAAGAAGGGTGTGTTTATTTTTAGAAAGAAAGGGGTATCACTGTGTAATAAATGAAGAGATTGTGTAATAAAATACGGGGGAAGAGCGTGGGGAGGAGGAAAGATAGAGGAGAGGACTGATTATGTATTTAACTTTTCAATATCACCATTCAAGCTTCAAAATACTTTATTTCCTTTGGCTCTTATTCCTATATTCTTTCCTTATCCTTTCCCTTTAATTACATCAAAATATTATGCAATAATACAATATTAAATATGCTATTATATTTAGATCTATCATCATTCCTTATAGATTATATTGCACGTAAGGTAAAGACACAACAAAAAATTGAAATGTAAAGAGATTACTAAATCACGGCTTAAAAAGCACGATAGTCTAATTATTTCTATATTTATCTTCAATTGTTAAAAGAAAATATTTGTTTGATGGTGAAGAAGAGACAGAAAAATCGTTTTTTGTCAACTTATCGTTAGTAACTATTGTTATCAATACAAATAGAATTAGTTTAATACATTTTTAATGTTTTATTCATTGTTGAATCAAAGATTAACACTTACTTATAAAATATTATCTTAATATCGATATTCTTCTATTGTTCTTAATGTATTATATAAGTTTCTTTACTTGAATGAACAATTAACGATAAACCTTAATTATTAAGAAGAAAATCTATCGAAATTCGTATGCTTCTTCTAGGTTTCGTGTTCCATATAAACAAATACAATACTATTAATAAATAATGAAGGAGAAATAGTTTTTTTTACTATTCCATCTAGTATATTAAATTGGTTACCAATTACTTTCTTATTTTTCTTTTTGGTTCGAGTCTAAATAGATATAAACACTAATATAGTCATTATCTTCTCTTAATATACTCTTATACTGTACATCATTCTAATAATATTATTTATTAATATTAATAAGTTAGTATAAAATTATTTAATAACATCTTTTTTTATGATTATTATATAACTTGAGAACCAGTTGATGCCTTATATACAACATTAGTACAAAAGATGTGTAAACACTCTTAGAACATCTCACCGGCATGGCTTCTATCTAGTTCATTTTTTACTGCTTGTGGATCCTATATTAAGATTATTGAAATACTAATTAACTTTTTAAGGCGCTTGTTCTTGCTAATTCAATAGTAATCTATTTTTGAAATGATTAGAATATGCCATAAATACTGCAAATTTGCAAACTACTCCTTTTATCGCTCAGAATTAAAACTTACTAGACGACAATCAAATTGCTCTTTCTATGAAAGGGCTTATAATTTGGTGAGATTTGATAGCTTCCAACATATGATTATCATCAGTATAGTTTAATTATTATTGTTTTACAGATTACAAATCGCCTTGAGGTTAATACTGAAGAAGATTTGACTGAAAAGGGAGAATTAAGGACTTCAGCAGAACTGTTACGTAATCTAAATTATGACCTATACGAACTATTCGAATGCCCTTTTGTTCTATTATTGAATGAAGACTCTATCCTTCAAAGTGTCGCGAAGCTGGAACAAACTAAATTTCAACGTAGTATACCATTTCTATGGCTTTGTCATAATACACCATCAGTATGTTGCTATTTATAATAAATACTATATAAATATATATATATATGATATTAACATATTTATGTCTTTAAACTCCAGCCTTCTCTTCATTCAAGACTTAAAAAGTATACCAAATCAATGATGGACTATAATAGTAATATATCACTTTGGAGGGATAAACTAAAGTTAACTGATTCTGAACTATCTGGCCTCTTTATAAACAACAGACGATTGTTTCAGTTGACTAAAGATAAAATTCCGAATAAAACATCAATAATCAAAAAATGTAATAAACTGGAATTACTTTTGAACGATGGTTACGAATTAGATGAAATTAAACGCCATAGTTTTGTGTTAACGAATCCTACTGTTGAAACTCTCGAACAGCGTTTAAAAGAATTAGAAAAATTAAACATACAACCAAAACCTCCTATAGCATGGCTATCTCAGGCTAAATCAGTTTATGAGTCGCTTGTTAATAATTTTAGGACCGAAGAACAAAAAATGGAGAAAATTTCCGAAGAACTTAATATTGACTTAACACAACTCTTGCTGCTTGAGACATGGAATAATATGTCAGCTACGAATTACAGAGAGAAATTAAAATTTTTTATAGACAAGGGATATAGTATCGATCAATTAATTGATTACCAGAGAATTGGATTATTTTCGTTAGATACAATCAAGAAGAGCTATGAAGAACTAGAAAACCTTGGATCTGACTTTATAACACTAGAGGTACGTTTCTGAAAATTGTAATATGTCGTGAAAACTATTTTGTGACACTTCCAATTTCAGTCACTTGCCCATTACTGTAAGCACAATAAATTGTCTTTCGTGAGGAGAAGAACTGCAAACAAATTATTTAAAATTCTCGAATGTAATGCAGAAGATACCGTTGAGTTAGATAAAGAGAGGAGAGTTTTGTTGGTACAAAAATTCACAGTTCTAGAATGCAATAGGACGTTGTTATTGAAACGAAATTTTCAATTAGATGATTTAAGAAAGTGCCCCCTACCCTTAGGACACGCAACTAAAGTGTTAGAAGAGCATTTGGACAAGATAGAAAGGGAAGATATAGTAAAGAAATGGATGAGGGAAGGTGAAAGATTAAAAATTCTGAATTATTTACAATATTCAATAGAAAAAAGTGTTAATTTTCAAAGTTCAGCAGTTTTACACGATGATTTTAACGTTGATGATTAAAATATCGAGTACATTGTTAATAATTTCGTTCTTATTCTAGTGAAATTCTAAACTGGCGAGAAAATAAATTTATAGAGCACTACAGGAAATTTATTGCTCTTTTGCATAAAATGTGTTAAGCAAAAGGCAGTAATTTAAAGGATATTAAGGCGCTTTCATGAACATTATCTTACCTATTTACTTAAGAAATACATGAAAAAGTATTTAATTATATATATATACTACGGCGTAAACTTTATTAGTATAATGGAAATAGCCGAATTAAGTCTATCAACAGTTCTCCCTTTACATCTAATACGTTTTTGCTTCACCTTGCAATAGCCTCAAATTAAAAAGACTTAAAGGTTGGACGCATGCTTTTTATAGACTAAATAAATGTACCAATTACACGATAAGAAGATATTACGTATTCCTTTGATATAGTAATCTTTCTTCGAAAATCTAAAAAAGAAAAAACTGACCCTTTTTATAAATTACAAAACACTAAAAGAAAAGGGATTAAAAAAAAACAAAGAGTCAATTTCCTTTTCTAAGACTTGTATTATTAATAAAGTACAAATAATGAATAGAAAAAGATATAAAGACAACTTAATACTTCTAACATATCAAATAGAATGTTTTTTTTAGTCATTTATTACTAATGTTATTAATATTATTACGAATTAACCTTTACTATTAATTAAATCATATATCTAATATCTAATACTTTTACTGTCATTTCTGTTGTTTTATTTTTGTAATATTTGTTTGTTAAGTTGTACAAAAATCACTTTTAAAAGTAGTAATCTAAAGTTTATCATCTTGGATTAATTAAAATATTAATGTGTCAAAGAGTTTTTCCTCACATATGAGCAATGCTAAAAGATATAAAGTTTCTCTTCCTATTTTATGAATGATATAGATAATATAAATTATTATTTTTCAATGTTTTTGACACTAATTTGAATTATAGCATAAAAGAAAGTTGTCTCATTAAAATCTACTATTTGATATTTCTGACGTCACAACTGAAATAAATTAATTTATTCTGCAAAGAGATTTTCCATTTGTAGCTTCACAAGTATGGCAAACGTTACGGAAGACTATTCGTCGTACTCTATTGGAGCTTCGAAATTAAGGATAACATTTTATCCTTCTGCTGTTATCCTTGGTATTTTTGGCAATATAATAACATTGAAAATTTTACTTAGAGGACCAAAATCTACAACAAATTGGTACTTGAAAATTTTATCAATTGCTGACTTAGCATTTGTACTTGTTTCGGCTTTATTCTTTTTCATTTTAAGCGTCACTGACTTCAAAGTTGACTTACGAATGTTTGTAAAATGCTCGTTCATAACGTTCTGTTTCCATTATTCGTCATATTGTTCAAGTTGGAACTTAGTCGCCGTTACAGTTGATCGTTTCATTGCTATATACTTTCCACTAAGATCTAAGACAATTTCTACAAGAACAACTGCAAAATATACAACGTTAATTTTAGCCATTATCTTTTTCGGATTTTGTAGCTTTATGCTTGGAGGACTTGAAATAAATCCGGCTAATGACTATAAAAATCTGCATTATTCTATTAGATGTGTCGGCAAGACAAGAAGCTTAAGCAAATTCCTCTTAAAAACCTTTCCTATCCTTGATTTTTCACTTTATTCACTTATACCTGCTACTTTAATCTTAATATTCAACCTTCTAATAATTCTTAAGTTACGAAGAGCCGTTGCTGTGGGACCTAGCGTTGGTGGTAAAGTGATAAGGAAAGTATCAAAAAAGACTACGAAAACACTTTTAACAATCTCAATGACTTTCATTCTACTATCATGCCCAAGTTGCGTTCTTAGCATTCTAATAAATATACCTGGCTACTTGAAAACGAGCTATGATTATGCCGTCTTCGAAGTTTTATTGGCAGTTTCCGACTGCCTATCCTTAACTAACCATTGTATTAATTTTATCCTCTACATTCTAACTGGGACTGAATTTCGTAAAGAATTAGTCAAAATGTGTGCTGTAGATGGAGCAGTAGACGAAGATAGAACAATGGGTTTTGCAGGAGGAAAGAGCGACCAGACAATGGGTTTTGTAGGTGGAAGGAGCGATCAGACAATAGGAATAGTTTCGACACGTACTAGTAGGAACCCTTAACTATAATAACTGAAGATCTTAGAAAAGAATTGATTAAAATGAGTCAAATAAGAAGAGAATGTTTAAATACTACGTTTATCTATAGCATATCACGTTTTAGCATGCTAAGACATAAAACACGTCTTAGTAAAAATAACGCAAGATGTCTATATACTGTATATATAAAAGTTTATTCTAAATTAGGAAAGCTCATTGTATCTAGTAATATAAAATATAAAACTATGGACAACATGGAAGTATGAAACGACCAACAGCGACAATAGTAGAATAATGGTATTGTTCCTATTTTCTTGCATATGGATGTTATAGTGTAGTAATGAAGTTTTCAAATGAACAATTTAAATACAAAATATACTACATTCTTTATTTATATTGTAACTTTGTTTTTAGATATTAGCGGATCATCTCTATGATTAGTTCATTTACAGTTTTATTTAAAGCAATAAATAAGAAACTTTCCCTTATATTTCCATTTTCTTTATCTTCATCTTATTATTCTTCTTACTATTAGATTCTTTGCATTGTATTGAAATATATATATTTAAAACTCTCTGAAAGGGTTAATGAGTATGTAACATAAACTATTTTTAAGACAGTTTATTCAACTTTATGTTTTCTATTCTAAAAATTCTAATTAAGAGTTTCAACAGAAAAAATATCTATCATCTTAATAGAACTAATAAAAGGATTTAAAATGCTCTATTTTTATATTCTTAAATAAATAAAGAACTGTAAATAGAGAATTATTATAAAGAAATAAAAAATACAACATTCTATTACGTAATAATAGTTTTAAGAGGAAAAATAAAACGCTTTGTATTGTATATATAGTATATAGTGTATCTACTCTATATATACAATATATTATATATATTGTATATATGGTTCATTATTTTGTCGTTGAATATTTAACAACAGTTTGATAACTTTTATTTTCTATTCCTTACTAATTACTTTTCCTATTAGTATTTCTATTTTTCATAAGGCTTGCTTAAAAATGATAATAGAAGTCTATTACAAGCCATGAAATCACTGTGGCTTTTTTTTTGTTTCTTTTTTGTTTCTCTTTTTCTCTCTCTCTCTCTCTCTCTCTCTGTGTCTCTTTCACTCTTATATACATATATACTGTATATATATATATTCCTTCATCTTCTTAGTCAGTGTATATAACATGAAAAGATATATCGTGTAATTTTATAATGAAAATCATTTCTTATGTTTATCAATCAAAGAGACATTCATATGTAAAATTATTTACAACAAAGTAAAAAGTTTATCTTCTTGTATCATCTATATGGAAACGATACAAATAGTTCAGTTTATTAAGTCGTTTTCTTAAAGAGTTTTATATTTAAAGTTGAGAGTTTAATGTTTTCTTTGTTTCTAGATCTCTTAAAGTCCTTCTTAGGACTTTACCACTTGGCAACCTTGGAATTTCTTCTATAAAGTCTATACCACCTCTTAATCGTTTAAAATCAGATAGTTTGTCTATAAAATAAATTAAAAACCAGAAGAAAATTAAAACAGGCTGTTAAATGAAGCACTTCTATTTACCGGCAATATAATCGTTGATTTCCTTTTTAGTGAGATTATCAACTTTTTTAACAACATAGGCTTTGGGAATTTGTCCTGCCCTTTCGTCATCGATTCCGACAACACCAGCATCCTTTATCTTTGGGTGAGTTAAAAGAACAGATTCTAACTCAGCTGGTGCCACCTGTTGAAATAGAAACCATAAATCACACCGTTTCGGTTAAGGTGATATAGGTTCTAGTTCAGCCTCAAAGCCATTAACTGAGAGCCTTTGATGAAATAATACTTTCCTGGAATCCCTTATACTTAATTAATTCTTTCGCTCTTCCTACAATGAATACGTAGCCGTCTTTGTCAAAATAGCCAATGTCACCTAAATGGATTATTTTAAAAGAATCAAACAAATGTTACTGGGCACAGTTTCTTTCTAATAGTATACCCGTTTTTAGCCAGCCGTCTTCCGTGATACAATTTCTCGTTTCTTTTGGTCTATTGAGATAACCTTTCATTACAATGGGACCTTTAAACCATAATTCGCCTTTCATTCCAATACCGCAATACTTCCCTGTTTCTTGATCAATAACCTTCAAGCGAACATTGTTAACCAATCTTCCAGTTGACCCTACTTTATATGAGTCCTTTTCGCCCAAGGTAACCGCAAGGGTGGCTTCAGTCATTCCATATCCTAGAAAAAAACTTTGATGTATAGTACTCTTAATGAAGAGATGACAAACCTTGACGGAGACAATAAATCTTAGTAACACTCCTGAATTTCTCTTCAATTTGCTTAGAAAGAGGAGAGGCACCGCATGAAATATATTGTAGACAAGTAAAGTTAATTTCACGAGCCTTAGTGTCCTTTATTAATAAATTAACTATTGGAGGAACTAGAGCAATTGTAAATGGCTAATTAAAGAGAAAGTTAGAAAAAACAGTAAATGCAATTAATGCAAGTAATGAACGACAGATGGCTAACCTTGTACTTTTGAATACACCGATAAAAAAGTTCAGGTACAAAATTGGCCATAATTACTTGTGAGACGCCTTGCAATAAATTATTGAGAAGTAGTTTTTGCAAGCCATAAGCGTGATAAAAAGGTAGAAAAACTACTGTAGTATCATTTTTAGATCTCTTAGATGATCCGAAAAATTGAGGTTGTCTACGAAAGGAAGGAGGAAAGAAAGAGGTAAAAAAAATACTTTAATCAAGGAGATCATTATATAAAGAATTTACTGAAAGATATCAAGCATGGCAGTGCAATTCCTATGGGTAATTTCAACCCCTTTAGGTAAACCCGTAGTACCGCTACTGTATGGTATAATGACAGCGTCCTGAAGAGTATTTATCTAAAAAGAAATATGAAAAATATTCCAAGATATATTCAAGATATTGACGAACCTTTAAATTATTCCCCATGAAAGATTTTCCATCATTCAATGCCAATTCAAAGATGCTGGTAAAACCATTTACCGATTCTTTATCAGCTATAAATATCTCCTTAATATTTGAGTTCAAGCTAGCTTTGACAACTGGCAGAAATGCCTTGGTAGTAAAAATATAAGAGGCACAACAGTCATTTAGTTGATATGTAAGTTCAACTGTAAAGAAAAGTTTAGATTGATAAAATCAATTAATTCATTTTCTCACATCTAGTAGAATTAAAATTCGAAGGTGAAACGACCAGCCCAGCGGTTATACAGGCGGCAAACATTAAAGCAAATTCCAGGCTATTTGGTGAGAAGAAGCAAATTACCTCTCCTTGATGCATTCCTCTTCCAGAGAGTGCGCTACTTATCCTCTTATAGAGGTTCTTGAATTCCCCAAAAGTATAACTTCTTTCAGTTTGAGCATCAATCTAGATAAATTTTCAATTATTATTTAATAAATTTATTAATATACAAGGATTATTCAAAAACTGACAAAGGCAATTTTATTAGGGTCATGTTCATTCATCGACAACATGAGCATTTCAGGGACGGAAATATCCCGTAGTTGAATATCCGGAAACGGACTGCCAATACTTCCGTCTGAACTCTGCATGATTCATCTACTACTGATTTTCTATTAGATTTATATTTTAAAAACCATCAGACTATAAAGAATAACAAAACAATACAGAAAAATGATTAAAAAATATAGATCAACGATCATAAGCTGGTATGACTAAATACTGCAAAGAGGTTTTCTTAACTTCATATCAATGTTTTACCAAGTCACTGTCACAAATTTTCTATTATCTATTAAACAGTAAAAAAACAAGTATTAAGTCCTAGTTGTATATTATACTTACTACAAAACTACTGTAATTTAATAGCTGAAAGGCAAAAAAAAAAGAATCTCAATATGGGATTCTTCAATTATCTAATACTTCCAAAAAGCAATTATCATAAAGAGAGTGTTGGAATTTCGTTTGGGAAATACTATAGTTGGGATTTACTGATGAAAAAAATCTGCCTATACCTTGATTAACTGCAATGTTTCTCCCATCTTGCACTTTAGTGCCCTTCGGCCACCCAAAGTCAGATGTTGTACATGAAGACCACATTTCATACTATTACATTTCTTATTATTGTTTAAACAGCGTTCTAAACTGTCTTAATTTATTAAAAAGAATGGTAGATTTTAAGAGAGAAAAAGTAGAAGAAATTTTTAGTACGAGTTTAAAAGGGTTCCCTTTAAACCAACTGTTCTAACCAACTGATACATTCCCGTTTATTTTTAAATTTTCGGTATTTATTTATTTTTTAAGGGAAAAGTTGAAATTTTTCACAGTTTAAAATGAAACTGAGAATTTTAACAGCTGGTTATAAATAACAAATAATATTTTAAAGTCTATGACTGCCGATAGATGGCGATAGTATAAAATGATTTACTTCCCTCTGTTTTATCTATCGTCTTAATCTTACCCGTCGACAGAAGATTATCCTCTTCGATAATCAAGAAAACGTGCTTCTAACTTGTTATCTAGATATGTTTAAATCGGAACTTTAAAGTTTACAGGAATCAGTTTCCTTCAAATTTTATTTACATAAAGGAATCCATTGATCCCTTTCAGGGAATCTTAGACGCTTTTTACGGTGAAATATGACGACGATTCTCACATTAATTGGAAATTGGCAGTTATATTTCCTAATTAAGCATTGAAAATAAAATTGACAGGACTGGTAATATAAAAAAAGGGAGGGGGTGAACGAATGAAAATGCTCCAAAAGAGGAAAACACAAAACCTAAGGAAAGTATAGATGATACTTACGGATGAGAATTTCGTAAAGAAACTACGATGAAGGATGGTTTACTTAACATTAATCTGACAGATCGTTTAGATTCTTTTCAAATTAGCTAGGAAAGGGGAGAAGATAAGATTTATGCACAGTTATCATGCAAAGGAGATTTTTTTTTACTACTTTATTAAATATAGTAAACGCCTCTTCGCAAAACCGCATTGAACATGTCATACTTTCGAAACAAAGGATCATTGTAGTCTCTTTTTTTTCGTCTTTTTTTTTATACATATCTTTTCATAGTAAGAACGTCGTTAAAAAGAGTAAAAACGTACATATATGTATATATGCTATGCATGTCAATATCAATCAATTAATCATAATTTTACTAAGGGTTAATTAGTGTCTTGTAAAGAAAGAAATGAGGAGAGTAAAAAAAAAATGGTACGGTATTTTCTACTTAATTTAAAAATAAAAGATTTGCCCTTAATCTGACTTTTAGGTGAAGGAGAATCTTTGTTTATTTTCAGGGAGACTGGTATAACAATTTATTGTTTTACCATCTAATGATTTTCTTACTTTTGGTATAGAAAAGTTGAATAGGTCGCAGACAACTAGAATTGATAAGTTTTCCTCTTATCCCGTATTCAGCCTCACGTTATATAAGATTTTATTATTGTATCATATATTTAGCACGCATCTATTACGTGAATGCGTAATAATATGCAATCCCTACAGACTTGAAGGAGAAATAACTAAGGGATTTACCGTTACGGGTAAAGGCGCGCACACACGAGTATACGTTCATACATACATACATACGTATACACATACACGCTCATACACACACATACACACACATACATACATACATACATACGCACACCTGTCGGTTCCATTCGCGTTCTCGAAAGGCGTCTAAATTCAGCAGGGCTACCAGCGCGAGCGTCTACCCGCACGTAAAGATCGAAAGGTTGGTCAACGAAACAAGCTATGTAACGAAGCCTTCTAACCTCATCTACCATCATCTAAAGATTCCGAACGACCCCCTAAGGGTCACCTCATAACTTGGCAATTTCCACTCTTGAGTGCTTAAATCAAGACTTTTTGTCCACTTTCAAACTAGGAATAGAGTTCCAGTGATTTTTGTGTACATCAATTTGAATTTGAAAAAAAAAAAGCGAACTCGATTCGTGGGCGTACGCTCCCTCACGATTGTAATTCACCCACCCCCTAAACTGCCAAAACATATAACGCCTTCAACCAGGTGACTTTCAGTAGGAGGTCGTAATCCTTTAATCCTTATAAATAGAAAATAATAAAAAACCTACAAATTTTCCCAACATAAACGACCAAGAAGGAACCTTTTTTCTTATATAATAAATAAACGTATATAATTATCGACTTTTAATAATCGGCAGATGTTACGTCAAGAGAAAAAGTGGGTTATGGAAACGGTTAGACGATGGAATCGTTATATTCACAAGTTTTATATATGAATGTATAATTTTTTAATACATATTCATTTAATGATGGAAAGAAGGAGAAAAAAAGTTTAAGTAAATTTAAATAACGGCTAAATGGACGTCGTCCGTGACTTCACATGCGAACGCTTCTCCCCGCCGTTTCTTTTCGTGTTATATAGCGGCTAATCCGAGCGGGGTCGCTTTTGTCAGCAAATTTCCCTCTCCCTCTCCATACCCTAATTGACGCTACAGCTGTCGGTTGTGATTGAAGGAGAGCATCTGCAAAGAAAAAGGAATAGTTGAGCAAGAGAATGCTGTAAATACAGCCTGATATATACTATATTTATATACATACTGTACATATGTAAGAATGAGAGAAGAGAAACGAACAGATTTTACGCCTCTCTACCCTTTATCCTAAATCTTCCGAGTTCATTCCTCAACAGACATAGATCACACTTTCATGATTCGTTAATCTCGACCCCCTTAAAAACCTGACATAAGTAAATGATTCCTCTACAAACTTTAGTATGGGCGTCGGGTAACCTGCCCCTTTATTTAAAAACGGTTGACAACCTGGAGTACTCGTGACGTAATAATTCAGCCCGAAAAAAGTATTATAAATTGATGCGCAACGCCAAAAGTGTGCACTGCCGAAAACAACCAATGACTGATCGATTTTCATCACGGTCTTTCGAGTTTGACCATCCAAATCTCGTTTTCTTTTTTCCGTACGATGATTCCTAACCCCCACTAACGCTCTTCCTTTTCCGGATTCCTTCCAAGGGGTGTTTTTCCTTTCAAACGCATATTTTAAAGTATTTAGGAAAAATCCTTTTTAACCTAAAACACTTAAAATTTATTTCGCCTTGGATTTTCTCTTATACCAGTCTATCTATTCGTTTCTCCTTCAAATCTTTCTCTCTCTCTCTCTTTCGCTCTAAGTTTGATGAAAACCATAAGCGTGGGAAACGAACGTCGTGTTTATAGTAGAAGTATAAAACGAGCGGAGAGAGCGATAGAGAGAAAACGGAAAGGAGAGTCGCGAGCCGAAGGTAGGCAAAATTTGCATATTATTTGTATAAGCGAGAAAAGGGCGAAAAGGGCGGGTGGCGGGGGTCGTTCGTGCCGGACGGAGGAGAGTCGGGGGCCGGATCGGTTAAGGAAGTCAAAGGTCAGTTTACCGCCGGTAATTAACACCTACTTTAAGCAGACCAGGTCGTATAATGTAAAAAGTTGAAGAATAAAAAGAAATATGCTACAAGTTGGCTGTATTGAAATTTTTTAACTTCCCAATTTCAATCACGTGACTTTAACTTTAACTGATGGCTACGAGTGTTTCGATTTTTCTAAGCCTGTTTCAATATTTTGGCGGAAATGAAGAAGTCGAATGTTTATACTTTTCGCGGTAATTAACATTCGCTTCAATTACTAGGGCTTGGGATCTTTACTGATACAGTAAAAAGTAGGTTAGCATCCTTTTATTCGACTTCTAAGTTTATTTTGAACCGGTATATTATTATTCTACAACTTAGCATGGACGGACTGTTATATTTAACCGGATAAGTGTTTACGAACAACGTCAAGCGTAATAAAGTTCATCTGCTAAATCTCAAGTTCGCCGAACGGCAGGGCGGCGGCCAGGGCGCGAAAGGGGAAGTGAATAAGAGTAGAAAGGAGCACAAAACCAACCCCCCCCCCCACTCGGAAGGGATTGCCGTTTGACGGTTTAATTTCCCTCTTCCCGTCGTCTATATATATAATCGATTATCCTGGAGGGGTCGACGCCGCGAATTCCGCTCACCTGTTAACTGCCCGCCGGCCTTCGGGCCATTTTTCATCCACTCGTCCAGCACTCGGACCTTATAAGGAGAAAAGAGGGGTGGGGTGAAAAAGGAAAAATTCCTCGGTCGAGCGTCCAATCGTTTCCCACGGTTTATGGGCCGGATTCAGCACCTGCTCGATATTTTCTCCTTCCTTCTTTCCCTTTCTCTCATTCTTTCAATCTGATCCGAAAGTTCACAACGCCGATCTTCAAAATTTGTTGCAAACATTTGGGACACACTCAAATTCTGTGGGATGTCTTCGGAAGAGGAGATCTCTAGAGGGTAAGCGAAGGCGCGTCGGCAATCTTTTTTTCAATTATCCTTAAAAAGAATTGAGAAGTGAAAGACTGCAAAACTTTCAATATTAAAAGTTAAAGGCTATTCTTCTTAGTGTTTTCTTTTCCCTTTCAGAAAGCCGAGGGACAGGATGAGACGCGGGGTAAGTACACATAAAAACGTTACGCTATTTATTTCTAAATGGGTATGAATATCTAATTTATCTTCTATATTATGAAAAAAGGAACCGCTTTTAAAGACCGAGATTATAAAATAATATTTGCGTTCTAAATAGATCGCGTGCGTACGCACGCGACCAAAATTGAATATAAGGTCTAAAAACGCGTGCTGAAAACAAAGTTTCTATTGCCCCATCAGGTCGTTGAAAAAAAACGAAGAGATCGAATCAACAACAGCCTTGAAGAATTGAAACGTCTTGTTCCCACGGCTTGTAGACGCCAGGTGAGCGATGGGCGTCTAGAGACGCCTTGGACGGCGTTTCTCTAGAGATTCTTAAATCTTAATGTGTTTGAAGATGCTAATTTTTTTTTTTTTTTGATTCCTCCCACTCCCACCCACTTTACTAACCGACAACCATCTTAACCCTGTTTTACCTCATCTGTTTATCCTTTCACACTGATGTCAACCAAATCGAATCACACCAGATTGCGAGCAAGCTTGAGAAGGCGGAAATTCTACAATTGACTGTTGAGCATCTAAAGCAGCTGAATTCGGATGGTTAGGAACTTAATTATTATGACGTCATTTATGCATAAATATAAAATCAGGTGGCAGTGAAGTGTTAATCGCCGACATAAATCACACAGATATTTCCACTCGACAGAGCGTCTCACTGACATGTCGACGACCTAAGGTTATAACCTTTGGCCTAGGCCGTCGCCGGCAATCTTTACGCCTTAAACAGGGCTAGGTGGGGTTATAGATTATATAGAAAGGCGACGAGTCGACGGAGGTCGTGTGGCAAAGGGACGATGATGGCAGGAATTCTTTGGACACCTGTTTTTCGTCACGTCAACCTTCTTTTTTACTAAAAATTGGGCGAAACTATTTCGTCCCTTTTTTTTTTCTTAAACCATTAGAATTTTATATAAGAAAAATTTTGCTCGTTATCGAATGCCAAGGATTTCAATCTTAATCTTCTATTTCTATCTATTCTTTTCTTTTCCATTAAACCTATAATGACCTCGTTTTGTTTAGATAAAAAATTATTTTTATCCATTAGTTTTCGTACTTAAACTATTAAGAAATTGTTTGAATTAATCTCTCTTTTTGTAGGAATTTACATATTCTCACGTCTGAAATGTTGAATTCTTTATCTTTTTTTTTCTTCTTCTTGAAGGAATTTATTCAATACCGCCCCAGGACTCGAGGACATCATCATTTCCCGATTATAGAAGTGTCGGTTTTAAGGAATGTGTCTTGGAGATAGCGCGCTATCTAGAATCGGTTGAGGGTTTGGATTGGTACAATCCCTTAAGAATTCGTTTAACTTCTCACCTTGAATACTATAACGCTAGAAGAGAAGCAGAAATAAAGAAATTATGTAAAGAGGATGACTTATACAACAGTTACAAGTACAGCATAATAAGTAGACCACACGCAAACTTTTAGACACCACACCCTGCAAAGATCACGTGACCGACGTTACGCCGACTTTTGTTCATGCTAATTAAGAGGCGTTGTCGTAACAGGCGATGTCAGAGTTTGTTCATCTTTCCGTTCTTTTTGAATAATACACAAAGATAAAACCCTTATCAAGCAAAACGTGTTCTCATTAAATTTCTGTGACTGCTAGTTGCCTCACACTCTCACTAGCTTATTAAATATACAAAACTTAAGGATATATATATATTTATAAATACATAAAGAAAGTGTTGCCATAGAAAAGAGATACGCCAGCGGGTAAATTCGACAAACAACCTTATCGCGCGTCATTGCGAATGAAAGATAGCGGCATGTGGTTTTTGGCGATGGGCTGACCGATTTACGTACTAAAACAAATCGAATAAGCATGTGTAACAAATTTTTTTATTGAATAAATAAGTTTTTTTTTAATGTTTGTCATGTCGCATAGTAATTGCAAACTCAAAAAAAGATATATGTATATAAATATATTTATACTTGTTATTTTTCTAAATATAGACATATACATATATATTTATATAAATATACAATATATGACGTTTATATATAAGCGAATGTATGCATACGTATTGAATGTATACGTCGTGCTTTTATGGACATAAGAGGAAACAACAAACGGAACGTGACTAGTGTAAAACTCTATAAATTACACCATCAGAACAAGTATACTTAACCTTGGTTTTCTTTTCTTGAAAAAAATAGATAAATATATAAATATATATATATATATATAAAGTGTACTGATCACGTGAGACTCTTGGAGACATTTTGATGGATTGGCTAGAACAGAAACATATTTTTTTTGTTGCATAGTTGTCTTTGTGCCATCTTCTTAAAGAGAGTTCAAATAGAAGAAACGTTTTGAAGATAATTTAAACAGATTTATATAAAAGTTTAATCAGACGCGATCAACTGAATAAATAAATAAATAGATAAAGTCAATTAATAGGCCAACTCCGCTCCCCAAGGTCGATAAGGTTTCGAGGAGATCATAGTAAGAGAGGCGGTAGATGAGGTATGCAGAGATGGTTGACTACTGCTATTTTGCAAATTAGTCTGAGAGATTAAAGTAGGCGGGGCACAATGAGCTGGTAGGCAATTATCGATAGTAACTTGACTAGAAAGAGGCGGCGTGTATTGGCAGGTAGGTTGGGCGTAGGCTATAGGTGCCGCCCACTGATTCTGCTGCAAACTGGCTCTGGCGGCCGCTTCTCGTTGAGCGCAAAAAGATTCCAAATGAGACAAAAGGCGAATTCTCAACGGGTTCTGGATGTCCATTCCTTCGACGGCCACGAGGTAACGAGCAGTTTCCGATGCGCATTCCCGAAATCCTATTGTTCTGTAATCGACTGCCATAGACGCTTGATCCACATTGTAACCGTTCATACCTGTTTCCCACGAGAGTTTTGCTATGTAATCCGTAGAAAATGAAAACAAACTCTTCAGACAACTATTTAAATGCTAGGGGTCATTTGGGTCGTGCGAAACGCGAGCTACACGGACGAGAGCAAAAGGGCTAAAAGAGCGTTACCTTTTTGATTTAGTATCTTCAGGTGGTCAACGGTCATTTGCAGTATTTCTGCCTTCTCCAGCTTAGCAGATCCTTGTTTCTCATAGGCGGCAGGCACAAGACGCTTCAGCTCTATTAGGCTCTGATTGATACGATCTCGACGACGTTTTTCGACAATCTGTGGAGATGATCACGTGACATTAAGTGTTTTCTAAACGCTATCGACCACCCGAAGTCCGCGGGCGTCCTCATACAGATTACGTTTCTATACGTTTCCCTATTGCGACTGTCTAAAAAGGTGTGAAGATACTTTACGCGATCATTATTCGTATGAATGAACATATTCAAGGGTTTTTTTTGTCGTTTGCTAATCCGATTGTAAATTTTTCATTATTCTTCTTTCCTATTCTTTTGTTCTAACTTTTTTTTATCTAATAAAACTTCTAATAAAAATTCTTTTATAGCCTTTGTTCAATCCTAAATTAATTAACATTGCGCAATAGACAAATAAAATATCTTACCCCTCGTCGTTTCTTCCTCGCCGACCCATCACAGCTTTGATCCGGTGAGCTGTCAGATTAAAAGAAGAAAGTTAAACATAATATTTTCCAAATATATATTTATTAGAAGCGTTCAAGAGAGGGAACAAAGAGGCTGGTAATACGGAATGAGAGAGAGAGAGAGAGAGAGAGGGGGGGAACGAACAGGGATATTGTTTTTTCTCTCTACTTTATTGGAAATAATAAAGCATTCAACCGTATTCCATTACATAAAAATGCACCAATTAAATACCAGTATTTTTAAAGGCATTGTTATTTTTTTTATTTATTTAATTATTAATGAAAAAAATTATTTATAGCCTTTAAAGAACGTATATTTACATATGCGTTAATATTTTAATATGGAATATCTTACCCGTCTTTGTATGGATCGTCATCGCCGAAATCCGAACCGTCGTCGCTGTAAGCTCGTTTCATTTTTTTCTCGTGTGGTAATTATCGTTTAATATAAAATATGAACCATATATCCGAACGCTACAAGCGCTCAAGTTGTAAATGAATGCGTGTGGCGTTTCCGCGAAGAAGCTCGTTAAAGAAGACTCCGCCTCCTTGTATTTCCTATTGGATAGTTCAGCACGTGCTACTTGTCAATCAAAGTTGTTGGCTATCGGTTTGGATAAGGTTAGAGGATGTTTATTTAACGTAGCACGAACGTTCCCACTTTCCGCTTGTTTTTATTGAGAAACGTAAAAAGCAGCCGAGCCCTTGCAATGCCAGTGCAAGGAGAGAGAGAGAGAGAGAGAGAGAGACAGACAGATAGACATGGGTTTAGAAGTTTGTACGAAACGACTACGAAACTCTTTATTAAACTTGACAAACTTTTCCTATTATAAAAACTACAATCCCAAAATTATAGTAATAACTGTACATACTGAGGCACCTTTTCAAACGCTTTCGAGCGTACCGTAGCTGCAAACATAATCTCTTCTGATTGGCATGTCACGTGACGTGTGTCAGAGCGTTGGCAGCATTCAACAAAATGACCTTCACCCTTACAAACTCTCATTTTACGGTAAGGCGTCTAGTTCCGGTTATAGAAATTCGCGCACGCATCGGTAAAAGGAAGAAGGGACCTTACTGAAGTGCCAGTGGGAGGGAACTACACCTGCTCACCTCGTTTGAAAGGAAAGAAAAGTGTTTTAGAGAAAATTCGATATAATTAAGTATTCCTGGAGATTAGCGATTATGTAGATCTTCGTGAGAATTGCGAGATTTATTAATGATTCAACTTTATTAATGCAATAGAAGAAAAAAAGTTATTTATCTTCCATTGGAAATCAAGATTAATAAAGATGATAAAATAAACAATTTAGACTGAATATAAAATATAGTTTGTCTTAAAATTTTCTTCATTCTTCCTTTCCATGTGTTTTCTTTATTATTATTATTATTATTATTATTATTATTATTATTAATATTAATTAATATTACAACAATTCCAATTCGTTCTTTTTCATTTTCTTTTCTCACGCGTCAATAGTTGAACCCTCCTTTTTGCTTTGCCCATTCTTTTTTCTTAGTTACATGCTCATGAGGGGGCAGCACTTGCACGTGTTCCTCTTCTCTTTCCAATTCTCTGTAATCTTGACCTAATCCTAGTTGTCTTTGTTCTTTGGGTCTTAAATTTACTTTAGCCCAATTTCTCTATAAAAAAGAGAGAAAAAGTAATTAGCATATATTTTGTTTATTGATTAATTATTATCCTAATTGTTTAACACCGTATCCGACTTTATTCCTTCTTTCCATTCCCTCAGGTATATAATTAGAGTGAATGAAGAGATTTGAAAAAATATGAAAAGAACGTGTAAAAATCGGAAACGGTGACGACTAATATAATTAGTGTTATTAGACACAAGAAAGAGTTGCCTTTCCTCCTTGAACGAGTAACATAAAACTAGGTAAAGTGGATAACCGTTAATTTTTCAACTCTTTCACCTTGGGAATAGTTATCATAGCAATTTTTTTAATTATAATAATTAATAAATGAATTCCTAGCGGTAGTGTTATAAGGCTTCAGATAAAAGGTGTGCAGCTTTTTGTAGGGATGTTGTTTGGAGACTAGTACAATAAAAGGAATATAAGGTGAGTTAAAGGGTAAAAAGGGGAACGTATTATTATAATATATTTAGAATATATTAAAAAAAGAAACCTCAAAGGTTATGGGATATTTAAAAGAAAACCTTAAAAAGAAATCTATTTTTCTCGCTTAATTGATCGCCGATTTCAACGGCGTAACGTTCGTTTTCTGCACGTTTTCTACGCATTTTAGTCAGTTTATCGGGCGGAAAATAGCTTAGAGCAGGCGGCATTCGACCGTTTCTCAACTAAATAGATAGGTAATTAAACTTGTATACATATAATTATTGAATACATAATGTAATAGTTTTGATGAATACTAATTTAAATTGATCTAATAATATCAATATATTATTGTATGATTTAAAGAGAGACACCTACTTATCTACTTATACTGTATGTGTGTGTATATTACATACCTTCATGATGGCGTCGTCTTTGTGATGGGGTTGTTTGATGAGCATTCGAATTTCTTTCAAGACTGAAAAGTAGGGAAAGATGGAAAGATTAAGGTTCAATATTTTTTTTGCTCTATTACAATAGATGGATGTTTCGAAACACGCGTGCGGTACTTCTTTTATAACAGAATATAGAAGGAAAAGGTTTTTGTGTGTTTAGCACAGTAACACGTGCGATGTTATGTTGATCTTGTTGGAAAAATGCGTGCGGTAGATAAACAGGTATCCCGTTGAAGAGAAAGCTCCTCTCCGAGTGTTTCAAATTTATTTAAATAATCGTTTCTTATAGGAATAAAGTTGTTTTTTCTTACCTCTATCGCTTCCTAGAGCGTCCAATGCGCAAAAGTTAATTATAGCTAGCCAGCAGGGAGTCTGTAGGTCGGATTCGGTATCTTCATTAATAGCTATTCGGGTTATGGTCATTCTTTGTAGATTCTTCTCCATATTCCCCGCTTTGTCTTCATCTTCGAGTTCCGAAGCTATCCTCTTTTTGAATTCGTCCATATCGAATAATGTTGTCTTCTTATTTTTCTCAAGCTCTCCGCCATTCTCTATTACATCGCGAGATAGACAGAAAAATTCAGGATATTCATAACCTCTAACGATAATTGGACATGTCGTCTCTCTAACAATTGAAATTGAACCATCGGATTCGCGAGATAACGTTATACCGTCGCCAAACAATCGTCGAACTCTCCTTACTCTTTCGTCCCTAATATCATTTTCCAAGCATCCAATACCAATAATTCGACCCTGATATTCGTCATCGCTATCGTTTATGACGAATTCACGATTCCTAACATAAAATTTCGCAACAACCTAACGGAGAATAAAAATAGATAAAATTAAGCACGACCGATAACAAATATTGGCTTTAGCTTTATCAAATAGGAAGATAAATAGTGTAAGGGCCAAACCTCATTTCTTTCAAAATAATACACCTTCGCCCATATGCCAATATCAATATCAGTATAACGACCGAGAGTTTCATCAAGAATTGTATCGAGTAGTTTGTTTGTTTCTTGAGGTGGCATTTTCATTTTGGACAATGATCTTGGCTGTTGATTCTTCTTAGAAGTCGTAATTTGTCTTGGTCTAGGTTTAGGTTTTTCCTTTTTGAGAGCGAACGAAATTGGTGTTGCTTGATAGATATTTTCCTGAGCAGTTTGGGCCTGTTGAGCCTTTCTTTGCTGTTCTAGTTCCTTAGCCTTTGTGTTTATCAAGATATAAATTTCATTTAGTGATAAAGAAGAATAAAAACATTAAAACGAAATTATGATATGACAAGAGCGCCATCTACCTTTTTATGAAATCTTAAAGAGTCGTGATGTTGGTGCGCATTAATAATATCGTATTTAGCATTCGATATATTGGCAACCGATTTACAGAATGCCTTTAATTCAACTTGTTCAGCTTTTGCCTTAACGACCAACCATTTAAATCGTTTTTTCGCCAAATAACTTCTAGCTTGTTTTTGAACACGAACGATTTTCCATCCAATATCATCCAGTTTTCTTACTAATAATTCCGTATGATAATGCTTAAGAAACACTTTAGTCTTACCAATCTCGAATTGATGAAGATTTGTAGCTTTAAGTATTTTCAAACAATTTGAACCTGTTGGTTCAACCTTACTCGTTAAATTGAATGCTATTATTTTATACCTGTTTTTATTATTATTATTATTATTATTTGCAATTGTTGATATTATCGTTCATAGAGAGAAGATAGAAGGGAAGCATATGAAAATATAAATTAAGTATAATATGTAATTATTAATAGATTATATATAAAATAGGTAGAAAATTACTTACAAATCAATAAATTGCCTATGAGAAATACGAGTAGGATAACCAGATTTTCTAATTCGAATTACTTCCATTACTCCTGTATATTTCAATTGTTTTCTTACCAATTCTATATCAAATTTATTCGATTGTTTCATTGAATTCGGTTTAATGCATCTAATAAATGTTGGTTGAGAATCGTGCAATTTAGAAGCTAATTCAACTAGAGAATTCGTAAATTGCGAAGATAAAGTCTTTGAATTTGTAGTTCTATCCAAAGTTTGAACAATTCCCTTAGACATTTTACTCTTTACTTGTTTACCAGCTTTCTTTGAAATACTCTGATTATTTTTCAGATTTAACGATGGAGGTTTTTTATAAAGAACTGATTGTCTATTCCTCATAGGAGCATCAGGGCTAAAAATAGAAGGGAAGGAAGAAAAGCAATTTATTTTGTTAATTTACTATACTAATTAGAATCAATTTACTTCATTTGAAGAGATCCGGTTGACGATAATTTCGCAGCATATAAATCCGAAACGATTTGACTTTGGGACATTTTAAGACAATCGAGTAAATTATGGCTAAGAGTATGTCGGTTCTTTTCTAAGAAACCACCACACCCGTAAGTAACTGGTCCAGCGTAATGGTTTATAGTAAAGCATAAAGGTTTACTTTTAATTTTAATATAAATATTCTTTTTAGCGGAAAAGTATTTATTAAACTTTTCTGCTAAAGTGAGGTCGGTTGCGGTACGAATTTTACTCTCCTCGTTAATGATATCAAATAAACCAAGTGGTTTTTGTAAGAGCATCTCTAAAATTGCACCATTATCCGTGTATTTAATTGTTTTTCCTTTTACTCCTTCTTGACTATATTCGTCTAATTCTTGGCGGAAAACGTAAAAATTAAAGAAGAATTGAAGCTCTTCGTTCGCCGTATTTATGCATAATTGTTCAAAGCTAAAAAGAGAAAGAGTAGGGAAAAAAGAGAAAAGTTTAACTTCAGTGCATATGCTATGATGTGGAGCCATCTACTGTCTGTAAATGTATTTATATAAATAGCTATAAGGTAAAAACTCTAACCTGTTTTCGTTAAAATCTTCGAATCCAGCCATATCCAATATACCAATTGTCTGTCCTGTAGCGTATCGCCTTTCAGGCATTAGCATTAGATTTATTCGCCTTACTATCCATGCAAATACTCTTGAGTATAGAGAGACGGCCAATGCATCTCTAGTGTCTTCTGCCTGTGGTACAGTTTTAAGCATGACAATTTCCTCCCCTCTAACAATTTGACTACTTGATATAAAACATCTTGCAAGATCACCGGCATCGACACCTAGAAATTCTGCGGATACTTCAAGACAATTTTCATTTAAAATGTAGGCACCATCTGTTTCGACATCGTGCGCGAATTCTATATCAGCTATGTGTAATATAGCAGCTAGTAGGGCAATTAACGTCTCTATTTGCTCTTCGTTGAATCCAACAGTAGTCATAATTCTCATCAGTTCATCCCAGGCGCTTTGATGATAAATATAAGATTGTCGATCGGCGAATACTCGAGAACCGTCGAATGTATGCAAGATTCTGTGATCATCGGGCTGGTCGAGTAGATTATTTTTTAATTGTTCGTCGTATAAACCAGCAAACATATGATAAAAGATATGAAAGTTTCTTTCACCCGGTGAGCATCGAATTATTCTTGACTTTTCCAGCATGTATTCATTTATGAGAGCACCGATCATTTCTCCGTCGTTATCGAATTTTATCTCTAAATATTTACCGAACCTCGATGAATTATCGTTGGCTATCGTTTTTGCGTTACCAAACGCTTCCAATAAAGGATTAGCTTTAATAATCCTTGTCTCAAGTTCATCAATATCCAGATGACCTCCACTAACAAATGCAATATGCTGTGTAAGAAATTTAGCATTTTGTGTCTTACCGGAGCCCGATTCACCATTAATCACTATAGTTTGACTTTGTCTGGTTCGACGTAAAGTCTGATAGGCGTTGTCAGCAATAGCATATACATGAGCAGGAAGAGCTTGGCGTATTTTAATATCGGTATATTCTCTTTGATGTCTTATAGAATATATTGATATATCCTTATAGGGATTAATAGATAGGAGAACATCACCTATATAAGTCTATAAAAAAGTAAAAGAAAAGATAAATTTATCAAGAAAAAGCATAGTTTAAAAGAAATCAATGTTAGAAATATCATTTTTGAGTGTAGTCTACTTCCTTTTAAGATTTTTAATAATATTTGTATTATGATTACAAGCTCATATCTTTTCACATTACCCTCGTTTCTTTTCAAATACAAAACAAGAGTAGACTTTTTATACTTTCCCTATTGTTGTATATTTTCAATTATATTATGATATTATTAATAAAAGAAGAGTAAGTAAATTAAATAGTGTATAATAGTCTAGATTATTTACTATATTTTCATTTAAAGTTTAGATATCGGTGGTTAAGAGTTGAATTTTCATTGTTCACTATATATATGACAAAATAAGCAAGTAGAACAAAAAGTTTATTACAATACGAATGAGTCACGAAAAAGAATGTTGAAATATTTTTCACGACTATATTTATATTAATTAAAATCTAAGATATTACTTACGTAAATTCTATTTCCTTTATAACGCATTTGAATCTCCTCTAATAAGGTTTTCTCATCTAATGTTTGTAATAACGTTAAATCTTCTTGGGTTGCATTTACGTTAAAATTCATCTTTACTCTCTTTATCTTTCTCTCTCTCTCTCTCTCTGTCTGTTTCTCTCTCTCTCTCTTGTAGCTTGAAAGATATCGTTCAATAGATTTTTTTATCCTTCTCAATTTTCTTATATAGATATTATTTTTCGTCCTTAGTATATATTTTTCCTTAAGCTATAAACTCTTTTAATATTTTTCCTTCTTCTTTCTTTACAAGGTTATGAAATTATAATACAATAGAAATTATTATTCATATATCCCATAGCATTAACCTATTTATCATTAAAAGTCAAAAATGTTCCGTATTCTTCCTATATTTAATGAATAATTCTTTACTTCATTCATACAGATTGTTTGTATTTCTTTTTATAGCAATTTTTGTTAAGCTTAATCAACTTTTTAAAGTGATTTGATATCAAAATTGATTATTTATATATTATTATTTATTGTTTACCTTTAATGAACTATTAGAGATCAAGATTATGTTAGAAATTCCCTAAGAAATTATCCGTAAGGAAAAAAAAATGATATATATATATATATATATATATATATATAGCACGATTCAACGCCTATAACCGGGCCTTTCTTCTCTCTACTCACTCTCTCATACTGTAAAATACTGTTCAATAAAGAATAGTATTTTCAAATAGGCCTAAATGTCCACTAGGTTTTTATCGTCTACTTATTGGAACGTGATTCTTGGACTATTTTCAATAGTAAAAGAAAAATTATTGAACGTGGGAAGGTTGAAAGAAAAGAACGAAAAAATTATGGAGTTTTATTTATAACTTATTTTATTGCTTTAAGGTTTATCGTTTATTTCTCAATTGTTTTTATCTGTAACTTTTTTCTTCTACTTTTTCCATTTCTAATACTACTCATATATGCTTATGTGTATGTTATATTGCATTACAAATATTAATACGATTTTATATGGTTCAATCATGTATAGTCCTAAATTTCTTTTAAAATGTTGAAAATATTCATTAATTTATTAATAATTAATATGTGAACTTATATTATGCATATTTATTATGATTTATTATAATCTATATAATCTGCTAATCTCCTCTCTCCTATCGCCAACCCATACCCCTCTTTCTCCCTTTTCTTCGCTTTCCTAATTACCTATTTAACGTTAACGCCATCTCTTGTCTTTTTCTAATCTCATCTCTTACGCTTCCCATATCAAGTCAATCCATCTTTATCACTGAACTCTTAATCTTTACTCTAAAACTTTGTAAATGATATTTAAATTGATATTTATCAAGTTACAGTTGCTCATCCAGTCCCATTCTTTTATTAGTACTAATACGTTTTCTCAAGAGAATTCGACTCTAACAGCATATAAATTAAGGAAGGATAGAAAGAGACAGGTTTTTTCATGATCTCTAAAATTTTAATACGCTAAAGATTTACTAATTTCTTATTTAAAGGACGAAAGAAAAATGATAAAAGCCATACAAAACTCATAATTATTTATAATGTATATACATATATTTCATTTTACTAAAACCTTTAAAACATAAATTATCAATTAAAAATCATAGTAGAAAATGAATAAAGAAAACAAAGATATAAACAAATACCATCGATATTGCATAGTGAAAACATTCAATTTTCTATTATATCCTAAAAAATTTTAAAGTCTTTGTCTTCTTTATTTTTTTTTTAAAAAAACAAAATATGTAATTATTTTATTAATAGCAACGATAGATAACAAAAAAGAAATTGACATAAAAATAAAGAAAAACCTAAAAAAAAGTATGATTTCTTTTATTTCGATCAAATACTGTTTTGTATAATTATTAATATTAAAATTATTAAAGTATTTATTATAATCTTATATCATTTCTTGAATTTCGGCTTGAACGCCTTGAACTAGTTGTCGATTTACGACCGGTACTTAAAGAACGCGATAATTCTTCTAATCTTGCCAATTTCTGTCGCGTTTTTTCATCTCTTCGATTCTGATTCTTTTTTCTCGAATAGATTTCACAAATGAATATTATGGCTGATATAGCTATACCGAAAATGACGACAAAGAAGAGACCAGCTACATTTACCATTTTTAATTCTGTGGTACTGTCGGTTGATGGTGAATCGATGGGTTTGCATGCGCTGGGTGGCCACCATCTGCAATTTATTTAAAAGAAAACATGCTTAACCGAAATCTTTAAGAGTTTAACCGAAAATTTGCTCACTTATTTTCCAGTTGATTTATTTTTCCACTATCTTGCAATTTAAGTATTGCGATAGATAATTCGTCCCTGTAGATGGCGCCTGGGGGAACTCCTATACCAAATCCCTTATAATCGAACGGTGGGCCTATCTCCATATATTGACAGTCTTCACTTTCCCCAGCAATAAAATTTAAGACCGTATTGTCCCATAGAAAAGCGTAATTACCTTGTTTAACTCTTTTGACACCTTCCTCGGTGCTGTTTACGATCACTGTTTTGTGAGATGATTGAATTGAATTCCACATTGTTCTATAGGGCTCAATGTCCGAATGATTTAGAAACATTAGAACATCGGAATCTCTAACTGTGCCATAAGGTAATTTTGTTTGAGCTGCAAGATCAGCCGGTGTTTTAATTGGTGTTTGAATAACTTTGACAGTTAGGAATGCGGTCAAATTGGCCGTATACGAAGAGATGAGAATAAGGCAGAAAAACCACCAAGCGGATGATAATAATCGACCAGAAATAGTTCCCGGAGTTTGTTCCGTTCCACCAGATACTAATGAACCCCAAACAAACCATGCAGATTCGTAGCCTTGTAAACCAGACGGGGCAGAGTGTAGTAAATGTGAATATTTTTCATAAGTATATAAAAGTGCCGATATAATGGCCATTGTTATTAAGACTGATATCCAGACAAGGATATCCAAGGGCTTTAGAAATTGAAAATAAGAGGGAGTGTGTTCAGGGGATTTCATTAGAACTGTAATACCCCTGGTCTTAAATGGTTTTGTAAAGTCTATAGCCACTTCCCTCTCAGCGTTCATTGTTAAGGGAGCAATAGTCATGGTTGCATTACGAGATAAAATCTCTCCAATAAGACCGCTCCACGTGCCATCAGGCTGCACCGATCCGAACTTTTGATCATGAACAGTATAGATTTCGTATCGAAATTGTAAATCTTTGGCAATTTCCTCCAATAGATCTATAGCAAATCCCTTATAACCGGTTTCAGTTTTCATGACAAACGGTTTTTCCTGTATCGTATGAAGTTAATTGATAAAACACAAATTTGAAAATTTTGGTTAGCTGTACAGTTATTTTTTATCAAATGATGCATAATTACCAAAATTGTAACAACTCTGGTTAGCGTTGATTTAAGCACTCCGTTTAGATTGACGGGTACTTTATCCTTACCAAAAAATTTGAACCTTTGGACAAATAGGGGCGACTGATTTTCCCAAACGCCTATTTTAACGCTTGCTTTGGTTCTATTCGGCGTTAGTCCATGCGCATAGAGTGATATATTAGATCTATAGCCATTCGCATCGAACTGTACTGTTCCAGTTTTTCCATAAATTCTCATTTTCGACTTTTCCTTAAAGTTAATAGCATCGTCCACTAGTGCAACTTGGAGGCCATAATTATCTGTCTTCTTTAGGGATATATATGTTATATTTATGTAGAGGAGATCGTGAAATTTTTCTGGAAGTTCCGTAGAGTTCTGTTTATATAAAAATATGCAATGTAAACACTCACATCACACCTTGTATATACGTATAGAAATCTAAGAAAATACAGAAACTGTTTACTTACCAAGTTTATAAACAGCCATGTATAAGGACTAGCGATTATTCCTAAAGATGTTGCCCTTTCCAGCATAGAAACTACAATTTCAAATCTAGCTATAATCAACATATGCATGTGAGGTTTGGCACTTAGTAGAATTCCATTATAGCTCCTCTCATCCTCCTCTATTTCGAACAAATGAACTTTCAAATGGAAATTGCAGGAGTATCTCGAATTGAAGAAGGTTCTTAGCGTCCTAACTGTTTTATTACGTTATCAAATAAGAACTTGATCCTTAAGTTAATTATTTGTTACAGGCTCCTACAGTACATCTGCTGACACATTGTCTATATTTATGTATATCTCTATATACATCTACATACAGTATACCTCTATATATCTATGTGCAGTATATATATATATATATATATATATATATATAAAGTGGACGACAGGAATATGTGGACATCGTAAATTTTGATAGGCCAACTTTTAATTAATAGTTAAAATTGTTTGTTCGCTGCAAATTAGTATTTTTTGTCTAAATTTATATAGAAAAAGAGTTAAATTGACATAATATTGAAAAAAATTTAAGAAAATGATAATATTTTGTGAATATTATTATAAGTGTTTTCTTTATTGGCAAATGGAGTTGACATCTGGTTGGCATTCAAATAGACGTCTCAAACAAAATTTTTTTCAACTTATTTCCTGTTTTAAGTTAAGTTAATTAGTTATTGAATATTAAAAATTACTGTATATAATCTATATTGTATTTTTTTTAATTACGGCGTGAAGTAAAGATATTAGGGATCTTGTAATAAAAAAATATAGAGAATTAGGGAAATTAAGGGCAACAGCAAGAGTTTTATGAATGGCCTCATCATCAGTTAATAACATCTTGAAGTAAAAGCAACCAGAACAAGACAATAGGGGCGGTTATTTTTACTGATGAGGCAGGATTTCGCTAAGTGGACCTGATGACTTTAGGACATGGACTAGCAATATTGAAAAGGACTTCAGGGTGACGAAAAATATGGGGAGAGGTGGAGTATTGGTGTGAGGGTAGAATAAGCAAGTGCATAGAAAGAGAGGGTCGGCACATACAGAAATAGTTAAAAAATTCAACAATTTAACATTGTTCCAAAAAACATGTCGCGCGGCCAAATAAGAACAAAAAATATGTACAAACTTACCTAACTGCTGTTTTAAAGAAATTTATATAAAATTGCAAGTTTAACCTATTTTTAAACACTGAAAAAATAAAAAAAATAATCTTGTTTCATAATGAAAAATATTTTTAATATTTAGCCTATAAAAATTTGAGGTGTTCCAATATTTTTGTCGTTTACTTTATATATCTATATACAGTATATATTTCTGTATGGAATATATATATTCCTAAGGCAATTCATAAAATTAAATTATCAGGGAATGAGTCCCCAATTGACGTGCTATTATATACATATATAGTAATACTTATGACTATAAAGAAAAACTTACAGTAATGAGGTTCATAAAATATTGCCACATGCTTCCACTTGTAAGCACATATTAAATCCAGCAAACAGTTATTGATTGTTTCCTGATCTGGATGTAATTTATACGTGTTAACTTCATTCTTCCTTCTAACAATATAATTCGAGACATCAAAATATGAAACGTTTAATGATAATGCGGCTATTTGAAAATTTTCATCATCAATTCCTAGCACGTAATCAATATTGTAGTCTTTCATTAGTTTTCTATCTGTAGACAAAATGGCTAGTTATTAGATAGCTGAATTCATATTAACTTAAGGCATGGCTTATTCTTTCTTTTTTTTTGACATTAGAGAACTTCTCATGAGAATTCTTCACATTTTAACCTAATTTTAGACAAACGTACACTAAGAATAAACTTACAAACTTACTGAATCTAAAACAGAAAGAATATAAGATTTAAGTTATTTATAAATAGAATTAAAAATACATGGAAATGAACCGTTTTAATTCATATATAAATATTACATTTTCATTGCTAATAGCTATAATAATGCGATATTTATATTCATTGATTTCTATCTTTAATAGAATAAGCTATTTTATGTTTAAAAAAATCCTTCATTTTCTCAATAATCAAAGGAGATTAGTATAAACAAATATGCTTTCAAACAAAAAGTTAAGTTCTTTATTGCTAGGAAATAGTTCATTATTATTTCTTCAAATAGTAAGAGTACTAGTATTTAAAGGGCTAATAATCAACATGTTGTTATTTGTAAATAAATACTATATACTCTTCAATTAAAAATTGCTTTTATTGTTTCTCTCTCTCTCTCTCTCTCACTCTCTCTCAATTAACCTACTATTGAAAATGATAATTATTGTTTTACATAATACAATAGATGTTACTATAATTATTACGCTCTCTGTAATTAAACATTTTTAAGAGTATTAAAGTAATGCTTGTGATATCTCTTACAGAGAATAGATTAATCACAATTCATAGGCCTAGTGCTAACTATAGTAATTTCATCACTTATTTAAAAAGAAAAATGGCCCTGGTTAGAGAAATTACTTTTAGTTAGAAATATTGTATATATGTATATGCAGTATATACATATTTTTCTACATACTTTTACTAAGATAAAATGCCACTATCAAGTTTTTAACGATATAATTTCTTTTATTTCGCTATAAAAGAGCTTATTATATAATTTATTTATACTTACTTCATATTTTTAATATATGTATTATCAATGTATATAATAAAAAAACGATAGAAACTTACACGAAGTTATCTGGCCGTAAGAAGATAGATTTGTATAATTGTCAAAATAGAAATCTTCAACAGAATTCCGAAGTTGAGCATTAAGTAATAAGGCGTCGTAAACGTCTCTTTGTAATTTCTCATGAACGCCGACTTTCAATTTCCTAGAATAAACCAAATGAACCGAAAAAAATAGATAAAAAGTAATGGCTATCTGCATATTGTTTTATAGCAGGCTGGAAAAGTTTTCCTGAAGCGATCGATTCCCAGTTTACCGCTGCAGTTTGTAGACTGGCGCTTTGTACCAGGAGGCCTATTATTTTATAACTAGAGGTTGAATTAACACTTTTGAGGTATTACTTCCTGTACTACTTTCTAAAGATATTTAAATGCAGCTGGAAATTCTTCATTGTATAAGAATCTATAATTAATATGGAAGTTCAAACAATCTCTCTTTCGCTGGGGTTTTTTGTCATTTTATTCTCATTTTTCTTATCAATAAATAAATTAGTTTACGTATAAAAAAATCCTCTATACTATTTTATCGGTCTAAATTAATGACTATCATACTATGTATAGGCTTTAGGAAAAAATAACAAATGTATAAATATTAATTTTACATTAATTTTTCATCTGGTTTATTTGTTTGTTTGTTAACTGGAAAGAGAGTAGCGGGGGACTGGTGGAAGCAGATAGACAGATGCAGAGAGAGAGAGAGAGAGAGACAGACAGACAGACAACGCTGAAAGAAATTAGAAGTAAATAGTATCTCTAAGAGAAAAGATCCTTAAAATCGTTAATATTACTACTACCAAAACTTTTCTTGGAAGTACTGCTCCACCTATTCATAAATTCGTGTAATGGATATCAAAGCGATATATCAATAAATAAGAGAACATACCTACCAGAGTTATCAATTTATTATATATCAAATATTTCGTTTATATATGCCAAAACAACGATTGTGAATATATAATTATCATTGCGAACAAACATACTACCAGTCTTATTATCACTCTCTCCCAAGTTACAAATTACTCGTTAATTGTTCGGTAAAATGCTTTTATCAGTTGAATAATTAATTAGTAAACTTTTACTTGTTCTTTTGTACAAATACAGGGTAATGGGTTAAGATAAAGGAAAATATTCGAAAGAAGCTAAAATCCTTTTCCTCTTGTGTGTATAATTTAATGACGCCTATAATTTATACTTCTAATTTAACATTATTGGATATCACTCAGAACGGCCATAAAATGTTTATTGCAATAAAGGTTAATTATATTAGGCATTCTATGCATATACAGACAGTATATACTGTATACGTTCCAGATCCCTTTAAAAGCTACATTCCCATCAGTTTCCGACAAGGATGACTGGAATATCTCATTTTATTATTTCTTATTCCCAGTTGATTTTTAATAATGACATGACAAAAGAGAATTCTTTTGTAATAGTTTTTTTCCGAAGCTTTTTCTAATCAGATAACAAATGTCTAACATTTTAGATTTATTCAATACAATCTTAAATAACCAGACGCATAGTATCTTTCAATTCTATGTTAAACAGACTGTATATTTTTACGCTAAACAGAAGGCTAAATTCCTCTAGCACCAGATTACATGTTTCTTTAATTTTACAATAGCTAATTTGAAAAGAAAATAATAGTCGCTCCTTTTTGAATGCTACTTACAGATGGCAGACTAATCGGTTTGCTCATATCGTTCGCCATCTACTGGCAATATTTGCAAATGTACAAACAGCTGAGGTGTTTTATTCAAATATTCCCGAGGCAGACGAATAAAAATGGAAAATTTAAGTATTCAATATATTCAAAACGATCTGAATAATTACTGATAAACTCTATTAGCGATAATTAATTAGATGAGAGGGGAGAACAAAGACGAGAGTTCATTGACAGATGTTTCCCATGCATTGACTTTTAAGTGTTTCTTTCATTACTCATTCCTTGTCAGTGGATGTCACGTGAACTGCTTTTATTTCTATTCTACAGATCGCGTTTCGAATTAATAAGCCATAAACTCAGCACGAAATTGAAATAAGATTCTCTCTGGTCCGTTACTTTTTAAAAACAAAAGTTGTAATTAGCATCTTTATTTTCTAAACTCCCGCCGATCGTTGCCGTATAGAATTTACATTTTCGTACAATATAAACCTACTTGAGGATTTTATATTTAGAAAATCTATTTTAGTCAAGAGCTCAAAGCCAAAGAATATTAGAATCTAATAAACCGTTCGAACAAGAGATTTCTTATCGTATTTATAACAAAAGTTATCATTTTATCAAAATAGGCTTCTTTTCGGATTATTTACTTTTACATATTCAACATACTTGTCAAATATTCCGCCCCCTTCTCTCACCACAACCAAAACCAACTCCTTCCTCTTTCTTTTATCTTATTTGTTTCTAGCTTAGTGAATACTTAGAAAAGATGGAATCTTTTCCTCAATTTTCTCTCCAATTAATTAATATTCATAAGGCATAAAGCTTATATTAAATACATACTTTTTTATTTAAGTAGAATATATTTTTAGACTAGTATATAAAACTCTCACTTGTCATATTTTCTTTCTTTCTCTCTCTCTCTCTCTCTCTCTCTCTCTCTCTCCTCTACACTAATTCAAAGACTCATTCATTCATTTCTTCTATTTATCTTCATTCTAATAAAAAGAAATATCAACTTAAATCTTCCACTTCATTAACCTTATTGTAAGTGTTAGTTTTGTTATCCTTGCTAATTCCCTTCAATAAAAGCTCATCAGTTTATTATCTGTGTTGTTTTAATTAGAAACTGACTGTGTTTCTAATCAGATTTTTTCACGCGATTAGGGTCCTAATTAAAGCATCCTTTCGACAGGAAATATACACGTTCTTAGAGTTACTTTTAGCGTAACGTTTGTTATTATTATTGTTATTATTGTTACTTTTGAAAGTATAAAGATATATTTTAATATACTTTCTAATAGATTAAAGAATAATTATCTTGAATTTATTCTAAAAACAATTCAACAGAAAATAAAATGGAACAACTGGTATTATTCCAATTTACTTGCATTTTGGGTGTTCTTGCTGCTAGTTACTCCCATATGGTCAAGATAAAGAGTAAAAAATATGGCAAAAGCTATAGGGCTTTTTGCGATTTCAACAATAGAATGAGTTGTACGAAAGCTTTTACATCGGATTATGGTACTGGTTTTGGTATAGTTTGTCATATTTTTGGAAAGAATAGTATACTTAATCAACCAAATACTGTTTATGGTATATCATTCTATATAGTCAACATGCTAATGGCTTTCAATTCTAACGTGTACATTAAGTTACTTCAGTACTATTCCCTATTTGCAGCTCAGTTTATTAGCGTTTATTTATGCTTTATTCTCATATTTGTCCTAAGAGATTTTTGTATTGTCTGCTTTCTTACTTATTTCCTAAACTATCTTCTCTACACAATGGTTTAGAGAAAGTGAAAAATTTACACAATATTCTATTTATATATTGTCACAATTTTTGTGTTTTTTTGTTTTCGTTTTTTTTTTACCAATGCTTTCTCTTTTCTTCTTTTCTTATTCTTCTTCGATTGTTTTGTCTCGTGTTTTTTTTGTTTGCTTTTTGTTTGCTCCCCCCCCTCTCTCTCTCTCTCTCTTTTTTACCGTCTAATGAATGTCAATCACGTATATCAGAATACAAATTATTACTGTGAACATTTAACGCTATCCACTAGAGGGCGTAATAAAGTCTTATCGCTTTAACGTTTTCCAGTATTTAGCGCCTTCTATATAATGATAATATGAAACAGACCTTATTTTGAGTCTAATTAAAATCATTCTTTCGTTAAATTAGTAGTCCTATAGAAAGAAAAAAATTGCTTAAAATACGGGCTTAGAGTATTGTGCTTGAATCTGAAGAATAAGGATGGAAAAGAGCTATCGTCATTCAAGAGAGAAATTTGACACTGTTGAAGACACTCTTAGCTGTAAATTGTTAAGGCGACAGTCACTTTCTTAATTACCTATTTTGACCGTTATATACCTTGGTGGCAGAAAGTGGCGAATTAAATTGCCAAAAAGTTGATTGAATTTGACATCTTCACCAATTAAAAAAGAAAATTTCCATATATTTTTCACTAGCTAATTAAACATTTCCTTTTCCCGAAATTCAAATATACAACTCCATTAGCTTCACTTTATTTTCCAACATTTTAAATGGAACAGATTTGAATACTAATAACGAAATCATTAAAATATTATTGCTAATAATAATGAAGTTTATAAGATAAGATAATCTTCTTCTATTTGGATTATCTTCAAGATCTAACTGTAGTTTTGTATACGGTATATTTATTTTTCGAATAATAGGATTAATAAAGATATTATCCAAACTGAAGATTGTGTATATACTGTATATATATATATATATATATTATTTGTAAGCGTATAAGGCAAATAGAAATGTATATAATATGTATTGCTATCTTAAATTGAGTACACAAGGAATATATTAAATAAACAAAGATGAAAGAGAGAAAGTACACTATATATACATATATACATATTTATACAACATTGAACTGAAAAAGCTATTATGATTTTTGTTAAGATAAAAAAGATTTGTTGTATTTAAAACAAAATATATAACACATCTATCTACCTTTGAAAATCGTTAAATATCGATTAAGGTCTAAAAAAAAATGAGGAAAGGAACATTAGTTTCTACTTTCCTCTACCTATTTTACTAAAATAATCCGTGTATGAGGTAGAGAGTATAAAGCCGGAACAATTGGAATAAAAAGCTTACCTTGTCATTCCCTAATCTTAATTAATGACAGATAATTAAGCTTTTTTTATTGTTTTGAATAATATAGAATTGTTACAACTTATTATTGTTTTGTTTCGTAAAAATCGGATTATTATGAGTTTTTCATTTGTTCTTCATTTAATTGATATAGTTATTTAACACCATTCTCCGTTACCATAGCTATAAGGGATTATGCAAAATGATAGAGATGAAAAGATTGAATCATACATTTATAACAATATTTGCTAATAATTGTTTGTCGTTTTGTTTCTTTGATAAAGAGAGGCACATTAGCGTTTAGGAAATGAAACTTCCCATATTGGGGAGATGCGGATAGCTTATACGCGCCGTCAATCAGCGAAGCGTCGCCCGTGAAATTCAACACGAATCTTGATGACGTCATATGCGTTACAAAGTTCTGCGGGTTGAACTTTCTAGAAAACTATTCATCTGAAAGTAAATTATTGCATTAGTACATATTCT